GGGGGAAGGGACGAGAAGCCTCACCCTGACGAAAACTTCCATACATCCTGCTATCCGAAGTGAAAACCCGCAAAAAAAAAGACAAGACAATTCCACCCTTGTGTATGCGTATGCTAATCAATCCAATGCTTCGCAAGATTCGCGTGATCGTCCCAAAGATATCGCAAGAGGACAAAAAGAAACAAAGACACCCAAAATGTCACATTCCCCCATCCCCGTACACGTTCCAGCTCGACATTGCAACTTGGGCCAGTTTTTCTTTCTCCCACTACGCAGCCCCCCCTTGTTCTGACAACATTTCGGACCCGGGATATAGCTCCGGATTCCTTCGTCGGCGCTGTTCGTGATGGCAAGGACTCGCCGACGGTGTTGCTCCAGTTGTTTCGCCTTAAATGGTGGAGGATCTTCTCTTTTCGTGTACTCATCCCTCATTTCGTCTTTCCCATCTGTCGCGCCTCGCTGCGTCCCGGGAGACTTCACCGGCCGGTCTATCTGTACAATGTATGCCATGCTTTCAATCAAACGCAACCAGAAAACGAAATCCAAGAAAAAAGACCCACCCATGATGACGGAAAGCCGAAAGAGAACAGGAAAAATCAGAAAACTCTCTTGAACCCACCCGGAGAAAGACTTGAGTTGGATATGACAAAACAAGACCAAAAAACCCCGATCGCTATGTGCTGTACGGCCATGCGTAGCTTGTGCTGCCCCCGATGACGATGGAAGTGGTAAACTTGGTTCCCTTCCCCACAATCATATTTCCAATCCCGTGTTGAAACAAGAACGCACCCTAATATCATGCTCGAAAAAAATGCAGGTACCCGGCGTTGGAAGGAAGCAGTCGAATCTGCGACAAGGAGCTGGAAGAAACCAAACCAACCTGATATCAGTATTTCATCGTTTTCCGCCGTTCTGTTCCGATTGCAATGTCTTGCGTGTCTGTGAAGTCATCTGTGAGATAGCCAGTATGACTCCCGGCTGCTAATAAAGAGGCAATGCAAACAAGCTGTTCTGGCAACTTTTTCTTAATCCAAGATCTTTGGCGACGTCGATCCGAAGTGCTTGAGATTAGCTGCAATGAGCAGTCCGGCGCGGACTTGCTGCGGAAGAATCGAGATCTCGTTTGCGTCCATCAACCTCGAGAGGCGCCATGTTTGCCGGTGCGCTCGTCTTCGTAATTCGATGTCTTCATTTCTGCTTTCTGTTGACTTCCAAAAGACCTTCTTTTTTCGTTGCCATAATGTTCAAGTACCTCCAGTCCATTTCGTGACCTCACCCGTTGCTGCATCTCCATTGTTTTCATCAAATAATTTCCAATTCCTGCTCTACCCAGCCGGATGGTTTCGAACAGGACAAGTCGAAAGCGCTTTCCCGGGGATAAGAACCCTCTCAGTTCCTAAGATCGATCTCGTAACGCACCAATGGGCTTATCTGTGGCCACATACCGAAAAAAAAAGGGCTGTAGCTTAAGGCCGAAATTCCGAGATCGTACGAGCGACAACCGTCAATCGATAGCACAAGGCTTCGTATGCTCCGGTACTCCTCCGTGCGCCATCGCCAAGTGATGCAGTCTTATGTTGGTAAAGGCAAGGACCGATTGGCTGAACGTGGCAGATCAGTCGGCTACTGACCGGACGGGTAGTCTAGCCTCCTTTACGGTCAGCCTCGTTGGCCGGAAGGGGCTCGCCTCCCTTGTGCTCGCCGTTCTTGCTGGCATTTGACTTGGCACGCTTGCGGCCGCCTTTCTTGCCCCCGCTCGATTTTTGCCAGCCGTTGTGCGAAGGTGAATTACCCGCCGCAGCGCCCTTGTTGCCGGACTTCTCGTGAGCAATCGGACTCTCCTTCTTCAAGTGCGGAGCTTGTTTCGCGTGTTGCACATTCCCAGATCGCGGGGGAGTCACCTGGTTATCCTTCTCTAGGAAGCCGACGCTGCCATGCAATGTACCGTTCGAAGGCTGAAGACCGGCAGACAGCGCACCACGGTTGGCCGTAGGGGATGGAGTCCTGGTCTCCTGAACAGGGGACAATATAGGCAAGACAGCCGACTTCACTGTCTGTGCAGGCGCGGCGGACGTTCTTGATGTGTCAAGATGTGAGATACCGTTGGGGGCCGACTTGACACGCCAAGGCGGGATGTTTTGAGTGTTCGACGGAGCGGCTTTTGGGATAGAGTAATCAACATCGCCGTTGACAGCGTAGCCATTCACAACGCCGGATCCAGCCGCCGAGTAACTCGGCACGGTCATTTGAGATGTTGTACTATAAATGTCAATGCCGTTCGAACCTTCAGGCTCAGGTGAAGCAAAATGACGGCGTAAAACCTCGTTCGCAAACAGTTGACGCTGTTGTTGTTGCTCCGGCATCTCCATGGGGAACGGCTCGTCTGGTCGCGCTGAGCCGCCAGTCGAAGATACAGCATCTCTGTCAATATACCCATTGGAATCGACATTCTCAGGCACACTCCTTTGTTCTCTGGCTTGGGGTGCTCGGTATGAGCCGTTCACAATCACAGGACCTGACTCGATGGGCGGTGCGGGTTGTGTTGGCTTTTCAGGTACTTGTAGAGATGCTGAAGTCACAGGCGCCGGGCGAACTCCGCTCGAATAGCTTCTGTTGTGGTTTTGTCCTAAGGGAGATGGCGATCGCGAGACATGCTGCTGTGCCTGAGTTTGTTGAGGAGGCACCAACTCTGGCGAAATCCTTCTACGCCTCTGGGCCAGTTCCTGGAAAGAGGGAATCGCCTGAACGGTGTAATCTTGGAGATTAGAACGGAACTGCTGCGGGGACTCGTTCATGAAGTAACCGAGGTACTCCTTTGGTGAGCCGTTTTGGGCATGCTCAGGGACAATCTGAAGGGCCTTGGAGTGGTGTTGGGGAACATCCACTGGCTGCTGCTGAGTCGGCTGGGCATCCTGCGATGATCGTGCGATTGGATAGGCCATGAGATTGGGAGGATAGCTAGGTATCGGTGGATAGCCCGGAAGGAACAGGGCATTCTGATCCGCTCTCGCCGGCTGCGAATGAGACCTGACGGAGCTATTTGCCTGACCTTCAGGCACGACGGCCCGATGAGCACCGCGCCTTTGCGTCGGTATACTCTGAGGTAATGATGGCGACGTAGGGTTTGTCCGAATTCCATCCTGAGAGTGAGATTGGGACATGGGCTGAGGCTGCTCAAACCCATTCGGATAAGGATACAGGTAGTGAGGCATGAGAGGTGCAGTGGCGGGTGGCTCGTTTGGATCTCTGGACACGGGCTGAGCCGTCGCATACTGCGTCCTTGGCGGGGATCCGTGGGTCGAACCATTTCTGGCGTGAGCCTGGGCCTGGGCAATGGCTTGCGCTTGTGCTGCACGAGCCTGTGCTTGGGCGAAGAGTTGCGCTTTTAAGCTATGTTGCTGCATCTCAAGCATTTGATACTGCTTGTATAGCTGTTCGTGCAAAGATGCTCCGGTAGTAGCAGCAAAGTAATCAGGCCCAGCTCCTGCAAGAGGAGGACTTAAGAAAGGAAGCCCGTTCGCGTAGTTCGTGCCACTTGACGACCTACTACGGTCGTTCTGGTTGTTCCTCTGGTTGTAGTGGCTTCTGCTACCACGGTTGCCGCCGCCACGCCCACCCCGCCGGGATGGCGAAGTACTGTGGGTCAGGGTCGGTTTCGGTGCTGGCGGCGGTTTCTGGAAAGTGGGTCGCTCTTCCTTGGGGAAGACGAATTGCTCGCATACCTTCCCCAGTTGCCCACCGTCTGCCAGAAAATCGAAAGCCTGGCGGATTTCCAAATGTATCCCACGAAAAGCGTAATCATCGGCGGAATTGCCCAAGTTCCGAGAAACATTGAAAGGCTCCTCCACACACAAGCGGAACCGGCCCTCCTTGTTGCCGCTGTCCACCTCCCATCCCTTCTCCTTCCGCGTCAAAAACCTCCCGTTCCGGACGGAGACAACATCACGTTCGTAATCAAAATCGTGTCCATATAATCGAAAGAACTGAAAGAGCAGCTGCCCCAAGGACTCCGTGTTGTCCTTTCCGAAACCGCGAACTTGCTCCAAGTCATCAAAGAAGCTCGACTCCTCTCCAGTGTCGGTTAGATGCTTCTCGAAGGGCATTTGATGCAACGAAGGCAACACCGGCGGAGATCTGGTCTGCAAGAAGTTCAAGACCATGCAGATCCAGGTGTAGGAGCTCAGTGTCCCACCCATTGCTATACACGTCAGTGCCAATCGTGCAATTCGAAACGCGAAACGTACCAGCATCGTTCAGGATCCGCTGTTTCGTCCAGTGCTTGACGATCATTGTCATTGGACGTACGCGTTCATCGATCTGAACATACGTCTTGATCATCCGCGTGTTCTCCAACGCAAGCGTGTTGTTCACGTTCATGTCGCAAGCCAGTTCGAGTTGGGGGTCCCAGACTTTGACAATGGGAACCTTTGCCGAGGCTACGCACACCACCTTGCTCATGCCGTCTGCACCTGTTTCAGCAAGAATGTTTCAACGTTGCGGGCTTCTTAACGTACGTTTTGCTAGTGCTTCAGCCAGCATATGCACGCTTTCCAGCTTCTTCATTGGGGTCTGGATACACACATCGACTGTCAAGAGGGTTAACGCGGTCCAGATGCAACGGTAGCGGTCGGCACATACCATCGGACTCGGCGGTGCAAAGCATGTTGCCCGATGACCCAAAGACATGAACCTTGAACTCGTTTCCAGGCCACTCCGTGTGCAGAATCCGGCCCAGCTTTTCCACCAAGAGCTTCCGTCTCTTCTGGCTCTCCTCGGACGGTAATAACCGGTCGTACAGCTCTCTCATATCGCCACTGAGCTTCTCCTCTTCCTGGGGGTTCAGGGAGGCCTTGGGCCGCACGGGCGCCTTCTCCAGCATGTCGGCGTTGTCATAGCCCATCCGGCGCCTACCAAAAGCGATGCCCGTCTCATACTTGCACTTGTACGGCTGCTTTCGTAGTGACGGTAGCGTACTATTTGCCTCGGACGAGACGGACCTCGGCGAGTGATTGCCGAGAGCGCCGTTTGGCGACGGTGTTCTCGAGCGAAATGCAACATCCCGGGCATGCTGGTGAGGCGTCGAAGGGACCGAGTTTGAGTGATGTGAAGTCATTGGTGGGCGTGCGGGAAGGGAATGCTTGACCCCCTCTGACCCCCTACTTGCCATGCTTGCGGAGTCTGTCACCTGCGATGTACCGCTCGTAGCTCGATTCGACACGCTGTTATTCCCATCGATGTGCCGTGGCGCAGGGTGCGGCTTGGGTTGCGCTTTCTTTGTGGTCTCTTGTGCCGGTCTCGACGCCAAGGGCCTCGGGTGCTGTTCCTGAGACACGGTGGTGGCGGGAGGCGACTGCGCAAGGAAATTCTTCTGGAGCAGGTTGTTGATGTGCACAGAGCGGAGGAGCGGGTGGTAGGGCAGGAGCGGCTGCTGCGCGGCGTGGGGGTTGACGGGGAGCGGAAGGGGAGCGGAGGTGTACTGGTCCAGGGCCAGCGGACGTCCTGCCGAAACGCGGCGCGAGAAGAGAGTGTCTGGGGAATCCAGAGCGCGGTTGAAACAGGCTGCGTGTGCTTCAGTACTGGTGTATTCGCCCATCAACTCGGGCAGGCGGGGTTGTCGAGGCGCTCCCGTGAAGCGGTGGAGGCGGCGGCGGCGGCGGCGGCGGCGGCGGCGAGGGCGAGGGAATTGCGTGCCGGTCGCAAAGCGCGGCGGAGCAAGTCACGACGAGCAATAAGTAGGCGCGTGGGCGCTGGCGAAGGTGAATGGAGCTGGGAGGGCTGGCGCGGACACGCGCTGTCGAGGCGGCGAGGCGGTTGCCCCTGCTGGATGACGGTGGCTGGAGACAGGGCAGGACCAGCAGCTACGCCACGGCTGGAGAGGGGCGCGGCAGGCAGCACGGCGAGGAGGGTTGGCGGATGGGACGGGCGGGTTTGCAGCAGGCGGGCGGCGGGCCTTGGTGGGAATGGGAAAAAGGAAGGTTGTGTGGTGAGGGATGTGCTTGATAGCAGGATGCGCTCGCAGCTCGCTAAGTCGCGCTCCAGTGCTATTGCAAGGCGGAATTACGGAGGAGCAGCAGTTACAGAATAATACACTCCGTCACCGCTCATCAAACAAAATCACGCAGAGGCCAGGCGCGCGCGCATTTGTTCCGGCTGCTATAAACCTCTCTCTACCCGTCGGCTGCGGCCAGGACGCAACACCAGCCCGCGCCGGGGCACAGCCAATGGGGACGGATGTCACGCCCGTCAAAGACGGAGCGCCAGGCGCAGACAGCGCGGGGGGTCCGCCAAGGCACCCGAGGCTGACGGCCATTGTATCCGTGGCACAAAGACGAGTGGAAATAGCAGTCGGCCGCCAGCTGACCGACGCTCACGGCTCACGGCCCACGGCCCACGCCGCAGCTGAGGCGCAGAGCGCGAGGGCCCTGACGCAGGCCGACGGCCATCACGGTAGCGGGGAGAAGAGTCGCGGCGGCGCTGGTGCTGGGCTGGTGCTGGGCTGGTGCTGGGCTGCAGCTGGGTGGGCCGATGCCCTTGGTCCCCGCGCATGCCCGATCGAGAAGAGCACGCACGGAGCGGGCGCTGCGTTTCACGAGCAGTTTACGGAAGTCGACCACCACGCCCTGCACTCCCGTCGTCCCGACCGCACGTGAGCCCAAGACGCAGCAGCCGCGCAGCCGCTTTGTGTTGGGCCCGCAGCCAGGCGTCGCGCGGCGGACCCAACGGCCGGTCCTCGCAGGCACTCGCAGGCACTCGCAGGCACTCGCAGGCACTCGCGGGCACCCCCACTGCGTCATGCTGCTCCGCCCGACGGAGCTCCCGAGGCTGCTGCTGGCGCGCGCGCCTCCTGCATGACCGCACGTCCTCCCACAGCCTTGCCCGACACCACAGTGCCGCCGCTCGCCTTCAGCGCCGCGTTCCTGTAAATTTCCCCGCCCTCATTGGCCTCGTCCGCCATCATGGCTGCCGCCGTCCGCAGGCTCAGTGAGTCTCTCCGCCAGAGCGCCCCGGCGCGCCACGTGCTGACAGCTCCGCGCGCCAGCGAACCCCGCGCTCTTGTACGGCCGCCTCCCACACCCTACGTCGTCTCGGGATCTGACGAGCACCGCAGCATTTGCGACCTGCAGGAGAAGTTCCGCCCGGCCATCTGGGAGTTCTCGAAGGTCGTCCAGACCACCCAGAAGATGCTCAGAGCCAGTACGACCTCCCCCGCCCGCCCGTGCCCCGTCTGCAGCGCCTGGGCGTTGAGGGCTGGCGCACGCTGTGGACCGCCGCGCCCCAGGAACAGGGCGTCCTGGGGGGTGAGGTGGCTGCGCCTGTGCCGATCCCGCGCGATGATGCAAAACAGGCGGGCCTGCGCTGCGTGCTGCGAGCAACTGCATTCTTCACGCGGCGGTCGGCCCTCACCCCAGTCTGTTCTATAGATAGGCCCCTGCCCGCACGAGAGCGAAAGTCGCCTGGCCTTTGTGCCTGTTCTCGCGCCGTGCTGGACGGGGTGCGCCGCTTCCTCTCGCTTTCCTTTGTTACCGTGTGGCTTTTTGAGTTGCCCTCGTGAAACTGTGCCGTCTCCTAGCTTCCGATACCTCCCAGTCTTTCATCCCTTTGTTGCGAAGAATTCGGGCACTTGGTCCCGGGGCGCCAGCTGAATCGGGTCCAGGTCAAATCATGAAATTCCCCGTCCTCGCCACGACGCAAAACCGCGCTCGCCTGGGAGAAACGTGCTCTGAGCTTGGTCTCGATGCCCCTGGCGGGATCCAAACCAAGGTGCATGCCGACAAAACACTGTTCTCGATGCTCACGCCCGAGGTGCGCGCCGCCCTCACGCAGAAGCACGAGTGCATCATCGTCGGCATCGAGTCGCACATCTGCGTCACGCAAACGGCCCTCGAGTTGCTGCGCGATGGCCATAAGGTCTATGTCCTAGCCGATGGCGTGTCTAGCTGCAACAAAGAAGAAATCCCCATTGCTCTGGCTCGGCTCAGGCACGAAGGTGTGGTGGTGACTTCCAGTGAAAGCTTACTCTTCGAGCTCATCAACGATGCCGCTATCCCAGAGTATGCTCCCCTTGCTCTTCTGTCGGCCGCGAGGCGTCTTGCTTATGGCAAATTCCACAGATTCAAGGAGATGGCGAGGCTGGTCAAGGAAACAAAGGAAAGCACGAGTCAGGTCCTGCAGACGCTCTGCAGAATATGAGGTGCATAAAGCGGCAAAATTCGAATGGAATCCATGTGGACGTGCGAACTCACCTCGGACAGTAAATCATCGTCACCTCACCAGCCACGCACTTGTGCTCCCCGAATGTGCTACTTTGGCGTGAACGGACCATGCGGTGAGAAGCTTTTGAATCGAGCCAAGACAAAGTGAGCATATGATACGAGCACGGAGAAGCTAGACGGCGTGACTGTGAGACCGTTTTTGGTATTCGAACCTGGTCTTCTTGATTAGTATATTCAATTATTGCCTTCTTGATCGACTCCTGCATCGCGTCCATGGAGAAGATAGAGAAGTATCACGGGGTGCCTTGTGTCATCTCGAAACGACGCCCGGATTGGAGATCAGGAGGGCTACGGGCCTGCTGCACCGTATCGACTCATGTACGAGCAATATCAGGGATCTCCAAAGCCATCCCCTTTGTACCCACGGGGACGTCGCTGACAAATGGAGCAAACCACTGGAGGCTCAAATGGCGCAAGGCAGGTCCAGCCAATAGGGGCATGCGCCGGACACACCTGGCGGGAGATCGGACCCGCAAAGCTTATGCTTAACTTGTTCAACACCTTAAATTCGACATTTTTGGAAACTTCTCTGCCAGAGTGTTTTGCGGCCTCGAGATGCTTTTGTTGGAGCGCTGCGCGAATCCTTCAACCGTGCGCACGATGCGGTCCAGCATGCGGGGACAAGACAGCCCGCCGCACCTACCAACCGGATAGATCAGTTCCGCCGACCGAGCTTGCTTGATCAGCAACGCGTCGCCGCTGCCGCCTACCACGACACACGCTACTGTCTAGGAAATATCTGGGAAGGGGTTGAGCCTGCAACCGCTGAAGCTTTAAAAGCCCGCCAGCACCGTCTTCTGGACGCATTGAATCATTCAGTTGCAATCAACACAACCGTCCATCACACAACCCATCAATCCACCTTTCCACGAAGCATCATCTACTCCGACATCATGTCTCTTGTTACCTTCGCAGTTCCCCAGGAGTACGGGTAAGAAAGCCTCCCGCTATACCCATACAGCTTCCCATCATCAATGGAACCCCATCCCCTCAAACCTCAGTCCACACCACCCTTTCTCTCGCCACTCCCCCCCGCCCGACACAACATGGCTAACAACCCTCCCCCCTCCTCACAGCTACGTCATCCTCGCAGCGACCGGCTCCCTCTTCGTGTCGACGTGGCTAGGCATGCGCGTCGGCTCGTTCCGGCGCGCAGCGGGCGTGCCGTACCCGCACCAGTACGCGACGCAGGAGCAGATCGCGGCGGCCGAGGGCGACGCCAAGAAGCAGCAGGCGCTGCACCTGTTCAACTGCGCGCAGCGGGGCCACTACAACTTCCTCGAGAACCACACGAGCTTCCTGTTCGCGCTGCTGGCGGTCGGCCTGCGCAAGCCGGTGCCCGCGGCCGTCATGGGCGGCCTGTGGAGCGTCGGCCGCGTCATGTACGCCCTCGGCTACACCAAGAAGGACACCAAGAACGGCATGGGCAGGCTGATTGGCAGCTGGTCGATGCTGATCCAGCTGGCCCTGCAGGGCATGGCCGGCTGGGAGGGCTACAAGTTGCTTGCGTAGAGCTGTGGAGAGAGAGAGAGGCTGGGGGCATGCGAGTTGAAGGGAAGGAGGGAGGAAACATTAAAAGTGCAAAAGGTACCGGAGGTTTGTGGAAATATGTGTATATGCTGTAAGGTTAGGTACATGGTTGCTGGTTCTGCCGGAAATAAAAGGATCGACTTCAAACGGCAATAAATCGACAGGTATGCCGGGAATAATTGAGAAATGCCCAGAATTTCTCTATATCTCATTATTCGATTTTGCATGTTTACGAAATGCTATTGACAAGCATAAAAAAAAGGCACGGAGCTGTAGTCTGTAGCAAAGCATCACACGGTCTGGGCTAAAGCCATTATATGTCCTCTATTGCTCTATTTCTCTATATGCTGTACAGAAGATCGTTTCGTCGTTCATTCATGGCAATCTTCTTGGTATCCGCAGTTGCCTCCCTGCCCCATTCCTTGACCCTGAGCCTGCCCCAACACCCGAGGGAAAATCCCGCTGATTGCTGGATTTTTAGCGTGGCTTGTGGCATCCTGTTTCCAGAGAACGCCCTTGCACCATCGACTCTTCATACCTCGGCGCGCACTCCTATTGACTAGGAGAGCATGGCCCTTGTAGCTCTTTGTTTCTGGGTCGTCCGTCGTTTCCAATTTCAATCCAACCCCGACAACGGAAAGGAAAGGGAGAGAAAAAAAAAACCCATCTCGTTTTCGCGCTTAATGAGCATCATTATATTTTCAGCCCGCGAGGCCCATGCGCCTCTTCATCTCGCGCCAGAAGAGGCCCCTCGAGTCCCTCGCGCTGGCGACGGCGTCGCGGTTCTCCTCGGCGCGGCGCACCAGGTACAGGATGCACTCCTGCATGGTGCCCCAGGTGACGTACTTGTAGACGTCGCAGTCGCCCTCCTTGAGGTCGAACTCCTTGTCCGCAGTGGTCAGCGACAGCGACAGCTCGTCGGCCATGCCCATGAGCTGGCTGTAGACGACGTCGGCGATGGGCTGGCCGGCCTGCGCCTGCTGGTGGCGGATGGCGCGGATCTTGCGCAGCGAGGCGGCGTTGTGCGAGCCCAGGACGATGCCGACGCGGATGCTGGGGCGCGGCGAGGCGAGGTGGTACGTCGCCAGCTTCTCGGCGGCGGCGTCGTAGGCGGCGTCGGTCGCGGCCTTGGTGTCGTGGATGAGGTGGCGCGGGTCGCTGCCCAGGTAGGCGCCGCGCACCAGCTTGGCGCCGAAGTTGAAGCCCTCGGCGGCGGCGCGGCCGAGGTGGCCGTCGAGCACGGCGGTCGAGGCCTTGAGGTACATCTGGTACGTGTTGTAGAGGACCATGCTGTCGCCGCGGTTGTAGCGCTGCATCAGCTCCATCGTCCACCGGTCGATGGCGGCCTGCTGGCACTGGTGCTCCGCGTCGACGAGGAGCCTGACGCCCTTGTTGCGCGCCAGGTCGCAGACCCGGGTGAGCGCGGAGCCGAAGAGCTCGTCGGGCTTCTCCTGGTCGTGCTCGAGCATCTCGACAACCCGGGTACCCGCGCCGGAGAACTTGATGGCAACGTAGTCGCCCGCGGGCGCGTACTCGATGGTCTTCAGGGTGCCGTCGAGCCATTGGTCCACCTGTTGCTCGTGGAGCTTCTGGGATTCAGCAGCCTTCTGCTGGCCCTCGGCAGCGACACCGGGCATGTCAACCTCCTTGGCGTAGTTCAGGATAACGCCCTTGATGCCGATTTGCCTCAGGCTCTGGACCGTGCGCGAGATCTCGGGACCGGTCGCGCCGGCGCAGTAGTGGGCGTAGAAAAAGTACTGGATGACATGGCGGAAGATGGGTGCCTTGACGAAGAAGTCGGAGTGACGCTTGAGGATGGAAAGGAGAAAGGAGAGGATCACGGGGTAGGCGGAGATGTTCTGGATCAGGAGGTTGCGGAACAGGGATGCGGTCGGGAGCTTCGCGATGGCATCCTGGGCATCATCGAGCGCCCGGGCAGGCGATGCCGGTGCGGGCGACGTTGCCGAGGCGGTGATGGCGGACAGCTGTTGAGAGCTGTAGCGCACTGATTCCTGCACGGTTGTGCCCGACTTCATCGACAGGGTCGCAGTCCGCGAGGCGGACTTTGTCGAGAAGCCAGCATTGTGGTGGATTGCGCGGGCCGACACCAGCGCGGCACGCTGGGTGAGGAGCGGGGTCTTCAGCGATACAGGGCGGGTGTGGCGGAGAGTGGTGAGCATGACGTATCGGGCAATTGGCGGCTTCGGAGATTCTACGGTGGACAGTGATGCGAAACCGGGCAGATTTGTTTCCGGGCTGGTTGTCAGGCGGCGTCGAAGGGACGTGGACGGCGGGGAAGTTGGGCAGCGGATCGTTGCATGGTGTTGGGAGGTAGACGCGTAGCTGATTTATAGGAAGATGGTAGCTTTGTTGGATCAAATGCGGCTCGACCACGATGCCCCAAGCGTGTGCCCCAGCCGCGCACTCCCCGGCGCGGCTACCTGCGGATGTGCCTCGCCACGGCTGCAATTAAGGTTGCCGGTGTCGGCGCGCCCTGCTGCTCCACCCCGCTATCAACACCACGCGCCTGCCCTGCCAACCTGGCAGTTTCCGCATGTCAGATATTCGGCCGAATGTGGGGTTTGCCTGCCGAGCCGCGAATTTGCGCCGTCGTTGTTGGCCGGCGCCCACTGCGCACGCGAGGACTTGCGCCTGCATCCTCCGCCGAGTCCGCAACTCGCCCTGCCCGGGCCGAGCCCCTGCCGCTGGCCGATTACACAATCGTTTCTGTGGCCGTCCGGTTGGCTGCCGGGCAAGGTCACGCTGACAGGCACAATCGCGGCTCTCCCCTCGGGTTGACGCTGGTGGGCTGCAAGTGTTTGCGCTGGTAGAGCCAGATAAACGGGGGCCGGTCAGCCAACCAAACCGGACCCTGTCTTGCGCATAGCGGCCCCTTGCGCGGTGCTCGCGGGCCAGTCGTCGTGGTGACTTGCCCGAATGAGCAATCCCATGTGATGGTTCGGGTAGAAGGCGCCTCCTGAGGGCCGCACTCTCGTTGGCTGAGGCCGTGGCAATCTCTTTGGCACGCCTCACGTGGACAGCGCCATTGCAGCGCAGGGATGAACATGACATGCTGAGCAGCAGCAAGGGCATCTGGCGCAATGATGGGCGAGCACGTCAGTGTGATATCCATTAGATAATGTGGTGTTGCGTGTCGACGCACGTCTAATCCTTTGCAGCATTTCCGGTTGAGGTCAGATCGCATGTGCAGGATCGCCTCTGAATGGCGCGATTGCGCGCCACGAAGCGAGGCATTGGCGAATGGGAAGACCCAAGGTATTGGTAAAGACCAGGGTTGCAGATAAGGTTGTGCTACGCAGTTGGACAGCCTTAAGCCCGAAAGCCGGCCTTTGACTTCCTCCGCTACAAAGCGAGCACCACCACCATCTGGAGCGCGACGAGATAACGACTCTCACGCCACCTGCTGTTAGAGTTCGATAAGCCACTTCCTGAGTTTTTGCAAGGGAGCCAGAATGCTAGAAGTGTTCCACGAGATGTTGGAGCAAGCAGTGGGTACTGCATGTCGCAACATAAAGCTCGTTAGCAACAGTGTTGTTAATCCCGGTTGTATAGTGTAGTGGCTAGCACTCAGGATTCTGACTTCAGAACATTCCTGCAACCCCGGTTCGATCCCGGGTACGACCTTAATTTTTTTTCCTTCCCCTCATTCAATATATAAGGTAACTTTTTCTTCACCAGGCGGGGTCTGGGCTGGCCGGTGCGTGCCAAGAAGCCGACGCAAGCCGAAAGGTTGGAGGAAATTGCGGTCGGGGGAACTATGGTTACGACATTGAGCTAGGGCGCCAAGTTGTTTGGCCAAGTACATATACGCTGTACAGAGGCAGATCGCTGTTGTGAAGATGACATTTTGCAGGCCTAGAGTGCGTTTACGAGTCGCGGGTTGTGCATGACGCAGTTTGGCCCCAGATAGATCACAGAATGTATGCAAGCCGGCCTTCAGATCACAGATTGCTCCTTCGAGCACGGAGCCACAGTGTGCGGGGTCCGTGGTCCAGCTGAGAAAGAAAGGCGTCGGAAGCGTCCCCTTCCGGAGTCGGTGAGCCAAGCCAACGACGCTGCAATAGTGAGGCTGGGTTTCGATTACGCGAGACCATCTAACAGAGCCCGGAGGCGTAACGACACAAGAGCAGAAGCGGAAGAGTAGGGGTGTAGGCGCCCCACCAGCCAATCGCGGTCGATCGCAGGTCAAGGCTGCAATACCCGCCGATCAGTTTCCAGTTGAAAATACAGTTGCAGACCGCTCACAAGAAGGTGTCGATCAACCTGCGAAAGCTGGGAGCCATGCCTTTGGTCACGTGCACACGCGCTGCTGCCTGCCGCGCAGGCGTGCGGTGACGTGCCTGCCTTCTTCTCCGCACGCTGCATCAACATCGTCACAATGGCCAATCCACCCGAGCGCTATAACCGGGAGGAAGATGAGGAGGATGAGGAGGAGACGCTTGACGAGACCGTACGTTCCATTGCTCTTCGCAACATCAAACGCGCGCTGACAATCAGCGAAGGGCTACAAGACGGTCAAGGACGCGGTGCTCTTCGCCATCGATGTGAGCCATTCGATGCTGAAGACGCCTCCTCAATCAGACTCGAAGAAAGCCGACCGCGATTCTCCTACGTCCGCGGCCTTGAAATGCGCCTACCAACTCATGCAGCAGCGCATCATCTCGCACCCAAACGACATGATGGGTGTCTTGCTCTTCGGCACCGAACAGTCAAGATTCCAGGATGAGACTTCAGGCGCCCGCGGAGCCCTGCAATATCCGCACTGCTATCTCCTGACCCATCTCGACGTCCCGGCTGCTGGCGATGTGAAGCGCTTGCGCAACCTCGTAGAGGACGAGGACGAGGCCAGCAAATTGCTCGTGCCGTCCGAGGAGCCCGTGTCCATGGCCAATGTGCTCTTTTGTGCGAACCAGATATTCACCACAAAAGCGCCCAATCTCACCTCAAGGCGACTGTTCCTTGTCACAGATAACGACAACCCGCATCCCGACAGTAAGAGCCTCAGGCAAGCTGCAGCCGTGCGTGCAAAGGATCTGTACGATCTCGGAGTCATAATCGAGCTCTTTCCCATCGCACATCCAGATCATGGCTTCGACCGGGCAAAGTTCTACGATGTACGCAACCTCCAGTGTTTCGGAGTATGCTAGTTCTAACACGCTCAGGACATTGTCTACCGTCAATCTCTTACCGATCCCGAGGCTCCCGCACCAATCACCGAAGTCGCTCAGACCGCTGAAAGGGGCGACGGCATCAGCCTTCTCCAGTCGCTCATCTCGAGCATCAATTCCAAAGCCGCTCCGCGCCGTGCCCTGTTCTCCCTACCCTTCGAGATCGGCCCAGGATTGAAGATTGGCGTCAAGGGATACATTCTGATCAAGCGCCAGGACAAGGTTCGAAGCTGCTATGTCTGGATGAACGGCGAGAAACCGCAGATAGCCGTTGGCTCATCAACCAAGATTGCCGAGGACACAGCACGTGAGGTTCAGAAGACCGAGATAAGGAAAGCGTACAAATTCGGCGGGGAGACTGTTTCGTTTACCGAGGACGAGACCAAGGCTATTCGCTATTTTGGTGACCCCGTCATCCGCATCATTGGCTTCAAGCCTCTATCCATGCTCCCGGAGTGGGCCAACATGCGCTCTCCGATGTTCATTTACCCTACCGAGGCTGACTTTGTCGGCTCCACGCGCGTGTTTTCTGCATTGCATCAGAACATGCTACAGAAGGGAAAGATGGCTATAGTATGGTTCGTCCCGCGTCGGAACGCCGTTCCTACCCTCGCAGCTGTCCTTCCCGGCCAGGAAAAGCTTGGTGAACGCAACGAACAGGTCAGACCACCCGGTCTGTGGGTCATCCCGTTGCCCTTTGTCGACGACATTCGTGAGAACCCAGAGACGCCCCTGGTCAGGGCATCTGACAATCTGACGGACATTATGCGCGAGATCGTTCAGAACTTGACCCTTCCAAAAGGCGAGTATGAACCCAGCAGGTATCCAAATCCGGCGCTTCAATGGTTCTACCGCATCCTTCAGGCCATTGCTTTAGAAGATGAACTCCCTGAGAAGCCTGAGGATAAGACCGTCCCCAAATATCGGCAGATCGACAAGCGGGTCGGCGACAAGGTCACCGAGTGGGGCCAGGCCTTGGAAGAGGAATTCCGCAACTGGGCTCAATCATCCAGGAAACGTCAACCGGAAGTAGAGTCGAAGCCATTGCCCAAGAGGCAGAAGACCGAGTCTGGAGCCGTACCGTCGAAGACATCGGACACGATGAGTGACGCCGAAATGAAGTCGCGGTATGCAAATGGGACCATCTCAAAGGTACGTACGATCGATGAATGCATCATATAGTCGCCAAACTGACCATTTGGCAGCTCACGGTGCCGGTCCTGAAAGACTGGGCGCACAGCAGACACATTTCTGTGGCGGGTAAAAAAGCTGATGTTGTGGAGAGGATAGAGGAGTATTTTGAGAATAAGTGAGGACGCTGTTTGCTGGCTTGAGTGTAGGAGCAATGGCATCGTGAGGGTACAAAAGAACGACATAAGATCAACCGTCAGAGTCTCAAAGGCGCTAAGGTTGGGATGGCAATAGCAGGAATGAGAAGCGAAGCAAGTCAGGGGCGGTCAAACACCATGATTTAAAAGTGACCGTGTTTCTTGGGAATGATTAACTACCCGACGCTGGCAACGGAACAGCGCTTGACGTCATTGGCGTTGGTAGAACAATGAAAAGGTGTTCGATGGGCGTCTACGCGCTTGAAACCCCCAGAACTAATACATCCCGGAGCATAGACATTCACATCCAGTCATCTGGACACCCCGATGGCAATCCATTGGCGTGCCTTCCACCTGACGAGGCGTAGAGAGGGCAAAAATGAACGGCACGTGCATTGCTAGCTGTAAGCCACACATAGAGAGGCATCACAAGCAGAATCAAAGATGGATCGACTAAGTACTTCCACATCTGGACATCGAATGATAGACCGTGGCATTTTTCCCCTGGCGACGGTACGGGGCAAGGAAAACAAATGCACGAGCAATAGAAGCAAGGTCAAGTCGACTTGTTTTTACTCATCTTTTCTCGTCAATAGCAAAGGACGCTTGCAAAGAACAGTCAAAGGATCCGAGCCCGAATTTGTTTCGTAAGAAAAAGTCACACAAGAAGAATAGCTTTTCAAAAAAAAAAAAACAGCGTATACAAAAAACCCCCAGTGAAACGAGATACAGGAGGGTCAACAAAATCAAAATCAATGCCTTTTGTGGATTTTTTTTGTGTGAGCAAAGTCAGAACGTGATGTGTGATCTACATGCCCGTTTCTCTCCTCCTTGACGATCATGGAAGGAAAAAGGAAAAGATCAAGGGAAAAAGGTTTGCCACCATTGAGATGGATGGTAATCTAGGATTGTGCAGTTGTTGTGAAGTAGATGTGAAGATAGGGGGAATTGCTGAGAAGAGCAAGGCAGTACAACTAGACGGAGTTCGGACCAAGCACTCCAGCACCGAGTCATAGTCCACAATCATGTTCCATCTTTCCTGCATCACTCGTAACTTCATCCCCCACCGTATCCCGAATCCGTCTGGCCCCGGTCATGAAGTGAAGTTTGATACATGAAGGAGAAAAGAGCAGAAATAAAACAAAGGTTAGGAAAGTGAGAAGGACAAATATCCAACTCCACAGCACCGAATAAACACCATTGCTCCGCATTCCTCCGACAGAGACGTGAACGAGTGACGAAAACCGTGAGAGAGCCTAGTAGCCAAGGCCCAAGTAGTGTGCACATTGAGAGAACATCCGGTGCCTCCCAGCAGCTTTTGAGTTGGCGTCACTTCTCGAAAGGATTGCGGTCATAATGTGAGACCGCCGCGTTGCGCATTGTTTAGAATGCGTTCTATTGATACAGGGTTCAAGGCCAGTTAGCCTGCACTGGTAAGGCAGGCCGAACTCATCTCTGCACTTTTGTTAGAATCAATGGGGCTTCGTGTGAAGAAATGTCATCGACTTACCCTGTTCCTGCGGCCGCCTGTTGCTGCTTGTTGCTGCTGAACCCCTTGCTGCCCCAGCTGGGGGACACCGTAGCCCATAGGGGGATATCCGAAAGGAGCCTGCGGCGCAACCACAGGAGACCCCTGGAAACCCATCATTGGAGCGGGAGCGGGCTGCCCGAAACCAGGTGCCATACCGAGACCTGGCGCACCGCCAAGAGGGCTGCTGCGGAAAGCATCCCCAGGGCCACCAGTGGCAGCCGGGAAGCCGTTCATGCCGACACCGCCGGGCATGCCACCCATGCCGTTCATAGGAGGGTAGCCAAAGGCAGCCGGGCCGCCACGCGATTGCTGCTGAGCAGCCGCCAGCATAGCCTGTTGGTACTGCGCGGCGATAGCGAGGTTAGGGTTGGCACCGTAACCTCCGAGACCATTGGGAAGGAAGGCCGACTGGTCGAAACCTTGGCTATCCATGCTGGCGGTACGCTGGAGGCTTAGGGCAGGATCGAACTGTGGCTGCGGCATCCCGGGTGGGAAGAAGGGTCGGTTCATCTGGCTTTCGGGAGTGCCTGCCGATTGCTGGTGCGCACCGCCATTTGAAATATTGGCTTGTTTGGAGCCAGGACGGGAAGCAGGCGACATATCCCGCACGTGGTTGTCACGCGGGTTGGGACCGCCGCTACGCGTAGAGAGACCAACCTCGTCCATCAAACGCTTGTAGCCCTGAGCGGGTTGAGCCTTGATGCGAAGCAGGACGTTGCGAACATTCTGCACGACTTCGGGGCGGATCTTCTCATCAAAGAACGGGGTAGTCAGAACCTTGAAGATGAGCGTAGCACCGCAAGACTGATCGCGCAGAATAGCCTCCAAGGTTTCGTCGTTGGGTGAGAAGAAGAGAGCCTTCAGAACAGTATCACGGGCCTCGGGCTCGTTCCGCTGGTTGATGATCTTGAGAACCGTGAGATAAGCAACCTTGTGGGTGCACAAGTGCACCAAGTGAGGCACAAGACGTGGCGCAAGGACAGTACGGCGACGAGGGAAAGTGCATGTGTCCAAGAACCAAGTCAGGAGAAGAGCTCCGTTGGCGTTCGTAGCAAGGTGGACACTGTGCAGCGCGATTGCAGCTGCAATCATTCTTTGTTGGTCCTTCGTAGCGAAGTGGCTCTCCAGGCAAGCTCTCATGGCTCTGGCACCGAACCTGCCCTGAGCGAGGTCCCAGAGGCGGCCCAGCATGACCTCAAAAATAAAGTTGTTGAGGGGGCACTGGTAGCGCAAGCAGCCCTGCATGACATAGTTGCCAAATTGATCAAGGAACAGGGCCATCGCATACGGACGAAGGCTGTCGACAACCAACTTCATGAGCACGGGGGTCCTGGCCACATCGATGATCTTCTGCGCGGCCCAGGTGCCGTTCTTGTGTACACCAATCTCAGCCATGTGAGGGGCGATTTCTGCGAGCATGGCTTCCTTTACGCTCTCAGAGCAGTATTCGAACAGCTTCTGCACCACGGTGTTACCAAGGTAGTCCGAAGACAATTCCGCAACTTCGGGGAGCATGGCCATAGCGACATCCTCAATCTCAGATTGAGTGCAGGAGTTGTTGTCGATCCTCTTGCGAATTTCGCGGAGCCTCGGGGCATCGTGAACCCTGTTGTGCGATGGCTCTGGAATTGGCGGGACTTCGGGCTCGTACTGATCGATATCGAAAGCGTGCGAAACATTTGCTGCGATGTTCATGGCCTCTTCGTCGGTCGCGCCTAGCTCCTTCACAATCTGGATAATGTCGCTTTGCATTTCCTTGAGGTTGGGTGTAGTCAGAGGCGCGGAGCTGGTTTCCACACGCACGTCCTTGGCCTGGCGGTTAGCAGCGGTACCAGCTGCCTGGGACGATCCATCTCCCTGGGTCTTCGAGTTCGGGTCAGGGCTCGGCGATGGGTAGAGTCCGTTATGACCCGGAGTACCAGAAGCGCTAGGGACCTTAGCGTAGCCAATGCGGACTGGTCCCGCGCCAGGAAAGATTTCCTTGCCATTCAACTGCTGCTTGGCACGAACGGCGCTCTCCAAGTTCTCGAAATTGACGAACCCGCAGTTCTTGTGCGTGAGAACCCTGGTAGACTCAATGGGACCGAAAACACTGAAGATGACGTTCAAAGATGAAACCGTAGTAGACGAAGGAATGTTGCCAAGCCACAAAGCTCTGGTGGGACCTTCAAGAGTGTTCTCCTCGCCCGTTGCTTCTGGCATTGGCTTACCATTGAGGTTCAAACTTTGGACTGCTTCAGTCAGGCCGTTGTACTCAGCTTCCTCGCTCAGCTGGAGGTCGGATGCGCTGATGCTGCTGTCCAATCTGGAAGAGGTGGGAAGATAGTTGCGCAAGAGACGAGTAGATGGAGACTCAAGAACACCTGCAGTCCGGGCTCTCGGACGACTCGCGCTGGCAAAGTTCGCGAAAGCCTGTACTTCCAGGTTGTGCTGACGAACGGCTTCGTGAATGTTGGCATAGGCAGCGGCGCTGGCCTCAGGCGTGGGCGTCAAAGTTCCGCTGTACGAACCGTACCCCATATGCTCCATCTCCTCCTCTTCCTCATCGGCGTATTTCTCTTTCGCGTTGACCGAGTATGATCTAAAGCGGTTCGCGGCGTTCTGCTTGTTCATGGCAGCGAGATTGGCGATCATGTTCGGTTGAAGCCCGTTCCGTTGGTTTTCTAACATGATTTCAATGTCGGAAGGAGCGAGCGTCGCGCGTGATTGCTGAGGCGTATCGACAAGGCCGAGGTAATCCAGGGTCTTGACGTCGTTGTCGGCAAGCGACTGGCCCGAGAAATGGGAGTGTGCAGGGGACGAGGGATCCTCCGAGGAACGGATGCTGGCGAGTGTGTTGCCACGCTCGCGGCCACTGGCCCAGTTCGACGAAAAAACCGACGAGCCGAAGGGGTTGGAGTTCGAGAGATAGCCTGGGCGCTGAGGCATCGAACCAGCCCTCATGCGCGAAAGCATGGCCGATGACTTCGTGCCAGAGCCGCTCGAGCCAAATCCCCCCAGATCAGTCGGAGTGTGTGAGCCTGGCTTGAAGGGGCTAGTAGACGGTGTGGGCCGGGACGTCTGCGGGAGAAGAGATGCCTGAGGTTTTAGGCTGTTGAGAACGCCGGCAGTCGAAAACCTGGAGGGCAGAGTTCCAGCCCTGGTCCTCCGAGTCGACGGGGTCTGCTGCGCAGCTTGTTCCATGCCAGTGGCTGCGTTGAAGTCGGGGAAGCTCTCGCCATTTGGCGACTCGGGGATGGTCTCTCGCAGAGGCGTGGAGTTGCCGCTCGTCGGAGGACCCCAGAGTTGAGGGTTCAACCCTTCCTGTGCCTGGATCTCTCGGGCCCTAGTGATGAATTTCGGTTAGACGTGGATGCGCCAGAAAAAACGTGGGGCTGCGCATACCGCTTTGAAAAGAGCCTGCTGCCGTAGTCATGGGATGGGGAGCCAGCACCAATACGTGCCGTTGCAGTCGCGTTGCCAATCGCTGCCATGCTGCTCCCATTGCCCATAGGATACCTCACATTGTTACCCGCTGTGGGCGGCTCGATGGGTGAAGTGGCGGTGGTCGAAGAACCGGAGCGTGGTTGATTCGGGGTGAGCTGGGGCAGGTAGTTGAGGTTGATGTGATGGTCGGGCCTCGAGGTCGGAGGAGCCATTATGAATTAAAGCGAATCCTGTATGGCCCTTGCGATTTTTCAAAGCTTCGAAGGGACGAAAATCGGGCGCGCTCAATTACCAAAACCAGGGCTGAGGCGAAAACGTGCTTGGTGCCGGCCAAAGGAATGTAGAGACGGCTGGGGTCGCCGTGATGGACCGCGTCGAAGGACTGTGCTGCGGATTGGCGCTCGACGTTAGCTGTCTCGCGACCACTGTACAAATCGCGCCCTGAGCTCGCAGGCCGGCTGACGTAGGGAGCAGCGGTGTCGGGCAGAAAACGGCGGGTGTGCGTGTGGGAGCCCACTGTGCCTCGCGGTCGTGGATGCAGCGCTGCTGGGGGGTCGCGCGCGTCGAGGGCTGTCGCGGACGGGGGCAATTAGGGCGGTAGGGTCTCGGTGCCGGCGTCAAGGGGAAGCTCTCGTGGCCAGAGTGACGGGCTCTGCGGTTCCAGATGATGGGGCAGGGATGTTTCCGGGCGACGAGCCGCCAGAACGCACGGCGGCAGGTCAAGGAGCGACGGGCGGCGATGCAGCGAGCGCGGTGAGGAGCCTGTGTGCGTGTGGGTGCAGGCAGGACTGCGTAAGGCGGCGGTTGGACGAGGGCGCGGATTATACACAGACGCAGCCGGTGCAATAGACAGGCCGGGCGGCGGGCCTGGAGAAGGGAGGTACGAATTACGACAGGGCTGATTAAAATGACGGCCGCAACGCTCGGGACGAAGGGGAGAGAGAGGTGGTGGTGTGGAGAGGGTGGAGAGTTGTGGTTTTGCGGCGGACGACAGCTGGAGGCGAGTGGACTGTCTGTGCCCTGAAGATGCGACAGGCCGGCGACGGCGGAACGCCAGAGCAGACGGAAACAGAGCACAGGACAGCGGGCGCAAGGGTGCACGCGTGGGCTGCCGGCGGCGAAATGCGTCGTGGCTTCAGCGCGAAAGACAAAAGCCAGCACCCAGCTGCCCACTGGCCGCCGCGGGGCGCAATCCCATTGTGAAACAAGCTATGGCGCGTCCAGCGAAGATGCGGGCGCCCCTCGTTGTGCTGCGACCCGGCCTCGACACCCAGATGCCCGCCGGTTTGTTCCCCTGCATGGTTGCCCGCGCCCCGCGACCAGCACGCCGCCGCGCACACGCGATCTCCGCAGCCGACGCGCGCACACGGCAACGACGTTGGGGAGCGCGGGCGGCCGTTTCTCCAGACCGGACGGGCCAGCGCGTGTGCCTCGCCGGCCGTGCTGGCGATGATCCGAGCAAGTGCGGGCAAGCAATGGCCCAAAGGCAGCCGCTGTTGATTTGGCCCTGCCACGGCTGCTGTGCCTAGCACACGCCCGAAACCCTGGCCGCCGCTGCCGGCCAATCAGCTCCTGCTCTGCCCGTTGTTGTTTCGAATTCCCACGCCGCTAGCACCGCCAGGGGCCTGTTTCGTCTCCGCCTGCGCTCAACACCCGGCGATTCAGTCTGCACGCTCGCTCAAATTGAAGGCTGCCGCGAGCCGAAGCCGCAGCCCCTCCCCACGCTCAGCTCACGGCTTCGGACCTCCGCCGCATGACGCGCATCGACGCCGCGCCTGCGGTTTGTTTAGCCGCCGCCGCGACCGTTTCCTGCCAGACGCGCTCCGCATAACATTCTACGTCACCCACCACCCTCAACCCGCCCTCGCGCCATGTCTCAGGACGAGCAACCCGGCATGGAGCGCGCGTCGCCTGGAGCCGCCAATGACAATGGCGGTAGCTCCCCCGATGCCGAGCCCGCCATGGTGGTCACCCGCACACGCCGCTCCAATGCGGGCAACTGGATGCGGAAGCTGCTCGAGCAGGAGGAGCGCCCTGAAGAGCTGCCCGACGCGCAGGACTTCTACAACAATGAGCATTGGGCCGAGGATGCCGACGATGAGGAGTTCGGCGGCGAAGAAGCCGTCGCGCCCGAAGACGTAGCCTTGGAGTCCTCGGGTGACGAGGACGAGGACGAAGGCGAGCAGGATGCCGACGATACTGGCGAGAAGGACTTGCGCAAAGAGGAGCGCCAGCAGAAGCTGATACAGAAACGCAAACGAAAAGATCCCTTCGCGCAGGCTGCTGCCCTGCGCCAGAAGAAGGCGAAGACGACGGCCCAGTCCACCCCAAACGAATCGATGCCTCCGCCTCCACGCCCAAAGAAGAAATCCGAGCGCGTTTCCTGGCTACCCGAGGCCACCGAGGGGCCTGTTCGATCCTCGTCGCGACGCCTCACGGTTCAGAACAAGCAGACTCTCGCACAAGGGCTGGAGGAGAAGGAGCGCCATCGCTTGCATGTCCTCGAGGTCATGAAAAAGGCGGAGAGGCGAAAAGAGAAGGATCTACCCAAGCCCATGACACAAGAGGAACGGCTCAGGGAGGCGACAAGGGTCGAGAAGCGTAACAACAAGACGCTAAGCCGGTGGGAAGAGTCAGAAAGACTGAAGGCCGAGGAAAACAAGGCTCGCTTGGAGGCTCTGAAAAACCGGAAACTAGACGGGCCTTTCGTCCGCTACTACAGCGGTCCGTCTCTATGGGTCAATGACAAGCTCAAGCAAGTGGGAAAAGACAGCTGCAAGATCGAGGCGCTTGACGATGAGCCCTCTCCAGCAAACGATGCCGCTGGCACAGCCATTGCTCCCGAAGCAACCGTTGCTGATGCTCTGTCTAATGGCTCGACCGAACAGGATGGACAACTGGAAAGTGGTGCATCACAAATGCAATCTGCGGTGGATGTCAAACCTGAAGCGCCCGCAGGTAACCCTGAACAGATCGAGAAAGCCGAATTGCCTGGTGGTAGCTTGGAGCAAACTCAGAGCTTGCCAAGCAAAGTCGAACAGCCCTCGCAACTCCAGCCGAACGAGCCCCAAAGCTCCGGGCTGGAGGCATCTCAAACAGCGCCGGAAGAAACGCAACAAATCCGGTCGCAGCAAGGTCCATTGCAACCCGCGGCAGTCCAACCATCAGAGGCCAACCCTTCTCAGCCCCACCTTTCTCAAACACAACTGTTTGAAACCCCGCCATCCAATGCCACCACTTCGCCAACACAGATACGACCTGGGCAAGGCCACAGCATTATGTTTGCGCCGCCACAGTCAGCGGGGGGTTTCCTCGACGGTATCTTTGACTGGGCGGCCATGGACGCCCATCAGACGAATGGTACTTCCGCCCAGCGCCCACCTTCCGTGCACTCTCAACTGCCTCCGGAGCCCACTGCTTCTGTGTCAGCCAGAGAAACCAATACAGAATCAGAGCCTATCAAAACCGACGACCCCGCGAACCCGCTCCAGCAGGCTGAATCAGCTCCGCCCGCCCCGCCAGCACCGCGGGTTATTTTGCGAGCAGTCCGTAATCTAATAACCCTCCAAAATTTCGACTCGCTTCGCCCAAGAGACAAGGATGCACTCTCTCGCGCCCTTTTCAAATGGCCAGCCGGCATGCCCATCGCTCTCCCCACACGCCCGCCCCCTGGCCGTGGTGCTCGAAACGCCCATCTGCCTCATCGCGAGCTTTGCTGCATTACGGCTCAACCCGCTCGTTACCGCGACCCCCTCACCGGACTGCCATATGCGGATGCCTTCGCTTTCAGAAGCATCCGCAGGTTTGTCAGCGGTCTTGGAGGAGGACTGGGCACTGCGAGATGGAGCAATCTCCTGGGCTGTTTTGTTGGTCCACGGACCGAAGGGAGGTTCGCTGTGGCGAAAGGTGTACCCGAAAGGTTCACGGGTAAGAAGAAGGAGGTTGAACCCGAAAAGGCCGCTGACGCGGCGCAAGAAGAACAGCCGAACGACCATGATGTTAAGATGGAGGGGACCTAAAGCGTAGGCCTGAGAAGTGTGCTACTTGAACTGAAAATTGTTAGAGAAGTATATAACAGACGTGTACGTTGCCACGCCGCACGCATCAATGACATAATTTATGATACCCCCAAGTTTAGACCTCGATTCCACCACGACCTGGGCCTGTGCACGTTTCATTCTTCGCAACTATTACAGTGGGTTCACAAATAAATTAAGCCACCTACATCTATCTTACATGGGTAGCAGAATTCTGTCTCTGGATGTATTTGTAGAAATTTTCAACACTCGCATCTACATCCAGATACCTGCTCCACCTACACATGTAGACAAGTTGTTTAAACCCACATCTACGTCCAGTCATCTACGCCCGGATCTACCCATGAAAAAAAAGTTTCGTAAAATCTTCATTCAGATCCGGATATTCGCTTCACCTCATGATGAAAAGGTTTATTCCAACCTACATCTACGTCTGCATACTGATTCGACTGTCTAAAAAGGTTCGTCGCAAGTCAATTTCTTTCGCAACGCTGTGCTTTTATGGATTGATTCGCTCGATCTCTTACGCCCGGTCTACCATGTCTACAACGGTATGTCCTCTGCGTTCTGCCTCCAGAACGTACACCGAGTCTTCAGTTGGCCAATGTCGGTCTTTTCGAAAGATTCGGGCTTCACTACCCATTCTTCCCCCGTGCTAAGCTCCGGAACCCCGGCTTGCGAATCGTCGGTAAGCTTGTGAGCGTTAGGATCACCTGTTTGGAAGAAGCTGGCCATGGCACCAGCCAATCCCTTGTAAGTGACGGGCTGCGACTTCTGGACCGCATTCACTTGATTCCACTGTATATCGAGGAGGAAGAGAGAGAGGAGGTAAAAAATCAGCAAAAACAACACAACACGGAATTGTTTTTTCCACGAGAGAAAAAAATGATAGAAGGGAGAAAAATCCTGACAAAAACTCACAAATTGCGTATCACTCCCATGTTTGGCGGGGCTGATGGTGTACTCGCTCAAATATCCCTTCTTCTTCGTCTCCCCCGCGGCCTCGGCCAACCACAGTCCCGGGCACGCCAGGACGGAATCACGAAACACCATGCCCGCCCTCACGGTCGTCGTGTTCCAAGCCGCCTCCTCGGCGCCGCCGCGCGCGGGGTACAGCCGCTTCACGTCTTCGAGCTGCGCGTCCGAGAAGCGCGGCAGGTACCCGCGCAGCCAAAGGTCGAAGCCGGCCTCGGAGCTGTTGAAGCCGTTAATATTGGCATCGCTGCCGGCTACGTCTGATTGACCCAGGCCGGCGGGCACGAAGTTCTCGCCCTCGTGCGTGTTGAACGTCGACCACACCACCTGGGCGCCATCCAGCCCGCCGACGGCGGACAGCGGGGCTCGGATGAAGTCGCCGTCGACGACGGGCGCCCAGTTGAAGGAGGAGGTCGTGTCCTTGTTGAGCGCGCTGATGGCCAGGCTGGCGTCGCGGATGGCCTGCACGTCGGCGGCCTTGAGGCAGGCCAGCGAGGCGGCGTCCGTTTGGTTCGACGACGACGACGCGCACCCCACTCGTGCCGCGAGCTCCGCGTACAAGGCTTCGGCTTCCGGCGCGTCGTACGCGTACGTCTTGGGCCAGAAGGGCGAGCCGGGCAGCGCGCGCGAGAAGAGCCTTTCGTCGCGGTCGCCGTGGGCGATGGCCTGGGCGATGACGGAGCCGCCGCCGGCGGACTGGCCTTGGATGGTGACGGCGGCCGGGTCGCCGCCGAAGGCTCGGATGTTGGCCTGGACCCAGCGCAGGGCGGCGCGCTGGTCGAGCAGGCCGGGGTTGAGGTCGGCGGTGGGCGAGGCCTTGACGGCGGCGCCGGGCAGGAAGCCGAAGGCGTTGGTGCGGTAGTTGGGGTAGACGACGACGAAGTCGTCGAGGGCGCGGCTCGCGTTCAGCACCGGGTACATGGGCGGCGGCACGGAGAAGCTGGCGGAGCCTTGGATGAAGCCGCCGCCGTAGAAGACGACGAGGACGGGGCGGAGCGGCGAGGGGGGCGTCCAGGGCCGCGAGTACAGGCCCAGGTAGAGGCAGTCTTCGGAGCCGTTGACGGTGCGCTGCGGGCACATGTCGAAGGACTGGTCGGTGTCGTAGGTGGTGCCATTGGCCAGGGGCAGGGGCGGCTGCGGGGCGCGGAAGCGGTTCTCGCCGGCGGTGGAGGCGGCGAAGGGGATCTTGCGGAAGTAGGAGATGTTGTAGTCGGCATTGTAGCGGCCCTGGAAGGATCCGTAGTCTAGTTCGACGACTGGGTCTTCCTGGGCTAGGACGGCGGCGAGCAGGAAACAGAAGAGGAGCAGGACGGCGGTCCTCCTGGCAGGGCTGGCCATGTCGTGCATGGGGCGAAAGCTTCTGTCCGGATCGTCTTGACCTCAGCCGCATTCTGGGGCAACTTTATTCTTTATGTCTTGCTCGGCAGATATATTGGTCAACAGTCTGCGGGGTATATTGTCCCGCCAGGCTTTTTTCCGCCTATGGCGGCTATAGGGACGGGCCGCAATCCCCCAGGCTGTGCTAGCAGCGTCGGTGCGGCCATGAATCAGAATGAAGGTCTGATATGGCCAAGGGCTTGCTATTCGGCGCAGCATCTTCCTCGCGTCGGATACTCATGAGTGGACTCAAAGGCCTAGGGAAACCGGGCGTGTTTGCGGTGCCTGTGGAGACCATGGAACATTGGGGTTCCGGGCTGGTGAATACCTAAAACAAACGGTGCCGCCTTGGCCGTCTGGAAGCGAGGTCGTGGCTGGTGCAATGTCGAGTCGGTGAGCATGGTCTCAAGTCCAAGCAGCAGACCAACATGTCAGGCACCCGCGGCCCCTGCCTTGGATTGCCTTGGCAGCGTCGGAGCACGAGGTGGCGCTACGCCCACAGGCGGAAGGTGCAATCGTACTCGGCTTGGGTTGCTGCTGCTGCCTCCCCGCAATCTCCCCGCATGCCCGGGGCTCCGGCCATCACCACCACCACCATCTCGGCCGCCCTTGGCCCGATCAGCCCACCCCGGCGTGGTGGCCGAAGCCGCTCTGAATATGCTTCCAGCTCCCACCGGAAGTCCTTTTTCGTCGTGGATGGGACAGAAGCGGAGCTACCCCACCACTGTGTGACGACGAGTATGCATATAAACCCCGCTGGCGTGAGCAACGGAAAACCAAAAAAACAGTCGGCATGATCGCAGCACAGACAGCATTGCGACTGCTCGCAGGCGTTGTTGCCCTGCCCGGGCACGCGGCAGCCACGACTCGGACCGCAACCCCCCCGCTTGGCTGGAACAGCTACAACTACTACAGTTGCTTCCCCAACGAGACGGTGCGCTCCCCCCCTGCGCTCCAATCGCTGGGCTCTCTGACTCCCAGCAGATCATCAAGGAAAATGCCCAAGGCCTCGTAGACCTCGGTCTTGCCGCAAAGGGCTACAACATCGTCACTACCGACTGCGGCTGGCCCTCGTCAAACAGGACCGCCGAAGGCAGAATCACGTGGAACGAGACCCTGTTCCCGTCAGGCTTCCCGGCCTTGGGCGAGTACATCCATGGATTGGGCCTGCAGGTCGGCCTCTATTCAGGAGCTGGCCGCTGGCAGTGCAATACCGATCCCGAGCACATCTTCCTGGTAGCATCTCTTGGTGAGAATTTGTGGCGAAGCGTTGAAAAGCTCCACTTCTGACAGAAGCCAGGCTACGAGACTGAGGATGCCCAGACGTTCGCAGAGTGGGGCGGCGACACTTTAAAGTATGACAATTGCTGGGCCAATGTGACGGAAGATGAGTCCTCCAATTCGCCACGGGTGATCGTGTCTCCAAGCTGATTTCTCCATCACGTGTTGTGGAATACGACCCCTACGAACCCGATCCGTCCGTCCGTTTTGCCGCCATGGCGCAAGCTCTCGAAGCTGTCGACAGGCCCATTGTCTACCAGATCTGTCAATGGGGCGTAGGCGAAGACCTCGGCGTGTGGGCCCCCAAATTGGGCGACTCGTGGCGCATCTCCAACGACATCTACAACGGCTGGTCGTCCATCTGGCGCATCACGAATCAAGTCGTCCCATTCTGGAAGCACACCGGCGTCGGCAAGTATGCCGACATGGACATGCTAATGTACGCCATTCCCTTTCACTTGCACCACCACGAGCGAAAACACTGACATATCTTTCCCCAATCGCAGCATCGGCCTCAATGCCCTCAGTTTGGAAGAAGAACGCTTCCACTTCACCATGTGGGCCATCAACAAATCACCCCTGACCATCGGTGCCCCCATGTCCACCACCCTCACGCCCCAGGCCTCGCTCGACATCTTGGCCAACGAAGAGGTCCTGGCAATCAACCAAGACGCGCTGGGCGAGCAGGCGCGCCTGGTGCAGCGCCACACGGAAGAAGAGTACGACGTCTGGGCCGGCAACCTGACCGACGGTCGGCTCGTCGTCGCCGTGGCCAACTGGCGCAACGCCAGCCAATCCGTCACGCTCAACCTCAGCAACCCAGCCCTGGGCGTCGCCGCCGTCGGCGCGATCCGCGACGTGTGGGCCGCAAGCGATCTGGGGGGCGCCGTCGCGCCCGAAGAATTCAAGCTGGACCTCGCCGGCCACGAGGCGAAGCTGCTCGTCCTGTCCGGCGTCACCCGCACCAACACTTCGCTCGTCGACGCGCAGTACCACCCCGTCACCGACGCCGCGGTCGAAGGCGGCAACGCATCCGTCGTGGAGTGCCCCCAAGACGTCGACAGCACGTCCGGCGGCTGTCTCCCCGTCGGCTCCAAGGCCGTGAACCTGTACCCGGGCTCCACCGTCACCTTCTCAAACGTGTCTTCATCGTCAGCGTCATCTCTGCTCGCCATCGACTACGTCAACTACGACGTCGCCCTCCAGTCGGCCTGGTCCAACGGCACCAATACGCGCAACGTGACGCTCAGCGTCAACGGCGGCACCGCCAAGCGCTGGGCGCTGCCGATCAGCGGCGGCAACTGGTTCGAGACGGGCAGGCTGGTCGTCGATGTCGATGGCTTCGTCGAAGGGGATGGGAATGTGGTTGTTGTGGGAGCGCCCGGGCCGGATCCGGCGCCGGATGTGGTGGGGTTGGCTGTAGTGGTTGAGGGGTAGAGGAGAAGTGCTCGAGGGGGAAATATGTTGAGGATTGGGGCAAGAAATAGGAGTAAAAGGGGACGCTCTGTCGTCGTCAGTCTGAAAGCTTTTTTTTTCTACGAAGATGAATACTGTCATGATCGGATGAGTAGGTAAAATATGAAAAGAAAAACAGAGACGCCAGCCATCGAACTCTCCTCTTGTTCCGCTGCAGCAAAATCTGCGACTCCCAGACCAAAAGAGACAGGCCGTGTTCCAAACGAAAGGGTAAAAAGAAAAAAAGTTTTTTTTTTTTGGATCAAACAGCTCTTTATAGTTTTTCCGTCTGGGTCGCAGCATCCGACGACTTTTCTACATTCCCACCAGCACGACTTTTTTCAGCAGCAGCAGACGGAGACACGCGGTCCTCCCACTTGACGCTGAGTGGCCTCGGTCCCCCCGCACTCGACAGAGTCGTCGGCTGAATGGTGTTGGCGGATCGAGATTGTGCGGTTGACGATACGGCGGCATTAGCTTGTTGTTGTTGTTGTTGTTGTTGTTGCTGCTGCTGCTGCTGCGAGCTATTGCTGCCTACAACAGTGACCCTTGATGATGATGGTGATTCGTTGCGTGTCGGGGGAGAGGAGTCGGTGTCGGAATAAACAGGTGCTTCTGCGTTCGTTGGGGGGTCAGCAACTCGGCATATGTGCCATCACTGGTGGGAGATCAAAGAGAAAATAAAGTGGCCGTGGGAGAGATCAAGGAAGAGGGAGAGTAGGGTAAATAGAGACAAAGGATGGGGAGAGGAATGAAGGGCAGGAGGTAGGGAGGGGGAGACTACACACCATCGACGGGCACACACACGAAATTATGGGTGTGGTGGTGGTAGTTGATGATCTCGGTCATGACGAGCACGGCGGAACAAAAGGTGGCGGAGCACGCGAGCGCGAGGATGGCGCCCAGCCGCAGGTTCGCGTCCCGCTGGGGCTGGGGCAGCAGCGGCCCGACCCCCGCGATGATCATGGTGCTGGTGAAGAGGAGGCTGCACGACATCAGGACGGCGCCGATGCAGGAGGTGCGGAGGCGGCGGTCTCTGGGCGTTCGCGGCATGGCTGCTGAAGAAGGAAAGTGGAGGACGTTTGTCGGAAAATGGGCTGGCTGCTTGATTGTGGGTGCTTCTGGGCTTGCTATGTTGGCGAACAGTCGAGCGCCGACTTTATCAAAGGCTTCTGAACGATCTGGCAGGTTGCCGTGTCAAGACAGGGTGGTCCTTGGCGGCGGTGGTATCGGAGTTGAATTCAGTGCCAAGTCATGCCCTACCTTGACAGATTCTTGGCCATGCGGAGATGGAAGCCTGTGGAATCTGTGCTATCTCAATTGGGCTCTCCGTAGGTGGAGATGGGGGACAGACTGAATTGTGACCGACATGACATTTGTAGCCTCGCTCTTGCAACGAATACAACCACATTAATTGCCTTCCGGAACGGAGATCAGTATCAGAGAGAAACCACTTATATTGTCTAGGAGGAGGAATCTGTGGACAGGCATCTTAGCCAGACATCTCATAGACTCAATGGAGATGCAGAAGTGGGTCCGAGCCGGGCGACGATCAAGCTTAATACTTAAAGGGACTTGATTAAGCACAAACTTCTCGACGACTTCGACCTAAGTACATGGAGCTACAAAGTGCGAGACTCTAGTCTCATGGTCCCATAGCCATACAGAGCGACCGGGTGAGCAAGGCGCACCGGCTCGTCCCATGTCGGCGGCATTGGAGTTGACGACGAGGATGGCCGTCCATGCTCAGCGTGCCAGTCGAGGTCTTGAACAGTATTCTCTGAAGGATAGTCAGCCATCAGCTACTGTAATGGTAGCCGAGTGAGGGAATGGAGGGTTTCACATACCGTAAGTCTCCATACGATCACAAATGATTTCGAAATGCGCGATCATCAAAGCGCAGAGGATAATCAACACAAAACAGCCGTCACCGCTCAGTTGTGGCGACGCGGACCATACATCTGCGGTCCAGGCCACACTGATGCCGAGACAGCTGAGGATGATGATTTGGTGGATTTTGAGCTGGATGTCGAAATAGTAAGGATTTGGCAGAGACTGTCGAGGAGGCATGCTTATGTGTGGTCTTTGGAAGCCGGCCTTGAATGAAAATCGAGGAAGGTAGTAAATATTCGATTCAGTCAGTCAGTTGAACAAACTTATTATTCGATTTTTCTAAGGCATATCAATGTACCTATTACAGCTGCTCTTCTCTACCATACATTTTTGCTGGCTTGGCAATTTGTCCAGCAATGCGGCCATTTGTGCTTTGTAGAGAATGCTTCAACCGCCCCTTGCACAACCACCGGCTTTGCCGTGTAACCGTACATCCGTATGAGCATCTTGGACAAGGTATAGAGGGTATTCAAAGAGGGCATACGTTTGTCGAGAAAACATCGGGTTCGTATGTTTCGGCATTCCATCCACTGGGGATGCACGTGCAAGCGTAACATGGGTGGAGGCTGACCTGTTCTCCGATATGAATCTGCCAGAGGAATTGGTTATAGGGTGACGTTGACTTTCTCCATTTGTATGATCGAAGCTTGAGTCCGGTTCATCGTAGTGACTGAAAATCCCAGTCCCACCATGAGCTTTGGATAAAGAGATAAGAAGATAACTAGAGCCTGTTCCATTTAGCCAATGCTCTATGCTCAAGATGTAAATCACTCACGGAAATCATGTCTCCCTTTTGTTTTTCCATTCTCCATTTCCTAAGAAACCCTTGTATTTACCGTCGACGACAACACATGATCAAAACGATGATTGAAAGAATGACGAGAACGGCTATAAGTGCCAGTGAAATACTGATGAGTGTATTCTTGATCTCTTCAGGGATTGCGCGGTGGACGAGAGCAATATTGCGTTGATGAACTAGTGGAAGAAGAGGGAAAGGGGCCATGATGCGTACAAGAGAGAGTGAGAGAAAGAATTGTTGGAAGGAAGAAAGAGGACTGGACATTGGAAATGGGGCTCAATCTTCTAGACTTACAATATGTCTCTCAATCACTGCTGGCCAGGCCAACGAAAGAGCGCTTTCGGCTTCTTCCGCACGTCCTGTCAACCAACGGCGTGGACTATCCGGAACGAGTAGACGCGTATCACAAGAACAATTACGTTCCCTTTTGCAAGACAATGACAAGACAGGGGTAACATCTGGATGAAACTCAAACATGGTTCTCGCACTCGATCGCCCAGTTAAGCTTATTCGTCGCTATCCCCTTGCGTGGTCGCTGCCAGGGCGGCTTGGTGTGACGGTCAAGCATTCTTCACAAGCTCGGCCCGGCCGCTTGCAGAAAGATTAACCTAAGATCTCCACATCGCAATCAGCAGCCGTTTGATCTGCTCTGAGGTGGACACGCGGATTAAGGAGGGAGTGGAAATGGCAGGGATGAGGCAAAATGGCGAGTGACCGGAAGTGGGAAATCAGAAACGTCATATCCCTCAATCTCCCATGCATGTTTCCAGATTCTTTTCTTGTATTGTTCTTTGTTTCTTCATCTACTGCACGACATGGCCCTTTGAGACGTTCGGTCGCTCAAATCGTGGGGCGTGCTTTTCTTCGTCCCTCATCGACATGTGCTTTCTCGCCGCATGCCGCTTATTACACGTGCCTTTTTCTTTAGGCAGCTCAGCTGAGGCTGGAACCTCGAGGCTTGGGGCGCACGTTGAGTGCTTGTGCCCCTGGCGACAGCATTGGCATTATCTCAGGCGCGCGGCTTCGGCGTCTGAGTGCAAAACTTCATGTCATCTGCGTGACGGGCACTGCTTGCATGGGCATATTCATTCATCCACATCCATCGCGTTACCTGAGCGATGAGCACTCCAGCTGTGACTAGCTTGGTCGTAAGTCAGACCAATGTTTTTCTGCCGCCATGTTAGCTCCAATTCGCTGGATCCGTTGATCCAGGATGATATGATCTCTTACCGACGCGAGGCGAACCCCCAGCCACAAGATTCTCTCAGTCCGCGATTTGATTGTCGACGCCAGCTCCAGCATCCGCTCCTCCTCATCCACCACTCCGTTGAACCAGGTTGCCGGGTAATACGAGTGAGCCCACAGTTGACCGCGGATCAGGTAGTCCTCAGGTAACGGACGGAAATCTTCTTCTCCTTCGTGAAGGAAATTAGGGCATTCAATTGCTGGCGCAACAAAGGTCTCAGACCTTGCAATTGTATTGAGGAAGAAGGCGAAGTCCTCCCATTGAACGTATTCGAAAATGTAGGTGGTATCGTAAGGAAGCGTTGCAAGTTGATTCAGGAAAGCGAGCAGAATGTGAAAATGGGTCAGAACGTTCTTGTCCCCAAAGCGCTGGAGGACAATGCGTAATGTATCGAAGGTAAGACGGCAGGCGCTAGGAAAGGTGTTGGCAGTCTGGAGGTCAAATGTCATGTCGTCAGGCGCGGGCTGTGTCGGCGGCAGGACAGCGTGGGCAGACTGCCAATCCGGGTCGTCATTCTTCTCAGATTGCTCACGTATAATGTGTCGCAGCTGCGTCGCAAAAGCGAGGCGCAAGAAATTGCCCTCGCTCCCGTAATCGAACAAGCTGGCAATGTTCGCAATGGCCATGTACGCTCCTTGCTCCTTCCATTTCGAGGTGACGCGTCCAATGCTGGTGTCCAACTGTCCGATAAAGTCGCCGAGGGTTTTGTCAAACGTATGTTGCTGAAATGCTTGATCTTTCTCGAAAAGTAATCCGTGGGCACGTATAAAGCTGGTTTCGACGGAACTTGAATGGGAATATGACGCAGACGAACGGCCGAGAATGGGATCGAAAAGTGTAAGAATCGACTCGCGCGCGCTCATAAATGGCTGGACACAGGTAAGAGAACGGCAGTAAAAGTAGAGCTGCTGCAGAGCATTAGGCCTGGCGAGGATGGCCAGGTGATGGTAGAGACGGCCCACGGCAGGGCTCTTATCTGCGGCTTTGCTGTACCAAAAGCGGGCAACTCCCGCCCATGTTTCCCGGTCCCGGAGGTCCTCGTCTTCGATTGCCATCCGGTACCGTCCAAGATCGCCGAGGCATTCGATCCAAGTATCTTCGAAAGCAGGTACTGTTTCATAAAGAAGCGCCATCATTTGGTATGCCAGGTATATGAAGGTAAGCATGTACTCCAAAGACTCCGGTAAACGATGACGAAGAAGCTCCAGAAAGGAATGGATGCCATGCTTCCACATGCGGGCCGGCATGGAATACTTAGCCGCGAGACGGCGCAGGGCCTGACTCGCCGAGGGATGCTGCGACGCCAAAAAGAAATCGTGATGTTCGTGAAGCAGAGTCCTATGTAATGCGATGAGGGCTTGCCAGTGGTCTGGCGCCAGCCTGGGGTGCTGACCGGAGACGGGATCTCTCTCGGCCGTTGCTTGAGCCTTGTCGACATGTATGCACTTGGACTCGACCATGGTGAGGCCGGCATAGATGGACTTTACTTCAGCGGCGAGCTGCTCCTGAGAGATGGGGCGGGAGTCGGGTTGCAGCACCAGCTCGGGCCACTGGTCGTTCGTCGACGACAAGGCCACCGACGGGTCTGGCAGTGTGGGAGGGACGGGAGAGCCATGGTTCGATGTCGAAGAAGGCGAGACCGATCCATGGTCCCGATGGGGGATGCCTCGCGGGTCCAGCTGGGAATGGAGGAGCAAGGCATTATAGGGCTGAGCACGTGGGCCCTGCGGCGTGACGGAGTGCGGGCGATGCGGCAGCTGTCTTGCATACTCCTCGGCCATCTCCACGTCGGCAATCTGGGGCTCCACTGCGGGGTCCATGGCGCGGGCCTTCCGGGACTTTGCATCCTGGCGGACTGGGGAGCGGCTAGGCGATTCTGACGCAGGAAAGTCAGATCCAGCACGCTTCCGCGGCGGCGGCCGGGCGGCACCGAGGAACCCGGCGCAGGCCGGGGGGAGCTTACTCTGAAGGGTGAGCCGGTTCAGGTCCGGCGTCTGGGCGCGTGCAGCAGCATCGTGGCGGCGGGCCTGCTTCTGGCGGCGCTGGTCCTCGACGCGGCGCTGGTGCTGGGCGGTGGCAATCTGCTTTCTGCACGACGGGTCAGGAGAGGGCGGGGCGGGGCGGCTTGCCGGCAGCAGACTCACGCTTTGTGAAGAGCCTCGTCGCGCAGCAGTTTCCGGAACAGGGGCGTGCCTTCCCTCACGCCAGAGCCCTGGATTTGGGCGGCGTGGCTCGTGCGGACATGGTGCAGCAGCTGGTCATCGTGGTCGAACAGCTCGCATGGGCAGTAGGGGCAGGCGAGGGCGTCGCCGAGCGGCTGCACCAGGGCCGCGGACTTTTGCTGGGCTCGCTGGGTGGTGGTCAGGCCTTCGTGCAGGTCGAAGTAGTCCGTGTTCATGTTAGGAAGCCAGTTTCAGCAGTCGCAGGCGGCGGAGCTCGTCGGGTCGCATGCGGGGGCGCCAGTCAGCACGGGCCGGTCGGAACGCCGGGGGTCGAGATGGCGTCGGAAGCAGCACTGGGGCAGGCACAACAACGCATCGGCGCTTTGGGGGGTGGTAGGTTTTGAGCGAGGTGGCCCGAGGTGGCCGTCGCGGCGGCGGCTGCGCGGTGACGTTGGCTGGGGCGGACGAAGCCGAGGATCCGCCTGGTCGGGGCCGGGGGCAGGCGAGGGGCGTGGGCGGATAAGAGCCCGACGACGTCGTCTAGAAGGTCTGCTGCTCGCTGCTGCGTCGCCCGCGGTGCGGCTATATACAACGCGATCGGAGCCAGGCAGACAGGGTGCGCGGGCTCCGTGCCACTGGCCCGGCGTTGGGGGCTGGAACTGGAACCCGGACGCACGCCCGGCGGTTGCCTGCTGACGGTTCGCATTATTGCTGCCTGCCTGCCCGCGGCTCTCGCAGCGCCCCCTGGCACCGCGCGGCGCACGAAAACGCTCTCAGCTGCATCGCCTCGACGGGCGTATAAATTTCGAGCCCAGGCAGGCCGCTGCCTGGCCCGCCAGCCGCAGGAAATAGCAACCCGCCCCCACCCTGGCCAACCCATTCTGTGCCGCCGTCTCGAGCCGCCTGAGCCTCACGACCACGCGCGCGCCACCACCGCCCGATCTTCACCGGTGAGGCCGTCGGGCGGGCACCGCGACGCTGTGCGAGCTGGCTGCTCCAGCGCCTGCTCCAGCGCCTGCTCCAGCGCCCGCTCCGTCAGCAGCGTGCCTGGCGGCATGGCGCATTTCTCAGCCCTGCGCACTGGCTTATCAGCGTCGTGTTATTCCGCTGCTGCCTAAACCAACGCAAGCCATCGACTAATCCGCACGCCTCCGCACTTCAAGCCCCTAGCCGCAACGGGTGCGCCCTTCACGATGCTCAACAACAGGATGCTGCGTTTGCTGCTTTCAGCTTAAGCGCTGCCTTCCTTTGCCCGCCGCCTAGATGAGCTGGCATCGCCACTGAGCTCAGCTGACCGCTCCATAACACTCCTCACAGACGCTCAACTCAATTGCAACTGCTCCTCCGCTGCTTACGGCCCACGAGAGAACCACCGCCTGGACCTGCTGTGCTGCCTTCTCCCGGACTGTTTCCCTGACACTGCCCTTTCCCGCTTTGTGGAGCTGCCCGCCCCGGTCCGGGTCCTGCTCTCGTGCCTTGAGCTCCGTGTCTTCAGCACTATTCTTGTCCGTCTGCGATGCGAGCGAGCCCGCCGTCCTCACAGCCATCCTCATCCTCCGCCGCCGCCGCCGCCTCCTGCGCCCTCCGAGTGACGCCGCAACATCACCAGCCTCGATGGGTGACGACTTCGCTGACACGGCCCTGCGATCCTGAGTCAGGAAGGCCCGAACGAGCCGGCAAACCACCTCACGCCCAATTATTGTTGCCAGTCGGCCGAAGCGTTGTTCCTCCAAAACGTGCGAGGCATGCGTGGCACCCGCCGACCAGATCCAAGTTTTTGTCTCCACACCGCACTCCTCACCGTTCTTAACTGCTGGCAACACGGAGCATTCGACGGCCCACGCCGACTTACTCCAGCTCTCGCATTCGTTTGCACGGGCGCCGTCTAAGCACGACTAATCATGAATGACAAAGCGACTTTCTAGCTCCACAATGAACGAACCACAGCAGCATTCAGGAGCTGAAATAATGCAATCCGGATAGTTGGTCCGGTCTGTTTGCTATACAGGACTGAGGTCCGTGCCTAGCTCGTGCAATGCTCTATTTTTGACCTCGTTCGACGTTGCCTCCATTTGGTCGCTATACCGAGCAATATGTCAATCTTCTCGTTCTGTCTCTCGGAACGACCGATGCAAAATAGTTTGTCTTCACAAATATCACCGGTAACGCGCTTGTTGCCTTCGTGTTCGCCTCGTAGCTGACCTACTTCGGCTTTATTCCCCGGCCGATACCTGCAGCTAGGTTTCATCATTGCTAGCCACACGAACTGGTGAAGCAAGATCTATTCGATTCACCAGACTTTCCATATGAAAAACATGTGAGAACACGGTTCGGGTTCCAACAAGCCTCGATCCTTCTGCTCCTGTAGCAGGGCGGTTGGCGCGGCAGTCGCGGCTACATTTTATGTTAATCAGAGGAACTGGGATCCTTCAACAGCGGGAAAATCGAGCATTCATCCTTGACACCATTCCTCCTGCCGAATCAATCGATCCTTCCATCTCCTGTCGCGGACATGCGCATGTCAGCAACGAAACCCGATCAGTACTGGTGATGGTCTTGGAGACTTGGACCCGGCGCCCCATTGGACCATCCGCCGTTTGAGATATGTTGCCTGAAAATCATAATAGAAGAATAATCTAAACGTTCCAGAACAGCCAGACAGGGTATGCATGCGGACATACCCGGACGATCGGCTGAGAGCAGTCCGCAAGGGAAACAAAAAGAAGAGGGAGCCTAGCCCAGCAGGCGGATGAGGAAGCTCGTCGTACAGTAATAATAGCAAGAAAGGCAAACCTTTAGCACTGGGGGAACGCAGGCAGCCCCGCAGCAAGCAGCAAAAAGCGCATTCGGCAATGGCTCGATGCAACCAGGCTTGACACATCTTGCGTTTGTTCACTCCTGATCTCATGCGGGCAGGACAGTGGATTATAGTTTGCCTTTTTTCCTTTTTGTCGGAACCTACTCCGGACGAACAATTGGCTCTCAACACAGGCAAACGCTGGGGCCAAATCCTTTCCGGGTCGGACAAAGGAAGGGAGGACGGGAGAAGGCCGGGGGGGCATAACCGGCGGTAGAACATCAACAAGGCGGGTGCGTGGGATGGATTCTGGGATCTTTGTGTGTCGTGGTAGCAAATGAATGTCTTACGGCAGCTCGCACGACTATAACATGAACAGCCACACAACATGCCAGCCAGTTGGATTATCAGGTCTCTAATTTCCTTTTGCGGATGACAAACACGGTAATGCGTTAATCTAACCGTCTTACCCATCACCAGAGGAGGCGCATAATCAGGAGAGACCACAAGGTTGTCAGAAGCAGGAGTGAGAGTGGCAGGGGAAAAAAAAACTAGGCAACGAGAACAGCATGCCGTCTGAGCCAACCACCTGACCAAGGGTCTGCACCACCCTTCCTATACCCAGGCGCGTGGCAGGTAACTGCAGTCTGAATGCCGTGTCCGGCATGATGCAGAATGGGCATCGTTTGGGAAGCTCAACAGTGATTGTCAGCCGATGTCTGGAGGAAGGAAGGGGGCAGATCGTGTGTCACAAAGCTCCAATCACGGTATTTCCCTTCTAACGATAGGCGAAGGATAGCGGGGTTTTTTGGGGTTAGGTGAGCGGGGAGAAGATGAGATGTGACCGTGGAGTGACGACATGGTTCAGAGTGTCTCATCAGCCTTGGGTGGCCTTCTGCCTGTCATGTCCATTCTGGCAAGGCAAACGGCTCGAAATAAGGCAAGAGGTGCGTGGTTGCAAGATGGCCGGTTAGGGCTACTGTGTTCACCCGGCACGGCGGAGTCGGAGTTCGAGTCCGATGGTGAAGCATTCTAGCAAGAAGACGGCTGTTCCCGTGGTGTAAGTGGCACCACGGCGCCCTGAGGCAGCCCGAGAAGTAGAGGGAGCAATGCAGTGAAACTGGATTAGAGCGGGTGACCGCACCACAGCCCCGTCATGGAGAGGATGGAAATTGGAAGCGTGCTGATGCTCGGCCGTCTCATTGGCAGGGCGTGGATAAGGCCCCTAGTAGACGGATGAGATAACATGTGGCTGGCGAGCAGCCAGACGCAACAGAAATAGCTTGGCTTAGATGGCACACTGCCATTCGCTGGGGACGAAAAGGGCATGCGCGAGGGCACGGCGAGGCTGGGGTTGTTTGCACGCTAGGATAGAAGTAAAAGCAGGCAAAACGGAGGATGGGCCGCGGACGGTTGACGGACGGAGATTTGGAGTCGAGGGCGCGGCGCAGGCGTTTGCCTTAAAACGCCAGCAGGCTCGGACGAATCGAAACAGCAGCAGGCGCAGCAAGAGACGGCGACCGTGGCAACGAAGGGAAGACGGGTCAGTGAGCACTGAGCAGGAGACAGTAAAGGCCAACAGTGAAACAGGCGCGCAAAAGCAAGGCGACGAATGCAAGCGAATGAACCTCGGGCCGCAGCGAGACAGAGCAGGCGATAAGCTGGCTCGGTCGACAGCGACGCAGGGAGCGACATGCTGACGATGGACTGCTGCATTCAGGCATAATCCGGGGCGCGTAAGTGCTGTGCTGGCCGGCTCTCGTGCCTATGCGCACGCGCTGCTGCCGGCACGCGTGGCTCGTCAGTCGCAATTCGCAAGGGCAACAAGGCAAACGCGGTGCAGACTGCAGAGCTTGGCGGGGCGTCAGTGCCGTGGCTCAAAGCAGGGAGAGATGCGAGGAGGCCGGAGCATCGCGGCGCAGGCGGAACGGCGAGCTCCTTTATAACGGGGCGTTGTATGCGGCATGCCCTGGTGGGTCGATGGAACTGTCGTACGAGAGGTCCCTTAGGTACGGAGTAGGTACGGGTTACTACTACGGCCGCCGGACACCTTTCGGGCAAGCCGGCCCTCAGGTCGTGCCTTCCACCACCGGCTCCTGCCCTTGCCCGTGCCGGCGCGTCGCTTCCTGAGCGCGCACGCGTCGAAGGATCAGTAGGCTCGTGTACGGTATTGCACACCTCCTTCGAGCACCCTCTCGTGCCTCTCGTGCCTCTCGTGCCTCTCTCTCCATCCCAGCCCTCGCACCGCGTCGGTCTGCCTTGCCGGACGTTCGGTGGGGATTTGCATCCTTTTCGGCCCCCAAGCTGCGCCTCTGCGATCTATGCGGCACAATCTGCTCGCAGTCTCCACAAGGCAGCCATCGTGAGCGCCGCAGCGGACACATGGGGTAATTGATAGCTCCGTCTGCCCAAGAGCCGTCGATTTTCAGAGTTTGACCCCCAGTTGGCCAACGCGATCGCACTGTTGTCTCACGCCGTGCCACCAACCCCAGGCCAGTCCCGCCGCCATGCGTCAGGCAGCAAAACAAGGCAACCGAACTCCTCTGGAAGATCCCACGCGAGGGCCGCATGACGGAGGCCGCCCTGCTCCCCAACACCTGGGACATGAGATCTGTATGCGCGTGGTTCTGTAAGCGAGAGCGGCACAGGCGCCGCCGCAATATCAATGGCGTTTGTCTCAACAGGGGAAAATGCCGACAAGTCAGTGGCGCTGCCCGACGGGCGGCCTCCAACAACCTCATCCAACCACCACATACCATCCACGATCGAATCGAAATGACACATCTCACCGCATGAACGGCCAGAAGAGACGGAGAAACCGACGCACTCTGTAAGACGGAGGACCACTCGGGGAAACAAACCGCATAGACAAAAAAACACTGTCGTTTGCAAAGCTCTCCCTCGATGCATGACAGCCAGGGAACGCTATAAAGTGAACATGCAAAGAGATAGATGAGGTGAGAGAGGCTTCTTTTCAATCAAGGTCAGTGCAGTGACGTCGCCAGACCTGTAGGGCTCGAGGTTGGTGCCGAAAACGTAAGTCATTGCCTGCCTCAGGCAAACACGGGCCTCAGGCTCGACCGCAGAAGGACCGAGATCCGTCGACTACACGTCTCCCCCATTCACATACCGAGAAGTCCGGATTCGCATAGCATGAGGCTCAAGGACGTACCTGCATATGGTCGAGACTTCTGCATGTGCCTTCCGTGTCTGTGATGAGTTCTGGATCGGTTAACCCCGGATGATCTGTTGACCGCGAAGTGAAAGCTCCGCACTTACTCCCTCAGCCTCAACTCGAACACTGGAACGTCCCTTAGCTAGTATAGGCCGACTCTCTTACTGGCAGTTGGCTGATTCGCTCATTCAAGGACGGTGTTGGCTGACTAGCGCTCGGCGGTAAACTATGCGCTGGTCGCTACCATGGATTTTCGATAGACGACGAGGCACGCACCGACGTCATCACGTGCGTGCCCCCTCAGCCTCCCATTCCTTTCTCAGCCGCCAGGAAACGAGCACCACTGAGAAGCCACCACCGAGAGGCTGGAAGAAGATGCCCGTGTCACAGCGTTCGACGGAGTGACCACCTCGTCACCGACTGCCCGGAAGGCAACGCGATGGTCGAACATCTTGGACAAGGTGAGATAAATTCCAATCTCATCGCATACGTAGTAGAGCTTGGTAAGCCAGATGATCAACGGTCCATTTTTACCCCTCACACGTCACCTAAAGGCGTTCGCTCAAGAATGGACTCCAGACGATCAAGTGTGGCTCACGCCACGTACCCACGACAGCGACGGCCTAGTCTCCGGGTGTATACTCGGCGCTTTGCATGGCCGGGTACTGTCGCCTCCATGTTATTCGCTCGAGCGGGGCAACTGCTTGCTGAAACGACCGCATGCGCAAGGCAGTTGGACCGAAACGAATGCCGCCAGCCTCCGCCGAGGAAAGGGGGCAACGGAGCGTGGGCATGCCGTCTTTATGTATTGCCACGTCGCTGAGACGAAAGGACTACGAAACACCGTTCGAGAGCGAGGAAGTGTCATCTACCAGCTCTGGGACGGTCATTCGAAGAGCACACCACCACCGCGCGACGCTGATGACGCCGGCGACACTTCCAGGCTATATGTGTTACACCGAGCACGGCACCACACGTCTGCATCTACCGGTCACACCACCATCAGGAAGGCCGTTTGCAAGCATGCCGCAGTATTCGCGTCGGAAATGAACGAATCAGGGACGGCTTTGCATGGATGCTGTCCAATCACGACGCGACTGTTAAAGCAGCGGTTTGCCGGGATCCCAAACGATCCCTGACAGAACACGGACGACAACACCGCAGCACTCGCTCGCGCAGATTGGTTTGCGCAAGCCCAGGCCTTCCAGCAGGGAGGCGGGTGTCACATTAGACTCGGATCAGCAGCTGGTCAGCCAATCACCACGCGCCCGCCTTCCTCTTGTGGCCTCCCGGCAGGGGGCTCCGGGCGGCCCCAGACGGCTGGAAAGCGGGGACGCGCGACCACAAATGCGGGGAAAGCCAGGCAGTGCTCCCTTTGGCCACTCATAGCAGTCCCTCGTGACAAGACCGGACAGGATATGCGTGTTGTGTGGTTCACGCCACTGCCACACTACCGTAACTAGACCGACTGGGTTGCTGGTTGGCTCCTCGGGCGATTCAGCTATGCTCCCATCCAATGTGGAGTCGCAGAAGTTAGGGTACGTACCTGCGACGGTAAGCTCGGGGCTGGCTGCTTTAGCCATCCTTATAAGAAGGAGAGAAGGGAGGGGAAGACCCAAGTGACACCTACCATATCCCCCCTCTTGCTGCCTTTGTCCTCTCTCCGCACTCTTCATCCTGTCTGCAAGAACAGGCATCCTCACCAGCCTTACCTGTGTTACACTACCCTCCAAGTACTTAGTACTTCCCACTTGAGTGGTTCACTTCACCCTCTTGTTCCTCTTAAGCCTGATCCGACCGTTCCACGGCAGCAGGCTCTCGTCGTCCTCACGACACTCTCCACTCAACACACAACAACAACACCATCCACCATGCGTTTCGCACTTCAGGCCTCTTCGGAGATGATGGCCCTTGGCCTCAACGCCACTGCCTTTGGTGTCGCCACCTACCTCCCGTGCCGCTACTTTGGCCCCATGATGTTCCCACGCCGGGCGGCAAGGGCTCAGGCTCGAGCTGAGCAGCGTGCTCTTCACACCAACGCTGCCTCGGTCGGTGCTGGTACCGCTGCTGTTGCCGGTGCTGCTGCCGGCAGCCAGATTGGTCGTGGCCAGCATGGCTGGATCGGAAGTGCCAGGGCCCTGTTCAGGCTCGGCACCAGGGGCCGTGGTGGCGGCAGCTGGAGGAGCTAAATGCACGTCGAGACTGCCTGCATCCTTGAGGTATGCTTCTGCCCTTCTCTTTCGTGTTACTTGACCCCGCTCATCCATGCCGCTTTATCGGACCTTCAAAGTGACAAGATGCTGACGTGGACATGATAGGAGACGGCGACGACGACGAGGAAGCTCGATGAGTTTGACGATATAACGAGACGAACAACGAGACGGAGAGACGGATGATCTGGTACTTTCGCCAGACTGTTGTGCCTCTCGCAGTCGTGGACCCAGGGAGGAATAAGCAGGATCAAGCCACCTGTGGGCCCCATCTTACTTCTTTCGCGACAACAGCCACTTTCCCGACACCCACTCCTTTTGCCACACTTATGAATCCTGTTGTCGGCGTTTGACGTAACCCGTTTTTCGTCATTGGCCTTGATTTTCTTTCTGTATTTGAGCGGCGTTTGTGTAGCAGCATCGACAGCATCGTCCGATGGAATTTCATATCATATCCACTGCATAACTTCTTTCGCGTGCCTCTATCATACTTAGAGTAGATGAGCGTGTTTCCGTGTACACGGATAGAGAAGGCTTTGGCACAGATTAACAGTATTCGCTCATTTCGTTTCACCAACTTACCTAGTGTAACTGAACACAATACCAAACACTCCAACCAAGCCGTGTGACAGTGTTGCCGTGTCGCTCAAGGGCGACGGTACATCCTCCCTTTATGAGCACGCTCTTTTTCGCCCGCGTCTCCGATTCTTCCCGAGGTAACAGTGAGAAAGGGTACCCTCGTTCCCCAGGTCCGCAGCTCCGGTCGCACGGTAACAAGCCCCCAATCGGTTTGGCCCCTCCCCCACACTCAACAAAAGACCACGCCGGATGAAAATGACCCATAGCAGTCCTTTGCGTGAGCAGCTGAAGCAAATATCCCGACGTAGATAATTCAAACAACCTTCCCTCATCGATAGTCGAAGCAGAAACCCGGATGCAGACTTGAGATTGAAACTGTGCATACAAACGCATCTGTACGGACGTATGTGCTTGGGATTTTTACTCCCACGTGAGGTAGATCCAGTGGATCAGTTTCTTTCATAGCCTATCCACTGTGCTGCTTTGCTTTTTGCCCGTGATCCCCGACACAGAAACGAGTAGACGAGTCGCACGAGTGGTTGGAAAGAAGAAGAGAGGAGAGAAAAAAAAAGGCGCATAACCTGTGTACCGCGAAACCCCCACCGTCCCTTAAACCAACTAACCCCCGCCCTCCCCCATCCATCTCCGAACCATTCAGAAAAAAAAAAGAAAAAAAGACTGCCTGTCCACTGAACCAACCAAAAACCGAGCCGAGGAGTCACATCGAACTGGTCACCTAAAAAAAAAAAGAAGACCCGCGGCGATCCATCCCGGCCAGGCAGCACAAAAAGAACCGGTCAGAACCAAGGTAAGCCGACCACACACTCACACACACACCCCCCCACCCCCCCGCCTCGACCAAAGAAATAATAGAAAAGACTGCGCAAAAGAACTCAAATGTCAACGTTTCCATACACCATCGCCTTACCCTGTGCGCACGCAGCAGTTCGCCATCACAAATCTACCATTGAACGAAAAAAACAAAACATCCCTCCTCTTTTCTTTTTTTCGTCTTCCTAGCATAACGATGACAACAGTCTATGCAACCAAGCCTAGCCAACAAAAAAAGGAGCAAAAAAAATATTGTGCCCTACGGAGCGAGACAACTGTACAACATCCCCCCCCCCCCCCCCCTTTCCATGTACACGAGATAAAAAGACCCGCCCCCTTCTCACCAACAAACCCCCCCGCGTAAACCCCCCGGCGTAAACCCCCCGCTCAAACCGCATCCCCATCCTCACCGCCGCCGCCACCACCGCCCACAACGCTATCACGACGACCAACACCAACCCCCGCCGCCACCTCCTCCGCCGACTTCTCCTCCAACCCGACGCCCGGGCGCACAAACCACGCCGCCACAAACGCGACCCCAAACACGCCCGCCAGACACACAAAGACCAGCTGCGTGAAGCGCCCGACCGTGGCCGCGTAGATGGCGTTGAAGGCCGTGGGCGCCACGACGCGGGCGAGGGCGTGCAGCAGGCCCATGGCGCCGAGCAGCTGGCCGGTGCGGTCGGCGGGCACGTGCTTGGTGAGGGAGCTCTGCAGCGTGGGCGAGCCCATGCCGCCGGCGGCGGCGAGCGCGCCGGCGGCCATGAAGGGCGCGCCCGAGGTCGCGAGCGCGTAGCCGAGGTAGCCGAGCGTGTCGAGCGCGATGGCGAGGCGGATGAGGGCGAGGTCGAAGGGCTCGGCGCCGAGGGGGGTGGGGGTGGTGGTGGTGGGTTGGTTTGGTTTTGCGGGGGTGGCGGTGTTGCTGCGCGTGTTGCTGCGGCGGCGGGAGCCCTTGTAGAGGCGGGTGATGATGGGGAGGAGGACGAGCAGGCAGAAGACGCGGCTGCCGCTGACGAGCGAGACGAGCCGGCTGGTTTCGACCGTCGTCCAGCCGAACTGGTAGTTGGTGTAGATGATGACGACCGTCATGGCGCCCATGTGGACGCCGAAGACGGTCGTGTCGACGCCGGCCAGCATCAGCAGGTTGCGGCGCACCGCCGGGCTGCTGCCCTCGCCCGTGGGGTACAGGATCTTGAGCGGCTCGAGGAGGTTGAGGTGCCGGATGCGGTTGATCCAGTCGGCCGAGGGCGCGCGGGCGGCGCGCTCGAGCGCGTGCTTCTCCCGCGCCGCCAGCTGGCGGTCCTTGGTGAGGGACTCGGGGATCACCAGGCCGGCGAACAGGATGAAGACGACGTGCACTCCGGCGGCGATGTAGAAGATGGACACGATCGAGCCGAGGGCCTCGATGATGTAGGCCGACAGGATGGGGCCGAGGGCGATGCCGGTGAAGAGCGCGGCGTGGAAGTATCCAAAGACGACGTTGCGCCTGTCGATGGGGATGCAGTCGGTGGCATACGAATTGGCGATGGCCATGGCGGCAATGAAGGACCCAAACAACCCCTCGACGCCGTAAGCCACGAGGATCCAGCCCACCGAGATGGTATCAGGGTAGGACGCTGCGCACAAGACAATCACCTCACCAATCAGCATTCCGATACTTGTAATGATGATGATACGCAGACGGCCATATCGGTCCGAGAGCGCTCCCAGCTTCGGGGAAGTGATGGCACAGAGGATGCCGCCGAGCAGGTTACCCATCAGGGTGAATTCCGCAACATATGACGAAACCTCGGCGCTGCGGCACTCCGGGTTCTCGCCGCCAAAGACGACCGGGAGAAAGGTAAAGTCCGGGTCCTGCAAGGCCTTGTCGGAGAAGTACTCCCGGCAGAGCAGCGTAATGATGAGGTTCATCTTGGGTACGAGAATGCCAGCATTCGCGATTGCCGTCAAGAAGAACATGGGCAGCATCCAGTAGATCTGACAAGCGTTAGTACTCGTTCCGGAACAGCTGGCACGCGCAAGCTACTGACCGATGGCCGCTTATACCATGGAAGAGCAGAGAAGTCGTCGTACGCGGAGAGACTGCTGGTTGCGCTGCTCCTCCTACCGCCATCGCCGTCGTCACCGAGCAGAGGAGTCTCCTCCACGCTTCGATACCGGAGACCGGAGTCCACCCCTCCCACCTCGACCAGCATCCGGTCTTCTCCAGCATGCTCCCTGTCCACTTTCCTTATCGGACCAGCCTGTACAGCCCCGTTGTCGGGCGCATAGACGGCGTTGTTCTCCATGAGCGCAGGACGTTGGTCGTGCCTTGGATGTTCGAACGAGGGTTGCAAAAGCTGCCGCGCGGAAGCTCCTTGAGGGCTGCGCAGGGGGAGGGCAGCAAGGCGGCAGCTGAGCTGGGGAGTGACGGAGAACACAGGTGGCGCGTCGGATGTGGGCGGGCGTCTCAAATAAGCGCAGCCATGTCTCTGTTTCGGCTATCTGGTATGGGAGCGGCAGGGCCAGACGCGCAAAGATTGGCGGACTGGGGGAAAAGTGGTGCAGTGGTGCTCGAATGGTGCGCGATGGGTCCGGGTGGAGCTGGGTTTTGGTCCGCACTGAGAAGCTCAAACTCTCACGAGTGGGCGCGGCGCTAGGGGGGGACGAATGAGTGCTGACGCGGTAGCGGGTCGGGAAGTATGGGGAGCGGGAAGGGCTGTATCATGATTCCCAGTCCGCACGGCGGCGATGTATGACGCCGAGGCGATTGCTGGATTGATAATGCGACTGGAGTCGGCAGGCTGTTCTCCGACGGGCTGGCGCGTGAGTTGGCATTGACCCCCGAGTCGTGACGTCGATGCCTTCCGCGGCCTAGCCCCAAACGCTACATGCTGTTGGTCGGCGCTGACAGCTGCTCCGCCCACGACGCCCACAACGCCCGCTCCACCCCAGCTTCGTGCCAGCAAAGCGGCCCCGCTGCACCGCAAATCTACATTCCAAAAAGTCTCGACTGCCGAAGACCGTTGCTCGTTCAACCGAGATGCGAGTCTGTCAAAAAATCGCCATGATCTTCTTCTGTTGGGAGTGCAGTGCGATCCGACCGTGCTCCGGACTGGCATTCGGCTCCACCCGTTGGCAATAGCTTCCATCTTCTGGTTGGGTGCTCTGATTCGCTGGTGCACCGCCTACAGCCAACGCGATGCCACATGCCGCGGCGTGGACGCCGTTGGCTTGCCCATCATTGTCTGGCTTCGGACGCTGCGGACCCAAGTCTCTGACAAGGCTCGTACTGTGTACGCCTGTGGAGTCTGACGCTCCTGCACGCCTATTTTGAGTAGCTGAACCCCTTCGAGTGTTATTGTTACAAAGAACGCCATGCCAGGTTCGACGCCCTAGGTATTGTCCCGGCCCCGACCACACAATCCCACCTATTTTGCCATGATATCAGAACAAAACTGAACGTGAACGCGCGTACATGCGTCTATAACCTCTCCTGCATGCTCGCAAAGAAGCGCTTGCTCTCGGCGCAGCGCTCGCTGGTACAGTCAGGGCATCTCAGCCCCATCTGCTGACTGCACGCCTGGCCGCTTTCCAGGTGCGTCTTGGCAAGGTCTGCCAGAGCCTTGATGAACACCGGCGAGCCGTTTAAGCTCTCCGCCCTCTTGACATTACCGCCCTCCTCGGTTGCGTCGTGGATGATTTCCTTGTCCAACTCGAAAAGCGTCTCGATATGGTCCGAGGTGAATGCAATTGGCACCAGCAGCATATCCTTCTGTCCCTTCTTGATGTAGTTCGAGACAGTGTCTGACGTCTGGGCGCCCAGCCATGCTGACGGTCCGACCTGAGACTGCCATACGAGACGATAAGAGTTCTTCATTCCAAGTCGCTGCATGACGGCATACACGGTTGCAGCGACTTCGGCGGGGTATGGGTCGCCTGTGGATTTGAACATTAGCAACGTGCGCAGTCTCCTCAGTGCTGTGGCAGCAACTCACCCCTGTTGACGACGCTCATCGGCAAGCTGTGCGCCGAGAAGAGGATGATGACCTGGTCCCTGATCTCCTCTGGGAACTCCTTCAATCCGGCTTCAATGTTCTGAGCGAATGCCTCCACAAGGCCCGGGTGCACCGGCCAGCGATCAATGACACTCCATGTGATCGAACCAGCAGGCTCGTTCCCGCTCTCGCCAGCTCTCTTGCCTTCCAGTCTACTCCGCCACTTCCATAGCTCGTTCAGCGACGAACCAGTGGTGCTGCACGAGTACTGCGGGTACTGGGTAAAAGCAACAGCACGGCCACCCCGGCCCTTTCCGAACCCGTCTTCAAACAGCCGGTTGTACATCTCCTCGGTCAAGGGATCGGCGTAGCGAAAGGCGACGTATGGTTTATGCGGAGCAGTGGCCGGGGATGTCTTGTCCAGGATCTTGCACATCTCCGCGGCCTGGTACTCGGACCACTTGCGAATGGGAGAGCCTCCGCCAATCTCAGCGTACTGCTTCTGGATCTTGGGGGTGCGGCGCTTCGAAATGAAGGGTCCGAGGTAGTTTTGCAGGCGGCCGAGGGGGATGAGGTCACCGTCGGACTGGATGAAGGCATGTCGTCAGTAGAGCTCAATTGGCGCGCCCACCGGCTGCATACGGAAAACATACGAATAATCTGCTAAGGAAGTCTCCAACTTCGTCGGTAGTGGAGGGGCCGCCCATGTTCATGAAGACCATGGCCGTGGGGCCCTTGGAGCTCGTTGCATCCTGAGTGACGGGCGGCACGGTCGCGAGGTTCCTCTGTGACGCTGCGACATCCTGCTGGGGTCGCTGCCAGAGCGAAGAGGTCGGCGTGGCGGTGAACTTGGAGATGTGGGCGGGCGACGCGCGCTTCGAGAGGCGTGCGACGGGGGCGCGGAGCGACATGGTAGGCAGTGATGGGGACAGTCAAGGCGTGAAAAAGCGATTGCTACCTCTGCATGATCTGGACAGGTGGCGGTCGGTGGTGGGCGAGGTGTGTTGGCTGATCAAGAGAGGTGGTCTCGTCTCGAGCTGAGCTGATGGGAGCTCCCGTCGGCCTTCTCGATCGTCATGACGGCTGCTGGCGGGCCGCTAATCGGCGCCACTCAGCGTCGCCGCATTACATTGTGAGGGCTGCTCTGCGAGCTCTTGGCAGCACGTGTTCGCGCGGACGGCCGACTGGGCTTAGACGGGCGCCCGCCCACCCTCGTGTCCAAATACGGCTCGTTGCCAAAGACAGTCGGCGCGTGGATTGTTTGACGTCGCGGAATATATAAACCTCAAAAGCTCGCTCGGCGTCGCACAAGGGACGTCCGGAGATCGACAAACGCCGGAGATCTCATGTCTTGGCTACGCAACCGCTTCTCCAAGGCTCATCGCAGCCGCAAGGAGTCGTCGTCGTCGTCGTCGCATCAGATCCAGCTCAGGGGTAACGTCCCAGCAGACCCTTTGCTTGCGCCGCCGCTGATGCTCGAGGGCGAAAAGGGCCGGAGAAGCAGGAGCCCGGTAGCCCGACGCCCGCCAACGAGACGTTATTCCAGGGCTTCGAGTGGCACACGCCAGGCGGCCACTGGACCCGCCTATCTGCAACGCTGCAGACTTATGCCGATCTGGGCATAACCTCAATATGGCTGCCGCCCGGCTGCAAAGCAAACCAGCCCGACGGTAACGGCTACGATTGTTACGACCTCTGGGACCTCGGCGAGTTCGACCAGAAGGGCGCCAGGTCCACGAAATGGGGTTCGCGCGAGGAGCTGCGCCATCTCATGGACAAGGCCAAGGACCTGGGCATCGGCGTCATCTGGGATGCCGTTCTCAGCCACAAAACGGCCGGCGACAGCACCGAGGAGTGCTGGGCGGTTGAGGTTGACCCCGAAGGTATGTCGGTTTTTTTTCTTTTCTTTTTTCGTCTCTCTTTCCCTGGCCATGAGCGGCCAAGTCATGCATTTCTGTTGTCTATTTCGTATCGCGTTCATCGCGACTGACACTTCTTCCAGACCGAAGAATCGAGACGACCAAGCCCAAAAAAATCGAGCCATGGATCCACTACTCATTCCCGGGACGAGGCGACAAGTACAGCAGCATGAAATGGCACTGGCAGCAGTTCAACGGCACCGACTGGGACCAGCGGGCGGAGCGGCACGCAATCTTCAAGATCATCGACCCGCCTGACGCCAAAGGCAAGCGCCCGCCGAAGGGGCATCGCAAGGACTGGGCGCCCGACGTCGACGACGAGCTGGGCAACTACGACTACCTGATGTTCACCAACATCGACTACTCCAACGCCGAGGCGCGGCGCGACGTGCTGGACTGGGGCGCGTGGATGGTGTCGCCCGAGGTCGGCGTGGCCGGCTTCCGCCTCGACGCCTTCAAGCACGTGTCCTGGCACTTCGCGCGCGACTGGACCGCGCACGTCAAGGCCGCCGCCACGGACAAGGACGTCTTCGTCGTCGGCGAGTACTGGTCGGGCAACGTGCAGACGCTGATCAAATGGGTCGACCGCGTCGGGCCCGGCGCCCACGCCTACGACGCGCCGCTGCTCAACAACCTCTCGGCGCTCTCCCTCGCGGCCAGCAGGCGGCCCTCGTCGCTCACCCCGCCGCCCGTCATCGACATGCGCCACCAGCTGTTCCGCGACGCGCTCGTCAGCGCGCGCCCGCGCAACGCCGTCACCATGGTCACGTCGCACGACACGTGGCAGGGCCAGATGCTGGAGACGCCCGTCGCGCCGTGGTTCAAGCCGCTCGCCTACGCCCTCGTCCTGCTGCGCCGCGACGGCCTGCCCTGCGTCTTCTACGGCGACCTGCACGGCGTGCGCGGGCCCTTCGCCGCCCCGCCCTCGTGCGCCGGGAAGCTGCCGCTCCTGATGCTGCTGCGCCGCTGCGCCGCGTATGGCGTGCAGACGGACTACTTCGACGCGAGGACCAGCGCCGGCTGGGTGCGGCACGGGACGTGGGATCGGCCGGACGGCTGCGTCGTGGTCATGAGCGTGGCGGGGGCGGCGAAGAAGGGCATGTATGTGGGCAAGTGGGCGGCGGGGCAGACGTTTGTGGATGTGTTTGGGAAAGTCGAGGAGAAGGTGGTGTTGGATGAGAGGGGGTGCGGGACGTTTGGATGCGCCCCGAGGAGTGTGAGTGTGTGGGTGAGAGAAGGGAGTCTGCCGAAGGAGCTGTGGGAGGGAGCGGCCCGGCCAGAGAAATACAAGTTATAGAACTTTGGCGTACATGTGGAATCGGGGGAGATTGATTGGACCGTAAATACTAGCTAGATTCCTTGTAATCACGAAATGGTACTACCTTACGCATGAAGCCAGTCGTCCGGTCCGAGTCCAATCACATGTCAAGCACGCTGCTGGGAAACGAGTCAGCCGCATGAGATGGAGCCACAAAACGGTCGGCACCCTCATCATATGTATGTATACTGACGATTCCAAACTACCGAAATCAATGGCAGAATATACCAGTATATCGCAATCGAAAAGCCCTTCAGCAAATATTTACGAGAAGAAGAGACGTGCTTTACGCCCGAGAATAAACTCCGAATATCCAGCTGGCGCGTAGCACAGCGAGTCCCCAAGCCATGCCTAAGCTGTCCCAAACAACGTTTAGCTTACTACCTATGACTTCCTTCCAGCCGACGGCGACTTCAGCCATGGGGATGCTCGCACTCTCCGCGAGCATGAGCATTTCGACGTCGAAGATCCAGCCCTCGCTGTGCATGTACGGTATGATATAAGGCAGAGCAGCACGCGAAAATAGCTTGAAACCGCACTGTGTGTCCTTGATCCTGGACGTCGCGGGCGGCGTCATGACCCAAAGCAGCAGATGGAAAGAGTGCATGAGGAAATTGCGTAGTCTCGAGCGCTGTGTCCGCAGTAGTCAGCATGTGAGCAATTGGGCTTTTTTTTTTTTCTTTCTCGCGCGTCTTCTTCTTACCTTGACAACCGCCTCGCTTCCCACCAAGTGTGATCGGGAGCCGATGCCCACGCCCCGTCCCAGCGAATCCTCGATCTCCTGGCACCCGGCCACGAGCTTCTTGAGATCCGTAATTTCGCTCGCCCCGTCGGCGTCGGCGAACACGACGTACTGGCCCCGCACGTGGCGCATGCCGTGAGTGACTGCGCCTCCCTTGCCTCTGTTCTGCTCCAGCCTGATCACTCTGATGGAGCCGTGAGGGATATGCGTGGGGCCGGGCTTGGCCTTCCACGGGCCAGGCACGGGGGTCGGGTACTGCGAGAGCTGGTGGTCGCGGGCGAAGTTGAGCGCGTACTCCTCCGTGTGGTCCGAGGAGCCGTCCGACACTATGAGAATCTCCCAGCCGGAGCCGACGCGGCGCGCAGCGGGAGTCGAGGCCTCCGCCGCTGCCGCCGCCGCCGCCGTGGTAGCATCGCCACCGGCACCGTTCAGCGACATGGCCGTGACGGATGGCGAACGCGCCTCGACCTCGGCGCCGTGAGCGTCACCGTATTCGCGCTGCAAGAACTCGACAGCCTCTTCCAGCATGCCGCCCAGTCGCTGCTCCTCGTTGTACGCCGGGACCACGACCGACATGAAGACCTCAGGTTCGTCGATCTTGTGGGCCTCTTCGGCGGATGCGCCCTGGCGCTTGGCCAGCTTGTTGCGCGCGGCCCATTGGTCCAGCCAGCAGGGCAGCTGCTTGGGGTCGCTGATGGTGCCGTCCGGGAGGATGGTGCGGTATGTCTTCTCGGCGGGCAAGGGCAGGCGGGGCGTGGGGGCGACGATGAGAAGGAAGGTGTAAAACTGCGGCGGGCCAGGGGCGTGGTGTCAGTGGAATCGGCATGGAGAGATGGGGGAGATGGAATGCGCGCTTACAAGACCGGCGAAGCCCACGACGGTGGTGAAGATCAGGATCAGGATGAAGGAGATTGGGGCATGCTGGACATGCAGGAACAGGTCTTGGAACTCGTCGCCCAGCGAACTCAGCTCGGCGCTGAGAGACTCGAGGAGGGCAGTCATGGTGTGGACAGTACAGGGAGCACTGGGCGGGCGTGCTGAGGGCCCATTGATCGGCGGCGCGGGTTGTTCAGGGAAAGCAAAGCGAGCGGACTAGGGAATTGGGACCCAAACTCGAGCGGCAACAGGACCAGAAGTGCAGGCCGTCTCGCTGGACAGCGCGAAGCTAGAGGACGCAGTCGTGGGCGTGTCAATAGTCAATTGCGCGTCTAGTGACGACGTTGCATTCACAGGCCGGTGGTCCCTGCATGATGGACGCGCCCCGGCCCTGACTCGCTCCAACTGCCCGCTGCCGCAGAGCCTCGCAAGCCTCGTTCTCCGCACTCCCCACGCCTCAACACCATCGTCTGTCGGTCCGACTGTGTCGTAACTCTATCGCCGACCGCGCGTACTGCCCGTGTCCAGCACCAGAAGTGCACCGCCACGCTGACGGAGCCGACACGCCTCGACACGCCTCGACACGCGACCGGCGCTCCAAAACCACGGGACCTCGCTCTGCAATCACGGTCGACACTTGACATTCTCTGCCGTCGTCACATGCTGTCTCTCTCAAACTCATTCTTCCCCCCTTCAAGATGGAATCACCGCTGCTACTGAAAGCTGCGGCAGCGGAGCCAACTCCCCGTGCGACAAGATGCCATGGCAAAACACTTCCTTGTGCGCTCCACTGCCACTTTGATTTTCCCTGCAGAAGAATGGTGGCTTTGATCGTCTGTGATAGAGACGGATTTGGTGTTTGCCTCGCTGCGCGTTGGCCCGTCGCCGTTGGTGACACCACGTCTGTTTCTAATTCAGGAACCCCGAGTCGTCGCATCCGAGAAGTCATGGCTCACCTCCCACGGACACGGCCGGGGTACGACGTGCATATTGCCTCTGATTAGGGCTGTAGCTGCGTCTCGTATTCTCTGTCGCATCTCTTGCTGGCCGCTGGCTCGCTGACAGTTTCAGAAGGTCCAAGCTGAGTGTGGCTGTGGCCCTGCACATCACCGCTCTGGAGGCAAAATTTCGCCCCCCTTACCGGCCACCCACATGCGCGCAATCCTGCCGTTTTCAAGAATGTGCGGCAGGCAAGAAAAAGAAACATGATGCGGCCCGTTACCGCTACCCGCCATTTCCGCGGGCATGCCATGTAAGGTTGTGCGCGTGCTCGGTGGCGGAGTCAGCATCTGCCAGGGTCACCACATGTCTCCCGTCCAAGATGCATTCACCCCTCTGCTCGCCAGCATTGGGTCCTCAGCCCACATCCATGTCCGGCAGCCGCTGGTGCTGACGACCAAGTCCACCCCAGCCCGGTTGCCTGATGCCACTCCTGGCCTTTCATCAGTCGCCTTGGCGCTTCCCTCAGAAAGCTTGGAAAAGAAGGCAACCACGGGGACGCCGATCAAGCGGCACCGTGGCTTGCTCTCGAAACGGCCTGCCGGACCTGTGTCCGCTCGAATCGAGCTCACCGGTCGAAGACGGGGGAAGTACACATTGGCAGCACCAAATCCTCATCCAATCTGGAATGAGGCAGCGGACTGAAAGACGTCACAGCTGACAGGCCAACTGGACGGCACAGCTACCCGCCCCTCAGCTATCATCCAAGAACGCCCTTTTCTGTGCCTCCGACCTTTCCCATAACAGGCCGGGGTGCAGGATATGATGCACAGAAAGGTTGTTGCCTGCTGACTTTCGTCTGTGCGTCGATGCTCCGCATCGGCCGTGCAGCTACCGAGGTCCTACCACTCCTCGGTGGATCCAGATGTCAGCTTGATGGATCCGGCTCGAGCTGCACTTGGCCTTTCCCGGCTCCCTGCCTGCTGCAGACTACGGGAAAGGCCCGTTGCCTGAAAGTCGTGCGTGGGCCCTTTGTGCCCAATGCCTCGGATGCCTGTCTCGCACATACCGACCTGGGATGACGTGTGACCTCTCCAGTTGCCTTGTGAAGGGGGTAGGGCACGAGGATATTACATGTTGGCTCGATTAATCATGATGATAGTCATCGAGTATCGATACAGTCTCTTTGCTTCTTTGGGAGTGTGGTGAGAGGGGCTTGCGATTGGACCTTTGGCAGTAGCTTGGACAGCTGACCCAAGGCCTTTGACCACAGGATCACCGCGAGGAAGGTGGGTTGCTACATCTGCCGTCCAGGGGAATGAAGCATATCCATACGAAGAACACGGTGCCTGTAGTGCCTCGCAAGAGGGAGGGGGAGGAGCATTCGTGGAAGACTTGCAGCTTCTCCTCACTTCAAACGCCTCTCAAGAGTCCTTTACCAGGCCGTTCTCACGGGAAAGACAACAGCTTCCCATTGACCCGCAACTGAATAGACACTGGATGATGCTAACCAGCTCAGAAGCGCTCTTCCCGCCAATCCAGGCACATGCTTCTAGTAAGTGCTCGATCTGAGGCGACCTGGACAAGCACGCCGGACCTGTATGTTGTTGCCTGGAGTTTTCTTCTTCCTCCGGCGTGCTCCGGTGCTCTGTTCCCGGAAGCGACGGGCTGTGCCGCATTCACGGGCTGCTCGATCCGCAGTTCGCCGTACTCCACACGGCACGCGGGATTCGCTTACGGCGACGGCATCTGATTGGTGCGGGATAGACACCGGTTATCCCCGCGTTTGGGTTGAGATAAGCTTTGCCTCGACACCTGCAGCGTATGAGTCGAGTCTTGTTTGTAAACCATCGAGTCGAAACAATCACCGTTTCCATGAAGAGGATTGAATCTGATGTGTGGTCGATCTCTGTACTCACTCGGCCAATGAATGACCCGCGGTCACACACGCTGCCACAAGTACATCTCCCTCGGAACAAATGCCGTGAGCATTCGCTCCCCGTTGCAGCTCCACCTTCTGCCGTTGATATACCCGAATCTTTGCCACGCGGACATCGCCGCGGGGTTGTCATTATCCGCGTCTGCAGCGGACGATGTTAAAATCAAGAAGTGGGAACAAAAGGCGGGTGTCGAATCTGTAAACACGCCGTCTCTGATAACACATCTTTTTTGAAAATTGCTGAATTCGGCAAAGGCAGTCCCCGGCACGACCATTAATCCGGTACAATCACCATCCGCCACCAGAAAGATAAACAAAGAAAGAAAAAAAAAAAGGACACGAAGAAGACGAAGGAAAGGAACCCTCCTCAACCATGGGCTCCCTCACCGACATCATGAACACCGACGACTCCACCCCCCCGACAACCATCCCCAACGACAAGGAGGACGACAACAACAACAACAACAACAACAACAACAGCAACACCATGAACCCCCACCACCACCAACCCTCCTCACTCCCCTCCTCACCCCCCACCTGGCCCACCACCTCCACCACAACCCTCACCCAGATCCGCACCGGCAAGGTCCGCACCGTCCCGGGAACCTCCATCCCCTCTGCCATCGCCAAGCGGCCCCACCGGCGACCCACCCCCGTCCGCGTCTCGGCGCTCGGCCTCGCCGGCGACGAGCAGGCCTTCCACAAGCACGGCGGGCCCGACAAGGCCGTCCTGCAGTACTGCCCCGCGCACTACCGCGCCTGGCGCGCCGAGCTCGCCGGGAAGCTTCTGCGTGGGAATGGGAATGAGGATGAGGGTGAGGATGAGAGTGATGAACACGCGTCGGCGCTGGCGCTGTTCCGGCCTGGCGGGTTTGGCGAGAATTTCGTTGCGGAGGAGGGGGATGGGATGGATGAGGGGAGCGTTTGCGTGGGGGATGTGGTGGAGGTGGGTGGGGGATCGGAGGGAGGAGGGGGAGAGGGAAGGGAAGGAGGAGGAGGAAGGGGAGGAAATGGGGCGACGCAGACGCTGCTGCTGCAGGTCAGCCTCCCCCGCGCGCCGTGCTACAAGCTCAACCACCGGTTCCGGGTCGACGGCATGGCGCGGCTGGCGCAGGAGACGGGGCGCACCGGCTGGTATTACCGCGTGCTGCGCGAGGGCGAGGTGAGGGTCGGGGACCGGATGAGGCTGGTGGAGCGGCCGTGTCCGCGGTGGAGCGTGAGGCGGGTGCAGGAGATTCTGCATGCGGACAAGAAGAACGAGGGCGCGGTGAGGGAGCTGGCCGGGCTGGAGGAGCTGGGGGAGGAGTTCAGGGCGTTGTTCAGGAATCGGTTGAGGAAGGGGTTTGGGGACATGGGGGCCGAGAACGAGGAGGGGAGGCTGTGGGGGAGTGAGAAGGAGCGGCTGGAGGTGTGGAGGAGGTTCAGGGTCACGGCGAAGCGGAGGGAGACGGCGGCGGTGGCGTCGTTTGTGTTCGAGGCGCTGGAGCCCGCAGAGGGGGAGGAGCCGCCGCCGCCGCCGCCGCCGCCCCGGATGGTGAAGCCCGGGTCGCACGTCCGGATCAAGCTGCGGGAGCTCGTCCGCTCGTACTCGGTCGTGGGCGGGACCAGCGACTGCCTGGAGATCGGCGTCGCGCTCGACGACAGCAGCCGCGGCGGCTCGCGATACCTGCACGACCGCGTCTCCGTCGGCGACTGCCTCGAGCTCAGCGGCGTCAACGAGAGCTTCCCGCTCCACGCGCAGGCGCAGAAGCACGTCCTGATCGCCGGCGGCATCGGCATCACCGCCTTCATCCCCGCCGCCCGCACGCTGGCGTCGCAGTGCATCCCGTGGGAGCTCCACCTCTGCGTCCGCTCCGAAGACGACGTCCCGTTCCGCCGGTACCTGGAGCCGCTCGGAAAACACCTCGTCGTCTACAGCAAGGCCGACGACAACCGCTTGAACGTCAGGAAGCTCGTCGCTTCCCAGACGGCTGGCACGCATGTTTACTGCTGCGGGCCGGAGCGGATGATGGACGCCGTGACGGAGGCGGCCGAGAGCCTGAATTTCCCAAAGGAAAACGTACACTTCGAGGCCTTCACTGCGAATCTGACCGGCGACCCTTTTTCGGTGGGCTTGACCAAGAGCGGGAGGTGCTTGGATGTCCCGGCAAACGACACGTTGCTGGATGTGCTGCGGGAGTCCGGATTCGACGTGCCGTCGAGCTGCGAGGTGGGGAACTGTGCGACGTGTGTAGTGAAGCTGGTTAGCGGGAGGGTGGACCACAGGGGCACTGCGTTGCAGGAAGACGAAAAGCGCGGAAACATGCTCTCCTGCGTTTCGAGGGGAGTGGCAAAGATTGAAATCGAGCTGTAGTAGAGATGGGTTCTGGATCGATATTTCGGTTTAATCAAATAGACCTACTCAGTAGACTATCTTCACAACCTCATTTCTATTCTAGTCATGGCAGTTCCAGGGAAACTTGACGTGGCTTACAAAGGCAAATAATAAGACGTTGAGGACGTTGTTGGGAGGCTTTATAGACGGCAGAAGAGTGTTCGAACAACATATCAGAAGAATCCTCTGGTAGCTGGCATTGAAACGGTTTATTGAGCTGTAATTGAATCTAATCTATCTAACTTCCGATGTCTTGCGTTCTCGTCGATCTCATAGGCCCCCCAGCTGCACTAAATCACTGCATGTCTGACAGTGGCGAGAGTTACCAAAAGGCGGAGAAGATGGTGTGCTGTATCCCTCGGTTCTGTCTCTCTCACGAAGCCTCATGTTGCCTACACTTTCGGGTTCCTCTTCTGTCAGCGCAGAGAAGATCAATCTACTGCTCAGTTTCTGGATTATGGGCGCTTTTCTTCCAGAGCTACATGTCCGGATACCATCTCAAGTTGGGTGTCAAGCTGCAAAAGCCTTCGTGGAGAGCCAAAACTTTCTCAACCCCCTCCAGGGACGTCATGCAAGAGCTTCTCTCGCGTATGTCAGCGAGGCCTGCTACCGGAGAGTGCAAGCGCGCCGACAGACGGACGATTCCGGCACGTTGGTGTGGGTAAGCGACCCGTCCATCGATGGCCTTGTATCCAAAGGTGAATGTTGTGATGCCGAAGGAGTTGCTCAGTCTTCAACTTTGGCCCGAGGGCGTCAGATTCGGCCATGCATGATATGGCTAGAGAGGGCAGCCTTTGTATCCCATTAGACAGACCCACCAAACACTGATGAATCAACTCCTGGTCGTCAGTCAAACCAGGAGCCCGACCACGGCCTCGGGCGTGATATGCTATGAACTTCCCTCCGCACACATTGATACTTCGGAGTGAAGGATTCAGACGGCGTGATGAGCAAACCTTCCAAAAACGCGGAGAGATCTGGACAGATTGGCAATCCGTGAAGAGCCTCCCGTGCAGATGGTGTCGAGACGAGGAGAAGGAGGTCTTCCCCCCCTCTCTCACTCACTTCAAGGCACCGGCCATTGCCGGCCAACCAACATGGCAGCGGGGTCGGTGGCTTCACGTCATACAGTGGAAGATTCCGACGTTGGCACATGCAATTTGACAAATTCCCACATGGCAGGACGCGGCGGGGCACAAAGACGCAAGCGAGGCACCGAAGAGCTACGTAGTCTGGCGTGCATCCAAGCGCCTTGCAGTAGGTGCCGCCGGCAGTCAATATTCACGGGCCGTCATCTCATTTCACCAAGTATCGACGGCGCGGCAGTCGAAGGGGAAATGGATCGATGGCAAACGGCGACTCCGGGACTGCCGATAGAACGATTGACGGACGCGGCCGAGCGGCGGCTTGCTCGCATTTTATTAGCACCGTCGTTTCGTTGCTCAGCCGGGCGAGTCGTGGTTGGGGCTGATTGCCAAAATGGTAAAAAGAGGCGGCAGGAGGATTTCAAGGTACAGGGCTAGCTAGGTACCGCTACCGCGGGCGACCGCTAGGCTGGGAGGACGATCCCACGAGATGCATCTGCCGTAATTTGCTTTCCCTTGACGCGATAGCTGGCCGCTGATACCCAAAATCCATCGACGGCCCGTCCATCGGACCGCGAGCGAGCTGCTGAAACGGATCTATCCGGCGTTTTTGCAATTTTCCCTCTCCGCGCCTCACACCCGGGCGCGAGCTGAACCTGCGGCAGGGCGGCTGGAGGGAATGGGGGACGCGTCGCCCTTGTCACGAGTCTGTGCGGGGTTTGGTGTAGAGCTTAAGCATGGGGCCCTTTCGACGGCTCTCCTTTTTTTTCTTCTCCCTCCCCTCGAAGGCTTGGCTGGCGAAACGACGGTGGGGTCGACAAGTGGTTGAAGAAGAGAAGAGACTAGCGGCCGCAACGTCCACGGCGCTAAAAACCATAAAAAAACTCGTTGCCGCCGGCGCTAGGCCCGGAGTCGGCTGGCAGCGGGCAGCCTGCACTGCGTCGCCGCCTCGAAATCCATCGGCACGATAGCACTTGCAGAGCGGCAAACAGGTTTCGTCGTCGCGCTAGCCACACGGGGGTGCCAGGCACCATTGCACGGCGAGCGTCAAGAGTGGGGCCTGGCGCCTTGGTATACGGGGTGTTTGGGGTTTGTAGCTGTGCTTGACGCAGGAGAAGTCTGAACAAGGCTAGCGGTCCAGCTGCGGACCAGAAAACACTCGCGCCACCGGCGCCGCCACCAATCTCAGGCACCTCTCTCCTCTCTCTCCTCGGTGCTTCTATCTGCAGCGACAGAAAGCGCGAGCCGCCGCACCACCGCATCAGCCACAGCTCACCGTTCACTGCTCAGGGGAAATTGCAACGTTGAAGCGATGGTGATGTCAATATTCTCTCTATCTATCTGCGTCTGCCCTCTCCGTCCGCTTTTCCGCCTCTGCGCTAGCAATAAAGCCAAAGTGTCGACCCGGCCACTTTTGGGTGTGTGAATTACAAATTAGTTGCGAAGCCTCGGCGAAGGAAGCCTGCACTAGCTTTGTCGTGAGGGGGCGTAAAGAAGTGAACCGAATCCAAAAACATCCAAACTCCTCCTGTCCCGTCTATAGCGTGAATGACCGTGAACCCGCCCGCTGTGTCGTAACAAAATCAAATCCAATAAGGGGGTATTTAGAAAGTAAACGCCATCAGACTCGGGTTGAGCACAATCGGCAGCAGGATGTGGCACGACACCATGACCGCCATCGGGAAGATGGCCACGAACTCGGTGATCTCCCAGCTCCACGGGATGAAGGGCGCCTCGGCCATGATGACCATGCCGGCGATGAGCGCAAAGCAGAAGAGCATGCTGAACTTGAACTTCTTCGCAATCTTGGGCACCTCGAGGAAGAAGTTGGACCGCTCCACTTCCTTGGCCGTCGCGCCCCACTGCATGTCGATGCTGAACATGTGGCAGAGAAGCGCCTGCGACACGTGGAACGAGATACCGCCGAAGAAGATGACGAACATGAAGCACCACTTGAAGTTCTCGATCACTGTTGCACAATGTTAGCACCCTGCCCACCAAGAAGCAATATCGATGGAGACTTACGAGAACTGATCAGGCCCTTCTGCCCAAGACGGTAGCGCTCAACGGCCAGGGCGACGTTACCGCAGATGGTGAAGACGAAGATGACCGACGTCCACACCTTCCACGACTCGAGGTAGTACTTGTCGTAGTAACCGTTGAACTCGCCGACAACAACGTAGTTGACGCACGTGAAGATCCAGGCCGCGCCGATGGCGTAGTAGGTGCCGATGTACGAGATGATGTTGAGCTTGGAAGCCAGAGGCATCGCCGAGCCGATGAAGGTACGGAACAGTTTGGTGAACGGGCCGCGGTAGATCCACTGGTACATGGGGTTGAACATGAGCTCGTTGCAGCCGTAGGCGTACTTCTCCCACCGAGCAAGCTCGTCGTAAACCGTGAGCGAGACACCCTCCTTGAAACCACCGTCGGCCCAGGCAGCCAGGCGGACAACGTATCCCTCAATCTGCAGACGAAGAGCCATGTCGAAATCCTCCGAGACGGACGTCTCGGACCAGAAGCGCTCCTCGCCGAGGTCGTCGATGAACGACACCTGTTGGACAGCGGACCAGCGAAGAATGGCGTTGTGGCCGACGAAAGGCGCGACGTCTCCAGAGGCAACACCGAAGCAGATGGCCGAGTAGATGAGGTTGGTGAAGAAAGTGATGCCGTTCTCGAAGAAGTCCCACGAGACCTGCATGACACCAGAGGCGAACTGGATGATGGCGACGTCGGGCGAGTGCTCCATCTCGGAAACAGCGTCGAGGATGCAGTCCTCAGGCACCTCCGTGTCCGAATCGATGATGATGATGTAGTCACCAACGCGAATGTTACCGGCGGCCCAGGCAATCTTCTCCTCCTCCAGGACCTGAGCGAGACAGAGGTCGTACGCCTCGTTCTCCTCCCTCGAGGACCAGCTGTCGCCGCGGGGAATGGCCTGGAGCTTGGCCTCAACGAGGTTGGAAAGACGGAGACCGAAGTTCATGTTGGAAGCCTTCTTGAACTTGCCGCGACGGACGAAGCCATCCTCGCCGTGCTTGGGACGGGCAGTCCAGCCGATGTTGTGATCCGTGTAGAAGTCAATGCGCGCCTGCCTGGCATCCTCGTCGATGAGCTGGATACCGTCGTCGTGGATGAGAATGTTGGCAGTTCCGCCCTGGAGCTCGTAGGTCGAGATGGCCTTCTTGATGGAGCGGACAGTGGGAGCAATGACGGAGTCGAGACCCTCCTTGTAGACGGGGCACTGGATGGTGACGTGGGGAAGGCTGCCGTTCATAGACTTCTCGATCCTGGGGCTGCGCTTGGCCGAGTAGAACTTGGAGTTCTGCTCGAGGTAGGACACGGGACCGAACAGACGGCCGAAGATGGAGACGATGACGTTGGTGAAGAACAGGGCGAAGAACCAGTTGATGGGCGTCATGAGGACCAGGAGAATGGACATGTACGTCTTGAGCAACGACACCTCGCGGGCGATTTGCTGCCAGCCAAGGCCGGAAAGAGTGACCAGGATGGCGAGCGAGAGAGCGGTGCACATGGAGTTGTAGTAGACGGTAGGACGCTCCTTCTCGGTGGCAGCCTCCATGTCAACCTCGGCCTCCTCGACAATGGCACCCTTCTCACCGAAGCCGGCCTCGTACGAGGACATGGCAGACTTCAGGAGGTCGTCCTGGATGCCCTCGGCTCTGGCGGCGAGGTTTTCTGGGTTGTCGTCCCACACGATGAGGAGAGACTCGCTCGCCACAAAGGCGGCATACTGATGCTTGCGAGCGTACACCAGCTCCTCGACGGTGGGGATGATCTGGATGCGGAGACCCTTGCGGATGGGAATCTCGGCGTCCTGGGCACGGGAGATGAAAGTGGAAACGACCTTGGTCTTGACAGTCAAAGCGGACTGGGGTCGGGTCAGCATGTGTGGGGTAGCGTTGCGGATGGAGGTGGACATACCTGGACATTGAGAGTGGCAATCGACTGGGCCAGGTTGCTCTCGACAAGGTTCTCGGGGAAGGTCATGTACTCGCCACGAGCCTTCTTGAGCAGGACACCCTCGACCTCACCGCTGAAGTCCTGGATCCATCTTGCGCCAACCTGCTTCTCGTACAGGTGGTTGATGATGATGTCGTGCCTGATGTCGTGGATGAACTGCGTGTCCCTCTTGGTCTGAGAGTAGATGGACAGGTTGGTGGACGAGCCTTGACGGCTCTGGTACATGGGGGTCAGACCACCGGGAGTCTGGGCCGGAGTGACCTCCGCCGGGGTGATGGCGTCGGCGGGAGACTCGGCCTCAGCGGCGTTGTTGGACTTGTTGCGAAGGAAACCCATTTGGGCGGTGGGTGTGGGGGAACGCAGCAGCGGGTGGGAGACTGTGCGCGAAGCTTGCCAACGGAGGGCAGCTTGAAGTGAGGTGCAAAAGCGAAGGTGGAGGAGTGGCTTGTCAGTGAAGACTGCTGATGGGGGAAGACAGTTCGACGCCGGCGCACAAGAGGACTTTAACGAGCACAACGGCAGGGTGGCCAAGCTAGTCCTCTGTATAGCGACGCCTCGGCCGGGCAGAAAAAAGAGCCTGGAGCCCCGTTGGGCCAGCTCGGGTGCCGCATTCGCGCGCTAGCGGACCGGTGGCTGCTCGCTGGCGCGCGCAGGACGCGGCAAGACGCCGTGCCGGCAGTTTGGCTGGACCGCTGCGGCGGCTGTGCCATGCCCGAACAGAGGCTGGCGCGCGGTTTGAGCCGCAGGGTCGAGGGCGCTGTCTGTGTCTAGCGATCTCGACTCGATCGCTGCAGGCATGGGGGTGGGCGGGCGGAGAGCCGTGGGCACGGCAGCGCCGAGGGGCTGGAAGCTCCCATGGTGCCATGAGGTTATCTCTGCGGCGCGGGGCGACAGGCGACTCGTGCGGCGATGGCAAAAGGCTTTGGAGCTGAGCAAGATGCTAGTGGAGATGAAGAGCGAAGTCGCGTGGCGCCATGACAGGAACAGGCAAGATGATAGGCGCCACGTGCCCCTTTCTGGACGACTGGGACCGAGCGGCGCCGCCCGGAACGGCTAACGACACTCTAAAGGGCAGCGGCCACCCAGTCCAGCCTGTGCTAGAGCCGCTAGCCGCGCTAGAAGCGCCCGCTGTGCTGTCCCTGCGCTGTCCCTGCAGCCTCGCGGCCTCTTCCGGCTCGCTTCCTATCGCGACGCCGCCGCCAGACGCAGCTCCGCCAGCCACACTTGACCGCCCTCCGCCGCTAACTGCCGCGACGCCAGACCTGTCGCGCCCGCGATGTCGAGACCGCGACGCCCAATCCAGCGGGCTCTGGACCGTGACATGTGCGCGCCGGCCGAAGGCTTTTTCTACGCGGTGGCGTCCGTCAGCCTCGGGCTGCGCCGTTGCCCCTGCTCGAGCACATAGAAAAGTGGTGCGCTGGGCCCTTCTCCGCAACACCACGCTCATCTGCCGCTCTCTGTCTCACTCCCCTCGTCCTGTCTCTCTCTCTCTCTCTCTCTCCGCCACCATGCAGAGACCCTCCCAATCCGAGAAGTCAGACCCCGTGGGCGACGGCCGCGTCTCCCCGCAGAGCGGCTACAGCGTCCGCGACAGCCGGCCTCAGAGCATTCAGACGCCCGTCAACCCGTTCGCCACCCCCCAAGCCTCGCTGCCCACCACCCGCGCGGCCTCGTTCCGCGATTTCCCTCTGCCCTCGCCCGGCGCCGCCCCCTACTTCAGGTCGCGCCGCGTGCCAAAGGGCACCGTCCAAACCCCCAAGGCCCTGAAGGGCAAGAAGCGCAACGATCCGTGGCTGTGGGCCATTCCTTTGATCGGCGCTCTGATCGGCTTTGGCGTCAGTGGCTTGCTCGTCTGGCTCGGCATCAACGCCAACACGTCGCCCTTCAGCTACTGCCCGGTGCTGATGGACGACTTCTCCTCCGGCTCCCTTGACGATTCCATCTGGACTCACGAGATCCGCCTCAACGGCTTTGGGTACGCCCGATGCCCCCACCCGCTCTGTGTCTTCTCAAGCTAATCCGCATTCCAGCAACGGCGAGTTCGACCAGACCACGGCCGACGAAGAGAATGTCTTCATCAAGGACGGCCAGCTCTACATCAAGCCCACCCTCCAGGATGCAACCCTCATGGAGACCAACAACATCATCAACCTGACTGCCCTGGGCACTTGCACCTCGGGCACTTGGTCCGACTGTGTTGGTTCGACCAACACGACCAACGGCACTGTCCTCCCGCCCGCCAAGTCTGCCCGTCTGACCACCAAGAAGGGTGCCAGCATCAAGTACGGCCGTGTCGAGGTCACGGCCAAGCTCCCCCGCGGTGACTGGCTCTGGCCCGCCATCTGGATGCTTCCCACCGAGAGCGTGTACGGTGACTGGCCCCGCAGCGGTGAGATTGACATTCTGGAATCGCGCGGCAACAACTACACGTACAACACCAACGGCGGTGGCAACGACTACGCCATCGGCACCCTTCACTGGGGCCCTGACTCGGACAACGATGGCTACCACCAGACCACCAACAGGAAGCAGGCTCTGCACTCGATGTGGGGCGATGACTTCCACACCTACGGCCTCGAGTGGACCGAAAAGTACCTCTACACCTACATCGACAGCCAGCTGCTGCAGGTCATGTACACTCCATTCAAGCAGCAGCTGTGGAGCAGGGGCAACTTCCCCACCTCCACCGCCAACGGTACCCGCCTGACCAACCCCTGGGCTGATGGTGGCGTCAACGCTCCCTTTGACCAGGAGTTCTACTTGATCCTTAACGTCGCAGTTGGTAAGTGCATCGCAAACGAGACATCCCAAGTCCCATCGCTGACATGTTTTCTTTTTCAGGCGGCACCAACGGCTGGTTCACCGATGGAAAGTACTCGAAGCCTTGGATTGATGCTAGCGCCAGCGCCAAGAAGGACTTCTGGAACGCCCGGAATACCTGGTATCCCACTTGGGAGAAGAACGGGCAGATGATTGTCGACAATGTCAAAATGTGGAAGCACTGTTAAAAGGAGATTTTTTTATTCATGGTAGATGATAGGGGGGGTTCTGGTTTTTTTGCGGGTTGGATTTTAGAGAGCACGGCGCAATTGGGTTGGGACTTGTGATGTTAGACATGTCACTGATCATATACCAGGAACGAGACTCCACGATATAATCAGAATTAGTAATTTTTTCATCAATTTTGAACCTGTTTCGATGACGTCATTATAAGACTGTTTAAGCCGTCGGCTGCCCGTGATCGGAAAAGCGGCGGCTGGTGTGATCTCTGAAGACATCAGCGATTCCTGTCCAGTCGGTAATTCGAGACCGTGACGCTATGGAAATACTCCGATTGGGTCGGTGGGCGGGGTCATTGCAGGTCAAAAAGTAGTCAATCGTTTGTAATCGTGTCTCGCGAGCGTTGCACTTGACTTATAAGGGCTGACGGGATATCGTTTAGATGCTCATGTATAAATAGTTTTTAACTAACTACGTTTAGTCTAGTAGCCCTTTGCCTGCCTATAATACGCATTGACCACCCTCGGAAGATAGCATAGTACAACCACAATGCGATCATTACCAACTTTGGAAGTACTCCAAATAGTGTGCCGAGTGAGCTCCGCCGTTGGTAGTCGAAGCAAGATCCGGACATAAAGATACATCTAAACATTAAATTTGTTGTCTATAGACTGTTTTGAGAAGCAGTGTTCTGAGTCCTTCTAGAAGCATCCGCATCGAAGTCGCGCCTTCCTCCTGTTGCTCACGCCTGCCATATGCAAAAGGCTCAATCGCTTCCGACCTCGAGACACCTCTACTTCCCACTCGTCCGGACTTTGAATCACACCTACCATTCGCAACCATGCCACTTTCCCTGATCCACCGCCGTAGAAGGCTTGGACAGGCGCCCGATCCACCCCGAGCACCGAACAGCTCCATCCACGCAACTTTTGCAACCCAGCCAGTATCCATCTACAACATCGCTACCGACACCGACGACGCAGACGACGCAGACGATTCGCTCTCCACCCTGAGCTCATCTAGCACCGAGACCGCAACATCGGGCACTGTCAGCTGGCTCCCGATCTACCAGCTAAGCAACTGCAGCGAAGCCGACACGTTTGACGACTCCAGCTCCGTACGCCTGACCTCACTTCCATCTCCTCCATCCCACCGACCGTAAGAACCCTAACAGAGCTCCAATGTTGAAGCCATGTCTTACTTCGTCCCCCTCCCCATCTCCATGCACGGCCGCCGCTACGTCGCGCTGCGCGCCGCGACGTCGGACAACACGATCGCCGCGCGCGCCTCGCAAGTCTACGCGATCATCACGCAGGAAATACTGCCACAGCACCTACACCTAGAACAAATACGTCTCTCCGCACCACCCGTTTTCCCGGCGTGGGGTCCGCCGCCGCCGATGCATCCGCGCATCATGGTCGTCTGGGGCGACGATTCCCGCGCCGCCAGCTCGCTGGACATCATGACCGGCCTCTTCATCGACGGCTTTTGCGGCGACACCGGCGCTCTCCTCCGCCCCGACCGCTCCTGGCTCAGCCACTTCGACGCCTTCGCCCCACCCATTCTGAACTGCAGCCCGGAGTCCCTGTTTCGATACCGCGCGGAAATCCTGCCGCTCGGCCCCCTCGTCGTCATCGTCTTCGCCGAGATGCCGACTCCCCAATTCGACCTGCAAGAAGCGGCGGACGACGAGTTGTTCCTCGACGACGACGATCCAGATGAAGACGAAGGGCGCAAGAGCGAGGCGAGAGAGCGCCGGCGCCGGCTACGCGAGCAAATAGAGTACCTCCGCCAGACCAGGGTGGTGCGCGCCGTGGCCTATATGTGGTATGCGGTCACCGAATTTGCCGGCGCGGCGGTCGACGGGCGCGGCCGCGTCTACACGATTCTCGACCCGCGCAACGAGTTGGAGCGGATCGCGGCGAGCGCGCTGCAGCGCATAATGCTTCTGGAGCGCGCCGAGGTGCCGGAGTTGGTGGTGAGTATGGCGGAGGATGAGGAGGTCGTGGATCCTGTTGATGGGAATGTGGACGTGGGGGATGATGATGATGGGGAGGGAGGTGTTTCGTTGGGCGGCTCTTGATTGCTTGGGCGACTGTCAAAAGGCTGGCCGGGGCTTTGAAGGGAGAAAGAAAGAAAGAAGGATGCCGTCAATGATGGCGACGGAAACAATATTATTAAATAGGTGCCGACGAGGATTACTTGGGACACTGTCAATTGCTAGGGGATTGAAGAAAGACGACGGAGGCGAAATCGATATTACTGGCGACGCACGATGAGTGTCATTGGGCTTCTGTTGAGTAGACAAACAAAAAGGTCAACTGTCTCTAGGATATCAAGCCAGAAGAAGAAGAAGAAGAAGAAAAGGTTTAATCAAGGAAGATTGATTAGAGTACTTGGAAGAAGGTCTCACGTCCATAGCGAAAGAAAACTGGAAACAAGAAAATAAAAGAAGAAACAGCACGGCGCCGATTATTACATACGTACAGGACAACACCTTATGCAGCCCAACCAACCAACCCCAACCAAAGATCCCGTTTGTTGTCTAGCCCAAACCCAATGCAAGTAGTTTCCATGGTTTCTCGTTTGTTTTGTTTGTTTTTAAGCTTTTTCCTTTCTCCCGTCATCCTCGCAACGTATACGCTTTAAGTCTATTCAGGTGGTGCTCTCTTTCCAAGTCGTTGCTGCTGATGCTCTCTATCAACAAAAAGTAGAAAAAAAAAAGAAAAGAGAAAAAGTACAGGATAAAGGAGAAGCAAAAATGCAGGCAATGGTTCGAATGCAGTTTTTTGCTTTTGTTTAGTTCGACAATTATTTTTTTTGGATACTTTCCCTCCCTTTGAACGCCACGCTCTCAAAGGTTTCACAGTAGTTAGGAGTAGTAGTGGTTGGAGTAGTAAGTAAGTAGTATAAGAAGGAGGAATAAGATGAAGAAACAGGAAGAAAGAAGAAAAAAAACACACCGATGAAGGGGGGCCAATTGCCAGACTAAAGAGGACTATGCACCAAGTACCAAGGCACAGAAGAGAAGAAAAGATCCGCGAGTACCGAGAAAGATGAGAAGGAAGGGGAGGAGAAGAAAACGTTTGTACCCGGGATCAAGTATGTCTAAGCCAGAGGGGGAAACGCCATCGTATGTGCAACCGGCACCAAGTCTTTTTCCACATTCGTACATATACATGTACCAGAACGGCCAAACCGATTAAGAACTAAGGAGGAAGAACGTGGGGTTAGCAAAGCTGCGTCGAAGATTGACGGTTCTGGGTTCAGGGTATAACTTACTAGATTTCCAGAGGCGCGATCTGGTCGACTGGGTACAGCCAGCCGCCGCCAGCCTCCTCCTTCTCCAGCCAGTCGTATGGCCACGAGACGAGGTGGCCCTGGACCAGACCCAGCAGCTCCTCCGCATCTTGCTTGCTTAGCAGAGCGGTGTCGTCGTCAGCCTGGAACGCCTTGATGCTGCCACGCGTGGCTGCCCTCTTGCGGCGACGCTGGCTGCCTGCTGCTTTCAGGCTGGTGTTGGTATCTGTAACGTTGAGGTTGCCGGCGCTGCTGCGTGGGCCGCTGGCACTTTCTTTGTCGCCGTTGGGGGTGGTGATTGTAATGGTGCGTGGCCGGCCATTGGCGTCGTCATTCGCACCCCGCGAAGGTGGTGCGTCTGATGAGATGACGGAGTTGGCGCCGTCCATCGGACTCATCGGAGAGAGCATGCCGTTGGCCTTCTCACTGAAATCTGCCCCAGAGCCAGCACTGCCATTGGCGTTCGATGCTGCTGTTGAGGGCTTGCTTTGATCACGCCTTTCTTGTTCATCTGCCCACTGCTCCACGTTGCCATGTGGGTTGTTCTCCCTGGAGCTTCCAGGCACAAGCTTCTCGCCGAACACCTTCCCGACACCATCTGCGAAAGTCGTGGCACTACCGGGAGGACCCGTCTTTCCTTGAGCTTCCTGGCCCATACGCGTCTCGCTCTTACCCTGGCCCTGCGACTTGGCGAATCGTTCTCCGAATGCCGCGTATTCGCGGTACTCCTTCCAGGTGCGCACCTCGTTATCGGGCATGCAGCGGAACACCTGGCGGTAGATTTTGGTGTTGTTCTCTGCTATGGTGTGCCAAGTATCCATCAAGAACGTCTCGTTGATGGGGTCGAGCATGCAGTCCTCGGTAACGAGAGGGCGTTTCATGTTGGAGACAAGCGCACTGATGAGCGCGTTGGCGTTGGCCGAAGTGGTCCTCAGCAGGGGCGGTCCACCGATATCAGTGTCATCCATGGTAGGCAAAGCAGGAAGCTGGCTGAGCTGCGTAAGGCCGAGTTCCCTCGTGGTCATCCTAGGTAATGATGGAGGGGGGAACCTGTCACTGGTGGCATCCTGGAGCACGTCACTGATTTGACTGATTTGGGAGCGAACCGTGTTGCTACGACCACGCCCCTTCTTCGGGCTAGCCTGCTTCGGGACTTCAAGAGTGTTCTTTCCTTCCGGTGCTTGCTGGGAAAGCAGAACCTCATGGCCATGGATGTCGATGGTCGAATCTCTGCCGCGGCTGTACCCTCGGGCTGAAGCCTCTAGGAAGTGGTCTGCACCTTCGCCGCGGACGTCACGGTCTCGTTCCGCGTGATCATGCACCTCGACCTCCTCCATATCAGCAATGGGGTCTGTTGTGGTGAAATCAGGCGTCGCCGGGTTCGGTTGGAGTACATTGTCTACCGCGTCGTGGTTGTAGCTCATGGCCTCGGCCTTTCTGATCAAGTCTTCCTCGAGGCGGTTCTTGTTGTCGATAAGCTGCTGTTCAATCGTCGAGTTGGTGTCTGCACTCGAGGGTCTGGACAGATCGCTGTTATATACCTCGGATTGCTCTTCCTCGAGCAGCTCGTCGACGTCAATGCCAAGGTGCTCACGCATGAGTCTGACTCGGAGGGTATGCGCGAACTTGGAAACCTTGTAAGGCTTGCCAGCCATGAACGAGGGGATCATGTCGGTATCCCTGACGATGGCTGCAACCTCAGAATCGCGAGATCCAAGCATCGAACGCTCGTTGATGTTAGCGGAGCCAATGATAACAATGCGATCGTCAACAACCATGCACTTGGCGTGGATGTACAGCTGCTCCGTGCAAAGCGACTTCTTGGGCCCAATATGTCCCCAAGACCGAAGAGAATAGAACTGTACATAGTCCTCCGGTTCAATTCCGACGGCGCGGAGCCTCCCGAACAGAGAGCTCTCGCCGCGGCAAATGCTCCGGTACTGGCACTGCATGATCAAACGAACGCTAGTCCCATCTTGGCTGTCAACAGTGCTCTGGAAGCCTGGCATCAGCGGAATAACCAGGACGGCTCGCCATGCCTCTCCGTTCTTGTGAGCACGCTTGATACGCTCCACGAGCGCATCGTTGATCATGTTGAGAATCTTTGTCCCTTCAACCTGGCAGGAACTAATGTAGAACTGGTTCTCAATGTAGACAAAGTGGTCACTTGCTTGAATACTCTTGACGTACGCATTCATGATGCTATGCTCGGTGCGATCAGGGGTACCCAAGGACCACTTGCATGCAGAGCGAAGAATCTGGATTTCACAGGTCCCGTCCAGGCCGAGGGCCCGAAGGTCGGCCTGGTCGAAGTCCGGTGGAGGGAGGAGGTAGGGAGTAGGGCGGGTAGGAGTCTTGCCTCTACGGAGGTAGTTCCAACGCTGGACAAAATGCCTCGTCAGATCTCGGGCAGGCTGGCCGACGATTTGCATGCCAATGTCGTGCCACGGCATGCGCGGAACCTTCTCTCTGTCATACATCTCTTCATAGGGCTTGTCAAGCGCGTAAAAGTCGTGGACTCTAGGGTTTGAGTAGTCCTTTCCAGGCCACATCTGGCAATGCTCGGAATCCTTCGGAAGATTGTTATCCAGCTCGAAGCCTGTCAATTTGTCATCGTTCAGGACGTGCTTTGGTGTGTCCCATCTTCCAAAGCACAGATCGACGCCTCCGCAAAAGGCAACCGTATGGTCGACGATGCAGATCTTCTCGTGGTGGGCCCAGAAGAACTGGTTCTTCTTGATCTGGTGGGGAGATCGCTGGACAAACACGTTGGGGTGAAGGTCAAGCAGCGACAGCTTGCTGTATTCGGAATCGATCGGGATGGCGGAGTTGATGTTACGATACATGATGACGAAGATCTTGACGCCCTCTTGAGCCTTGCGCTGCAAGAGACGATCTAATCTCCATTTTTGGCTGATGGCAGGAGGTCTCCGAAGGTAAAGCTCAGGGCTGAGCCACCAGTCGTGGATGTAGATGACGTCCCTGGCCATGCTAATGGCTCGGGAAACATTCCACATGTAATCCCGCGCATCGACAAGCCACTGAGCCCAGACGTTGTACCGCACGGGGGCGAAGCTGTCGAAACGGTGTGGCTTTGACCATTCGGTTTGCGACATCATGAATTTAATGGAATCCTGGAACTGGCCCATCTGTCTTTCGTTCTTGGCCAGCAATTTGAGCTTGCGCTCGGAATTGACCAGACGAAGCATATGAGCGTTCGGGTGGGCCGCAGATGTCTTTGCTTTGCTAGCCATTTCGCGTGCGCCCTTCTTCTCGTCGATCCGGAAATCCGGATCCACAAGGAAGACGTCGTAGATGTTCATTTCCTCAGGCGAGTCAACACAGCAGACGTAGCTGTGGCGCACCAGGAACCACTTCGGCAGGTGTGCTTGTTGCTTGGTAAACCAATGAGGATTCCAGCCCTTCTGATTGGCCGCCTTGTTCGACTGGATCATCATGAAGCCTTCTTTCCCGTGATATCCACCTTCTTGTGCGAGGCGGACGCCTAATGCCGAGAGCTCCAGAAACTTGCATAGCCGGTTACTGTCGGGCCGGAAAATGACGAAGGTGATTAGCTGCTGAAGATACTGCTCCAGCTTCTTTCGTTGCTTGTCTTGATACGTGTCTTTGCGTGGCGCGGTGGTTCCGGGAGCCTGGCCAAAGAAACTGCCGGTACGAGCGGTCATCTCACCAGCAATCCCGGGTGCTTGTTCAGGGCTTCCAACGCTCGAGTTGCGTCTCGCTGCAAGCTGCTTAAACGAGGACCGCCGTCTCTTTCCACCCTTTCCGGGTCTCTCAGTTCCACTGGCATCTCCGTCTGTGATTGCCCCGGGTGCCTCCTCATCATCGTCCTCTTCTTGATCGTCTAAGAGACCGCGCATACCACGCACATAGGGCAGAGCGCTTCTGGGGAACCGCGGAAGCTGACTCTTGTTGGTATCTTCGCCCCTGAACCGGACGTATTTTTCCTTTGCCGTCGCAGTCTTGTACTTGAGGTGGAGATTGCCGAAATCGCGAATGGCCCGATGGATAACCCATTTCATGCGGGTCATACCACTGCCGTACTCGAGCTCGATTCTGAAGTTGACATGGCGGTCACCGCCCTTGTCACTGACCTTTTGGCTGTCTGTGATCAGGACTTTGAGCTGCTCCATAAGAATAGGAACCCTCTTGTGCCCATGCTCATCGCGCTGGAACATGCTGGCAAGGAACAGGGCGGCGGGTGCACCGGCGAGGAGTTCGGCAACCAGTTCTGCAGATTTTGCGTGGTCGATTCTGTTTTGCTCCTTCCGCTGCTTTCCGAGCATTTTCAACCCGGACTTCAGTTGGCGCCACTTCTGTGCGCTGATGCTCGTGGTCCGTTCACCGCGCTGTCTCCATGGAGACTCCGAGGTGCCATCGAATCGGTTAGCAATGTTTGTGAACCGGCGGAAGTTGCTTGGGCGGCGAGTGTCAGGGGTCTCTTCTCCCGTCATTTCCATCCTTCGACTCGAGAAGCTGAGCCTCCGTCGTGCATGCAGCCCTCTCCTCCAAGCGCTCTCTTTCGCAAGCATATCCCGACCTTCATCCTCGGACAACCCCATCCTTTGATTTTCGGGTATGTTGGACATGGTACCTCGTCGCGCAAAAGGTGGCTTGAAGGCTCCATATTCGGAGGGCGAGTCCCGCGGAAATGAGGGATCGTTGATGGTCTTCGGGGTAGCCGGAGCCGTATTCGTTCCAGGTTTGGCACGCCGCATCTTTCTTCTTTGACGCGGCGGGCGCGAAGGGCCTTCTCCTGCGCTCTCGTCATCTGCCTCCGCTTCACTCCCTTCCTCTGCAATGTATCGTGGCTGTGATCGCTCGGATTCCGGAGACAAAGGACCTGTCGGTGTGAACTCGCCCATCGCCCCCATTGGCCCATCGCCGATGGTAAAGCCGCTTATACTCCTGCTGTGCCCCTGCAGCGGGTTGAGCGCCCTGAGCCGTGCAATAATGGATGCCTTGTCCTTGCGCTGTCTTTCCTGTTCATCCTCGTCATCGAGCGAATGTTGTCTCGAGTGTCCACCAAAAGCCCCTTCCTGCCCCTGCGAGCGAGCGAACTGCACGCTGCGACGACCACCCGGTGTCGATGCCCCCGCCTCACTTGTAGCATTTCTCGACAGTTGGCCGTGTACGTTGAAGTCAGTCGGGTCAGCGATCTGACCAAAGCTCGGGGACGGTTCGAGGGAATGGGGAGGTTTGGTAGCATCTCCGGAAGTCCCGTTCGAGGCAGGGAAGGGGAAACCGGCGGATGTTTTGGGCTCCGCAACACCGGGCTCGAATTTCACGGAGCCCGCAGTGCCAGGCCTGTTAGCGTCGTCGGGGCGGGCGGCTCCATCGTCGGCAGAGCCGTGCGCACGTTGCTCCTGGCGCAATGGCGAAAATGTCTGGGCTTGTTTCTCGGGGGGCGGGGATGTGCGCGGGCTGCGTGTCATGGGCGAAATGCTGGAGTCCCGCGTGTCGGCCATGTTGTTGTGTTGGGGCAGACGGGCCCCTATACACGCCGAAGTGCGATGCGCCGGCTCGCAAGGTGCGGGCGATATAAGGAACGGCGGCGGTGCAAAGGAGCGGAAGCGCGAGCGGCAGTGATCTAGACCCTGGAGATCGAAAAGCGCAGATCCTCGCGTCGTGGGAGGTGGTTACGGTGTTGGCGGTGGAGACGTGCGCGGCCAGCCAAGGTGGTAGGGTTGCGGCACTGCGGAGGCTTGCGGAAGTTATCTTGTGGCGGAAGGAGTGCAGGGAGAGGTTGCAGGAGTGCCCCTGCCGCGAGAGAGAGGTGAGGAGAGGTTGCAGGAGAGGGGGATTGGCGTAAGGGCAATCTCTTGCGCGCTGGACAGCGGCAGGCCCCCCGGAGATTGTGTAGATCGACTGAAACAGCGGGATGACGCCAAGCGGCGTTGTCCAGCTCCCCGGTCGGAGGCTGGGGCGTGCCCGTGTCCATGCCCGCCGCGACACCGCGCCTGCCCCGCCGCAACCACTCACGAGCACACGCGTCAACACCAGCGCCAGACCGCCAATCGTCTTCGTCGCAACAGCTGTCCGACCACTGCGCGCACGGCTCAGCAATGGCGACACCCAACCCGCTGGAGGGCACCCACAGCGCTGCTCCGCCGCCCCGCGTCTCGCAGAAGACGTTCCACATCGCCGGGATTCTCACCACCGTCCACGGACTCGACGAGCTGCCCGAGCCTTCCCAGCCCGTCGCCTGTCTCTGGCTGCTCAATCCGCGCCTTCAGACACAGGAATGCATGGCTCCCATCGCCGCGCAAGCCATTGCAGCCTGGAACAAGCGCCTGCAGAGCGGTGTCGCTGGAGCGGGGCACGGTAAAGGCCTGATAGCCGTGAGCTTCGACCAGCGGAACCATGGTACCAGGAAGGTTGATGCCCTTTCCAACGAGGCTTGGCGCAGTGGCAACCCGCGCCATGCCCAGGACATGTTCTCCATCTACCGTGCGTGCTCCCGCTGTGCATATGCAGTACCATGCTGACATGTTTGCCCTGCAGATGGCACGGCTAATGACACCTCGCTGCTTTTGACCTACCTCTCTGCTTACATCACACCCCAAATCACCCAAAACCTCGTCCTCGGCATCTCTCTTGGGGGCCATGCTACCTGGCTGGTTGCTCTTCAAGACCCTCGCATAACTACAGCCGTGTCCGTCATCGGTTGCCCGGACTACACGTCCTTGATGGTCCAAAGAGCAGAGAAGTCGAAGCTCCGGACCTGGACCTCCAGCGGTCCCCCGGGCTCGCGATTCATTGGCTCCGCCGACTTCCCCCAGGCGCTTGTAGAAGCCGTCTCTCTGTACGACCCTGCAGGACTATTCATGCACGGCATGGCAAACCCAGAGGCCCCCACTGCCACCGAGAAGCAGGAGCTTGGAGCCAAGTTGAAGAGCCGGCTTAGGGGAAAGCGCATCTTGAACCTTTCAGGCGGCGCCGACAAGCTCGTGCCTTATGCTTGCGGTGAACGCTTCTTGACCCTGCTGAAGAAAAGCGTCAAAGAGGATCCGGCTTTGGAGCTGGAATTGGAGGATCTCATCTTCAATGATGTTGGGCATGAGACAACCCCCGCGATGGCTGAACGTGCGGTAAACTTTATCTGCGACAGCATTGCGTCGGAGAAACCCTCCTCGTCTTCGGTCCGAGAGTCGAAAATTTGAAAGGCCCCGGTAGCTGAGGAATGTAAGTACACGCCACTGCAACACATGATGTAAATGAATTGTAGATATTCGATACGAGAAGAAGCGGTGTTGCACAGTTGCGCGCCTTCAGGAGAAACACCAGTGCACCGCGAAACGAAATAAGGAGCAAAATAAGACCCACCACGACGAACGTGCCTGAGGAGCCTAATTCGGTAATTGCCGCGGGACTGAACATGCGCGCTTAGAACACCTCCTTTGTCTCGGAGCGACTTCCGTTCTTGTCGTATAACTCTTCTTTCACGGATTCTTAGAGTTTTGTTCTCCTCCCTTTCACGGCTGGAAAGCCAAAGACCAAACATCCGGGCTTGTCGCAATCCCATCATACGGACCTCTTCACATCAAAGTCGCCCTCGATGAAGAGGTCAATTGAAGTCAGGTTGGCGTGTAGACTGTTCGATCATATGAGATGAGAGAGCAATGTTTTTGACATTCCAGTGATGTATACTCCTCGTACGGTTTCTTACGTTGAGTTACATCCCAAGCCCACCATCATTCATCTATGTGATCAAAAGAGACCGGACGAGTTCTTTTGGTATCAGGTTATATCGTCCACACCAAGATTACACTGAGAGGTATCCATCTATACATCTAACACGAAAGCCAAAAGGAAGAAAAAAATCCCCCAGTCCAGAGCGGGGGCATTAGATATCCAGCTTTTAGTGCAGCAGACCGTAATAGGCCTTTTCCTTCCGATCGCCGGCGGTCCGTTGCGCCGTCAACAGTAGGTTCAACGCCGCGCCCGCTAGCGGGGCAGGGCAGTAGAGTTTCCTGCCGGCATTGATGGCCTCAGCCAAATCTTCCCGGATGCGCTGCACATCGAGCGGCGGCAGGTCCTGCTTGGCGCCCGCCACCTTTTTGCCCGTCAGGAACTCGATCATCTCGGCACCGCGCTCGCGGAAAACGGTGCTCCCGCCGGCTGCGCCGGACGCGAGGTCGTAGAATTGATGCAGGTCCAGCTTGAGATGATCGGCGAAGCTGATGGCCTCGGCGGCGGCGAGCAGCAGCACGCCGCGTAGGAGCTTGAGGACGAGGCCAAGCTTCTCGGAGTTGGATGAAGAGGATGCCGCGCCGTTGGTTTGCTGGTTGACGCTACTGACCGGATCGGGGAAGTAGGTTCGAACCATGGCCGCATCGTCAAGGGGGCCGAGGCCTTGGTTTAGACCGAGAAGGTAGACCTGCTCGGCGGCGGATGATAGAGGAGTAGGGAAGTTGACGAGGCGGGCGATGGAGGTGATGATTCCCTAGGCTAGTCAGTATGCCTACGCATCTCATCAATGGGGAACTCCAAAGTAGGTCACGTACAGCATCCTTGAGAATGATGGTCAATGCGCTGACGGCCGGAGTGTAGTCTTCAGCCAGCGCTCTAGGCACCCTGTTCTCATACATCCAGAACCAATCAGGACTCTTGCAAACAGCATCGTAAACCTCTTTAGCGTCGAGGCCCAGCCGTGCCGCAAATCCGTGGGCTTCGCTGGAAAGCAGGATTTGGATCGCAGCCAGTACCTGGTGCACCATCTTCATGTTGCTACCTTGGCCGACACCACCGGGCACAATGTACAGGCCCTTTGGATCCGACATCTCCTCTAAGAGCCATCGGGCCTTCTCGGTAGCAGCATCCGAGGCGCCGACCATGATGGTCAGGGTGCCGTCAGCCGCACGCTTGGCGCCGCCAGACACGGGAGCGTCAACGAAGAGGATGTCGGAACGGCCAATGTCGGCCAACTGCTTCTCGACCGACTGTGCGTAGGCGGATGGTACGGTCGAGCACAGAAGCAGTGTAGCGCCCTGCGGCAGGGCTGTTGATGGACCCGGAAACATATTAGCTAGCCGATCAACTATCCAAATCGGGTAATGATGCGGCCCGAGTCAGTGGCGCGCAGCATTTGGGCACTTACCCTTCACGATGGAGTCGCCCTCGGCGAACAAGGCCTGCTGCGCCTGGTCGGCCGAGGCGACCATGAGAACGTGGAAGGACGCGTCGGCGGCCGAGTCAGCGAGCGAGGTGGCGGCAGTGCCGCCCTGCTGCTCGAAGCGCTCGACGCTCTTGGGGAAAACATCGAAGCCTTTGACTTTGTAGCCTTGCTTGACCAGGTTGGCAGCCATGCCGAAGCCCATGGCGCCCAGGCCAACGAAGCCGACAGTCGGTTTCTCGGACATGCTGGAGGCGATCAGGAGAACCGACGGGGATCAACAGAAGGAAAGAAGCGATCAGACGCAGCGGTAATCTCGACAGTAACGGGACACACAGCGCGCAATGAAATATATGTATTTGCAGATGGTCGTCGGCGGAGCGTATACCGAAGCTCCCCGCACCAAACTGCCGTGCCGGGATGACGTCTGCGGGGCTCCCGCGCGGTCTTCTCTCCGTGCAGGGGTCTGCGACCACATAACTGCCCACCAGCTCCATCAATTCGTCGCATCGTGAGCTTGAATGCCAGTTCGGACGTCGCCTTCGACCCTCTTTTGATCCTACTCTCTCCGAAGGCGCGAACCTTTCCGGTCTCTACCGCAGAGCCTACTCGCATCTTTCTGCACGGCGTCTGCGAATCGGCCGTCGGCAATTGAGAAAGATCCACCGGAGCTCTAAAGCGGCAAACCGCGCTGCGTGCCGTACAGCTGTGAAGACCAATTGACTCCATTGACCAGGAATTACTCCGGATTGCCTTGTTCGGCATGATAGCATTCGTCCCGCGTTTCCGAAGTGTTGCGGTCATACCCCTCCACCTCTACCTCCACCTCCACCTCCACCACCGGGCCATTTCCGATCCATGATCCGATCATTATTATTGCGTTTCCGATAGCTTTTCCAACCGCCTACCGATCACTCCACTCACGTCGTACCCCACCTCAACCACCACGATTCAAGGAGAGAGAAAAAAAAATCAAAGGAAACCCGCGCTACAGGCACTAGCTACAGTCCGACCTCACCACACCCACCACCATGGCCTCCTCCACACCAATGGCATCCAACCGCGCCCTCCCAATCGTCGCCGCCGCCGCCGCCGGCCAATACGGCATACCGGCCATGTGCTGCTACAACACCGAAGGTATCCTCGCCACGGTCCGCGCAGCCGAAGCCAAGCGCTCGCCGGCCATGATCCTCCTCTTCCCCTGGGCGCTGCACTACGCCGACGGGCTCCTCGTGCAGCTGGCCGCCTCGGCCGCGCGCCGCGCCTCCGTCCCCATCGCCGTGCACCTCGACCACGCGCAGACGCCCGAGATCGTGCGGCGCGCGGCCGACCTGCCCTCGGGCGCCGGCTTCGACAGCATCATGATCGACATGTCGCACCACGAGCGGGGCGAGAACCTGCGGCTGACGCGCGAGCTCGTCGCGTACTGCAACGCGCGCGGCGTCGCGACCGAGGCGGAGCCGGGCCGCATCGAGGGCGGCGAGGACGGCGTGGCCGACACGGCGGAGGCGGACCTCGCCGCGGTGCTGACGACGCCCGACGACGCCGACGACTTCGTCGCCACGGGCATCGACTGGCTCGCGCCCGCGTTCGGCAACGTCCACGGCAACTACGGGCCCCGCGGCATCCGCCTCGAGTACGACCGCCTCGATGCGATCAACAGGCGCGTCGGCGATAGGGTCAAGCTCGTGCTGCACGGCGCTGACCCCTTCACGCAGGACATCTTCCGGACGTGCATCGGGCATGGCGTGAGCAAGATCAATATCAACAAGGTGCTCAACAACCCTTACGTGGACGCGTGGAAGGAGGGCGCGGGGAAGAAACCGTTGACGTCCATCATCGAAGAAGGGACGCTGGCCATGCAGAAGGCGGTTGAGAGCTGCATAGATATGCTTGGCAGCGCCGGCAAAGCATGAGTGAGGATTGCTGTGAGCGAACGAGTAGGACCTGATGATAATACGAGACGCCGTTGGCAGCTAGCCGTGGTGCTTGATCCAGCAGCATGCTATAGAGGACACGTTGTTTCTGTAGCGAATTGCGAATCGAGTAATAATGACATGTAAATAACATTCAAGGGAGGGGATTAGTTCAAAAGACATGACACTATCAGGAACCATTGGTTGTATGTGATGTCATTGCTCAAACAAGAATACCAGTGTAGCTTCCATAACGCGTTAAAGAATCGAAAAGCCAGAAACCCATCACTAGAGTAGCAAGAAATCCGATGAAAACCCCTACCATCTCTCCTAGTCCGCCCGTTCCTCGTGTTTGTGTTGTTTCGAACAACTCTGATAGCGCCACCTGAATCCACACCGACCAAAATCAAACGCTAAATCCCACCCCCACAATCAACCGTTGGGAAAGTCAGTGGTGGGGATGAAAGCTGCCTGGAAAGGGTTATGCTGTCCGTGTGCGCCTATGTTCCTGCAAGCCAGCTAAATAAAAGTGAATAGAGTGAGAAAGAAACGTTCCACGGTCCACTAGAGCGCGTGATGTGCTTGCATCTTACGCAGGATCGCCCATCTTAGCCAATACCGTGAGCATAGCGACACCGCCAACCACAGCACCAATGCCAATGTCGCGAGCACGGCGTGTGAAGCTGGCCATGCGGCGACCCGTCATTTGTTCCGGTGTGGCAATTTGTTCGGCCTTGACAGCAGTGATGAGCTCAGTAGTAGGCTCGAGATCAAGTTCGGCCTGGTCAGCAGAGCGCTTTGTGCCGGTCATCTCGACCTTGCTGTCCTCGACCAGCCCAGTGGAGCCCGCCGCATCGTCAACTAGACTTTGCACGAGCGCGATTGCCCGTTCGGTGTTATAGGCGTCGTCGTGGGTAGAGGCATCGGCAACAGTGCCGACGTTGGCAGCCTCGGGAACAGCAGTAGCTGTAGCAACTTCGCCGGTAGTGGCCTCGATTCTTGGCGCGGGTTCGCAGAGATCGTTGATAGAATTACTGAACGGGCGAGACTTGAGCCTCTTGGCGGACATGTGCTCGTCTGTTTCCATATTGAAACCAAAGTCCCCCGCGGTCTCAGAAGTCCAAGCAGCCGAGGCTGACGTGAAGAATGTAGATTGATCTGCATCGGAATATTCTGGCCACTCTCCGGCTGCAGATTCTGACTCGAGGTATGTAGGAGGCCTAGCAGGCTGAACGGATGAAGTGCGATCGCCAAGCACAGAACTGTCTCCTAGATAAGAAGAACAGAAAGACTGATCCTTGCTAGGAGAAATGGAGCCGGTCTCGGCGGCATCGGTGGTGGGGCATGGGGGATCTGTGGAACAGCAGTTCTCCGTCGATCCGCCATCGTATTCTTCAAACTCATCCATCGACTCATCGCTGGAATTCTGAAGGGAGTCGTCGTGCGAGACTTCAGACTCATGCTCCGAAGAGTACGTGTCTGGGATCAGAGTCACATCGACTGCGTCATGGTCCGACGCAGAGTCCTCGTCGTCATCATCACAGTCAAACTCATCGCTGTAAAGGGACGAGTCATCACCGTATCCTTTCTTCGTATCCGAGTACGCCTGCGACTGGGGCATTGCGCCAGGAGCGGACATGGTATTGGGTGAGGCGTTCATGGGGTTGATAGGCTCCGCGTGGAAGGCGTAGCAAGCCGGCTTGAAAGTTGCTATAAAATCCATGGTATCGTCAGTCTCAGGTGCTCGGGGTGGTGGTGTAGGATATGTGGCGTTCTGAGAAATCAAAGTGCGAGAGCTTCAACTGGGTGAGGTAAACGTACCGTTCCCGCGAATCACAGACGAACCAAACTGCAGGGTGGTACCGGAGAAGATAGCACGCTGCTCACCCTGCGCTAGCTCTCGATCGTCTACACGAGTACCATGCATGCTCCTGAGGTCTTTAATAAGGACGTTCTGCGTATCGAACTGTTAGCGTTCCACAACGTCGCCGGGCGGGCGGGAGGACAGGGGAAGGCGCACTGTTCCAGCGGGGTCGAGAGTGAATAGAGCATGCTCCTTGGAAATGACCGGATTGCTAATCTTGGTGTTGTCTGCAGACGCAGCAACGCCACGGTTCGAGGAGGCACGGCCAACGATCACGTCTTGACCAGCAGCGAGCAGGACTCGTCGCTCGGGGATGCCGTCGCCATCGCCGAGGGAGACCAACCTGACTTCGAGCACTGGAAAACGTCAACGTCAGGAGAGGGCCCGCGATGAGCAACTCGCCGGCCTACACACCTTTGCGGTCAGACATGGTGTGCGGGAGTGGGTCAGGAGGACGTGGGTTAGTCAAGTGAGGTGGTGACGCTATGGTGCCTTCTTATCGAGCAGCGCCCGTCCGACAACGGCCGAGGCGTTCCGGGAGCTGGGAGGGTGGCTTGAGCGATTTGGGAACGGTGGTAGACAAAGAAGCGCAGCGAGGCACTGGCTTCCGCAAGTCGAAAGGCCCGCACTCCAGGGATGCGGAAGGTGGTCGGTGTGAACAGAGGAAGGAGGGAAGCAGGGAGCTTCGAGCCGCTTGGACGCTCGCTCAAGGCGGCCGCGGGGGAGCTGCGCCCTAGCTGCCTGGTACGGGGCACGGGACCGATAAGATAGCCGGCAGAACCCCGGCTGGACCCCACCCGGCTGGCGGGCCCTGCGCAACAATTTCTGGCACCGCGCAAAGGCAGCCCGCAGTGACTCGACTTTTGCCCGCCGCCGCATCTGCCTCGCCATCACCGTGCCCGCCGAGCATCCTAGCCCCTCCGCCTGCCGCTACTTCCTCAGCACTCGCCCATGCCCGACCGCCGGTAGCACATACACCCATCATGGCGACGCAAGGGGAGGTCAAGGAGCAGGTCGTCGACCGCGTGCCTAAGCGCATCACAGAGCTCCAGTTCGGCATTCTGTAAGCGCGCCTGCCCCGTAGCTTTGCGCCCGCTTCTGATTGTTTGCCAGCTCGAATCAGGACATCGTTAACCAGGCCGTCATCGAAGTCTCCGATCGTCATGTGTACGATGCCGTCGCCAACGGGCCCAACCGCGCAGTCACGAAGCATGGACCCATGGACGGGCGCATGGGTATCTCCAGCAAGAGCGCGAGCTGTGAAACCTGTGGCGAGGACTTGAAGTCTTGCAACGGCCATTTCGGACACGTCAAGCTCGCCCTGCCCGCCTTCCATATCGGTTACCTTAAGATGATCATCGAGGTTCTGCATTGCATTTGCAAGGAATGCTCCAGCATTCTCCTTGACGAGCCGTCACGGCAGAAGTATGTCAAGAGTTTGCGCCGTCCCGATCTCGACAGTTTGCAGCGCACTGCAATCTGCAAGAAGATTTCTGGCGAATGCCGGAAAGTGAAGAAGTGCCCCCACTGTGGCGCAACCAATGGTCCGGTCAGGAAGGTCGCTGGCCACCCGCTCAAGGTCGTCCATCTCAAGTTCGATGCATACAACAAGTCCAATGCGAAGAGGAAGGAAATGCCCCGTGGCAAGCCGGAATTCGACAAGTCGTTCGAGACTGCGAAACAGGGAAATGGCGAGCTGGACAAGCACATCCGGAAAGCGGTGGATGACATGAATCCGCTGAGGGTGTTGAACCTTTTCAAGCGTATCAAAACGACGGATTGCCCGCTCCTAGGAATGTCCAAGGGGAGACCGGAAATGTTTATTTGGCAATACGTTCCTGCGCCTCCAGTGACGATCCGCCCCTCTGTCGCACAGGAGGCCGCCACCACCGAGGATGACATCACCAACAAGCTCGGGGATATTGTGCAAATCAGCTCGCTGATTCGCGCGGGTCTGGCGAAGGGTCTACCCGTGCAAACGATTATGGAGCAATGGGATTTCTTGCAGCTGCAGATTGCTCTGTACGTCAACAGTGATGTCCCCGGTCTCCAGGCGCAGGGAGTTGGAAAGCATATCCGAGGATTCTGCCAACGTTTGAAAGGCAAGCAGGGACGTTTCCGTGGAAATCTTTCAGGCAAGCGTGTCGATTTCTCGGGCCGCACTGTCATTGGACCGGATCCGAATCTGTCAATCGAGGAAGTCGCAGTCCCGGAGAGAGTTGCCAAGAACATGACATATCCGGAGAAGGTTTCGAGATATAACATCGAGAAGCTACGTGCCTGTGTCAAACGAGGAAAATTCAAGCATCCTGGCGCCAATTTCGTCCTGAAGCAAGATGGCCGCAGGCTCGTCCTTGAGATTCTTCAGAAGCTCAATAAACTGGATCAGACCGCCGAACAGCTCCAAATCGGCGACGTGGTAGAAAGACATATCGAAGATGGCGACATCGTCCTGTTCAACCGCCAGCCCTCGCTTCACAAACTCAGTATTCTCAGCCACAAAGCCAAAATCAGGCCTTGGAGAACATTCCGTCTGAACGAGTGTGTCTGCAACCCGTACAACGCTGATTTCGACGGAGACGAGATGAATTTGCACGTTCCACAGACTGAAGAGGCTCGCACAGAAGCTATCGAGCTGATGGGCGTCAAGAACAATCTGGCCACGCCGAAAAACGGAACGCCTATCATCGCAGCCATCCAGGACTTCATCACCTGCGCCTTTCTGACTTCCAGAAAAGATCTGTTCTTGGACCGTAAGACTTTTGCCCTCATGTGCAGCTACATGTTCAACGGCGACTCCGTAAGGGATCCGGAGACGGGCAAGTACCACAAGATCGATCTTCCCCCGCCCGTGATCATGAAGCCCCAGATGCTCTGGACCGGCAAGCAAGTATGGAATGTTCTCATGCGTCCATACAAGGAATCCAAGGTGCTTGTCAATCTTGACGCAGCATGCAAGCAGTACAAGGGCAAAATGAAGGACCTTAACGAAGATGACGCTTGGCTCGTGGTCCGGAACTCCGAGGTCATGTGCGGTGTCATGGACAAGTCCACCGTTGGTGACGGCAAGAAAGACTCAGTGTTCTATGTCATGATGCGTGACTTCGGCCCCGACTACGCTGTACAGGCTATGAACCGTCTGGCGAAGCTTTCGGCACGCTGGTTGACAAATCGCGGCTTCTCCATTGGCGTTAGCGACGTCACGCCTGGCAGGAAGCTCGTTGAAAGGAAGACAAAACTCATCCAGGACGCTTATGTTGAGGCCAAGAAGATCGTCGATCTCTACAACACTGGAAAACTGGAGCGGGATGCTGGCTGCGACGAGGAACTGACCATGGAGAACAAGATTTCCGGTGTCCTCAATAAGGTCCGTGGCGAGGCAGGTGACATTTGTTTTTCGGAACTCACCCAGTGGAATTCACCACTTATCATGGCCAAGTGCGGTTCCAAGGGTTCCAACATCAACGTTGCTCAGATGGTTGCTTGTGTCGGACAACAGATTATTGGTGGTGCACGTGTGCAAGATGGTTTCCAGGATCGTACACTTCCACACTTCGCCAAGGGCGGCCGCCTGCCCGATGCGAAAGGTTTCGTGGCGAACAGCTTCTACTCGGGCCTGACTCCCTTCGAGTTCATCTTCCACGCCATGTCTGGCCGTGAAGGTCTGGTCGATACTGCAGTCAAGACTGCAGAAACTGGTTACATGTCACGTCGTCTCATGAAGTCCTTGGAGGACCTTTCCGCCCAATTTGACGATACGGTCAGGAACTCTGCCTCGCAAATTGTACAATTCAGGTATGGAGACGACAACCTGGATCCCGTGGACATGGAGGGCAAGGCCAAGCCTGTGAATTTCAATCGCTCTTTCGACCACGCTAGGACGACTACCTGGGATAATGACGAACGTGGACTGCTGCCCGAGGAGATACGTGAGATTACCAAAGCGCGACTTGATGCCAAGCGAAGGGAAATCCAGCGATACTCCGAGACGGGCCAAGAGCTAAAGTTCATCGAAGACAATCTCGACTACGTCGATCAAAAGGAGTCGAAGCGTAACTTCTACGATGAAGTCCAGGGGTTCATTCTCGGCAAGGCAGCCGACCTGGAAAGACTTACGACTCGCTTCGTCGAGGTCCAAGAAGACAACAGGCAGAAGGGAGAGGCCATTGCAGATGACGTGGGCTTCTCCAACATTGTCGATGGTGTTTCTAAGATCTCACGTCGCTGCTTGGAATATTTCCTGGACCTTTGCCTCACCAAGCATGCCCAATCGCACGTCCAGCCCGGTCACGCTGTGGGTGCCGTTGGTGCCCAGTCCATCGGTGAGCCCGGAACGCAGATGACGCTTAAGACTTTCCATTTCGCTGGTGTCGCCGGTATGAGCATCACGCAAGGTGTGCCGCGTATCAAGGAAATCATCAACGCCTCCAAGGTCATCAGCACACCCATCATCACTTGCGAGTTGGAGAACAAGCATGACGTGCGTGCTGCTCGCTTGGTCAAGGCCCGTATCGAGAAGACATACCTAAAGGATATCACTCATTACATCGAAGATGTCTGGTACAACGATGGAAACTACCTCAACATGCGCATCGACTGGGATACCGTCAATGCTCTCGGTTTGGAGCTCACCAAAAATGATTTGGAGCTTGCTATTCTCAAGGCACCCAAGCTCAAAATTGGCACAGACTATGGCAGGGTCGAATTCTTCAGCAACCATATACGCATCTACGTCCCTGATTTGAGCGATCCTCAAAGCGAAAAGCATAAGAAGCTTGCCGCAACCCGCTCTGCGGCCTCGAAGGCCAAGAACTCGACTGACGATGCTTATTTCGCTCGCATTCAGATGTTGAAGCGCGCGATACCAGAGATCGCCATCAAGGGCTATCCAGAGGCCACGCGTGCCATCATCAAGAAGGAAGACAACGAGCAAGAGGACATATCGCTAATCGTCGAAGGTTATGGGCTGAAACTCATCATGGCAACACCTGGTGTGAAGGGCACGCACACGTATACCAACTCCGTTCTCGAGAGCTTTGCCGTGCTGGGCATCGAGGCAGCGCGCTCGACCATCATCAAAGAAATCGCCTCCGTCATGGGCTCCATGGACATTGATCCGCGCCACATGCAGCTTCTTGCCGACGTCATGACCTACAAGGGCGACGTCCTGGGCATCACGCGCTTCGGCCTCGCCAAGATGCGCGATTCTGTCCTGCAGCTTGCTTCTTTCGAGAAGACGCCGGATCATCTGTTCGAGGCCGGTTACCGCGGCAAGAGCGACGGCGTGCAGGGTGTGTCCGAATGCATCATCCTTGGCCAGAGCATGAGCATCGGCACGGGCAGCTTCAAGGTCGTTCGGAAGCTGAACCTCTCGCAGGACGACGTGGGAAGGAAGGGTGACGCGTTCGAGGGTCTGTTCAGCTGGTAGACGAAAAAGGCGAGGGAGTCAGGCGATGGGAGGTTCGGGAAGCGAAGCGTTCTGCTTTTGGCTTGCATTGCGGCGGCGTTCATTGGTAGATTCCTCTTCTGGATAAGGTGCAGCTCAGCTTACGTGCGGCTTGCATTCTTGATGCAGCATCCAAAAAGCGATTTTCAAGGGGTGGGATGATCAAGCGATCTTAATTTCCTCTTAACAGTAGCAGGGACGAGGTGGGGAGCGAAAATACCAAATGTTGATTCAGAAGATGTTCCGAGGATAGTCATCGCTCTCCACACGACAGAGACTTCGCTGGCACGTGGGGAAGCCATTGCGATACGCGGAGTAGCACTCTGCGGCAGCAGGCCGCGCGGATCTTCCCCCTTTCCGGTAGATTGCGGAAGGCTGCCTACATCCACCCGGCCTATTACTTCGTCTCGTCCTTCCCAATCGACTTCCCATTTCTTTATGCCGGAACGGCCGTAGCCGAGCACGCCACCCTCGGTCAGCTTGTCCGCCTGCCCGCCTGCCCGCCTGCCGTGCTCCTTGCCTGCTGCAAGGCTGAGGAGGAGGAGGGCTGGGGTTGGGGTGGGGGAACTCATAGTGATCGTGGAACTTGGTCTCTTCGTAATTGCGGCGTAAGACCAGCCGGAAAGCCCTAAATTGCGTGCGCTACTTATCTATCGCGACCGTGCAGATCGAGGTCACGGGAACCAGGGAAAAAAAATAATATAGTGGGAATGGGGGGCAATTGCGGAACAGTGATTTTCTTCTCTGGGTTCTGAGCGTTATCAGCAACATTCGGAGACGCCGAACAAGCTATTTCCCTTTTCGCTGCTTGGCTTCCATGTGGGGTCGTTATGCACCCTGGAGAGCTAATTTCTATAGGTCCATCTTTCGCATCTATGCCGATTTGAGATTGACGAGCTGTCCCTTTCCTGTTCTGATGTGGTATTATTCAGTGGGCGGGACATGACATGTGGGAAAAAGAAAGTTTCCGACGTGGTCATTAGCTGTTTCCGCATCAGGTTTTCGATGCTTGAGTGCGCTCGTGACGGGACTTGGCAGGCTTACTCCTGCTGATCCTTTAAGCGGACGCAGGGAGCTGCTGTATGTACGATGCAGGGGAAGAAGAGAAAGCGGAAGTTAGCGCTGCAAGCAAAGGGAAGAAGGGGCGGGGTTGGCGGGTGGGCGACAGGAGCGGGGTGAAAGTGATGGTGTGGGGATAGGGCAAACCACGCATGGTAGAGAGCGCGGGCGGGCGTGCGTAGCAGCCCCGACATGAAGAGAGCAATCTTGTCCCAATATGGGGCATCTTACCGGAGCGTAACTATCGTCGTGTAACCGCGAGCCAACATCTTGCCGGGTGCCGTGCAAGAAGGCAGATGGTTGGAAAGGGCAGGGGGGCTGGAGGCACCGTAGTTTGGCGTTCGCCACCCAACGCTGCGGAAGCACAACTCTCACGATGGCTGCACAATTTGTAGAATGAGGCACAGATCGGGGCTGTGACGGTCGGCGTCTCTTGGCTCCGGTGGCGCAGCGCCGACGCTTGTTGTTGTCGTGAGAGGGAGCCAGGCCGTTGTTACGGCAGAGTGGAATGTTCGTCGGGGTGGTGCCGGTAACTGTGCCCCCTCTTTGTTGTACGCAATGCCGTCATGTGCGCGCATTTAGGTTCAAAGGCCAAGGCGTTGGACTCTCGCTCTTGGAAGCTCCCTTATGCTGTACGAGGCTGAGGTGGTATGCATGGGGACCAGCAGCCCGCCCAGCACGGGGCCTTGACGTACAAGCGTTGGCTTGCGTAACTGAGTGACTTTTAATGTTGGGCCATGATTGTTCGTCCATTCTTCCACTGATGCTAGTGGTGTGCCTCGTTCGGGTCCCTGCAGGTGCAGGAATGTTGCCATTCTCTGCTCCTCGCTTCATGTACTAAGGGGGAAAAGCAGTACGCGTGGACCCACACAGCCGTTCATGAGCCCTGGCGTGGCTTACCGGCCCGGCCGCATGGCTCGGCTTATGCGTGGAACTCGCGTGCAGCAGGCTCGGGCGTCGGGTCGAGCGGACTTGGGGAAGTTACACCCCCGGTGCACATCCTGGTACGTGAGACGTCTGGTACGGGCGCTTAGAGGAAGCTTGACGCCTACTTAATGCCATAAAAAAACCTTTCTTACTCGGTATTCAAATATCAGCGAGATGTGTAGAATGTAGAAGACGTCGAGGCTGGAAGCAGAGACCGGCATATGGGGCGGTATGCGCAGCTGGGGTGGTTGGTATTGATTGCTGTCCGGCGTGGCCGTTAGTTGGGATCGGTTGCACAGAAGCCGATGGCCGTCGCTGTCCTCTGGGCTGCTTTTGCAATCGGCGCTAACACTCATTGAGACATTTAAGGAGAAGCTTCAATATGCGAGTTGGAAAAGAGAGCGTCATCATAAATAATACGTGGAAAGCCTTCCGGGTATCAATCTTGCCTTCTCCCCGTTCAACGGAAATCATCCTTGCATGGGAAACACTGAAATGACTGAACAGAGAAGTGACTTGCACCGTGACACGGTTATGTCAGGACGTCCGATCCTTGCTGTCGGCATCTCTCTCCCGACGACCCTGGTCCTCGGGCTGATCTTCCCGATCCACACTTTGTCCGTAGAGGTTGGAGAAACCTTCTTCGACACAGGAAGTCGCCGGTGACGTCATCTGAGACGTACTCGTCGAAGAAGTACCCACATTGTTGGAGAGGCATTGGCGACAGGTCTCGGTGACAACACCGCAGCCTTTGCACTGTTGGCATATCGGGTTGCGGTAACTTAAACAGGAAGCTGATGTGAGCTGATGTTGGTATCTGGGAGCTGGGTGTTGCTTCTTACCCCTGCGGATGTCCGGCACACTTGGGGCAGGTCGAGATGGCTAAGCCACCGATGCAGACGTGCTGGGCGGGAGGCGGCGCAGGTTCCGTGGAACGTGCATCAGCTGGCCAGGAGCTGGACATATTGACTGCCGCTTCCCGAAGGGTTGTAGGGCGTGGGCGATGCCGGTGCTGTTTGCAAAGACTGAGCAGCTCAAGACTCGAAGACCTTCCAGCCGGCGTGTTGATTGATGACAGTATATGAGAGCCTGATCGATCATTTACGTGTGGGCACAGGGCGACCGTTGACCGCTTATAAGAGGAGCGCGGTATAAACATGCCATTCGATCATTGATCCTCCCGACTCTCGTGGACCAGTCAGAGTCAGGGCGACAGAGTACTGGGACACAGCCTCTGCCGACTGGCGGCAAATTGAGACCACGGTGATCGAGCTGAACTTCCGCCGGATTGGCGCCCAATCAAGCATTCTCGTAAGATCAGCCACAGAAGTCAGCCGGACAGAATCCGGGGCACTGGACTACTGGAAGCCTCGGACGGACCGGGACACAGCATTATGCCGCTCGAACTTGCCAAACCAGTGCGCCGCGGGACCGTTGAGCTCGAGGCCATTTGCAAGACACCGTACGTGAACTGCACGGGGAGAGGCTGGAGTACAGTGCGTCCTCCAGGTAAGCTTGAGCCATCATAGGGGGGGACGGCAACAGATCTCGCATCATTTGGGATTGCTGAACGCACAGAACTACAGTGAGCATATTCTGCTTTAATTGTGGGAAGCCTGTACTTATAAACACGCAGTCTGTGTTGTGTGTGATCGCTAGATGCACATCTGGAGCCTTCACCGCCGTGTGCCTCTGTTGGGTTGGCCTGTACGACGTCTTCATCGGCGCTACGCGGAACACGGAGAAAAGACAGCACAGACAGCCACTGCGAAACTCTGAGTCTTAATTGCGCCAGGGCATCGTGTCGTGCTCTGAACAGCTCACCGCTTTCTCTGTCGATGGGTGGAAACCAACCCAGGCTGAAACATTGCCGTCGTTCGTTCGATGACTGGTGGAACGGTGTGAGTAGGCTTCGTTTCCTTCACAGGCAGCCTCTTGCCTTTGCAGAGGCGTGCGGCTATGTTCAGAGTTTTTTTTTTTGTTCGTTTGTGGTTCTGCTGATCCGACTGCAAACGCGCTCACCGTGAACTTACAGCATGACCCCAGTACTGCAACAGTTAGCAAGTCACGCAGATCTTCTAGAGTTGACGCGTAGAGAAGTGACAGGTTTACGGGTATCTTGTAAAGGAGCTGCATCACAAAGACCGGGAAACAGTCTAGATAGCGCCACATCTGCGGGTTTGTACATGCCAAAGCATTCGTGTGAGATGTATTTACTCGACTGCTGAGAGTTTTCACGCAGTGGCCGGAGATAGCTTCGCTGAATACAGCGCCACGGCCTTCCTTCGAGGTTGCATGAGCCACAAGACGTGTTACAGTGGCTACTGTCCTTGACTGATGGAGCATTCGAACGGCTGCCTGCATGGTTGTCTTCGGACACCGCCTTAGAGATCAGGTGAGGGAGATAGCTGCGCCACGTGGTCCAAGACGTGCCCGAGAATCGGTACTCGGCACCTCGACAAGAAATATTTCTCTGTGTCTGTAGCCGCAGGCGCACCGTCTCCGGCAGAAGGGGGCTAATGATACGAGAAATTGCAATGAACAGGCAGGTCGTTGATCTATCGCCGATCCGATGCGAATGGCTTTCTTGTCGTTCCTTTGCTTGATGGTTTCCACAATGCCACCGTGGGGGTAGGCAGGCGATGCCCTGAAGTTTCCCGTGGGTTGGTTAAGGTTGAGTTGCATTTCGAAAGGCCTCGTATTGGGTCACGGCCTTGGACCAGCACTGTACGTAGCCTGTGGGCCCTCTGATAGTGGACAAGTTGCAGGCGCACGGGCTGGACATCTGGACATGGACTATTGAAGCAGCTCGGCCGGTATGTTAAACTCCTTTTGGATGCGGCCGATCTTGGTCATGAGGTCCTCGAGCTTGACTTTGTCGGCGTCCATTCCAGAAACGCCAGGGATCTCCATCTTTGGAGGGTCCATGTCAATCTCAATGGTCACCTAGATAGGCAAGAGAGCGGACGTCAGCCAGGGCGTGTCAGGGCTGCGGGATGTGAGCAGTAGGAACGTCGGAAGATTTACCGCTTCGTCCTCACAACGGTAATCCAAACCTACCGGACCATCGTTCACGAGCGCAACATCCATCATGGCTTGGAAGACGCCGTCTTTGACTTTGTCTTTGCCGTGGAGCTCTTGGGTCTTCTTGAAGAAGGAAGAGTAGAGATCGCGGGCCAGCTGCTCGGGGGCCGATCTGTGGAAGCTTGGTTTCTTTCCCTTTTTGGTGGATGCAAGCAGGGTAAACTGTGAGACTGCACGCCGTGGCACTTAGCGAGCGGCTCGCCAGACGGTCAGGGGCCAGGTCGGCTCACCGCACAAGACTTCGCCCCCGACGTCCTTGACATTTCGTTTCCACTGGGCAGGCCGTCAGAAGGTGAAACTGGACTCGGGGCGGGAGAGGAATACCTTGCCGCCCTGGTCGTCGTCCCACAGCTGCATCGAGAGCACTTTGCCGGCCATCTTCTCGGCTTCGGTCAGCGTGTCTTCCTTGCCCACGCCGACGAAGACGAGAATGCCCTTGGCGATGGTGGAGATGAGGGTGCCGTCGACCGTCACCGACGCCGACTTGACGCGCTGCAGCACGGCTACGCTATTTCAGCACGCATCCCATCAGTTTGCTTGCGCGGACGGCTGGTACCTTTCATGGTGTGGGCTCGTACGGCAGGGCGGGTGGGTTGTGACACGTCGCAATACGGGGCTGCAGGCGACGCAGCAGGCGAGCCGCTCAACAGACGCGCAAGAGGCCAGTCGCAGGCGTGGCAGAGGGCGCGGGCGGGCGCGATGCAGAGCGGGCGTGAGGCGTGGATGGTCTGGGCTGCCTGGGCTGCCGCGCTGCGGCCGGGGGTGGAGGGTGCATCGCCAGGGCGGCCGCCGGCGGGCGGGCTAGGTACGGGCAGCGCAGCGCCCGGTCACGTGCGGGCCTGCAACGCCGACCAGCTACGCCCAGTCGTTTGCTCCCAGCTCCAGACACCATCTCGCAGCCTCGCGCCCTCCGCTCTCGCGCGCACGCCCCCCGGCCTCTCCACGCCCCTCCCCATCCCTCGAGGCTCCACCACCCGAGCCACCCTCCGCCCGCGCCGTCCGCTCCGCACCCCACCTGCCCCGGCGAGGCTACCCACGAGACACCATGGCCGCGCGCAAACTCGCCCAAGAGATCGACCGCTGCTTTAAGAAGGTCGCAGAAGGCGTCGCCGCGTTCGAGGGCATCTACGAGAAGCTGCAACAATCCACCAACCCCGCACAGAAGGAGAAGCTTGAGGATGCGCTCAAGAAGGAGATCAAGAAGCTGCAACGGTCACGAGATCAGATCAAGGCCTGGGCAGCTTCCAATGAGATCAAGGATAAGAAGCCGCTGCTCGACCAGCGCAAGCTGATCGAGACGGTATGTGTCTGGCCCGCCGGCCGCCTGATTCCCGCCGCCGGCTGAGGCACACACACAGCGCTGCTAACGCGGACACAGCAAATGGAGAAGTTCAAGGCAGTGGAGAAGGAGATGAAGACGAAAGCCTACTCGAAAGAAGGCCTCTCGGCCGCGTCAAAGCTCGATCCGAAGGAGAAGGAGAAGGTCGAGGTGTGCGACTTCCTGTCGAGTATGGTCGAGGAGCTGGAGCGCCAAGTCGAGACCACCGAAGCCGAGGCCGCCACCCTACAAGCCGGCCTGAAGAAAGGCAGGAAGGACAACGCAAAGGCAGAAAGGATAGCCGAGCTAGAGCGCCAGGCCGAGAGGCACCAATGGCACGTAGGCAAGCTGGAATTGGTGCGGCGTTCGTTGGAGAACGACGGCATAGAGGTCGAGCAGGTCAAGGAGCTGGAAGAAAGCATCCGCTACTACGTGGAAAACAACCAAGAGGTGGACTTCATGGAGGATGACGCGCTGTACGATGACCTGAACCTGACAGAAGGCGAGGACCTGTTCGGCATGACCCAGGACATGGACAAGGTCTCGTCGCAAGATACGCAATCGATACAAGACGACAGCCACGAAGAACCCCCACGGAACGTCGGCCCCTCTACCAGCAAGGCGAAGGCCGGACCAGAGCCATCGACAGCAGGAGCGAGAAGACCGTCAACCCAACTCAAGTCTCCCTTGCCAACACTATCGACGTTACATACCCCTGCGCAGGCCACGACAAACGGCGCTAGCACAAGCACCATGAAGCCGGCGCCGTTGCCGACAAGAGCTCCTGGCGAGCCCTTGAAGTACGCATCAGCCGCCGCCGCCGCCGCTGCGAGCGACAGGCATAACGTGGGCATTGCACCTTTGCCTCCGCCACCTGGTGCCATCCATGCCAACCACCCCCTGCGCTCAAGCGCTGCATCGTCGCCCGCCGTTCCCCACGCCCAGCTTGCCACATCGCTCGCAGCCAACCAAAGGCCGCCGGTCGCGTCAGTCGCAAGCCAGGATGGCACAACACCGATTACTGCCAAGTCTCCGGCACTCAGCCACTCCAGCGCTGCACCGGCGAGCACAGAAGCAAGTAGCATACCGGCAACTCCGGCACAGGAGAAGCGAAGTGTGACACTTGCGAAGCCATGCAAGCCGTCCGAGGCCGTCGAACAGCCGCTAACGAATGGAGACAAGCACGCACAGGCGGCCAAGGAGGAGTCGGTGTATCACTTGCCGTCCAGTTTGCAGGACCTTCTCGAGTCGTTCGAGGCGGTCAAGGAAGATTCGCTGAATTCGCATGTTGACGATCGTCTGATGATCACTTCTCACAGCAGCCATCCTGAGTCTGTTGATGCAGACAAGCCGCGCCATTACCGCCCGCAGAATCCTTACCCTTACACGCCCTCGCACTACCCGCAGGAGCCGCTGTCCATCTTCGATGATCCTCGGTTGTACTCTCGTGTCGATACAGATTCCTTGTTCTACGCCTTCTACTACCGTCAAGGTACTTACGAGCAGTACCTGGCAGCCAAGGCTTTGAAGTCTCAGAGCTGGCGCTTCCACAAGCAGTACCAGACGTGGTTTCAACGCCACGAAGAGCCCAAGTCCATCACGGAGGACTATGAGCAAGGGACGTATCGTTTCTTCGACTACGAGAGCACCTGGTAAGGCTCGGGCCCCGTTTTGCAAGCGAGAACAATGGCATGCTAACTTGATGACAGGATGAACCGGAGGAAAGCGGACTTCAAGTTCGCATACAAGTTCTTGGAGGACGACCTCTGAAGGAGGCTCCCAACGTCAGTGTATCGACTATTTAAGGCTGTTTGCGTTGATAGCTCTACCAAAATAGCGTCAGGGGGCCGGTTCTGACGGCCACACTTTGTTTTGCTCAGACGAGATGGATTTTGCATTTTTCTTTTGACACAGGCAATCAACGACAGTCGTCACGGAGGGACGGTGCACCGTCGTGGTCGGAGAAGTTATGCTTGCTGTAGTAGTCTTCGAAAGATTGAGGAAAATGAGATTGGAGCCTGCAGGCTTCCATCCAATCTTTGGTTGCTCCGTCGTGCCACTGCCGATGACGATGATTGGCCACTTGATTGCGCGGCCCGTGCCCACCGCCCTGACGACGCACCATTCGAGCCGGCACATTGCCACTGACTGCCATTGCTGGCAAATGTAGGAAGCCGACTGTCGATTGCACTGTAACGTGATCAGAACACGCTTCCAATTGGGCTGCATGGGGGACATGATGTTCTCCCGCCGCGTCAAACACCAGGTCCGCCCTTCCCTGATGTCATCTCAACCCAGCGGGAGGTCTTCAATCCAGTCACAACGATCGCCGGGCTCGTTCTGCTTAGACAGCCTTCTCTGTCAGCCTTGCTATCCGACTGGCACCTGCGGTCCTCGCATGGCACTCTTTGTTGGCGGCAAGGCTTCCTATGAGGGAACGCGCGGACTTGTGTGACTACAGTGATAGTAATTCCCCGGCTCGCCACATTCAGAGTGGTCAGCACTATCTCTAGAGCGTGGCATGACTCAAAGTCAATAATGATAACGTGCATGTGAGCTGTTGCATGTGGTCAAGGAACAAAGGGCGGCCAGTGGAATAGCGTTCTCCCGCGATCGTCATCACTGCTCGACAACAGGGCCACGGTTTTGGCTGTTGATACATCATCACCAGGGCAGTACACAGCCTTGTAGTGCGGGGCCGTCGTGGGGTCATAGTTGATCAAGCGGCCTATATTTAGTCGACCAAGCAAGGGGCGCGGCGGTTACACGGGTTGGGTGCAGGCCGAGCGTTTCGTCGACGGGACGGACGGTGTGCCAAATTGGCCGAGTCGTGATGGTTCAGAGCTGGCAAACAGACGCAGGCAACGAGGCGACGAGTCGACAGCATCGTGGCTGCATGGCGGGCGGCCGATCGACCGACCCACAGGTGCGGGGCCACGGGGCCAGCACACGGGACATGGATCTTGAGGCTATAAAGGCTCACCGGGCTGTGCGCGATCCATTAATTGCCTGGCTGTGCTCCGCCTCATCGCCTTCCTCCGAGTCTGCCTTGCGCCGCTCAGCCTTCGCCAAACAAGCCTCGCCATACGGCCCGAGCCGTCGGAGACTGCAAAGCCAGGCCTTTTACGAGACCACCTTCTCCGCTCTGGAGGCCGCCGGTCAGCAGCTCGCTTACGCTTGCCTGCAGCACATCCCTGATACGTGCGGCCCGCAAGGCTCACCCGCCGTATCCAGCAACGCCGGCCGTCAGTATGGCAGGATGCCGGCAGGCAAGAGAGGGACAGACGCGCCGCTCACAGCTCGACAGGGGAGGGCGAGGCCAGGAGCCGCGGGCGAAATTGCCGGTGGTGGTCCGCGTGGACTTTTTTGCCGGCGACAACTGCCTGCTGAAGAAGAGGGTCGTTGCCAAACTCGGCAACGTGCATCCCCGTGCATCCTGCTGCCTAACAACGATAACGACCAGAGCCGCAGTCGACTGTCCCGCCTGTCCCGCCTCCGGCTCTCGGCCTGCAACCCTGCCGCTCGTTCCAGAGAGGCCCCGCCCAGCACCCTTCCGCCGGCTCCTCCAGGGACAGGAACGCGTACGAAACCGCGACATGGCTCTCGCCCTCACGGGGCTGAGCCCTACCTCTGCCCGCCCTGTCTGGCCGGACGTGACACACGCAGCAAACGGCCCATTGATCCACGTCGAGACTGAGGCTTCGGCAACCCCTGTCCAGCCCTGGGGAATGTGACGAGAGTCCGTCGTCAAATGGTTAGCCCCCAGCCACTTTGCAGCTCCACCATTGTTCGCCCTGCTGGACTCAAGCCTCATCATCGAGTCCGTCGAGAAGCGCTTACACAATGGCTGTGCCCTCTGCAGTGCACGCTTCATCAGACTCCGCTACGTGTCGCGCTCTCATTTCCCAGCTGCCGCTCACTGCCATCAGCTGCAACGTCCCGCGAGCTCTGCCTGTTCCCACCATTTGTCGAATCTTGCTCTTGCCCACCTTCCCACCCGTGCAATCGACCGTTTGCCTTTTGCGTGTGGCCATCAGGCAACCGAAGGGGGAATCCAAGGAATCGAGAATTGGGGCGGTCAGACCAACGGAGACACATCCAAGAGAGAGGGCGGGTGTTGATATATTGTCCATCTTCGCCACTCAGCCCAGCAACGAAGATCCCCGAAGCAGTCCATACATCAATCTATGTCGGAACTGCCGGCCTGTAAGAGCAACGCGTCAGGCATCAGTGCGTATCTATTCCCCGAGCACCCGCATATGGGGCTGATCAGATCCAAGGCTCCGTGAACCTAGACCCCAACACCCCAAGGCGAAGGCGCGGGAACCAACGCCTCACCTTTCTGTCGCGCCATGTCGGAATTTGATCCACAGGAAGATGAGGTATGCACTTCTTCTCGAGTTGACATGCATTGGTCTGACAATCCCTCTCCAGGGCTACGACTGCGACTCGTATCAGCAGTCGCCGGGCGTCCATTACAGGCAAGCCAGCTTGACTAGCTACTCGGCCTATGCGACTCCACAAAACGAGATCGCACCCGGACAACAACAAGCGTACTATGGGCACCCCTATCCCAATGTAGCAACGGATGCGAGAAGTTGGTCCCAGGAAGCAAGCACCTATCAGGGCGAAGCCAATCAATGGAGCATGCACCGCGCCGCATATGCTCAGCCTGGAATGACATACCCGGCCGCCTACTCGGATTTTTTCGAGGGTACGGATGAGGCTGTACATGGGAATCCCTCTGGGTTCCAGTTCCCGGGGGCCGAATCTTCCGGAGGAAACTATGGGCCCGGGGCTGCTGAATATCACCATCCAAACACAGCCGGTCACTCAGCCCACACGAACTACAGATATCCTCATGCGTCGACCATGAACTATCCACAGGGAGCACAGGGGGTTTACGGAGGGGCTTCCCACTTAGATGGCACACCGGCGCTGAGAGTGCATCAACCAGCAGATTCCGGACGGGGAGAGCTTGTACGTTCGGCAAGCACAAGCGGGTATTCGGAAGGCTCTGCCCATGCTCTTTCAACTGCTGGATCGTCGATGCTGAGTCCGAATTATGGACACGAGGCAGAATATGAAGAGGAAGCAAGCTCCGAAGGCTCACGCTCGCCGGACGCGCAGGTGCCGGCGTCACCGAACACGGCGAACGACCCGGAGCGCAAGTGGAAATGCAAGCAATCCGAGTGTGCGGAGAGAAAAGGGTTCAAGCGGCACACTGATCTCGTGAGGCACATGAGCACGGTACACCACCGGGAGGACCAGGGAAAATTCGATTGCGTCCAACGGACATGTCCGAGGAAAGGGGAAAACGGATTTACAAGGAAGGATCATCTGACGGAGCATCTGAGAAACTTCCATTTGCGGTCCATCCCGAAGCGGAGGGGCCGCAGTGGAAAGAGCCCTGAGTAGTCGGGGTGTATCGAAGAACGGAGCTGATGGGTTCGGTCTCGGCAAGTTTTTTTTTTTCTTGTTGTCGCTTCTTGCTTTTTTGTTTTGTTTTGTTTCTCCGTTTCTCTTGTCGTCCCGGGATGGTGGGGTATGCAAGGGTAGATAGCCGGGGCTGTCACATGTGATTGTGTTTCTTTCGGTTGCGGGTGCAGTTGAGGGGAAGATCAGGATGCTTTGTCGAGTCAGTCAACGGCAGAAGCGCTTGCATAAATTGAGGACGGTCAATGGCACGACATGGAGTGTGAAGAGCGGGGGCCGGGTGATTCAAAGAGGAACAGGGCAGGCTGTTGCAGAGGGTGTGTCGGCGGGGAATGCGTTCCTTGCAGGTGGAGACGCAATTAGAGCTTCTAGAAAGGCGGCAGCGGAGAGGATGGCAATGGCTGCGCCATGGATTGTCTGGCCTAGACTTGAAACGGCCGATCACAAGACGCTCGTCCAATCCAACACGCAGCTCCCCGGTCCGCACCTCCTGCCCATTTAACAACATCCATTCGGCACCGCCCATCGCCAGCTGCCTCTTTGGGCTCGGCACCGAGATGGCCCAGCGCCAACGACAGCCCGGCCAGCCCGTCCGCCAGGTCCGCCGGCCAAGCGCCCGCCGCCCCCATGTCGCCCGTCCTCACCACCGCACGCAACAATCTGCCGGTTGGTCGAATGTCGGGCCCCGCCGTCAACCTCGATTCCGCCGTGTATTGCGGCCGGAGCAGGCTGCCTGATGGGCGTCGTGACAATTGCTGCGGGGCCACCAGCCTGCGCTGTGCTGACCACAGCTGCTGTGACCATGTGTAACCACGGCGAAGCCCACAATATAAAAGAGATTGCCATCTGTCGTTGGTCGCCAGCACCAGTCCGCTCCGCTCGACGTCTTTGCCCCAAAATGAAGACATCGCTGTTCGCCGCCGCTGCTGCCGCCGCCCTGTGCCGCAGTGCCCGCGCGGCCACTCCCGCAGAATGGCGTTCCAGATCCATCTACCAGGTCCTCACTGATAGGTTCGAATCCGCCACAGCCCGTGCAACGTGAGCTTGACTTACTGGGTTTGGCAGGTTTGCTCGTACCGACGGCAGCACCACTGCCACCTGCAACACCGAGGACAGGGTCTACTGCGGTGGAACGTGAGTGCTTCCTCCATGCCTTGTCTTGGCCGTCTCACCCATGAATGCAGCTACCAGGGCATCATCAACCACCTGGACTACATCCAGGGCATGGGCTTCACCGCCGTAAGCCTGTCCGTCCCCATCACCTTGCCCTCACTCTCTGACCCTTGTAGATATGGATTTCGCCCGTCGTCGAGAACCTGCCCGAGGATACCGGCGAGGGCGAGGCCTACCACGGCTACTGGCAGCAGGATCTGTACAGCCTCAACACGAATTTTGGCAGTGCCGATGACCTCAAGAACCTCGCAGCCGAGCTGCACGACCGCGACATGGTACTTACGGCTCAGTTCCCCATCTTCTGCGGCATTTGCAACCGGCTGACTCTCGCTCGAAGTACCTCATGGTTGATATCGTCGTCAACCACAACGGCTGGGCGGGCTCAGCAAGCTCCGTGGACTACAGCCGCTTCAACCCGTTCAACTCCCAGGACTACTACCACTCCTACTGTGTCGTCAACTACGACTCCCAAGACAGCGTCGAAGACTGCTGGCTCGGAGACGACACGGTCGCCCTGGTGGACCTCAACACCGAGGACTCTCGGGTCGTATCGGGCTACGAGACGTGGATCTCAGAACTCGTGGCAAACTACTCCAGTGAGTACTTACCCGGCGCATAGAAAGGGGATGATGAATGAACGCACTGCCCACTCACACACGCCCCCGACCAGTCGACGGCCTGCGCATCGACACAGCCAAGCACGTCGACAAAGCCTTCTTCCCGGGCTTCGAAACCGCCGCCGGCGTCTTCGCCACGGGCGAAGTCTTCGACGGCGACCCCTCCTACACCTGCGACTACCAAAACTACCTCGACAGCGTCCTCAACTACCCCCTCTACTACCCGCTCATCCGCGCCTTCACCTCCCCCACCGGCTCCATCTCCGACCTCGCCTCCATGATCGCCACGCTCAAGTCCGGCTGCAAAGACACGTCGCTGCTCGGCACCTTCTCCGAAAACCACGACGTCACGCGCTTCGCGGCCGTCACGCCGGACCTCTCGCAAGCCAAGAACGTCCTCGCCTTCACCCTCCTCGCCGACGGCATCCCCATCGTCTACGCCGGCCAGGAGCAGCGCTACGCCGGCGCCGCCGACCCCGCCAACCGCGAGGCCACCTGGCTCTCCGGCTACGCCACCGGTACGAATTCCGAGCTCTACGGCTTCGTCGCCGCCGCCAACGCCATCCGCGCAAAGGCCGTCGCCGACGACCCGGCCTACCTCACCTACCAGAACTGGGTCGTCTACAGCGACGCGTCGACGCTGGCCATGCGCAAGGGCTACGACGGCGCCCAGGTCGTCGCCGTGCTGAGCAACAAGGGTTCGGGCGGCGATGCGTACACCCTCGACCTCGCCGACACGGGCTGGACGAGTGGGACTGCCGTCGTTGAGGTCCTGACGTGTGAGACGGTCACCGTGTCGGGCGATGATACTGTCCCCGTGCCCATGGCCAGCGGGTTGCCGAGGGTTTATTATCCGCAGGCGAAGCTGGTGGGGTCGGGGATCTGTGACTTGTGATTGATTGTATTGGTCTGCATGAGCGGTGTAGGGGGGGAAGATTTGTTCTTTGTTTTTCTTTTTGATAAACAAGGGAAAAGGAAGAAAAAAAACCGGAACGCGAGCCGAAAAAGAAAAAGGGGGCAGGTATATGGGAGACATGTGTTGTTTTCTTCTTCCGGGTTCTTTTTTCGTAATTCTTTTTCTCTTTCTCTCTATCTTTACTGATTAATCTGTTATGAGTATATATATATCCTTGACCTGTCATCTAAGGGAATTCTTATATCTTCCATATCAATCTACGAAGGAAGTACGCTTCTCTTTCAAATGCGCTCCTCCTCCTCCTCCTCCTCCTCCTCCTCCTCCTCTCTGACATCGAACAGAACCACAGCCGGTCAAGGGAAGTGGCGAGAATCGTTATACGCCGTCCCACAGCTACGTTGTCGGCGTGTTGTCTTAGTGCGAATTGAGGAGCAGTGAGGAAGGAGGCTGTCACTGTTTTGATATATTTCTGATCTGCCAATTACAGCTGCAGTGGTGGAGATTGTTCCATCCGCATTTTTGGAAAGTATAAAGAATTTATAGTATTTGAAATCACACATGCTTCGTAAAGGTCATCACAGACTGGAGAAGAACGAACATACCACCCCCCTCCTCCACCCACTACAAATTCGTAAATGCCAAGCCGCCCATATGCACGACTGAAACAATATCCCACCGTGCTACGCTCAAGACGCATCCGCCTGTCCATGCATATCTTCACAGTTCTCCATCTAGATCAGATCAGAAGCACGAAACAAGTAGCCGAAATGCTGTAAACCAAAAAAAAAAAAGGAAAAAAAAGGAGAACTATCCATTCCCAAACAGATAAACATAACCCCACCAGCGTGACCAGCGAGGAGTAGAAACAAAGTGCCAACGACATTAATAAAAAGAACCCAAAAAAGAAAGAAAAAAAATTACCGATACAGAAAAAAAAAACAGACAAACGGAAAGGTCATGACACAAACCTCAATCAAGTCTTCACCAACTTCCTCAACGACCCAAACAACCCACCACCACCACTGCCACCACCCCCTTTACTCGAACCATCCTTCGACGACCTATCCTTGTCCTTGTCCTTGTCCCTAGACGACTTACCGCCGCCGCCGCCGCTACCGCTTCCATGTTGCCGATGCCGCTCGCTCCGTTCCCGCGGCTCGGCACCGCCCCTGTCTCGATCGTCCCGCCTGCGCTCCCTGGAAGCCGCGGCGGCAGCAGGATCCATAGCCGCGCTTTCTCTCCTTCTGCGTCTCTCGCCGTCATCCGTAGCCCTTCTCTCACGCTCACGCTCACGCTCACGCTCCCGATCTCTATGCCTATCCCTATCCTTCTCCTCTCTCGTCCTGCCGCTCCGATGTTCCCGCTCTCGCTCCCGCTCCCGCTCGCCATGATGTCGCCGAGTCCTATCGCTATCCGTCCTCTCCGCTGCCGCCCTAGACGACGTCGGCGGCGCCGGCGGCGGTGGTAGATCCTCAAAGCTGCCGGGTGCCGAGTCTTGCAGCCTGCTTTCTCGCCTGCTGCTGCGGTGGTGATGAGGCGAAGAATGAGCCGCGTGCGAATGCCGACGCGAAGAATGTCTCTTCCTCCGCTCGCTCGACCCGCCACTGTTGCTGTTTGCGCCTTCTCCTCCTCCTCCTCCTCCTCCTCCTCCTCCTCCTCCTCCTTCTCCACCACCACCACCGCCGCCGCCGCCGATGACGCCGGCGTTGCTGCTCTCCGCCCTGCTCTCGTCGACGCTGACGTCTCCACCACCACCGCCGGCCCCCTCCGCGGCCTGGATCCATTCGAACATGCTCTCGTCGAGCTTGCGCTCCGGCAACTCGTCGACGGGAGAGGGCAAGGAGTCGGGGATGGGCTCTTGCGACGGGGGAGGCGTGGCCGTCCCCGTCTCGTTTGAAATCGAAAAGTCATCCGATCGGCCGCGGTCTTCCTCGCTTATGGGCGGAGGCGTGGGCGGGTACTCTCCCGCGCGGCGGCGTTCGGCTTTGCGGCGGCGATGCCGCTCTTCCTCGCTGGGCGTCCGCTGCTCGTGAGTGCGGCGGGAAGAGCGGTGGGCGGACTCGCGCTCGCGTCCTTTGCCTTTGTCGCGGGGTCGGACGAGGCGATCCTTGTCCCCGGATTTGTCGGGCGTCGTGTTGGAGCGGCTGAAAAGACCCATGATTCCCGTACTGGGGCGTTTAGGGCTGGTGGCACGAGTGTGGACTTCAGTGTTGCGGCGGCGCGGAGCAGGCGGTGGGAGCTCTCCGCGGAGTTCCTTGGCCTCAATAGTTGGCGACGGTAAAGCCTCAGCAGGCAGGTCATCTCTTTCCATGGTAGACTGTCGCCGTTCCTTGTGTCGACGTTCCTTACGACGTTGGCGGCGGGCTTCATCCTCTGCTTCTTCCAACTTCTTCGCTTCTTCCACCGCCAAACGGGCAATCTCTGCCTCCTTCTCTGCGCGCCGTCTCTTTCTTCGCTCCTCATCCTTCTGCTTTTGACGTTCTTCCTCGGCCTTTCGCGCAGCCTTGTGCTCTTCGTGTCGCTTTCTACGCTCTTCTTCCTCCTGCGCCTCACGCTCCTTCTCCTTTTCGCGTTCGCGTCTGCGCCGTTCTTTCCGACGCCTTTCCCGCCTCGCCTCAGTATCCTCGCCGGTATCATCGACGAGGGCGGACGCTCTACGATCCCTCCTCTCCTTGTCCCGGTCAGAGACAGTAGCGGATGACCGCTTCAACTTGTGCTCCCTGCTCCTGTGTTCACGGACCTCGCCCTGAATGTGAGAACTGCGCTTCTCTTTACCTTGGCTAGATGAGCCCTTTCCACTAGATCCTATGCCCTCGCTGGCATCACTCATCCGTCTTGAGCGCACATAAGCGTTGGGAGACGAAATGGAGCTGCGACGCCTGTGGCTCGAAGCCTCAAGCGCCGGGACAGCATCCACTTCAGCTGTAGATGCCTCGATTATTGTCCCGGGAGCTTCCATAGCAGGGAACTCCTCGGCCACCGATTCAGGCTCTTCTGAAGGCTCTTGTTCCTCGACAACGGACTTGGGTTCTTCTTCAATTGCCGGTGCCTCCTGCGGTTCCTGAGACTCTTCAACGGGGGCCGACGGCTCCTCGGAAGCAGTCCGAGCTTCTTCATCAGTAATAGGGGCCTCTTCGAGAGCAGCGGGCACCTCCTCAGCAGGAGCCGGGGCCTCTTCAACAGCAGCAGGCCCCTCCTCAGTAGCAGCCGGGGCCTCCTCAACAGCAGCGGGCACCTCCTCGGTAGCAGCCGGGGCTTCGTCTAAAACAGCTGGGTTTTCCTCGCCAGAAGCCGGAGTCTCCTCGACAGCCGCGGGGGCCTCTTCAACGGCAGCAGGTGCCTCTTCAGCAGCAGATGGAGTCTTGTCAACGGCTTCTGGGGCCTCTTCAGCAGCTGCTGTAGCCTCGTCAACAGCCTGCGTCTCTTCGGCCACGGCTGAAGTCTCTTCGACTGCAGCAGGGGCTTCTTTGGCAGCGTCTGGAGTTTCCTCGACAGCGGCCGGGGCCTCTTCAGTAGCGGCAGAGGCTTCTTCACCAGTAGCGGCAGAGGCTTCTTCACCAGTAGCGGCAGAGGCTTCTTCACCAGTAGCGGCAGAGGCTTCTTCACCAGTAGCCGGGGGGACCTCCTCCTCAGCAGCAGCAGCAGCAGCAGCAGCAGCAGCAGTCGGGGTCTCTTCGACAGCAGCAGCCGGGGCACCTTCACCACCGGTCGGACACTCCTCCTGAACAGGGGCCTCGCTCGGAGGCGGCGGCAGCGGCGGCTGTTCCTCACCACCCGTCGGCACAGAATCGTCATTGGCCTTCTCTTCCAGGCCCTCCGCAGCATCCGCGTCCGCGTCCGCGGCCGCCTCCTCGCGACGCACGGGCTCCTCCTCCTCCTCCTCCTCCTTGCTGACTTCGAGAACTGCTTGCTGCGGTTCCGATGCTGCTTCGGTGGGCTGCGTGTCTTCCGTCGGTGGGGCAGCGCTCGAATCCGCGGTGGTGTCCTGCGTCGGCTCGATGCTGGAATCAGCTGGGACGTCGGTCGATTCCTCAGCGGGGGCCTCAGCGGGGGCATCAGCGGGGACCTCAGCGGGTTGCTCGGCAGCCTGTCCATCTTCGGGCGTGACTTCAGCCGGCTGAGCTTCTGCGTTGTTGTCATCGCCGCCGTCACCGCTGCCTTGGGCGGCCGGGGCGCTCTCGGTTGAGCCTTCGGGATCGGGCGGATTGCTGGGCTCCTCGGTTGTTGCGCTTGTCTCGGGGTCTGGTGCGGTCTCACCTTCCGCTGGCGCTTCGCTGCTCTCTGCGTCCTTCTGGGCATCTTCAGACGGATCAGGACCGTCGACTTCGGCCTCTGGGGTGGTCTCTGATGCCGGCTCGCTGCTTTCAGCAGGCTTTCCGTCATCTTCTGAAGCTCCGCTGGGTTCCGCAGGGGCGGGCAGTGAGTCTTTGCCTTCAGCGTTCTTCTCGTTATTTTCGCTGGATTCATCCTCAGATGGTGTGTTAGACGACTTGTCATCAGCGCTGGGCGGATCGCCACTGCTTTCCTCAGTAGGTGGATCTTGCGGCCCGTTATCAGATGCCGGGTCCACATTATCTGCATTGCTTGGCGCAAGAGGCTCTCCAGAATCAGTAGGCGTTGGGTCTGCCGAGCTCGAACCGTCAGTAGCTCCGCTTTCCGTAATTTCACCTTGCGTGGCTTCGCCATTTGGAGGATCCTCGACGCCTTCACCATCCTTTTTGTCTTCAGCAGAGGGCTCAGCCTTAGTCTCGGCTCCGCTGTCTGATTCTTGCTCTTTGGAAGCTTTTGAATCGGCCTTTTCGAGCTGAGATTCTTCTGCCTTGCTCGGCTCAGCGCTGCTCTCCTCTGTCTGAATTTGCTCAGGTTGATCGGCTGCTGCTTGGCTTTCCTCAGATTGGCCTTCCAGCTGCTCTGGTTCCTCAGTTGGCGCTTCGACAGAGCCACCATTCATGTCCGGATCGTCTTTAGGATCGCCATCTGGCGCTATAGCCGGAGTTTCATCAGAAATTCCTTCTCCAGGCTGAGCCTCATCTGTGGAATTTTGCTCTGGGGCAGCAGGACTATCACTCGGCGGCGTCGCATCCTCGCCTTTCTCGTCCTCTTCTGGCTTCACGGAGGCATCATCTGGGCTCGGCACTTGCTCCGAAGAATCAGGTGGGGAAGATTCATCTGCCTGCTTCGCGGCCTCCTCTTCTTTTCGCTTCTCCTCCGCAGCCGCGTCCTCCAATGCTTTAGCCGCTGCTGCTGCTGCTTCGGCCGCTTCTGCTTCTTCGCGCTCTTTCGCTTCCTTCGCTTTCTTTTCGTCATCCATCACCTCTGCCGCGATGCGTCGATCAGAGTCCGTGTATTCCTCCACCGGAGCCTCCTCGATTTTCTCGGGCTCTGTTGGTGGGTCTGGCGACTCGGCCATATCTTCTGTCTTTGTTTCCTTTTCGCCACCCACAGAATCAGGTGTATTAGGCTCCTGAGCATCGCCATCGCCTGCGGATGAACTTTCAACAGGTTGGTCAGGCGTGACGTCTTCCGAGCCCTGATCCTTTGGCCCTTCATCTTCCGGAGACTCGTCTTTCGGACTCTCCTCAGCGGGAGTTTCTTTCTCGGGCTCGGTGGTCTCCTGTGTAGCAGCCTCTTGCTCAGAATTTCCCTGTGCTTCACCCTCCTTGTCAGGATCCTCCGGATTCGAAGTCTCCTGGCTTGGACCAGGCTCTTCGGCAGATTCCGACTTCGGTAGATCCTGTGGTACCTCGCCACCCTTGCCATCCGCCTGATCTGTCTCGCCATTCGAGCCGTCACAAGATCCAGAATTTTCTTGCGTTTCGGAACCTTCAGCTGCTTCATCCTGAGTGGGTTCATTCTGCGGCTCATCCTCCCCGTCACCATTTCCCGGCTCCTCAGACGCCGGGGCGGCGTCAGCGGGCTGATCACCAGGAGACTCGACTGCTTCACTGCCCCCTTCAGACTCACCAGTCTGCGCATCGGGGGAGGATGCTTGAGCGTCATCGCCGGCTTCACCCTCAGGTGTGGCCTCGGGCTCAACGTCGCCGCCGTCTGGAGCCGCTGGAGGCTGCGAGTCGCCTTCTTGTGCAGATTCGGGCTGAGGGTCATTACTCGGGGCGGGTTCCGTTGGTGCGGCCTCCTCCTCAGTGGTCTCAGCGGGCTTCGAGGCATCGGAATCCGTCTTTGGGTCAGTCGCAGGGTCACTTGGGTCCGCTTCAGGGGGGGCCTGCTTTTCCTCGCTACTACTGTCATCGCCCTTGGTATCATCAGCGGTGACAGTAGCGGCCGGATGCTCCTCAGTGCTCTCTAGTGGGTCTGACGTCTCAGGGGGTGCGTCACTGCTAGACTCCGTTTGCTGGTTTTCCTCGTTTCCACCATCAGCACCATCACCACCACTTTCGACTTCCGCAGTGGGTGCATCGCCGCTTGGCTCCGGTGATTCTTCACCGGGTCCTTCGTTTTCTGCAGCATTTGCGGTTGCCGGATCTGCTTCTGCCTCGCCAGACCCCTCAGCCTCTTCCTTCGCGCTCGGACTGTCCTCGGTGGCCCCGTCCGGTGCATCACCCTCCTGCGGTGACTCTGCCTCTTCAGAAGAAGCCGGAACATGATCCGAGGCAGCTCCTTCAGGTTCCACTGGCTCGAAACCGTCGTCATCATTCCCAGTTTCTGGTTTGCCTCCATCTTCTGGCGGATCGGGGGCGGCTGATGGTGCGCTGTCGTCCTCCGATGATGGACCGGGTTCACTCACTTCCGCCGGCGGGCTTGAATCTGCGGTCTCTTCGGCTTGGCCCGCATTGCTCTCATCAACAGGCGAGTCTGTAGGCGAATCGGCCGCCGGCGGGGATGTTTCCTCTACCTCAACTGGCTTGTCATCTGGACCCGAGTCTCCTGTATTTTGATCTTCAGTGGAATCAGCGGGTACGGCACTTTCTTCAGTTTGTGGCGGCTCGGGGCCGGCAGGGGGCGGTTCCGAATTAGCGGTATCTGCTGGATTATCTGACGCCTCATTTTCCTTTCAAAAATTGACGAATCAGCCTACGTTAATATTTCTGAAAGGTACGCCGCGTACTCACATTCGGCTCTACAGAACTAGGATCTCCAGCTGGAGGGTCTGATTCTGCACCTGCTCCGCCCTGATCGCCGTCACCTTCGGCCACTGGTGGATCATCGGGTGCCGCTGGAGAAGTCTCGTTCGCGTCGTCGTTGGCGCTCGAATCTTTTGAAAATGGAGAGCGTAAGCGGTGGAAAGTCAAAACAAAACGCGATTGTTAAGGTAATTAGAACAAAAATGGCAGCGGCACTGTAGTGTCTGTTGGGCGTGGGTTCAGTGAGTACCTTGATTCTCTGGAGGTTCTGGCGCTGCTGTGGGTTCGGGTTCGGCGCCATTATCTCCATTTTCAGTTGGACCTTCGGCATCAGTTGCTTGCTCCGAACTTCCTTCGCCCTCAGCAGCTGCTTGTGTGGATTCGGTTAAAGGCTCAGGGGCAGCCGGCGGTGTAGAGCTGTCATCACCACCCGTCTGGTCGTCATTTGGAGGCGGCGGATCTGATGCTTCTGGTGCAGAATCACTTGGCTCCCCGTCGGGGGCCTGACCTTCTATGATGCGCAGCGTAATCAGCGCACAGAGCAGTCTTGAGTGCGGGCTCAAGAGAGTTCTCATGGGAGGGACGATGTGGGAAAAACTGTTGATGTGATCTGCTTACCAGAATTCTCCGGTGGCTCTGCAGTCTCTGGAAGTCCTGCCTCGGCTTCTCCATCCGGAGCTGGATCTTCTATTAATAACATATAGTCAGTAGCCAATAGTAGAAGATAGTGCGGAGATGATCAAATAAAATTACACTGTCGTCTACACGGGCGTCATCGCGTGGGGCTTTACACTCACCAGGTGGATTTGGAGGCTCAGGGTCAGCAGCGGGGGCAGCGTCATCACTTTGGCCGGGCTCAGCATCAACCGAGCCACTCTCCGGCTCCTCTGGGACACTTGGAGCCTCGGGTTCTGGTGGCGCTGGGGCCTCAGCGCTGGTTGGCTCCGCATCGGCAGGGGGGTCGGGACTGGCCCCCACATCAACGACGACGACGTCTGCATCGTCGACTTCGCCATCACCTCCGACGTCCACTACTATAACAGGATCCTCTTCTTTCGGCGCATCATCAGCCTTTTGGTCGTCCTGTTTACCCTTCTTACCTTTCTTGGTCATCTTGACCCGCGCCTCTAATCTCTTCTTCTCCTCTTCTCTCCTCTTGGCAATAGCTTCGGCCTTCTTCTTCTTCAGCTCAGCCTCCCTCTCCTTTTTCCTATTCGCCACCTCCTTCTGCTTGGCCTTCTCTCGCGCCAGCGCCTCTTCCTTTTCTTTGCGCTTCTGAGCCTGCTCCTCTCGCTTTTTCCTGTCCAACTCCAGCTTCTCCTTCTTCGTCGGACCCTCATGCAGCCTCTTCTGCGGCTGGGGAGTCACCATCTTCATCTGCACTCCAGGCGGAAGCAACCTGTGCCTGTTGCTCCTCACCGGCATGGCACCACCGGTCTTTGGATCTCGTAAGTCATCTGGAAAATGCACGCTCTTGACGCTGAGCGTAGGGGATGTGGGAGCTACCGTTACAGATGCATCATCACCCGGCGGAGGGACGGGCACGGGTGGCGGTGGAGGCGGGATGAGGCCGTCGCCAAGCATAGGCGGAGGCGGAGGAGGAGGAGGAGGAACGATGAACACGCCGCCGTCGTCTCCAGGGACTGCCGGCGGAGGCGGCGGAGGTGGCGGAACGTCGATGACCATGGGCGGCGGCCCGCTGGCTGGTGCAGGGGGCTCGGGAGCCTCGGGCGCCGCGGGCGGCCTACCTTCGTGATCGTAGTATTCATCCTGTTGAGCGATGCAAGAGCAATGGTCAGCGGAGTGGCCCGAGGAGCTGGAGTCGCCGGCGGCGGGCGTGGCGCGGATTCTGCTACTTGCATCTGATGCATCATGACGCGAGGTTAGCGGGAAAGCTTGGCGCGAATGCAAGTCACGGAAGGCACGCACATTCGTTCGGATAATCGTCATCGTCCTCGTCATAGTCCTCGTCGTCGTCGTCGTCTTCCTCAGCCCACTGGTAGCTGTCTGGAGCTTGCCCGGTCAATGCATGGTGCTGCACCCCATGGCCATAATATTGCTGCACGCTTGTGGCCGGATTCCGCCATGGCGAGAACGAGACTTGGCTCATGGGTATGCGGACCATTGCCCGCGGAGGCTCGGCCATCTGGAAGGAATAGCGGCGCGGCGGCGGAGCGCCCCAGGGGCTCTCGTGCGCGGGCGGAGGCGGAGGAGCGGGAGGGTAATGGGAATGGGGATGCGAGTAGGGATCCTCCCATTCGTCGTAGGACTCTGGCGAGACAGCGTCTTAGATCGTCACAAGTCACAGTCTCCATCAGGGAGCCGAAGAGGGTTTTACCCATGGCGGATATAAGGGATTGCTCGTCTAGGGCCCGTGGGGCATTGAGGCGAGCGGGTGGAGCTGGTCGAGCGGCGATGGGATTTTTAGTGGCTACGGACAGGGAGCGCCAGATCGGCGCATCAGGGACGGCGAGGCGCGTAGCGGGGATATCGTGGCTCGAGTGCAGGGCTTGTCGCCGGCGCAGCGGCGAACAGGAAGCAACGAGGAATTGATCGGTGCAGACGAGGTCAGAGGCATTGGAGTGGTGAGAGCAGGACCATGGCCTCATAGGCGTGCGGCCTCAGCGAGTGTGGGGAAGCGGTGGTGCACGGCAGGATGCGCGCAGCCGCCGGGCCCTCGTGCCTGCTGCGTGTGGCAGAGGTTGAGCAATCAGAGGTGGCCGGGGACCACTGGAGCCACGTCGGCCAGCCTCTATCTGCTGCCATTGAGGGCGCGCACGACGATGAGTGAGCGGCGTGAGTGCTGCGGGAGATTGTCCGCTGCTGCAGTCTGGCTCGTACAGAGCTACGGGCATATGCACGGCTGGCAGCCCGGGCGCCGTCATTGGGGCGCGGCGCGGTGCTGCTGGCGGGCCGGCGACCGCGGGGCAGAGACAGCGAGACAGCGAGACAGCGACGGCTGCGCAACCGGCGCTGCACCATCACGGCACCGTCAACGGCGCAAGTCAGGCAGGCGGCAGGCGGCGTCGTGGCGTGGGGGACCAGTGCGTGAGTGTGCCGGTGGCGGGGATGAGGGTAGGGCACGGTTGACGTGTCGCGCCTGAGGAAGCAGGCTGGAAGCGACTGGCGCTTCTCTGCCCCCAGCCCGCCGCGCCGACCCGCTTTTGGCGCTCGATTCTCGCCAGCTTGCGACATCGCTCGCATCCTCCGCACCCACGCATCGATCGCCCGTCCGTGGTCCCAGCCGCCAGTCCATGCGTGGAACGTGGGACCTCTGCAGCTTCTGTGCAAGCGTCACATGTTGCTTGCAAGAGCCCGCGCCCGCCTGCTGCAAGCAATCGCGCCCCTCCACGACTTCGCCCCAGCTATCTCGAGCCGCACTCGGATTACCCTGTTGGCTCGCTTCCGCCGCGAGTTCGGTCGCTGACGGGCCTGTTCTCTCCGACGCCTGGCCGTGCGGCTACAAGCGGCTGGAGCTACACGGTATATCACATCTTCCGCATCTCACCTGTCGCCTCGGCCGTTTCTGGCTCTGTATGACAGCGGAAGAACCGTCTGCTTCTCGAACTTGACTTGACAGTGTTCACGGCTGCGTCGCACAATCTGCGGGCCCGGCCGAGAACACACGCCCTTGAACATGTGTGTTCCTTCAATCACCCCGCGGCTGAACAAACCAGCATGTGTCACTGTTAAATGCTGTCATGTATTCCGCATGAAGCTGACGACCAACGGTGCTCCTCTTTGATGAACACGTGTGATATGCAGGCCATGGAACCGAAACAGCTCTCACATCAGCTCAGGGTTTTTATCGGTGTTAGAAGTGCTCAAGAACACCACATTTTACTTTCGATATCAAAAGTGCTGCCAACACCACGAGCGAATGAGGCTAACAGTGTTCTTAACTGGAGAGTGACTGCTTCGGATGCCTTGATGGGTGCTTGTCGCCAAGCAGTGCGCCTGGTACACCGAACGAGCGTTCCGGTCACAAGCAGTGAGATCAACCGGTCAAGATGCAAGGCCTTCCTTACATATCGAATCGTTGCTCCCCCGCGTCCAGGCGAGACTCTGCTGCGCGACCCGAGAAAAGACATTTGAACTTGCACGGCAGCAGTTGGTACGTACTGCTCTGGACGCTGTTACCACTTTACTGAGTCCGTCCACCGGCAACAACTTTACACGTCCACCTATGGCGCATCCTACTATGACGTCGCCACTCCCTCTCCAGGGGAATTTATATAGTTGCCGGCGTTTGAGCCAATGCCGACGCTCTTCAATGGAGATAAAAATGGATTTTCCGGATTATATCATGTGTCGGTTTCTTCCAGCTGCCCCGTACTCCTGCTCTTTCTTGCGTCTTGGTCTCGTTCTCTTGGCGACAGTATCAGACTCTTGATAGATGTTCACCTCTAAATGACCAGCAATGAGACCGGCGTGTGGCCGCTGCTTCGATGCGGTGGGGAAGACAAGGCTCCGGGAAGCAAGCTTAGCCGAGCCGCGAGCACCAGTGGGCAGCTGCTGCAGCCTCCATGTTCAGAACTCCAATGAGGAAGCTACGCTTCTTCTTCTTCTTCTTTTGGCAACCGCTGCCTACCATATTACGCACGACTTGCTCAAGAGCCGCACGGCTCAGTATAGGGATACTGGTGGGTTGGCTTCTATCCGGGAAACTACCTCGGCACACGAGTCGTGCTCAGACTGTGGTCCCTGCTGCGACGGAGCTAGCTGTCGAACCAGAGTCGCCCACTCCGCCTTCTCTTGACAACACCCCTACAACGTCACCCCCCCGGCTCAATTGCCCCTCCAACCTTCTCTCCCTGCGATTATACTTCCGCTCTGGCTCGAGCCGCTCCAATTCGTCAGCTGCACCTATTCCCTTCTTGCCCTCGGCGCCGAGGCCTAATGCAATGCTCTACACGTCGGTTGGCTGAGGTCTGCGTTGTTCACAGCTAGCCTACCATGGTTGGTAAGCACATGGATGCATCTACCAGTCCGACTCCATATAAGTGGCGACCGAGGCACGGTTCATGACGCCTGAGGAGATGCTTTAAGTGCACTCCCGCATCCACGACGCTCAGCTACCCCTCCATCACCGCCTCCCGACATCCAATCAATTATACCCTCACGTCCAATATACCAGTCTGCCAACATGTCTCTGCCCACTCAGACTCGCCAATGGGTGCTCAACCGCACCATCGTCGGCGAGCCTGTCCTCGACGGCCCCAATGCCACCTTTTCTATCAAGACGGTCGACCTGCCACCCGTTAAGGATGGACAAGTCCTCCTCCGCACCAAGTTCCTCTCCAACGACCCCGCCCAGCGCGGCTGGATTTCGCCCCACAAGTCTCCCGACCGCCTCTATGTGCCTCCCGTCCAGGCTGGCGACACCATGCGCGCCGGCGCCATCGCCGAGGTCGTCGATTCCAAGTCCTCGTCGTTGGCCAAGGGTGCACTTGTGCAAACATATGCGGCGGGTTGGTCCGAGTACGTCGTCCAGGATGCTGCCGGCCTCCAGCCTCTTCAAGACATCCCTGGCGTCTCGCCGACCCACTACCTTGGCGCGCTTGGCTTGACTGGCCTGACGGCATACTACGGAACGAAGATCATTGCGGAGGCAAAACCGGACGACGTTCTTGTCGTCAGCGGTGCGGCTGGTGCTACGGGAAGCATGGTTGTACAGGTAAGGACGGCCAATAACTCTGTGGAAACCACGTGGGGCTCACCAATATGTGTAGATTGCGAAAAAGCTCATTGGCTGCAAGACCGTCATTGGCATCGCGGGCAGCGAATCCAAATGCGAGTGGGTAAAGAGCCTTGGTGCCGACCTCTGTCTCAACTACAAGGCTCCTACGTTCAAGCAGGACCTCATTGACGCGACGCCCAATTACGCGAACGTGTACTTCGACAACGTCGGTGGTAAGATTCTCGACCTTGTGCTGTCCCGCATGGCGCGGGAAGGCCGTGTTGCCCTATGCGGAGCCATCTCCGGCTACAACAGCACCTCGGGTCCCCAGCTGAACAACTGGTTCGAAGTCATCTCCATGAGGCTCCAACTGAGGGGCTTCATCGTGTTTGATTGGGTCCAGCAGGGAAAGGCAAAGGGCACCATCACCGAGATCGCAAACGCGGCCAAAGAGGGCCGGATCAAGATCAGCGACGAGGGCGAGACGGTGGTCGCCACTCGGTTCGATGAGATCCCGAAGACGTGGATGAAGCTGTTCGACGGGTCGAACACGGGGAAGCTGGTGTCCAAGCTGTGAGTGGCCGGGGAAAAAAAATTAAGATTATGGGAGAACGGGGGGTGTTGTTTTCATTTTGGTACGGCCGTGTGCAAAGGGGCGAGATGGTCAGTGGGTTGTTGGCGACACGCCCAATGGGACAGTGCACACTCGCATCGCGACACCCAAAATTGCGGTGCGTAAACCTTCCTGCGTTTGAGATATTCTTAGGAGCAGAGGACGGCCTGAGACACGGAGCAGGGCCGCCACCAATCGCACTGTTTCGCACTGTCTTGAATGCGCCCTCGATGTTGTGTTGCCGGGTCCTGGCGGCGCAAGCGACTGTTGTCTGCTTAATTATTCTGTGGTGATCAAATCCCGCGGCGGAGCTCGTGCGTCTTCCCTTCCATTTCTTTTCCTGTTGGGATGCTGGCGGGTTTTGCGGTGCGCGTGACCCGTGGATGGGGTTTCCAGGGTTGCGGAAGCCTGCAAACAGCTGTCTCCAACGGCCCGGGAAGACGTCTCCGCTTCTTCAGGAATTGGCAAACGGCAGGCTTGCAGGACCCGGCCGACTAGCCAATGCTGATCCGCCAGCGGATGATCGACCGTCAACGGTCCGACGCGGATGCCTTCCAGCGCTCGTGCCGCAAGGCCAGGCCTCAACTCATCAAAAAACAAACGCACCGGGAGACATGGACCACCGCCGCGTCCCATAAAGCCCGCGTCCGCTGCTGCTGCCCGCTCTCGCGGGCCCTTTGTGATGAGCGCAGCAGCAGCAGCCAGCCTTCCCCGGATCTCTCCCACCTGACACGGCTTTCGCGGGTCGAGCCCAAACGCTTCCCTGACAACACCCATAAGCGCAGCGATTACTCCGCGCCTTCCGCCAACGGGAACCCGTCAAGCCTCGTTCTGGACCCTTGCTGCCTGGTACGCCCGATTCGACGAGCCCCTCTTCTGCAGCCAAACGGACCCCACTGACAGTGCTTTCAGCAGGACTCAACACCAGCACAGCCCGTTCAGCGGAGAGATCGACAGGCTGCCACTGTGTGACACACTGCTCGCTCCGACCCCAACCGCATAAAGAGCCAGCGTCGACGACAAGCCCCAGCCTACTCTGCAGCCCCAATCCTCCTGCTCCGTCACGTTCCCGCCAAGTGCAAGACGCTGCTGTTCCGCGTGCCACGAACCTCCTGAGAAGCGTGCTCTCGATCGACGGCCAGACCCCGCTCTGAGTCAACAGACGCGGCCTCGACGAAGCCTCAGACGCGGCCTATACCCCGCCAGCGCCTCTCTCGCCAGCTCCAATCGCTCAACCACAACCCCCCGCGCCCGGGTCAGCACAACAACACCACAACGAGTCTCTCGACAATGTGCAAAGAGTACGAGCAGATCCACGCTTGCCGCCACTACGGCAGCAAGCGCCTCGAGATGTGCGAGCCCATCCGCGCCCGCCGCGGCTTCTGCACCGGCGTCGCCGAGTTCTACGAGCGCGTCGGCGAGAAGTGTTCCAGCTGCCAGCGCGCCGAGGGCTGGCTGCACGAGGGAAAAGCGACCACCGCCGTCGCCGCGCTCGCCAAGTGAGAGCGATACGAAGCGCCCCGCATGCATCCGGCTTCCAATGGCCTTTTCAACGCCGCCGAGTCTGTGCGCGCTGCTATCGTCACCCCTTCGGTTCCTCGTCCCTCGACTCGAGCTGGCTCCGCGTGGTTCAGGCTCCTACGGTCGGTTCTTGCTGCCCAACGCTGCTCCTACGCGCCTGAAAATGGTTCGATAAGAGGGGCATGTGTGGGTCCGGCTCCGGCTTTTGCCACTTCTTTTCTTCCCCAGCTTGTCTTGCTATTTGCTTTTTAATCTCGACCCCTCATGACACTAGATTGTACGGAGCTCTTGTTATTCGTGTTTCTTTTTCTTGTTGTCTCTTTGCAAAAGTTTGTATGATACCCTAGCGTGGAGTATGGCTCTCCTTTTTCTTAGCGCTGTCGTTTCTTTTTTTTTGTCCTCTTTTTTTCTTAGCCTTGCCGTTTTCAGCGTGTTTGGATTTCTTCTCTTCGCCTTCTCGATGACGGAATGAATGTTACTCTGGTATATCTTTTTCTTCATTTTTTTTTCAAACTTTTTTACTACCTCTTCTACCGCTTTATCTTCACTCACCTTTCTTGACTTGACTTGATCGTCTTCGTAGCAGTTCTACATCATCTTTGGTTAGCAACAAAAAGCATGTCGTGTTTTTGCCTCCTCCGCCAAAAATTTGCCCCTCTTGCCGTGATGTTTATGCGCAAATGACACCATATGTTATCCGAACACGACCGGACTGGATGAAGGCATGAAGAGATTACTTTTAGTCGACTCGCGGCTTCTTCCTAACATCAGTATTACTCCAATCTGGCGCCGCAACTCGCTCTATGACAAGGATACAATTATTCCACCAATCGTTGTGCGTCACCGTCAATTGGAAACCCTCGGCCCCTGTAAACTTGAATATTCATCGGCAAAAGCAGCTATCATTGGTATCAAACACTTAAAGAAAAAGCAGTCTGGAGTCAGTTGTTCATCCAGAAAAACTCGGACTCAATCCTGACTCCTTGGCAGCCCATTTTCGTTACATGCCTTCCTGACTGTTAAAACGGCCACCTTGATCTTCATAAACATCCTGGCATTCTTGCTTAGGGCATGCTCCAGACAAGACCGAGTAATTGACCTTAGGCCCCTTCTTATGCGTGCTATTGGCACATTTAACAACGGGCCTGATCTCGAAGTGCAAGCACCCGTTCCAACGAATGACCTTCTGCGAGCATCTGCAGTTCTTGGTGTCCCCGGTCTGCTCGTTGACTTTGCCGCTGGTACTCTTGTAGTCGGGCATGGCCAATGAGATCTGAGTCAGAGAAAGGTATCTGTATGAGGAGGCCTTGAGTTTCGGTCAACTTCGATGTGTGAATGGGGCTCTCTTCTTGCTTTGGGCCTGGCTATTGCTGTGCTTCACTATCGCCCTGCAGCTTCTGGTTGTTTATGTGCGGTATTGAGTATTACATTGCTCCAGCAATTATAGTAGTACTATACCGAAAGCTCCGCAGTCGTGTGGCCTGTTTCTGAACCTTTGTAGCTTATGGGTTGTTCGGGGATTGCTGTGTTGTCAATGCATGTCAAAGAGAAAACAAGAATGGTCGCTTTGGCACCCGGTACATCGAGCATGTAGCATGATGGCCAAGTCAATGGATTAACAAAAGGATTTAGAGTGCCTTCTGCGCTCAGGAGGCCCAGTCATCAAAGGCTCTGTGATGCCCGATCCGCTCCTGAGTTGTTGCACTATCTTATCGTTCGCGACTTGGCAGGACCTGGTGGTAAGTGGTTTTGATAGCAATACCAGTTTTTCCCATGAATTTTGCGGAGACATGTCCTCTAAATAAGCTTTTTCTTTTGTCATTATCATGTAAATAACTTCATGGACCACGCAGACTACTTTCAGCATAGCTTTGTAGGCCACCTCGGGGGCATCCGGATGACCGAGCTTGTCACGCAAACGGATGGGCTCCGAGGATTACGCAACGTTGTAAACATAGGTGTCTCAATGCAAATACAACTTTCAAGCCCGTAGAAATACACACAAACATAGGGCTCGGTGGTATCTCACACCCCGTCATCAATGTGCTTCGACTCGGCGTTGATGTAACGCCTACTCGTCATGAGTACCCGACACATGTTCCAGTGTATAAAAAGCATGCTGGAAGAGATATAAAGGTCAGACAAAGCAATACGCCGCTGGAACATCTGGCAGGGCCATCAATCAGTGGCCATATTGTGTTGTCACACGGAGAACGTCAGCCACCCTCGAACGAAGATCCTGAGCGGACCACACAAGCAGCTTGCAAGCCCATCGTGCTTGACCTAGAGCGGAGGTTGCGAGTCGTTTTGCGTCTATGGGTGCAGAGCACCGTATCAGATTACCCGGGGAGCCTCTGCCCAGTCTACCGCCGACGTCTCCGCGTCTAAAGCCCCGCGCTCACGCACCGGTATATTTCACTCGGACGGACATCTGCTGCTCATCCGTATGAAGGCTCACGAAAATGACCTCATCATCGACGCCCTGCTGACTCTACCAAGACGTGGCGTGAGATCTAGATTGCGCGCCACGAGACAAACGGGGGAAAAAAGCAACAACATGCACTCATTCACTAATCACACTTCCCTTTCCCTCCACATGATATTTTTCTTTTCAAAGGTTGACATCACAGACTACGTAGTTGGCGTGACAAGAAAAGAAAAAAACACAACCGGAGACCATGATAAACCACTTTTTAAATTCTTTTTTGGAATACCCACTGCTGAAAAATTGTATCACGAAAGCTACTACTACTCCTTCCTCTGCAGAGCCTTGCAGATCGAGCAAGACTACGTGCACTCGCTCATCGACAATGTGCCTGCAAGTCGTCACCCGCTACTCGTGCGGCCACAAGAAAAAGACACGTAGGATCCTCTGCACCAAGGCGCAGGGCAGGTTCTGCGGCACAATGAGAGTCACCGAGAATTCCAACGCGTTTCCATGCCGCCCGGGCTGCCGCGGCCCGCAACCGGCAGAGTCTCCGTGGGTATACTGAGGATTTCGAGGGGACGGTTTGAATGAAAGGATGATGATGTAGTATAGTAGCCCGGCCCTGCCACGGCGTGACATTAGTGTTACTTTTGACTGACGAATACAAAGTTATGATATAACGAATATTTTGAGTAAGTCACGGAGAAGCCCGCCGATGATTCCTTTCATCGGCTTCCGCATTATTTTTTTTTCTCCCCCCCATTTCAGTGTCTGGACCGTCCGAACGCCTGCCAGCTAGCAAATTCGCATCCCACCCACTCAACACCTCATCCCTGCTTCCCCATCAAGAGCGCCTCCGCCTTCTCCTTCATAGCCCCAATCTTCTCGCCATCAACGCCCTCGCACTCCTTGAGCCACTCCTCCGCCTTCTCAACGACCAACTCCCACGTCTCCTCCTCCTCGGCCACCTTCAGCCTCAAGAACGCGACCGCCAACACCGTCGCCACCACCTTGTCAATCACGCTGGACTCGACTCCGGCGCACCCCAGTTCCCTCGACACGCCCGCGACGCCATCCACACCGGGCAGACCGCCCACGGCGTCGACCAGCCGCTGATCCAACGCCCACGATCCCTCGAACGTCTGCAGCGCGATGATGCACTCGAGAGGCGACGCGTCGTCGTGCGCCTTCGCCCCTTTCAGCTGCCCGTCTTCGTCCTCACCCACGTCCGGCGTCACTACTTCGAACTCCACGGGTGCAGGCTCTCCCACCAGCGCCGCATTCACCGCCACCTTCTTCTTCTTCTTCACGCTGGGGGAGTGCTGGATGTGCTGAATCACCATCTCCTGTTCCTCAAGCTGTTCGTCAGGCATGAAGGCGGCGCTGGCCACAACGCCGCCAGGAGGGCCGCCGGCGCGGAGAGTAAGGGGAGGAACTCCCGACGATGAGGAAGCATGATCTGGTGGCGGCAGCGAGAATCGCGCATCGGTTTGCAAGAATGTGTCAAAGTCGAAGTTTTGGAGGGTGTCGCCGCTTGGTGAAAAGGAGAGACCAAGGTCGGAACCAGAGTTGGACTAGTAAAAAAGGCAAGTTAGCGTCAGAAAATCGGGAACTTCGAGGGGAAAAACTAGGACAATGGAGGGCGATTGTATTTACGTTGCTGCTTCCTGGTCCCGCCGTCTGCGCACCGGCAGGGTTCGCGGTGGAGACGGCAGATGGCTGTTTCGTGGCTGGTGCGGCCTGTTGAATGCACCTGAGGCGCTTCCCCAGAGCCGAACCACCGCGGCCACCGCGGCCACCGAGGCCACCGCGGCCACCACGGCCACTATAGTACTTAGGGGCAAGGGCAACACGACGGTTCTGTGTGGCTAACATGTGCATGGGGGGAGGAACTACCTTTTCCGGATGAAGCATCATGAGACTTTGCTGGTAGTCTACAATACCGGAGGATGTGGCGGGGTTTGGCTCGACATCCAAGTATTCCCAGTCCCGGCTCAGTTCTGCGTCTTGCTTCTCGTGATCTTGCTCCAGCGCGACGAAGGAGCACCATTTCCCGCCAACTTGGAACTCGACGCCCAAGCGCACGGCTTCGCGCTCGACCAACTCATCCCAGCGGCCCTGCATCTTCTCTTTCAGCTTGGAGCCAGTGGCATCGACGGCCTCCGAAAGCCAGCCGCGCCCCTCCTCGAGTTCGCTGACTGCCTTTCGAGCGGCGAGTTGGTGGACCGTCTCGCCTTTTCCATCGTTCTCCGAAACGACTGTCACGGGTATCTCAAGCTCAAGTGGCCCGTGAGACGAGGTGCCGCGGAGAATGACTGAGTTCGGCGTACGGTTGGCTCCGGGTGAGTTTGGTGATAGGAGTAGATAGATGGTACTGCGGTTGAAGGGAAAGAGTGCGGGTATCCGCGAAGGTGCTTGAAGAATAGCCGGCGAGTCAAGCGGAGGAAGGTGAGCGTAGCGATGTTGGCCATCGCTGGACGTCTTGTGGGGTTCCGGCGCATCAAGGTCTACCGAGGGGTTGAACAATGATGTTGGATCCTTTTGTGCCTATGAGAGGGTTAGAACGGGATATAAGAGAGGTCGCTCACAGCCGGGGGATGCTTACCGTCTCCGGTTTGGTCGGGGATTCGGTATCCCGCAAGTCGAGGTGGATACGGAGACTATCGGTAACCTTTTCGACAAGCTCGAACCCATCGTCAGTATCACGATGTTTCTCGTCTGCATATTTGACCTCCAAGCTGTAGTCGGTGATATGCGGAGAGAGCGCGCCCTTCAACATGCGCACAATCTTCTTGTCCATCTTTTCGTTTTCGCCAACCGCTTGGGAGAAGCCGTTGCCTGCTCTTGCGATGCCTTCAACGAGCGCGGAGCTTGCATAAAGTCCCACGCCCAGGGTGAAGACACGGGCCGACTCGTTCTTGTCGTGGATCTGTTGGTTCAAATATTGGAAGATGTCCTCGTGACCCCAGACATCGCCGTCGGTGAGAAGCATGACCTCGAGCTCCATGTCCTTGTGACGATTCTCGAAGGTGGCCTTTAGCGGTGCGAAGATCTCGGTGCCGCCGTAGTCGTCACTGAAACTCTCGACATGCTTGATGGCTTCCTCGAGGGAATCCTGGCTGTAAGATTTACTTTTCGGCCAGAGGAAGGTGTAATCACTGCCAAAGGAGCAGATGTTGAACTTCACGCCGACAGGCAAACTCTTCAAGAAGAGCTTGAGAGCCTGGATGGCGGTGGGTATCTTGCGTCCGTCTCCCATGCTACCGCTGCGATCGCAGATGAAGACAATTTCCGGCCTAATTGACGGCAGCGAGAACTTGGGCACCAGGGTTGCCATGAGAGCGCGCTGCTGGGGGATACGCGGATGTGTCTCAAGGATTGCGGTGGGGTTACCCGTGTCCTTGGCAACCAGCTGAATGATGAAGTCTTTGTCGAGCTCTGCGGTGCCGAGGCTGAGGGTTGCAGATGCCTTCGTTGTGGTGGGCTCTGCGTCGGGAGCCATCGACGTCGTACCCAGTGAAACGGCGATGGGGTGAGTTGGCGATCGCAGCTGCTGGATGGGCGAGCCGTCGTCGGAGACTGCATCAATGACAATTTCCATGCCGGAGCTGGCGTGGGCCTGTGGGTTGGCAAGCAGCTCGCCGGGGTATTGGCCATAGCGAGGGGCGATGGCGGTAGGGATGGTAAAGCGGATGCCATCGACTTCTGCGTCGTGTTTTAGTTCACCAAGATAGGTGATTTCGGCGACGATGGTTGCGGCCGGGGGGATGTTGGCCACTGTTGTGGTGAAGACATCGGCGGCGTCGGGCAGCTGCTCCAGCAGACCGGCAACCTGGCCCCGCTCGGCAGCCTGGCGGAAGTCTTGCCTGGCCTTCTCTTTTTCCTTGACTTGGCCTTTGATGAGCCGACCGGCTACGCGGCAGGTGAAGGCCACGACGGAAACGCCGTCGTAGAGCGGGAATGTGTAGCGCACATTCCTGATGGCCTTTGCCTGGTCGGGGTTGGTGAAGGTCTGTGTAAGAAGAGTACGAGAGGTCTTGGAGAGAATGGTCGTGTGGGACTTGAGGCCGACCTGTGGAAGGTAGTGTCTCTGGCTGTTCTCCCAGGGAGCGGCGTCGGCTCGATGGGTGGTGTAGTAGAAACCGCAAATGTGCTCGTGGAACGCCATGGAGGGAAGACAGGGGTGTGGTGGCTGCTTTGGCAGCAGAGGATTGAAGAGGAGTGAGAAATCCAAAAGGGTTTGAGGAGGTTAAATAGTAGCGTGGGAGTGGCGCAGCCCTGCTGCCTACAGCTTAAACGACGGCCTAATCATGAGTAGTCATAAGTTCCCAATCAGGAAATGTTGAGACGCTAATAGAGGAAAGCACACGGTAGAGCTGAAAGATGGCTGAAGGCGGTGCAAAAAAGATTGCTCGTTGTTGTGCCACAGTGCTTCCCCAGGTGCCCAGGTGGGATGCGAGTGGGGCGGGGGGTGAGCATGACGTCGTTGTTGCGCCACAGGCCCAGCCCCAACCATCTTCCATTCCTCTCCCGTCTCCAGCGCCTCATGGCCGGTTGCAGCGGGGCTCAAGTACGTCGAGCCGCCCAAAATGCCGCGCCCTGCTGCCGCTATTCTGACCAGCTCATCAGCTCCCGTACTACTGATCAGGACATAGGACTTGGCTCCGTCGGGAGTGCCACAGTGCGACATGGCCATATCGGAGCCAGAGACGCGTGCGCGCCCATGCACAGCAGAAGCTTGTACTCATTGTACTCAAGCGCGTGCAGCACCCAGCGCTGTGGGTCCTTATCGAGTGTATTTGAGTTGAAGAAAGCGCGTTCGCGTGGCTTCAGGCAGCCACATTCCGGCGTGCAGACCAAGATGGACCGAGATGGACCAAGATGGATGTCGGTGGTCTCGAACGGGTAGCAGTGAGGCTGAAAAGGGCGATCGCGGCCCAGATAGTCAAGGCTGGATCTGCAGTGAGGCGGCTGCAGCCGTAGCGGCAATCGCGAGCAGACGTGTCGCTGGCACCATGTCTGCCCTGTCTGGCAGCATCTGGGCGCGTCTCTGCACTCGACTGACTCGGCGGAAAGTGGGAGGCACGGAGGAGCTGCGAAGGTCGTCTGGTGTGATCGGGCATGGTCGTAGCCTCCGCGGGTGCATGCGGCGCCTGCCCGCTTCGAGTCGCCGCTCGTATCCGCCCCTGCCGGCTCCAGCGCCCCCACTGCCTCTGCCATTCTCTGCCACTGCTGCTGCCAGAAAACACTACCGAGGCCGTGCCACCCTGTCCCCCGCCGGGAGCCACAAACCCAACGACGCACCCGTACACAGTACCATCAAGAGATCCAAGGCACGACCCCGCAGTACACGCCAAGCCATCCGCAGCATCGCAACCAACCAGGATCCAGGCTGCTCTCGTCGGTGCAACGGTGTGAGGGAACCGCGACGGACCATCTTCGAAACAATGCAACGGCCTGGGTTCCGCACTGCGCCAGAGGCTGCGCCAGAGGCTGCGCGCCGTTGGCGAAGCCGCGCCGTCGACGGCCTGCATGGTTCGCCCAGGGGTCGTGTGTGCCCTGCCCGCCCGCCATTGGCCCGCCACTGGCTCGCCTGCCAGGGCATCGCTTACAACCACCATTAGCCGCTTTTCGCCGTGATAACGACACGGCCTGCATCCCTAAGAATAGCAGCCATGCCGCTCCAGCGCGAGCCCCCAGCCAGTCGCCTCATCACCACCAAGCTCCGTGGCCACTCTGCCTGCGACATGGCGCTGCCGAAGAACATGCCCTGATGCCTGCTGCTCGACCCCCCGAGTCCTGACCCGTCCTGACCCCGCCGCAATATTGCATCCGCCTGACTGAAATCCGCGCCGCCGCCTCTGCCTTCACCAGCCCTGCATCGCCCGGCGAGATCAGAGTCCCACAGCTGCGTCGCCGACGGGTCCAGCTCGAGCAGCAGCGGTGCAGCTTCTATCGATTCGGCAGTGCGACATTTCCAGAACCCAGCCCTCGCTCGCAAGGATTGGCTATCGTGCAGATACGGCCGGCCATGTCCGCAAGCTGCCTGGCGTTTTAGGTTTTGCACAAGGTTGTTGGGGGCCGCCGATAGCGTGGGCCAGACGCACCCACACCATGCTGCAAATCATGCCCATGGGCCATGGCCCCCGAGCACCCGTCTCCATGTGCCACACTTCCTCTTTCCGGCCAAGCTGCGCGAGGAAACCTCCCTCGCACCGTGCCTAGCCCACTCCGACCCTCCCAGCATGCCGGTCACTCCCGCTTGTCGTGGCAATGAGCCGCCCACTGGACGCTATCTCGCATGTCCACCGCCGTCTGCCCTACCACCTTGGCAGCAATCCTTTTCCGAGCTCCAATATATCATCGTGCCGTCTCCCAGCATTCCGGCTGCTTCACCCTCCGTCTTTCGCTTTTCGCACAATCAGCCGTAGGCTCTGAGCCCTGGCTCCCTCTCTCGTTCCCAGACCCTTGCTCTGTGTGTAGCAAGCATCCTCATATCCCTGCCTACTGCCACTTGGTCTGTGACCCTGCCGCCTTTCGCTGGTTCGTCATGGGTCTCAAATCGTACTTTGCCCCTCGCAAGGGCGAAGACAAAAAGAAGGCGGAAGTCACGACTGAGAAGCCAGTCGAGCCACGGCCTGACAGCTTGCCGCCGCTCGATTCGCCTCGACCTGCTTACATTGCAGGCTCGAGCGGCTCCTCTCCCTATGGATCCCGTCCGAACTCTCTCTACCGAAACTCGGGCATGGACCAGCTGAGCGAGATCAAGTGCGATGTCATGGTCAACTGGCTCCACTCCCAGCAGGAGGAGAAACTGTGGTGCGCCGGCGAGTATGAGGAGGGTGTTGTCTTGAAGAAGGCCCGAGGCTCGTACGCATGCTGTCCTGCAGAGCTGGCAGAAGAGCCGAATGGGTTCCTGAAGGCTATCGAGCAGCTCAATGTTCGCGTAAGTTTGCCGCAGCTCATCTTGCTCGAAGTCGTCCTGACATGGGTGCCATAGGTTGCCATGACTGTCAACACCCGCGTCATCAAGATCTTGCTCCACAACAACAACCTGCCGTACGTCGAGATCCAGAAGGGCCTGCGAGTGCAGGTGCTTCCCGACATGTCGTTCCTGCCGCGTTGCCAGAAGCACCAGTTCGCTGCCTTCATTGCCGATCGCGGGATTCTTGTCGTTTGGGAAGACCAGCCGAAAAAGCTGCTCGAGCGCATCAAGAACATCGAGGCTGCCCTCATGGACATGATATGGCAGGAGGGTGAAGACGGCGACGACGAGAAGAAAGAGGCCTCGTACGACGTCTACGAGGTCGAGGACCCCGAGGCGGCTGAGGAAAAGCCCCGCAGGACCGTCTTGGTCCAAGCCCTGATCACGGCATGCACCATGATCGTCACCTGCGCTGCCATTGGCTCTGGCTGGCGCGAAATCGCCGTCCAGCTGCAGGTCGACGGCAACTACATCCGCCTCGCTTTCGCCGCCGTGGTGATTCCACAGGCATGGCTGTCTCTGGTAAGTGCTTGCCACGCATCCCGCATCCATAGCTCCAACTGACCCACCTGCAGTTCTTCTTCCAGGCTCTTGTCGGCAACATCGCGCAGATAATTGGACCCATCGGCCAGGTTAACGAAAACAGCAAGTACTACTCTGGGATTGCCCCTCGCCGGTTGAACCGCGACACTGGTGTTCTTCCCCATGTGACTATCCAGTGCCCCGTCTACAAGGAAGGCCTTCATTCGGTCATTGAGCCCACCATTCGCTCCATCAAAGCCGCCATCTCCACTTACGAGATGCAGGGCGGCACTGCCAACATCTTCGTCAACGACGATGGCATGCAGTTGCTTCCAGAGGAAGAGGCTCGCGAACGTCAAGAATTCTATGATGAGCATAGCATTGGCTGGGTCGCTCGTCCCAAGCACAACCCCAAGCCTGCTGAGGGCGAAGAGGTCTTCTTGCGCCGCGGAAAGTTCAAGAAGGCTTCCAACATGAACTATGCCCTTTGGGTTTCCAACCGTGTCGAGGAGAAGCTGGTCCCTCTGCACCGCTCGGATGCCTGGACTCAGGACGACGAAGCTGCCGCCTACCGCAATGCCCTTGCCGAGGTTGTCGCCGAAGACGAAGGTCGCACTTGGGCCGATGGCAACATCCGCGTCGGTGACTACATCCTGCTGATCGACTCTGATACCCGTGTCCCCAAGGATTGCTTCCTCGAAGCTGTCAGCGAAATGGACCAGTCTCCTCAGGTCGGCATCATCCAGTACTCTTCGGGTGTCATGAACGTTACCGACAGCTTCTTCGAGCGCGCCATCACCTACTTCACCAATCTGATCTACACGCAGATTCGCTTCTCGGTCGCTTGCGGTGACGTTGCACCCTTTGTTGGCCATAACGCTTGGCTGCGCTGGTCTGCCGTCCAGAACATCGCTTACGATTGCAAAGACGACCACCGCGAAAAGTACTGGAGCGAGGCGACTGTGTCCGAGGATTTCGATATGGCTCTGCGCTTGCAGACTGAAGGCTACACCATTCGCCTCGGCGCGTACAAGGGTGACGGCTACAAGGAAGGCGTGTCTCTTACGGTCTATGATGAATTGGCTCGCTGGGAGAAGTATGCGTACGGCTGCAGCGAGCTGATCTTCCATCCTCTCCGCTATTGGCCCATCCGCGGACCGTTTACCAAGCTCTTCCGCAGGTTCATCATGTCTAGCATGCCGCTGCCTTCGAAGCTTACCATTATGGCGTACATTGGCACCTACTACGCCATTGGCTCTGCCTGGATCCTGACTTTGCTCAACTACTTCATCATTGGCTGGTTTAACGGTTACTACGACCATTACTACACGTCTTCGTTCGAGATCTACTTTGGCATTGTCGTCGTTTTCAATGCCCTCGGCAACATCGCGCTTGGAATTCTCCGCTACCGTACTGAGGAAAAGCCGCTCCTTTCGGCGTGGGTCGAATGCTTCAAATGGGTGCCGCTTCTCACTTGCTTCCTGGGCGGCCTGTCGTTGCACGTCTCGCAAGCCATTCTCTGCCACATGTTTTCCATTGACATGTCGTGGGGCGCGACGGCCAAGGAAGCCGAGAACATCTCTTTCTTCGAGGAGATTCCGCGTGTGCTCAAGCGCTTCAAGTACACCTTCATCTTCTGCATCGCCTGCATCGCCCTCATGGTCTGCGGCTCCTACTTCTTCCCGCCGCTCTACCAGGTCAACACCTTCGTCGCCATTTGGCCCCTGTCTACCATCGTTGCCGCACACCTGCTCCTTCCCATCGCCCTGAACCCGAATCTGATGCTGTTCACGTGGTAGAGGAGACCTCGCGCAGCATGCCACACCGCGCTTGTGGGAGGAGCCCCAGGGATCCCTGGCGGGTTTCTGCGACTCTTGATCTTTTATTTCCCCTTTTCTCTTTATACATAGATGGAGAATGGTGCACACACATGTCTGATGAACGGGTACGCCCATGTTTTTTCCGTTTTGATTTTCTCTTTACTATTGAAACTGATGACATGAACACCCACTCCTTGAGATACCACATGCATGTATCATGATGATTGTCGGTAATATTTAGACGGAACGTAATGTCTTTGACAGGTATTAGTATATAGCAATGACACTCTGCAAAGTCAATTCCCAAACAATTCGACCTGCTTGTGATTTTTAACATCCGTTGAATCTTGTCATAATGAGAAGTCAACACTTGTTCGGGGGCATGAGGTTTGGTGGAAAGTGTTACATTGAGGGTCTTTGTTGTCTATGCTCTACCCATGCATCCGCGTCCACTTCCCAGTTTTTTCACCCCTTTCTAAGATCCAGCCTTGCCTTTGAGTCCCCCGTCGACGAAAATCCCGCGTGCTGTCATCCAACATGTCGTATCGGATCCCCGCGAGAGACAGGCGCTGCACATTGGTCGCTCTAGCGCTTGGAGGGTCGACCGAGGGACTGTTTCCTGATCAGCATCCGTCACTTCCCCCCCTTCTCTGCAAAAAATCACCGCAGCCTGCAGGAGAAGGTAGCTGCGGGAAGGGTAAGGGAAAGGCGAAGCTGCGCGGCTTTGGCAAGGGTAGGGCTGCACGTACCTGGCAGGTGCCACAGGCATCGCCCTGCTGCCAGACGTAGTTGCGGCAGCCATGAGAGTCCCAGTACGCGCAGGCGTAGCGGCTGTATCCTTCTCCGCCAGGCATGTTTGCTGTGGTTCGTGGAAGGGGATGAGGGTTGCAGATGAGGCAGGAGGGCCGAAGTGAATGTCCGTCGAGCTGGTTCTTGCCGTGGTGATGATGTTGTTGTAGAATGGCTTGCTTCCGAGTGCTGTGCGCGGCGCGCCTTCTTATGGCACTCGCGATCAGACTTCAGGATTGATGCTACAAATCCATTGACGGCGCCTTCTTCAGGTTTTGTCATGCGTCTTTGGAAGCATACACGGCACGTTCCCGCACAGGCCTCGATTTGGGCCTTTTCGTGCATCGTGAGGAACGCAAACATCGAAACAATTGCCGCGGGAACACGGCAGTCAGAAAGTATTTCTAATGCACGATCGGAGGAGTAGACGGCATCTCACTTGATCATCGCACGGTGGGTGACGAAAGAAACCGACCTCGGGCGATCCTCTTTGTGGGCAGTGGAAGAAGACAGCCGAACGGAGATGTAGGTCTGGACATGACTTCTCCATGTAGACTTCCGGATATGGAAGCGGGTGTCAAAACGTGTACATGATGAAGTTCTACTTCCTGTACGGGTGTTGGTTGCTCTTTCCCGTTCCTGTCAAGCGTAGGTGATGACCGTCTTTTTTCCTCGCCGCTTCTTCACCCATTCATCCCACAACCATTGTCACACCATCAAAACGCATTACTACACTTATCTCACTACGAACGGTAGCCGTCGTTGGCATCGAGAACATGGAGCGGCACCACGTCGAAGATATACCACGCCTGACCGGAGCGGATAACTTTCTCGAATGGCAGAGGGCTCTCAAGCTCAAATTGAGGAGCCTTCACCTGCTATCCTGCATTTACGACACGCGTATGCACCACCAACGGGAAAAGGAGTACAATCAAGTCTTCGACATCCTCCTATTGACCGTCCATCAAGACATTTTCAACTCGCTGGACTTCAGCACCCCTCACAGAATATACAGCCAGCTCGTCTGTCGCTACACTCCGTCTATCCACGATCAATTTGTCAAATGGGCCATCATGCGCTTTAACAGTCAAAATGCGACCAAGGAGGGCTTCGCGGCGAGATGGATCGAAGAAAAGTCGGATGTTGAGTACGCTGGAATGTCCATTTCCGACGAACTAGGCGCATCCGTTTTCTGCGTGGCTGTTGCAGACGTTGGCGACACATGGGATCAAGCTCGGTCAAAGCTCGCCATCGATGACTCTCATCCCTGCGAGATGGGAGCTATAATGAGATGGCTCAACCGAGACACCATGGGATAGCACATCTCGACCGTATCGGGGTGGCTAGGCAACCATTTCCTTTCAGTGAATGCACCCATCCATTCGTTTGCTAGTCGGGGTCCAGAGTGAATTCAAATGACAATTAATCATTTTTCTCGATTGACAAATTGAACCGAACTACTTACCGTGCAGTAAGCTTACCGTCGCCGCACACTGGACCCCACTCACTCCAATCTCAAATATCCCAATCGATCTCAAACTCTTCCCAATTGCCATCATGCACTCCCTCATCCTCCTGCTTTTTTCCCTCAATGGTGTGAGCCTCCGAAGCTGCGGATAAATCACCCTTCTTTATACCGACTGTCGTATTGTGTGGCTCCTGTGCCTTTCCTTTCCGTCCACCGTTGCTCTTCGTCCCCGATGCCTTACGCTTCTTCGCTGCCCTCCCATCCTCCCCATCCTCATAGCACGCTCCCGTCTTACCCGACTTTGCCTTATTCCTACTCCTTTTCCTCTTCCCCGCCATCCAACGATCCCTCTCCTCCTCCTCCTCCTCCTCCTCATCATCATCATCACCATCGTCCCCAACCCACTCTTCATCACCATCATCATCACCCCGATGCCCCTCCCCCACTTCCACCCCCCACCCCTTCACCGTCCCCGCCACGCCCTCGACCAAGACCTCCCACCGCCTCCTCTCCCCCTCCAAATCCCAATCCCAATCCCAATCCCAATCCCGCCCATCTTCTTCTCCCCCCTCGCCCTCCCCCTCCCCCTCCTCCCTCTCCTCTCCCACCACGCCCGTCACCTCCTCAAACCACCCCCCCACAACCCCATGCACCGCATCCAACTCCTCCACCCCCTCGACGAACCCCGCCAGACTGCCGCCTCCCGCCCGGTCGTCGTCGACCACGACGACGTCCGCCTCGCTCGCCTCGCCCGCGGCGATGGCGGCGAGTGCGCCTTCTAGCCGCGCGGACAAGGTCTGCAGGGCGGCGGCCGTGGGGGCGAGGAGGTTCGTGATGGTTTCGATGGTTTCAGTGGTGGTGGTAGTAGGCTGGGCGGTTGTGGGGAGGGGTTGTTGTTCGGGTTGGGGTTGCGGCGGTTCTGCTGCTGCTGCTGGTATTGGTACTTGCGGCTCTTCTTGCTGCTTTTCTTCTTGCTGCTTTTCTTTGTCTTTTTCTCCTTCCTTGCTGATGGTGGGGGTGGTGCCAATGGGGGCGGCGGCGACGGCGGGGGTAGAGTTGTCGGGCGAAGTGAGGTCGGTCGGGATGTCGCTGTTGCCGCGTCGTCCACCGGTGGTGACTTTGTCGTTGTCGTCGTCGTCGTCGTCGTCATAGCCAATGTAGTCGATGTCGGAGAGATCGGAGATCTCGGGGGGTAGTAGGCTGTTACCGACGTCTCCGCCTTTGTCGTCGTTCTTGGCGTCGTGGGCGATATCGTCGTCGTAGTTGAGGTAGTCGATGTCAGACAAGTCTGATATCTCGGGGGGTAGTAATGGTAGGCTACTGTCGAGGCTACTGCTTTTGTTGTCGTTGTCGTTGTTATTTTCGTCGTCGTCGCCGTGGTTAGTTGCCGAGTTGGAGGCGGGGCTGCTTGTCTTCCTTCTCTTGTGAAGAGGAACAGTAACGGAGGCGGACTTGGTGGAGGTGCGAGAAGAGGACCTCTTCGCGGAGGCGGCACGCTTTGGCGGCTTCTTCTCTTTCGGCTGCTGCGCCTTTCTAGCAGAAGAACGAGTTGCGCGAGGCATATTCTCTCTTTGGTTCCCTTCCTCTTCCTAAAGGATCACAACATATGATGGAAGTGGATCTGAAGTGACAGTGACACTATTCGAACTGTTAGACAAGAGACGAATGCTATTAACCAAAGATCTCTGGGGTCTTAGAGGTATACAATTGAGGACAAGGAAAGTCTCTTAGCATAGGCGTCTTTGTTTGGCGTGTCTCTTTGTCTTCCCGACTCAGCCCTCCTCGCTGCAACGTGTCAGAGCTTACTTTGTAGCAGCCGCCGCCTTGTTTGCATGAAAGAGGAAACGCACGGTTAAAGATACGGACCATGATTGACCTTGATGTACCGATCGCGTGTACATTTCTTTATATTACGAATACTGATTACATACCGGAAAAGATTTCATCTTACATTTTATGAACTTAGGAGATAGTGAACGTTCCACTGGTACCGTTGAATGCCGTGATGGCGCCACCGACGGCCTTCGAGTCACCGTAATACCTGATCCTGTACGTCCCGGTGGTGGTGTCCTCACTGGTCTCCCAGGTGATGGTGACTTCGCTCGTGCCGATGACTGTCGACTTTCGGGCCCATTCGTACACAATTTCCCAGTCTTTGTCATCCAGCACCTGCGTCCAAGTATCGCCGTTCTGCTTTTCAATGGCGGCGAAGGTTCCCTCGAGACGTAGATTGTTCCGCGGGTTGGCACCGACGAAGACAGCCTTCACGATATCGCCAGCGGAGTAAGTAGACTCGACATCCGTGACAACATCTCCGAAACTCTTGCCGATGCCAGCCGAGTCGTACACGACGCCACTGATGAAGGACAGGCTTTTGTTGCGATGATCAGGAGGAGTGGGGCCGGCAGGCGGCGCGCCTTCTACGCCGGGAGCAAGATATGGAAGCCACGTGAGGGTACGGTTGATGAATGCATCAAGCGTGTGCGGTCCGTAGAGAGTCGACGCACCCTCGTAGCGCTGGACACTGTATTCTTCGGGAGTGGAAATGTAGTGGGAATACGTGTTTGCTGGTGCACCAAGGACCACAATGGGATCTGGGCTGCCTTCACTGGCCAACAAGTCCGAGGAAGTGACTTCATTGGCCACAGCCTCTCGCCAGCGCCTTCCGGACATGGTAGTTGCTTCGCCAGGGCTGACGATGATGAACAGTTGGCCGACACGGAGAGTCTGGATGTTGACAATGTTCGGCGCCCACTGATAAGGCACAGTGCTAGCTCCGACATCAAGAAGGATGGGCTTCGGCTGCTGGCATTCTTTTTGTTCGGCGCTGGGTATGTGGATGAGACTACCTACAGCGTTCCAAAACGGGTTGTTTGGAGCTCCAGTGTCATTTTGGGTGAAGTCGAAAGCACCAGGACCGTCGGTAGTGCCAGCCGCGAAAGAGTTGCCCATGGCCGCCGAGCAAGTCCGCACGGTACTACCGTTGGACAGAGCAAACGTGAAGTTGGACATGTCGTGGAAAGAGTGGAAAGATGCAATCGAGCCCGAGATCGCGGTACTGCTGGAGTCGAAGGATGAGTAGAGGTCCAGAGCACCTGCATACTGCCTGCGGCCGATTTCGTAGCAGCTCTTAGCACCGCCGTCGTTCAGACCCCAGGCCGGTCCTCTGCCGTGGCACGGCTGGCTCTTGCCGCCACAAGTACTGGTCTCAAGCGTGCATTCTTCGCCGCTGCCGTCCTCACACCAGGCACCCTCGACGTTTGGCGTCGTATCGCCGACGTTTGCTTGCGAAAACCCAGCGACGAAGTCCTCAGCCGCGTTGGCGTTGCTGGCCATCTCCCGCTCGAAGAGGTAGGCGGCGACCCCCTTGTTGTCACCAGCAATGAGCGTCTGGTTACCGAGCAGAGACGTGCCGTGGACAGCGAACCAAGTCAGAACGCCAATATTCTTGCCGTCGCTCGCTCGTTGGAAGCGCAGAAGCGTCAAGGTTTTGTCCACACTGTCCGTGTATTTGGCGCGTTCTTCCTCCGGGTTCGCGAGGTAGGCCCAAAGACTGCGATTGATGTTGGCATCGGCAATCTCCGTGGTACCAACGCTCAGCGTGCCGGTCGTGAGGCTTTCTTGAGCACGTTGGATCGAGAGCAAAGCTCCATCGACGATGGCCTGGTAGCTCTGCTTGTCAAATCCGAGACTGGTGATCTGTGGCAGCAGGTAGTTCAGCCACGCTCCAGGACCCGAATGCGAATGTGTGCCCGTCACAGCGACATTGGCCTGGCTATACATAGTATAGTTGTCGCCCAAGCCTGCTAGGCCATCGAGTATACCATTCCGAATAGCAAGGTCTCCGGACTGGGTATCAAGCACGAGGTAGACAAAACGCTCATCGGGATTGTCGACGCTGGCGACGATGAAAGCGCGCGAATAGATGCGCTGCCGCAGGCCGGTGCCGATCTGGCTGCTGTTGGCGTAGCCCATCAGGTTGAGCTCGACAACCGGACTATAGCGGGCCATTAGCGACGTGCTTGGATGGCTCGAAAAAGCAACAATATTACCCGGTGATGTCTGCCTTCCCGACGCCGATCAGGTACTCATCTCCGCTAGCTGCAGCCGCCTCGGAGGCGTCCTTCAGCTCCAAGACATGCGTCTGAGCATTTTCGCCGGCGTGCAAGGTGCCTGGTGCTTTCCAGTGCCAGAAGTCGACGGTGGGGACGCCAAACACGGAAACAAGCTCGAATGCGAAAAACAAGGAAAGACTGGCAGCAATCAAAGCGAAAGTGAGGTGGGAGCGCGCCATTCTCTGGAAGTCCTGATATCCGGAGGCGGGCGGCTGGAGGGAGGGACGAGAAGCGTTGCTAGCACCCGTCTTAGGAGCCATGGCGACGACGGGAGCGGGCCGCTCATATACAGCAGATTGCGGTCAACCCCTGGACGAACGTGTGATAGCGTTGAGCGCGGTGCTCCGTGACGCTGACTCTTGCTTGGGGACCGCATTGCTGGCAGTGGAGGACAGGGAGCTCGTCGGCGGGCGCGCTGATTGGGCGGCGGATGACGTTGGTGCCGGGAGGGGAGCGCGTGGGTCATGGCACGACGGACCGCAGCTGCGCCTCCGAAACCCTGCGCGTAAAACGGCCGACAGCAAAGCTTCGCATCCACCACCACCACCCATGTCGCTCTCCCCAATTCTCCGCGCGCCGCCTTAATACACGCCCCTCCACCTGCTCCATCCAGCTGCGCCATCCGTCACCCGCCTCCCAAAACCACCCTTTCGCCTATCGCCCGCTGCTGCTACGCCCGTTCTGCGCCCTTCCGCCTGCTGCTCCCCACCCTCTATCTCGCCTCCAGCAACACGCGCCGCAATGCCTCTCATCCTCGAGTCGCACGACTCACTACCATGTGCGCACCACACCACACCACCCCTACCTGCCTCTCGGCCGATTTGATCTGTTTAGGCCCGCCCGCGCGTGCATACCTCTCCACTTCCGCCTGCTAACCGAACCGGAACCAGACGTCGACCTTCCGCTCACCGACACCGACCGCGCCGCCGCCCAAACCCTCGTCGCCGCCGAGCTCGATCCGTCCGCCTCCACCGCTCTCCACCCGTCCGTCCTAGCGGGCTCGTCGTACGAGCCCTCGTTCCCAGCCCTCACAACCGCCGCGCACGCCCGCCTGGCCGCCGGCACCACCGACAGAGAACCCGGCACCGGCATCGACCTGTCGCGCTACGAAGCCCTCGACGCGCCCGCCGACGCCGACGCCGACGCCGACGCCGACACGTCGGACCGGGCAGCGGCGTGGCGCGCGACGCTGCGCGCGGCGTACGCGTCGTCGGCGTTCCTGTCGCAGCGGCTGACGAACCTGTCGCTGCTGGAGCGCTACGGCAAGAACGCGTGGCTGGTCGGCAACGCGCAGCTCGAGGCGGTGCTGCGCGCGCTCGAGGCCGAGCTGGCCGCCGCCCGCGACGACGTCGAGGCCGTCGAGGCCGCCCGCCGCCGCGCCCAGCACGCCGCCGCGCCCGAGCTGGCCCTGCTCGCCGACGGCTGGCGCGCCGGCGTCAAGCGCGTCGTCGAGACCGAGGCCGCCGTCGAGGGCTTGCGCCGCGGCATCCTGGACAGGAAGAGGGCGCTGGCCCTGGCCCAGGGCGGCGTGGCGCCGTGATGGGGGGGCCCATCCGAGATGATGGCGTGCACGCAACACACACCCGGTTATGGAATAGGCAGGCAGCACGGATCAAGCGGATCAGTAAGGTTATTATTGTAGGTCGTGACGGCTAGGTAGCCTCGGGTGACATGCTTCAAGCACATGCATTTTCATGGGAAGAGAGTGCGCATGGCGTTACAGTGGCGTTTCTGGGAAAAAAGTTAAAACAGGAAACAAGCAGGGCGTCAGTAATTTCTGCGAGGTACCGCTGCATGGCTGTAGCACATAGATAACAATCGGGCTGCAAGATATCGAAAGAATACCCCGTTTGGTAGTCGGGAGGCGGGGGTCTTCCAGATTCAACCATGGTCCCGAGGCGTTATTGGCTGGCAATTTCTCCAACCGCGTCATCCGCATCGGCCGCCAATCTCACGTAGATGGGTCGCGCAGTTGCTTCCAAAAATTGAACGCCGAGCATGCCATTACGGGTCCCTACTAGACCACTAAAGATGTGGGGGAAAAAGAGTAAAGAAGTTAGCTCCTCGCGTCGAGCGAGCGGAATTTAGGTGATAGGCCTAGCAGTAGCAGCAGTGGAAAACGCCATTTCAAAAACAATACACAACACCAAGCCTTCCGCATCCGTCTCCATTCTCCGTTTCCCTCCTTCCAGAGCCTAGCCGAAAGATTTCCCCCCAACCAGTGCCAAAGTGCCTCCTTGTCGTTCTCCTGTTTAATTCGTCACAACTCCTTGCTCAATACCGCGAGCGCGAAACTGAGAGCTCCGGATGTACCATGTGTGTGTGTCCTGCCAATACCGATCGTGGCCCTCCTTCGTTGTTGTCATTGTTTGTGTTTGACGAATTCCTCGACAAATTCCTGAAACCCTCCGAATTTTTATGATATTTTAGTTATGCCGATGTCGTCATTGGCTCCGATCCGAAGCGCTGTTCTGACAGCGGATCCGCCTCGTCGAAGACGATGGGAAGCTTGCTCGGGTCATTCCGGCGCATGATGCCCTCCACGGGGCCCAACAACCTCTGGAATCCGTCCTTGCCGAGCGTTGCAACCTTGATCTCCGACGCGCTCACGACAGACGCCGCACGGGGAGCATCGTTGAGCAGGGCCAGCTCACCGAAGTAGTCGCCCTTCGAGTAGCGCTTGACGGGCTTGTCAAAGCCACGCTTGTACACCTGAGCATCGCCGGACTCCAAAATGTAGAACGACTCGCCCGCGTCACCCTCCTGTATGATGGTCGTGCCGGCGGGGTACTTCTTCGTCTCGAGAGCATCCGCGATCTTGGAGCGTTCGTACGACGTGAGCGAGGAGAGGAGCGGGACTTCCTCGAGGAAGCCTTCGTACATGCGTCTCCGTTGGAAGGCGCTGTCCATCAGGATGCGGCGGAAGGTGACACGGTCGAGTGCCCACAGAGTCGAGGGCTCGGAGGAGATGACGGTGGCAGCGCGAGGCGCGTTGTACATGAGGGCCAGCTCGCCGAAGGAGGCTCCGGGGCCGGCGCTGCCGACCTTGTGGCCAATACCCTCAAGGCCGGCCTCGAGCTTGCCGGTGTCGCTCACGTAGTAGTCGAAGTGGCCCGACTCGACCACGTAGAAGTAGTCGCCAACATCTCCCTGCACGATGACTTTGATGCCCTTGGTGGGGATGGGCTTCTCCTGGAGAGCGCCCAGGACCTGCGTGGTTTGTTCGTCATCGAGGTGCGAGAAGAGGAAGTTGCCGGCCACGGCGTTTCGCAGGCGCTGCTGCTGGTCGTCGGTCTTGGGGTGGTAGGGCGGCGACCAGTTCTCGTGCAGGGCAGAGGTGGGGTTGAGCGACTCGGCGGACACGGACGTGCGGCGGCCCATGTTGTAGTTGTTGGGGAAGCTCTGGTTGTCCATTGCGGAAAAGCCGGAGTTGGAGGGGGTCGGGCTGGTGGACATCATGAAGCCGCCCTGGCCGAAGCTGCTGCCGAAGTTGCCAAAGTTGCCAAAGTTGCCAAACGTCGAGGCCGAGTCCTGCTGCACGGCGGTGGGGCCCTGGTCCATGTTGCTGTTGATGGAGCGGGGGAATGACGAAGCGGTCGGCGAGGCCACGAGGTCGTTCTCGTCCTCCTCCTCAACACTTTGCATGCCCAGCGGGGTGCTGGAGCGGGCGGGCGAGGTGCTTCTGAAGGGATTGCTGCCCGGGAAGCTGTTCTCCGCCGTCAGGCCCCCGCCGAGTTTGGCGCGCACGGAGTGCTCCTGGCTCAGCAGGAACTCGGCGCGCTGCGACTCGAGGCGGCGCAGGAAGAAGTTGGCGCAAAACTGCAGGACGTCCTGGGGCTGGTGCTTGAGGACTTCGCGATCGAGCGCGCTGATCTCGTTGGAGTAGTCGGGTGGCAGCGACATTGACGTGGTGGTGTGCGAGGCGGGCTGGTCGACGGGAGGAGAGGGGTCGCTGCTGCTGGGGCCAGGGTTGAGGTGGTGCTTGGGCTTTGACGTAAGGTAACTCAGCTGCGGCCAATGGTCGCGGGGCGCCCGGCGGGCAGAGGCGGCAGGCGGCAGGAGAGACGCTGCGCGGGCTGCGCGATGGAGAGGACGGCAGCTTGGGAGCGAGAGGGCAGGAATGGGGTTGGGAGCAGCGTTTGCAGGGTCAGGTCAGGATGGAAGCGATGGGAGTGTGTGATGGGGGAAGCGGGCGCGCGATGAACAAAAGCAGCGCAAGCCCAGGGCAGCAGCGATCTGAGCGCGAGCCGGGGTGCTGGCGCAGCACGCACGAGGCCCGGGACGCGGTGCTTGAGCGCTGACTGATGCGCGGCTTAGGCGCAATCGCAGAATAATGACACGGCGGCCAGAGCTGTCGCGGCGCGCGGCGACAGACGTGAAAGGGGCAGCGTGAGGGCGCTGGGAGCGGCAGGCGCTGGCCTGGGCAGGCAGGGCGAGGCAGGGCGCGTGCGGGGGCTGTTGCGCACGCAGCGCCTTCTGCGGCCTTCTGGGTGTCTTCGAGAAGACGCCGGCGAACAACTTTATCACGCCGCCCTCTGCACGACAGAGCGCCGGCGATTCGTGCAGGCCGGGCCTCCTGAGAGGCGAGCAACTGCGCTGCCCCTGTTGCTCCTGAACCCAAACCTCTCCCGCTAGCTTCCGCTACTCGGGCAGCGCCGTGTCCATAGCTCTCTGCAGCACCGCGCCCAGCGGCTGCCATCCACGCGCCGCCAGCCCAGCGCCTGCCCGCCTAGCCCAGCCAGCCCGCCAGCCCGATGACTCAACCCGCCCTGCCGCGGCCAACGAGCGCCCGCCCGGCCGCAAGCACTGAGGGACCGCCACCGACGCTGGAGCACTCGCCCGCCTTCTTTGTCCTGCGCCGTGCTTGTCTTGGACGCTTGCGGCGAACTCATCAGCACCTGGGTTTTGTCCGGAGCCTGGCGCGCGCCGGCCGCCTCTAGCTGCCCCAGTGGCCCCCAGTGATGATGAGAGACGAGCCGCGTCAGAGGCCGCCATGAGATCACCCCCGCGCGCCGTTGCCTCCGGCTCCCAAGATGCTGGCTCTCTCTCTCTTTCTCATGCGCAGGCATGGGTGCTGGCGCTGCTGGCACACTGCTGGCCGCGCCGCCAGCCATTGACGCAGTCCTCTGGACGCCCGCCCGGCAAGACGCAGCCTCAACCCAGCTGGGCAGTCTCTCGTCCATCTGCTTGGCGCGCTCCTGTCGAAAGTTTGTAGACTGCTAGTCATGCTGGGATAACCGTGATCCACCGTAGCCGACGCTGCGGACCCACCATGATTGGATCCCCTCGGCGCACATCCGTCGACGCGCCGCAGCTTTATCGAAGGGCAGATCGCGGTTTGGAGCTCGAGCTTCTTTCTCCACAGGGCAAACCACGTCGGGCTGCTCGCAGTCTCTCCCAGTTGCCAGGCCGGCTGCGCGTGAGGGGCGACATGGCGGCGCCGACTGTTCGGTTTGATCGCGGCCGCCCTGGCTGATGTTGTTTCATACGCCACCGCAGCTCTTCCTTTCCCTGGCACCCAATTTTACGTCACCGGTTCGAGATCTACACCAGGCTCGTACAGTGATGACGGTGCCCAACCCTACCGAGCCACTTCGCTTGGTACCGCGCCAGACAAGGCCACCGCAGCCGGGCAGTTGAGCTCGCCGTGCGGACCCAAGTCCACGGCGGAGTCGAACACAACAACACGCGCGTACAAGAACCTCACCCCGCCCAGCTGTGTTTCAACACCCAGGCGCACAGACTTGGCCCTGCTGCGCGAGGATTCGCCTTTTGATCGCCGTTTCAGCTGCTGCCAGATCCCTCTGCTGCCTGTCGATCCTCGGCAGCCTGCGTCGCTCCCTGCTCGGCGGCTCATCCACAACACCACTACCCAGATAAGCTTTATCGGCAAGGCGGCCCCGAAACGAATCGGGCACGCGATTCCAAGCGGCCAATTTCCAGCGAGCCCCAGTCCCCGTCCGGGAGAGCTCCCAGAGCCCCGGAGCCGGGGAGAGAAGGCCCTTTTTGCTCTGCGCCGAATTAATCAAATTTTAGCCTGGCTCGACCGTCTTCATGGCTTGCCCGAGCATGAGCAGACATTTTTCCATAGGTCACACGAGAAGATGGGACATTGTTGCGAGCCTCTTCCCGCCTCCTGACCACTGCTGTCAAAGCTCAAGCCATCGATAAAAGAGTGGCGAAGTGGTCATATATGGCCGTCACCATTCGTCTCAAATCGTCTAGAGCAGCTACTATTTCGCACAGACAGAGGTCATGAGGCCAGCCAGCATCATGGAGGAGACTGGATACGTGAGGTCCAGGACTACCCGTGCGGATTCATCTCCGTTTTATGGAATGTCTAACGCCTCAGCCCATAGTGTGGCTGCATTGGACCACATGCTTCAATTGCATTCTACTGGTGACGAACATAATCAGCCACTAGAGCCGAATCAACCACCAAGAAGCTCCCTGTTGTATGACAAGGGATCGTTCTTTCCTTTGTCGCCGTGTCGTCCTTTTAAATGGTGAATGAGATAACTTTCGATAACGACAAAGGCGGGGAAGGTTAGCAAGGGAGATCAGTGTATTTTAAGGACGATCAGATAACCGTTCATTGTGCGAGCACGGGTTGGAAAAGACGTCATCTTCAATTACATTGTCTAATGCTCCATTTTGAATCCCACGACACCGTCTTAATGCTATTGATTGATTGATTGATTGAAGAACTAGTCTACACCGTATCTAATCCTTCTGTTGTCTCATGCTCTCCTTCTCGAGAGACCTATGTAGCTTGGCGAATGCACTGTGGTGATATGAAACAAGACATTCAGTGATGTGGGTATCTCTTCTCAAGTAATGAACTTGGGACAATGTTCCATGCGGTTTCTACTATTCATCCCCGTCCCCTTGTCTCGCAGCCACAGGCTTCTTGTCCAGACCTTTCCGCTCAAGATACCGAGCGTTGATAACATCGACCGACTCCATGCGCTCTTTCTTCATGACTGGGATGTACTGCCCCATGAGCCTTGGGGCATCTCCGCCGTCGAATAGTCTCGAGCTCCTGATGAAAGAACATTAGCCCCAACCCATCGTATGAATGGTAACCAGTCGAGAAGTCAAGCGGGAAGAGACAATTCCCAAAAGGAAAAAAAGGAAAAAGAAAACTCACCTTATACCCTTCCCCGCTTTCACGACGGACCCCTCCTCACTGCCGTCCTGCGGTCCCTGAGCCGCCACCAGATCTAGCAGACTTCCCGCCAAAACTTCGTCGATCCTCCTCTTGTGCCATACCTCCCACAGATCCGGGATCACACCGCCGTGTCCGAATTTCTCCTCCATCCCGTTGCCCCTGGGCCCCTTGAACGCTCTCTCGTCTCCCACGTAGATCCAGTTCATCGCGTCCGGCTGGCTCAACTCAGGATGGCCGTCCTGGACGGCCGGGAAGACGCAATCCCACAGGACGAGCGGCGTGTCGGTGGCCATCTCGTACTTTGGCTTGGTCGGGTTCGTCTGGACGTCGAGCAGTTCCTTGACGATCGTCGGCTTTTCCAGGCCCTGGCCGACGAGGAGCAGCACGGCGATGAGATGCCGGACCTGGTGCCACAGAAAGGCCGAGCCGTGGACGTTGAAGGTGAAGAGCCCGGGCCCGTTCTCATCCGCATCGCCACCGTCGCCACCGACGACGATTGCCTGGCGGTCTGCGTCTTCCAGGCCGGGGATCTGGAACTGCGGGCCCCGCGCGTACTTGGCGAAGCCGGATCCGCCGTTCCAGCGATCGACGGAGGTGTGGAAGATGCGGCGCTCGAAGTTGGTGATCTGCTTGGCCGGGTCGACCTTGCAGAAGTTGCGGAAGTCGTGGAGGCCCTCGAGGTAGCCGGCGGCCTCGCGCATGGCCGGGATGTCGAGCCAGCCCTCGCGCATGCTCCTCTCCCCGCTCTCGTACACGCCCCTGGAGCCGGGCGACGGCGCGAAGGCGGGGTTCGTGAAGAAATACTTGTAGCGGCGCTCCTTGCAGTTGAACCTGGCCGAGAAGCTCTCGCCCGGATCGGGGCACCAAGCCAGCATGCGGATGTCGGGCGGGAGCACGTTGTTCAGGACGCGGCAGTAGGGCATCTCGTCCTTGACGTCGTCAAACGGCGGCTCCTCGTGCTCCTCGTCCGCCTCCTCAGGCGCGGGGGCTGCTCCCGTCTCGACGCCCTCCATGGCATCGGCGCTTCCTTCCTGGGCGGCCGCGGTGCCGTCGTCCAGCTTCAGCTTCTTCTTGGGCTTCGACTTGGGGCGATTGCTGCGCACGCGGATGCCGATGACCTGGCCGAAGGCGCTGACGCCTCTGTCCGTCCTCCCGCACTTGCTGTACTCGCAGCCCTCCCAGTTGATGTCATCCTCCCTCAGGCCAGGCTTCGGGGTCGGCAATATCAGCCGCGTCTTCTTCAACGCCTTCCACAACTCCTCTTCGATTGTCGGTAGCGGGGTGGTGTTGTTCGCATGGTGCTCATAGCCGTTGTAATTGCTTCCCAGGTACGCAAACTTCAGGGCAATCAGGCGAGTCGTGTACTTGGAGGGATCAAACGGCTTGGGGGCGCCACGAGGCTTCTTCGCAGGGGGCGGCGGCTTGGTCGTTGGCTTGGTCGTCGTCGGCAGCTGGCCGGTAGGGCTGGTGTAGGTGGCGTTCTGCTGGGCGAGCTTGTGCTCCAGCTCCGTCACGCGCGCAAGGCGCTGCTCAATCTCGGCGCGGCGGGCAACGAACTCGTCGTCGGTCCAGGCGGCGGTGTTCATGGTCGGCGGTGCGGCCATTGCGGCGGCGGGCACGGCGATCCGCGTCCCTGCAATAACGCGCGTGTTTGCTCGTGCGTAGCAGCTGGGCGAGTTGCTCAACGGGCGCTTGGACGAGGGGCCAGTCGGGGTCTGGACGAAGCGGGACAGGGCGCGCCTCATGCTCCTCGCGCAGGGCTGAGGGGTGAAATTGGCAATGCAAAGAAAAAAATTGGGATGCAATGACGCGCTCGGCAGGATCTCGGATCTGCTGCAGATGCCGGCCAAGGGGCTCCATTATTCGCCATGCTGCTTCCACGTCCGCTTTGAGAAATATATTAACTATTAACTATTCCGAATGCTACCACGCCCAGTTCGTATTCGAGTAATGAGTGGCCGTGAGGGACTGTCCGGATAAACTTCACTAATGCCGTCCAGCTACAGCGTCTCCTTGCCCTTGCAGACCATAGCACGCATCTGGCTGAACTCCCATCTTACTTTCGGTGCGCACGGTTGCCTGGTCCAGGCGCTTTGGATCTTTCAGCCCTGTCAGGGTCCTCTTCCCTGAGGTCTTGTAACAGCCCTATGCTCATCTGGGAATGTCGCCCGTCTCCCTCTCGTTGGATCCAGCCCTGGCGTTCGAGCCGTGCAATCATCAGTGCGGTAACGCTGTGGCGGAAGCCCGGTATCCGCGGAGTCGGGGTGTGTTTGAAGATCGACTTCTCAAAATTGCACCGCTTCTGAAACCTCGTGCCACATGCCCCGTGTCTCGCCAGCCATCTCGGCAAGAGCTCAGGGTCCAGTGACTTGGAAATGCGATCCCGGCCTTGAAACACTGCCACCCGATGACGACGAGATGGAAAGGCCCATTATGGCTTTTGCTTTGGAAGAACCCGGAATGTGCCTTCCATTGCTCGCCACGCCAAGAAATGTGGAACCAGCAGTATACCCTTGATTGAGACGGAACTCTTGCAGAAGATACTTTGCTGTGAAGGGACCAAAAGTTGCATCAAGAGCCCAAGCTCTTCTGCAAACATTCATCGAACTCCCTATTCTGTGCATCTCCACAGCTGGGTTGTTGAAGAAATTATGACGTTACTAGCTGTCTTCATGAAAGTCGTGATGCTATTGCTCAAGACTTGGGCTCGTATAAGCATGCCTTCGTGCCACGCCACACCTCCTCGAGTATCTGGCGCTTCGGGAGAAGGTTCTGTCCGCCAAGTCAGCCCAACACCATCGTGTCGTAGAGCACCAGGGAAAGAAAATCCAACATACCGGAAACACCACCACTGTGTCCTCCTCTCCCTCCACCACAATGGACAGATAGAATCTGACCTCAAACCCTTTGAACGCCTCATGAATGAATATATCCTGTATCGACGCTGTCGGGATGAACCTGGTCGTCGCGGTTGAAAGGTACGTTGGCGACGAGCTGGACGTCTGCACGCCGAGGCCTCTCAGAACGAGAATCGATTCCTCTGCATTCACAAAAAAACGTGACAGAGTAATTAGCGTAACGAATTCTCTCCCCTTGCCAGCACCCGCACATCCACTGTTTGAAAAACATACCAGTATATCCCCTCCTCACAACTCCCCACAGCCCAACAGCCCCCCCAACAGCCAGCGCCCTCCGATCCATCTGTTCTGCCGCCCAAGCAACCATGACACCCACACGGTTCGTCAACAGCGCCCTCTCCCACCTATCGTTATCGTAACCGCCATCGGGGAGGTCCGGGAGCGGGAAGTAGCTCCGCCACTTGGTCCAGAAGAGCGCGAGGATGAGGACACCGAGGCCGAGGCGGACGGCGTGCGAAAAATACAGCAACGCCTTCTTGGGAACCGTGTCAGCGTTCGGTCGGGTGGAGACGGTGAAGCAGACGGTGGTCGACGTCGGGCGCGAGACGTGGAGCTTGGGCGGCGCGCTGTTGGTGAGGAGGATCATAGTAGCTATCCTTCCCTCCGCTTTCCTTCCGCGGCTCTGGCACCTTCGAACCGGCCGTGGAAAGCCGGACTGGAGCTTACGTCGAAGCGATTGGGGGCTGAGTGACGTTGCGGAGTTAGAGATTGTGACGATGAAATGGTAAAGGTAAGGGTGCAGGAGCTCTGCCGTCGAAGATCAACGGGTGATAGCTCTCAGCCCTACAAAGGGCAAGCTCCACATCCAGCTTGCGCCAGCGATCCCTGCCCGTTTTTCCTTGCTTGCACGAGTGACGTCCGAGCTTGCGAAGCTGCCGTCGCAACCGCAAGCTGCGACCTCAAAACAAAAACAACTGCCACTCCACACATCCATCCATCCACCCATCCGGTTTTTGACAGTTCAGACGAGCCCCCGAGACAAGAAGAAAAGAAAAAAGGCCTGAACGACGAGCCCGATCTCACCACTCCCGCCACGATGCCCTCCCCGTCGCCAACCCGCGAGCGGGAGAGGGACCGTTCCCGCAACCGTTCCCGCTCGCCCCGCCGCGACCGCCCCCGCAAGGCGGGCGGTGGTGGTGGTGGTGGGTTCCGCTGGAAGGAAAAGCCCTCGCGCGCCGTGTTCGAAGAGGAGCGCGAGCGGGGCGGCGGCGACGACAAGCTCCAGCGCGGATACCGAGCCAACCGCAGCCCGCCGCGCCGCCGCCACGACGACGACAACGATGGCCGGGATGACAGGCGCGAAGACAACGGCCGGGATCGTGACAGGGACTACCGTCGTCGCAGCAGGAGCCCGCGCGATCGCGAGAGGCGGGAGCGCCGGCGTGACGACAAGAAGCGCGAGGAGGCGGACGATAGGCTGGGCGTGGCGGACAAGTTTGGCGGCGGCGGTGGAGGGGCTGCCGCTGGTGGTTCGCGCAAGGATGGGAAGGCGAAGAAGCCTCAGCCCAAGGCTGCGCCCTCGCAGGAGGCTATGATCATCGTCACCGTCAACGATCGGCTGGGCACCAAAGCTCAGATACCTTGCCTGGCTTCTGATCCAATCAGTACGTGATCCCCCAGACTCGTGACTGTTGGATGGGTTTCAATTGCTAACATGCAGGTTCCAGAGCTCTTCAAGGCCCAGGTTGCTGCACGCATCGGTCGTCAGCCGCATGAGATTATGTTGAAGAGGCAAGGAGAGCGCCCTTTCAAGGACCAGTTGACTCTGGAAGACTACGGTGTCAGCAATGGAGTGCAACTCGACCTGTGAGTCCTCAGCCAACACAATTTTTGATTCATTGTTTACTGACGTCCTCAACAGTGAGCTCGATACTGGCGACTAAGCGCTCTGACATACTTGCAAAAGAAGTCGATCGTTCTCAGTCATCCCTCACCAAAGACATTACACCATACTTCCATGGGTGGGAAGTTATAGTCTATATCTGGATGCCTTTGTATAACTAAACCCCACACCTTCACCCGAACACTTGCGTCCGCTACATGCAGGGAGGGTGTAGTGTCTTTTGAGACACGAACGGAACAGCTTCTGTGCAACCCACTTTTCTGACCAATGCAAGTTGGCTTTGACTTCAGTCTTTGGTATTGGGATTCTGCTAGTCAAACTCGCTAAGGGCCATCTCATCATGATACCCAGAATCCGTAACGATGTACATGAGTTATTAACAAAACAAAAAATCGAATGAAAAGCAGAAATTAGGGTGAGAATTCAGAAAGCAATTGGGAAAGAGGCTCTCGGTTGGGTTGTCGAAGAGCATCAACAACGCGGTCATGCCTTGATCGGTTGTTGCAAGTAGCCCCGTTGCTGCAATGAAATAAACATAAGAAAATAAGAAAACAAGCCTGCAACAGGTGACCCATAGCTCACAACGGGCGGGAATGGGCCATGTTGTTATCTATGGCACCTCGTGGTGTCACAGAATACTCGATCCACATAGCTATCTCGGGGAAGTAGAAGGACCATCTTGCAACGAGGCGGGATTGAGCCAATTTGAAAGTCCGGAAATGCATGATGAGTCTGGATACAATGTAAGCAGCATCCGTATGACTGACCAATACCAAGTTGGCTCACAGAGCACTTCAACAAGGACAGTACACCTACGCGAGAAGTTTAGTTTCTCATCCAAATACGCAATTGGCCATGCGAGAAAGTGGCGATCCTTCAGCGCATAGGCAAAAGCGCGTTCAAGCCGACTCGAGCCGACACTGCGCGGAAACGCCACTTACGTAGCTTCATTCCTCATGCGATCAAGTTTCCGAATCGTGATAAGAGGCCGTGTAGGTTAGGCTGCGTCTCGTAGCCGACTACCGCCATCTTTCTCAGGTAGTCGACGCTTTTCGCATTCAGCTGTTTGGTTCTCTTGTTCAGTGATAGAATGCGGCTCGCGAATTCGCGCCCGGCCGCGATACGATCCCTAACGGCCTGTTGATCTTTCGGGTTCCCCGCAGCCAGGTTGTTTCTGAGGCGGGTCCTCGAAGCCATGTAAGCCTTCTTGCGCTGATTCAGCATCTCCATCATCTCGGCTGTTTGTTGTACGGGCTGTGCATTGTGCTGCTGTGGCTTATCTGCCTTTTTCTGCTTCTTCTCTTGAATCAATGGCGTTTGAGGCTCGATCTTGATTTGGATATTTGCATCTTCATGAAACTGACTGACAGTATCGGCGTCCAAGAAGCCATCACCTGGTATCGTGAAGAGACCTCCACGTGTCATAGTGTACCTGACAGGCGGGCCGTAACCGTGTACCGTCAGCGTCGGGGCCGCAGCGTTGTTGTGAACAGGCTTCTGTACGCGAGGTTGGGAATCGGCCATTTCCATGACCATGTCAACGATATCGTGGCCCTGAGGATCGTTACGTTCTTCATCAAGAGCTTGTTGAGCCTTGCGTTTCATCCTCTCAATATGGTCGCGCCGATGGCCCTTGAGTGCGAGCTCATGCACAAATTCCCGAATCAAGACATCCAAAACATCGACTCCGTTGTCTTGGGCTCTGGCCATCCGCAACCTGGTCATCCGATGAGAGCGATGGCCCTCATCCGAACCCATGACTGAAGGGACTGGAAGAGTGTAGTCAATGCCTTTGGGGACCTTGTCAAGCTCAATGTGCTCCGGCAGGTACCGGTGCTTGAGCCAAGTGGTCTGGTAGTTGTACTCGAAATACTTGTATGCGTCGATTGGGTTTCCCCAAAGGGCATACGCCACGAGCTTGCGGTCGGCAAACTTGACAAACATGCCGCACTGGATTTGGTAGCAAAGAGCGTCGACGATTCGATCGATCTCTTGCAGAATGTCATGACGGTACGGTACCCCCTCAAAGAACTCGACCAGCTCCTCGTCAAAGGTGATGTCTAGTCTCGCAGGAATGTAGCATTGTGGAATTGTGAAGAGTTGCACATGCGGGAGGTAGCCATCGATGTAGCGTGCAGGCTTCGTGTAGCCCTTGAGGAAGAACTTGTACGCATCGAGCGGGCGGCAGGAATTAAAGTAATTCGCCCACTCAGGCGAGTAGCGGTAGAGCTCTGGATTGTTCCGGAGGAGCTGGTCAATTTCATGTAAGAATCGGACGCTGATGTGACGGCGCGAGAGGTACTCAAGGAGATCGGGATCGTTGCTGTGGAAGAGGCATTGGAAGAGCCGAGCCTGGCGACTAGTCACATTAACTCTTCTAACGGGCCTTAGGGCGAGAAGTCAATACATACGGCACGGTCTGGCAGCGGTCTCTGATTAAACATACTGCCACCTGAACGGATGTTGTCGTAGGTAAACTGTGACCCAATCATTGGGGGCCCAGACTGGTCAGAGCTACTCGACGATAGCGTAGCTTCTGGGCGTCCTGTCGAATCGCCTGTGAAGTACGCTCCGTGGCCTTGTGCCTGGCGCGCGCCTAGCACCTCAGCGTTGCTTCCGCTAACAATGCGGTGCACAGGCTTGGGCGTAGCTGCCTCGATTTCAACCGGCTCCTGCAACTTCAGAAGTCGGCTTGGGTGGAAGAAGCTGCCCGCGGGAGTAAGGACGGACATGAAGGTCAAGGAATGAGAAGCACGAGGTAGTGACAGTGAGAAGGGTGGAGAGGACAGAAGATGACGCGAAAGAACGAGATGTTGTGCGCGAAAGAGCGGACAACCAGATGGGAAGGCGCGACCGAAGTTTGGAGGGTTGCCGCAGGCAACAACGGCAACAGCAGAAGGAGCGCCTTGATGGACGTGTCAGCCGCACACGGAAGGCACTGACGCGTGAGGTGTGATGATGCGCTACGCATTCGTGGGCAGCTGGAACACACCGGAAGCAAAAGAATTGTTTTCCTAACACGAAGCCCATATCTACAAGTCCCAAAACGCCACATCGCTGTCCACAGGATATTTAGTTTGACAAAGTAACACTACACAGCCTTTCAATGCTCGAGAATTAGAAAACACTGATGAAGTTTCCAATCCTCTCCTTCTGGTTCTGCGCAATGCACTCGGCTATCCAGGTGATGTTACGGATTTCCTGCAAATAAAGTCAGCTTCTCTTCGGCACGCATGGCGAAAGGAGACACATACCTGCTCCTTGAGCTTCACCCAAGCGTACACGACAGAGTGGGTGAATTGCCTAGTGAAAGCCAGCTTAGAGATCTCCATCTCCTTCTGGTAGAAGAGATCCTCCAGACTGCGGCCCTCGGACGCGGAACCGCCAGACATGTTTCCGACGCCTGACCCGCCGCCGCTCAAGCCAGTCTGGTCGAAGAAAGTCTTGTAATCCGAGATGCCCTCAACGGCAATCCTCACTCCCTCGACATCGTCGGCACGAGAGAGCATCAGAGTACCCTCTGGGTATAGGCGTCCAAAGCTGGGGTACAGCTTCTTCCTGTCTGCCTTGGACAAATCGGTGCCGAACGAATTCAGCGTGATGTTGATGGCTCGCCTGTCAGCCTCGAACTCCAGGACTTCGCTCATGACCTCGGCCGTGGGGGTGCCGGCGATGTCCTCGTGGGTGTTGACCCAGTTGTGGAAGTCCTCCAGGTAGTTCTTGTAGAGTGTGTTGCGGATGATTTCGATGTTCAGCTCATCGAGGTCCTGGTGGCTCAACGAGCCCTTGAAGTAGGGTGCTAGCGGCGTCTCGATGAGCACGGAGTTGTACAGCTCCTCGATGTTCGTCGCGACGCAAAGCACAGGCATGGTCTCAAACCAACCGAGCGGGTGGCACCTGTCCAGCAATTCCCTGGTGTCGCGCTCGTGTAGCGTGCCGGTGATGAGCAACGCAACGTTGTCGATCATGTATCCGTAGGTCAGGTAGTCCATGAACTTGGACAGCGAGCCAGTGCCATTAGCCTGGATGTAGCGGAACTCGGCAACGAGCTTCTCGGTGGTCTTGCTTGCGAGCGCGGAGGTGGAGGGGTTGGGAGGCAGAGAGGCGAGGAAATCGCCATATGCGGGCGAGAGCTGAAGCTTGACATCTATGACGAATCAGCAAGTTGTGTTAGAGGCTTTGGAGGGTTGCCAGTACCGTCGATCGTCTCGCACTGGGTCAGGTTGTTGTAATTCTGGCTGGTCAACAGTTGGTTGCGGTATCCACGCACGATACCCTCGATGTAGCTGCGCTTCTGTCAGTGTCATCATCTGAGGCGCAGAAGCGGACAGAGTACCCATTCGTGACGTTGTAGAATAGACCCTCCATGTTGCTGATCGTCTGCGAGGCACTAGGTGATGGACCTGCAAGCTGTTGTCGTCAATGCCGGGGAGCTGCACCAGCAGCCCGAGCCCTAGCTCACGGCGCTGGAACAACCTTTTTCCAGACATGCGGTCATGCGCATCCAGCAAAGTATGGACCAACCACATGTGATGTGCGTCTCTTGCAGCGAACATTGTCTAGAAGTGATGTGTTCCACGCATGGATATCTGCGTTGAAATCCTAGTAGATTTTCGGAAAACTGCAGCCCTTTCGAGTGTCTTCCTCTGGCCATCGGCATGTCAACTGCAATTTAGTATTGCAGATACAGCCAAGGTTATGTGTAAATATTGAGACAACGACCAAGCCATCGACTGGTCTGGCAAGTAGGGGCCTCTGCCGATTGGTATGACGCGTCAACCACCGCCTTCGCTTCGATACGTACTCTGTGATCTCAGAGGACCAAGCGGGCGGATCCCTGGACCCTGCGCTGCTTATCGCTTATCGCATCGCGAACCATCGCTCCGCAACCCAGCTCTCGCCGACGCCAGCATCTCTCCCCTCAGCGCCCTCAGCATGGAGTCCGACGTTCCAACAGTCACTATTCTCCTCCTCGGTGATGCAGAGGTCGGTAAGTCGACATTCCTCTCGTACGTCGTCCACGCCGGTTCTTCAGTCATGCGCAAGAACTAACCACCGTGCCTGCGCGCAACAACAACAGACGGCTGACGCTGGGCCGCAACGTCCCCGCTGAACAATCGCACGACGCTCCTCCTCCTCCGTACTCCCTGCCAGCCCTCCACGACCTCGACCAGCCGTTTGCTTTCAACATCCGCCTCTACGCGAGACACTATCGCTACGAATTCTTCGACACAGCATCGCCAACCAACTATACCCTTCTCGAGCCCGACTTTATAATTCTCGCGTACGACATTTCGCGCCGCGATACTCTAGACTCGCTCAAGATGCACTGGGCACCGATGGTCAACGAGACGTACAACATAGGCGAGCAAATCCCGGTCATGGTGCTAGGATTGAAGCGGGACCTGAGGAAGGAGTGGACAGAGGAAGAGAAGTCGAGAGAGGGCTCGAACGGGAAGGGGGCCAGCGTCATGCCTCAGGAAGGCCTAGGTATCGCGCAGATGATGCGTGTGGATAGATATGCCGAGTGCAGCGCGGTGACCGGAGAGCTATGCACCCAGGTCCTGGAAGATATTGCCAAGACGGCAGCGAAAACCACGACAGAAAATGGTGGATTGAGTGCTGGCGGATGTGTGGTCATGTAAGTATGTGAGATTGGTTTGGACATAATGAGGGGATCTGGAATACCATTCCGCCAGGAGACAAGGACGTGTTCGTCCGGCGGTACTGTTTTGGATTCCTAACTCGAGGTATGTTGTCTTCCCTTATTCTCTTTTTCATGTTCGTTTCTGCTTTGTATCAAAGAGGGCCAGGGCCTTTGTCTCGCTTTCACCGTATCGCATATATTCCATCAAATACTCCGCAAATAATGCCGTTGTCCTTGAGCTTTCTACCTGTCTTGCTCTGCAAAATCGACAAAAGTGCTTCAAGGAATCCATAAACTCTATCTCCGCATCGACTGATTGGCCATTTTCCTTTTGTCTCACTTTCGAGGCGTTCCCCCATCTCATCTGCATAGATGTTTGCACGAAATCGAAGGCCAGTACTGCGATCTTGGAGAGCAGTCAATACGAGGCGTCATGCGCACCAAATGAGCGTGTGAGCTGTCACTCATCTGACCCGATGGCGTTTGTTCCTGCGAGACCAGGAAGTGCAAGTAAGAGATCTATTCCGGATGTGATGAGGCGTCAGCTTCAGTAGCCCCACGTTAGTTCCTACGCGGGGTCGCTTACTAGGCGACTAGTAAGCTTGATAACCCAGACTCCATCCTATGCTCTTCAACATGGCCCCTGAACTAGCCGCCAGACGTCAATCAAAGCTCCACATTTACGTAGTACAGTACGCCACCGCTCGCCACTACACTCGAACTACAAAGCCTATAGAAGGGGAAAGGAGAGCTCGGCTCAGCTCAACTCCAGCACCCGCACCAAACCACCTTCCCTACACCACCACCAACGAACCGATAAAAAAAAGACCCCCCAGCCAGCGCCATTCACCAACATGGCCTCTTCCAACCCCCCACAACAACAACAACAAGAACCCCAACCCCACCCCCTCACAACCACCACCACCCCATCAGACCGGCGCACCCCCATCACCGCCGCCGCAACCGCCTTCCTCGAAAGCTACGCGCGCGCCATGCACCTAGCCTCCACACACGACCCCAACCCCGACAACAACAACAAAGTCCCCAACATCCCCCTCGTCGCCTCAGCCCTGGGCGCGCACTACGGCCCCGACTGCACGGCCTACACGCACACGCACCGCATCTCGCTGCCGACGGCGGCGGCGTGGGTCCCCGGGATCGCGGCGCACCTCGCGCGCTTCGAGCGGTGCGGGCTCGGCTGCGACGTCCGCCTCGTGGCGCGGCGCGTCGAGCCCGTCGCCGAGGGGTGCGCGCTGTGCTGGCTGACGTGGCGGATTTGGCCGCGGAGGGGTGGGGGAGGCGGGGGAGCTGGAGGACAGGGGGTGGAGCTTGAGGAGGTGGAGGGGGAGGGGGAGGTGGTAGAGGGGTGGGAGTGGGAGAATGTGTATGCGTATAGGAGGGCGTCGGTGGGGGCTGGCGTAGGCGCAGGCGCGGGGGGACGGCAGGAGGGGCAGGGGGAGGAGGGGGAGGAGAAGGTGATGATTGGTGGTGGTGAGGGTGGTGAGGGGGCGTGGGTGAAGCCCGAGGGGTGGTGGGAGTTTATTGTGAGCGATAACGAGATTTCGAGCCTTTTGGCGAGGGTGCCGGATTTTATGACGCGTTGAGGCTGGGAGGTTTGCGTGCGAGAGGCATGGATGGCGCATGGGAAATCGGAAGGGAGGTCATGTGAGTTTGGTTTTCTTTCCTTTTCTTCCTCCTTGCAAAGGCAAATTCTATGTCTCTCTCTTCGTGGTTTCGGAGCGCTACGTACAGGAGGAAGGAAGAAAAAAAAAGTCCATGACGCCGGGGGTGGTGCAATGTGTAGATACGGAAGCGGATATCGTGGGTATATCGTGGGGGGGAATCTTCTTGTGCGAAAATGGATTTGTGCTCAATCATGCGCGGACGATTTTACCGGCTTTCCTTGCCTTCTCCACCTCCAGCGCCCGCTCGACCTTGGCTTCTGCCCTGCGCGCATTCTCCTCGTCGTTGGAATCGACGGCTTGCTTCTCGGCCAGCTCGGCCTCGCAGCTCCAGCACATGCACGGGTCGTAGTCCTGGCCGAACTCCTGCTTGTACAGCTTCTCGGCCTTGGCGAAGCCGCCGGTGACGGCGGCGTACTTGGCCATGCCGTCGTCGTAGTTGATGAAGCGGCCGGCAATCTCGGTGGTGGAGACGGCGTAGCGCACGGGCGAGCACTGGTGGGTCCGCCAGACCAGCTCGATGGCGCTGGTGGGCAGCAGCTCGCCCGAGTTGGGGTGCAGCTTGCGCAGCTGCAGGAACTGGCGGTACCGCGCGATGGCGCGGGTGAGGGTGAAGGCCGGGTGGGGGCTGCGCAGCCAGCCGGCCTGGCTCATCTTGTCCCAAAAGTTCTCCTGGCTCTGGACCACGGGCTTCAGCGTCTTGATGGCGAAGTTCCACATGGCGTAGTCACGCATGAGCTGCGAGAAGTCGCTGGGCCGGGCGTCGAGCTCCTTGGTGTTGAACTTCTTGGCGCCGGGCAGCTGGGACAGGGCGAAGCGTTGGAGGTACATGCGCGAGAGACGGTCGTGGGCGCTGACGTCGGTCAGGTGCTCGTACAGATCGGCGTCGAGGCCGGTCTTCTCATGGAAATAGCGCTTGGCTTCCTGGGGCAGACGGTAGGTGCTGTCAAGAGGATCGATGAGGGCATGGAGCAAGTCCCAGGGGAATTCCATGGTGGACACGTCCCACTCCTTCATCGAGTCCTGGCACATGTTCCTGTAGTGGTCGGGCGAGAACAGCTGGGTTATCCAAATCATGAGCACATCAAGCGGAGGGAAGGTTTTAGGCGTCATTTCCGGCTTGGATTTGCCTTGATTCGTTTCACGCAGGATGTCAGGGAGGACATCCCACCACTTCTTAAATCGAATGACAGCAAGAGAGACGAACGTCTCCCACTTGGCACGAGAAAGCTGGCTTCTCTTCTCGGAACTGGCCACGGCCAGGGCGAAGTGCTTGCTAAGGCCCAGCGAGCGGGTGAGCTTCTTCGACTTCAAGCATTTTGCCTTCATGCGCGAAAAGGACTCGAGCAGTTGGAGGTGAACGGCGCATTCCGACACCCACGGGAGGGCCTTGTCCGGGTCTTCTGCAGAGGATTCCGGGCGGCCAAGCGGGACGAAAAGGGATGCGGGGAGGATCTCGTCTTCGGTTACACGGACGCTTGACAGCGTGCTGGTGGGAGTGGGGAAGAGGCCAAAGCACGTGCAGCCAGCATCATCCTCGGTGCTGCGGGCTGGTCAGTCGGCTGTCGACGGGCAAGGGCTCGGAAAGGTTGCATACGGAGAGGCGAGGTGGAGGCCGGGCCGGGGCATTTCAGGTGGTGGGCGGGCGAGATCAGTCTAATAGCAAGTGTCGTATTGGGCAAGGGGGGTGGCAGGGCTGGAGTATGTCTGGCAGGTCTGGGTGCGGCTCTTTTCCTACTCGTGGAGAGAACGAGAGGCCGTCAGGTAGGTTGCGGCGGGGGCACACGGCGACCTAAATGAGCCGGTGCGCCCCGCGCCATGGCAAGGCATGATCAGCTTGTGTCGGCACCGAAGCGGCCCCAGTGGCTGAGCAGGTGATCCACCGGCGCAGCGGCGCTGCCCAGTGCGAGCTGCAGGCTGTGGCGGGCCAAGAACAGAGACAGGCCCGGGTCACCAACAGGGCTGAGTGAGTGATGAGAAAGCCAACGCGAGCCAATGCCGCAGTGCCAGATGGGCGTTGTTGCGGCATTCCAGAAGACAAGAGGCAAGGTCGTGGAACGGTGAGGCTGAGTGGGTCCGGCTGCCGCCCAAACTTAGGCAAGCCGCACGCCCAGCCGCTGCACCCGCCAACACCGTCACTGAACTGGCGTCATCGCCAGCTGTGTGCTGGCTACACAGTCCAACGCTGGCCGAGTTTCACACCGTTTCGCCCGTCTCTCCACCACGTTTCTTGTCTCGCCCACAGAAATGAATCGAGACGTTGTCGCACAGAGCAGGCTTGAGCCTGAACCCGGCCATGAGACGAGGACGGATGATTTGGCTCCAGATCGGCCGCCAATCGTTGCCAAGACGTCCGGACGTCTTGACGCTTGCGCAACAGGCTCGATGGACCTGACGTCTTTCGCTCCGTTCCAGGAATGATACTTTAGTCTTTGATGCAAGCCAGCCAGAGCCTGTAGTGCGCCGCAAGAGAGGGATCTACATCTCACAAACCGCCCATTGGACGGCACATGGAATCGCTTATCTCCAGGTCTTCCTGTTGTTGACACAACTCATGATGGTCCTTGTGCAGTGCGCCGCCAACTCTTCCGGAACCGACAATCAAACTAAGTTTCGCGGCACGAGTTGTCGGTCACTCTTGAAGTATCGCCGTCGGAGTTGGGCGTGCGCAAAGCCGTGACACAGCATGATAAGGATGTTCAATCTCTCTCCAGCGGGTTGCCAGGAACAGGAAGACGGTGAAACCGTGCTGACGCCATGTGCGGGGGCGGCGTTCGGCAGCAGATTCAACGTGCGGATCCACGCGTGCTCGATCAGCCCTCGACCCGTCACACGGCGCACAAAGCTTTGGTATACTGCACGCTGAAGCGTCCGACAGGCACCGTTCCGACTCGGACCTGCGCCGAAGAATTGCCGGGCGTTGCATGCCAGGGAGGCCCTGCTTCCGGGCCGCCATTGCATCGTCGCCGGGACATAATAATAAGCAGCGTGTTCAGCCGCAGATGCACTCTCACGCAGGCGACTGCCGAGGCCCGCCGGGGCAGAGGACCCCGGCTTCTTCGCAGCGCGCGCCGGCTTGCAGAGGGCGCCGGGGGTTTTGCGGGGTTGCCCCACGGCTCAGTTTCAACGTCCAGGCCCGGCGAGGGAAGGTGCCGAACATGCCCCTGCCAAGTTGCGGCCACCAGCGAAACAACCACCCGCCCTGCCGGCCTATTCGCCCGCAAACGCCCCCCGATCAGCCATGGTATGCACGCCTTCGTCTAGCCCAAGCCTCGTTGCTGCGCGGGGCCTCCCGGTCAATCACTTCGGCACTCGGTGTCCACATTGCATGAACTATGAGGAATTGCCGGAAAAGCGATCTTCAGGCCAACCGTATGTATACCCTGCCCTGCCCTTTTCCCGCTCCTTTTTTCTCCCCCTGTTGCTCACTTGCGGCGTCCTAGCTGACTCTTCCTCGGTCCTGCCAGCGGAAACTAGTCGAGCAAGCCATCATGAGGCTCACCTCGCTCTCTGAGGCTGCCACCTGGACGGTGGCCCTTGCCGCCGGAGCCAGCGCCCAAAACTCATCGTCCTTTGCGCACGAGTGCAGCTCTCTCGCCACCGTCCTCTCGTCCGTGCTGCCGAATGCTACCGTCTGGTTCTCCGAATTTGTCGCCGGCGGCACCAACATTTCCTTTCCAGACAATGACCCGAGGTGATTGGACTCGATTGACTGCTAGGCCGCCGCATGCTGACTTGATCTCCCAGCTGTGCGCGTCCTGTCCAAGCCGTCGAGAATGACTTGTGCCGCGTGGCGCTACGTGTGCCGACCACCAACCAAAGCGAGATCAGCATGGAAGCTTGGCTTCCCTCGAATTGGACCGGCCGCTTCTTGAGCACCGGCAACGGAGGCGTGTCTGGCTGCATCCAGTACGAGGACATGGCCTATGCTGCCGACCTTGGCTTTGCCACTGTCAGCGCTAACAATGGCCACAATGGCACCCGTGGCATCGCCTTCGGTAGGAACGACGATGTGGTCCTGGACTTTGCCTGGCGCTCCGTCCATACCGGTGTGGTCGTAGGCAAGGACATCTCGAAGACCTTCTACCGAAAGAACCACACCAAGTCTTACTACCTAGGATGCTCTACCGGCGGTCGCCAAGGTTTCAAATCTGCTCAGAGCTTCCCGGACGACTTCGATGGCGTCGTTGCTGGTGCACCTGCCTTCTCTTTCGTCAACCTCACCTCGTGGAGCGGTCACTTCTACACCATCTTCGGGGGCAACGACACCGAGCGGTTCGTACCTACAGAGTTATGGGCCAAGATTCACGAAGATATCCTCGCCCAGGTGAGCCATCAACACCATTGCCCCCACAGTCAATGAAAGCGCGCTAACGAACCATACAGTGTGATGGCCTTGACGGCGTCGTCGATGGCCTCATAGAGGACCCTGACCTCTGCCAGTACCGTCCGGAGGCTCTCCTCTGCGACTCCAACGCCACGGACATCTCGGACTGCCTAACGGGCCCGCAAGCCGACGCCGTCCGCCAGGTCTTCTCGCCGCTTTACGGCGTTGACGGCTCCCTCGTGTACCCACGCATGCAGCCCGGCAGCGAGGTCCTCGCCTCCAACATCCTCTACGGCGGCACCGACTTCATATACACGACCGACTGGTTCCGCTATGCAGTCTACCGCAACCCCTCGTGGGACCCGGCCACGCTCTCGCCCGCCGATTACGCCACCGCCGCGGCCCAAAATCCCGGCAACATCCAGACGTGGGACGACCTGACCGGCTTCCGCGCCAAGGGCGGCAAGCTGCTGCACTACCACGGCCTCATGGACGCCATCATATCGTCGGACAACAGCCCGCGCTACTACAATCATGTGTCCCGCAGCATGGAACTCACCGCTTCCGAGCTCGACGACTTCTACCGCTTCTTCCGCATCTCCGGCATGGGCCACTGCGGCGGCGGCGACGGCGCCTACGCCATCGGCAACACCCTCGACAGCCTCGCCAGCCTGGACCCGGACCAGAACGTCCTCATGGCCATGGTGCGCTGGGTCGAGGACGACGTCGCGCCTGAGAAGATTGTCGGCACCAAGTGGGTCAACGGCACCCAGGATCTCGGCGTAGAGTACACGCGGGCACATTGCAAGTACCCTGCCCGGAACGTCTACAAGGGCAGTGGCGACGGCTCGGATGCTGAGGGCTGGGAGTGCGTTGTTTGAGTTGCATGTGTTAACAAGGGACTGCCGGGGGAGGTTGTTGATCCAAAAGGAATGCTTGGGGTTGTGTAAATACAATGTTTCGTGTACGATTTAAGGGAACCGAGTTCGGCGAAATATGTCTATAATTCGTTGACGATGTCAGCAGGAACTGCTCTCTCACCTGACATTTGGGCATAGCAGTCAACTTCCATTTGCGTCGGGATATCTGCCTCGATTACCAACACAAAGGATCGCCGTAGGTTGGTTTTTTTTTTTTTAGAACCCACTAATGTGACAAGCTCCAACTCAGGTGGTTAAGTTTGTAGAGGCCCGTTTTTTCTGCACCGATCGTGTCACCGTCAGATTGTTGCTTCAAGACAGGCCTAACTCAGTTAGCGGGTTCGATCGTATTAAGGGTCTCCTTATTATATAATGCCGCTGTATATTCTCTATTCTACTAGTCGTTTATCGTTCTATCGTTCTATCGTTCTAATCGTCTAAGTCTATATACACTCTACTATCTCTGCTAAACCATCTCGTCTATCTCACTCTATCTATCTAGGCAGAAGCTAAAAGGGGAGGGGAAAAAAGGGTAAAGAAAACGACACGTTCTCTCTCACTCTCCTAAGAAAACACCCAGTGCCCTAAACCCACCCAATCTTATACAACTTATAATACCCCTCATCCCCCCTGCCCACCCCCCTCGTCTTCTCCAGCCTCTCCACCCCCAAAATCCCCAGCCGCCGCGCCCGGTCGCCGTTGTCATCCCCAGCATCGTCCGCAAACGCCGCCTCGACCGCGTCGACGAGCGGCGCGAAGCGTTCGGACCTGGGCCGCGCCGTGGCGATGAGCCAGAAGACGCCGCCGCCGGTGGACGGCGACGCCAGCATGCGGGCCGCGCAGTCGCGCAGCCAGACGGCGTGTTCGGGCGCGTAGATGACGTCGGCGGCGACGAGCATGCGGACGTTGCCGCTGCCGGTGGTAGATGATGCGTCAAATGGCGGGCGTGACAGCGCGGGCGAGGGGTCGGACCAGTCGAGGAGGCGGGTTTGGACGGGTGGTGGGGCGCTGGTGTTGTTGTCGTCGTCGTCGTCGTCGTCGTCGTCGTCGTCGTCTTGTTGAGAGGAGACGGATGGGGATGAGGAGGAGGAGGAAGAAGGAGGAGAAGAGGAAGACGAAGGGGGGAAGTTGGTGACGATGTTGGCGTTGAGGTTCTCCAGCACCGCCGGGTGGTAGTCGGTGGCGACGATGGTCGGCGACGGCCGGCCGGCGAAGAGGCGCGGGAGCAGCTTCGCGAGCATGAGGCTGACCAGGCCCGTCCCCGCGCCGAGCTCGACGATGGTGGGCGCCGGGCCGAGCTGGGCGGGCTCCAGGCCGAAGCGTGCGGGCGAGGAGCACATCAGGCCGGAGAGGACGATGGAGGCGCCCCAGCTCTGCAGGCCGACGTCGGTGTGGTCGGTGCCGGAGAGCGGGGCGTCGTTCAGGCGCACTTGGATGTCGCCGGAGGGCGAGGGGAACGAGAAGCTGCGGGTGATGCCGTCGTCTGCGTCGTCGTCGTCGTCGCCGTCGCCGCCGCCCCTTTTCACGTCGTCGTTGAACGAGGCGAGCACGAAGGCGGCGTCGTCGATCAGGCGCATGCGCGTGTCTTCGGCGAGCGAGTCCAGCTCTTCTGCCCGCGCGATGAAGGCCGTCAGCCAGCGCACCGCGAAATTGCGCTCGAAGTCGTCGGCGCGAAGGCTGGCGAGGGCATCTTCAGAGTCGTCGTCGTCGTCGTCGTCGTCGTCGTCGTCGTCGTCGTCGTCGTCCTCGTTGTGGGAGGCGTATCCGGAGTCCACGGGCGTAGGTGGGATGCTCAGTAGTGCCTTCGGCTCCACATGGGGCCTGAAAGCTCGGGGCAGGCGGAGCGGACAGTAAATGGAGTGGAGGTTGCGTATGGCGGAGGATATCTGCTCCTCGGTGAGGGCACGCAGTGACCGCACAGGAGGCAGGCTGCTTGTGGGAGGTATACAGTGACCTGAGTGACTCATCGGACCTCGAAGGCTCGTCTCTTTCGGAAAGCGTGGTAGGTGAAGCTGTATAGGGGAGAAGGGGCGACCATTTAAGAAACGAGAGAAGAAAAAAACCGAGAAGAACCGACCCTAGAGGCCGAGGCCGATTAGCGCCGTATAGTACCTACAGTCAAAAATCGGCTTTTGTTGCGCGAAGCACACGTCCGAAGTGAGCGGCTCCTTGAACAACAGACCACAGGCAGCGGCTGCGTCGGCCGCGCGCCGCGCTTAGCCTCTCAACGGCGGGATTGCACATGTCAGCAAAGGCGGCCGAAGCGGCGGCTCACGATAGGAGCGGCGAGCGGTGAGGTTGGTCGCAATAGGGAGAGCCCGCGGTTGATAGGGCTAGCTTGCCACGAGGGAGCTAGCCTGTCTAGGCACAACAGCCGAGCACCCTGCATCGTCACTGCCCAGCCTCAACCTTTCCCGCCGTCTGCAACAACCCCCTCTCCAAAGACGCCTTCGCAGCCTTTCCTCCACCCACTACTACAACTACACCGCAGTTCGCAGCGCACTTTGAAACCTCCGCTGCCCGAGTAGACGATTGTCCACTTTCCGATTGCATGTCACGATCACGTCAGGCATACAGGCACCATCAGTTACACGCTGACCGCGTACATTTTTATCTACAAGATTTGGACCCATGTTACTCGAACCCGCCTTACTCTTCTCTCCCCCAGCACAATGGATGACCAAAGGAACTAATCCAAGGCGATCCGTTGTGTAACTATACCTTTGTAAGTAGCTCAAGTAGATAGTCGGATGTAGATGCGAGTACTTAACCCATACAAATGCATCCAGGTATAGGGTTCCGCTACCCATGTAGGTGGAACTATGTCTTTTGTGTCACTCGCTGTGCCAGGAACAAGCAGCAGACCCTCGAACACGGCCGTTCTTCCCCCCATTCAGTCGTCTCCATCTTCGAGCACCTTGCTCATCACCAACCTCCAGAGTCTCAATAAATCAGCTCCGCCCATCCACTGGCCTCGGATGCACAGCCTCCAGCTCAACGAACTCGTTACATCCAGCCGGACCCGACAGCGCAAGTACACCCGCCAGCGACCCCACGAGGGGTCAAGCACGGCCAAGTAACAGCGATCGTCGGCGGGGGGATTCCAACTTCATCGAACGGAGCAGGGAGGGTGCATACGAGAACACGGTCTTCCATCTTCCATCTCCCCGTACAATCAGGCTGTGCATGTCTACTCAAAGAGCGCGACCGCGTCACCCGTGTGCTGGTTCGATTTCCAACTTCAGAAGCTCAGGGGCGTAGGAAGGTGCTGCCCTAGAAAGACTCGTGAGGAAGGCGATGAGGTCAGGCTCGGATCCGGTTCTGACTTTCAAGAGGAAAGGGGAGTGCTGAAGATGTTGATGAACCAGGAAGAGACAAGGAACAAGGAAGGGCCTCCGGACACCCAGAGCCCATAGGACAAAAAGGGGAAACAGGAAGGGCCTCCGGACACCTAGAACCTACAGGACAAAAAGGAGAAACAGGAACAAGGGCTAGAACAGTGGAGACACCAACCGCAAAATGCCAAAACAAAAACATGGGGGAGTGAGTAAACACACCGAACAAACTCAAACCTGCCAGTGGTATTAACTTTTTCTGACTTTTCGCCGTCGCCATGCAGAGAAGGACCATTTCTCGTTATTGCCATTTTTCCCTCCGTGAACGCCGTAAACCCCGTGAAACACATGCAGTTAGTTGGACTCTTAGAAGCCCCGGAGCTCCTTCATCTCACGCTCGTACTCTGCAAACTCCTTCTCGTCGCGCTCCTTGCGCTGGCTCTCGTCTTCAGGCTCCGATTCCAAAGCGAGCCTACGGTCAGCGACAAGCTTCTCGGACTCAAGACTGTACTCCGCAAAGTCCTTGCTCTCACCCTCGTCTTCACTCCCCGCCAGCCACATGAGATACTTGTCCTCCTCGGAACTCATCGCATCATCAAGAGCGACGCACTTCTCCCTCACCTCTTCGGTGAGCGCGTCGTAGATGCTGAACGCTTCGATGTCGTTGTTGCTTGCAGGGGTGCTCATACCCTGCGTGATCAGAGATGACTCCATGTTGTTTTCGACAATAGGACTCGACGGAGCACCCGGAGATGAGGACACGCCGCTGACATACTGGAGGCGCGAGCCCGTCTTGGGCTTGTGCTTCTCTGCCAATTCACGCTGGCGAGCCAGAGCGGCGTTGTGGTCTACCTTCGGAGTAGCACTGGGGACCGCAGCCGGCGTCTTGGAAGTGACATTGTCGTTGGCGGCCGACACTGACTGAGGAAGCTGAGCATGGGCTGGCGTGGGAGGCGGGGGAGGCTTCATGCTGTCCGACTGCGTGGGCTCACTGGCGGAATCCTCAGCATCGGAAGTCTTGGAAGAAGCATTGGCAGAAGACTTGGCAGAAGACTTGGGGGAAGCCTTGGGGGAAGACTTGGGGGAAGCCTTGGGGGAAGCCTTGGGAGAAGCCCTGGGGGAAGCCCTGGGGGAAGCCCTGGAGGAAGCCTTTGCAGAAGCCTTTGCAGACGGAGGCGTCGAGGCTGGAGCATTGCGCCGAGGCGAGGTGCTCTCCTCCAAGTCATCAGACATGGTTGAGGAGTCGTCGCTGTCATACTCTGGGGCGCTGAAGCTGCCGCTGCCTGCAATGTGACCAAACTTGCGCTGAGCTTTCTCTAGAAGCCGACGCTCGTCTTCGGTGATCTCCTCACCGTTCTTCTCCTTCCTGACAATTTCCTCTGCGCGGGCCTTGAGCTCGGCAGAATCCATTTTGCCATCTCTCCTGGGGGATTTCTGCTGTCGGAGCTGCTGCTCTGACATCTTGAAGACGTTCTCAGGCTTGTAGCCAGGATCTCCGGGCATGGCCATAAAGTATCCGTTGTAGACGGCCGACGGCGATGACTTCTTCGTCTGCGGAGGAACCACGTGAGTGGCCCAATAATTAGGGCTCTCGATTGAAAGGTCTTGGCTGAAACTGTTCTCCTGGTGCATGACGCGGAGCTCGTGATTGGCCACCATTGGATCTTCCTGACCTTCTTTCATAGCAGCCTTGCGGTAGCCGTTGCGCGGACGCTTCAAGCTCGGAGGGGTGTGTTCCATGGGGAGCTGAACAAAGTCATACTCGTCGTCGGTGTCATCATCTCCTGGGGATGGCATTGAAGTCCGGCGTCTCTTCGCACGGTGGCTGCTAGTATCGGGAGTCGGCTCGTCGTCGTAGCTGAAATACTCATCCAACATGCCAAAGCTACCCTTCTCACCAGGGCGACGAGCGGGGATGACGGTCGGGCTGGAGCGGCGACGCTTGTGACCTGGAATCTGCTTCGCTTCCTGCTGCTCTTTCACCTGCTGCACGTCGGATCGGCGACGGACCTCCGCGAGCTCGCGCTGACTCTCACGCAACTCGGCCTGGAGACGTTCAACGCGATCTTCCTGCTTCTCCGACAACTCGTGTCGTTTATCAGCATTCTTCTCACGCGGAGTGAGGCGAACGTTCCTGTTACGGATCCTGCGCTCTTGAGCCGCATTACTGGGTGAAGCGATGGTAGGGGACTCGGGAGACATTGCTAAGGGTGACTGGGGCTCGGCAGGTGCTGGGGTTCGGCTCCAAAGTTTCCTCACGGACGCGAGTGGGTTGAAGAAGAGATTGGCAAGACCGAAAGTACGCGCAGTGGTGGGTGGCTGCAGTTGCTGGTGCGCCTCTTCGGGTGTCTGAGGGCGTTCTGTTTCTTCGACCATGTCGTCATCGGCCACGTCTTCGTCAACAATGTCTTCCTCAGTTTCCGAGCCATCATTCTCAGTCTCCTCAGCGACCATTTCGACGTCGCCGGCCATGGCTTCATCCGCATCAGAGCTTGCGGTATCGTGCTCCACAATGTCATCATTTTCTGCTGTAGTCGCATCTTCACGCTCGGAGATCTCCTCCATGCTTGCGCCGGGATCGCGATAGATGCGTGGCTCTTGCCGCACTTCGGCAAACCAATCGTCGGGATCTTTGGGGTCGTTCTCGTCTTCGATGATACTCAGTGGCGTAGCATCCTTCAACAACTTCTTCTTGGAACGAGCCTGACGGGTCTTGGTTTTGAGGTTATCAGAGACCGGGGTAAGGGGAGACGCGATGCCAGCTTTCAACGCTGCGCGAGTGCGACGAACGGCTCCAGTGCGAGCGGGGGTTGCCGCGGCTTGTTCTTGCTCAATGTGCTGCTCGAGCGCCTTCTTGGTAGTAGCAGGAGCCTTCGCGGTAGACTTGCGTGCGCGGGACTTGGTGACTTTCTTCGTGTTACGATCCACGGTGGGCTGGCGCCTCGACCGCTTGTTGGTAGCCTTTGGTGCCGACGCAGTGTTGTCCGAGTCTTCGGACGCGGTGTTGTTCTTGGCCGAAGCCCTGGTTGCGGGGGCCGAAGCCTTGGATGAAGACACGGTAGCCGCGGGTGTAGAGACGGAAGCCTTGTCCGTTACGGCAGACACCTTGGAAGCAGCGGAAGCCTTGGTCTTACCAGTTGACTTCTTGGCAACTGGCGCCTTCTGGGCCGCAGCCGGGGCTGGGTGGGTGGTGGACGGCGCGTCTTGGACGGGCTGAGAGGACGATGATGTATTGTTGTTGGTGGAGGAAACCGCGTCCTTCTCCTTGAGCTTGGAACGCGTGCGACGAGCAGGCGGGCTGGAGAGGGCCGGGGCGGCCTTGGAGTTACGGGTCGCGCGTGCCATTGTGCAAGGACCGCGACAAACGCCAAGGGCTAGATGGATGGATTGAAAAGGTTGAAGTAAGGGTGGGTTGACGCGCGCAGGAGGCGGGTGGTGTGCGGGGACGCGCGCGCAACAGGAGGGGCGCAGAGCGACTTGCGGCCGGTCGCGACGCGTCGCGTGTGCACTACGGCGGTCCGAGCGGTCGCAGGAGTCGATTTGAACGTGTTGCGCGGTTGCGACGATGGGGCGTGGGGGTGGTAGCGATGGGGTTCTCGAAACACTTGCGAGCGAACGTCAACGCGACGTTCAAAAGTCGTCCAGGCGGCCGGCCCACGCCTCGCTAAAGTCCGAGCGTGCAGGGGATTTGCTTGGCGCGCTAGCCGAAAACCGCAACGTACTCGATGCAAACGAGATATTGGTCAAACCGTTGTGCGTTGACGGATGTGGGCGAGGTGCGTGAAGATAGGTGCGTGAGGGTCGGGAACGGCATGGCGAGGTGCGGGTGACCAATTTGTTTTTGTTGTGGTGGGCGCGTGGCCGAGGGCAGTCGCGTCGAGCAGGCACGCCAACCCCCGGCAACGCGTTGCTATGGCAGGTCAACTGAGCCGGAACCGTCTGGAAGGCCTGGATGGCAGTCCGTTGCCTATACATTGCGAGTTGCCAGCCAGACACCTTTTTGCTTTCAGCTTGCAGACCGCAGCTCCAGTCACCGCGCACACGCAAGTAAAGGATCCTTCAACAGCTTAACACTCGGCAACCCTAGCCATTTGATGAATGTGTTCCCGGTCGGGTGCGGCCGGTCGAGCTCAAATGGCTACATTGTCCAGCTCAAGTCTCATCCGCCCAAAAAGCGCATTGTTCCATTCGCACTCGTCTAGCATAGTTGCCTCGAGCCATTCGGTGTTGGCCGAGACAGATGACGCTACGATTCGTCAAGAAGCACGCGTCATGAATGCTCGTGGAACAAGACATGCGAGAAAACGGACCAAGTACTCGTCTTCCAACAGCTGTCCGCTTTGGGGGCGATAAGCAACCATTCTAGCTTATATAAATCTACTCGTTGCGCCTAGGAATACTGCAAGCCTACCTCGGTCAGTGCTCCCGTAAATCCAAGTGCGAGAGCAGGGGGGGACACGTTCTCGGAGATTGGTTATGCTATCTGGTGCAGGCTTCAGGTCGCATGGTAAAGCTGCGGCGTCCCTTGCAGAAGCCTTGTACGCAAACCAAACCTAGAAGTTTAGACTATCAATAAGGTGCTTACCGTCCATTCAGAGCAAGTTCAGAACATCGAATGTCAAATCCCCCAAACGCCTCAGGTCATGCAGAACAACGTTGTACAAGCGTCCCGGCTCGCGCCCGTTCCTGGTTCTAAATCGCCGGCAACCCGCTTAATCGTAGTTGAAAAGCACACTGATACTCTCGCCATGGTGCACGCGACGAATTGCCTAATGACATCAGTACTGAACATAATCGGACGTACTTGATAAAGCAAGCATACCTCCGCGAAAACGCTGCAATCTGTTAGTAAGGTGCTCCTTATCAATCATGGCAGGACACGACTTACTTTCCAATCTCGAGGACCTCTAGCTTGCTGCAATGCTCGAGGTGCTCCGTCTGGTCGACACTGTTCGTGACCACAAGCTGCAACAGTCAGTCAGTAACGCTCAGTGACAAGTCGTCTCCAGATTTCCCGGTGTCTCTGGGCTGGGTTTGTCCTACCTTATCAATTGCGCTGGCATTGATGCGGTCAATGGCATCGCCACTGAGAATGCCGTGAGTGACTAGCGCGTAGACTTTTGTTGCGCCCTCCTTCTTGAGCAGCTTTGCGGCCCTGGTAATAGTGTTTGACGTGTCGGCCAGGTCGTCCACGAGAATCGCCGTTCGCTCAGCAACGTCACCGACAAGCATCATTGTCGCATTTTGACGGTCAGTGATCTGGGTAGGGCGTCTCTCTGCGATGGGTGTCAGCGAAAGAGCTGTCATGAGAGTCACTGCAGATCTAACCCTTGTGGATGAGTGCAAAAGGCATGCCCAGGGCATCGGCAATGGCTGTTGCCCGCTTGGCTCCACCAGCATCCGGACTGACGACAACAGCCTCCCGATAGTCGGGGATGTGATATTGGATGTACTTGCGCAACAAGTGCCGGCCGTAAAGGTTATCAACGGGGATGTCGAAGAAACCCTGGTACTGAGGATCGTGCAGGTCCATGGTGATGACATGGTCAGCACCAGCACAGGTCAACAGGTCCGCGACTACTCCAGCATCAGCATTTCCACCCGCTAGACGGAGTTGTTCGCGAAGGTACCCAGTGTTCCTGCTTGGGCAACCCACTGCTTGTAACCGCGCTGCGGCTCAAACTTGGGCGGTTGTGTCACCAATCCGTTAACGCCATTAATTCCGTTGGCGGATGCATTCGAGGTGCCACGCTCGCGGGTGATGTAGTCTTGCTTGTCAGCGTCGCTCCCCACAGTGTGCAGGCCGGGTCCGTCCTTACGGTCTTCGCGAGCGGCTTTGGGAGGGCTGCTGTCGGGGGCGCCAGTGCGACGTTCGTCCATCTGTAGACGGCTCAGCTGCTTGTTCAAGCCATCCTGGCCACCGGGCAAGCTAACGCTCTCGGGGCGGCCAGGGGCCGGGGTTGCGGGCACGCTGTCGAAGCTGTAGTTTGCGGAGCGGCTGGCGTTGCTCGGGCCCTTTGCAAGCGGGGCGCCGCGTTTCTCGTACGGGATGTCGCTCTGGCGAGAGTACGGGAAGAGGGGCAGGACAGCGGTGACGCGCCTGGCCGAGGCGGTTTTGCAGGCAGATATAGTAATGAGGAGCTGCGGCGCGGCGTCAGTGGCCCAGCAATGCCCGAGTGCGCAGCATTCAGTATACCTCCATGAGGTGGTCATTGACCTTGCCTCCACCCGACTGAATGATGAAGACGTCCTTGCCGCGCACCGATTCTTGGACTTCCACACGCGTCTCGCCCACGGCAAATTTGCTCAAGAGAATCTGGGCGGGCGGGATGCCCAGGTGGTTGCAGATGGTCTCGGTGAGCTGGGGGTGGCTGCTGCCGCCCAGAATCACGAGGTTGCGGACCATGATGGCGCGCTGGGGGACGAGGACGGCGGGCTGCGAGGACGGCGAGCGTGTGGAGTAGGGTAGTAACAGACTCGCTCAGGCTGAGCGCGGGAGAAAGGCCGGCGGGCGGCAGCTGAGCGGAAGCAGCGGTGGGGGATCGAGGCGCGGTCGGGTGCGCTGCGGCGCGCGCTCAGGGAGTCAAACTATCGGAAGAGGCGCAGATGGCGGATGAGTGTCTGGCGCAGGGTGCGCATATCATGGTGGTCATTGTTGAAAAATTCCCAGCGCGGGGATGATTGGGTCGAGCTTCCGGCGTCTAGCACCACTCCCGCTTTCCCGTTTGCAACACCACCCGCTGCTCCCCATGCACTGCCCGCCCATTTGCATCCGCGAGCCGCCCTGGGTGCCCTGTCTCGCCTTGCGACGCGCAGCCTTCCATCTCGCCGCTTGCACTTGTGGCCGACGTCCGCCATGCACGCAGCGTCTTGCGGCAGCACTACTAGCTGCCACCCACCAGCGCCCGACCAGCCTATGCCTTTGTCGCCATTACTAACCCCACCTCGAGCTTGCTGCACGCCTGGGCTTGGAGCAGCCCAGCGCTGCCCAGCCTCCCGATTCAGAGCCGTCGCTCGGTGGGTCCGCTCCGACATCGCAGCGCAGCTTCTGGCGTTTCAGCCTCTCCGCTCCTGTCTGCGGCCGCCCGTCCCAGTCCCAATCTCTCCGCCTTGTTGGCCACCGAATGGTCAGATCCAAGGCTCGCCATGTTTCGCGGTGGTCTTTGTTATGTGAGACCTAAGCTTGGACTACTTCGCCTTTTCCGCTGCAGACCTGTGCATTCTTAGCTACTTCAAGACGTCTTCCTGGCAGCCATGTAACGTAAAGACATGTGAGCCTACTAATCAGGACCGAGGCTGGCAATCTGCGTTTGGACCCTCCAGGCGCGACATATCCATCCCAAGAGATGCCAAGTCGGGATGCATCAGTTTTGCTAAACAGATTCGATCGACTTCATCGGCGCTGGCGTAGTAAGTACTCGGTACTTTACTACCGTATGTATGTACTTTTGAACCCCATGCGGGCGGCACTGGAAGCGGCCTTGACTTCTTGAGAATTTTGCGAACAGCATACACGTCAGAAAGACCCGAGGCCATGCTTGCTCGCGACGAGGGATCGCATGGGTTCGACCATCGATATTAACCCTCGTGAAGGTCTATGTAGGATGCGCAGCTGTTACAACGTCTGCATCATCTCTTTGCCGCGAGCCAATTCGGCGTGTCGAGCGCGCTTCTACCATCTCATTTGAATTCCCAGAGCCGACGTGCGACTCTCGACCACTAGGACTTATTCTACCTGGATTCTTGTTGCACTTCAGCATCGTTGATAGATTGTGTTTGCTGGAGGACCCGCTTAGTGAAGTTCTTTGTAAGCTTCGGCTGTCCGTTGATCAGCGCGGCCGCTCAGCCGGAAGTGCGTCCTTGGCCAAGGTCACTCACGACGTGACGAATGTTCTTGACGTACCCTTCCCCGCACTTCCCCTCGCCGTGTCATTGGAGACTGTAGATCCAGGCTCTAGGGGGCTACCAAGTATAAATGGGGCCGACATCTCGGGTCCAAGGCGAGTTTGCGGAGGATATCCCAGGAGTGCCCGCATTGCCTTTGGATTGTCCCCAGGAAGAGGAGTGTACGCAACATGTCCCAAAACGGCAATATTCAGCCTCAGGCTTACCCCTCCCTCAATATCCCCGCATCGTCCACATGTCTGGATGTCAGCATCATCAACACTTCGACCAACTTAGTTTGCCCTGCCGACGGTTTTGTCAAGCCTGTATTGAAGGGCCATGAAGCGATCAACATGCCAACATGTTCGTTCCATATCCGCCACCCCTCCGGAAAAGAGATCCTCTTCGACTTGGGCTGCCGAAAAGATTGGTGGAACTTCTCTCCGGCAGTAGTTGCGTCGGTCAAAAAGCTCATTCTTGGATTGGACATTACGAAGGACGTCGCTGAGATACTCACGGAAGGTGGTGTGGATCTGAACCGCATCAACTCCATCGTAATCTCGCACTGGCACTTTGACCACACTGGAAACCCATCACTTTTCCCCAAGTCTGCAGAGCTCGTTTTTGGCCCTGGGTTCAAGGAGGAGTTCACGCCCGGCTACCCAACGAACCCGAAGGGCGTGATGCTCGACTCCGATTTTGAGGGCCGAAATGTGCGCGAGGTGGCATTTTCGCAAGACTTCAAGATCGGAGATTATGAAGCGCATGACTTTTTCGGAGACGGCTCATTCTACGTGCTCAACGTGCCCGGGCATGCCGTTGGCCACATATCAGCTCTTGCCCGCACGACTCCCGATACCTTTGTGTTCATGGGAGGCGACGTATGCCACTTTGGAGGATCCTATAGGCCCACCATCTACGCACCTATGCCGGAGACTATTCCAGAAGACGTCCCACTGGATCGGAACCGCTTTCGCTTGCCGTGTCCGTGCTCGATGTTCACAGCCTGCCATCCGGACCAACAGAACGCGCGCACGAAGCCGTACTACGAGGTGAGTCGAGAGGAGGGTAGCTGGTACGTCGACCCGCCGTCGGCACAACAGTCGATCAATCGACTGAAGGCTTTCGATGCGGATCCCAACGTCTTTGTGTGCATAGCGCATGACGAAGGTCTGGTAGACGTGGTCGATTGGTTTCCAAACGGAACAATCACCGAGTGGAAGAAAAAAGGGTGGAAGGAAAAGAGCCGATGGGGCTTTCTCAACGCGTTGCCAATTGATGGAAAGCCTGCGGCGGAGCCCTTCTGCCCCGGTTTGATGAAAGATGGAAAAGTTGCAAACCTTTAATTCAACACGGAGGAGAGATCGTGATGAAGCCTCAATGGAGTAGTCCTTTGAGGGGCTTCACGGCTGCAGAGATTAAGCCCAATTGGGCTCTCTATTCTGGGTAGATAATGTGTGCGGCTCATCGTTCCTCAACAGGTTGAGCTCTACTTTCCTCCGTTCCGGTATTTCTCACAGTTGGTCATACATGTACATATATATAAGGTGGGGCCCGGAAGTTTGGTGGCTATTGACGGCCTTGAAGTATCGGGATGATTGCACGTACACATGTGCTTCGCCATGGAGGGCATCAGAATTCGGCACCCCATAATTCCGTTCTTTGATCTTGCACGTGGCTTGGTCAGTTTCGCTGGATGTCGAATGAGGTAGTTCGGCTGGTTTCTAGCAATGCATATAATTTGTGCGCACGTCTCTTGAACCCAGTAAAGCAAAGCGGTACTGTAGGTACTGATACATCAATCAGTGTGATGAAGAACCATGGGTTCCAATTATCTCCGTGAGATCCCGCGGGATGGAGAAATACGGGCTGGCGTACCGGGAGTCAACATCATTCCTCTGTACCGGTAGCTTGGATCTTCATCAGCCGAATGTATCTAGGGATAGGCCGGTCAATTTCTTAGGAATCGGCATGTAGAGATCAACAAAGATTCATCGGGCGTTATCGGGAACGTGGAGTGCAATATTGGGAGCATGCATTTCCTCCTCCCTGTGAGAGGCCAGCGCACATGATGCAAGAGCTCGACTGTTTGCTAGCCATGACCTTGTGATGGCTGGCATGCGGGACGGACAGATATCACATGTCTGAAGATGCCCTCGACTCGGTTTCTGTACCATACACCAAAAAAGATTCTGACAAGGTTGCACCACCCACAAGTGCGGAGCTATCAATCACACGACGTCCGCCCATGTCGCACAATGCGGGAGGTACAGGAGCCGCAGGACGATCGTTTAAATTTTGAGAAAAAGTCCCTCATGCACAGCGCTCTGATCTGTGTTAGATACGTTATGTAGTCGGCGGCGAGCGAGTGCTTATATCTGCATTTGGCTTTGGACGAACCGCAGACACCTCCCCATGCCGATACCCATACTTTGCAACATCGTGGGCACGTGAAGGAATTGACGCATACGGCTTCTTGAGCTGGACCAGAAAAGTAGGAGAGATTTATCCTTGCGTCTCCGTGGCGTGAACCACCAGGCTCGTATGGGCTGGCGAAGCGAGCGGTGGGCTAGCCACGGACGGAAATCCGATGGCCGGCTGCAAAACCGCCGGCTGCTACGTGCAAATCATATTTCTCAATGCCGGTGTCTGGTCAGGATGGGCGGCAGATGGCGCACACATTGACAGTGTCGTGCCTCAACCAGGTTAATGCGGGAGGCGCTCAGCACATGCCACCGGTGAAAAGGCCCTGGTTCTGAGGCTGCACCTGCACACACATATGCGAGTTCTTGGACGTTGGCTCGGAGGCTGACACGGCACACCGCCGGTTGCAGCGTGGAGGCGTCGGGGACGGGTTCCGCATGCCTTAGCCTTGCAGATAAGCCGTCAGACCTTCATCACATCCCGGCGGCATATCTCGGGTGCGATGCGAGGAGAGGTGAGGAGGACGAACGGGGGTATGACGTATCGTGGACCCTCCAAAACAATGACGCTGGCGGTGATCTCATTGGCCGTGAATTGGCGTCTGGACGGGAGCGAAGGGACGGCGGTCGACGGCCGCTGTCGCCGGCCGGCGTGGCCAGCGTGGCCAGGCGGGCAGGCGGCCAGCGGGCAGGTGTCGCCAGGAGGGTGCGCAACGGGCGGCCCAGCGCATGCGGAGAATGGGCAGCTGCATCGCGGCGTATTGGAGGCGTGCGCGCAGAGACAGAGTCGTCGCCGCAACAAAGCATGCGCGCCTTCTCCCTAGGTAGCCGTTCCACGTCCCTGTGGCAAGCCCGATCGCCGACGGAACGCTGCCCCTCCATTACGTTGCCGCGCCTGCTGCCCGCGTGCAGCAGCGCCGTCGGAGGTACAAGACTTCCCGCCGCGCCCTATCCCGCCGTCTCGCACTTCGCTCCATTGCAGACTTACCCGCCTACTGCCAGTCTCTTTATTCCCTACTCTGCAGCTTAGCTCTGGACCCTCCTACGCCGTGCCACACGAGCCACGACTCGCACGCGTGACCGCCGACACGAGCCTCCCAGTCTTCTCCCCACGCTGCTCGAGCTCCGTACCAGCTTGTACCACGACCAGCCCCTGCCGCCAATAGTTGCGCAAACCTTTCCCTTCGTTCCTCCTCCGCCCAACCCCCCTCCGCCCTACCAGCGTGCAATGAGCTCGCAGCAATCCGGTCCCCGTCACCATCGCAGCTCTACCAACGACATCGACCCCCTGTCTGCGGCACAAATCTACTATGGCGACTCTCACAAGAAGAAGGCCAAGACGCGCACCTACTCGGGTGTAAGTGCAATCCTCGGCCTGAGCGAGCAAGAGCTGACATGTGCTCAACCAGGTCTTCGAGACTGGAAGGCACAATCTGAATGCCGCCGTGGCCGCTGGCTTGAAGCAGCCGGGCCGCAGGTCCAGCCACGGTGAGCATTTTCCATTCTCCATGCCGAGCTCTGGATTCGTGCTGACGCCGACACTTTGCAGATGAGCATGCTTCTCAACCTCGCAAGTTCCTTATTCCTGTCGAGGAAACGTTGAAGACCCTGCTCGAGCGCGAGGACACCGATCAGAACTACCAGATTACCATTGAGGATGCGGGCCCGAAGGTACGTACAATGGTGGAGGTGGCAGTCGATCTGGGAGAGGTTACGGAGCTAACAGAGTGCTCCAGGTGCTTTCGGTCGGCACCGCTGCTTCCAATGGACTCAATCGTTTTGACGTCCGTGGGACCTACATGCTCGCCAACCTCCTGCAGGAGCTCACGCTCGCAAAAGACTACGGTCGCAAGACGATTGTCCTCGACGAGGCCCGTCTCAACGAGAACCCCGTCAGCCGCCTTTCACGTCTGATCAGAGATACCTTCTGGAACAACCTCACTCGCCGAACCGACTCCTCCAACATCTCCCGCATTGCCCGCGATCCCAAGGATTGGACAGACAATCCGCACCCGAGGATTTATGTTCCACGTGGTGCTCCGGAGCAGTACGAGTACTATCTCAAGCATGCAAAGGAGCACCCGGATGAGAAACTGGAGGTCATCTACCTGGCCGAAGACTGTGCAAACGATGATTACGTGCGGGATCTGAACGATGCCCCCGGCCTCCTTGCCCTGGATATGGAGGAATACACCAACGACCAGGGCGAGAAGGATTTTCGCGGCAAGCCTTTCGTTGTTCCAGGTGGTAGGTTCAACGAGCTCTACGGCTGGGACAGCTACATGGAGTCGCTTGGCTTGCTAGTGAACGACCGCGTTGATTTGGTGAAGGCCATGGTCGAGAATTTCTGCTTCTGCATCAAGCACTACGGCAAGATCCTCAACGGAAACCGGACGTACTATCTTGGCCGCTCACAGCCGCCGTTCCTCACGGACATGTGTCTCCGTGTCTACGATCGTATCAAGCACGAGCCTGGAGCCCATGACTTCTTGAAAGCCTCAATCATGGCGGCGATCAAGGAGTACTACAGTGTGTGGACAGCAGTTCCGCGCTATGACCCAGAGACCGGGTTGTCGAGATACCACCCCGCTGGTGTCGGTGTGCCTCCGGAGACTGAAGCCAGCCATTTCGTTCACATTCTGGAGCCGTATGCGGAGAAGCACAACATGACCTTCGAAGAATTTGTTCAGGCCTACAATCATCGCAAGGTCGTCGAGCCTGAACTTGACGTGTACTTCATGCACGATCGTGCAGTCCGCGAATCTGGTCACGACACATCCTACCGCCTGGAACGCGTTGCAGGTGATCTCGCCACTGTCGACTTGAACTCGCTGCTCTACAAATACGAGACGGATATCGCTCGCACGATCCGCGCTCATTTTGGTGATCGTCTTGCTATTCCTGCTGAATTCTGCGTTGCGGGGCAGGAACCGGGTCATGTCGAAAGTTCGGCTGCCTGGGACCGCCGCGCAAAGAAGAGAAAGGCTGCTATGGAGAAGCTGATGTGGAATGAAGAAGAAGGAATGTTCTTCGACTACAACACGGTTGATAAGAAGCAGACTGGTTATGAGAGTGCGACTACGTTTTGGCCAATGTGGGCTGGTGTTGCCACTCCTCGCCAGGCAGCCGCGCTGGTGACCAAGGCTCTCCCGAAGCTGGAAGAATTCGGTGGTCTCGTCTCAGGTACTGAGAAGTCCCGTGGCGAAGTTGGTCTCGAGCGCCCCAATCGTCAGTGGGACTATCCGTTTGGGTGGGCCCCGCAGCAGATGCTTGCATGGGTGGGGCTCCAACGTTTCGGCTACGAGATTGAGGCTCAGCGCCTTGCGTACAAGTGGTGTTACATGGTCACCAAGGCTTTCGTCGATTTCAACGGTGTCGTCGTGGAGAAGTACGATGTCACCAGGCCCATTGACCCGCATAGGGTTGAGGCAGAGTACGGCAACCAAGGCAGCGACTTCAAGGGCGTTCCTCGTGAAGGGTAAGTGCTCAATTCCCCTTGATATTTCATCGAATCTGCTAACTCGCATCAAGCTTTGGTTGGGTTAACGCCAGCTACGTGTATGGCTTGCAAATGCTGAATGCCCATATGAGGCGCGCATTGGGGGCTCTGACGCCGTGGGACACGTTCACCAAGGCCACTGAGGCTCTTGGCTACTAGTAAATCCCTGGCTTCATACATGGCCGTGCAAAATCCAGACGAAAGTGGTGTGCCTCGTTCCCCTCGGTCTCAGCATCTCATGGGCATCCATCATACCTTGGCTGTTATTTTGAGCCTGCAGCACTGGGAGGAAACCCGGACGAAAAGGGAAGGTCCATGGAGGCTACGATTACGGATCAAACGAAGCACTTGACGATTGAGTATTAGCGAGCTTCAGAATAGCGTTTAGGATATCCAAATCATGAATACCTTATTAGGGCCGGAGCCAAACCCCCAAGCGCTTCTGGTCGCTCATGCAGGGGCTCTCTAGCGATGGCTCACAGTGATGGGCAGGTGGTGGCGGTAATGCCGTGACTTCCTCTCTAGGACACCGAGTCGAAGTGGTGGCCACGGAGCGCAGGCCGAGGGCTGGAAACCCATGGAAACACGGCTGCAAGCGGTTAGTGGGCTGACTAAGTCGGGCGGCGACGGTGATGACTCCCCCACAAGACGTCAAGCGCGCCCGCCGCTCTCGCCGGCGTGCCTTCACCTCGCAGCCCTCATAAAAGCCGCTTTTTCCTGCTTAACTCCACCTTCCATCAACCGCACACCATCTTACCCGCCACTCAACGTCTACCCACAACTACCTACCTACCAACAACACCTCAATCATGTCTGACTGGGAGAACGTCACCAAGATCGGCAGCCGTGTCCGCGGCGGCCCCGCTGCCCCTCGCGAGACTGTCGTCCGTGGCAAGAGCGCACTCAACGCTGCTCAGAGGAGCGGTGGCGTCGTCGCTACGGAGAAGAAGTTTGCGTCTGCCAATACCGTGAGTACCCCAAATGTTGCCACCTTGCGCATTCCCATCGCATGCTGTCAGCCGCAGGACCTGATGTCAGGACCTTGGCTTGCGCACGCGCACAGCCATACACAGCCTTTGGTGTAACTTGAGCTGACTCAATCGTTGCAGCGCTCCGCCGTCGAGGGCCAGCACCTCACCAAGGTCGACCGCTCGGATGACATTGTGAAGCCCAAGACCGTGGGCACCAAGGTCGGGGATGCCATCAAGAAGGCGCGCGCAGAGGCAAAGAACGACAAGGGCGGCACCATGACCCAGAAGGACCTGGCCACAAAGTGCAACTCGACCCCCACCATCATCGCCGACTTCGAGCGCGGCACCGCTGCGCCCGACCAGAAGCTGCTCGGCAACATGGAACGCACGCTCAACGTCATTCTGCGGGGCGACAAGATCGGCGAGCCCAAGTTCCCCAACAAGAAGAAATAAGTGCGTGCACTCCCCGTGTCGGGGCTGGCACCATTTTCTTGAAGGAGCGCTCTCGTGTCCTGGTGGACGGGTGTGCGCGGATGCTGGTGGGACTGAGGATACCCTGCTGCTCTGTTACTGCAGCGGAGTGGCCTGTAGGGTCGGTTGCGCTTTGAAACCCCCCCAATGCGTGTCGAGAGGCGGAGATGATGGGGCTGCGTGCGGACTTGCTGGATTATTTTAGCGGGCGTTTTACAGTGGACAGCGGCTGGATGACGGCTTGACAACGGTACGAAAAGGCCCGTTCTCTTTTCTTTTTCCTGGTTGGGTTACTGCGGTGTTGCTGCTTGCACGGTCATTTTTCCGTCTGGCTTGCTTTTCTCTTCAGAATGAAGGAAAAACAGAAAAAACCCGCAAAATAGATGAATTAGACCACTGGGTTAGACGACCATTGCCTCCGACGTGTCTAGCTGCATGGAATCATTTCGGCTATCTCTCTCTAACACTCCAGTCACTCTGATTGATTGCGCAGATCCACGAATCTCAGCACGTCGTACACGGTCGTATTCTGACATGCGCGATCTTTGCCACCCCATGGCGCCAAGGGTTCTGGCCCTTGGACCACCCGCGCGTTATCCCGAAGGGGGCTATGCACTACCGGAGCATTCTCGATGGCATCTTCCAATCACTGTTGAGCAAAGGAAATCTGGTATGGTACGGTAGGAAAATTGGTTGGGCACATTTTCTCCTTCTTTCCTCCCCCCTTGCCTGATGAGTATCCCGATATCAGCCGGTCATCAAGCGCTAAAAAGACTACGTACTGGACAGCAGCGTGCATGCGTCTGTCCGCCCCCCCTCTCCATTCAAAATCTGTCAGGAGCGTTTTCGGACGGGGTCAGGGTGATGATGACTGGGTATACACGTGTGCCGTGCCTAGCGCACATGTCCGCCGTTGGCGGTGTGAAACGAACGGCTGGCTGGCTGGCTGGCTGGCTGGCTGGCGGGCGGACGGGGGAAAGCGGGTAGGGCTGACATGGATCTACGTGACGGTGTTTCCGATGTCAGTCTGGATGACGTGGTTGGAGCGGTGGTGGGAAGAGAGCGTTCGTCTAGACCATCAAGAAATACATGGGGCAACCCGCAAGTGGGTACATACGGGCAAGGCGACCACATGGGTGGTGCCGGATCGTCGGCAGCCACGTCCGGCTGGAGAGACCGGTCCAGCTGCTCCAGGCTTCCAGTGACGTGTGAACGGCTTCGTGTGCGTGGCTTGTTTGTGAGGCGGGTTTGCTTGCCGCTTCGGTGGCGCCGGTGGACAAGCAATCGGATGCTCCGCATCGAAGGTGAAATTGCAAGTATCATTTGGGGATATCCTACCCATCCACTCCTTAGCGTGGAAGCGTGAAACCCAAACTCAATTCTCAGATTGTTCGGGATCCGTGTTGCCATGTGGTTAACCTGATTGGGAAACACACAGCGTAGCTTTGTCTCTACACTAGAGCGACCTATGAAGTTTAAGCAAACTACAAGTTACTCGGCCTCGCTTCCAGGCAGCACCAGTTCACTCGACTCAGACGTCATGCTTGGGCGTATTCGCATGGCCCACGTCTTCGAGACGGAAAAGCTGTTCCAGAAGCCAAACGTGCGGTGAGCCTCGCTGGCCAGGGAGGATGTTGAGTGGGGAGCGAGCTTCACGTGAACATCATGATGAGTTACAAAGTTCGTAAAAGAGGCGAAAGACTAAATAGAGAGAGAGAGAGAGAGAGAGAAATAAATAAATCATGAGGCTCGACTAACACTCGCTTATGCTTTGGTCGCATACTCTGACGAAAAAGCGAGCAACTAAGGCTGAGTCGCAGCCGAATATAGCATTACTAGCATGTGGTTCATGCGGTCAGTGTTGCGTGTCTTGCAAGATCGACACCTCCTCCCTTGTCTCATCAATGACAAAGCACGGTCCTCGCCAGCATGATGCAAAGGGGCCTAGCTAAAACGTGTTGGCCACCTTGTGGCTGCCCCCACCAGGTCAGTCCATAAGCTGTGGCTTCTGCTGTGCACGCGTCAGGCCGAGAAAGCACGTGTGCTACGATTCCCACTGTTTTTGATGAAAGCTTGTGCGTGTGCTGATCCTCAGGCTGTATAGCTTTGCTTCCAGCGGGCAGGACCTTTTTGCTCCCGCATGTTTCCGCGTGTACAATATGTGTAGCCAAGTGGCTTTCTAGTGGTTCGTTGCGAGCGCCTCGTTTCCTATCTTTGACCGGCTTCGGATTTTGAACGCGGTCCGGCAGACTAGTCTGAAGAGCAAGGCCGCTTCTGCTCCTTCTCAATAGAAGTTCCGAAGGTCGAAACGAAAGGGAATTGAAGAATGATACCGGTTGAACACGTATGATGGGCAATGCTGGCTTTGGAGGGACAGTCCTCATAGCACAGTAGGAAGTCGGGGTGATGAGACGGTTGCTCGCTTCGAACACTTCGGGCATGGCGTCCACCAGGTGGCGATCTAATCACTCCAGAAATATCTTCTCGATCTCTGCTCGTCAGATTATCGAAACGCGAGCCTGTGCGCTTTCTTTCGAGTCTCCAATAGTCGCAATACGGATAGAACACGACGCCGGTGATGGCACCTAGCTTTTCAATATACGTGTACTGCCTCCTCCTCGCCTCCTAGTAAAGGAGCTCGCCGAGAGGCGCAGCTTGAGTATACTTTGGGTAAACGTTAGCATCGGTACGCGTAAGCTTTGGATGGGTCTAGAGCCATCCACGTTCCCACAACAAAGACTTGCCATGGCTTACGTATCCTTCGTAACGCTAAATAGCGAAAGTAGGTCTTTCGATTCTAGAGGTGAGCAGCAGGGCTTTTCGAGCGTAAGGCTGGCGTTCCCCGACTGTCAATGCGTAAAGCTTGTGAAGGTTCAAGCGATGAGGGACGAAAGACGGCAAGAAGGCCAAGGGAACAATGGAGAGTTTGTGCGTTGTCTTGAAAGCCTGAAAGTTTCTTTGTCTTAGACATGGCCAAGTCTAGACTTCGATACGATAGATTCTCGCGCAATTGACCCACATCACACGGGTGGCCTTTCGAGGGAAGTATCGATGTGCAGAACTTGCGCAGGAAAATCTTCATCGTTGACGAACGTGGCGATTGCTAGCGATCCCTTATGTCCGAGTCTAAGCAAGGCATCAGATCGGCAGCATAAGCTTCGCGGAGGCGGGATAGTTAGATAGGTAGTTGTCATTTGCAAGTGAGATGGTTGATGAATGCGGAAGGGATGTGGTCGGACAATGGTAGATGCAACTGCTTCAGGAATCAAGGAATTCCGGGCTTGGTGACTGCTCTACTGAGTGGTCTGCCGGTGACTGAATATCAGGAGCCCGACCTTGCAGTTAGCTGGACGATGACAGTTGCAGAAGACGGTGCTTGGTGTGGGATATCTTGTACAGAGCCCCTTGCTCTTGTGGCGATCCTCAACGAACTGCGCCGGCCGATGAGTGTAGCGATCATGGGAGCGTCCAAATCGGCAATCGACGCCCTTGGCAGAGGCGGCCATAGATCAGTATTGGAAAAGTCGAGACGGCGTGCCTGCATTGCAAGATAGACATTGGACCCTGAAGAACGGAACATTCTTGTACGAAACGGGGAAAATGCAATGGGATGTCGATGATGCGCCCAACGATCTTCGCCAACCGCACCTCATGATCGTTGGTGCCACGGGAACGAGGCCAATGGCAGCAGAGGTGTGGAGAGCGATGTGCGTGCCTGAGGCAATGGCGGACCGGAAGCGGAGGGGAATATTGGCTCATTAAAGGCCAGGGCATCCTTTCGGTTAATCCGCCGGTAAATGGCGAGCCCGTCAGGAGAAGGCAAGGGACGGCGCTGCACCGTCAGCACCCGGCCGCGGGCTCGAGGCCGGATCATCGCTGCGAAACATGGGAGCGGCCCCGCGGGCCAAACGTGCTAGCGGGCTCTCTGCCTCTCTCCGCAAGGTGTTGAGCGTGGGAGAGGCCTGTCGCGCTGAAACGGCCGGGCCTGTGGGGAGCGGGCTCGCGGGCTCGCTGCAGAGGCGTCCTTGCAATCTCGCACGAGGCGCAGTGGGCTGTGGCGAAGCCGGTCAGCGCGTGTGGAGGGCTGCAGCTGGTGGAGAGCTCCGTTTGGCTCTGCGATTCATCATTAATCTCGGCGCCGGGGTCAGGCCACCAGGCGCCAGGCACAGCAAGCACCGCAGGCACAGCAGGCCGGCGACTGGCAGCCGGCGCCGTTGAGCGGGGCAGCGGGTGCCTGGTGCGCCCAGTTGCACACGCTGCGCGGCCGGCCGCAAGCAGTCGCCAGGCACCGCAGCGCGCGGCTCGCTGCTCTGGCGGCAAAAATAGCAGAGGGCTGCCGCGGCTAGGCCCGGTCGGGCCCGCACTGCTGCGTCGTCAAAAGGGCCGGCGCGGCCTGTGCGGGCTTTGAGATTTGATTGATTGCGGTGGGCGCCGTGGCTTGGGCTGAAAGGAAGAAGCTTGCATGCAGCGACTGCGCGGGCTGCGCGGGCTGCCGTCAGGCGGGGGACGGCGCGGGCGCATGCGGCTCGGTTGAAACAGCGCAGCGTGTTTGCTGCTGGCCGCTGCCAAGGCGGGTGATGAAAGGCGTGCGCCGATCCGGAGGGCGTGCGCGTGGGTCGAGACTGCTGCGTCCCGGCACATCGAGCGTGCCTGGCTCCCGCCCCGTCCGCTGCCCTCTTCTCCACCCCAACCGCTCCCCGTCCATAACCACTGCTCACCGCCGTGCCGCTGGCCCTGTGGTACCCTGTCACTCGTTACTCCTCCTTCATTCCGTTCTCTACCTCCCCGACGCCCAGCCTTGCCGGCCTCGCCCTGAATAAAGCCCGGATTGCCCTCCTGCCACCCGCTGATCGCTGCCGCGCGTCGCTTGCTATCACCACTTCCCCTTCTCACGCTCGCCGTTCGCTGGTCGACGCACACCATAGATATCCTCTCCAACTGGCTGCCGCCTTGAGCGCAGCCCACGTCCCAGCCCTGTCTGCCCTCCGTCCCGTCTCTCGCTCCCGTTCCGTCCTTCGCAACCATGGCCTCCAACAAAGGTTTGTATCCCGCTGCCGCCGCCCTCGTCCCGGCCGTGCCCGCTGACAGTCCGACAGCCATCGAGCACACGCTGCGCACCATCTTCCGTCGCTGCTACCAATGTCCCGAAGAGACGCCCTCGTGTCCCACGTGCAGTGACGGCGAATACTGCTCACAGCTCCTGTCGTCATGCACCCAGTGCGCTTCCGCCGTATGCGTCAAGATGGACGGTTCGCCCGGCACTGAAAAGAAGTCTGGCGGCACCAATGTTGGCGCCATCGCAGGCGGCGTCGTCGGCGGCGTCGCCGTGCTCCTCATCCTCACGTTCTTGGTCTGGAAGTTCTATTACAAGGGCAAGAGAAGGCAATACGATGAATCCGATCACTGGTCCCACATGGACGTCGAGCAGGAGAAGGGTGCCAATGACTTCACCATGAGACGAGACGCACGGGCATCCACGCACACTGTCGCCTCCATGGCCTCGACCGTCCTTACCCGAGCCTCGAACATCATTCAAATCGCCTACATTCCCGGTGTCACGAACCGCTCCGGTGCCCCGTCCCCTGGCACACTTGTCCCCCCCGTGCCCCCGATTCCAAGCGCCCACTCCGGTACCGCCAGTCCTTACTCGGAGCAGCACTTCTTTGTTCCCGGCGATCTGCGCGACTCGACCTACTCTGGATTGTCCGCCGGTCGTTCGAGCATCTCGCCTAGTCTGGCCCGCAGCAGTGTCGCTACCACCATCTACCGCAACAACGCCGTCATCTCGCCTCTTCCCGCGCAAACCATTGTTCGTGGCAAGGCCGCCGTTGTCAGTGTCAAGTCAAACAGCTCAGGCAGCCCGACTGAAACTCCTGGATCTGAGACGCCTCCTGTTCCCTCCATCAACTATGACCAATTGGAGAAGGAGGGCAGGAGCCCCAAGGGTGGCTTCAAGATTCAAATGCCCCACTCCTCGGATAAAGCCGGTGTCAGCCCTCAAGGATCGGTAAAGAGCGTCCAGATTGGCAAGCCGAAGGCCCTCACCATCACGAAGGCAAAGAAGTCGAAGACGTCATTGGCAAACGAAGTCAGCATGGCTGCCGCGGGCGGTCCCTCAGAAGACTCGGGTTCGAGAGGGAAATCGCCGACCGCTGATAGGATACCAATCAAGATGCGACCCTTGACGGAGGTCTCGATCACGGACTCGGCCGCATCGGGACCGGAATACAAGAGCCACATGGATGACGATTCTTCAGACGATGAGGACGACGACAAGGCTGGAGTCCGCGATAGCAACGTCACGGAGATCCAGGACACGCCCGGCATGGCGCAGAGCCCATTTGCGGACAGCAACAGGGCCGAAAACCTGGAGACTGTGATTGAGGAGGCAACCAAGCGGGCAAGCAAGGACGTAACAGGCGGTCTTGGCAACGCACGAGCACGAAGCCCGTTCGGGGACGAGAATGCGTTGAAAGAGTGAAGGGCATGAGAGGCTGGGTCTTCGACCTTGTTGATGACATTTCCACAGGAAGCGGGCGCGCCAGCGACTCAGGAGCCAAGGAGCGCTCATCTATCCGCTACACTTTTCGGGCGCCGGCCGACGACCAGGCGCGGTGCCTTCCTTTTTCGCTGCTGGAACCCCCCAAGACGCTGGCTCGCTCAAGGATTTCTGAGGCTGAATATGGCTTTTTTTTTTTCACATGTTTCAGAATGACGGAGATTTGGATGAGCGACTTGAAACTGGCGGGCCCTTGGGACCGATTCCGTTCGGAGCGCGCCCAGCGTGTAACAGCGGCGCACTTGAGGTGCTTACTTATTATTCCCCACTTGGCCACGGATGGCCGTCCGACTCTCTCGCAGTTTCTTACGATTTATTGTTTATCTTTGGGAGGGCTTAGCGATGTCGATTTGCGCACTACTACCCCGCAGTATCTATCTTATGTGTTTATTTTTGGGCGGAAGGGCTCAGCGCGAAAAGATTGGCAGTTTGCCTTTTTGTAGTAGTTAGGGTTGATGTCGCACTGGTCAGAGTCGTCGGGAGCAACAGGCGCCAGAGCAGGCGTCGCGTGCTGAATGATATGCTTTCTCACACACCTTCCGCCCGAAATCGCAAAGCAGTGACTCGAGACGAGCGCTAAGGTTCATGCGTGGCAGGCGGCAGGCGCCACGACAGGCAAGTGCGGCAGGACGGCACAGTCGATCAGCGGGGACAAGGGGGACGGCGTCGTTGCATGGCGCGCGTCAAGCCTTTCGAAGCATGGCGCGTGTGAGGGGCCGCCCACGCGGGCGGGAGCAGCATTATTTATCTGATGGACGACGCCCTTCAGCTGCCATGTTCCGACGGCCGCGACGACAGCGACGACGGCAGCTGGCGTTGATGTCATGTCGGCGGCCGCAGCCCGAGGGCTTGACGGCTCAGCCCTGCCGGGCCTGGCGCTTGCCGCGAAAAGGTGCCGTAGTGGGCGGTAGTGGGCGGTAGTGGGCGGTAGCCGGCCGACCGATCCGCATGCGGCTCCACCTCACGCCGCGCTTGGGCAACCGTGTGGTGTCTGATGCTTTATCGTTTTCGCATCTCTGGCGACTTTTCGACAAAACGCTGCGCGGCCAGCGGTGTCAGTTGGCTGCGCTGCGCCTCGCCTGATGCAACCCTCCCTCTGTCGCTCCGCCCGCCCCCACACCTTCGCCATGAATCCTTCCAGCTGCGCCATTCGCATCCTTCTCTCCGCGACTCAGCGCTGCGCGACGGCGTCGTGGCCCGTCGCTGACGGTTGCCTCGGGGTCCCATGAGCAGCGCAGCGCAGCACAGCACAGCGCAGCATGCCCAGGGGTGGGCCGAGTCATCCGCTCGGTACGTAGGCAGCTCTATGTGCCCCAGGCTAGCGCTTATTTGTCCGGGTTTCTACGAGCGCACGTCCGCCAAACGCTGAGCACTCAGCCCAACTCAGCCGCGTTGGTTCAATCTCCTCTGCACTTTACGCCCGACGATCATCTTGGTACTGTCTTTTTTGCGGACCATGGCGTGTTGGAAGGCCGATTATAAGGCTCCACGCCGCCGCCTACCCTGACAGCTCTCCGCCCAGTTTCCTCCGCTCTCCACCCGAAAGCCACCACCAACACTTTGCCATCCTGCCTGCGCATGCATTCCTGTCTTCATTCCTTGCCACCGAGAGGTTTCAGCAGAGACAGCTAAGAGCGTTCAACTCGATATAAATACCAATCCATTTCCGTTGCCATACCGTGCTCTCCATCTCCCACAGCCACCGGACCACCAAAAAAAAAAAAACAAAACCACCATCACCATGGGCTCAATGGACGGCATCCCCTCCATCGACGAGGTCCTCGTCCAAAACACCGTGGGCCCCTCCATCGCCAGCGGCCACCCCACCAAGGCCACCGCATCCCCCACCTACCAAACCGTCGAAACGATCCACGTGCCCGCCCTGCCATCGCCGCCCGTCACCGTCACCGCCGCCGCGCCGCCGGTCCCGCCGCGCTCCTGGGCCAGGCACAGCCGCTACTACTCCTCGACGGACTCGGTCAACGTCACCACCACGACCACGACCACGGCCGCCCCCACGGGCTACACGCACCAGCCCTCGGCCATGGCCAACCCCGTCGACGACGACACGGTGCCCCGCACGCGCAGCCGCCCGCGCTCGCGCTCCCTCTTCTCCTTCCGCTCGCGCTCCTCGTCCACGTCGAGCGGCAGCCGCACCAGCCTCGACTACGGCGACGACTCGTTCGACGACGACGCCCGCGTGGCGGCCGCGCGCAAGGGCGGCGCCGGCGCCGGCGGCAGCCTCAAGATGAGGCAGAAGAAGCAGAACGACGCCAAGGGCAGGGGCGGGGGCGCCCGCGCCCGCACCAACAGCGTGCACGCCGCCGCCGTGCTGCCCGCCGTGCTGGTGCTGAGCGCCGAGTGCTTCACGCCCGGGCCGCGCGAGGGCGCTGCCGAGCAGGTCAAGTGAATGAGTGGGTTGGGTTGGGTTGAGAGGCGCGCGGGGGAGATGATGATGATGATGATGAGTGGAGGCGAAGTGATCTTCGGGATCGCCCTTTCTTCTTTCCTTCTTCTTTCTCCCCTCCTTCTCTTTTACCCCTCGCTTTTTTCTGCTGCAATGTTCAAGTGGCGAGGGGGAGGAGGAGGTGGTGGTGGAGAAGAAGCCTTCTATCGGTCCGGCGGCGCGGGGGGGATTTCAAATCAAATGGGGAAGGAAAGGATTTACAACAACAGCAGCAACGGTAGGGCTGCTTCTTCCACATGTGGCAAGACGGGCATTCTTTGGCGCGGTTCAGGAGCTCGCTACGACGACGATAACGACGGAAGAAACAAGGTTTCGGGAAACACAACATGGTCGGGGAACCGGGGGGAGGGGCGTTTAATGGTTTTATCGTCAAGTTTTTGGCTTTCTTTGCTTCTTTTCTTTTTTCCTTTCCAGGCACCATGAGCCAGACTACTCTTCGGGGTACGATGAAGATGGCATATGCGAGCCTTCTTTCTTTTCTTTTCTTTTCTTTTCTCGTTCAGGTGCATATACCCAAAGTTCTGTCGATACCCGGAACAAAATAATCAAAAAATCCAAAAGATTATCAACTACCTCTCTCGCGATCCGCCCGAACCATGACATCATGCTTCTTCCGTCGAAAGGCGGACGGACCGAGCCCAACCCCGCTCACTCCTTTATTTCTCCGATCAAAACTTTTCTTTACGGGCGAAGGCACTGGCGTGAGGGAGGAAAAAAGAAGCCGATCTAATCACCGTCGTCGTCATGCGCGGACAGGATTCGGAACGTGACCCAACAGTTAGCCTTTACGGCCGAATAATAACGCCGGCACCCCATCCCCCTTCCTCCTCACCAACACAACCGCCCCCTTCTGCACTCCTACAGTCACCAGCTTTCTCCAATGGCACGGCTTCCCGCATGTCTACGCGCAGTGAGACGGTCCGTTTAGAACATGTCTGTTTTGTGGAAGTCTAATCCTTCCCCGCAAGCAAGAACCGTGGTCGGATTGAAACGGCCATGGCCTCTCCACACCCCTTCCCCACGGCCGTGATCGTCGCGCATGTAACGCCGGAACGTGTTCAAAGGTGGTAGCACGGCGAGACTGGCTACCGGGAGGGAGGGATTGGCAAGCGTACCATGTCGGCTGTTGATGAGCTTTGCTGGCACCGCAATCATAGCCTCCAGGTTGACTATTCACACCTCAACACTAACATAGCACGTCAAGAACCTCTAAACCCAACGAAGCAATCGATATTCCTCTAAGATACATTACATCCACCTCGGGAGCCTCTGACCGGCAAAGGCTATCCTGGATCTCCACCAGAAGCCTTACTTGATCTCAACTAAAACCACAAAACCACCTTAAATCGCCTCGCCTCTGTAAAGTTTTCACAAGAAGACGGAGCCTGCTCGATAAAGTGAAAAGAAAATCGGAGGATAAACTCGAATCCGTCCGGAAAAGAAAAGGGGGGGACATGGAAAAACCCGGAAAAGAACACCAAAAAAAAATGGAACTGAGGAAATGGACTAAAGGAACCTGAAAGATCGCAACCATCGTGACTCTCCTCGCTTGCTTCACCGGGCTTCGATCCGACCGTATTTCTTTGCCATTCCCATTTTCCATCCGTGTCGTTGTCATGGTCGTAACTTCATTCAAAGCAGCTCATTTGGGGTATCATGTGAGCGCAAAGCTGTACTGAATCGCAATTCTGTTCATGCAAGCCAATGCTTTCTCTTTTTTTTTGTTCGGAATATTTTTTCCTTATGCGCGATTTTTGATATAAAATGGAATTTCCGCTTGGCCATGGGGTGTTGTAAGTGCAGGCCTTTCCTTGGCGAGGCCTCGAATACTGCTTGACGTGTTGATGAGTCTCAGCGCTTAGGGGTGTGAGTGAGTCTTGGGGCGTAAGAGGTGTGTAGATTGTCTAAACCACGAATCTTTCGGAGCGGCAGTGGTGAAGAGCGCTCTGGAAGACTAGAGGCTAGACCTCCTACGCCCAGCACACAAGATTCGAGGAGAGACGCCGGCGGTAAAGGGCGTCGGACGAACTTTCGGCATTTAGAAAGTGTCGCGGTCGAAGCTGTCAAAGCTATCGCGGTAGGATTCGAGGGCTTCTCTGGGGTTAGTCGATGGCAACTAGTTTTGGGGCGGGGGTTTTGACTTACCAGGGCTCTGCTCGCGCACAGGCTTCCTCCTTACTACAGTGTCCGAGTGCTCCATAGGGCGCGGGCTCTTTGAGCCCATAGGCCTTGGGCCGGTGATCTTCCGCCCAGGGCTTCGCACACCCATCTGGCTTGAAGGGTTCGGTGAAGGTGTCAGGCTATGCCTGTCCGTCTCCAAGCTGTAACGAACTTCCTCAATAGGCGGAAGTGGCGACAGAAGCTGGCCCGAGCTCAATGGGCTGCTGTACATCTGCTTCGCTCCGAAAGGCAGGCTGCGCTGCTGCTGAGGAGGCTGCTGCACCTGTGGCACAAGAGGGCCATCGTCTCTGTGCCGACCGTTTACTTGCTCGGAGGCAGAATGGTTTGAGTAGCCACCATCCGAGAGCGGGGACATATGGCCATTGTTTCCGCCAAAGCGGCTTCTGTTCAGAGCAAGGCTTGGAGCGGAGCCCCACTGATCGAAGTCAGGAGAGTGAGGGTCATCGAAGTCGATGGCTTGTGATTCCAGATGCGTCTGGTGGCGATGGGTCGGGCCCTGGCGTGGCTGCGGATGCTCCAGGTTCAATGAGTTCCGATGAGCTTGATACTTCGGTCCGTCCATATCATCATCGTCGTCCGGAATGAGAGGAGAAGGCGACCGAGCCTGGTCGAACGAGCGCGCACGCTGATGATAACCGGTCAGCGAAGTACTCGACCGGATTCGATCGTCATCCTGAAGATCGTAGTCGCCATATTCATTGACGTTGAGGTTGGAGCCCGAGCGAGACGCTTGCGAGTATGGCCTCCCCTTCTTGCCGTTGCGAACACTCTCTTTCTCTGTAGAGGCAGTCGTCTTGGACCAGCGCGAGATCTTTGGAATGCCGAAAATGGAGGAACTGTTGGACTTGTGCTTCGCCTTGGCCTTGGAGTTGACTTCCTGGTTCGGTGATTCGTCAAACCCGCGTTGTCCTGGGGGCGTTATTTCCTGTGGCATGGAACTCGTGCGCCTCACTTCCTCTGTTGGTGTCAACAGGCGATCGTTGTTCGCAAAAGAATGGTCGAGGAGACGAGCCTCATGCTCGTCCAGTTCCTCGTCCCCTTCCAACACCGTGCTGATGCGGTGTTCGGACCCACGGCGTCCATCGTATCCTGAATGGCGGCCAACTTGACGAGAAGAAGGGTTGGAAAAGGTCCCGGATTGGTCAGGTGTAGATGCAGTGTTGGCCCGACCTTCCGGCTCGTACCCCGGATCGCCGGCAGCACGCAAGTTCTCATAGGATGTCATGCTCTGACCTTGGCTGTTTTGCATCAGCAATGGCCGCGGCCCAAGGTTTTGGCCGTCTCGGAGCCCTTCGACTTCATCGAGAAGTTGCATGAGCATGTCTTCAATCCTTGACAACTCGCTCGTGTTCTTCGTGCTAAGGCCCTTGAGGGCTCTCTTGAAGACGTTCTTGCGCTTCGCGGAACCGTCGTCAACTTCCTCAGATGATCGCCCTCGCAAACGAGTCGTGCTGGGTGGCTGCGGTCGCGGACCCTGGAGAAGCCTTTGGACAACCACTTCAGCATCCCGATCAGAGTTGCCCATTATCATCTTGTCCTGCTCGGCGATGAACTTCTTCATTTCTTCAAACGAGTTCCGCATGTCCGCGGCACTCCGAACGAGCGTGACCAAGATTTCAGTGTCGCGCGCATTTCTTTGGGCATCGCGAACGGTGAGATGGTCCATGAGAGCCACAATGTCCTTTGACTGGATGTTGTCAATCCCCTTGCCGGTAGCGCTGTCATACAGAGGCGAGTCCATGCCGTGCGAGTTCCCACTGAAGTTGCGGGTGTGCATTGGATTGCCGCCTACAGCAAATGAATCGTCCTCAAGCAGATCGCCAGACATGTCCGGCAGGCCACCGTCTTCGAAAAACCTAGAGTTGTCCACTTGAGGCTCGGGAGTGTAGCCGGGCTGAGCAGCCGAGATGTAACCCTCGTCCTTCCAATTTCCTGGGCTGTTGGGGCCCATGTGCTGCTGAGGGAAACTCTCCTCGTGCTGAGGATAAGGCTCTCCATAATCCTCGTAATCGTCTTCTACCATGGGCTGGAAATGACGATCTTGCGACACTTCGCTTCCGTGATCATCGTGGAGCATATGCGCGGCTGCAGCACCGGCGGCTCCAACAGCCAAGGCTTCGCCAGTGCGTAGCCCATTTGAAGACATGGGTGGAGTGGGCTCGTATGGCCAACGGTCAGGGGTGCGTGCAGGGCCCTGGATTTCGGATGGATTCGTCGTGACTTCGGATTCGTTATCCAATCCATGTCCAATTTCTGGCATGGGCTCACCAAAGGGCATCGCATTGTGCGTCATTCGGAGCGAGTCCTCGGACCGGTATGATTGCATCTCGCTGTGAGTGGGAGAACCTTCATCTTCGTACTGATCGATCTTCTTTGCTTGGTCTCGAAGGGCAGCCCATCGCTCTTCACTGGTTTCAGGTTGGCCCGTGATAGTCACCTCGCCAGAGGATTGGTGTGGTTCTTCCATATGCATGTGGATGAATTCTCCAAGGCGTGAGTCTCTCTGGGATGAGCGCACGCTGGTGCTGACGGTAGAAGGGTCAACCAACGAAGCCACAGCGGACTCGACTGCAGCTGGAGTGGCGACGAAGTCTGCCCTTCCGCCAAACCTATCACCCCACTGCATACCGCCGACTTCCTGAACATCAGAACTTGCCGGATTCTCATCGCGGTAATGGCCATCCATGCTGTCTTCCGTATACGCCGTCGATCGCTTGTATTCCAGAGGATAAGAACCCAAGCTGTCATCGGTGTAGCCAGTCAAACGCTTGATGTCCATTTCGGCGCGAAGCGCTTCGTTCTCCTCATGTTCATGGTCAAAGAACCTGTCAGCATCTTCTTGCCCTCGTGGAGTGGCAGTGCCATCGTTGTAGGAAAGCTCCGACTCATGTACGAGGTCAATTTCAGAAACGTCAGACTTTCTGCCCGAGGGGATACCATCGGACCTTCTCCGTGACCGCGCGGCGTTAGTACTGGGTGAGTTGGCAGCCGAATTCAGTGATACCTCTGAGAGCTTCTTTGGTGCTTCGTGACCAGCTGTCGATATGGAAGCGGCACTTCGAGACGAACGGGGGCGGTGAGGGGAGTTGTCCTTGCGATCCTCGTAGCTCAGATCGCTTTGGCGAAACTCATGGGTAGGAGTCCGCGAACTGCTGCGCACTGACGCCGCAGCAACACCACCTACTCCGGCCGCTGCAAGCGCCGCAGCAGCCTTTGCTCTGGTTGACGGTTCCCTATCGCTCCTTGCACTCGCAGCAGCACTGAGTCCTCCTAGAGAGCTGTTGCTGTTAGGCCCACGACGCAAGGCTGCAGGAGTTCTGCTGGGCGTAGAAGGCGCCGGAGACATGACCGGACGAGGCGTTCCTCGTGACACCTCGCGAATTGGCGTTGCGCCTCTTGCGGATTCGGGCCGTTCGGTGTCAGCAGAAAGAATGGAATCGCGCGTCATTTCTGAGGCGCGGAATTCGCTCTGCAATGGCAGTGGTGGGACTGATCCCTTGTGGCTCTCCTCAATGTTGCTCTCGGAAATGCTCGCGGACCGGCTCCTGCTTTTGCTGCGTTTCTTCCGGCGTTCCTTAGTGTCCAAACTAGCTTCGGAATCATGGTGTTTGAGAGCCGCCGCTGTGAGACCAGCGCCGACGGCGCCAACAACTGCAGCCTCCTTCAAGCGCTTGTCCTTGCTCTTTTTCTTGTGTAGCCTCTCGTCTTCTCGAACCGTGGTCTCGGAACCGTATCTGTCGTAGCTCAATTCTGAACCGGAGTCTCGGCTGGGTCTCCTTGACCTCTTACTCCGCACCGAGTCGCCAGAGAGCACGGTTCCTGGGTCTTTCTCGTCACGGTTCAGAACTACCTTGACGTTAGGCGCGCTGGATGATTTGGAGACGGATCTCTTCAATTCTCCTCGCGAGCTGCTCGAATACAGGGAATCTCGAGTGAAACGATCATACTTGTCGCGGCCCTGGGTTTCTTTGAGGGCATTGATCTCGGGGAGAATAAGTCGTTTGATGGCATCCTCTACGGTAGCGAGGAGTTTGGGGTTGTTGATGGAGGAGGAGGTGGTTGACATGCCCGATAACATAGACTGCGTGTCGCCGGATCTGCGGCTAACTTCAGAAGCGAGCAAGCTGGATTCGGTGCCGCTGATCAGAGCTTCTTCGCGACGCGAGCGAGAGGGCTTGCGTCGGGAAGACGTCTTTCCTTCCGATAGTTTCTCCCGACTGGAGCTCTTCTCGCGGCGATGCTTCAGCTTGCCGGCCTCAGCTTGTTCCTTGGTAAGCTTTTCCATGATTTTTTGCGTCATGATGCGCTCCCTGCTCAAGCTGCGGCTCCTGCGTCGAGACGGCGCCTTGAGCCTGCCACTGTCCTCGGACACGGTCTTCTCGCGATCCAAGCTCCGGCTCCTTCTGCGACTAAGCGTCGGAGGAATAATGGCAGGCGGACCATCCACCATACTATCCGGAGGCATTGATGAGATGTCGGAGCCGGCAGGCATGTAGCGGCTTTGAGACAGTTCCGAGCGAGACAGGTCGCTGCCGTTGTGGAGCACTTCGACGTCTACAGGGGGCATACCGCTCACGTTTGACTCTTCAGAAAGGGACACTTCACTCGTCTCTCCAAGCTTGGGCTCTCCACTCTTTGACGATGGTAGCGAGATTCTGCGTGTGTAGGAGGGCTTCCGATCTCTGTCGGTCTGGGTGATCTCGACGTGGTCGTGACCAGTCTTGGACCGCCCGTGCTTGGACGAGGGCGTGACTCTTACTCTAACGCTCGGGCGCGAGCGAACTTTGTCGCCAGCCTTTCCTGCCTCGAAGTACTCAATGAGAAGCGAGGTCTGGGACTGTTGTCGACTGTGGCCAAGCTTGTCCTTGGCCTTGGTGGCGATGGTGACGGGGCTGCCGTCGTCAGGTATGGAAAAGTGAGAGCGGTCGGTCCTGCGGGACACGTCGGTGGCGAGGTCGTCAGCTCGAAAGCTGCTGTCGTCGGCGAATGAGGTTTCGGTAGGCGCCGGGAGGGGCGGACGCTGGGTATCCACACCCATTTCGAAGTGAGGTGTCCTACAGCGGTCGGGTCCGCGCTAGAACATTGGGTGCAGCTGACGGGATGAGCTGGACGGCGGTTGTGGAGACAGGCGATTGAGGTGGAGGCGACGCGAGAGCGACGGAGACAGGTCTACGCCGTGGACGAGCTGAATTTTCAACGGGCGGCGACGAGATGCGGGCACAGGCAGCTGAGGGGAGCCAATAGGGCGGTGGCAGCCTGAGGCAGAAGTCGGCAACAGATCGGCGCTGGCGACGGCTCGACTGAGTGAGCGAGGTGCGGACAGGCTGGCAAGCGGCGCGGTGGTGCTCGACGGTCGCTCGACGCTGGGATTTTGCGAACCTGTGTGACGTGCAAGTGTGGCCAGCTATTCGCCGGCAGCCGTGGCGGAGTCGCACGCAGAAGGCCACAGGCGAGCGTGGAATGCTGCGGACGAGCAGCTCGAAGGGCCGGAGGATCGGGGCTCGCTCAGCTCAGGTCAGAGCCATGCACAGCACGAGGGAGATGCAGGTGCAGAAGAGAGAGGGCGGGCGGGCCGCTGGGTTGACGCTGGCTCGCGGTGGGCGCGCTGCGAGGAACAGGCTGCGAGGGGCGGGCGGGTGCAAACGAGCAATGCCAGATGCGGCTCTGGGAGTGGCCAGCTGCAGCGAGACTGGCCGGGGTGAGGGCGATGTGTTGTCGGGCGCGGAGGCTGGTAAGATGGCTGGGCACTTGGGCGGACGCCTCATGGCCAGCACGATCGACGTCAATCCGTCAAAGCGCTTCGCACATCAAGGCGGCGCTTTGGCAGCGCCGTGGCTCCTGTTCCTCGAGCAGCCTGCCTCCGCCGTGCAAGGGCCTGTTCCCGCGCCTCCATGCCCAACTTCCGCCGTCCTAGCGCAGCGGTCAACGGCTGCGGCCAGCCTCTGCGCCAGATGGGCTCAAACCGCGCCCGCTGTTTGGCTCGCGCCAGCCCGCGGACAGCACACCAGCGTCCTGCCCTCCCCCATTGGGCCGCGCCCCGGTGCACGGCTGGGCTCCCATCCCAGGTGCGCACGCGCGCCCAGAGACATCACACCTCGCCTGCACGCTCCCCAATCGCTGCTCCGTCTGCCGCCCGCAACGGTTAGCTCTCCGCGATCCGTCGACATGGAGCCCTCGCATCCCGCAGCACATCCACCGCCTCGCCAATCAACGCCGCGCTTTGCACCCAAACTCCCGAAGCAACTTCAGGGCCCCAACGTCAGCTGCAGCCGTGGCAGCCCGGGGTCAGGCGCCGCGACCGACGCGCTTCATGGTGGAATCGCTGACCGCACGCCAAAGTCTTTGGAGAGCCGACGCAACAGCACGGCCCGCGCTCCCAACATTCCCGCGAGGGCCTTCACATGTGGCCGCCGACGTGTGTTCGTCTATTGGGTGCGCCTGCAGAAGGCGTTGGACCGCTGCTGGGCGAAAAAGCATCAGCTCATGCACTATGCACCTCGCTGCAGGACGGCTGCCGTTGTCCGCCCATTTTTGGAACGTCCCGAGTAGCGATTGGCAAACCCGCTGTGCAGCGGCATATTTGGCTGCAAGGTAACGTATACAAGCCCTGTCTATCATGCCATCTCTGCCAAGTTACTTTTGCGCAGCGCACAACCCCTGCCATTCCCCAAGCCGGGGCCATTAGCCATCGCTATTCTCAATATGGTCATGGCGCTAGTCTTCGATGATTGGCCGCCATGCCCTTCTTTGTCGATGCTGCCAACAAGTGATATAAGAAAATCGCTCTGGACGAAGCTTCGGAACATATTTCTGCCAAGCTGAATGTCGTGTACAAGTGCGAAACACAAGCGAGCAAAGCAATCGGCAGTGCAACTTGCTCCCGGTCCACTACCGTGGTTACACTTCCGGAATGTAACCTGGGCTCTTATAATATCCGATCTTCCTCATAAGTGGCGTTTTGGCGAGCAGATTTATGCACCAACGGTCAAACCAACGTGCGGCTGATATTAGCTTTATGGTAGGATATCTGACCCTCAACAACATCGACTTCTGAATATATCTCGCATTTTAGTTGGCGCTTCACTTATATTTCAATCGTTCTCGTACGATGCACATCACTTGAGGGACCCCCAGGGTAAAGCGATTCCTCCTATGACAGAGGCCGGAAAAAGTAACAATACCGGAATTCGACAACCCTAGTCTTTGCCATTGCTAAGTGAACCATACCCATGTCCAACACCCTGATATTCTCTGCGCGAGGGACAGTGAGGACGGGTGACAGTCAAGAGCTCCTAACCTACAATTCGTCAGGCGCGTCATCTGCTCCTACAAATATTGTTGAAGATGGCGGTTCTACAGCCGAAATTCTTGACGGCTGCTTCACCTCAGGCTCTTTACTTCTCATACCCACACCCGCGTACAGAAAGATCGGATGATGCTTCAGACCATAATCAAGGGCTACCAAGACAGCTTCCAACCATTAGAAGCTTATGCACAGTTTTGTTTCCTTCTTTGCACTAGCCATATTCGTCGCCCCAGTGGATACCCAAGGGAATGAGACGATGAATTCGTGTCTCATACGACTGTCTGTAGGACCTCCTTCTCCGCTTTATTAGAGACCATCGCCGCGCCACCTAGCTCTCAGGTAGCTCTAAGCTGTCCATTGATGGTTCTCTTGAGATACGGTAAGGATAAGGTCCAGTTCCTGGTTCACCGTCATCTGGAGCCTCCCGGGACTTCGTCCGTCCTCTTAGCTTTTTTGCTCGAGCGATAAATCTCCGATACATCATTATTCCAGTGAATTGCAGGAAAATGTCGCCCATTTACGTTGGACATAGAAGCAAATGCCCAGACGTAGTTGTAAATATTCCAAGCCCCATACGCAGGCAGTTGAAGCAGGTATCCGGGCGTAGACGTAGAGCCCGATGTCTATGTGAGCTCAATGACTTTGGCACGACTTGGTCCTGGGCCTCGTCACTTCCGCAATTTCCTCGCAACCGAGTGTCGTCAGAGATCTTACAACTACTACGTAGGCGAGCGCGCACTTGCAATTAGAGCAGGTCGACAGGAGGTCTTGGACTCTGCCCGCGTGCACGGTCCGTTGTTCATGGTCTGTTGACCGAGCTTACGCACCGTGATGGTCCAGACCCGGCGAGAAGCGCTCTGTCGCACTTTCTAGCAGCAACGCTGTGGGCAACGTGGCCCGAATCTGGATGCTGTGGCTTTCCTCTTTGAGATGCGGTGGGGTACATGCAGGCCATTGCTGCGCTTCTACCTCCTATCTGCCATGCATGTGCGACGTCCACCCTGCGACTGTGCCTGGCAGGGGCAAACCGGAAGATGGCGCAACAAAGGAGCGGGACGGAGGCGGAGGTGGCATACGACAAGAAGCGCAAATGGGGGGCGCGGTGGGGCGCACGCACGACGGAGGATTTCAGTACGTATGTGCTGTACCTAGTGGAGCCGCGGGCCAGAATCAGATGGTGCGGTCCAGAGGGGTGCTTTGCGAGCGGCGCAGAGCGAGATATATTGGGGATTCCAAGCTGGGAGTGCCAGGGCGGGCATGGCGGGCATGGCGGGCATGGCGCGTCATAGCGGCAGTTGGGAAGCAGCGAGGGGGACAGAGCCGCGAGCTAGGTCGGCCGGGCGAGCGAGTGGCCGACAGGCGACAGGCCGACAGGCGACAGGCCATATTCCCAAGATCGGCGGCTGCCAAACCATCATCGCGAGCCGCCGCAGCGGCGCTCCGAGCAACCCACCCCGGCGCCCGAGTCAGTCTGTGCGGCGCGCTGATAATGCAGGTGCTCTGAGGCGTTGCCCGCTGGATGCGGAGAGGCTCCCCAGCAGCATCCAGACTGCGCTTTGCGGCAGGGCGCGCAAGGGCAGCAGGGGCACTCGTGCGCTGGCGGTGGCAGGCTGGCGGCGCGGTGAATGACATATCATCAGGCTCTGGCAGCGCGTGTGGGCGATCTTCCTGCCCCTCGCCTCCACATCTTGCACGACCAAGAGGACTCCCGCCCAGCCGCTGCAACCGCATTCACGCACCTACAAGACCGCACCCTTGCCCTCGTCACTTCCTCCGTAAGCCGCCGGCGAGAGCCACCCCGACCGCCGCCCCTCTCGCACGGCGTCCGGGTGCGCAACGTCATACCAGCTCTGCCTTCATGCGCCCGTCTTTGCCGCTCTTTCGTTCCCAGCGCTGTAGCCCTACCCTACTCGTGCCCTGAGCTGCCCAGCACCCGCCTCCGCCTGCACCTGCATCACCACCCACCCCCGCCATCGCCTGCCCTGCCCCGAGCCTGCCCCTCTGCTGCGCGCGCCCGTTGCAGTGCCCATTTCAGGCCCCCCGGCCCAGCCTGCGAACGCTGCTGTGCGAAGCCCGACGGCGTGAGACTGCGATCCCAGCAGCCCCAGCAGCCTATCGCACGACCAAGTCGCGAACGCCGCTTCCTCTGCCTCTCCTGCCTGCGACCAGCGTACGACTGCCCCAACCCCACAATTGCCCCCGGCTGAGCTCCGCCCTGCTGACACCCGCCCTCGACAGTCCTGTCGCCTCTGCCCTCCTCCGTCTGTAGGCTTCACGCCTGGCCGTGGCCCTGCCACCCGTCTGCCACCATGCCCACCATGAGCTCCGCCTTCGAGGACGAGGACCTGTCGCTGTCCATATCCACCCCGACCGCGCGCCGCAGCTCCAACAACCAGCGACCATCCGACCCCCCGCATGCCCCGCGACCACCGGGCCGCGCTGACAGCGCCTCCATAACCAAGGTCAACCAGCGCCTGGGCCAGTACCAGATCGTCAAGACCTTGGGCGAGGGTTCGTTTGGCAAGGTCAAGCTGGCCGTCCATGTCGTCAGCGGACAGAAGGTTGCGCTCAAGATCATCGCGCGCAAGAAGCTGATTACGCGCGACATGGCCGGAAGGATTGAGCGAGAGATTCAGTATCTTCAGCTGCTCAGACACCCGCACATCATCAAGCTGTGAGTGCCGGTCGCATCCGCCCCCCTCTGCCGTCGATTACTTATCTTCGATGTAGCTACACCGTCATTACAACTCCAAGCGAGATTATCATGGTGCTCGAGTACGCCGGAATCGAGCTCTTCGACCACATTGTTGCACATGGCAAAATGAGCGAAGAAAAAGCCCGCAAGTTCTTCCAGCAGATAGTTTGCGCCGTCGAGTACTGCCATCGGCACAAAATCGTCCATCGTGATCTCAAGCCCGAGAACCTTCTGCTCGACGAGAATCTCAACGTCAAGATTGCGGATTTCGGTCTCAGCAACATCATGACCGACGGCAATTTCCTAAAGACCAGCTGTGGCAGCCCGAACTATGCGGCGCCCGAGGTCATTTCGGGAAAGCTGTATGCTGGCCCTGAGGTCGATGTGTGGAGTTGCGGCGTGATTCTATATGTTTTGCTCGTGGGCAGGCTGCCCTTCGATGACGACTATATCCCCTCTCTGTTCAAGAAAATCGCCCAAGGCAGCTACACGATCCCGAACTACCTGTCCTCGGGAGCTGTCCGTTTGATCAAGAAAATGCTCGTCGTCAATCCGGTGCACCGCATCACCATTACCGAAATCAGGCAGGACCCGTGGTTCAACAAGGACCTAGCGCCGTACCTGCAACTGCCCGCCGAGGAGTTCTTTGATACCGGTGTTGATCCCACCAAGGCCATTGACCCGGACAAGTTGGGCCCTACCCGCCCGGCGCCCGTGGTTCAGCAACTGCACGAGACGGTTGTCGGAAAGCTTGGGAAGACAATGGGTTACGCAAAGGAAGATGTCCAGGACGCTTTGGCGAGGGATGAACCAAGTGCAATCAAGGATGCCTATCTCATTGTCCGTGAGAATCAAATCATGAAGACAAACCGTAAGTTGATACAACTTCCAATGCCAACCGGGCGCTTTTGTAGCTTGTGCCGTTGATCTAATTCGATTTTCTGTAGCCCTGCTGTCACAGGAAAAGAGCTTGCAGCCATTCCTCGCCACATCGCCGCCAAACTATGACCCTAGAGCCATTGGATCGCCCATGAATCATCAGTTGGGGGCGCCGCCGCCGCAGGGTCCTATCAATACCGAGAGACAGCGACACGGATCGAACGCAAGCAATGCCACGAGCATAAACGAGCACCGCAGCCCCGTTAGTACAATTGCCATCCTCCCGAGCAGCCTTCCCGACTTCCATCGCGCGTACATGAAGGGCCATCCAAAGCCAAATGCGTCCCCAGAGCGTGTTGGGTCGCCCAAGGAACAATCTGCGCAAGAGAAGGCTGCTTCCGCAAGACGTCTCAAGCCACATGCGCGGTCTCGGGCGGACATGGAGCGGTCCGGAATGCGCCCTGAGGCTATGACGCCTATCAATGAAGTTCAGAAGAAGAAGAACAAGCCAATCAAGTGGCAGTTTGGTATTCGGAGCAGGAACCAGCCGGCCGAGGCTATGTTGGCAATATACAAGGCATTGCGCGCCATGGGAGCAGACTGGGAAGCTCCAATGATCAGGCGAGCTGGTGGTGGAAACAGCAGCAGCGATGAATCTCCCGGCCGAAGCAGATCAGGTTCGCCGGGCGGCTCTACAGACTCCCTGGCTCAACGGTTACAAGAGGTTGGGGCCATAGACTCAAGTTCCGAGCTTGATGTTGCGGATGAGCTGGCTGGCGCCAAGGGAGAAGCGCATGGTTCACGAGCTGAAGGTTCTCGTGAACGTGGTCGCGGACGCAGGTCTCACGGGCCATGGAATGATTTTGGCTACGGAATCCCGGAGGATCCATGGGTCATCAACGCGCGTTTCCGTAAGGAAGGCATGTTTCCTCCTGGGTTGAATCATCCATCGTCCACGCATTCATCGCGAGTCGATCTCCACGACCATCCCCAGATACGCAGCCGCAGCTCCAGCCTTACCTCACCCTCGCTCCACCACGACGATCACTCGCATTCGGGCTCGATTCCTCAGAGCAGTAGTCGGGGAACTTCGGCAGCAGCCTCAGTTGCCGGCGAAACCGCTCGCTGGCCTGATGTCGATGATGCATGCTACGTGTATCTCACCATTCAATTGTACAACATTGAGCCGGGGTTCTTCCTTGTCGACTTCAAGTGCGCAGGGTATGAGCGCCTGGTTCCGCATATCGTCCGGGAGATCCGCTCCCAGAGCAAGGATAGCCAAGAGGAGTGGCGGAAGCTTGCAGATGGCGAGGAGCTACCCGCTTCAGCTGGCGAAACAGAGAACGGGGAGCCTGTTGAGAAGCCGGAGATAAGACAACGCCTTGAACTCATTGGGGCTGGGAGAGCGAGTGAGGAGAAGAGGGCAACCAGCCCGTTCCCTTTCCTGGATGTCGCAAGCAGGCTCATCATCCAGCTTGCGCAAACGAACGACTAGTCACTGGTTTGCGCTCGCCGCACACTGGTACTGGTTGTGTATGATAATGGATTTATTGGGAGGGAATTGCCGACATAGCAGCATGTCCATCAACGGCATCATCCTACCGGGCACTGTGGGTATTTTGCTATGACGGGTTAGACGGTTAGGAAAGACTGGTTCATTTGGAAAGAATTTGTTACCCCACGACGGAAAGGAAGTGGCAGATACGAGGGGGGTTTGAGTATATTTGCGTTATTTTACTTCCGGCTTGTTCATATTGCGTGATTGCATTTCTGTCCAACAGAAAGCTTCACATGTCTTACTGACAATTTGATAAGATTTCATAGCATTGTATGATCACTTCTTATTTATTTTTCATCTACGCGCAAGCCATGGGATTCGATTCGTGCACAGAGACATTCGATGTTCTTGAGTACAACCATGACACATCCACAAGTAACTAATGGGTAGAGGATCCGAAGAGTCGGGTAGGGTATCATTTGGTACAGAAAGCTTACACATCACACACATTTTTGTCTTCCCTACAATCATACTCTGCTCATTAGACCTACGCGTCTCCCATTACCTTTTTTTTTGTATTCAATTCCCCTCATTCGCCCCTCTCCTGCTTCTCCAATACCTCCAACCTCTCGACGACCTTCTCGCGCAGGTAGGGGCTCAGTCCCAGGAAGCCTTCGTTGGTGCACATGCGGTAGGTACCGCTCTCCTGGTAGTTGCCGGCGCCGTCGACGAAGTGGCCGCGGCCGTCGACCTCGACGCTGCCGAACATGTCCTCGGGCCAGGCGATGCGGCCGTAGTCGGGCGGGTTGCGCTGGTCGCTGACATGGACCCAGCCGCCGCGGCCCGCGCCGCCGCTGCCCCCCTGGGCGCTGGCGCCGCCGGCGCCGCCCGTCGACGCCGAGTGCGACGCCGCCTTGCTGGCGGTGCCGCCGCCCACGCTGCCCGGGCCCGACGAGGGGCGCGACCTCTTTCCGGCCTGTTTCTGTTGCTGCTGCTGCGAAGGGTGGTTCGAGGGGAAGACGACGCCGCCCCCGCCCAGCATGCTGCCCGCTTGCGACGCGTAGGCCGCCGCTTGCGACTGCACGGCCGGGTCGTGCACCGCGTGCGCCGCCAGCACCGATTGCAGGATGCCGCGGAAGGCGGGGTTCTCGCGGAAGCTGTTGGGCGTGGGCGGGATGGACGAGGCCGTGCCGAGCGCGAGGGACTTGACGGGCGGCGTCGTCGGCGTGAGGGTGAGGGTGTGGGTCGAGGTCAGCGGGTCGGTGTGGACGTACTGCGACTCGGTTAGTAGTCGGGAGGGCAATGGCGTGGTTTGGGCGAAAGCTAGTTGTGCTCGCACGTTGTGGGACTACTACTCACAACGTGAGGGTTGTTCGGAAGCGTGGAGAGGACTCTGGCGCAGCGCCGCGGCTGGCCTAGGGCGCGGGCAATGGGCCGGGAAGAGGGCGAGAAAAGCATGCTGGGTGCGGTGTTTCCGGATGCAGCGCAATTGCTGGTCGGACGAGATGAGGTTTCGGTGGTGAAGGCGACATTTTCAGGCGGAGCTATGACGCGCTGATGAGAGCTCGCTCGGCCCAATCGAAGGAGCTCGCTGCACGTTGCCGCCGCGGCGATCGGGCCCGCCATCCGTCAAACACGCCTCGCCGCCCTGTCGCATTGGACGACGACTGTCATCACACGTAGCTCTCCTGTCAGATCCGCCGTGACAGCACTCGGAATGGACAGACGGCCGCGGCGCGACAGAGCATGGGCAGACGGACAGCCGGGGTCCCACATTCGTTATCGGCGGGTCAACAAACCAGATCAAGTGGGGGCCTTCCCAGAACCGCATCACAGGCTCACTCATCTTTTGCCTCAAGGAGCTGGCAAATCTTCTTGCCGATTTCGGAGTTAGCGCCAAGCACTTTTTCCCTCCGCACCGCCACCATGTGACACAGTCATCCCTCATTTCTCGAGTCCTTTTCGCGCGCGCCTTGTGCTTGCCTCTTGTCACCCTTCAGCCGCTGGCAGCAGTCCATCATGGCTGGAGACGAGATCCTCCGCAAGGAAGTCTCCCCGGATCATGCGGGGCCGTCGGGCAAGCAACAAGGCTTTGGAGAGGACCGTGAACTTGGCTCCGAGCCCGAACTCTTTGAAGTGGACAGGGTCGAGCGTGTATACGAGTGAGTGTCCTCGTCCAGACGCGAGTTGCGCTGTGTGCTGACATCTCTCCACAGAAAGCTGGACCGTCGAATTCTGCCGGGTAACTCAAGAAGCCACCCATCTGTGCAGAGACTGCGGCCACTGACGCGAGCGCAGCATTCTGGGTCCTTTACTTTCTCTGCTCCGCCATCCGTTCCAATGTCGGCCTTGCCCAGACGATGAACAGCGACGTTGGCCATGACCTCGCATCACAGATGCACCTGACCGCCAAAGAGGTCTCCACCGGCCTGGCCCTGTTCTATGTTTGCTATGTCATCTTCGACCTTCCCTCCAATCTGATCATGTCGAGACTCAGCCCGCACATCTGGATGAGCAGAATCGTCGTTGGTGTCGGCATAATCGGAGCGTGCATGGCTGCTGTGAGGTCCGAGTGGAGCTTTTAGTACGTCGTCTTCCTCACCTAACGCTACCTACCTTGGTCCTAATCCCCCGCAGTCTCTTGCGACTACTGCTGGGAATTGTCATCGCCGGCATGTGGCCAGGAATGTCCTACTACCTTACGCTTTTCTACCCGCCCTCGAGGACCGGCAAGCGGATTGGGCGTTACTACACTGCTGCTCAACTCTCCGCCGCCGTCGTCGGCCTCGTTTCCGCCGGTTTCCAAGAGATGGACGGCTTGGGTGGCCTGGTCGGCTTTCAATGGATGTTCCTCGTCTACGGCCTCATCACCATCATTGTCGGCATCTCCTTGCTTTGGTGGCTACCAGACCGACCACTTCCTCCTAGCCAGCTCAGAGACCGGACCGGATGGAAGAAGTGGATTCCCGAGAGTAAACCAGCTCTGGAGGGAGAAGACGCCATCCTCCACTACGAGGACCTAAAGAGAGTCTATCACAACAAAGCCTGGACGCTCAAAGACCTGTGGCAAGTTTTCACTGACTGGCGTCTTTGGCCGCTCACTATCATGTACTTCGGCGTTGTTGGTGTTGGCATTGGTACTCAGCTGTATGCCAGCGTCATCATCAAGGGCATTAACCCAAGCTTGAGTAGCGTCAATTTGTCGCTACTAACGGCCCCCATCTGGATCGTGAGCTTTCCCATATTATGGCTCGTGATGATCTCAGGTTAACCCATTGCAGGCGGACCTCATCGCCATCATACTCGTCACGCCCCTGTCCGATCGTTTCCACTACTATCGTGCTCCTTTCTTCGCGGTCGCGGTCCTGATCCAAATTGCCGGTCTTCTTGTCACTACATTCGCACCCGCCCACCCTTACCCGTGGGCCCGCTACGGCGGACTTCTTATGTAAGGCCACCCTCCGCCCCACGCTGCATGATGCACATCTTTGCTCTCTCTGCGTCCCCGGCCTCGTGTTTCCCCCGCTTCCCCACATCACCACCGACACTCCCCATCCTTGCCGCACGTCGCCAGGATCACGTAAAATCCCACCACGGCGGCACATTGATCGCCGCCGCCCCACCCGGCAGTACATCTTCACCTTCCCCCCTTCCCCTTCCCCCCTCCCGGCATCAAACCCAAAGAGAAAGAGGGAGAGAGAGAGAGAGAGAGACAGAGAAACAACTAACCAACACCAACCAACAGGGTCGGATTCGGCCTCGGCCCGACGGTGCCCCTGACCATGGCCTGGACCAACGAGCTCTTCCAGCCGCGCCACGGCGAGGTCGGCGTCGCCGCCGCGTCCGCCCTCGTCTCGGGGCTCGGCAACCTCGGCTCCATCCTCACCACCTACGCCCTCTACACCGGCTGGCCCGCCGACGCCGCCGACGCCCGCCACAAGTACCGCCGCAGCAACCTCGTCATGGTCGCCATCCTGTGCGCCAGCGTCGCGGCCGCCGCCGTCATGTGGGCCGCCGTGTGGATGACTGGCGCTGGCGGCGGCGGCCCGGTTGGCGCGGTGGGGAGGGACGCCGGTGGTGGTGGTCTTGTCGTTGTTGTGCGCGAAGGTGAGGGGGAGGAGGTCGTTGTTTTGGATGGGGCGGCGAGGAGGGAGGGGAGGCAGAGGGGGTTTCAGAAGATGTTGGGGAAGTGGTGAAAGGGGGAGAAGGAAGGGGATTCAATACGAAGGGTGGGTGGGGGAGGGGGGGAGGGACGATGGTGATGTTGTCCATCCTGAAGGTCTAGAGATGGCTTGGAGGGGGGTTTTGCATTGGTTTCCGTTTGTGCGAGGATCGTAGGTTACTGCATGAGGAGGATAGTACAGAGGTGTTTTCCAATGTCTAATAATGTAATGGAATCCTAGTTGACAGAGAGCTTTGCGGTGGTAGTGGGATCTTATATCTAGATGCGTTCGTACAGTTTCAAAATTCGCATCTATGTTCAGATATCTTCTCCAGCTGTTTACGAATAAATGGCATTTAAAACTACATTTACGTCCAGGTCTTGATTGTAACTGCTTACGATAAATGAAAATGCATTTGAACTTACACCAACTTTCGGATACTTGCTTCGGCTGCCTATGAAAAAAAAAGTCCGGTAAAACTTACATTTACGTCTGGATATCTGCCTCATTTAACCAAGGTTATTTGAACTCGCACCCACGTCCGGATATCTGCTTCAGCTGCTTATGATAAAGTTTGTTCAAAAGCATACTTGCTTCAACTGCGTACATAAAAGATCGTCTTGCAGTCTATCATGAAGAATTAAAAAGAAAAAGAAATCGATCAAGACCCAACGGCCTCAAGGTATCATCATCATCATCATCAGCATCATCCTTCCTACGTCTCTTCAAATCCAAAAGAAAGTCTTCCCTTTCTTGCCCCAATTCGATTTAGATAGAAAAGAAAAAAGAAAAAAAGAGAACACAAGACAACTCATTTCTCGATCCCCTTCTCATCCACCGAGGACTCCCCGCCCCCATTGCTCGGCGCGTCCACATTCTCAACATTCCTCGTCCTCACCTTATCACCGACGTTCGAGATGCCAAAGCCTGCACCGCTGCCGTGATGGGCCCCGCTGCCGGCCGCAGCGCCGGCGGCACCGGCGGTGCTCGACCGCCTGCGCGTCTCGCTGTAGGCGGCGGCCTCCTCGGTGTCGTTGTAGTCGATGAGCAGCTCGCCGTTCTTGCCGTAGCGGCGGGGCAGCTCGCGAGCGACCTTGACAACGTCGAAGATGGACGTCGTTTTGTGGAAAATTGTGTCCATCTCTTCGAGCGAGCGGTACGCCGTCTCCGGGTAGAAGAAGTAGGTGACGGGGACGATGAAGGCGTTGCTGAAAATTACTTGTTAGCGGTGATTTTCTTTCTCTCTTTTTTTTTCTCCTCTTGGCTATGAAGTGAGTTCGCTGGGGATTGGGGGCCCTTACATGACAGCGAAAATGATGTAGGTCTGGTAGCCGATGGATGAGAAGGCGACAGGAGTGATCATGACGACCATGAAATTGAAGGCCCACTGAATCAAAGTCAGTAAAGCTCTTGTACAGAAACCTGTGAGGATTCAAACATACGTTGGCGCTGGTGGCCAGGGCGTTGGCTGGAGCACGAATGCGAAGGGGCACGATTTCGGCAGGATATCTGAGCAATTGTCAGCGAGGGCGGTCATCAAAGAGCTGGTAGCAGGAGCTTACAGCCAAGTCATGCCCAGCCAGCCAACGGCGAAGAACGAGTTGAAGACGAAGAGGAAGGCGGCTGCCACGATGCCAGCGGCGGTGTTGCGGTCCTCGGCGCTCTTGCCCTCGTTGATCGAGTTTGCGGCCGCGAGGATGATCATGGACACGGACATGCCCACGGCGCCGAACAGCATGAGCGAGCGGCGTCCAAACTTCTCAATAATGAAGACAGGGACCCAGGAGATCAGGAAGTACTCGGTTCCGTTGCACGCGGCCAAGATACGCGAGATGAATGGGCTCAATCCCACGTAATTCTCGTAGATGTTAGCGGCATAGCTAGAAGCTCGTTAGCATTTTAAAAGGGGCGTGGGAGGAGGCGGGGATAACGCACTAGGTGATTAAATTAATGCCGCTGATTTGCTGAAACATTTGATTGACGTAGGCCAGGACGGTGCGGTGCAGGTGGCGGTCTCTGCCCCTTGTGAAGAGGTCGGAGAAACTGCCCTTGGCCATCTCGAGGACGGTGTCCTTGATGGCAAGGAACTCACTTTGGATGTAATGGTCATCCTCGCCGGTGTCGTTGAGAGCGCAGAGGACTTCCATGGCCTCCTCTTCGCGGCCCTTGAGAATGAGCCAGCGTGGAGACTCGGGGAGGCCGAGGATGAAGACAAGAATGACGAGGGCAAAGAAAATCTGGAAGCCGATGGGGAAGCGCCAGCTGATGGTGCTTGGCTCCAGGTAGGAGAAGCCGAAATCCAGCCAGTAAGATATGCATATCCCGCCGGTTATCAGAGCGCCCTCAATCATCACAAGTTGGCCGCGACGATGGGATTTGCTAGTTTCGGATTGCCATGTGGGGACAGTGGATGTATTCAGGCCGTTGCCGATTCCGGTGATGACGCGTCCGACAATGAAGTGGGCAAGGCCAAAGGCAGAGCACTGGAGAGCAGCGCCGACAACCATGATCGCGGAGCCGACGAAGATGGTCCATCTTCTGCCCATCATGTTGCCGACCCAGATGCAAGCAACGGCGCCGCAAAAACAGCCTGCGGAGTGGTCAATTGCTGTCATGTTCCACAAGACTGCCATGTACTCACCGACATTGTACGATGCCACCGAGATTCCCTGGATGGTCGAAATGTGGTTCTTCTCCGCGGTCGTGGTTCCAGCGTTCACGTCGATCTCGGGGAAGGTGGTTAGGAAGGAGCCAAGGGTGAGCAGTCCTCCCATGACACCCTGGTCGTAGCCGAAGAGGCTGCGCGCAAAAAGTCAGCACCAGGTTCGCGTTGGCAGAGAAGGACTGGGCGGCTTACAGGAAGTCGAGGCCGGCGATGACGCCGACGGCTACATTGAGCTTCGTGCCACGGAGGCCATAGAAGCGCGAGCCGAAGATCATGGCGATCAATTGAGCAGCTGGCTGCAGCACCAGCTGTTGTTGCGTTGCTCAAACTTTTTTTTTTCTCTCCTTCGTCTTGACCAGCAAGCTCGGTGACTGCCGTCAGTCTCACCTCTCGACCGGAGTGAGATTGGAGAAAGGTCGAAGGGGAATAGTGAGGAGGTGTGCTGAGGCGCGCGGGCGCGGAAAACCGGGGCAGCAGAATGATTTATATTCGGACAGTCAACACACCGGGATCTGAGCGGCATGGTTGCGGCGCCGTGCAGGCGGGCTCCGGCACGGTGACGTCGGCGTTCATTGGGCGGAGAGCGGGCGGTCGCGGCGGCGGCGGGAGGGCAGGCGTGGGAATGGAGAGTGACGATCGTGGGGGACGACTGGGGGACGACTGGGGAGGTCGGGCGCAGGGTTCGCGGTGCGGTCGGATTGCGGGTTGGGCTTCCCCGGCTTACCCACTTTGGCAAATCCGGGGGGCGGTCGCGCTTTCTCTCCGTCATTGCTGTGCTGACATCGGCCTTGCGGCTCCACGAACGGCTGTGGGCTTGCCTTTCCCCACACGCTCCCTCATCCGAGCCGCTCTGTGGCTCTTCGTGCCCCAAGCCCGGCGGCGAAACGCCCTTCCCGCCCGCCACGCTGGCTTGACCACATCCACCACCACCGGGCAAAAGCCAGGCGCATACACAGTCGGTTCGGATGACTCGCGCCTTCTGCACCGCCGGGCCTCGAGCCATGGCCCCGCGAGCAAAAACCGGGACGGGCGCCTGCTGCCCTGGCCTAGCGTCGTATCCCATGTGAACTCCACTGTAATTGCGAGGCCAAGCAGGTGAGATGCGCCCTCCGCTGCAACCCCACGGGACCCACTCGAGGTATCGTGATGCGCTGCGGGCGTGCGGCGTCGGCAAAGTGCAGTGCCTTCGGCCCAGTACCCGGCACAAAAGTCGCACGCCGAACAAGCATGGGGCATGCGGGGGCTGGTGCATGGCCATGGCCGTTGTTTGGCCCTGGTGCCGCTTTCCCATGTCTCAAAACGGCTTCAAACGTCGTCATAGCCCGCGGCCCTTTTGCTGCGCTTGGCCACGGTGTTGACCAAGCATCCACTGTAATCACTTCACCAATTCCTTGGTGACAGCGGTCCCTTTCACCTTCCGCACCCCTCGCAAGGCTGAACGAAAAGATTTGGCATTTCGAGAGTCGACATGTCCCCGAAACGGTGGCTACTGAAAGTGTTGGCAGTCGAAGCGGATATCCTGGCGTAGATGTAGGTTCAAACAGCATTTCTTCATGAGAAGGTGAAGCAGACATCCGGACGTAGATGCAAGAATCCACATCCAGATACTGGGTGACTGGATTCCGCTACCCATGTAGACGGCTCGATTCCTTCCCGGACAGTTGCGGCATTTCCCTGGTGTGTTCGTTTCGCACGAATCCTTCAGCGACGAGTGGAAAAAAAGATGCAGGCACTTATCTACAAACCAACCCCTGTTGAACCGTCGGTACTCATCTCCGGGCTCAATCCATGACGCCGTGTGTTCCTGGGATCCCTGCCCGTCCCTACAGTTCATCGCCGTGCGCTATTCCCAAAAACCGCTGGGCCTAGAGCGAAACGGACGTACATGCCCACCGCTTCACCGCCCGATCATCGGCAACATAACAAACAACGCTCGAGGCGCTCTGCCGTCTTGCTGTCCCGTTCACTAGTCCTCTGGAGCGCGTTTCGCACCCACCGTAAGTGAGGCAACAATCCGCTCCTAACGGCACGCCTTATTGCTGTGAAGAGAGGCGACCGTCAACCGGAACTTCCAAAAACGGAAATACCGACGACACCGGCGAACGCAACAACCAACACCACACCCGGTCCCCTCTCTTCTCGGGCGAGAAGGGGGAAAAAAAACCATTGAGCCAAGCCGCGGAAGTCTCCGGCATAGCTGACCACTTGGCCATCGTTGCTCCGAACGCCACATTCCAGCCCGTCTCAAAATGCCCGTGCTGTTGGGGAAATAGCTGCTGATATATGGAGGCATTAAAAAGTACACCGCCCCACGATCGACAGCTGACGTGAGGTACATACCTGGTAATTTGATTTGTCTTCAAAAGGGCCATGTCTGTCTTGAAGCATGTCTTTGTCCTGCTCTGTTGCGTTTGCATGTTCATGGTCAGCAACATTTACTAATAATCGCTACTTGAATGGCGAGCTATCAACACCCCCCGGCGAAGAAGGCTGATTCAGTGCAGACGCCACCAGCTTTGTTTCTGTACGGCTTGCATGCAGTAGTACGGCTGGTTCAACCCCTAGACCTGGATTCGGGCATCCCGACTCCGGATAGAACCCTCTGCAATAATGTAACGGCGCTGAGGAGCTCTCACTCCGGGTCGAGAACAGCCGGCCAACTGATCAGTGGCGCTTCTCCTTCGACCGATGTTGCCGCCTCACCTTGTGCGGGTTTCCGTGCTTGGTCTCCTGACCGTGAGTTGAGTGAGTCGCCGGGAGGTTCGTAGGCAGATGACCCATCTCCTCTATGCTGACAGTCTTCTACTACTTCGCTGACTTGTGATTTTTTCGGCAAATTCAGTAACCCCTCCGATACTACCAAATCAACTTCTATCATCCAGTAAATATCACAGAGACTTCGGTATAATGCTTAACTTTTGCATTGAAAGAGTGGACTACCTCGCTGATTTGAAATTAACAAGCCGGGATCCACTTTTGCTCTTCAGAAATGAGCCCGTAGTCTTGTAATGCTGCACCTGATTTTGTGAGACGGCTTACCAGCCGCTACCGCCGGTGATGTCGACAGCGCCAGATTCCCAGCCTCCACTGGCATTTCCGGCAGTGTCGAATCCGCTACCGAATCCGCCGCCGTTCTCAGCGCCTCCACCGAAGCCAGAAGCACCGCCAGCGTCAAACCCGCCACCGAATCCGCCACCGGATCCGCCACCGAACCCACCGCCCGTATCGTTGGCCTTGGGGCACTTCTTGGGGCCGTGGCCCATCTCTTCGCAGATGGGACACTTGACACGCGACCAGTCCCTGGGCTTGGGGCATTCCTTGGAGAAGTGACCCACCTCGTCGCAGTTGCGGCAAGTGACAGTGGAGGGGTCGCGCGGCTTGTCACACTCCCTAGACATGTGGCCCTCTTCACCGCAGTTGCGGCACTTCATGACACGCGGCTTGTCGCACTCAGAAGCCTTGTGTCCTTCCTCACCGCAGTTGCGGCATTCCATCTTGGGTGCGTTGGGACACTCATTGGAGAAATGGCCCACTATAATTGGTTAGTGACAGTTGGATAAAGGAGGATAATTCGACATGGCTTACTCTCGTGGCACTTGCGGCACTCGACACCCTCCGCAGAGCGAGGCTCCGGGCAGTCGCGAGAGGTGTGGCCGTGCTGCTTGCAGTTGCGGCAAGCGTATGGGTCAGGGCGCTCCTGCTTGCAGTCACGGGCACGGTGGCCGAGCTCCTGGCAGACCATGCACTTGACCTCCGGGCGACCGGCAGGCTCCTCGCGTTCTTGATCGCAATTCTTACGGATGTGGCCCAGTTCTAGGATGGCCGGGTTAGCAAAGCTAGAAAGAATGGAGGATTATCAGTAGACGTACCACCACAGTTCGCACACTTCGGAACCCTGCGGTCCTCGACGAAGCCCGCATCCTCAAGACGCTTGAGGTTATCCTCGGGATCAGTAGGCCATCCCTCGACCGCATTCTTGCGCCTCGGCTTGTCGGAGAAGTAGTAACCCAGGACGTACTTGCAGTCAATCTTGCCTTCGGGGCTGACAATGGTCATAACGTCTGAGATTTCCTTCTCAAGGGCGATCAGGAAGACGTTCATTTTGTAGTCGCGGAGGGTCCTTTCGAGCTGAGGCAGGTCGATCGGAATGGAACCCGTCTTGAGAGCCTTCAAGTAAATCTTCAAAGCAACCCTGAAGTCATCAAGGTCCCTGGCCTTGTCCGCCTCCATCACCATTTCCCAGGCTTCGTTGTCGGTCTTGTCAGGAATGCCCTTGAAGAGGTGATCCATCTCACGGGGTTCAGTGCAGTCCGAGATCCTATGGCCCTCCTTCAGGCAGTTCTTGCACTGTCCACTGAAAGGGCGTTCGACCCTCGGGTTGGGACAGTCGGCCTTATTATGGCTAAGTCAGGCGTTAGCATTTTAAAGTAGTATTCGAAGGTTATAAGTAAGAGACTTACCCAACCTGTCCGCAGTTGAAACACTCGCCCGTCATCTGCTTCGGCTCAGGGCACTCGCGAGCGAAATGACCCTCTTGACCACAGCTGTGAAAATGTCAGACCTTGCCTTGCAGCCTAGGCAGATTGGAAAGCTTACTTGCGACAGGCGCCGCCGCCGCCATCACCATCACCACCACCAAAGCCGTCTCCAGAACCGAAGCCATCGCCAGCACCGAAGCCACCGCCAGCACCGAAGTCGCCGGTAGAGCCGAAGACATCGCCGCCACCGCCACCGAAAGAAGCGTCGCCGTTGATGGCGCCGTTAGTAGCAGCACTACCGTTCCAGCCATCGGAAACGGCATTCTCGCCGCCACCGATGGCGTCTAAAGGTATCGTATGTCAGCCTAAGCGTATAACGGGTAGGGATACGGTGGTTGTGAAGCGTGGCTCTGAGACGTAATGTCTAGAGTTGTGGTCTGGTGCGTTTCACTTACCGTCGCCAGTGTTCCAAGACATGGAGATGTTGTTGTCAGGATTTCGCTTGTATGTAACGAGCCGAGCTGAAGGACTTTGTTAGTGAGATCTGGTCGAACACGGGGTCACTGTGCGTGACAAGCTGAAGGAGGCGCGCAGAGAAAATGGGAGGGGAGTTACGGCAGGATCGGCAGCAGCTCGCGCGCACTGAAGCCCACAATGTTGAAGCTGGCTGAGCGGCAAATGCTGGTGTGAGGTAGAAGCGTCGCAATGGGGTCGCGACGCGCATGCGCGAGAAAGTGTTGTGGAGGAGCAGTGGCTTACCAAGAGAATGTGGAGCGCAGGCTCGTCGACGCTCGCCTTGTCCCTCACCGAAGGTTGCAGTGGACGGTGCAACCTGGCGAAGCGATCAGGATAGGTTGTTGGTGGCGAGGTGTCGAAGTGCGCGTGTGGATGGCGATTACATGCACAGGGGCCCTGGCGCAAAACATTGCCTCCAAAAGGGCAACCACGGCCAACCGTAGCTTCCCGCTTCGAAGGCTTATGACGTCGACAAAACGCAGAGCAGAAAATCTTGCGCCCACGCGGGAGGCCTGACTTATTCATATGACGAGGCTTGCGAGTCCGCTGCCGGTGCTGGCGTGCCAGCCCCGTTGCTTCCATCTTATTCTTCGACGAGAATCATATGGAGCTATCTGGTCACACTTGACACCGACGCTCAATTGACTGTGACTATCCCATATGTCTCCACGCCTCAGCCTAGCTGCATCCGCGTACATCTCCCGAAGCGTCTGCTTTGGTAGTTTGCGGGTCCCTGTCATTATAGGAACTGGAAGAGCTGGTCGGCACTGTCTTTCGTGAGCATGTCAGGAAAAGTGCCGATATGCCACAATAGGAACGATCACTCCTATCAATTGACAAACCGTCGCTAAGGCATATGGCAGATGTAGAAGTTTGCTGAAAGGTTTACGGAGAAAGCTCAAAATGCAATGTTCACAATTTACGTTTGCTGTATCTAGCTCAAAAGCAAGTTCTCGCCGTCAAAACAACCACCACTTAGCAAACTTTACCTCACCCTTTCATTTGAGCAAGCCCGTATTCGGTGTTCTCAGGTGAAAACGACTCTCACACCCTTGGAATCCAACCTCGGGCTAGGGTTGAAGAAATCGTGCTTCAGATCCACATCGCTCCGATCCGTCTCGAACAGCTCTAGCCCAAAACGTCCACCAAAGACCGCTGCCAGCGCCAGAGGAATTTCAGCTCCCGCCAGGTTCAGGCCCAAACATGCTCGACTTCCTCTGTTGAAGGTTACTAGATACTTTTCCAGTTGCTGCGCGCCCGGCTGCAGCCAACGCTCCGGTCGGAATTCCGTCGGTTCGGGAAAAAGCCTTTCGTTTTCGTGAATTAGAACGGAGGTCATGCCCACTGGTGTGCCAGCAGGGATAAGCCAGTCCCTATATCCAAGCGATGCATCAGGAGATACTCGTGTAAGGCGCGCAGTGATGCCGTAAGATATGCGGTAACCCTCATTGATGACCGCTTTCAGGTATCGCAGTTGCTCCAGAGAACGAAGAGATGGCAATGCAGTTCCATTTGCCATGAGAGGTTGAAGCTCTTCTTGGAGCATTTGCAGGACGTGAGGATTTGCCAGAATGTGGTAGGATGTCACTGTGAGATAATGGGCCGTAGTAACTGAACCGGCGCCGACAATAGTCTGCCCCTCATCAATAAGGCGCTGGAGCTGCTTCTCGGAATCGGGAAGACTGCTCTGGAGGAGTGCATGGAAAATGGTCGGTTGCTTCGTGCTCGTTTGACTTTCGGTGCTCCGGCCTTCCATAATTGGTAGAAGCTGTTCTTCGATTCCCTGTGGTGACAGTTAAGTACCCGCATCAACAACTGGCTGCTGAGATGACTAGAGGTAGGCCGTACCTTTTGAAATTCGATCAATGCAGCGGTGTTCGGTTCCAGTTTCACAGCCAGCCAGTCGGGAAGCCTTCGGAGCAGATGCAGAACGAACGGAAACTGCTTGTTAAGGAGCGAGAACTCAGATGTGGTAATCAACGACTTTGAATATTCTGGCGAGAAGTAGGGCTTCAGTGTCATGCCCGCACTCTTTGCGAAGCTATATTCAGTGATTATATCCGTCGTCAGCGCTGAGAATGCATTGTTAAGCACAATCGGCTCCTTGGATTCCCGAAACTCTTCGAAACGACTGCACAGCAGCGAGACAGCATTGCGGATCATTGGCTCCAGTTTGTATACCGATTGCTTCGAGAAGAATGCGTTTAGTGGTGCCCGCCGGGCGCGGTGATGTTCTTGTGACACGGTAGCAATCATGCTCGTGTCGTTGCCAAACATGGCTGCCGACCACGGCAGCTTCTCAACTCTTCTGCCGGATCCGCCGTAGAGCTGTTCGTAGAAATCCGGATCGTCGACGTGCAGCTCGTATGGGTTTATGCGGACAATCGGACCTGCCTGTTGTCAGCACCTTTTCCCCTCCTTAGGTGGAGAGCGGGGAAGCGAGGGGTCGGGGAAGGGATCTGAGAGGATTGAGGAGAAAGATGGGCGAATTCGGGATGGGGAGTTTTGTGGGCGGGGCAGCTCGGATGACGACGAAAAGTCGGAGAGCCTGGGGCCGGAGAAGGAGCAATCCGGGATAGGCTTCGTACCGTATCTTTTGTGTAGCTCCCGGATGTGAAAAGTAAACTGGCCACGAAGTACGACGTCGAAGTAGAACTCGTACCAAAGCGTGAGTGCGGCAAGTTTTGGGCCGGGGAATTTAGCTAATGGGCTAAGATAAAGGCGGTATACTGCACCGGCGATAAGGTAGAAGGACAACAGCCCAACTCCGGCTCCCACAAGCTGAGCAAACGTAGGTTCACGCACAAGTACGGCCATTCTTAATCAAGCCCGGGTTTAGGGAATAGTGCGGCGTCGATGAAACGAGATAACACGGAAAAGCGCTAGGAGAGGGGCTGCCTGGTCAATAAGTATCCGTGGCTTGTCTCTCATGTCAGCAAAAGTCCCATTTCGTCATACACGGCCTTTCGGGCCCCCAAAGGGATAGCGTGGAGACACCGCTTCGCATGAAGGCTGCTTACTGCACGCCACCAATGGCAGTGCTCGTGTTTGGAGTTTAAGGTGAGCCAAGCGGATGCGGAGATGCGGGGGAGGCTTGCGGGACGTTGACGATCATGTGTAGAACCCGTGTTTACCCGCCTTGATTCCTCCTTCCGACCTCAGATATATGGGCCGGATGGGCCACAGTAAAGCCAAATTGACGACACCAAGGGCGCCTTAGGATCATGTCGTATGATATCTTAACGACGTACAGGACAGCGTATTGTGCGACGATATCTGGAGTATTCCGCTTACTTTGTTCAACGTCGGACTTGGCAACTCTTGGGTAATCGCTACGGCTTATTGTAGCACTAGATATCTCGTCCCTAATTGAATGAGTAAGCCCCGCACCAGGTCGCAACCATTGAGTGCGGACCAGTAAGTGCTGAGCTGCGGCTCACGTAAGGAAAACGTGTAGATGCTGGAGTCCTGGACGATGGACTAGGCATACGAAAAGGGATTCTTTTTGTACACCTTGACGGCTCCTTCCACTAGCTTCCCGTGTCCGTTGGTGAAGCTGTTGCAATAACAATGAGACCGGCGGCGTGACCGAGGATCCAAACGCTGATGGACGCGTGGCCAATGCTCGAGCATGATCGCAGCCCAGCAGTCCCTGCACTTGACCCCGGTGCCTCCATGCAGAGGCGATCTCCAAGCGTCGGATTGTGGTCACTGCGGTGCGCCTCGACGGTTGCGTCTTACATGCTGGTAGCTGCGTTCTAGCGGCAAGGTCGGAAGGTTTCGTTGCTCGGCCAGTTTCGCACCAGCATCGATCGCCGAGCAGCCGTCTTCCGTGCATCAGTTGCGGGGGAGTTGTCACTGGTGGAGAGTTGTTTCGCGTTCAATGCGCACGTGGGCCCGTTCACGCAGGGCCGAGGGGCGTGTCGAGGCCAGGAACGGGCTCGGGGGGTCCTAGCGGTTCCATCGCCGAAAGCGGTGCAGAAAATTCTCGGTGACGGTGACGGCGACGGCGGCGGGAAACGGCGGGCGACGGCGAAAAAAAAAGTCGGCGAGCTGGCGAGGCGAGAGGCCGGGCTGCGGTGCTGGGCAGCGGCCTCGTCAACCGGGCGCCGCCTCCGCCGTGGCAGCTTCGCCTCCGCCTGGCGTGGCTCTCCGCGGCGGGATTTCTGGGCCCGCTGGTGGGAGAGGGTTTCGCATCGGGGATCCAAGCTCCGGCTTAGCGGACCGGGAGTTGGTAGAATTTCGAAAACACATAGAAATTGACTCCCGGTTGAGGCGCGAGAGTACTCCTTCAGTCGTTCAACACGCGCTGTCTCTTGCGAAGCCTAAAAATCCCGCCATCGGGAAGCCAGTCGTCATGCCGGTCACCAAGCTCCCCTTCCGCCGAGTGTTACATGTGCGGCCCCCGCCGAACTTTTTCGCTCTTTCACGCCCGCGCTCCACCTTCAAATCTCTGGCGCTGAGCACACCACCGCCGTCGCTCGTCGCCGCCTCCCGCTCCTTCCACTCCAGCCCCCTCACCATGGTCGCGGCAAAGATCGATGGCAATGCCATTGCCAAGAGCATCCGCGAGCGCCTGCACGACGAGATCGCCCAGACGCAGAGCAGCAATCCCCGCTACCGCCCTGCCCTGCGCATCATCCAGGGTACGTCGCGCCTGCCCCGCACTCGACCACCCCAAGAAACCTGCCTGCTAACCGCCGTGCACAGTCGGCGACCGCTCTGACTCCAGTAAGTAGCTGCGCCGCCCGCCCGCGAGACCTTCAATTGACCAGTGCAGCCACCTATGTGCGCATGAAGCTGAAGGCCGCCGAAGAGGTACGACCACCGCCCCGCCACTTTTTCAGACGCTGACCCCTCCATAGTCCGGCATCGACTGCAAGCTCGAGAAGTTCCCCGAGGACATCACCGAGGCCGAGCTCTTGCACAAGATTACCCAGTTCAACAACGACTCGGCCATCCACGGCATCCTTGTCCAGCTGCCCGTGCCCAAGCACATCTCGGAATACAACGTCACCTCGGCCGTCGCCGACGAGAAGGATGTGGACGGATTCGGCGTGGCAAACATCGGCGAGCTCGCCAAGCGCGGCGGCCGCCCTCTCTTCACGCCCTGCACCCCCAAGGGTGTCATGGTCCTGCTCGAGAGCACCGGTGTCGACATCAAGGGCAAGAACGCCGTTGTTATCGGCCGCAGCGACATTGTCGGCAGTCCCGTGAGCTACCTGCTGAAAAACGCCGATGCTACCGTCACTGTCTGCCATTCCAAGACCAAGGATCTCGCCGGTATTGTCAAGACCGCCGACATCATTGTGGCTGCCATTGGCAAGGCCGGCTTCGTCAAGGGCGAGTGGGTCAAGCCCGGCGCCGTTGTCATTGACGTTGGCACCAACTACATCCCCGATGCGTCCAAGAAGTCCGGCCAGAGACTGGTAGGCGATGTCGACTTCGATGCCGCTGCCGAGGTCGCCTCCCACATTACTCCTGTCCCCGGTGGTGTCGGCCCCATGACGGTTGCTATGCTGCTCCAGAACGTGGTTGATTCTGCGAACCACTACTTCGAGGAGCAGAAGGCTCGTCACATTACCCCTCTTCCGCTCAAGCTGCAGCAGCCTGTTCCCTCGGACATTGCCATCTCTCGCGCACAGCAGCCCAAGCTGATCAACAAGGTCGCCGAGGAGATCGGCATAGCTAAGCACGAACTTGAGCCCTACGGTGCGTACAAGGCTAAGGTGGACCTGACGCTTCTGAAGCGTCTCGAGCACCGCCGTGACGGCCGCTATGTTGTGGTCACAGGCATCACGCCTACTCCTCTTGGTGAGGGCAAGTCCACTACTACCATGGGCCTGACCCAGGCCCTGGCCGCCCACCTCGGCCGTGTGTCCTTTGCCAACGTCCGTCAGCCCAGCCAGGGTCCGACCTTCGGTATCAAGGGAGGTGCGGCCGGTGGTGGCTACAGCCAGGTCATTCCTATGGATGAGTTCAACATGCATCTTACTGGTGACATTCATGCCATCACCGCCGCCAACAACTTGCTTGCCGCGGCCATTGAGACCAGGATGTTCCACGAGAACACCCAGAAGGACGGTCCTCTCTACAGGCGCCTAGTGCCTACCAAGAAGGGCAAGAGGGAGTTTGCTCCCGTCATGTTCCGTCGTCTGAAGAAGCTTGGAATCAACAAAACCAATCCCGATGAGCTTACCGAGGAGGAGATTCGCCGCTTTGCCAGGCTCGACATCGATCCTGAGACCATCACCTGGAGGCGTGTGCTCGACGTGAACGACAGGCACTTGCGTGGCGTGACTGTTGGCACCGCGGGCACTGAGAAGGGCCAGGTCCGTGAGACTGGCTTCGATATTTCTGTTGCCAGTGAGTGCATGGCTGTGCTTGCTCTCAGCAACGACCTTTCCGACATGCGTGAGCGTCTGGGTCGCATGGTGGTCGCCAGTTCCCGCAGCGGTGAGCCCGTCACTGCTGATGATATTGGCGCTGGTGGTGCTCTTACCGCTCTGATGAAGGACGCCATCAAGCCCAACCTTATGCAAACGCTCGAGGGCAGCCCTGTGTTCGTCCACGCTGGTCCGTTTGCCAACATCTCCATCGGCGCCTCGTCCGTCTTGGCCGACAAGCTTGCGCTCAAGCTTGCTGGTACCGAGCCTGACGAGGACCACAACAGCAAGACTGGCTTCGTCGTTACCGAGGCCGGTTTCGACTTCACCATGGGTGGTGAGCGTTTCTTCAACATCAAGTGTCGCTCCTCCGGTCTTGTTCCTGATGCCGTTGTCATTGTTGCCACCGTCCGTGCCCTCAAGGTCCATGGTGGCGGTCCCGAGATCACCCCTGGCGCTCAGCTGCCTGAGGTCTACCGTACCGAGAACGTCGAGGTGCTGCGCAAGGGCTGTGTCAACCTCAAGAAGCACATCCAGAACGCCAAGCAGTTTGGTGTTCCCGTTGTTGTTGCCATCAACCAGTTTGAGACCGACACCGATGCCGAAATCGCCGTCATCAGGGAGGAAGCTTTGGCTGCTGGAGCCGAGGATGCCATCCAGTCGAACCACTGGGCCGAGGGTGGTAAGGGTGCCGTCGAGCTGGCCAAGGGTGTCATCGCGGCCAGCGAGAAGCCCAAGGACTTCAAGCTGCTGTATGATCTCGAGGGGTCGGTTCAGGAGCGCATCGAGCGCATCGGTAAGATCATGTACGGCGCTGAGAAGGTCGAGTTCAGTGAGCTTGCCCAGAAGAAGGTCGATACCTACGTCAAGCAGGGGCTGGGCAACTTGCCCATCTGCGTTGCCAAGACGCAGTACAGTCTGTCCCATGACCCTGCGCTCAAGGGCGCACCGGAAGGCTTCACGGTCCCCATCCGTGACGTTCGCATGGCCGCTGGGGCGGGATACCTGTAAGTTGCACCCGAGCCCAAACCCCTGAAAGGTAACGGTGACTAATGGACCCCACAGGTACGCGCTTGCCGCCGACATCCAGACCATTCCCGGTCTTCCCACCGCTCCCGGCTACCTAAACGTCGACGTTGACTCGGAGACCGGCGAGATTGAGGGGCTGTTCTAAGCCCGTTTTGAGTGCTTAGCCTGTCGGCCTGCGCTTCGTCTCTGTATCCGGGTCGATGTCCGCCTCTTAACAGTGCGCGACTTAGTTCGGATCGGGATTTCCTTGTGTAATGTCCTCATGTAACGCCTTCAACGTCGGTCATCGGTAAAGGGGTCCTGGGCTCCGGATCCAAAAGCGTGCTTCGCCAACAAGCATTCGGTGTCTGGAGTTTCAACAAAAAAAAAGATAACAAGATAGAACGGGCTTGTCCTTTCATTGGCAGGGAGGAAGAGGAGGAGGATCCAACGCCGCGCGGCTATGACGCTGTTAGATACCCGCCGTGGGCTGGTCGGTCGCTTCATCAGCGACGCTCACAGATAGCAACAACGAAATTACTCACACACGGAGTCCCGAAGCGTTGGGTCTATCTCCAGGGTCAGCACGTCACGGCCCCCTTTACCTCATCGTTGTCAATGCTCTCGGCTGGATGGGTCGCCTGCGAATCACAAACAAGGCACTAATCGTGACCAAAGGAATCGCGTGTGACGGAGGTGGCCTTTCGATCAGGCGTCTCGCCCGCGAGGCGGTACTGCCGTGCTGCGGCCAGTGGCTAGCGCCAACCTGATGCAGGTCTGCCAGCATTGGCTGGATTGAGGTCCAGGCATGGTGTAACTCGTACAGGACGTCGGCTGGCGCGCTGGGAATCGAAACGATGGTCACTGTCGGCTACGTCGAGTCCGCCCGCGGCATGTGTGCCGCAGCTCTTGCGGCCCCGAGCCGACGCCTGAAGATTCTCGCGGGCGTGTGGTCGCGGTAGAGTTGACGTCCCAAAATGGCCAGATCCGGCAATTGCTCAGCCCTGCGGTGGTGCGGCAGAGGCGGCGATCCTGGCTGGCGGCTGCGAATATCGGAGGCATGTTAGCAGTTGAATTCCGTCATTTAAACTGAGGGCCGACGGAAGCCGACACTAGACCCCGCAAATGAGCCCACATTTGTTCAGGAACCCATGACGCCCGGTCCGTGCCGCGGCGCAAATTTTTGTTAGCTCACCACCGTGTGCCTCGCTCGGTACGCCAGGCCAGTTACTGTTACGCAAAAGTTGAGCATTTGGGACGACCACAGCACGCCCAAGGTCAGGAGAGAAGAGTGGTTCTTGCCTTGCTGCGTGCGGGGGATTCTCGAGGACCCTATCTGGAGCCCCAGATCGATGTGGGGGTGCACTGTCAATCCGATGCCTTCAACCGGGACCGATGCGGCCAGGCGGCCTGGGGGAGGCGACTGAGATACCATGGTCGGTCCGTATCGTTGGACTGACTGATCCATCCCCAAAGCGACAAAGGTCCTAGCGGTCCATCTTACGTCTCTCGTCTATAAGACCTTTTCCTTGCTACCTACCCTCCCGCCGCCGTCGTCGAGACCAGTTCTTCGCGGCCACCGCACATCCCGAAAATTTTCACTCCGGCCTGTCTCGCGTCCCCGTGACAGCGACGTTTCAGCAACCATGTCCTCCCCACCGGCCGATGCGGGAGCCCTTCCCGACAAGTCCTCGCAGGATTCGCTGTCCAAGTTCCCCATCGACGAGAAGGAGGGTGGCGACGTCATCCGGATCCCCCAGACCGCCCAGGCTGCCTACAAGGGCATTTTCTCGCCCCGACGCATGCAGGTCATTGCCCTCGGTGGCTCCATTGGTAGCGGACTGTTCATTACCACCGGCCGTGGTCTCTCTACCGGCGGCCCCGCCGGTTTCGTTTTCGGTTATGGTTTCGTCGCAATCCTGGTTTGGTGCGTGCTGCAGCTGCTCACGGAAATGACCATTGCCTTCCCCGTATCCGGCAATCTGTTTGAATACGCGGACCGTTGGGTTGACCCGGCCCTGGCCTTTGCCGCCGGCTTTGCCGAGTGGCTCGGATGGACTGCTGTGTGCGCGGCTGAGGCCACCATGTTTACGGTGCTGATCAACTACTGGGCCGAGAACCGCGTGCACGATGCTGTGTGGTGTAAGTTACACTGGCGGTCATCTAGCCTTGTGAAACAGCCATTCTCACATCTTTCCCAGTGTCCATCTTCCTCGTTGTCGTCTTCGGTCTGTTCTTCCTTCCCAGCAAGGCTTTTGCTTGGTTTGAATATGTCACATCCCTGGTCAAGGTCACCGCCTTCTTGACCATTTTCTGGTCCTCGGTGGCCATCATGGCTGGTGGTGGTCCCACGGGCCGCGTCCACACCGGAGAGACATGGAGGGACTACCCGAAATTCAAGAACGGCTTTGCGGTAAGCTTGACAATGCCGACTTGCGCAAAGAACAAGTTGCTGATGATACTGCCTTAGGGTATTGGGCAATGCATGATGTTGGCGTGCTGGGCCTACGGTGACCAAGTCTTCATTGGCATCATGGGCGGTGAGGCATTCTTCCCCCGCCTTGCCATGGGTCGCGCCTGCAAGATGGTCACGGGCCGCATGTTCGTCATTTACATGACATCAATCATGTGGATCTCGCTCCTCGTCCCGTCCGACGACGACCGTCTGTACGGTTCTTCCGGCGCTGCCGCCTCCCCATTCATCATCTCCATGCAGGACGCCGGTATCACCGGTCTCCCTCACTTCCTCAACGGCGTCATCGTTGTTGGTGTGACTGCCATTGCTTGCGAGAGTATCTACATCGCGTCGCGAACCCTGCGGTCGCTGGCCGCCCAAGGCCTGATCCCGAAATTCATGGCCACCGTTGATGCCAGGGGCCGTCCGCGCGGTGCTCTTGTCGTGACCAGTGTCGTCGCTGTCACTCTGACCTACATCAACCTGAGCAGTAAGTACCAACTCCACGACGGAACAACAAAGTAAAGAACCATGATCACTGACTGAATGAACCTCAACAGGCGGCGGTGTCACCATCTTTACCTGGTTCACGTCCATCACGTCCTCGTCCTTCTTTTGCGTCTGGATCATTCTCGTCATCGTCTCCTGGCGCTTCCGCGCCGCCCTCAAGGCCCAGAACGATCCGCTCTTCGATCAGGTCTACTCGTGGAGTGCCTCCTTCTACTACTTCACGCTCGCCTGGCTGGCTCTCGGATGTGCACTGCTCACCGCCGCCTGCATCTACGTCGGCCTCTACCCCGTCGACGGCGGTGGCCTGTCGGTCGAGTCGTTCTTCCAATACGTGCTCGGCCTGATCCTCATCCTTACCAGCTACTTGGGCTACAAAGTGGTCTTCCGCACCAAGATCCGCGACGTCAAGACGGTCGACTTGGTGTCGGATCGCCGGCCGCTGACCGAGGACGACATCATGGAGCTGGATGCGTACTACAAGCAAGGCATTTACAGGCGTTTCGCTAGCTACTTCACCATTTGGTAGACGGGCATTAGACTTGGGTTTGTTTATCGCGGGTTACAGGGGAAAAAAGCCAGCAGTGCTGAAAAAACGCCACTGGCTTTCAGGCAGCACTTTCAATAGACATGGGAATGGTCTTCGGTTTCCGGTGCATTTTTTCTCTTTACGGTTCATCGTTCGCGAGATCCAGGGTTCGAGGGGGCGTAACACGGCATGACAATAGAATGATGGAGATATCTTCGTGATGAAGAGTACATAGAACCCGCGTTTCTATTTGCACACAGGATGCAAAAGCTGGACGCCACACATACAAGATTTGACATGATGGTACTTTCTCAGTCGTGCGTTAGAAACGTCTTCTCATGCAGCCTGTCTTCCGGTGTCGCTACCGATCTCGTGGCGCCGAATAGTGGCAATATATTGCTTTTGTTTTCTTCTGTTTGCCTGTCCAACGCCATCCGAGACCTGCTCTCGGGTAAACGTGAAGTCCTCAAGGGCTGACGCTCGCACCTGCAGATCGCACGCACCTGAATACCCGTAAAGAGAAACCTACAGCTGCCGCCTCCCACTGTAGCTCTTCACACAGGTACGAGAGACTTCATTTCCACCGACTCAGTCTCGCAATGCGCAATCAGCCCAGAGCAGCATGGATTACAGTCGTTCGCAGCGTGTGACGACTCGCCGCTCGGCATCAGCCTCTGCGCTTTCGGCACTGTGGCGCCGCGCTGAGCTGCCTTTTGAACCCGACGAAACCGATTGGTTCTTGTGACTCCCGCTGCACCCTAGTCGCTGTCGCTAGATTCACTACTGCTGTCATCCTTCTTGCCTTTCTCGCTAGCCTTGGTCTCCCGTTCCGAGTCCAAATCATCGCTGTCGCTCGCACTGCTTGAATCATCAGAAACAGAGTCGGAATCGGAATCGGAATCGGAATCAGAGTCGGAGCTGGACTCTTCCGAGCTGCTGGAGACGACCGAACTCTCGTCACTGGAGCTGTCTTCCTCGCTGCTGCTGCTGCTGTCGACGTCCATCGTGCGCGACTTGCGAGGGCGGGATCGCTTCTTGTTGCCGTCCTCGGGGGCCTCGACCTCCTTCTGTGGCTGCATGGTTTTGCTGGGCTTCGCAGGTGGCTCGTCTACGTGTCCAAGAGCCTTGAGCACCTCCTCCGCACGGCGACGCTTGGCCGGCAGCTGCTGGGCTTCATCACGCTCGCGGCTCCCCTTTTTGGCAGCCTTGCGGTTGGCAGGCTCGTCCTTCGGAGTGTCAGAGGCTTCCTTTAAAACAGCGTCGGCCTGTTCCTTGAGGCGATAGCGGGCTGCGGCGCCATTGAGGCCGGCAATATAGGCATGGACGGCTTGGTCGTAGGATGTCGGAACGCGGAAAAGGTTGAAAATGTTTTTGAGAAGCTCGACTTGGTGCTTCTTGTTGAACTTCCAGCTTGAGCGGTCCGAGTGGTATTGTTGTAGATAGGTGACGTAGGGTGGGAGATGCTCTTCTTGTTGCGTGGCCTCTGCCGCCCTTGCGGCGTTGCGCTGCTCCTTCTTCGCCTTCTTCAGGTCCTTCTTGGAAGGCTCAGGCTTCGATTCGCCGGCGGTGGCGGCAGGGGCGTCGTCCTCTTCGACCGCTGACTCGGTGCTCGGGACGATGCCGTCTTCAGTCGAAGATGCGTCTTGAGACTTGACCCAGGCCTTGAACATCTGTTGGCCGCTGTCGCCGTCAGACTTCTTGGTGTCAGGAGTGAAGCTCACGGACTTCTTGCGCTGCAGCGCCTTGACCGGGGTGGCAAACTTAGGGGCTCTTTCTTCGCCGTCCGATGCAGCTGAGTCTGGTGCGGTCCTGTCGGGCAGGGAAGCCTTGGCCTTTTTGGATTTCTTTTCGCGCTTCTTTTCTTTCCTTTCCTTTTTCGAGGGCTCGTCGGCAGGTGGAGTGGATTCCTCAGCTGGCTCGGACCTCCTCTTCTTGGACTTCTTTGACGGCGTCCCGCTTGACCGGCCAGTTGGGTCGCTTCCGAGCGCGGCGTCCTCGTCACGAGCTCTCTTTTTGGAAGCGGAGGCGGACGCTGCAGCTGGACTTTCGTCGTTTGCGTACTTTAGCTTGAGGCCCAGCTTCTTCCAGGCGGGCACGCGCTCAGAGTCCGGGGTGGCAACCATGGTTAGTTGCACGCGTGAGTCGAAGCGGCCTGTAGAGAGAGGCGGAGGGGCGCGGGAGGCGATGGATTGAGTTTTCTCAGCTGTGGTGGTGCTGTTGGGAGATGTCGAAAAATTCCCACGCGGGCGCTGATTGGCCGGAGCCCGGCAGGCGATCATCCTGGCGGCGCTGGCATGGTCCGAGCTCGGGGCGGCTCTCGCAGGCTCCGACAGCAACGCGTTGACATAGCTCGACAGCTCCATCAACCACCGCCCCTCCACACCCGCCATCTCAGCCCGCATTTCCCTCCGAACACCTTCCAGACTCTCCATCACCGCAGCTGACTCGACTACCTGCTTCACATAAAAGCTCGCCATGTCCGGTGCGTCGCTGCCTCGCTCCCCGTCCGCCGCGCCGAGAGCTCCCCAAGCTGACCCACCGCCATCCAACAGGAAGCGCAGGCTACGACAGGCACATTACCATCTTCTCCGACCAAGGTCGTCTGTACCAAGTCGGTACGTCGTCTCCTCCCCTTCGCCCTGCTGAGGCAGCCCGATGCCGCGTCCCAAGACACGGTCGCATGCAAAGGCACAAGGTGCGGACAGACAGCTGATGGACTCGGCGTGACATCACAGAGTATGCATTCAAGGCCATCACCGCCGCCAACATCACGTCGATTGGCGTGAGGGGCAAGGACTGCGCCGTCGTCCTGACCCAGAAGAAGGTGCCCGTATGTACTCGCCCGACCACCTGCTCGCCGACCCCGCTGACCACACCACCTGCAGGACAAACTCATCGAGCCCTCGTCCGTCTCATACGTCTTCAAGCTCTCGCCGTCGGTCGGCTGCGTCATGACTGGCTCCATCGCCGACGCCCGGGCATCGGTCCAGCGCGCCCAGGGCGAGGCGTCTGAGTTCCGCTACAAGTACGGCTACGAGATGCCCTGCGACGTGCTTGCCAAGAGGATAGCAAACATCAGCCAGGTCTACACTCAGAGGGTAAGTCCTGTCCAAAGTGCCCGGTTTTGTAGGCGTTGGGGTGCTGGAGCATCGACCAGGGCGCGAGCGTGTGGCGACTCCTTCCGTCTGTGTACGGCTGGATATGGCCCCGCTTGCGGCTGAAGGTGTGCTCGAGCTCCTCATGCGTGACAGCATTTGCAATGATTTTGCGCAACAGCGTGAGCGGTGAAAAAAAAAATTGTGGAGGTAAAGCTGATGTGTGGCGGTGCAATAGGCTTACATGCGGCCGCTTGGCGTCGCTATGACGCTCATCTCGCTGGACTCGGAGTATGGCCCTCAGCTGTACAAGTGCGACCCGGCAGGCTACTACGTTGGCTACAAGGCGACTGCATCCGGGCCGAAGACGCAGGAGGCGCTGAACTTCCTCGAGAAGAAGCTGAAGAACCGCGAAGCGGCCGAGGGCGATTGGAAGGAGGTGGTGGAGCTGGGGATTGCGACGCTCAGCCAGGTGCTCAGCGTCGACTTCAAGAAGGGCGAGCTGGAGATCGGAATCGTGGGCGGGCCGCGCGCTGACGGACAGGCGGGAACCGACCCCGAGTTCCGCGTGCTCGGCGAGGATGAGATCGACGAGCGGTTACAGGCGATTGCGGACAAGGACTGAGCGAGACAGAGGGTGGGGGCTGGTGGTTCTCAGAGGTGGAGGTGGTGGCTCCTGCGCCTCGTGGGCGGGCGCAGGGGTTGCATCGTCGGGAATCTGGTGCGACGGGCAGCGCGCATCATCCGTGCAGGGCGGTTCAGCCGCGACGGGGGTCTTGTACGTATCGGTAGCTCTCTTGCGGCCAAGCACGACGTTTTCAGCTCGTAGCGTCCCCTTTCACCCAGCACATACCGTATTGGAGCAGCTCGCAGAACACAGCCGCGCCAGTCGGCGCTGGAGCGTGCCCTGCTGATGGGCGCGCGTTAGCGAGCGGTGCTGCTAAATTTGCGCGGGCCAGCCAATCTTCATTGCGATTTGGCGGGCAGCGATAACGTGAGGGCTCGCAACGGGCGACGTCTCGGTGGCATTAGCTGCCTTGGGCGGTGGCGGCTGGCGTGGCGCTCGCGAAGCTGACTTCGATCCACCGCCCACTGACTCTCGGCGCCCGTGACTGCGCATCACTTTCAGCTTCACCTCTTTTTGCGCCGTGAAGAATGCCATCCGTCGTCATGGCCGCCGCCGATCCGGTGCCCCCTCCCCTGCGTTGCTGAAGGCGCGCCCCAAGCCCAGCTGGTTCCGAGCCGCGCTGAGTGCGCTCCACTGCCGGCGCACAGGCAGCGGGAGGAGCCATGAGCCGGACCCTTCTTGCAAACCAACGGTTAGCTGGCTGGTAGGCTGTCAACTCCAGTAGTGCCATGGCTGTTATAACCACCGCGGCGGCCGTCCGCTTGGGCCCAACCGCCAGCTGCCTCCCTCGACCCTGCTCCCTGTTCCGTAATTGTAATTATTGCTTTGCACCATGGCCGACGGACGTGAGTCTCCCCGCCCTGCCTAGCCGCCGCCCGCTCAATTGCAATTGCTGAACCAGAGCCCCAACAGTCAACGATGCCAGAGCCATCCGCATAGCCGAGATCATGACCGACTTCCGGAACCTGCAGCACTACATCGCCCAGATCCGCGTCTCGCCCGCCCCCGACGAATTCTATCTCCAGGGCTACACCCTCGTCCGCCAGTGCCACGCCGAGGCGCAGGCCATCCTCAACGCCCCCTTTGACGCCAACACGTCGCCCGGCGAGAGCGTCGAGCAGCAGAAGACCCTCCTCAAAGCGTACGGGACCATTGTCTCCGCCTCCGCCTCCCCGCTGTGCCATCACCCGGCCTACTAACATTTCTCTTCCTTGTCCAGAGTCCTCCTCGATTCCAGCATTCGCCGGTTCCGCTGCCAGCGCGTGTACCTCCGCGCCACGGCGGCCATGCGCTGGATCAACTCGCGCGGCGCGCTGTTGCGCGAGGAGGGCGCCAGCGCCGAAGCGCTGCAGAAGGTGGACGAGTCCCTGCAATCTGTGAGCATCCGCCGTCACTTGGGAGTCAGGGCGGAGCGTCTGGGCTGGGCTAACGCGGCGGTGCAGGAGCTTGCAAACATCACGGACGAGTACGTCGAATACAGCCTCCGGTCCGAGGATGCGCAGCAGGGCAAATGGCTCCACGAGGACCCCGGGCTCGCCGTGATCCAGCAGTGTCTGTTCGAGTAGTAGTGTCTGGCGGGCTTCCACGGATCCGCGTCCACGCCAGTTCCTCCACGCAGGGTCGAGGCCGGGTGCTTCGTCTGTTTCACGACGCGAGACGATCGACATGACGTTGCAGCATTTCCCCATAGCATAGTTCCTTTCCCTTAGACCATTCCCGCCGATTGGACGTCCCGGAGACCCTCTCAACGTTTTCTCTCCCAGCACAATACCCCTGTCGTATCCTTAGCGTTCCAGCGATTCCCTCATTGCCAAGGCAGTGGACTGTGGATCGGCCACATGCCAAAAGCTCTGTTTGCCCAGTCTCTCTATCCAGCATTATCGGTACTGTGTTGTAATTAGTCATTGCTATATTTCTTCGTCATCTCTCATGTACCACACACTGCTGCCCTGCCGAGGCGTCGGCTGAGCTTTCTGCCAGCCTGCCCGAGCCAAGTGCCGAACAGCCCCCAAGACTAAACGCATGTCATAAGCCCTATCATCGGACCGTTTGGCCGTACCTTTTGGAGATCGGCGGCATGTCCGCAACCGGTACAGCCCACGTTGCCGGCACAGCAAGGAAAAAAGAAGGAAAAAAAAAAAGCGCCCTGCAGCCACGGCGCCGGATTCTAGACTGCTTTGCATGGGGGCTTTTGGGCGCCACGGCGTGACGGCGCCCATGACTCTACGGGTTGCGTGTTGGCGAGCGCCTCTACTCAACGGTGAAGTCGGCGTGCCCGGGGGCTTATGCACCCCACACGTCTTTGCTGCGGTGACGCCGGCTGTTGCAGCCAGCAGGAACCACGACTTTGCCGTCCGCGGGAAATGCATGGCGTAATAAGTGCGCTCAGCAGACAGGCCGCAAGCAGCTACCGCTGCCCTTGGTGCCGCCCGGCGCGTCTACCTAGAACATTCGACCCACGTGTCCCCGCTCGCTGGCGATGACTCTCTTTTTTTTTACTTTGGCACCAGCCCGATCGCCGGTAGCGCTACCCGAGGCCCTCTTCCGCCGGGCCCCTTTCCTGCTTCCTCCCTGGTCGCTCTACCATTCGCGCCCCACTGCGATCCAAGCCAAGGCTGGTGGACGTGCCGACCGGGCGCTGCCTGAGCCACCACTGCTGCGCCAGCTCTTCACCGGCCGTCTGCTGAATGATGAGGCTGTGCAGGCAGGCCATGGCAGGAAAATGGTCGTGTGCCACTACTGATGATGAGCTGCTCGGCAGGTGGGTGCTAGAGCCAACGGCCCCGGGGCGTCCCAGCGCGAGCGCGCGCGCTTCATGCCGTGTCCCCCTGCATTGTCGACCTTCCAGCTACCCAGGGCGAAGCATGGTCGGATGGAACATTGGAACATCAATCCTCGTGGGCAATCGAACGATCGCACGATCCAACGATACACTTCTTTCCACGCGCGGCAGCAGTAGAGGTGCGGTGGCATCACCAACCTTGCGGGCATCCTGCATGATCTCATTCCACGGGAGATCAGCAGTAGTATAAGCAAACCTTGTTTACTCCGCTCCGGGCGTATTTACGCCCTTCATTGGACCAACATCGCTGCAATCCTCTGTCCCTTGCATGCTACAGGTTCACACACTGCCGCACTTGCGTCCGCTCTCTTATCCCGTGCTTTTGTCCTGTCTTTTTTTTTTCGTTTTTGGCGCGAAAGGCGCCAAAGAAAGCACGCGCTGGGATTATTAAAGAACGGACGGCCGTATAGGCTGATGAGTGCACACCGCCTATCCGGACGTAGCGGCTTATCCCCGTCACTTGTCTTCTTCGCCCTGCCTCTCGGCCGACGTTCCCCGGCCGGGGATTATTCCAGCACGCAAAGTGGACGACTCAGGCTCCAGCTGGGACCTTTGGGCTGGCGCACCAATCATATAGCAATGCAGAGAATAATGCTTCACAAGCGAACGAGCAATCCAACCAAAAGGGAAAAAAAATAAATAACATTGATAAGAAAGACGCATGCATTGTGGGACGCTGGCTGGCTCCAAGCCGATGCTCGGCGTCAACCACAGTTCCTTCCAATATGATGTCCTGCACATCCCTGTACGCCATAGGGCTGCGGGGGGGCCAGGGCTGCGGCTGATCAATGAAGCTGAGAGGCATGGTGCCTGTCAGACGCGCATAGATCTGCGCAGGAATCGCAGTTAAGACGCCGTGCTATAGACCTGGATCTGCACGCCTAAAGCGCATGCGGCCGTCGGGGAAGCGACGCGGCGAAGTCATCTCTTATTGACGCCTTCGGCGAGCCGGTCGGTCAATAACAATAATCGTCGCTCGCTCGGCCGACGGGCCGCCGGAAGTATATTGCAAAAGAACGACAGGGCAGTAGAGGTATATGACAGGCTACCGCTCCGTCGGGTCAGAAACCGATAAACAGAATAGGGGGGGCAAGGCAAGGATGGAGCGAGCTGGGGATCAGACGGGAAGGAAGAATTAGGGGAACGTGCGTGCAGAGCGAGCGCTCTTCTGGCCGAAGCAAGATCGATCGTTGCGCCGCCGTGGCCTACGGCAGGTACTCTCAGCGGGGTACGAGACTGCAGTCGCTGGGTACGAGGGCCGACCGGCTGGTGACCGCCCCCAAGACAAACGAGCCACCGGCAGCCCGTCCGTGCAGCCACATGGCCAAGCGAGATGATCCCGATCTCGGATGATCCGAACATCACAAGCGCCTTCCGTTGTCCGTTGCCGAAGATACGAAGTAGGTACACGGTAGGTACATAGGAAGAAGAGCAAAAAAAAAAAAAAAGAGAGAGAGAGAGAGAGAGAGAGAGAGAGAGAGAGAGAGAGAGAGAGAGAGAGAGAGAGGAAAGGAGGGGCCGCCAATCACGCTCACCCTCGCCCGCCAACCGATCGACCATACCTAGGCGTCGAGCAGATCTCATCTCGGCGGGGAAACGCCTCTCGAACCTTGGGGAAATATCGAATGTCTCCTCCCCATCAGCAAGAACCTCCCGGTGCTCTTTGCAGCTCTACCGAAAGCAATGATCAATTCGACCGTATATTTAGCACACCTGAAGACTCATTGGGCTGCACAGATCCGGCCCCCACAGAAAAGAGAAAAAAGAAAAAAGGAAACGGGCTGGGGGGTACTGCAGGGAGAGGAAAAAAGGCAAAGGAAAAAGGAGGCGACTGTCTCGAGCCGGACCCGGTTGCTGACCAGCGCAGCCAGCCAGCCAGCCAGCCAGCCCACCAGTCAGTCCAGGAGAAAATAAAAAAAATAAAAAAAATAAAGGGTCGGGGCGGGATATAGCGGGTGCCTGTCTTCCGCTAGCTGGGGCGCCCGCGGGTTTATCATCATCATACGATAGGCGATGACGCTAAAGTAATCCGCCTTTTCTTGCACTCTTCTTCTGCTGCACACACAGCTTCGCTTAACGATGGTTCAGCTTCGCTTTCGTTCTTTTCTGACACCCCCCCCTCCCCTTCCCGTTCCTGGGGCGCTGTGGCCACGCGCAATAATGTGGAACGACTACCTACACTCGTTCAGCTTAACCGGGATGGTTATCCTTTCGCCTTGCTTCTTTTTCCCACCACCCCCCAGCCCAGCCACGCGACGTGCCGGCGCGCTAACGCAGTCATCGAGCACCGGGGGGATGACGCCCAATGGGAGCGATTTTCCTGCATATTCCCCTACCTACTATATGTCAGCTTTTCCCCTGACAGCTCGCACGCGCGCTTCGTGCCAAGGCTGACTGCAAACGACACGCGGTCTAAATAAAAGTTAAAACGATAACGTCTGCCGACTGTGGTTGGAAGGAGGGACGACAGGGCTGCCCTGGACACGTCATCATCGTCTTCGCGGGGCAGATGGTCATCATCCCCATCCCTCCCGGAACCTGGCGGTAGGGTCGGCACTAACGCCGCTAGCGCAGCCGCTGCACGCGGGGCGGCAAGACCAGGCGGGGGGGTCGAAGGTCGAAGGATGCACAGCTTAGGGGGCTTTTTAGGGGTGTGCGGAATCATGGTGAGGCTGCGGAAGAGGTCCGAGGCCTAGAACAGATCAGCACCTCGTTTCTCTGACGTCTCGCCATTCTCGCGCCACACTTTGCATACACAGTACGTCACTTCACGATGCTCATCGAGCCCACTCCTCCACATTTCACGGCACGTCCCGCACTTCCTCCAAGTCTAAGCGACCGCGTCCGACTCTGCCTTCTCCCTCTCGCTTAGTCCGACGGAACCAGCTCCTGCACTGCTTTGCCATTTGACTAAGACTGTGAGTAAAAGAGGTAATTGGTATTATTGCATCGCGCCATTCACCTTGACACCAAAACATCCCTGCTGCTTTTACTTCTTGTCATCCTCTTTGAAGCTGCCTTCGGCTGACTTCGCCCCCGAAAGCTTGGCTTCCTTCTCCCCGCCCTCACGCCCGTCTCTCCTTCGCGAGCTGGGCCCGCGCTTCCTCCGCGCAGGCTGGTAAACCTCGTTGAAGTTCATCACCATGGCCAGCCAGCGCATGTCCGCGTCAGGCTGATGGTACAGGTCGCCGAGCAGAATATTCACCCGTCCCTTGAACTCTCTGCTGAGCATGCCTAGCCTGTTGCGCAGCCCTTCGAGAATGTCGTCCTCGGACAAGGCGTTGCCGAGTAATAGTGGAGGCGCGAACGGAGAGTTGTCGTCGCCCGAACCGCGTAGATTCGCCGCCGCTGCCGCCGCTGTGGGCGAGCCATTTGCGGACTCCCTCTCGCTGATTCCCCATTCCCCGTTAGCTGTGCGTTCCGCAATCTTGCCTCCCTGGCGCCGCGCACATTCGGCCGTCGAGAACGAGTACAGCCCGTCGACAGCAGCCTTGTAAGCGAGCATGATCTTGAGGAGTTCATGCAGCTGCCCGGTGAAGTCCATGCGTTCGGAGCCGAGAAGGCCTTTGCGAGTGATGTTGGTGAGATATCGCGCGTGCGCATGGATCAGGTCGTCCAGCGTACTCTCGGGTTTTCGCATGCTGGCTTGTAGCTCGTTCCATGACGATTCGATCACCTCGAACAGGATGTAGTACTGCAGCTGGTTGATGAAGTGAATCATCTCAGCCACCGCGCAACGAGCTATCTTCCAGTCCTTGCCGACCTTGTCCTCAACCACCCCGAGAGAGTGACGCGACCCGGTCATGCACTGCCGCCATGTACTGCCGAGAGCGAATTCGACACGCTTAACGCGCCACAAGAAGTTGAAAACCTTGAGATATTGTTTGCTGCCATACGGTGTGACAATGACATCGACCGGCGCATCGATCTTGTACTCCAACGTGAAAACGTCCCACCCAATCTCTCCGTGACTGAGCTCGAGCATACGGGAGTCCAGTCTGCGGAGAACCTCGGGTGATTCGTACTGAGCGTTGGAGTTTCGTACCGCATGCTCAAGCTGAGCCGTCAGAGTGTGGCGGTACTGCGTGTTGGCAGGCTGGTCCAGGTTGGAAGAGAGAGACTCCATCAGAACGGCGATGAAGTCGCCGGCTCCAAGGAGGATGTACTTCTTCAACGCTTGTAGATGCTCGAACAGCTTGAACTTGTCGGCCATTAGGTGTATGAGACGGGCCATGATCGTCTTGTAAGCCTCCCCAATATTCCTCTCGAGCGCAGCGGTATCACCGTAACGGAGCTCCCGGGAGGAATCCTTGGAGTAGCTTTCTACCCAAGCCGCATCACCACAGCCATATCGAATGAAGTTGAGTGTTTTCCCAATGAGGAAGACCTTGCTTGCAAATTCCGACGAAACAATCGAGGGAATCATCTTCTCGTTCAGCTTGTATTTGTCTTCCCAAACGCTCGTTGCACCGCCTTTGCCGGCATTCTCATCATTAGGATCCTCGTGTTGTTCGGAGACGAAGAACTCGAGGAAAGGATCTGATAACTCTCCATCGTAAATCCATTGTCGTAGCTTGTCGTAGAAAGGTCGTGTCACATGAGCCAGGAGCCGCTCCGCAAAGGCAACCACAAACGGGTCACCGTGGGAAAGAGAAAAGGAATGGATTAAGGAAATGAGCTCTCCGCCTTTCTTGCCTACCCTTGTGTCAGCTCGGATGCCTTGTAAGGGGTAGAAAATGTGTCTGACCAGTTGATTCCTCCATAATCAAGCTCATGAGCCTCAAGCCCATGGTAGCTTCTCTCGTCCAGATGACACATCTTTTGAGAGTAACCCCGGCCTTTCCAATGCCCCGCCTTGGCTTCGAGTCGTCCAACATTGCCAGCGCCCGCCGGACCTGACCTTCGAGTTGACCGACCAGACCAAGGTATGCCCGAAGTTCAGTTGCCAGAGCTGAGCGCAAACTTTGCGTGACTAAACCGCCATCGGAAGACTCGACGAATTGCGAAAGCTTACGATATAAAAGTGACGGCTCCGCGAGGGTGTGAAGAAGGCTGACTACAGGGGCGGGAATAGTCGTGGGAAACTTGAGAGTGGAAGGGTTGGCAAACGCAAGGTTGGACGAGGAGAGGCCTTGTAGGGTAAAAGGCAGATCGCGTAGGAGATCTGGCTCCGACGGCTCGTATGCAGTGAGAGAGGTATGTTTCTTGAGCACCGGCGTCTCAGGCACAGGTTCCTCCTCTCGTCTCGCGTCTCTTGTCCTTTTATCGGCCGTTTTTGGTCTGTCGGCAGTCTTGGGCCTGTCCTGAAGCGCTGCCTTGGCCGCTTCCATGCTCTCGATAGGCGGAAGTCGTGAAAGGCCTGCATTGGCAAAGGCCTCATTGAATGTTGGATTATCCGCGTACTGGGCTTCTCCGTAATCTCTTGCGAAGCGAGAGGGCGACGTAGGGTCAAGATTGGCCAGCGACTGGAAGTTGGCGGCATGTTCGGGAGAGCGGAGCGGAGAGCGGGGCGGAGAGCGGACGCCAGGCGGCAGGATGGGAAGGTCGGAGTCGGAGAGCTGGAAGAGGAAGTAAAGCATTTCCCATTTTCGTTTCAGGACAGGCTGCGTGAGCAGTCTCGAGTAGAGGTTGGTGAAGCGCAAGGCCTTCTCGGGCGAGGTGTTCTCGCGCACCACTGCAGTTGTGTAAGCTAGGAACCGGGGGCAGTGAGGGCGGACATGGCGTACGTTTCTTCTTGATGAGGTCGGCAGCATGGTTGACGTCGGAGGAGACGCCGGGCTCTCCGGCGCTGCACGGCAATTAGCTTTGGTCGCAGCGGAAGCAGTGAGTCTTGCCTGTCGAAAGCGTCCAGGGCATAGTTGAAGGCGTTGTCGAAACGCTGGTCGGCCGTGTCTTCATCTTCGTCGGGATACTGGGGGAGCAGGTGATCAAGGAGCTTCGATAGCGCGTGCTCGACGCGCTCTTCGGTGGATTGCGGCATTGGTGGAGAGTGGGCTCATCGCTGCGCAGGACTGCGACTGGGGTGGACGCGTTGGGTTGCGGCGGAGACGCGATGTTTGCGCCCGCCCCAGGCAGCCGGTCTTTCCCCATCCGACGCCCGCCCTGTGCCACCCCGGTGCACCTCCACTCAACACATCACCTTGCATCTCCAGCTAACCCCACGGCTGTTTCGGACAAGCAGAGCCAGCCAGCTGCTCACGGCATGCCTGAGCAGCTTGGTAGACCAGCGAGCCGCCATGTCTAGTATGTCTCAGGCCGAAGCATCAGTAGTCATGAATGCACGAGCACGCACTGGAGACTCGGCAGCTCGGCCGGAAGGCGGCTGGGCAATCCAATGGGCTGGGCAATTTCCTTCACGGCGAGGCGGCGCTAAGCTCTAACGCCTGCCGCCCGACTAGCCGTGTCGGGGAATGGCGGCCGGCTTAGCCAGCGCGATAAGCTGGCTGCATGAAACAAGTGGAAGCGGCGATAGAGCCCAGACGAGCCGTGAAGCTATGATGCCTCTGCCTTGGAAGTGTAGCTCCATTCACAAAATCCGCGCGTCCTGCCGCTGCTTTTTCTTGCCCGCCCCTTCCTGCCTCTCTCCCCCGTTCCTGCCGCGCTTCGTTTGCCGCTGCTCTCTCTTTGTTCGTCTCGCGGCTTATAACAACAATATCCTTTGCCTGCCGCAGCCAGCTTTCGTTCCGACTTTCCGACACACTCGCTCCCGACCCGCACGCAACTATGCAGCTCTTCGTCGGCGGCCTGCTCGCCGCCTTGGCCGCCTCTGCCAATGCAATCGCTACCATTTCTGTCAAGGGCGCCAAGTTCTTCACCAGCGACGGCGACCAGTTCTACGTCAAGGGTGCGTGCATGCCCCCCCTGTCACGCCATGTCCCACATGTTAAAGCCCTCTGCAGGTGTTGCTTACCAGCTCGTTCCCACCGACCCTTTGACCAACTCGACCCAATGCAAGCTCGACGCGGACCTTATGGAGGATCTGGGCGCCAATTCGATCCGCGTCTACCACGTCGACCCCACGGGCGACCACGATGAATGCATGAGCATTTTCGAGGACAAGGGAATCTACCTCTGGCTCGATCTCGACACCTTCGACACGCAGATTGAGCAGACGGATCCTCGCTGGAACCAGACTCAGCTCTCTGCTTTCGAGAAGGTCATGGATGAGTTCCAGCAGTATGACAACACTGCTGGCTTCTTCGTCGGCAACGAGGTCCTGACCACGGGCAATGGCTCCGTCGCTGCTCCTTATGTCAAGGAGGCTGCCCGCGACCTCAAGGCCTACCGGGACAGCAAGAACTACCGCGACATTCCTGTTGGCTACTCTGCCGCCGACATTGCCTCTCTCCGCCCCTTGCTCCAAAACTATCTTGCCTGCAGCAGCAATGCCTCGGAGAACATTGACTTCTATGCCCTGAATGCCTACGAGTGGTGCGGCGACTCTACTTACACTCTGTCTGGCTACTCGGAGCTCCAGAAGAACGCCTCGGACTACAACATTCCCATCTTCTTCTCCGAGACTGGCTGCAACACGGTCAAGCCGCGTACCTGGTCCGACCAGGCGGCAATCTTCGGAAAAAGCATGGCTGACACTTGGAGCGGCTCCATCGTCTACGAGTGGATCGAGGAGGCTAACGACTACGGAATCGTCAACTACGGCGCTAAGGTCGACGCTACTGCATCTGGCGCCCCGCCGGACGGCTACCCGCGCTCTGGCACCCCAACCCCCGTCAGCCCCGACTTTTCCAACCTGAAAAAGCAATGGGCCACTCTCACGCCCACTGGCGTCAAGGAATCCGCCTACTCTCCCAGCCTGACGGCACCTGCGTGCCCGAGCTACACGGCCGGTGTCTGGGAGGTCAACGGCGATGTTTCGCTCCCCACCCTCGGCCAAACGTACAACTCGGCCGTCCAAAGCAGTATCACTGCAGGTACTGCGGCGACTGCTACCGGAACCGCTGCCTCTGCCAGTGCCACGTCGACCGGCGCCGCCAGCCCTGCCAGAGAGGTGAGGGGCATGGGCGTCGGTCTTGCTGGTGTTCTTGCAGGCGCTGTTTTCTGGTTGTAGATTATCATGTATTTTAGCTGTTGTTTCTTGCCCCAATACTGTGGGCTAATGACGGGCGCTACGGGCTGCAACGGGTGCGCTCATGGACTAATGAATGAGGATACCACGCGTACAGATGCATGTTTATAGCCTTGGCCTGTTTTCCGGTGTACGGGGCATACAAATAGAAGGCCTGTTGATTGTATATTCACGGTGGAGCAAACAGGGCAATGGAATGAATAGTTTACTACCTTACTCGGAACATGTGTCTCGTTCAAAGCTGCGCGTCGGCTACGTGGCGAACCTAAAGTGCGGATGGTCGTCACCCAGGTTGTCCCTGTCCTTCTCATCGTCCAAGCGGTAGTCCCTCTCGCCGCGGTCCCTCTTGGCGTTCTCGCGGCGCACGCCGAAGAACAGAAGGGTGCACATGGCGGCGCACAGCCACAGCAGGCCCAACGAGGTGCCGTAGCCGGTGCGGTAGCGCGGGGCCTCGGAGGCGATGTAGATGTTGGACGCGACGATGCCGCCGCAGTTGCCGAAGCCGACCTGCATGGCGGCGGCGACGGAGCGCTTGTAGTGGCCGCTCATGCAGTTGGAGACCCAGGTGAGGGTGACGGGCTGCGTGATGTAGCCGCCCGCGACGACGACGAAGAGGGCGAAGTACTCGACGCCGGGCGCGAGGCGCTCCCGGCACAGCAGCAGGACGTAGCCGACGGAGGCGACGGCGACGCCGAGCAGGCAGAAGCCGTAGCGGTGCCGCAGCCGGTCGGTGCACACGGCCACGGCGAGGGCGACGGCGGTGGCGACGACGAAGATGGGGATGGAGAGGACCTGCGCGCGCGAGCTGGTGTAGCCCATCTCCTTGATGATGGTCGGGATGAAGAAGGAGGTCGAGTAGCTGTTTTTGTTCTTGATCAGTCACACGGGCTGCCCTCTTATATGAAATGCTTCGAGGGTGTTTTCGATATTGTCGTCTCATCACTCACCCGTTGTTGACGATGCCGAAGTACATGACGACGGCGACGTACATCTTCCAGTCGCCGAAGCTGCGCTTCAGGGCGTTCTTGTCCAGCCGGTCCATGCGGCATTCGCCCTGGTCATCGGCGAGGCGCACTGTCAGGATGGCGCGCTCCTCGTCGTTCAGGAAGCCGGCCGTTTCGGGCCAGTCGGGCACCCACCATTTGGAAATGGCGCCGATGGCGACGGTCGCGAGGCCTTCGATGATGAAGATCCTGGGAGCACTGCGTGAGAGGGGAAAGAGGGGGGGGGGGGTTTTCTCCGCGTCACTTACCATCGCCAGCCTGAGTATCCACCGACGCCGTCCATCTTTGCCAGAGCGTAGGCGAGAAGCTGAGAGACTATTTTTCAGCATCGTGCGAGCCCGGGAACCGAAAAGGAGAATTCGCATACTCCACCGAACCCTCCGGCCAAGATGCTGGCGGAGAAGAAGAGCGAAAGGCGCCACTGGAGTTCGTATCGCTTGTAGTACATGCCCAGCATGTACACACAGCCTGCGTCCGGGAGGGTCAGCGGGCGGATGCAGGCGCGGGCGGAGGAGGCATTACCGGGGAAGAGGCCGGCCTCGAAGAGCCCGACGAGGACGCGCATGGCGACCAAGCCGCCGAAACTGCTGACCAGGCCCTGGCCCATGGTGCAGATTCCCCACAGCGCCATGATCAAGCTCAACCAGGTGGACGGCGCGACTCGCTTCAGGATCAGGTTGGACGGGATTTCGAAGAGGATGTACGGCACGAAGAACACGAGCAGCGCGACGTTGTAGTCGTTGCCCGTCATGCCCAGCTCTTCCGTCAGGCCTTGGATCCTCGCATTGCCTGGACGAGCATGCTCGAACGTCAGCCATCAGCCGCGTACCCTCGTCTCACTCTGTGCTGACCGATGTTTGTCCTGTCGAGGAAAGCTAGTAGGAACAGAATCGTCAACGGAGGAACTACGCGATAGTCGCATTTGCGGATGATTCTCTTTTCGGCAGCCGGGTCGATATCGATGCGCGTGTCACTGCCAGTACTGCTGCCATCATCGAGGCCGATCTTTTCGACATGCTGTGCTTCTGGCTTTTCGGGCGTCGCTATCACGTCCATGGTCGCTCGGGACGGGGGCATGAGAAAAAGGTGGTGTGCCAAAGCCCTGGAGGTTGAAGAGAGGGCGATGGGGAGGTGTGGACAGTTCAAAAGCCCAGAGCATGCAGCACGACATTCCAATCATTGTTGCTGTTGGGGCTGCCGGAGCTTTTAAATGCAAGCAGAAGTGCAGCCCGCGTGATGCCAGCACCCGGCTTTGCGACCGAGCGACTTGTGCCTTGGGTGGACTGGGCAAATCCGGGGTCCCCGCAGTGCTTGGCAGACGAATCATCATGCTGTGTGGGGGACGCTAAACGATATCCATATCTTTAGGGAGGGAGGGGCGAGCTTCCGCACTGGAGCGACGAGGGACGGAAAGATCCCGCGCTGTCTTCCCCACATGCGATGGCTGCTCATGCTGGGGGGTGTTGGGGTATTCAGTGACAACATGCCGGCCACCTCGTGGAACTGATTCTTCAAATCAGCACATCATATCGTGCGTTGCCGGTTTAAAAGATGCGGAACCATCCCGATGGCTCGTTTTGGGCCTGGTTTATCCGGATGTTCGGTCACTTTCAAACAGAGGAGGCGTTTGTGGCTGACGACATTTGGCCTGCGTGGCTGGTCTAAAAGGGGTGGCCCTGAGCACTCAACGTTAGCACGACGATCTCTGTTCGTGCTTCTCCTAAATTCCGCATGCCTGTACATACCCTCGGCAGTCACTTTTCGCCCACAGCGCCGAGGAGCGCCAACCTTCTGCAAGCCAAGGCCCGCCAACACGTCAATACCAAGAAATAAGACATGGTAGGGGATAAATTTTAGGTGTTGTTGGTGCGACTCTTCCGTTTGAAGTCCTCGCGTGTGTTGCCGACATAACCAGTACCAACAGCTACTGCCCGCGAGGTTTGGAGTCCCTTTCCTCTGCATGTGATCCAAGCAGGGAACGCCTTAAGAGAAATCCAATCTTTGCATGCAGATGAAGACATTGTCCAGACACGCATGCCTAATTCTTAGTTGAGAACCGGGTCGACGCCCTGCTATCTTACTGATGACGCTGAAGCCAAGGCTACGAGCAGCATCGAATCCCACGCTTAACACTACAGTTATTCTCAGATCAGTTGCAATCCTCACTTGTGTCTACTGTCTTCTACTTACGCAAAGGTTGGGGCAACTCAAGTCATCGCAACATTGCGGACAGTGTGTCATACATTTGGCCGGCTGGGCAGGAGTGGTGAGTAACTGATTCAATTCCTAGCAACCTCGGGGCCTGAAACTTACACACTGTTTTATGCCATTAGTCTTGTGATGATATTATCAGCACGTCACCGGTAGGTGCACGTCGTCGAAACTTACAGACTAAGCGGACAAGTCATTGGCATGTTTGAGGAATCACAAAACTGATGCAACTTACGCGTCGGAGCAACATATTCCACCGATTGATCCCGCGTTCAATATCTGGAGGCGCAGCGGCCGTCAATCCCATGAATATTATGACGGAAAGAACGATAACAAGACGCATGGCTATAATCAAGATCGAGAAGTAAACCTCTAATTGGGAGATAGAACAGAGGGGTTTATATGCGAGTACCAGCAGTGCCGAGTACCAAAAACGAATGGACAGTGCTGGAGATCGTACACTGTTAAACAGTTTCGGGCCTTCGCACGAGATTTGACCCCCAGGAAGATGAGGTACACAGCGTGGGCGCTAACGGCTGACGTGGAACTTTTGTGTATCTGTCGGAGATTGATTAACATGCCGGTGGTGCCCAACGCTTCGATCAAGCCGAAGCATGGCACAGCACGGGAAACGAGTTCCAAGAGTGACTTCCTTGTGTGAGGCCAAGGTTCTACTGAAGTGAATAACCGGTGTATTGATGTAGAAGGTGTCCGGGTAATGTTTCCGTCCATGGTGCTGCATGATGCAGGCCCGCCCGCCGAGAGCATGTCACCTATGCATGGCTGATGATGACACAACGTTCGTGAAGCGATGCACGAAAGGGGCTAGGCATCCATGCAATGGCTGCAAGAAGAAGCGCACGGCCGTGGATAGCGTTAATGAGTAAGAACAAGGCTAACATCCATGAACTCGTCACATTGGACGAGTGAAGCCGCAGTGTCTTTTTCCCTCTAAAGTAAGCATGGCGTGGAGTATATTCCAGGCTCATCTGAGTAGCCAAGCTTCGTAGAGGAGCCGACAACCAACACTGTCAAGTTACACGCCAGTCCACAGCGACTAGCCATTTCTCTCCATGCTGGCCAACCTCGATCTCCCAGCTGGGAGGAAGCACGGTTACATCATCACCAATGTTTGGGCTCCGCGAGTTACGTTTTGCCGGACCAACAAGAATCGCGCGCGTGCCAGAGCTCTCTTCGCCCTGAGCCAGAGAATGAGTGTCCGTCTGGTCGGAAACAAGCTTCAGGCGATCGCCCGGTCCCTCTCCAACACACTCAGCGACGTGAAGCTTAGAGGGCTGATTAGGCCGCCGTCTTGACTGGCTGCTTGCTGTTTCGGCCAAGGAGCCTGATTGTCCGACATTCAAAACCCAAGTACGCACCACGTCAGCCATGCCGCCTGGCAGAAATTTCTGAGATCTACGATGTGGTGAAAAGTGTTCTGGCAACGGGGTAATGGCGGCATCGAAAGCCACTCCTGGGGCCCCTGGCGTGGTCGGATGCAGCAGAAATGGATTGCGGTGCCGAGAGCCTACAGGTTGGCTTGGAGCGAACTCTGTGGGGACGGTAGTTGGGACTGCAGCATTATTGCCGGGAACACGAAAACGAGGGACTTTGCTGCTCTGAGGCGGGCTTCTAAGGACCGGGGCGCCTGCGCCCATCTTCACTGGATCCATCGTCCTTGTAGACGTGCTGGGTTCTGGTGTCAAGCCTGAACCCGGCGTGAGACGACGGCGTTTTAACGGCTGGTCTTCCGTGCTTCCAGAATCCCCAAGCGGGACGTCTGAGAATTGTGCGCTCTGCTCCTCCTGGGCGCGAGTTGGGTACTCGTCAGGGTCCTCAACCAAAAATGCATCGTCTTCGGTGATGACGTCGTATAGCATTTCCTCATCTTGTTCTTCAAGGGCATCCTGGGAATCATCATGGATGCTCTCCACCTTGGTGAGCCTATGGCGCGGACGTCGGGAAGCACTGGGGGTCTCTACGCCATCGGCAATGTCCTCTGTGCGCGTTGCATGCGAGAGTCCACTTGGGTGCGTGGGTCGTGGGGTCGGAGGAAAACTCGGACGAGCAGGAGCGATTGAGAATCGAGGAGTGGGTTTAAACTGTTGCGAGGGCGTCACAGCATCCTGCTGGGCGGGAGCATCAGCTCGCGGGTGCGGCGATGCGACGGACAATCGAGAGGTGGCTTGCGGTGGAGCGACGAAACGATGCGCCGAGGGCGTCTATGTTATCAGAAACCCTGAATGCTGGGGGGCGGGAGAGGCAAACGTACGACGGGTGGAGGTGGAGGCATGGGTGGAGATGGCGCGTCGGAACTCTGAGCGCGTCGCAGTGAGACGCGTTCTTGTTCTCCGTGACGTCACGGCTCGTTCTTCTGCATGGAACGGCGCTACCGCCATTTGTAACCATTCCCTCTCGTGCCCCCAAGCATCCTGGGACGAAATTCAATGGTTCATAGTTGACAAAGTCAACATCATTCATACCGCTGGACGCTCCACTGCCTATACAAAGCCCGCACGGCCATAGATTGTTTTCGAGCTGGATTCGTGAAGGGTGTATTCTCATTGCATTAGATCCTACATCGTAACGAACATCTCAACCTCAGACACGCTAGCTTGTTTACACATCCAGGTGATCGTCCCACCATTTCCCTGATCCATGCATATATTCCCGCTTAAGCGTTTAGAGGAGAGCGAGGCCAGCTCCAACAACACCAATGGCAGCAAACATGTCTTGCGCACGCGCTGCGCCTCCAGCCGCAGTGACCTGGAGCGGACCGGTAGTCGTGGCGGTCGCACTTCCGGTCGCACTTCCGGTCGCACTTCTGGTACTGGAGAGATTGGAGCGGGTGCTGCTGGTGGTCGTGGTGGGGCCACTTGTCAGGTCAAACAGGGACGAAGTGGCACCGGAAGCGAAAGAGCTCGCGGATCTAGACGCGCTTCCAAAAGCGGTAGAGGTTGGAGCGCTATCCGAAGGGTTGGGGGTCGTTGCAACGGCACCCTGCTCTATAGTCAGCATCATACGCCCTCGGACTGCTTCACTCGAGCAAGGTAAACTTACGTATTGCGAACAGCAATCGGCACCGCCAGTGCAACTGCTTCCATCGGTGCAGCAGACCTCGCCGAGAGAAGGACGGTAGCAGTAGTTGGTGGGATAGAAGCCCCAGCACCAATGATAGTCGTCGCCGCCGCGTTGGCAGCACTCTTCGCCAGAATCGGAGGCGGAGCAGTCCCACTCGTCGTCGCCAGAGTCAGAAGACGTTGCAGTAGCGCTCGCAACAGCAGATGTGGCGGACGCAGTAAAGTCGGACGTGGTTTCAGTCGGCGTGTCGTCCTCAGGACTACCGGTTTCACCAGGGCCATCTGTGCAGCAGCTGGAGTCCGGACCAATGCAATAACCTACGGACCAAATGCGTTAATGTAGAAAAATGGCGGTGCCGAAGGCAGGGAATCTCACTTCCATCGGAACAGCATTGCTCGCCAGCGTCAGGGTTGAAACAGGAGTCGCCAGCACAGACGATGTTGCCGGCGCCAAAGCAACTGGCGCAGCTGAGGCCGGTGCATGAATCGAAGCTCTGCCTCGCAAGCAGCAAGGCTACGTTTGGATCTACCTTGACCTTCTTCCACTCCGCGGCCGCGACAAGAGAAGAAGATGCTGCGAAGCAGACAACAAAGGAGGTGGTGAAGCGCATCGTGCAGATATGCGAGGCGAAAATGAGATGGGTATCAAAGAGGTATGAAGAACGACTGACTGCTCGAGCGGACGACAGGCAACGAGGAGCGTGCACAACCGTTATCGAGGGACCAACCCAGCCTTAAATGAAAGAGCCCGCAGGCTCCGGTCAACTCAAGAGGGGGGAAACAGCCTCAATCTCTTGGCAGCTGATTGACAAGTCACTCCCCGCCGGCGGACTCCTTCACGGACTGGTCACAACGCCAAGTCTTTTCTGATTGCTGCCTGTCAGCCACAGTCCACACTCCCATCCGCCGAGGCGGTCTGCGGGCATCCACAAATTACCCCTGGTCGAACGCCGTTGGCTAAGCGAGCTGCAAGCGTGGGTGCCGCATAGGGAAAGTTTTACATTCTTATTGGCGACGGGGCTATTTTTAACCCGGGAGTGCTGTCCAAGGACAAGCGGCCCACGCAGCTGGTGGTGAATGGGGCGCAAAGGGCGTTATAGCGGGTCGCACAACGCAGCTCGGGTGAAGGGTCTGCATGGAGCCAAGATATGCTTACTGAGTTTATGGTTAAGGTGATCAACTGGGCTAAACTGGGTTCGGCGAGCGAAAGCGAAAGTGGTGCCGCGGCAGGAGCGTGGTCGAGACACACCGGTCCGGCTGAAGAGGGCGAGGCGCTTGTTAGCGAGACTCTGCGTGCTGGGGGAGGGACCGTCACAAGCTGTTGTTGCAGTTCATGGTGGCGGGTTTTCCAGGTGCACTGTTAGTTCTTGACCTGTCCAGGTGCTGTCACGGCTTCGTCGACGTGGTTTCTTTGCATGAAAATTGAATGAGCAGTTGGGGGGACACAGAGAACCCCGTGGGAAATGAAGAAAGGGTTTCTGCCGCTTTGCCCGTAGTAGTGCGGGATAATGGGCTCAGCCGCACAGAGAGAACTAGTCGAAGTCTTGACAGACACAAGACGACCGTGCCAAGCACCAGTGGTTGAGCTTCCTGGCTCGTATTCCGAGACGGGGTCCTGGGCGGAGCGCGGAGCGGAATGGGTCATCTGTTTTGACTGGCTTGTTGGGTGCACAGCAGACGTGGCGGTCGCGCAGCTGAATCCTTCGAATGCCCCAGCCGGACGCCAGGCGGGGCGGGTAAAGGTGGGGGCCAAAGGGCATATTGCTTGGGGGAAGCTAAGGATCGGGGGCCGACTTTGTCCATGTGAAAGGAAGGCGGCGGATGCTCGAGAGAGCTAGACGTGAATGGTTCAGTGCATGCTGTAGATCAGCGATGTCCAGTTGCTGTCGGTAGGCAGAGAGAGCTGCGAGGTGTGATTGGACGAAAACTATCACGAGATCCCCAAAATGGTAAACGGCTGGTTTCACCGAGGCTTTCGAGGCCGAACGCGAACGGGACAGATGAAATGGACGTCTCAGGGAGATGCGGGCGTCCAGATGGAACAGGAGCCAACCAGGAAGCATGCAAAGGTGGTGTGTTTTGAGCGAGTTGCTGGCAAATGGCAATAAAGGCGCGACGACCTAGGTTAGTAAGGGTTTCTGCTGTGATCGCTCTTTAGCTCGTGGCCAGACGTCATCGCAGGCCATGGAGCAGCGCGGCCAGTAGCAAAAATGTCGCACAAGCCGGTTTCCAGCGCGATATAAGGGATTGAAGCCGCCGCCTCGTGCGCAGTCCTGCAACCTCACTGCCACCGTTTTCCCCAAACGCTCTGCGACGGCCCGGTCTGCTGAATCAAGTGTCCTTGACGTCACCGGAAGTCGCCGGTCAATCAATATGGACCAAGCCACGAACAGCCCGGCCAGGTGCCGCGAGTTTGACGCGAAGCTCGAGCGGATCTCCGACCAAAGGTATGCAGCCGCCCCGTCTTGACTCCCGAGCGAGGACCGCGACGGTTGGGCGCCAGGCTGAACGACGGCACACAGCAAGTGCGGGGAGATGGCCAAGGCCGGCTTTGTCGGCGACGGACACGTCCACTTCAAGGGCGAGACGCCGGGGCCCAGCAAAGACGCGGCGCCGGTTGAGGCTTCGCACATGGCGCAGAGCGGAAGCGGAAAAGTGGGCGGGCTCCCGGGGTGAAGGCGAGCGTGGCGAGGTGGGTGGGCAGGTTGGCAGTGCAGGCGCCCCGCTGCCGACGAACAGCCGGCTAGCCAACAGAGCGGGGCAGGCACCGGGGCTCGGGACCGGGGTCGCGGCGGATCAGGGCGCGACGAGGCCCAAGGCGCGGAGAAGGAGCTCCAGCGGTCACGATGCAGATTCGGCGCAGCCCAGCGTTTGTGTTTCTCTGCCACTTGTTGCTTGTCGTTCGCGTGCCACATCGCTATACAGACTCTGATCTCTGCGCGTCGAGCGTCGACCTTCCTGCCTTTCTGCCTTGCTTGAATTCCTGCCAAAGTGGGATGCAGTCGGGCAGTGCGCCTGCCGTGCGCCTGCCGTGCGCGACTCGCAGCCGCAGCCGAAGCCGAAGCCGGGAGTCATGGACTGCCGTGCGAATCACGCCAAATGTCACCACCCCCACGCACCACCAAGCCTTCCGCCTCTCCACCTGCGTCTGCCCAGCACACCGTGCTCCGCTGTTTTCTCCGGCCTGTTCGGCAAAGCGCGTCAACACCGCAAGAGCCGCGAGCCGTGCCCACCTCCCGCCGGCTGTGACCTCCTTCTCGTCGCCATGTCCGCATTCCCCGGCGTTCTCCCGCATCGTGCGTTGACTCCCGCCGTTGCAGTCGGGCCTACCCCGGCTGATGTCTCCATGCTCGAGAGAAACGGGCCATCCTGCCAAGCCCTGCGTCGGCACCATGTCGTGAGAACATATGTCCGGACGGCTGATCATCAGTCCGCTATAAATTAACGATGCCACTGCCTCCGCCTCATTGAGTGCCCCAAGGGAAGCCCGCCAACTCCAGCTTCTCCCAAGCCCAACGACGCACCATGAGGTCTGCCACCTACGCCGTCGCCTCGGTCCTGGCCGCTGCTGCCCCAGCATGCGCCGCCGAGAACTACACCTGGGCCAACCAGCCCTCCGAGCTCCAGTTCTACGGCCAGAGCCCGCCGGTGTACCCATCCCGTATGTGCCACGCCTTCCCCATGCATTATCAAGCTGATTTCCTTCGCAGCTCAGGGAACTGGCAACACTTCCACGGCCTGGGCCACGGCCTACGAAAAGGCACGTGCTCTTGTTGCGCAGTTGACGCTGGACGAGAAGTCCAACCTCACTCGCGGCTACACTGGAAACTGCGTCGGCAACACCGGTGCAATTCCCCGCCTAGGCATCGAGCCTATCTGCTTCGCCGATGCCCCTGACGGCATTCGCGGAACCGACTTCGTCTCTGCTTTCCCTTCGCAACTGCATCTTGCCGCCACCTGGGACAGGGACCTCATGTATGCTTACGGCAAGGCTATTGGCCAAGAGTACCATGACAAGGGCATCAATGTTGCCCTTGGTCCGGTTGCCGGTCCCCTTGGAAGAATTGCCAGGGGCGGCCGTAACTGGGAGGGCCTCAGCAACGACCCCTACCTAGCTGGCATCGGCATGCATCAGGTCACCAAAGCCATGCAGGATGCCGGCGTCATTGCCGTTGCAAAGGTAAGTCTCGGGTTGCTCTCAATACCCACCATTTTCTAATCCATCATCATAGCATTTTCTGCTGAATGAGCAAGAGTACCGCCGTATGCCAAACCAATCTCACACCATGCCATCCAACGGCAACTCTGCTGCAGAGCCTGAGGGACATGCCATCTCCTCCAATGTGGATGACAAGACTTTGCACGAGCTCTATGCCTGGCCTTTCTATGATGCTTTGAAGGCTGGTGCTGCATCTATCATGTGCTCCTATCAGCGCGCGAATAACTCGTACGCCTGCCAAAACTCCAAGCTGCTGAATGGAATCCTCAAGACCGAGATGGGCTTCGAGGGTTTCGTGGTCAGCGACTGGCAAGCCCAGCATACTGGAATTGCGTCGGCAAATGCTGGTCTTGATGTGGTCATGCCTGACGGAGGCTACTGGGGCGCAAACCTTACCGAGGCTGTCAACAACGGTTCCGTCACTGCCGACCGTCTGGAGGACATGGCCACCCGTGTCCTGGCTGCTTGGTATCTTCTTGGTCAGGATGAGGACTTCCCTGAAGTTGGCGTCTACCCCGACACCGTTCAGCATCCGATTGTCGATGTTCGTGGCGAGCACGACAAGGTCATTCGTGAGGTCGGGACTGCAGGCCATATTCTCGTCAAGAACGTGAACAACACTCTGCCGCTCGAGAGTCCCAAATTTGTTGCCATCTACGGTTATGACGCCGAGGTCAAGGCTGTGCCGTGGGAGAACGTCGCTCGCTACGGTGGCGGCTACGAGGTAAATTACGGTTGGAACACGTTCAACGGCACTCTCATCACTGGTGGTGGCTCTGGCGGCGCTTCCCCGCCATACGTGATTTCCCCTTTCAAGGCCATTCAGGATCGCGTCATCCAGGATCATGGGATGCTGCGCTGGAACTTTTGGGATGTCAACCCTCATGTCTCTGCAACTGCCCAGGTATGCCTCGTGTTTATCAACGCCTACGCCTCCGAGTCCTTCGACCGCCCGTCTCTCACGGATGAGTTCAGCGACAATCTCGTTAACAACGTGGCTACGAACTGTTCAAACACGGTTGTCATTGTTCATTCTGCCGGCGTTCGCGTTGTGGATTCCTGGATCGAACATGAGAACGTCACGGCTGTCGTTTTTGCCGGCCTCCCTGGCCAGGAGAGCGGCCACAGCCTTGTCGATATCCTCTATGGGAACGTTAGCCCGAGCGGCAAGCTCACTTACACTGTCGCGAAGAAGGAAGAGGATTACGGCCATCTCCTGAACCACACCGTGGACGAGAGCTGGTTCCCGCAGTCGGACTTTACCGAAGGTGTCTATATTGACTACAGGGCTTTCGACAAGGACGGGATCGAGCCGCGGTTCGAGTTTGGCTTTGGTCTTTCCTACTCGGACTTTGAGTACTCCAATGTCGAGGTCAACGCTCTTGACGGCAACACGGATGCTTTCCCGCCCGAGGCTGCCGTCGTCCAGGGAGGTCACCCTGCTCTCTGGGACGTTCTATTCAACGTCACCGCCGAAGTCGAGAACATCGGAAATTTCACTGCGCACGAGGTCGTGCAGCTGTACGTCGGCATCCCGAATAGCCCCGTGCGTCAGCTCCGTGGCTTCGACCGTGTGGCGACGGAGCCCGGCCAGAAGGTCACGGTAACCTTCCCGCTGACGCGCAGGGATCTCAGCGTTTGGAGCGTCCAGGCTCAACAGTGGGAGCTGCAGTCTGGCGAGTACCCCGTCTGGGTGGGGGCTAGCAGTAGGGATCTGAGGCTGAATGCCACTCTGACGATCTAGAAAATGTACGATCAAGGCGATGAAAAAGATGATGCGGAATAATGGCCATGAGCGTATAATTGCAAACAGGTAGACGAGTATTAATGAGATAATATTGCGATTCACATTCAACATTTCCACCAATTCCTCGTGTTCGGCTAACATTCAATACAATCAATTCTGGATGTTGTATGGGCGGTGAAGAGGCACGGCGTGGGTCGACCGATGCTCCTCTCACGGGAGGTACGTGCAAGGCAGAGCGACGTGTTCGGTTCCTCATCTCTGTACAACATTGGGCCGGAATCGGCTGGCACACGAAAGCCCAACTCGTGGAAAAGGATGCGAGGCTTGCATGAGTGCTGACTGCGCCTGAACGAAGACCAAGCCCCGGCATCGAGAAAGGCCTTGTTCCTGCATGCAGTCGGAGTGCCTGGCCGCGTGTTGGATACTATTATTGGCGGGCTGGAGAGGGCGCCTGTCAGCAGGGTCGGTTACACGGCTGGGCTGCAGATGGCTCGAACAAAGGGGTTCGGCGCTCGTTGATATGTCGAGAGGCATCCGATGATTGCTCAGAGCCCCCGCGGTCCGACCCGCCGTTGCCCGAAGCGGAAGTACAGCCCGTATGTGGCGTATCTTTCTGTGAAACCCTCAGTCGCCACAGTCGAAAGACACGTCGGGCTGCCTCAGGCTCGGGCTGCTCTTGGCCACGGCCTGCCAATCGGCTGCTCTTCCCCGGCCCAGGCGGACACGTCCCGATCGCCGAGCTCGCAAATCCTGACGCCTTTCCCGGCCCACCATGGGCTGCGCCTGCGCCCCTCCCCCGAGGCGCCAGTTCGTGAGGCGGTCGGAGGAGATTGGCACAGTCCGCCTCACGCTCGTCTCCGGCACAGTGGAGCAGCAGCTCTCGGGACGCGACATCCGGTCCAGGAACCTCCCTTCGGATGCGGTTCCCAGCCAATTGCCATGGCTTGGCTTGAGTCCCCTTTGACAGACAATCTCAAAAGCAGTAAGATCGACGCAAAGAGCCGCCATGCTTCATGTTCTGCTGCCCTAACCCCCCAGCATACTAAAGATTAGAGTCGAGAAAGACCGCAATGCTGCCCCACAAGACCCCAGTATAGAGCAAGCGAGTGTCAGTGAGGCCTAAAGCGCAGCTTGAGGTGTGCTTTGGCGCCTGGAGAAGTCCGCAGCTGCCAGCAGACATCGCAGTCGGTGGGCAGTCCACAGCCTGTTGACTTGTAGTCATAAACTCTGCGAGCATCTGCAGTTTTCACGTACGACCACAGGTCGCAGAATATAGGGCTTCCCGTCCGCTCAGCCGTACTCAAGCTGCGAACCGGCCGATTAGTACTCAAGTGGGTGACCATTGGGGAATCCCGGCTGTTGTACGCTTTTGCTTTTTTGGTGTTGAGAACGCACCGGCCCCTTTTTGCCACGAGCGACCCCCGTCAGCCGAAACCCAGATCGACGACATGATTCCAGGGCACCATCATGCAGCATCGGAGGCCACGAATCAGGCCCGGGGCGAGTGCTGTTTTGGTACCTTGTCCGTCATGTGTGATGATGCGTGGGCGCCACCATAGCCGTCCTTGATACCTGACTGTGGAATCAGGCAGAAATCTCAACCGTGACCTTGCATTCCACTAGGGTACTGTCGTTTCACAACATGCGTCGCCATATCGGCAATCCGCACGGAATGGAGACAGAGGCCGGCTCTAGACCGCTCAGCCAAGATCGTCTATGCAGGAATAGCCCCAAATAATATATACCCGGATATTCGACCGTCCAATCTGATCCCGTGCAACGCACCATTCGTCGGCATTAATGAGTCGGGCGACAGAACAAGACTTATGTTAGTGAGCGGTACCATTTCTAGCAATTCGCTATATCACATTGATGAGTTCAATAGGACCAAAGGTATTTGGAGCCACTGACACTGGGACTTCGATTTGGTAGCATTGTTACTCCAGAAAACAGCTTTACTAGGACTAGGGACACTTGTAAGCAATAATGCGAAGCCTATTCACAGGCATGACCCAGAAGCCGACAGAAACGCTGAACCCACTGGATGTCCACGGTCTTGAGTAAGTAGCACTAGCGTGCGTCGGCACGCCTTGTCCCAATCCTGCCCTGCTGCCAGCTCAGCTCAATGCCCCTCTTCAACCCAGACCATGGTGTTTATTTCCGCATTTTCTTCAGTTATCTAGTCGATATCGCGCACCGCTGAGCTTTTTGTAGTGTAGGCACGTTTATTCCGGGCTAAGTGTTGGATTCAAGGCGGCATTCAAAGGTGTCCCGAGGATTTCGAAGCCATCATAGTCAGTGCCACATCTGTGTGCCTCCACAGCGATGCCGGAAATGGTGGATTGGTGGTGGCTCGTTTGCACCACATGACGGCCATGGAAACGAAAGGTGTGGTTACAAAGGGCGACATATCGCATGTTGAGTGGGAGCAAAATGAGATGCCACGTAGACCGCAAGCCGAGTCGAAGTACGGTGGCTGGATGCTGACTGTTAGTTCTAGTCGAGTCTCAGCCAGACACTGGTTCCTAGCTTACTGCGGAGCGCATGGAAAAATTAGCCGTCAGGTACTGAAGGAGATGTGGTTGAAAAAAGCAAAAGAGCACCAGTTGATTTGGGCGCCGAAGCCTGCCGTGTAGTGCTACCTTAAGTGTCAACCCAGCGGCTGTCGCCCCCGCTTCTTGGGCTATCTGCATCGGAATTTTAGGAGTCAGTAGTTGCTTTTGTTCGTATTCGAAGGTGGTGCTATCGCGGACGCCGTCACATGCGCCAGCGTGTTGCATAAATTCTATCCTGCCAAACTCCTGACTTCCTACGTGAAACAGTCAGCCATACGCTTATCGTCTAAGTTTGGCACGATTTGGTGTGTCTGGCAAACTCGAGTGGATGACGGCTCATCTCAGGAAGGATACGGCATGATGAAAGGGAAATGCTAACTTGACATTGGCCGCCGCGCCCAGACTTCATGTCATGTACAAGAAGCAGCTGCGGAGCGGGTTGTTCGATTTCTGATGCAAAACTTCCACGCTTGAACATAGTCTCATACGAGGTGCCGGTTCCGCCGAGAACTTCGCAGGACAAAGTATTGGGATAACCTCCCGGTGAATAGGATGGAAAGAATAACAAGTGCGGCTTTAGCCCGCGAAAGCCGGAAACGGACGGCGATAAGGACTGACCGGACTTGCTGGTGGTTGTATGCAGTGACAAGAGCTGCGCAGATCGGTTCGCGGCATGTTGGGCTCGAGGATGGTCGATGCTGACGACCAGTTGCCCAACCAAGTTACGCAACGCAAAGGCGCTGACATCACGCGCGGAGGAAGCGCTGCTGTGTGTAAGGGAGTTCGATAAACCCCCCGGCATGAAGCTTAAAGGAAGCGTCAGATCATGCCAGCGCACGCATACATACGTATCGGCTGTGCTGCAGTCCGGGCTGCAATTGGAATGCAACGCAGCAAACCGCCGCCAGCCAGTCGGGCGCCAGTCCAACGCATGCATTGCAGCCAACCATGACATGGCGAAACCCCTCCCCGCCACCATCCTCGTCGGCACCTGCCTCGTCACCAGAGCACTTCCTTGCTTTTCGCGTGTCCTTTCCTCACTTCCCCTTAACAAAAGAAAGCAGACGCCTGCCATGGAGTTGGTGGGCATGGATGGTGAGGCAACCGCGAGGCTGTTCCGAAACCGATCCGCAAGGAGGTAGGCAGACGCCATTGCCAGGGCTATCGAGTCAGCCCTGAGAAGTTTGTGATAGCAAAGGCCGGTCTAAGACGTTAGCTCGACTCTCCACGCATGCAGGTGCAATGGTTCACAGGCCAGCTGCGAGACAGACGCTCCAGTGACCAGCGGCGTGGCTTCGGAAGGGCAAGTCCCGGGTTGGCGTGGACGACACGAGCGAGAGCATGGGATCTGAACGGTTAAAGTTGGGGTAACTGTGATGTGCTGATGAAGTGTGTGCTGCATGACACCTGAGCGTGCAGCACCCTAGGATTCTCGGCCAGTGGGATGCGCTGCTGCCAGGTGAGGCGAGTCTTGGTTCGAGGCTCAGGATCGTCGTTTTGGAAGGGGTGCACCAGTGATCTGAGGCGTCCTGTCAGAAGAAACCGGCCGTTCAAGCTGCAACAGGCGCCCGCGATATTGGCGACCGTCCTGGTGAGGCTTACCCGCGTGGCGAGAGCATGTCCAATGGCGTTCGTACCGACGGGCCCTGCTTGCCGGCGCTGCGGGCCATAGTCGCTGTCGTCAGGCCCGCAGGAAGGCCGCCATGTCAGACGTCGGGCTGTCCACCGTCCGGTGGGCTTCGGCCAGCATGCCCTGGATGGCCCTGGCAGGACGGTTGCAGCAAGCAGGCGCAAGCAGGCGCAAGCAGGCGGTGATGTCGGCGGCTTCCGCCCCGTGGCCGGCGCTGGGGGCGCTGGGGGCGCTGGGGCCGGGCTGGGAGCAGGTGCCGGGCCACGGACGGCGGGAGGAGCTGGGGAAGGGGCTAGCGGTGGCAGCGGCTTCATGGCGGGCAAGTGCCGGTTGCTCGGTCTCTGCGATGCGGAGAAGGGACGCCAGATGGTGGCACGGATGGCCTCGTGTGAGCATCGCGGACCTGCGGCGGACTAGGCTTGATCGAGGGAGAGCAGCACGCACCAATGCCTCACACGAGCATGGGTGATGAAGGCGGCATCCACGCATCCACGCCCGCTACCGCTCCCGGGCTGGCGTGGGCCGGCGGGCTCGCGGGCTCGAGTGCTCGCGTCTCAGATCCAACGGCGCCGGTGCTGGGAGCAGCGGCTGCGCAATGGCACGGCGATTGCGCGCGTCGCATCGATAAGTTGCCGCGGCGTCCATGTATCCTGCATGATCGGCGGGGCCAGGATGCTGGATGCTGGAATGCTTGGCCGCTCCGGCCTGAAGAAGGAGACGCGGCGCGGTGGTGGTTCTGGCGACAGCAAACGGTGCAGCTGGGGATTTGCAGTGGCAAACTCCCGTTTTAATGCTGTCCTGCGCGGCGCTGCCAGGCTGGCCGGCCAGCGCAGCGCTGAGGTGGTCGGCGCGAGGGCGCACCGCGCGAGTATGCTGACGGCGGCGGACGGCGGAGCTTGCGGCGCGTGCTACGGAGCGGTTTTGCTGCCCGAGCTGCCCGAGCCGTGGAGCTGGCCGAGCGGTTGGGCAGATAGGGCGCCAGAAATGAGGCGAGAGCCTGACCACCGGCACTGCTGCACCGCACCTCCGCCCCTCCGCCCCTCCAGGCCCGGCGCTTCATTTGCGAAAAGTGGACTTGGCCTCGCTGGTATTTAAGCAGCGAGCCCTGATTCGGAGGGGCCTCGTCGACTCTGCGAGCCATTGCAAGCGACTGCACTCTCTACAGGCTGTCCACACGCGCCATTCCCCTTCCGTCCCGTAGCGCTGCCAATCGCCCTCCTCCTCCACCCTCAACACCACCATCATGCCCGGCATGGCCGCTGCCCTAAACAACTACTTCGTCCCCGGCTACGGCATCTCGAGGTCCGTCATCCAGGGCGAGATCCGCTACCACTGCGGCCCCGATGCCATAGTCCGCCCCTTCACCCACCAAGTGAGAGCTAATTGGAGCGCAATGCCTGTGTTGCCCGTGCTAATCTCCTGCTGCCAGGGCCGTGATGGCTTCCTCGTTACCACTGCCGGCCCGCCTCTGACCAAAGTAGTCTTCCCACTCCCGCTCTCGTCTGCGCCTTCTGACTCTTCCCAGGCCCAGATAGAGGACATCAAGGAGGCTTCCCGTGAATACGAGGAGCGCCAGGCCGAGCGCAGCGGCGACGACACCGAGCCCTTTGTGAACAGACCGATTCCTGTCAAGACCACCGGCCGCCGGAGCTCCTGACCCGCCATCTCTTTGTCGCGTGTTGCCGTCTGAGACTGACTTCTGGCTATTATTGGCATTTCAGCGTGGCGTTGTGGGCACTATCACTTCACGTATCTGTTTTAACGGCGTATCGTCAGCGGCTCTCAGCCGCAGCGCCGGCTGTCTGGTGTACCGGTGTTTCCTTTCATTGCTTGTCTCCTGGGCACAGAGTCTCAACTTTCGCAAATCCGCCATGTTCCGAAAAAAAAAAAATTTCATTGCTGTCGTGGGATTCATCTGCCATTGTCAAGATCCAGAGATCCACGGACTGGATTTAGACGTGATTGGATCTGTTCATGGCTGCCAACCATTTTGATGACCGTTGTTCCTTGCAACTCCTGGCGTCCCTGTAGAGTTAGTAAACTTCACCGAAACCCTTGCGGCTCTTCATCTTGGCCTCTTCCACCAGCTCTTCCCGCTCTTCATCTGTAGGGTTGTCGCCGCCGGTCAGTTCCGCTTCATCATCGCCAGCTTCGTCACCGCTGTCGCCGTCGCCTAGCGCATCTGCTCTTGCCCCCGTACCCATCCCGCTCTCCTCTTTCCACGTTTTCTCGTGCCGTCTTCTCACCTTGGATCGCTCTCGGTGCGTGCTGCCCTTTAAAAGGGCGGAGGAGAAGTAATCGCTTTCATCTGAAAACCCTTCTGCTGGAGTGCCTGCACCTGACCGTGATCCACCAAAGTCACGTCCAGGATGAAGACGTAGTAGACCGTAAGGCGTGGATTTTTGCTTCGCACTGTCAGCGTCAGATGATGTTGGGGTATCTTCAACATCTGAAGATGCTGGAGCACCATTGCCTTCATGAGCACCTGCGGGATTGTCCGGCAGTTCCGACTCGGGCTCCGTCACGGCAGGTCCGGGTAATGCTGCGAGTTTGTCCAAATCCGCAGTGTTCTGACGTCGTGTGCGTCGAGGAAAGTTAATCTTGTCATGATTACATCCATGAACACATCCCCCCCATTGGCGAGATGCTAGGGTGGGGGAATCGGAATATGGAGGTGGCGGACCTGTAGTTCCTGTTGATGAGCCGTTGATTGTATTCCCCTGGTTTGTGGCAGTGCGGCGTTTTAGATCCGACCACGTGCGTAGTTGATTCTCTAGGATGAATTTGCCGTTGTCCGAACTTTGCTTCATGACGATGAACTCGCAGTGATTAATGTTCCGGAGGTCCTCGAAGTATTCGACAGACCAGTGATACCTGGATCGAGATTAGCAATTAATCCATCTTGGACTGCTGCATCCAAAGTGTTGCGGTGAAGACATCCAGTGCCACGGAGCACTGGGGTTGGCAGGTTGTCACGATGATCATGGGAGGGTTGCAGGAGGTATACGCTCCCACTCTCTTCCGACGAAGATTCCCGCTGTAATGGCTCCTGCAATCTTTACATCCACATAACACGTACCACTTCATAAGGAACACTCTCGTCATCAAGCCATGCGTGACCAGGACGCACACGCTCGGGAAATCTTCTTCGCCAAAAAGTCTCCACAAGCTCTCGTTGAAGCCGCTGACGCGGTCATAGGCATCTGCGGCGCTCTCTCCGTTGGGGATGCGGTAGAAGAAGTGGCCGTAGTCGGCGCGCTCCTGCCACATCCTCTCCATTTCAGTCGAGCATGGCTGGAAGTTGCCGAAGTCCTGCTCACGAAGCCTAGGTTCTTCGAAGACTTTGATCTTGTGGCGGGGAAAGGGAGACGGCGAGGGGTCGTCGGAGGTGAGGGTGCGGAGGATGCCTTCTGTGGTCTCGCGCGTGCGGCGGTAGGGCGAAGTGAAGAATTGGAGGGTGTCGTCGGGCCTCAGTAGCGATCGGAGGCGGGACCCTGCATCTTCAGCCTAATGGGGCGTAAGCCGGGGGTGGCACTCATGGATAGCTGGATGGCTGTGCTGACCTGCTGCCAGCCATCGGGCGTAAGTTTCACGCGATGATCTGGGATAAACTGGTGGATGTCACGGTTCTTGTTGCCCTCGCTCTGCGCGTGGCGGATCAGTATGATCATCTAAGCCCGTTAGCACAGGGGTCTCCAACTGCTCGGCGCGTGGTGCTATACTTGCCCGTGGTTTGCCCATTTTAGCTGCCCGTCGTTGTTTTGCGGAGAGCCTGGCGAAACGAGGCAGAGGTGGTGGGCTCGTTGGGGTGCGCCCAACAAGAAGGGTTTTGGGGCAAGAATGGCTTGGCTGCAGGTAGACGTTTCAGTGTTTGCACACTGTCGGGTGGAAGGCGCGATGCATGGCGGGCGGGTGGCTCGCGCATTCCCTACCGGACCATCGGACACAGTCGGGCAGACCCCGCGCACTGAGCACAGCACAAGCACACGCACAGGCACACAGACCCGGTGCGCCCGCGTCGTCCTCACCACCAACAAATCTGCCTGCGCCTGTTACAAATCGGCTTGCCGCGCTTTCTCGCCACCACGCGATCACGCGCCGTGCTACGCCCGCCCGCGTCGCCAACATCGTCGCTGCAGAGAGCGCCACCGCACCCTCCACCGGCTAACACGTAGGCCGCTCGCTGACTGCCTTGCGCCGACTACCTTGCAACCTTGCGCCAGCCTCACCTGACCTTCGCCGCCATGTCCGAACCCATCCCCGAGTCCATTCCCACAAGCGCCGACCCGCGGACCCATCGCCCGACCAAGAAGCGTGCCTTGTCGCCGAGGTCCACCCAGGCAAACCAACTCGACGCTCTGTTCAAGCATCCCGACCGCGAGATCGCCATTCCGGCCGGTCCCAGGAACAAGAACCTCCCGCCGCCCCCCGAGATTGTCGCCAACGTCCAAGGTTCCTCCGCTGGTGCTGGCTCGGGCGAGTTCCATGTCTACAAAGCCTCGCGGCGGCGGGAGTACGAGAGGCTGAGGCTGATGGATGAAGAGACGAAGAGCGAGCAGCAGAACAAGGAGTTCGAAGAGAAGATGGCCGAGATGCGCAAGAAGGACTCGGCCAAGACGAATAAGAACAAGGCAAGACGGGACAAGGCCAAAGCGCGGAAGCAAAAAAGGAGCGAGAACGGAGATTCAGCCGGGGCCAGCGATGCAACAAATGGTACTGAGAACGCGCAGAAGAAGTTGGGACACGGCCTCAAGCGACGTAACTCAGAGAACGACGATGCCGTGGATTTTACAGCCAACGGGTCCGCCGAAACCTCCAATCCAGACGAAACCGGCATTGTCATTCACGACGAGGACTGACGTTCCCCGAGGCCCGCCGATTTCGTCAAGTTCAGTCACGTCGATACCAGCACAACGAATAGTCACGAACAATCAATACAAACTGTGGGTAGTTTTTGACTCGTGAAACCAGGGCAGAATCGTGTTCACATGCTGAAACAACGTCGCAGCCTTTCATCCTCACCATAACAGGGAAGGCGTCAGTGTCAACTACTCGATCAAGTATCCTTCCCTTCTTGCATTCTTGCCGTTCGCATGTTTAATGTCGTATAGTTAAGCATATTCATTGGACGCAGCGATAAGCTATGCTCCCGAAACAGCAGGAATCCCGTTTCAGCTAATCCAGGGATATCGGACAAAGTCAGAAATGCCACGGACTTGAGGTATTGGCATTATGACGGTTAATTCTGAGTACTTCAAAAAAAATTGGCAAAAAAAAAAACTTGAGATAGACTTCCTGCCATTGTTTCGATATGGAACGTAAAGGCTGATGAGTTGCTGAACAATCGCAACATATCATTTGTAATCAAGTGGTAACAATCGAGTCTGAATTGGAAACACCTGAGGTCGCTACCCGAGCACGGACGTACATCATTGGGAGGAGCGTTAGACAGCTCATACCTCAAAATTGGGTCCGCCGATGTTCCGCTTGGGGTGTGCGACTGCTTGTATCGAGGCTCTAAAAGAACTCTGAGTTGAAAGCAGCGCAAATATGCTATGTAAAGGCGCCGCGAAGACACTGCGCTAGATACATTATCACAACCCCACACGTTGTAGTCAAACGTTCACAACATCCTTTGTTCCGGTACCACTTCATTAACACACGATGCACCTCAAACACTTGTTGGATTTCAGAAAGTTCCATATAGTCTTCCTCATACTTGCGGTAGCAGCAGAAAGCGCTCTGGAGCTAGACTCCACATTTTAAAAGCCTATCCGGCAAACAGTCATTTTGCGTCGTCCTATGCTATGCCCACAGATACGAATATTACACCCTCTACTACCTCTGGGCACAGGCACCCCACTGGGTGGTGTATATACGGCTTAGAAAGGACGTTATTGCTCGGTGCTCGGGGTCTGCCTGTCTTGAGTTAAACCGCCTATTTGTCTATCCATTTAACCTGTACCCTCCTTATATCGAGCTTTAAGTTGAGCAAACCTTAAAATGAGCATTAAATGGGTTCGACATATATGACACTCACACTCACATGATGGTCGTTGTCCCCCACTGACAGAACACTTACTATCTTCGTGCTATCAAGCTAACGATGTTGTATTTTTACAAAGTGTTTGGAATGAGCCTTTTGGATCTAGATGAAGTAGCGATGGCACGATCCTTCTACGATAGGTGTGGTGGCGGACACATTAATGTTCCAGCTTTCTACAGTTGGTGGACTAATCTACGTCGCAAGATCACTGCAATCAACTGCTCTCGATACCATGCAATCGTTGGTAAAACAGCCCTCGGGTGTGAACCATGACTTGCGTATGTGCTGTTTCAACTTTCAAACCACGATACTCAACGACGTTCTTAGCTGACGGTGCTTTAGTGCGTCGAATCCTAACACATAACAATCCTGGATGAGCCCGAAGACTTGGAGATGCAGATATCATTGTCTCAAAGCACTCATGTGTGTTCGTAGTTCATCCTTGTTTCTGGCGCTGAGGCGAGCGAGTCTACGTCGATGGGCCGGCCGGAATCGATGGAGAGGTCCCGTTTGTCTCCTGTATGGAGTACGTTTCACAACATATTGATGGCTGGGCTGGTATGGATACACTGTGCGTGGTGAGCAAGGAACGACGCGTCTCCTCAAATTAGTCCTTGGCCCCAATTCAAGATTTTTCCACGGCGCTCTCCTGCTGAATACGAAACAAGTGTTGTTGCCGACTGGAATTTGGACGTTGGCCTTGTTGTCTTTTACCTCAAATGCGTCCAATTCAAATCGGGTTCGTTTGGAGGGTAAGAGACGGCGTTGCTCTGGGAATGGAACGAGATCTCTTGATTATCGGAAACCATTGTCACAGACATGGAACGCAAGCTTCGTTCTATGTGTATTTCAGTAAGTGCATCATTGGGGCCATTGGGGCACCAGGAAATTCCGACGGGTGTTTGTCAACGAGCGAGGCTGGTGTTGATGACCGCCAGCAGCTAGAAGACATATCATGTCACTTCCTTGTTTTTGTGACTTGATGGACAGCCACAGTCCCCTTACTGAGATTGAATTGGCAGAGTAATGACAATGCTGTCCGAAAGTGATGGATAGAAGCTTCCCCCGGGACGTCATTCAATGCACAACAAGTACTCCGGAATGCGCGTGATTCTTGGCTTCTGTCTGGTTCTCGGCGGTGTGGACAATGGGAAGACGTCCGTATCCCTTCTCACCAAGGCCATCGTCACCAGCGCCGGCAAGAGGCGGACAGCAGGAATCGAAGGGTCGCGAGGCTCGACGTGGTTTCCTGCGTCCTGGATGCATTTAAGGTTGGCGGAACTGGCAGCTCGGGGATAAGGTCCCGGGCTCTTTTAGGAGTGTCGTGTGGTCTCACGAGGCAGCGCGATGTGTGGAATGCAATATCCGGGCGGCGTACCTTGCAGGGCGGTCGCTGGTACCGAGCAGCTGAGGGCGCACAGCAGCAAGCTGCGAAACGGCCGAGGCGTTCGTCGCCAGGGGAAACCCGCGCAGCCTCACGAAGGCGGATCTGCGGCGCTGAGTCAATGGCGGAGGGCGGGCGAGGCGCGGCCGTGATTCGCCAATTGCTGCAACATGGCGCGGAGGTGCTGAGCTGGCGGGCACGGCAGCCAGCCGGGGCAACAGGGGGGCCTGGCGGAGCCCCACCGCGTGCTGGGCTGCGGCGCATCATCAGTGGGCTCGGCGCGGACTCGTGGGGGCGCGCGGCGGCTCGGGGGCGTGCTTGGAGGTGTTTGTAGAAATAGAGACAGACGGGCGGCGTGGATCCGTAGATCGGGCGGGCCAGGCGCCATCCAGGCCGGTGGCACAGGACATGCTGCCGTGCCTTTCTTCATCGCGCGCTCCATGCCAGGAACAGCAGGCCGTCCCTCCTCTGGAGCCAGCCTGCACCGTCGCGGGGGTGACGGGCGTCGGCTGCGTGCGCTCAACCTCAGCGCTCAGCGCTCAGCGCTCTGCGCCCCGCCGCCAGCAAGATGCGCCAGTAGGCTCCCACGCTCCCGTCCGCCTGAATCCCAGCGCCCAGAGCTGCCGCCACCGCGTCGCCCGACCCGTCCGGCGGCCGAGCGGTGCTGCATTACTGTGTGCGCTTGTCCTGCCCAGGGCCCGACGCTTAATTTTGCCCTCCACAAGGGCGGCCCTCACTTACTCCTGGGGCAGGGCGCTCCAACGTCACCAGAGACACCCGCGCTGCGCAGCGCCGCAGCTCCCGCCCGCGACACCAGCACCCACCCTGCCCGAGACGTCGCCCGCCAATCGCCCGCCACTTGATGCGCCCCGCCAGCTTGCTGTAGCGGACTGCCGCCCGTGGCCGCCCTCCCAATTGCCCGCCAGCCCGCCAGCCCGCCAACTCGCAGCTCGTCTGATCTTCGGTCGACAAATATTTGCCCGCCGTCCATACCCACCTCCGCTTGCGTCTCCAGGCCCGCCCCTCACGCTGCCGGGACCGACACACGCAGCCGATCGCCGGCTGGAGGGGAGCTTTGCAGGGTGTCTCTGTCATGAATCTGGATCGGCAGCACATGTACGGGTAGGTCTTGCCATATTCGACCCGCCTCACCTCCTCCTGGTGTGACGCCCGACTTTTGCCTCGCTGCGAGACAGCTCACCTCCGCTGTGTACAAGTCTTTGCGCTGCGCAGCCTGGCCGCCGGACGGTCCGTCGCTGCAGCTTTTATTTGCCCTCCCCGCTGCTGCCTGGCTGCCGCCTAGCTCCCCGTCATGTTGCTGCGCTGCGCTTTCTATTTAGTTGACACGCTCTGCTGACAATGCCCGCTGTCTTCAGAGCCCCCGATTGGCGTTTACCAAGCCCCAGCTCGACGCCCAAATCAGCCACATTCCCGGATGCGTCTCTCCAAACGCCCAGAACGGACTCTCTTCCGTCCCACTTTCTAGAAGCTTGGTCAACACCACGAGCAAATGTGCAACAGACTCCCTCCCAGACGCCACTGTTCCCACGCACGAGAGATCGTGACCGACCCTTGAGCTCCTACAGCCACAAAAGCCAGGATCCAGAAGACCCTGAGTTCCACATCAACCACTACTCGCCAAACCCAAACCTGCCGCTTCCCCCGGTTGAGCCGTCCCGCCGGTTGGCGTCCAGTCCAACCCCGTTGAAGTCCGGCCGGCCGCCTAATGCCAATACGACATCTTCAATCCCAACGCAAGATTCGACTGCAAACAACATGGACCCTTCTCAGATGCAGACGCCTCCCCCAACCAGGGATGCATCGTCTTCGAGGAAGCGGGGTCAGGACGGGCAGCCGCTGAGCTTCAACACGCCCTCGGCCATGTATTCCAGGAGGGACTCGGCCCCAACTATCCCTGGCGATCACATGAGGGACGGTCGTTACGGTCAGGATTCAGGCGTGCCTATGTTTGCCAACATGCAATTCACTCCGGAGATGACGCGTTTTGGCCACGCAGGCCCTTCTACGGCTCCTGGGCCGTCTCGTGCAGGAGTCTTCTTCAACCCGAGCAGTTCGGGGGGGATGCTGCATCTTGATAACTTGCCTGCTCAAGAAGATCCGTTTGGTTTCGCTGTTGAGGACAACCAAAACATGTTTCAATGGCCAAGTTTTACGCCGACAAACACAAGCCGTGTCGATTCGGCTTCAATGGCTGTAGAAGATGACTCTTGGGCCTCAACGCCGTCCCTGTTGACAACAACTTCTGCCGACCTCCAGAACATTACAGGTAATGGAACGGCCACGCTGGATGATCCTTTCATTCCAACCACGTCGGGCGTCGACCCTAGCATGTTGTTTAGTTTTAGTGGAAGCGCGTCGGATTTAGGCAATACCTGGGTTTCGCCCCAGCGTCCCCAAAAGGCGCCCATACCCGACAAGAGACAACCCTACGAGCACCAAGCCAGGGAATATGAGAGACAAAAGGAAGTGTCTCGGAAACTTAGTGGGCACCATTCTCGCACAAGTGCCGCGTCCTCTTCTGTTTCCACGACAGCAAGCTCCAAGCCTGGCCTACAACGAAGCAGCACACATGCCGGATTTGTGAGGAAACCTGCTCCTCCCAGTGAAGGTCCATTCGGCAACTCGGGCAATGCCGTACCGCCTGTGCGGAAAACCTCGCCTCTGAAACGGGCAAATCAATCGGCCCTTCCCGCAATATCTGAACATGTGCTCCCACGGCCGAAGACGCGGCTTATTGTCGACGGATCTGGGCGAGCCCGGACCGAGACTGTGAGGGACGGTGACGATGACACTAAACATGTGGATCACCGCGCCCGTTATTCCGGACTGTGGGACGACGACAGCGATTCCGATTCCGATCAAGATGCCCGCATAGCCAGTAGGAGCTCGTCCTTCAGCGTGGCCTCGGGATTGACACGATCCGCTTCCAAGCACGGGAGGACCGGCAGTTCGATTGCAAGGTCTCACTCGGTGAAGAACCCGCGGTCTTTCTCATTCACCGACAATCTGTCGAAAAGATTGGGAAGATTATCGACTGAACCGACGCCTAGAAGGGGTGGGGACGATTCTAGGAGAAGCAGTGTCACTAGTGTCAGTAGCCCATTCGGAGGTTATCTGCGAAAAGAAGACAAGCCGGTGGGTGAGGATGGGGCTGGGCACCAGGGAGGTGCTCAGGATGCGTTGAAGAGGGTGGTGGCGGACGCCAAGAACAAACGACAGGGTTAGTTGTTTGATATTCCAATGGACGAATGTGCTAACGCGTGCATCAGAGACGACCAGCGCAGCTAATGTCCGGATGCTTGAAGCACACAACCAGCGGTGGAGGGCATCGGCGGATGTGTCGAAGATGAATGTCGGCCACGGCTTCCTGGTCGATCCGTTTCTTGATAGCTCAACGCCCAGCAGCAGAGCATCGGCGTCGGCGTTCACCCCGAGCACAGATCGAAGTAGCGAGTCCAGCGAGAGCACTCACTGCGTCTGTCACTCGACGGGGTGGGATGGCCAACTCATGATTCAATGCGAGTCCTGCTCCAAGTGGCAGCATGCACGCTGCATGGGGCTTCCACTGAAGGCCGAGTTGCTGCCGTCAGTATACGTTTGTATCTTTTGCACCGGATCCACGCCAGTGGTCCGAGGAGGAAGAGTGCGCGATCCTTACCGGGTGCCGCACAAGCCAGCTTCGCCATTGGCCTACAAGCAAAGGCAATGATGTAGAACAATGGGGGAGCATAGGAGCGTAGCGGGGCCGAGGAGAAGGCTTGCAGAAGCCCCTCGAGATTTCTTTCTCTTTCTCAACATGCAACCCCCCGAGATTTCCCCACACACGTTTTAGTCGTAGTCGCAATCCCCAGCAGCAGTATACCCCCAAGTGCGTCTCGCACTTTCATTTGTAAATCGTAATAGCACCGTGGACGGGTGCATAGCAATGCAGAGTGGCAGCAGCTTTCGGCGCAAGTTAAGACACGGCATGAGCGTCTAGCAGCAGGATGGCGGAGGCTGGCGGAGGCTGGCGGAGGCTGGCGGAGGATGGCGGAGGATGGCGAGATCAACGCAGAGCTACGTACCGTGCTACCCCGGCCCGCGAGCTCTGACACGCGGAAGCTAAGCCGTAGCGGGCATATCGATAAGCAGTGCGGCAGCGATCCACTTAGGTAAGCAAGCCATGACGTCCGATGATCGGCGCGTCGGGGCCGAAGGGCTTGGAAGCGTCGGGAAGCCTTCGGAAGCTTCGCTCTCACGCGGGATGATGCTGGCACCCTCGAGCTGCGTCCAATCACCTCGCGAACCCTCGACAGCTGCCCAGTTTCTTCTGGCAGTCGCAGCCGCCCAGGCATAAATGACCTCTGCATCGTCGGCCATGGCTGCCCGACCTCAGCCAACCCACCAACAGCAAACACAGACACCAAACACTCTATCTTTCTCTGTTCCGCTTGACATCCGTTTGATACCCACACCATGACTTCCGGCATGCAGTTTACCGACAGGGCCTCCAAGGCTCTGGGTGACGCGCAAGAACTCGCACAACAATACTCTCACTCGCAACTATTACCCCTCCACGTCGCCGTCGCCCTCATCGACCCGCCGCCGGACCTGTCCAAGGACCAGCAAAACGGCCCGGGCGAGCCCACTCCACTGTTCAAGCAAGTCGTCGAGCGCGCCCATGGCGACCCCCAGCTGCTGGACAGGGCGCTGAAGAAGGCCCTCGTCCGCCTGCCGAGCCAAGACCCGCCGCCCGACCACATCTCCATGTCGCCGTCCTTCTCCAAGGTCCTGCGCGCCGCAAACGAGCTTCAGAAGACGCAAAAAGACAGCTACATCGCCGTCGACCACCTCATCCAGTCGCTGGCCCAGGACAGCACCATCCAGAAATGTCTGGCCGAGGCCAACATCCCCAAGCCGAGCCTGGTCGACCAGGCAATCCAGCAGATCAGAGGCTCGAGGCGCGTCGACTCAAAGACGGCTGACTCGGAGGAGGAGAACGAAAACCTCAAGAAGTTCACCCTCGACATGACGTCAATGGCAAGAGAAGGCAAGATTGATCCCGTCATCGGCCGCGAGGAGGAGATCAGGCGAGTCATCCGCATCCTTTCGAGACGTACCAAGAACAACCCCGTCCTCATCGGTGAGCCCGGTGTCGGCAAGACTACCGTCGTCGAAGGCCTGGCTCTCCGAATCGTCAACGCAGACGTGCCCGCCAACTTGGCTGCCTGCAAATTGCTCTCTCTGGATGTCGGCGCTCTGGTTGCCGGCAGCAAGTACCGTGGAGAGTTTGAGGAGCGTATGAAGGGCGTCTTGAAGGAGATTGAAGATTCAAAGGAGATGATCGTGCTCTTCGTCGATGAGATCCACTTGCTCATGGGCGCCGGCTCCAGCGGCGAGGGCGGCATGGATGCCGCGAATCTGCTCAAGCCCATGCTCGCCAGAGGTCAGCTTCACTGCATTGGTGCAACGACCCTTGGCGAGTACAGGAAGTACATCGAGAAAGATCAGGCTTTCGAGCGCCGTTTCCAACAAGTCCTGGTCAAAGAACCATCCATTCCCGAGACCGTCTCCATCCTTCGAGGGCTGAAGGAGAGATACGAAACCCATCACGGTGTTACCATTCTCGACGGAGCCATCGTTAGCGCAGCAACGCTTGCTGCCCGCTATCTCACCCAGCGTCGTCTACCCGATTCAGCTGTCGACCTGATTGATGAGGCTGCAGCAGCTGTCCGGGTGACTCGCGAGTCCCAGCCCGAGGCCCTCGACAACCTGGAACGCAAGCTCCGCCAACTTCAAATCGAAATCCACGCCCTCGAGCGCGAGAAGGACGAGGCTGCTCAGGCTCGTCTGCGCGAAGCGAAAGCCGAAGCCGCCAACGTTGATGAGGAGCTCAAGCCGCTGCGCGAGAAGTATGAGCAAGAGAAGGAGCGCGGCAGAGACATCCAGGACGCCAAGATCAAGCTCGAGCAACTCAAGGTCAAGCGCGCCGAGGCCGAGCGTGTTGGAGACTTGTCGACCGCTTCGGATCTCCAGTACTACGCCATTCCCGACGTCGAGCAGCGCATCGCCAAGTTGGAGCAAGCAAAAGCTATAGCAGACGCTGAAATCTACAAGTCGGATGACGGTGGACAGTCTCTGCTTACCGATTCTGTCGGACCTGAGCAGATTCAAGAGATCGTCGCTCGCTGGACCGGCATTCCTGTCACTCGTCTCAAGACCACGGAGAAGGACAAGCTGCTCAACATGGAGAAGCACCTCGGCCACGTCGTCGTTGGCCAAAAGGAGGCCGTCACGTCCGTGGCCAACGCCATCCGCCTGCAGCGCTCCGGTCTCGCCAACCCGAACCAGCCACCCAGCTTCCTCTTCTGTGGCCCTTCCGGCACCGGAAAGACGTTGCTAACCAAGGCTCTCGCCGAGTTCCTCTTCGACGATGCGAAGGCGATGATTCGTTTCGACATGTCCGAGTACCAGGAGAGACATTCGCTCTCGCGCATGATCGGCGCACCGCCCGGCTACGTCGGCCACGACGCAGGCGGCCAACTGACCGAGGCCCTCCGGCGCCGGCCCTTCTCGATCCTGCTCTTCGACGAGGTGGAGAAGGCGGCGAAGGAGGTGCTGACGGTGCTCCTGCAGCTCATGGACGACGGCCGCATCACGGACGGCCAGGGCCGCGTCGTCGACGCGCGCAACTGCATCGTCGTCATGACGTCCAACCTGGGCGCCGAGTACCTCGCCCGGCCCAACGCGCCCGACGGCCGCATCGACCCGGCGACGAAAGAGATGGTCATGGGCGCGCTGCGCAACTACTTCCTGCCCGAGTTCCTCAACCGCATCTCGTCGCTCGTCATCTTCAACCGCCTCACGCGGCGCGAGATCCGCAAGATCGTCGACGTGCGCGTCGCCGAGGTGCAGAAGCGCCTCGCCCAAAACGGGCGCAACGTCGCCATCGCCATGACGACCGAGGTGCGCGACTACCTGGGCTCCGCCGGCTACAGCCCCGCCTACGGCGCCCGCCCGCTCGCCCGCCTCATCGAGAAGGAGGTCCTCAACCGCCTCGCCGTCCTCATCCTCCGCGGCGCCGTCCGCGACGGCGAGACGGCAAACGTCGTGCTCGAGAACGGCCACATCCAGGTGCGGCCCAACCACGGCGACAGCGAGCTCGAGGAGGACGACGAGGACATGTACGACGACGAAGACGACGTCATCGACGAGCTGGACGACCCTGACGGCGGCATGGAGTTGTATGATTGAAACCACCAATCATACACCACCCGATATGATGATGAGGAGGAGTAGGAGTGGAACTGCAAATGCAGTAAATGTGTTTTTTTATCATGCACGATGACGATGGGATGAATTTACGACAGGAGGCAAACGAAAAAAGTTCTTAGGCGTTTCTCTATGGACGACGATAGCATTGGGTAGCATTTTCTTCTTTATCTTGATTCTCCTCTTCATATGGTACTTAGAACAGAAGAGCGAGCTTTGGCGCTGGTGGATGGTGATATCACTCTTCGGGGGGTTTTTTTTTTAATAACAGGTCTAGCAACGGAAATCTTCTCAGTCTGTTTTGCTCTCCTAGGAACTTGAGAGTTTATTACTGAAGAAAGCTAGTTGTAGAAATGTAATGATTGACAAAAGAAAGGGTCGAACTGCTCTAAGTTTTCAATGCCGTGTGATAAGTAGTGCTGTGTGAAACGAGACCTCAGCCTTGATGGGATTCTTATATAAGGACAAGGCAACGCGTACGAGCCACCAGAGGTAGTTGAAATTCGATTTTGGACCCTGTCATCGCGAACTAGCTTTTCCAGTGCACAGCAAAGTCAATCATGTGCAGCGAAAATCCACCGGTGTAGAGCCCAGGACGCAAAACAAGATCTTATGGTGCTCTCGAATGACGCTGAGTAGTAGAATGGTAAACAAGTCTTATCAATCATGTATCTAGAAACACCCCTTTCACTTTCAGAGCAGGAAGCCAACGAAGCGAAGCGAATATTTGATGCCAGTTGAATGCAATGCAGATGAAGAAAAGACAGCAGAGAATTGAAAGTGGACTCCTAACTAATGCTGACCATATGCCTCTCTCGTATACATGCTAATCATATCAAAGAAGAAAAGGGGATGAGCGAAACGTAAAGGCTGTACAGTACAACCACTTCGCGACCAAAAATGTCAACGAAGGGCGAATGTACATATCAAAAGCCTGAATGCTGAAAGAAGTTCTCCCGTCCTGGGGATTGTGAGAAGAGAAAAAAGGGTTTCATCAGAAGGCTGAATGAAGTGCGAATGAGTATGGAATCATCAAAGCCTATCAGCCCGACTCATCACTGACGCACGTCGCCGTTGCGGGTAGCTCGAGAGGATACTCGCCGTCGCCCTCGATGAGCTCGTCGCCAGGGCTCGGGTACTTGAGCTCGGCACTCGTTAGTGGCAGCTTGCAGTCGTGCCAGATGGGATCGGGAATGAACAGGTCAGCGCGTGAGGCCCAAGCGGCCGCACGCTTCTCCTTGAGCGTGGTAGCGACCCTGTACTGCTCGGCAGAGCGGCGCTGTTGCCTGTTGGCCTCGAAGCCCGACGCAACGCGACGGTGGAGGTGGCGTGACAGATGGTTGGAGGACTCGACGGTGCGCTTGGAGATTTTCTGGGGGGCCTTCCAGCATTTACAGGCGCAGCCGCTGGCTTCGTAGGCATCCTCGTCGTCGGTGGTTGTCGAGGCAGTGTCACAGTCACAGCTGCACCACTCAAGTGAGAACTGCTTCGAACCACCGTTGACAGTCGGGCCTGAGGAAGACGAGGGTGCCGCCACTGACTCAGAGGTTGACTGGACAGGGGCGGCGGTCGAGGGCGCATAAGTAGCAGAAGTAGTAGGGGCGGAAGAAGGGACAGCAGAAGAAGAGGTGTCGCCGTCGCTGTTGTCATCAGTAGTGATGGTCACGGCGGCACAGTTCATAGTGAACTCCTATGCGGCGGTTAGTCGTATGTCTGTATGCAGTAGCATCCCGGGTAATGACTGACCTGCTCGCGGTTGATCCAGGTCCAGGCAAAGACAGCTTCACCGGCGGGCAACTCTTGGGGGACAGTCATCTCGAAGTCCTGGCCAGAGCCAAGCTGGGCATTGCGATGCGGGCAGTTCCCCTCGTAGGAGGCAGCGACCTTGAACGTCTTGCCTTTGTCGGTGGAGAAGGCAACTTGGCAAGAGCCGCCGTAATGAGTACCTGGCAGAAAACCCAGTCAGCTCCTGAGCGAGAAAGACTGCAGGGCGAGCACTTACCACCAAGGTCGTTGAGAGTGAATTTGGGATCGCCAGTGATGTTCCAAGTGACCTTGGAGCCGGCAGCCCAGGTAGCGACTGGAGCACCGTCGGGGGTGCCGAGCAGGTCGAGGTAGCCGCGGCAGGTGGCCTTTGTGTCTTCCCTGCCGCAGCAGCCCATGGGGTAGACGTAGATGTTGTCTGCCTCGGTGGTGCGGTGGGGATTGTTGCTTGCGTTAAAGGGCGGTGGGTACTCGAGCTGCATGTGGGCCTGCACTGCAGCCAGGCCGCCGAGGGCAAGCAGCAGGCGCGAGGTAGCGAGCATGGTGTACACTGTAGTCTTGGTGGTGCAGCAGAAACGCGCAAACGAGTGGCGTGGACGAGCGCGGCTGGTCCAAAAGAAAAAAAGGGCAGAAGGGACTCGACTGGCGAGAAGAGCAAAGGGAAGGAAGTGAATGTCAAGAAACAGGAAAGGTCGAGGCAAGCCTCGCGGAAACGAAGAAAAAGGCGTCAGGTGGGGAGGAAGGCGCAAGGGCGGGCACAAAGAGGGAAATGGCTAGCTGGCGGGGCATCATCAGGGTATTAAGCATTTCCACAAGGTAACGCTCGCGTGTCCCCAGATCTGCGGCTGGATTTGCGGCAAGACCCAGCCCTTTTTTCTCTTCCGGTCAGGGCGGCAAGCGGCGGCGATGCGGCGGCAAAGCGGCGGCGGCTGGGATGGCGATGGCGGCTCGTGTTTCACACTGCCCAAGTCAAGACGGCCGCCGGCCAGTGCCTTTGCCGCAGCCCGCAAAACATCCGTCACCAAGCCCCGCCCGCAGCTGTCACCAGCACGCCCGCTCTCGGGCTGTGCACCTCTCAAGCGCCGCCCCGGCCCCAAGCCTTCTCGTGCCTTCACCATGCAGCCCGAAAAACCCTCGCCCTGCCAACCACTCCCCCTCGGCACCGCTTCTCCGCCCTTCTTCCTTCTCGTTCGCTCTCGCTATAGCGGGCACAGGCCGCACGCTCGGGTGTCTCGTATTGCATTGCTGCCGCACATTTCGCATTCTGTCGAGTCAAACCACCACCACGTCTCCCCGCCGACTGTGGCGTTCCTCCCCACGCGACATTTCAACACACACTCGCTCGCTCCTTCTCCCCGTTCCTGACGCTGCCTGAGACATTCCGAATGCAGTAGCGACGGCCGGAACCGATGACGTGCGCCACATCCCGGCGGCGATGATGACAGCCACCATCCTTTCACGTCCCCCGCTTTCGAACTGTCGTAGGTAGATTAATTCTTCTCCCGCTGTTTGTGCTGGTAATCAGCCCTGCACAATCTCATTCTGTCACCGTCTTGATGAGTTTCCTGTTTGGGCGCCTTTGAACTGTCATCACTCTGTTCGCCCCACCCTGTACCATCGAAGCAATGCTCCAAGAAGCCCTTCACAGCGGCGAGAACCATGTACGTAACAGAGGCTTGTTGTCTTGACTACTGTCAATATGACGAAGGACCGCCGCCAGTCAACGCCTCATCTGGGTTGAGTCAAGGGCCCCGATACGAACTCAGAAACAACCGTAGCGCCCTGCTGCCGAGCTACTGGAACCTAAAACGGGAGACCCGACAAAGGTCGGGGCCTTGAGCGGCTTGGAAGAAGTACTAATAAGTCATAGGGGGAGTCATGTGTTGCTGAAGGATCGGGCCAGCCGTCTGCTTGGAACCCCCCTCACTCGCTATGCATAGCCTTGCATCACATCCCCACCCCGGTCCGCTAGGTCAATCACATTGGTTGGGTGCCGTTCTTCCGCAGCTGTACCGTGCCTAAATAAGCACGTTTGTCTTCTTCCTTCCATGCCCATAGGACCTTGGACAAAGGTCCTTTTGCCTTACAGTAGCTAAGTGACTCATCAGAGCTAATGCACCAACCTGCATCGGTTCACAGCGCATACAACGGTTGGCCGCATCTGCCGTCGCTACTTTGCCCTTGCGTGCAATATATGAATCTGTCGAAACAAACAAAATAGAATGGGGGGAAAGGAGAAGAAGGCAGATACAAGGAGATAAAATGGCCAAATCGAACGAATCGATTAATACCAACCTGAAATAGAAAGGAAGTCTTCCCGACCGGAAAGATGAAAAGTCTGAGGTAACACGGCATCATGCATGCGATGGCGTTTGGTGTCCCACAATCCCAAAACACTGACATTGACCGAGCAAACGATTCACACAAAAAAGTGGTGGACGTGACTGCCTCCATCCACCGTCTCCTTTCATATGACCTGTCGGGTTTCCCTCCTTTTACCTTGTCGTGCTGCCGCCCGTGCTGCATTGTTCGATTCAGAACCACCTGCCCAAAGTGTCATCTAGGGGAACGTTGAATTATGTACTTGCAATTCACTCTGCTAAGCTCCGCTAACTTCTATCCGGGCGAGCAATACTTGATCTCTCGGTACGATCCCCACAACGTGTTTGTGTGCGCGCAGTCCCATCCATCCATCATCCATCCCATTTTCCGAAAAGCGAACTCGTCGTCGTCTTGGGAGAAAACAGAGGTCAAGAAAAGAAGGGCGTGAGCACATTGCCGATGGAATTCTCCATCTCACGACCGTCATATCTTGCAAGACCCGCTTACAGTTTGGGCGATGGGAAGACAAAGGCCGGTAATTCCCACCCTCAACCCTGATCTAGACCAACCGGTTGAGGAAAGGTGGCAAATTGTGGCCTCCGGGCTTTGTGGGCAAAGGAACAAAAGGTCGAACCACCAGAATGAGCAGCGAATCCACTTCTTCTCCCAGTCTGATGGTCGCGGACGCCGGAGAGGAAATGGGGTACATGAAGGGAATACTAGGGGACTACATGATTTTGAGCGTGTCTTGGGGAATCATAATTCGATGACTAAGGTGTTTATGAAATCGAAAAGGCTAGGGGGAGAAGTGGAGTGATCCGACTCTTTGTTCGCCAAATCCTCCTTACATGATCCGGGGGCATACATGACTTTTTCGAGTGTGGTGATTGGGGGGGGGGTTTCCGTAAGTGCGCGCGTCAACGTTAGCAAGGGCTTCGGTCGGGTGCTGGGTGGTATGTGTATTGGGGGTGAGTGCATGTATCGGTGTCGGGGGGGGCGTGTCTGCGATTACATCGAAGACCGACTCAGGAAGAATGAACGATGCGCATGCCAACCGAGTCGACTAGCGCACCGTCCACGGTGGCGTTCATCCGCATCGCCATTTGGACGAGACCACATGCCGAGCCGACTTGAACGACTATGATGCGCTTCGACTCCTCACAGACCTCGGAGTTTCGGGCGTCTTCTCCGACGTCGGTGGTTCGGGACTCATGGAGCCGGAACTCATGGAGCTACGCCCCATGAACCTGATCATACTCCAGACATGTGCGCTTGCCATGAGATTGCAGTGCCATGCGAGAGCCCCTGTTTGAACTCGTTATCAGGCCATTCAAGCCATCTGACCGGAAGCGCCACCTGTGTCGGTTGCAAGCATTAGTATATATGATAAATGGCACAATAGATAGTCTTGTAGAATGCCTAGTACGGCAACGGATCCACGGGAAGAGGTCCTGGAGGTAATCCGTTGCACAGTTGCGGCGTTGAAAACATGTAAAACATACCGATTTGGCGCTTGATCTGTTCACGGGCCCAGCGGGCAGTGTCGATCGTACGCGGTGAGAAGTCCTTGTTGGCCTTGGTCTCCCTAGCCATAGCCATGATCCACTCAGAGCGGAATAGCTCGGCAAACTCGCCGTTCGGGAACGTGTCCGCGAGATCACTAACTTTTGTCAACTAACATACGAGGCAGTCATGGTTTCATAGAAACATACCCAATGACACCCATAGAAGAACGCATCAACGCCTCAGTGCGGTTGGCATCGGTGTGAACGGTATGGAGGAGAGCGAAGACGGGCTCAACGAAGGGCACAAGCAGGCTCTCTGCGAAAAGTCAGCAGTGTATCCTTAAAAGCCCGAGCTTCAAGGCAGAACATACGCTTTCCACCAAGTTTCATGGCCATGATAGCACCATCCCAAGCATCCATGATGCCCTCGCGGAGCGAAACAATGTAGTCAAGCATCTCGAACGAGCTGTCCTGGGTGAAGTTGACTTGCGAAGCTTGGATCAAGACCTGGGCCACGACCGAGAGGTAGGTCTCAAAGTGACCACCAATGGCGTGAGCAATGTCGCCGAAGCATTGCAGGATAGCAGGCTTGAACTGGTTGCCAAGGGTGGGGCTCCTCAGGTTGTTTAGGAGGTAGTTCATGAAGGTATCGCAGTACGGCTGAACCTTCTCGTTAAGAGAGCGAGTGATGTCGCTCACGAGACCGATGGCCATGGAGCAGATGGCGGGTTCCTCCTGGTTACCAAGAGCGTTGTACAGGTAGGACGAAAAGGCATCCATGTACTTCAAGAAGTCCTCCTCCAGGGCATTGGCGAGCGAGCCAATGGTGGCCAAAACAGCATCGGGTACGCTAGATTTGCCACCAACAGTCGAAAGCAACTGCAGCAGAACCTGCATGATGCGATCAGCCTGGGGCTTGATCTCGATCTCGAGTCTCTGGACAATTGCCTGCAGAACACGTCAGTTGCTGCTATCACTTGGAACGGTAGCGGGCTGCTCACCATGACGACGCTGGTCAAACTGGTCTGCATCTCCTCGAGAGTCATCTTGTCCTCAATGCTGACAACTTGGGATTGCATGGGGACGGTCCTCTCTAGGCGCTCTAAAATGACGTTGGACAGGTGGCCGACCATGCCGAGGCTGTCATTGGCGGAGTTCATGACGAAGGAGTTCAGAACTTCGTACGCAGCAGTGCGTAGCTGGTTGTCGGCATCGGCCCTGCAAAAGCGTGTCAGCTTTGAAGATAGGGTTTTGTTAGATTCGGAAGGGCATACCTCTCGGTGAGCTGCAGAAGGTGCGTCACACTGGCCTGGAAGTGAGCTGACAGAGCATTGGTTTGGCAACCAGGTGCGCCGGCGAAGCGGTCTGCGAGGTTCATGAGAGCCCAGCAGCAGGAAGAGGCCATCTTGGGATGGCTTGCAAGACCGGCGAAAAGGGAGGAAATAAGGGGCTGGAGGTGAGTAGTGGCATCGATAGAGTCGGCGCAAGTCTCGCAGATACGGCCAAGAGCATAGGCTGTCGAATCCCTGACGTGGATAATGGGGTCTTCCATCATACCGATCAAAACCGGCAGAGCTTGCTTCACCAGAGGGTCAAGCATCTTCTCCTCGGGGCCCTCCATGATAGCACCGAAAGCAGAGACCGCAGCGTCACGGGAGTGCCAATCCTCTGCACGGAGGTTCTTCTCCACAAATTGAAGAACAGGCGGTACGACGGCGCTTCCGACAGTCTGAGCCCAGAGCTGCAGGCACTGGTAGGCAGCACGCGAGACGTTGTACTCGTCATCCGCAGCATCCTCGTCCTGCTTAGAGAGGAGCTCAAGAAGGACAGGGACAACTTCCTGAGTCGCAACGCGAGCGAAGTTGAAGTACTCGCGAAGCTCGGTCGAACCCTCTGCGTTGGCCTGTTGCGGAAGGTCAGTCGTCTTCAATACTAACTCAATAAGCAAGCAATTGCTTCTTACCTGTGCGTTGTCGTCTTCGATTGAGATTTCCTCCTCGCAGACGGTGCACCAGAACTCGATGGCAAGCTTGGCAACGTCCTCCTCGTCGCTCTTCATGCCTTGGATAGTAAGTCCGAACAGTGCCTTCTCCATGTAGAAGCTCATCTTGTCATAGTACAGGCCCATGATCCTGTTCAAGCAACCATATGCGCCCTGCTGAATGCGGGTATCGTCGGCTTGAGTAGCTTCGCAGATGACCTGCATGATGTAGTTCCGTTCGCCCTCGTTCTCGAAGTTGGTGCGCACGAACTCGAGGGAGTCGCTGAGCGCAGAAATGGCGGCATTCCGTACGTCGGGGTTGGTCTCCTCCTTCCGTGCACCCTGGACGACGGCGGTGAGAATGGCGTTGGAGTGGTGTGCCAGGCTCTCGCGGAGCTCGCCATCCTCGGTGTCGCAGATAAAACCGATCGTCGTCAGCGATGCCTGCTTCTGGTGATCCACGCCCTTGCCCACGTTCTCCACCAGAGCGGGCATCAGCTCTGGCCACATGTTCTGGGGCATCTCGATGGCGGCGACTGCGGCAATGAACTGCGCCGCGGCGTTTCCTGCACGGCCATCGCTGGAGGCCAAGGTCTGCAGCGCCAAGTTCTTCACCTGGGTCCTGATCGGCTCAGGCTGGCCCATCCACCGCGCCTGGACCTCCCGTAACCTGGTGTACTCGCGCGCGGTGAAGGAGTTCTTGAGGGCCAGCGCGGCGGCGGTCCGGATGTGAGGTAGGGCCTGCTCGTTGGCGAGTTCTGTAGCGAGGGTGGTGAGGTAGCCAGACTGGGATCCATGAGGTCAGCAAAATTGGTCGTCTCGGGCGGGGCACTGGTGCGTGACCCGGCAGGCGGGCGGAAACGTACGAAGTCGGCCTCGGAGGCCTGGGTGAGCTGCTGCTCGGCATTGGTACGGATCGTGGCATCTGTTCGCAGCGGTCAGCGGCGGTTGTTTTGGGCTGCGGTACCAGGCTCAGCGCGGCATACCTGGAGACAGAGTCCCCTCGAGCACCTGGTTGACATCCATGCTGGCGCGCTAAGAGGGGGACTAGGCGGAAGCTTGGGGGTGGGAGGGCGGTCTAGAGTGCTGAGCGGCGGGCGTGCCTGCGGGTGCGGCGCCTTGGTGGTGGTGGTGGTTTGGGCGTCGTTGCGTAGAGATGAGCAAGCGAAATCAAAACACGTGAAAGGTTGCCTTGTTGCGCTTTGGCAGCTGGCAGGCCGGCACGGGAAGAGAGCGAGGATGCGCACAAAGAAAAGAGCCCGTGGCAGGACGGCGTATGACAACGGCCGAGCAAACGCGAGGGAGAGAGAAGCGGGTGGAATGGATTGTTGTGTCTGGCAGGCGCCGTCGAGAAGCAAATCATGCAGAGCTAGAGGGGCAACGATCCGCCCCGAAGAAGCTCCGGCTCGTCATTTTGACCTCGCTCGTCGGTGCGAGCACGCAGCCAGCCAGGCCGGCCCCGCCCAGCAGCCCGAGCGCGTGCCTGCCTGAGCTGCCCTACGTGCGGCTCTGCTGCGCGGGCACGCGGGCGGTGCGGTGCCTGCGCTATGTTATATACAGAACTGTCCTGCGGCTCTAGCCATTACGCGCGCCTTCCCCGCCTCCAGCGTGTCCCTGTGCTCTCCCCGCCAGCCCCAGTCCAACCGAGGGCGCACACGTATCTACCGCTACCCATCCGCCCGCAATTACCTGCGTCCGCTGCGTGGATCCTCCGCTTCCTTCCGTCTCCAGTCGCGCAGCTCCTTGGTGCCGAGACTGCCCAGCCCTCCCTCGCTGCGCCGCTCCCAGCCTCCCAGACGCACCACGAGCGCCGTTGCGTTGTCGCCGTCCTGCGACACTTCGGTCGCGAAGCTAACCACCTCGCGTGCCCCCTGCTCTGGCGTCCGCGCGTCCTTCACAATGTCCACTATCTCCTGGTCGCTGAGAGTCCCGGAGACGCCGTCCGAGACCATCACCATGAACGAGTACTCTGCAGGCGCAAGCTCTATCCGCCGGATCTCGGGCTCCGAAGACACGCCTACTCGCTTCGAATGCATGTCGCCGAACGCGCGCGTGTTGGCAAGGCCAAATATACGCTCTTCCCCAAACGAGTCCGTGGCGAAGGCGGCCGCATATCTCCGTAGCCGTTCCTCTTCCGACGGCAGGGACGGATGGTGATTCGACGTCAATGGCATGGGCTGGCCCGTCGCCGTGTTGCAAAGAATGATGCGCGTATCCCCTACGTGGGCCGTGACGATGGTGGATGCAGAACCGGGGGTCCAATAGGGTGCCGGCGTTGGAGTAGAGATCAGAGCAATGCTGCACGTGCTGCCTCCCTTGAAACGCTTCGGTCCGCCAATCCTCTTGCCAGCCTGAGATGGGCGTTCCAGGATGTCTTCGTCGTTGATTGCGCGGTCTGCCTCGACCAAGTCCTCATCGGCCTTGTTGACCTGCGCCGAGACAAAGTCGAAGTCGGCTTTCAGGAAGGCGTAGGTCAGAACCGTCTCGATGCCGACTCCTTCGGCCACATCGTCCGAGATGTTTGTGTGTTGCATTTGGCGGCGGCGCTGTACCTCCTCCTTCTCCAGGCTATGGCCTTTGCCGCCGGCTGATGTGGAGAAGAAGTCTGGCTTGAAACGCTTGAAGTAGCCCCCGACCAGGTCTCGCCATGAAACGACGATTTCCCGTTCAAGCTGTTCTGCATTGGGCACGTTACCGGACTGCTTCACTGAAGTTGCTCCGTGTGGAGGCGGGGTTGTGTCATCTCTCCCGTTTGGCGGAGTCTCTCCATTCGACGTGTCTGGCACTCTCGCGGGCTCGGTTCCAGGAGGCGTGTGCGTGTCAATCGCTTGAAGACTTTCGCGGCCACTAGGCGAGGGGTTGGGGCGTTCTGAGGTATCGGGGTCGCAGAGACTGCTTTTGTGTGTGAGGCTGCTCTTGAGCTCGAACAGCTGGGTGCTTTGCTCCAGGTACTTGTGTAGCCGCTCCCTCAAGAAGTCGCTGCACTCATTGCCGCCGTGGCCGTCAAAGATTCCATAGTAGAAGACCTGCGGGTCACCGCTGGCGCTGTCTGCCGACGTGTTCTCGGAGAGGATAGCCCTGTTGCTCCGTGTCAACGAGACAGGCTGCCTCTTGGCGAAAGCAGGTATCTCGATGGTGCCAGCCTGGAATGCATCCTCGTTGTAGGGGCGCTGGCCTCGCGACACGGAGACGCCGAAGTGGTGCTTTGCGCTGCGCAGAGGGATGCGCACGACGGTTGTCTCGCGCGCGCCTTGGAAGGGCGGGGCGGCGGCAGGCAACCTGCTGCCGTCACGTTGGGTGTGAGGGGTCGACTTGTCGCGCGGGAGCTTGTGGCCCGGGCCGGCGACGTGGTGCTGGTCAGGATGCAGCGACGACGAGGGGAGATGGGTGACGAAGTAGTCGTGGAAGCAGCGTGCTTGGTATTGGAGGCGGCGGCATGAGCGCGATGTTAGCACAGAGGGCGCTCGGCCGGCTCTGACGATGCGAATGGACGGTGTGCACATGCTTTGGCGACGAGGACGGCGAGCAGCATGGTGCCTAGAGGCGGAGCGCCGGCGGGAGGCTTATCGGGAGCATTGGAGGCGGCTTGGAGCGACGATGATGGCGGCGGGGAGACGGAGAAATGCCTGCTTGTGTGCTCCGCGTTCGCCCGCACTTCCCCCATACCCCAGCCCGCCCGCAGCAGCGCCTCACATCTGCCCTTGTGCCCTCACGCCATCCCCCAGCTGCGCCCCAGCCCCGGCTCGTCCGCCGCAGTCGGCGCTTCTCTCGAGAGACCAGACGATCAGCCAAGCCCGGCGCCGCAGGCCAGCCGAATCGGCGGCGGCATGCCCGGGAAACGCGCGGATCTCTGTCAGCGCATCTGCACAATGACGATTGGGCGAGCTTGGAGCCACCGCACTTCAGCCTTGCGCGCAGCAAACATCAACAACACACCGTGTGGAAAGGTGCCAGAACCGGGGGTGACGATGCCGTCGTATACACAGTGGAGCCCACCCCCAAGTGGGCCGCAATTTATGGTCATGAGGGCTGGTCGAACCACCGCCTGCTCGCCTGTGCGTGGATCTCCGTGCTGGGCAGCCTGACTTCGTTTGCTCTGTGATACGGTGATACGGATGCAAAGCCATCGTGAGAGTCATCTACCACGAACCCGCCGTGGCAATAGGTCGGCCGATGCGAATCTTCACTTCATCACGCCACGAGCGCCAGTACGTTCTTTCTTTGCTTCGTCCAGCTTACAAGTATTTCTTTTGCTCTACTCAGTCCACGCGCGCCAATATAATGCATGCTCTCATGTGCAATAGCTTTGAAGACAATACCGTGATCCCAGTACCAGCAGTGCTTGCGATCGTCTGAGTTAGAGCTTGAATGCATTTGTGGCCTTCTACATTACCTAGAGCAGACATGGCGGGCAAGTAGGTTACTCAAAGAGAGCGTAATATCACGACTTGTAAGCACATGCACGACAGGTTTCTCCATTTCCTTCTATCATTTCTACCCAAAGTCTCCCATCCCATGGACAAGAAAGTAAGGCAGATTCCCGAATACTAGAAAAGGTAACCCGTCGAAGGGAGCTCAAGGTCCCATTGCTACCCTCAGAGGAAAGAGCAGACGAGCAGACACTCAGCGGTGCTGGGCGAAGAAGCCCCTGGCGACAGGGTGCGTGAGCACCTCTGCCTTCAGGAGCTCCTCGGGCGCCACCCCACCCGGCGTCCACAGCTTGGACACCAGGTGCGGGGTGACCCCCAACACCACGGCGTGTTCCTCTTCCATCGGCATAGCACTACCGCCACTCTGCCGACACTCGACCGAACCACGGACAGCCATGGTCGCAAGGTTGACCCTGGCCCCAGCCACGTCGAACGCCATGTGCCAGGCGCGCGCCGGCATGCCACGCACAGCACCGACGACCTGGAGCGCCTCCTCGACCAGCGCCTCCATCTGCTGCACGCCGCTCGAGCGCTCCGAGATGGGGATGATGGGGTTGAGCACGCCGCACACCTCGGCCGTCATCGCCTTCGCCTCGGCGACGCGCCAGGCGCCGGGGGCGGCGAAGGCGGCGCCCAGGATCTCCGCCTTCTCCGTGGCGACCTCGCGCTGCTTGGCCGGGTCGCGGGCGGAGGTGCCGGCCTCGAGGTCGTTGAGCTCGCGCAGACGGGCGACCGTCTCGTCGCCGAAGCGCTCGTTGATGACGGCCTCGCCGAACAGGCGCTCGAAGATGGCGCGGTTGACGTGCGCCGTGACCAGCAGCGTGCGGAACTCGAGCTTGTTGAAGACGCGCTCCAGGTCGAAGCTGCCGACGAGCGCGCCGAGCGTTTTGATCATGTCGGCGGTGCGCTGCTCCTTGGAGCGGACGGACGTGTGGATCGTGCCGCAGTAGACGTCGGCCCACGTCTCGATTTTGGCCAGCATGACGGCGTACATGTTACGCACGGTCGGGAGGTCGGGAGCGGACTCGGGAGACTGGCCGCTCGCCAGCTGCCGCTGGGGCGGAGGCTGCCTCCAGTTCGTCGAGGTCAACGCCTTCGATGACGGCGGGCGCTGTTGGTGAGGACCGGCTTTGGCAGGAGTGCCGCGCAGATTCTCAGAAGACGACGGGCGAGACGACGTGGCCAAAGATGCCATGGACGATTGCTTAGACGCGACAGGAGACTGCTGGAAAGGGTCGTCGAAGCGGCCAGACTGATGGAACGAAGCGCGCTCACGGAGCGCCGGGCTGGACTTACGCGTGTTGAGCGGGCCATGAATGCCGAAACCAGGGTTGAACGTGTTGCTGGCCTTCGAGGCAACGGACCGCGGCGTACTCACGATGACGGGGCTCATGGCTGCCGTATCGGAAAACGGAACCAGGCTCGTGTTCAAATCATCCATATCAGGCGGGGGGAAAGACCTGTTGGCCTTTGCAAGAGCGGCCCTGCTTGGAGTAGGAGTGACTTCGACACCGGACGGAAAGGTAGGCTGGGCCTGGGGGGTTGACTTCTTGCCAGCCGAAGTGGGCTCGTTGACAGACTGGCCTGCAGTCTTGTTGGGAGTGCTGTGAGCAGGCGTCTGCTCCTCGAGCTGGTCTCCACGCGAAGGCGGCTGCTCGCCGGGGCTGCGCAACATGAACCGCACGTCACCTTGAAGCAGGAGGACTTCGTTCTGCAGCACAAGGTTACGCGCCTGAAGGAGACGGCGGTCTTCGTTGCTCCTGCGGAACTGCACGTTGAGCTCACGGAACTCACCCATGAGCTCAGTGTACTCCTGCCTGCTCTGCTGGTATTGCTTCATGGCTTCCTCTTTGGATACCTTGTCTTCTTGCTTGGCGTCTTTGCACTCCCGTTTGATGTCTTTGTTCTCCTGTTTGATGTCCCTGCATTCCTGCTTGAGTTCCTTGTACTCCATCTTGAGCTCCTGGTACTCATTCATCCTTTCTTCCAACTGCATGGCCTTCTCGGCAAGCTGGGCTTCTACAATGCTAAGCCTGTACGCAAGCTGGGTGGAGGCATTGTCCGGCATCGGAGCAACTTCGAGGCCGCTGCCTCCGTTGTTTGCCTGCGGGGTGTGATCCATGTCGTCCATCGTGTCGAAATCGTCGTAGCTGAATGAGTTGAGTTCGGGAGTACCGAGCAAAGAAACCCCACCGTTGTTTGGCGTGGAGCGTTCCGATCCGATAATGGTTGATCCAGGTCCGTTCGCGACGAGCTCGTTAAGCTGGTCGTTCTCAGCTGCGTTGTAAACGTCAACCTCCGGTGTGCTATACGTTGGCACGTTTCGATCGTTGATGGAGACGGGGAGGGTAGAACGGCTGTTGTGATGCGGAAAGTGGTGCCTGGCGTGCTCTTCCAAAGCTTGCTGGAGCTGCACGAGCGACACGTATTGAGCAGGCGTGGGTGGCGCCGAGGGAGTGAAAGGTGTTGGGCTGCCGCGCGACGGCGGGTAGCGAGTATCTGCACCCATGGTGAGTCTTATCAGGGTTAGCCGATTCATGGAGAGGAAGGACAACTAGAGATATCTCACCGTCTAGAGCGTCTAGGTCAAAAGATCTTGCGAACACACTGTGCGGAGCTGGCACGGCCGTGTGCGAAGGCCTCGTTGACGAGGTATTCGCAACACAAGAGTTGTCTGTCTCTCGGTTCTAGAGAAGGTGAAGTGACTTTTCTGGTGCGAGGCTGTTCACAAGTGTTGTGGGTGTTGTTGGTGACAAGGTGAGGAACAACCTTCTGCAGCTCCGCCGAAACAGCCGGACTTGCGAAACAAAGCGCCTGTTGGTACTTTGATTGCGGGACCCGCGGGTGAGCTTGCGGTTGGTTGGTGAAGTGGATGGCGGCGTGCGTGAGGTTTCCCTTTTTCACTGTCTGCGTGCGCAGTGGCCGGACGCGATGCTTGTCGTGGCGCCGACGCGCTATGGCTGCAGGCACTTCGAGCTCGCGGGCGAGCAACTGGAGATGGTAGAATGGGAACGTCGGAAGCCTGTTGTGCGGACTAACTTGACCAGCTTTCGAGCGACGTTGAGGGGGGTGAGGAGAGGAAGAGGAAGAGGTCGCCGGGAGGGAGGGCGGCCTTTTATGGAGGCATCGCGCAACCAGCTAGACACCGGGGCACGTGCAGGCCCAAGGCGGGAGGCGCATCGCCTGTCTGTTGCGAAGTGAAGTCAGATAGGGCAAGCCAGGTGAAGAGTCAAGAGAAGTGCCATCCATTCGGCTCATTGCGAGTCTGCCCAAATCAATGTGAAGCCAAATGCTGGTGACGAGGCAGTGTATCTGAAGGAGTGTTGACCTTCCACCATTAACATTTCCTTGTATAAACGATTTTGTGTGCTTGAGAGTGAGGGTTCTGAAACAGCCATCCACATGTGCTTGTCTGTTGTCGTCAAGTTGTGAGGGTCGGCGTCACAAGTGGAACCTAGATACTCACGATTGCGCTTGAAAAGCTCAACAAGCCGCTTCAACAATTCACTGAATAGCTCGATTTGCAGCTATTATTTAGCCAATGCAGAATCAGATGTTCGGTCGACCACCAATAGTAAGGATCGATAGTTGACGCATCCACTGAAAGAATTAACATTTCTCCTCGGTGTGCAAACTTTTCGATTTCAGTATGAACGAGACAGTCGAGCAAGCAGCATCGGCAACGAAAAATTGGCTCAATTGAAATCAAACATTTTTGTATTACAAACTGTACATCTATGAATTTTTGTGCAGCTCAATGAGCCGAATAGGGCGCAGGCGCGTGAACGCAGCACCCCAAGGATGAAATGCGACGGTATAGACCTGACACGCATTAATAGTCAAGAAAGAAGACATGGTGGTTGAGGGCAATAATGGGGACGGCGTAGTATGGGGGGCGCGAAGATGTCCAGATTGAGCGCTAGATATGACGTCATCTGATAACGAGTCAGCAGAGGCCGAGGATTTTCATTCCACGGCAGTCGGTATGGATGGACGTTTCGAGTGGCTTTCATGTCAGGCCACGGATTCTGGCGTTTGTAAAAGGTTGTGAAGTGGCGAGTGTGCTTCGCATTGGGACGGAATATTAAGCAGCTCAGTGTGCGGGGCGAAGCGCCTGTTGAAGTAACGACCATATTAGAGCACAGTACAGCATGGGACGCATGTAAACCAGTATCTTAGTCTCAGCTTGTGTCATGCATGCTTTGGCAATAACGCCAAGCCGTGAGCAAATGCTATTGACACGAACCCAGGGAAGCCGCTATCCAGGAAAGACACATACCCACCGAACTCCCATATAGACCATAGCCCGACACGAGAAGCTGCGTTGGTTGTGCTGCCTTAGACAGCCTTGGAGAAAAGGCTGCGGTAGACGGCATCGACGACGGGCTGGGCGGTGATCTGGCGGCCGCCGAAGAATCTGCCGTTGAGGCCCTTGATGGCATTCTCGCCGCCCTGGACGGTTTCGAACTTGACGTAGATGTCGCCTTGTGTGTTCGGATCTAGAGCAATGTGAACGACCGTGCCATACTTGTTCTGGCACTCCTCTTTGACGTCATCCTCGAGCTCCCTCATCCAGGCTTCTCCCTCTTCCCTGATGACGAATTAGCCTTTCAATCTGCACTGTGGGGTGGCTGACTTACTCCTCGGGGTCGAACATATTCTTCAACACAACACAACGACTAGCCTGGTTGACGGTGACCGGGAGAGTGCGAGCCGCCGGCACGACGGGCTTGATGATCTTCTGTTTGTCGGCACCATTGGTATCAGCAGGTTCGTCAGTACGCGCAAGCTTTCTCATGAGAGCATCTCTGCTGTAGTTGTTGAAGTTCACGCCGGCAACATCAGTATCGTCAAGCGCGCTGGCACCACCGGTACCCTTGTCGTTGTCACGGCCTCCAGCACGGTCGAAAGTGCCACCGGAACCTCCGGCATGAGCGCCACGGCCACCGGAGCCCGAGAAAGCAGAACCCTGGAAGCTGGGTGGGCCCTGGCCATTGAAACGTTGGAGAAGATTGGCGGTGGACTCGGGAGTGAACTTATCGTTGCCCAAGCCAACACGGATGGGCCGTCCAGCCAAGTCGAAACCGTTCATCTTCTCAAGAGCTTCCTTAGCCTGAGCGGGATCGCGGAACCTACCCGAATTAGCATACCCTGATAACTTCGTATAGGGCCAAACTTACTGCACAAAGCCATAACCACGGCTACGGCCGGTGTCCTCTTTCTGCAGTTGTACGAATTCCAACTCTCCGAAAGGCTCAAACACATTCTGCAAGTCGCTCTCAGTGATACTGAAGTGAATGTTTCCGACATACAACCTGTGGAAGGGTACGCCATTGTTGTTGCCACTGTTCCCATCTCCAGTGCGGGCTTGACGGTTCTTCTCGGCTTCCGTGAGCTGGGCGATGATGGGAATTCCCATTAGTTTCTGGCCGGTGAGCTGAATGGCTTGCGGGACAGACTCCTCGTTCTTGAACTCGACGTATCCGACTCTGTGGGTCATAGTCAGCAAGAACACGTAGAGAGCATGAGGAAATGAACGCACCCCTTGGAGCGGCCGCTGACACGATCCTTCACGATCTGCGCCTCCTTGACGGGGCCAACCTTCTCGAAGAAAGCAATTAGATCCTTGGTCCTCAAACGAGCTGCAAGCTGCTGGACGAAAACAGTACGACGGTCACGTTCATCCTCGGTCAAGGGTGGGCTGGAGGAACGCTTGGTTGAAGGGGAGCGGCGGCGTCCACCACGGCCACCAAAGCCGCGTTCCCTATCACGGTCGCGACCACGGTCACGTTCACGTTCACGATCGCGGTCGCGTTCACGGTCGTCTTCGCCGCGGCGGCCGGGGCGTCCAGACGGACGGTAGTGCCTATCATCGTCGGGGTAGGGCGAACGGGATCTCGAGCGGGCGCGGCCGCTGCCGCGGTAGTAGTCGCCGCCGGAGCGGTAGCTGTCGTCACGGTCAATCGAGTCTCGGGCACGACGGTGGCGTCTCTCAGAATCGCGGCTCCTGCTGCGGCGCTTGCTCCTCAGGCTGCCGGTGGCGCTGCCCCTGTCGCTTCTCGGGCTCCGCATCTCAACATCGTCGTCCAGGTCGCGGCGGGGGCGATCGCGGCTGCGGTCACGACGCTTGCGATCACGTTCGCGAGACCCATCTCTGGCGCGGTCGCGCTCGCGGCGCTCGCTTCTCTCGTTCTTCAGGCGGTCATCGTTGTCAGCGGAGCGGGGCGTGTCCCTGGACTCCGCGGCGCTGGCGTTGGCTGTAGAGTCGAGGAGGGCCTCAACGTCTAGACCTGACATGGCGGAGTTGGAACGCTGTCAAGCTAAACGTGCGGAGTGAGGAAGATCACTGGAGGTGCGTGGGTTAGCACGCGCCGTGGGATCGGGGGTGTCGAGGCGGGCACACCCTGTAACTGTGACGAGCTCGCGGGGGGGCGCGGTGGCGGCAACTTGGCGCAGAAGCTGCAGGCTGCGGAAAAGGCTGGGGCAGACACGCGCAGTCTCAAGCACAATGGTGTCGGGCAAGGATTGCGCTGCCGATGGAGGGAGAGGGCGGGAGGCTGGCGAGACGCCGGGACAGGTTAAACTTTGGTCGAAGCGATCGCGTCACGTGCCCTCGGGTTGCCGTCCGCGTCGCCTGCCGCGCGCCTGGCCGGCGGCCAGCCTCCGCGGCCGATCCTGCAGCGATCGCCCGCACATGCCACTTGCATCATGCCACAGCCGTCGCAGCACTCCAGGGGCTCGCAGAGCAATTAATATTAAATATGTAGAGTTGTGCGGCATGAGGACGTAATCGTAAGACTGCAGGCAACACCGTCCCCGGCCCCCCGCAAGCATTCCGCTTGCCGCGTGCGGCCATCCCGCCTATGCCCCGCAGCGCCTCCCGGCTTCCACCGTCATTACAAGTATGGTACAGCAACTACATGTATCCCAGCGCCCTAGGCCGTCTTGACGACCTTTGGCGGCGGCAGGGACAGCTCCGTGTTGAACACACGGTCCCAGAACTTGCTCGTCACGCCGAAGCCATTCTGGTAATCGGCGAAGTGGTGCTCCAGGTGATACTTCTTGAGCTCGCGGTAGTAGGCAGGAAGACTGGCGGAGCATTAGCTAATGGAATTGGCCAATCGACGGGCGTACTCACTTGCGGTGGTGCAAGAAATAATGGGTCAGGTCATAGCAAATGTAGCCGAAGATGCCGCCACAGAAGACGGCAGTTGCGGCATACCAGTTGTACGCGAAGACGGCGTGAGCCAGCTTCCAGAAGGGAGTCGCGAGGACCAGAAAGAGCGTAGGAGGCATCACGAGCCGGTACTTGTCCATGGGCAGGTAGTGGTGGATGCCATGAAGAAGAAAATGGAGCGTGATGCCGACGCGGTTGTCAGGAAGATATCTGCAAGCTGTTAGTCCATGAACGACGTACACGTTAAGCAGCGGGAGGGAGCGTACCCATCCAGATGGAAGAGGAAGCGGTGCAGAATGTACTCGACCAGAGTCCATAGGCAAAGGCCGAGGACAAAGTACAGGCCAACCTGAACAGACGGCAGCTCTTGGCTAGCCAGATAGACGCCATACGACACAGGAGGGACCCAAACCGTGGGAACGACCCACCATGCCGTCAAGCTCAAAGGTTCGAGGAAGTTGCCAAACAACGGGGCCGATTTGCCCCCCTTGTAGTGCCTTGGCCGGTGGACTTGCTCCAAGTAGAAATTCTTGGAGAAGCCGCCGAACCAAACCTGCGGAAGAAGCGGCTTGTTGAGATCCAGGAACTTGTGTGTCTTGTAGTCGGTGGAGATGTCCGTCTCCTTGTTCAGATCCTCGGCGGAGGACAGTCCCGTTGCCTCAAAGACGTACTGTTCGCCTCCATTGGCCTTCAGCTCCTCCAGCCCTTCCTTCGTAGGCGGCAGCGGCACGATGTTGTCGGGATGGCCGCTCTTGGTGGCGGCGTTCAGCACCTTCTCATTGGCGACGAAGCCCACGAGATGCTCGTCGAGAATCTCGTAGGCCGAGTCGGAGTGTGTGTGCGAGATCTCGTCGGCCAGTATGTCCGTCACATCCTTGCCGCCGTATTCGAGGATCAGGTCGCCGCCGCCGGGATGGTCTTCGACGAAGGAGGTGATGTCGAAGACCTTGGAGCCGATGGTGACATAGCACGACTCGGCAGAGTCATGGGCCTGGACTTCGGCCTGGGTGATGGTCGGGAGGGTGCGGCCGGGCATGGTGTCGGTGTTGCGCGGCGGCGAGTCGCGAAATCGGCGGAGATGTTTGCGGAAGGCAGGCAGCAGCCGACGGGGAAGCGCAGGGGCGGGGACGCGTCGCGGCGGCTTTTATTTGGCCTGGACTGGTGTTTACTTCTCCTGAGGACTGGTGGCAACGGAGCGCGTCGGAAATGAAAAACAGCGACCAAGTAGACATCGGGGAGCGATCGGACCCGGCGTGCGCTGGACCCTGGGACGGTCTGGAGACCCTCGTCTGACACTGGCGCCTTCCCATCCGCGACCAACCGTGGCCCTCGACCCCAACCCCAGCACGGCAACTTCTCTCGTCATCGGCGCGCTGGCTGCTTGCCGCTGCCCTGCCGTGCGAGCTGCCGCTGCGCCATCTGCAAGCCAGTTTCGCAGTCGCGATGGGCCTTGCGCATCCCTCACCGCCTTTCGCAACCACGCCTACACAGCACAACCGGTACCACAGATCAGCAGCCACCCTGCCCGGCACTGTGCCACCGAGCGAGAACATCCCGATGGACGGCCAGGGCTTGCCCACCGACCTCTGGTGACTCGGAGACGTGCCGCAAGATTGTTAGCGAGGATTTACCCAATCAGGAAGTTTGATTGAGATGGAACAGGATAAATCTCTTGTACTCTCGGACCACCCACCGCACCATGCCCGCCTTGCAAAGGAATTGAGCCCGCCCGTGTGTCTAGCATTTCATAGCCATTAATGAGTGGGATCCTACATCTGACGCGAACATGTGGTATCTCGACTCGCATCTACGTCGCGACATTTGCTTCGACTGCCCACGAAGAAAGAGTGTCAAAGCATATGACTGTGTCCGATCATCTGCTTCAACTGCCCACAAATGTATGCTTTCGAGACTTGCATCTTTGTCCAGACGTTTGCTGCAAATGTCCCCGAAGACAGGCTGTTGAACAAAGCCCAAACCTGCGTCCAGATATTTCATTCCACTGCCCACGAAGGAAGCCCAACACTGCGTCTGGACATTTGATCCAACTGCCTACGTAGAGATTCAAGTTCATTGCAACCAGCTGTGCCGCAAGCTCATCATCTCTGATTTTCTAGGTTTCTTGTTCCGCTGTGCTTGCGCTTTCATCATGCTGGTTCGTAACAAGTCGTGCAGAGGTCCAAGTTGGCTTCTCGACCCTACCGTCGGAAGGAGACCAGCGATTGTCAGGATTACCTCCCACGAAGATCTCACTTCCTCGGCTACAGGTGCCTCACTTGGATCCATGTGGTCCATAGCCTTCCACCCGCATCCTCGACACTATCTCTTCCACCTCATCCATTTCGTTAAGCCATCGTGATGGAAGACAAGAAGCGCTGCAGAACGCTCGATCGCTTCCTCGAGCCGCCGCCGCCATATCCGCCTTTGTCACCCGGCATCGAGATCGCACCCGAAGGCCGCGCCGTTGTGGACACCAGCAACGGCATCGACGAGGTCTACTTCCTCTCCTGCCATCCGCTTTCCTTCAACGGCTCTCTCAGCGACACGGACGGCGACGAAGAGTGGATCGAAGACTATGTCACTGAATTCCTCGTAGACAGGGCCAAGTGCCGGCCCCAAGCCAGATCCAACGGCGTCTGGGTAGACGACGACGCGATCGAGTCTGAAACCGAAAGCAGCAGCACCGAGAAGCACGACAGCAGTGACGAGAGTGACGATGAGAGTGGCGACGAAGACGGCGACGAAGACGGCGACCAAGACGGCGACCAAGACGGCGACGAGGATAAAGACAACATCTTTGACTCCCAAGCCCGAACCTGGCGCACTGTCCTCAAGCGCCGCGAGCACGCCGCCATCAACTACACCACGCAGGCGCGGCTGACTCACGAGCCCATCAACCTCGAGACCTGGCAATCACACCTCCTCATCAACACCACCATCAGGAAGATCATCTATAATCTGGAAGGCAGGTCAACCCCACATCCACTTCTTCGGAGCCATCAAAGCCAAAAAACGGACTGATTAATTCCCATAGCAGCCTCACTCTTCATCCTTCGCGACTCACGCCACACCTTCCCTTTCCATCCTCCCATCACCTGCGCGCACCCCAGCTGCCCGCTCCCCTCTCGTTCCATCACCGCCGCCGGCACCGCCTATCTCAGCTTCGAGTCCGTCCCGACCTCGGCCCTCAATCATCCCATCGACGGCGGCCTTCAGACCTCACCCGGCATCCAGGTCACGGACGACGTCTTCATCCCGGTTTTCATCTGCCCCGTTCGCGAGGCATCCTCATACCCCTTCACCTCTTCCAACGAGAAAGGAGGCGCCAGCAACGGTAGCAGCAGCAACGGCAGCCCCTACAGGCCCGACTACCGCGCCCCGACCACCGCCACCGCAATCGGAAAGCACCCGCTGACAACAGCAGCAGACGGCTACCACCACGCGCCAGAAGAGGAGATTGACTGGATCGACGAGGACGAAGACGAAGAGAACGCCGAGTTTATTGTCCACGCATCCTTCTGCATCTCCTGCCTTCGCGACCTCTACGCCGGCGCTGTGGCTCCCGAGACCAATACAACCACCGAAAACGATATCAGCATCAACTCTGACGGCGATCGCTCACAACCGGTCACCTCCGGAGAAGAATACGAAGACTACGAAGATCACGAAGGCTACGAAGACTACGAAGACTACGAAGAAGAAGAGGCAGGGACGGAAGAAGTGCAAGGAAATTCAGGATCGGAGATGGAGAAGATGACTAGCGTCGTGGAAACCGGCGGCGGCGGCAACTCAGGCAGCCGAGGCAATGATGGTGCCTGGAGCGCCGTGAACCTAATGACGATGGACGAAGAGCAAAAGAACGGCGGCGGCAACCAGCAGCAACCGCAGTCTCCAGCCATCCGTATCCCGCAGCTAGATGGTGTGAACGACCCGCAAAGTGGTGGAGGCGGCGGCGGCGGCGGCGGCGGTATTGCGAGCGGTGGCTTGGGCTGCGTTGTGATGTGAGCATGCAAAACAGTCCAAAGTTTTGGCCCCGCATGCAACCAGGATTCAGGTTCCATGCTGAAGCGAAGTAAGGCACAACATGAACAAACAAAAAAGGAAGGGGGGGACATTCAAGGCCAGATACCAAGGGCGTGGCTGCCGGACCAATTTTGGTAGCGAGGTCGTTAGTAGATCATGACTGCAGAAGAGACCATGAATGAAAACTTCATTAAATACGAACTATACAGCATCTACGTGAGGCTCTCACGAAGAACGCAACTCCATACCGGGAATGAGGAAAAATATACATTACCAATCCGTAATCAACTCGTTCCACGGTTCCCTGTTCTCATCCAACACCTTCCTCGCACTTTCCTCTCCGACAACCGGCAGCTCTTTCACGCCCTTCTTCCGCCAGTGTTCCGGCACATCCTCGATATCAAGCAAACCCACTTGCACCAACACTGCCGCCTGGTCCCAGTAAACGTGCTCGCTGTAGATCTTTGCACCGCGCATGGCCACGATGTTTACCAGCACGATCTCAACGGGCAAGTTGGTGGGCGGGATGCCAGGCAGGATCCACGGCATGGGTTGCGCGTGCTTGAAGCTGACGAGCAGCTCGTCGACGATGCGGTCGACGCCGATGGTGCGCGAGATCAGGCGCGTCTTCAGGCCGGTGGGCGGGTTCGCGCGGGGGCTGATGGACGGCAGGAAGTACTCGTTGTAGAAGCGGGCGAGATCCTCTTTCCCCTTGCCGCCCGTCATGGTCGGCGTGTAGGTGACGTGCGGCTTGAGGCGGTCGGACATGGTGCTGAGAAGTTTCTCGGTATTGGGCGTGCGGAATTTGTCTAGTGCTGTCGGCTTCATTGTACCCGATGACGAAGATTGGCAGACGGTGACTTACGCTCCTCATTCTCTTCCCAGGCGGTTTCGATGTCCAGCTCGGCTGAGAAGCCTCGCCGGACGGTGTCAAGAGAGCGGCTCCACGCAACGGCGTCAGCGACCTTGTCATACTCATCCAGGTCGTGTTCGGCGAAACCAGGCTCGACGCCTTGGTATGTGAAGCACGGGTACTTCAGCTTCGACTGCAGGCCTCCGGTGCCGATGCCTGGCGTGATCTTCTTGGTGACGGTCCTCCTCTTGCCCTGGATACCCAGGATTTCCGAGTTCTTGTTCACGCCGATCTGCGTGCCAGCAAGGTGCACCATGATGCGCAACGAAGGCATGAACTGGGTCTGGGGGTCGGGAATAGACGAAGGGTAGTAGGCGACGAGCGCGCTGAGCTTCAGGTCCTGGCGAATGAAGGTCTCGAGACAGACGGAGGCGGCATCGCCGAAGGCTGGAGGAGCAGAGCTTAGCCATGCGACACTAGACGCTGGGGAAGGGCAGTAGGATAAGTACCCACTATGGCATACGTGCCGCCTACGCCGAGGCCGTCTTTGAGCGAGTGCAGCGTCTTGACATATTGCTTGCCGCCGTCGCCAAAGGGCAGATAGTGCACGTCGAAACCCTCGTCACGCCATGCCTGCAGGGTGGAGTCGTCAAAGTCGTCACTCTCAGCAGTCACATACAAGCACGGCGTGGTGGCTCTCCAGTTCAGAAAGGCGCTGCCGCCGTGGACCTTAAGGGTAGCCATGGGGGGGTCCGGGGATGTAGAGGAGAGGGCGCTCGAGTCCAAGGACAGGTGCTAGCAGGCGTCATTGTTGTGTGAGACATGGATGCTGCGAGTGTGCCAGGTTCGGCAGAAGCCGGCCACGCGGGGCACAACACGCGCAAGCCCTCAATGACGTCATGCCTGCAGGGGTCCGCGAGCTCTGGAGCTCTGACCCTCGGCCTGCCTCTGCCTTCGACACCACATCTCGGCTCCCACAGTTCGCGAGGCAGCGTCGAGCTCCTGCCGCTCACTTGTCCGTCAAAACAGCGGCCAAATCGCGCGGGGCAAACACTCACCACGGACCTCAGCACAGTGGGATCGGCTCGACTACACCCTTGATCCTCTGGCTGGCCTGGTCTACCCAGTCCTCCAAGCACTCCTACCGGAACACCACCACAACTGCATCCAGATAGGATTCCGCTGCCCATTTAGGTGGGTTAGTGTCTTTCTGTAGTCAAGGCTCTGGGCCGGATTGGGCCATCTCGGCTACTGGGTCAACCAACCTCGTGCCAAATGCTGAAGGTGTCAGCTGACCACCTCCGCCACGAGCTTCACCTTCAAACCGCTAATCTCCCCCGCCTTCTTCGCGACGACTCGGATTGGCTACAGGGTCTCAGTTCTGTAACAGCAGCGGCGCATCAGAAGAAGTGGACCCTTCCCTCCCAACGCTGAAACGCATCGTCGAACGTGCGTCCGTTGCGAACCTGGTCGTCGGGATTCCAGGTACGATCTTGCCCAGCATTGATTAGGTTCAAGAGTCTCACAGAAGGATCACCGCCGCTGCACGTTAAGCGCGTATGTCGCTTAGTCAAACGTCTCTGTATTCTCCCGTAAACTGCCTCCCTGTGCACACCATCAGCTCCCACACCGCCCATGTGTGCAACAACATTAAGCTTGCCCAAGCGTTGCCGTAGCGCCGTATGCTGCCAATGCGACGGGAACATGCGTGATAGTGTCGCTACTAATCGCCTTACTTTGCCTGTGCACACTCGGGAACAGGGGTAAAACTAGCTGTCAGGGGCCGGCCCGGGGTGGAGTTTGTGGGTACACAGGCGCCAGACAAGGGTTGAGGCGTGGTGGAGACGGGCCCGAGCACCATGTGCCTTTTCGACGGGCATTCCAACGGTGCCACCATGCTTCATAGGAGCACTCGAGAGGGGCCCGGATAGGAGCCTCCGCGAATGGCGTGTGCTCTCCGTCTCACTGCTCTATTCCACAGGGGATAGAGGAGACAGAGGGGGAGCCAGGCTGGTCCACCGTGGCCTGAAGTCCATTGGCTGGGTCCGAGGGAACAGATGTCCTTCGCAACTTGACGACAGACGGCAAGCCGTGTTACGGAAACACCAACTCTGTTTTCTTCCAAACTTTTTGCATTCTTTGACTGTCTCTTGTGTAGTGGATCCTCGAACCTGCCGAAGAAATACCACCCATATCCAGCCCTTACGGCATTTTCTTTCTGATCAATGACAGCGCTCTCTTCCTGTCCTCCCTGTGATTCTTTCTTGCTTGTTTCTCTCAAACCTTGGTGGCCCTTCTTTCTAATGCGGTAAATCCGTAAGCGGCAGACGGTCCTCCACGGAGCCGAATTTGTTGGATGGGCCTTGCCCCATACCAACCCGGACCTCGTTTGCAGAGAACACCCAACTATCTCCACCCAACTGCCATCAGCCGTCTTGAACCACCCAGTGAAGCGAAACACAAAAACGATGTATCAAAAACAGAAGCGGAAGGGGAGTCTACAAGTTTCGTGAAAATAGTGATCTCAGTAGAAATGCCAGTGAAGAGGGAATCTTGTCAAAAGAGAGAAAAAAAAAAAAAGAGATAACAAGGTCTTAGAAACGCCTCAATCAATAAGGCAGGAAAACATTGACCTCGTAAGAAATTTCGTATGAACGTGAGAAGAAAAGAAAAGAAAAACCCACTTCATCAGAAGAGCTCCCGTTCTGGAGATCGGTGATGTGAAAAAAAATTTGAATACAAAACTGATACAGCAACGCCGAGCGCCGTCCCCTACTACCCAAGAATGTTCAACGAGCTGACAGAGGCATCGGCCCGGGGAACATGGCCGAGGGATGTAGTTCTCAACCCTCACGGAACGCCTAGCCCTGTTCACCTATCCATGCTCTTCTTGTTTGGTCTCACTGAGCCCTTCTCGAGTTGTACGGGAGTACCTCTCCTGCCGCTTCCTGATGGGGTAGAGCGTCCGGATCGGGAATTCCTGGTGCTGCCCAGCCTCGGTTCCTCGAAACTCGTCCTCTTCCGGCCGCTGCCATCGTCCTCGTCGCTATCGTCGGCGAGGTCGCCCAGTCCGAACGCCTGACCATCCTCCAAGTCAAAATCCCGGTCATATGACCGCATGAGGCGTTCACGGTCGCCGAGGCTTCCCCGGCCCGCAAAGCCCGACTCATCGCTGCGCCTCGACTGCATAGACCGGCGTGTCTGGAATGTTGCAATACCATCGGTCGGCACTGCATCACCGAACGAATTCGCCAGACCAGAAGTGCCGTCGGGATCAGTTCGAGAAAGGTTGAGGAGGTAGACGCCCGAGAAGATGACGAGGAAGCCGCAGATGAGGGAGATGGTGTTGACTGCTGACGTCGTGTTGAAGCCGCGGAAGAGGATGAAGGAGGCTACGAGCGTGAATGTGGTAAAGGTAACGTAGTACAATGGGTTCACACTGTGGTGGACGAAAGCGCAAGTCAATAAACGGTAGCTCTACAAAATGCGTGAGGACCAAGGATGACGTACATGTTCGTAGAGAACTGGCTGAGTGCTTTGTTGAAATAGTTCATCTGGGTCAGAACACACACCACGACGACGATCGCAAAAGCGTACGTGCTAGGGTGTGAGAACTGATTCTTGCCCGCGAACGTGAGTTTCAAAGCAATGCCGAAAGCCTTGACCGCCATGACCGAGAGCGAGCCGACCGTCGAACAGATTGAAAGGTAAATCAGTGGGTTCTTGCGTCCATGTTTCGGGGCGACCTTGTAAATCATGAAGATGGAGAAGGCCATCACCAGAACGCAGTAGAACATGAACCCTGCGCGACTTCAGTCAGACGGATGTCATCCATGTTGCCTGTGTGTAATCTTACCGGGCTGAATGGCGAAGTGGAGGATCTCATCGACGGTTTGCACTTCCTTGTCCGGCGGAGCATGGAGGACGATGATGACGGAGCCAATAAGACAGGTAGCGCACCCAATCTTGCCCAGAATGCCGAGCTTCTCGTTGAGGAAGTAAACTCCCAAAACCGCACTGTGAATCATCATGAGCCAAAGCCATCTTCCAAACATATCCTGCCTAGGCTTACCCAATCAGCACACTGAGCGCACCCAGCGGCGTCACTAATATAGCAGGCGCGAAGGCATAGGCAGCAAAGTTTGCAATTTCACCGAGGACCACTGTCCCAGATCAGCATGCGCTCTCCCGTCTCCTAACAGGTGTAGACGCGCTCACTTGTAATGATGCCTCCCCACCATGTGGTGCTCCGGAGATAGGCAAAGCCTTCTCCGTCAAAGCCATGCTGCTCCCCGGCTTGATTCAAACCCTTTGCGCGGCGACGTCAGCTCCTGTGTTATATGTGCGGTGGTCGCGACGGCGAGACGGGGGCGCTCGACGGGGGCGCTCGCGGGGAGGAATGCGGTTGCGCGAGGTACCTTTTTCGTGAGGACGAAGCTCGTGCCTGGACTCCTTGATTAGCCTCGATTCGCAGAGGGGTGGTACAGGCGTGGGCGGCCTACCAATTGCTAATGACGAGGAAACAGCCAACATGAGGCCGACATATCTGCAAGCAAAAATGCCCAGTCAGCAGACTCGTCTTGCATGCGGCTGCGCGCGGCGCTGGCGGAGCGCTGGAGGCAGCCGAGCGCTCCGCCGTAGAGATGCGCAAGCCGTGGCGAAATGTGGGCGACGCACTTGTCCTCGACCATGGCGGTAGTGTGTCAGGCCCTGCGACCTGGCTGGGTGCACTCTGAGCCGATGCGGCGGTTGGAGAGAGGCGGCGCGTGTGGATAGTCGGCGGAGGCCGTGATCGTCGCGGCGGGCCGGTGGTCAGTATGGGTGGGCGGCAGTGGACAATGGCGCCAGCTGGCCAAGTGGGATGCAGGGCAGCTGGTGGTGGATGGTGGTTGTTGGGAGTCGGTTCCGAGCAAGTTTGGTGGGCTGGGACAAGGCCGGGCAAGCGTGACAGTAATGAGGCTGGCGCGCAGATGCTGGAAACGGACGGCGTTGCGTATGTGGTCTGTGTGGCCGGCGTGCCTGGAGGTGCGACGTGATGCGCAAGGAGCGAGCGGCAAATGGGGCCCTGCGAGGAAGTGGAAGCGACAGACAAAAGGCGACTCTGCGACAGCCTGAGCACTGTGCGGCCACGCACGCCCGATATGCAGTCGTCAGGAGACGCCCGTCACGAGGGTTACCTAAGGCTGGCTGCAGAACGAGCCTGCAAGCGTTGCAGCTGCTCCCGCCGCGCCGCTCCAGGCCCCAAGCCCGGCCGCCTGCGACTGGGGTGGCCGGCAATCCATTTTTAGCCCTGGTTTCAGGTGCTTGTGGAGTGGCCACGCGTTCCTCACAGGCCGACGCGAAACGCGCCAATGATTACTCGCGCTAATCACGTCCTGGTGATTTTCGCGGAAGGCTGTGCACATTGCTGAGATGCAGAACAGACTCTTGCTATGAATTGCGCGCCCGATCCGCCTCCCCTCCCCTTTTCGGCCATCGCTCAATCTTACAATCGCGCCCTAACAGGAAATGACGCCCCTAACCGACCAGGGTATCTCCCAGCCTTTGCCCGCTGCTAGGTACCTACTATATAGCCCTTCGCCCGTGAAGCCTGCGCCACAACGCCTCCCCCGCCAGAATCCTCCCTAAAAAGCCCGGGCGCCGACGCCACGCGAACCTCGTGTGAGAAATTCGAAAGAGATAGGAAAAGCTCGTGAACAAGGAAAGCACTCGCCCGAGGCGATCAAGGAACTCGCATGTTTTGGGTGGGTTAGTAGAGAGGCTCGACACTTACTATTTAGTCCGATCCTAGAAGTCAGTCCATTACCTGCAATTCAGAAAAAAGTCCGGTCGCCCTGTGTTCGTCGGCGGTCCGTATTACTGCTGCAATAAGAGCCATGTCGTATCGTCCGAGCAGGTGTAAACAGCTGGTCCGAGCGTGCTCGGCAACTGTCGCCTTCCGTCCCGAAATGTCGATGCGGCGTTGCAGTGTTGCACTCGCCGCTGCAGGGTAAGTGAGATGCTGTTGGGGGTTATGTTGCGAGATCATGCTGTGCTAACGGGGTACGATGAGTGAGAAGTGGGGATCCGCCGCCGTTTCCACTTTGGAAAATGGCGCTCGATAGCGGAGCGGTTCTCAGCCTTGGCAACGGTCGACTGTGAGATCATTCCGACTTGACTTTCTTTGGCGCTGGACCGTTGTTAGCCTGACGCCACCGAATGGGACAAATGCTCCACACACCTTGTTCGTCGGCTTGGTCTTCGTCGTCCTGTCCAAGCTCTTCCCAGCCCCGCTTGCCGGAAGATGGAGACGGAGCCGCAGCCTCATCATGCTGTGCCGACGGGGACCGCGAAAGCTCCTCGTCATCGTAATCGATTGTATCCAACTCATCTTCATCCGATGCGTGAGCCGTTGGTTGAGCTTGTTCAGCATCATTGTCTTCCAAGCCTTGTTCAAGCCCCAAATGAGTTTCGTTCAGATCGTTCTCCGCAGTCTGCTCTGCCTCGGCGTCATCGAACCTGTCGCCATGGGTCCATTCCTGGTAATCAGCGGCCTGGCCTTCATCAGGCGCGTCCGGATTTTCGTGGGCGTCTTCTGCTTCAACCACGACAAACTCCTCGTAGGATCCTTCCCCATCTTGCCCCTCTTGAACATCACCATCGTGTTCGAATCCGTACTCTTCGCCCTCGTCATAGTTTGCTGTGAAATGCTCGTCATCAGGAGTTTCCTGAACGCCTTCTTGTAAACTAAATGATTCAGGCGGGGCGTTGAGTTCGCGCTCCAGCTCTTGCTCCAAGGCATCATCCGCATCCTCTTTCTCGCCTTGGCCAACGGACTGCTCGAAGCTCTGGTTCTCTTCCACAACAGCAACAGGTTCACGTGCCCGGGTATCAAGGCCATCCCGCTGCAAGGTTTCATCGTTCTGCGTTGCAGACAAACCCTCTCTGCTTTCGTCGTAGGACTCGTCGTGCGGAGCACCACTGACCGCCGCGGGCACGGCGCTAGTGTTACTTTCACGCTGGGACACGCCCTCATCGACTGCCGCCGGGGTATTATCGCCTTGGAGAGTTGAAGAGCGGAGAGAGGCATCGTCCCGAGCTTCTTCTGGGACATCGCCGTCGTCGTAGTTAATCTGATCATTTTCGCGTGAGTAATCGGGGCCAGAAGCATCTACCCTTGAGCCTTCCTTAACATCACTGCCATTGCCTTGTGCTATCGGGCCGTCTCCGTCCTCTGACGATTCGTATTCAGGGAGATCCTCCGGCTTTGGTGATACATAGCCCTGAGGCTCGTGTTGATGCGTCGATGCTGACTCCTCATTTTGTTGCGAGGTAGACCCCTGATCCTGAGATACAGCATCCACAACATCTTCCACGTGGGCCAGGGGTTGTTGGACAGCGGTTGAATCAGACTCGGGTTCTTGTTCGCCCTCCGGATGCAACTTTCCAAGGGAGGCTTCTTCTTGGGATGCTTCACGTTCGGACGCATGCTCAGGAATGGAGTTATTGGCATGCTCTCCGCCGTCTTGCTCATCGTCCTGGTTCGCTGGCTCCTGCTCCTCCGGTCCGTTGTCAGATCCGACGTATGCGTCTTCTTCGGTGACATCCTCGAGAAACGATAGTTGGGACATGCCCCTACCATCGGCAATGGCGGCGAGCAAGGCATCCAAACGCGCTGAAAACCTAGTCTTAGTATTCAGTGTCATGTAAAGAGGGCCAGGACTTTCATGTCCGTCAAGCTGGTGAAGTTGGAGATAAACGTCGAGCACTTGGGAGAAGCTGGTGCTCGCAGCATTATCGGAATCCTGAAGAAGTTAGTTTTGCGTCCAATATATCTCACGTGGAAAGGAGTGACTTACCTCACTCACACAAAGCCCAAGCTCTGCAATGTCGAACTCCAGCTCATCTTCATCTCGCATAGTCTCACCCAAAACCTGCCTGCAAGCCTGGAGCAGAGAGCGAATGCTTTCGTTTGCCAAAGACTCATCATGAAGGAAATAGAAACTATCGGAGGTATCACTACCATGAGGTGGGAAAAGGGAAATCTCGTCCCCTTGATACACGACTACAACAGGGTGCGACGAGACTGCAGCGTGAGAGGAAGCGCTCTCTGCGTCGTGCTTAGGATCGAAAGGTAGATGCGATAAGACGAGGGCTTCATCAGACGCTTGAGCGGATTGCTCGGATACTGCCTTCGGCTCGGCGAATTCGGGGGCACCGCCGATTTCTTCATTTTGGCCGTCACGAGGACTACCCTTGGCCTCGGTTTGGTTCTCTGTCACATCTGTTGGAAGACGAGTTTCATCTTCAGTCACAGCGGCAGCGTGGGAATCGACCGGCGGCTCGACAGGGACCGTCTCCGAGTGCGCATCGACGGAATTGTCGGTGACACGTGGTTCCCGGGCGTTCTGAACGGCACTACTTGAGGTTGCAACAGGGTCCTCGACGCGAGAATTTGCCAAGGTAGTTTCTTCGACTGCAGCTTCAACTGAAGCAGAGGTTTGATCCTGAGCCGAAGCTTGGGGGAAAGTAGAGGCTTCGGAACTCTGAACTTGGACGTTCGTTTCCTGATCACCAGGGTTCTTGCTATCAGGAAACTGGTTTTGCTCTGGGACGGGTTGATCGATAGAATGCTGTGCGACTTTGAGCGCTGGCTCAGCCTGCGCAGTAGCAGTGTCATCGTAATCGATGAAGTCCTCGGCCTGGCTACTATCTTGCACTTGTACATCAACCTGTTCTGCAGCAGGTTGGTGCTGGGGCGCCTCTTTGACCTCGATGTCGAGGTAGCCAACGTCACTCGCGTCGGTCAGGTGTTCGTCGGGGACAGACATGTTGTCTTGCATCATTCCGTCCTCATCGTTGCCATCGCCATCGAGCATGACATCGTCTTTACTATCGCGTTCGGAGCGATCATCATCCATATTCTCATCCTCATGATGGCTAGGATCGACGGTCAGGTCGATGTCGATGTCAATATCATCGGCGTTCCGTTCGTAGTCGGAGATCTCCATGTCTTCATCAGGTACGGTCACTTGGAGACCTGGGAGGGGCTGGTTGGGAGCAGCCATGGCCATGATCGACCGGACTCGCAAAGAGTACGGGCGGGTTGTGGTTCGTGTATGAAAGAGGTGGTGCGGTGTGGTCTTGGTTCAGGACACTTGTAGGGTTGTGGTGCTGTGAATTAGTAGGGGACGCGGCGAGGACGCGGCGAACATAGGCGCGCTCCGGGCGTGTCGTGGCGGGCGAAAAGTGTAGGAGGGACGCGAGCGTGCTCTTCAGCTGCGAAACAACGCCCAGCAGTGTCGTCACTGTGTGCGATGGGTAGGCAGCGGTGGTAGCCTGGAGGATCGCAAGTGAGGCAAGGAGCTTGCGGGGGCGCGTTGGCGAAAGAGCTGGAGGCAACAAGGGAAATGAGTGGGCGAACGCGGTGCTTTGGCTTTGGCGGGCCTGAGTAAGCGCGCACGGGCGCTCCTTCCTTGGCGACCCGGGCTCGGAGGAACACCACAAGAAGCCAGGTGTTGAAGGCGCCGTCTAAACCACGATTCCCCATTCAACACCAGCGGCCGCAGGCAATCCACCCGTCTAGCACTCCTCTGCTTCGCGGAGCTTCCCTTGTGTCATCATGGTAAACATTGTACCATTTCCCCGTCCTGGCCGTACCTGACCCTCTCTCCTCGCAGGTTGTCCTAGCAGCATCGATATGCACGCGCGGCGGCAAGGCCGTGCTCTCGCGCCAGTTCCGCGAGATGCAGCGTTCCCGCATCGAGGCTCTTCTGGCTTCTTTCCCCAAGCTCGCCGACTCGGGAACCCAACACACCACCGTCGAGCAGGACAATGTCCGCTACGTCTACCAACCCCTTGACGAGCTCTACATGGTCTTGATCACGAACCGCCAGTCCAACATTCTCCAGGACATCGACTCCCTTCACCTGTTTGCCCAGGTTGTGTCGAGCATATGCAAGAGCCTCGACGAGCGCGAGATCCTCCGCAATGCCTTCGAGCTGCTCAGCGCCTTCGACGAGCTCGTCACCCTCGGTTACCGGGAGAACCTGACACTGAGCCAGATTAAGACTTTCTTGGACATGGAGTCTCACGAGGAGAGGATTCAGGAAATCATTGCCCGCAACAAGGAGCTCGAGGCCAGCGAGGAGCGCAAGAGGAAGGCCAAGCAGCTGGAGATGCAGCGCAAGGAGATGTCCCGCACCGGTCGTGCTGGCGGTGTCCCTCGCACTCCCTCATACCCCACCTACACGCCCAGCGTCCCCACGACCGTGCCCGATACCTACGACAGCTACAATGCGGCCAAGAACGAGTCGAAGAAGCCCATGGCGGTCAGAGGCAAGGGCATGCAGCTGGGCAAGAAGTCGAAGACTACCAACATGTTCGATGCCGTTCGCGCCGATCTAGGCGCCGACGCCGAAGCGTCAGCGCCTTTGGTTTCCAGCACCCCTACGCCTGCTGTCGCGCCCTCGGCGCCTGCGCGCGCATCCCTTTCGGGTGATCGCGAGAGTGTCCACGTCACTCTTGCAGAGGCTATCAACGCCAGGCTTAGCAGAGAAGGGTCACTTGAGCACTTCGAAGTCAAGGGTGATATGCAGTTGCGCATCAGTGATTCAGCACTCACTCAGGTCAGGTTGGACCTTGACATGGGCAACACCCGTGGCGCTCAGCTCTCGGCGCATCCTAAGGTCGATAAGCCATCGTTCCGGAACGACAAGATTCTCCAATTGGCGGACTCGACGAAAGGCTTCCCCGTGAATATGGCGGTTGGCGTTCTGAAGTGGAGATTGGCCGCGAAGCCCGGCGAGATCGATGACCCACCGATCAACTTCACGGTGTGGGTTAGCGAGGCGGAAAACAGCACTTGGAGCGTCACCATCGAGTATGAACTGACCGGTGGGGATGCTTTGAAGGATGTCGCCGTCACGATTCCGTACAGCACGAGCGAGCCTTCGGTGTCGAGCTTCGACGCGGTATACGAAGTGTCGGGGGATAGCTTGGAATGGAACATCGGCACTGTGGACGCTGACAACTCGACTGGAAGCTTTGAATTTGAGGCCCAGGCGGATAGCGATGCTGAGTTCTTCCCCATGAGGGTACGCTTCAGCAAATCGAAGCCGTTTGTGGAAATCGACGTAAGTAACGAGCAAGCCATGATGATTCGAATCGGCAGCTGACGTTTGGACAGGTCTCGTCTGTCACCCTGCTCAACGAGAACCAAGACATATCCTTCTCCAAGGACACCAAGTCTGTTGCAGAGAACTACGAGGTGGTTTAATGATTGATGTGTGCATGTTTGCTGCAGTCACGAAGGTGGGAGTCTGGGGAAAGGGAGTGGATCTAGATCAGGTCCACGGACGCTTTTTGTGGAGAAACAGGGCGGGTTTAGCTTTCTGATAGATGATCTGGTGTCGTGGATCGACAAGGGAAAAAAATCCAGAGTGGAGCGGCTGAAAAGTTGAGCCTCCATAATTCCAACTCCGTTTAATCTCGGACCTGTGCGGGCAGTGATCGGTATGCGGTGACGTAGCAGCCATGGTGCACGAAGTTGTTTGCGACGGCAGTTCTTGGGAGCGCACGACGTGGAGCGGGCGGCTTGCTGCAGGTGTGAGCGACGCGTTTTCCTAGCGACGCGACTTCTCGCCTTTCCTCGGCCCCGTCCGTGGTGCCTTCTTCCCGCAACTCCCACCAACCAACACGCCTCACGGCCTACAGCTCACAATGGAGCCCTCCGAGGCGCCATCGCTGATGCTGCAGGCCGAGAAGGCTCTGCCGCAGCCTGTCCGCCCTCACTTCGTATCTTACTGCCCGACGATGGACTTGGTCGCCGTGATTACCCAAGACGAGGCTCTGGACGTCTACAGGCTGAATGGCCAACGCGCATTTGGCCTCAAGCGCAAGACGCTCGAGAGCAAGGTCGATTCCATGTGCTGGAAGTTCAACGGTACAGGCCCTCTTACGCCCAGTTCGGCAGGATATTGCTCAGCACGTGATCTCCGCAACCGCTGACAACCGACCCATCCAGGCCAGCATATTGCCGTCGCATGGGATGACGGCTCTGTGGACATCGTGTCATCGGAAACGGGCAAGACAGTCAAACAGGTCCGTCGCGAGGCTGCGAGCTTCGCCGCCGACGACGAGACCCCACCACGCATTTCGTCGCTCGCATGGGGCGTTAACTTCATCGACGTCGCCGCTGTGAAGGAGCGTACTGGAGTCAGGGCCCCCGGACCCAGCCATTTGTCCGCCCCGGGTGACGACCTGTTCGACACAACCGAAGACTGGGATCAGAAGAAAGAAGAAGTTACCCTTGACGATTTCCTCGAACGCCAACCGGACTTGATCAAATTGGGCATTGCGCCAGACCTTCCAGACCAGATTGCGCTGATAGACGTGCAAGATGCTCTCCCAAAGCTCCCGCTCATCCCAGCTCCTCCAGCAAACCCCTTCCAGATGATGGCAAAGGCGAAGGCGACGGACGCTTTCAGCTCCCAGCAGTCCATTGACGCAATATTCCATTCGCAGCACATGCGGGACAGTAATGCCGTAGATGTACTGCTCATAGGTTGCGACAATGGAGCTGTCAGTCCTACGATATATGATTCCCTGGAGATTGGCGGCATGCGGATACCCTCAGAGTGGTCTTTGATCAACCAGACGCCGCTTCTTCACGCCTCGCATCCGTATTCTTGCAGCCACTTGTCTCTCATAGAGATGAAGAGCGAGTCATGGGAGAGACCGCGCATCGCACTTGTGCCTCTAACTCTTCGCTTCATCCCCTCGAACGGAATCTACCTCCACCTTATCGCGTCCAAGACTGCACAGCTACAAAATCTTCTGCAGTATCTGCAATCGTGCCTTCGAACCATTGTCGCCTACTTCCACAATGCGCGGGACCTGCCTTCGAGGTTCATGAGGAACATCAGCGAGACATTGGACGAAAAGGGAGAAGGTGATCTAATCTCGAGCTTGTACCATGTGGCTGCAACCGGACACTGTCCTCCGACTATTAAGGAGTGGTTGGTTGATGAACTGGCAGAAAACGCATGTATAGGGTTGCAACTTTCGATACATTCTACTAACATTGTCGCAGGGCCACAAGCGATGGGACCAAGCAGCAAGCCAGGGCTACACCAAGGTACTGGAGATAACCCACGAGAACATCATACCAGCAATCGACCGCACAAGTATTGTAGTGAGCATGCTCCGTGGCCTTGCCCGCTACTCAGGGTCCAGTAAAATCATCAATGTCCCCCCAGAGGAGCTCAGCAATATCCTCGATACGCTTCGCTGTCTTCGTCTCCTTGCACACAATGTGCTCATCTACGCCGGGGAAGAGAGACGTCAATTCGCTGCTTTCTCGAAATGGCTCCGCCACGAAATTGACACACAGGCTTCCGATCCCGCCTCGCAATCCGCGGAAGAGGCAGCTGAGAGAGACCCTGGCCTTGACCATGGCCTGTTGCTCGCCTATATTCCTGGCGCTCTAACCAAAAGCAAGCTTGCGCCATTCCTGAGACGTCAAGCAGATATTCTTGATCCCAGACCTGAACTGCTGGCATATGAGCACGTAAAGCTAAATATGAACATCCATCGCCATGACGGGTCGATTCCGGATGGAAGCCTGTGTGCTTGGACCCTTCAAGAGATTCTGCAATCACAATGCCGAGAGCTTTTCGCTCAGATGACGGCATGGCAAGCAAAAAACAGCAGCATGGATTGTGGACTGGTGTTGGAAGACGGTGCTGTGTCCGAGGCTAGAGACGTGAGGATGGTTTTCGAGGTATGTGTGTCGCCCGCATGAAAGCATCGAGCATCTCTGACATGTATAAAGAAACTGGAGGATTCGTCGGACATATCAACCTTTTTGATTCTTGCTCCCCAAGAAGCCAAAAGTGAAGGTAAGGCGAATGGTTGCCCGGATGATTACTTGAGCTGATCGTCTGCAGTCCGGCTTCATCGTATTGTACACGGCGATGTGTTCAATAATATTACGAACTCTGTCCACTCCATGCAGGCCGTTACAATCAAATTCCACGGCTGCGTGATCGTAGATCTCAAGTTCGTCGACGACAGCACCTTCATGGTCCTCCTTCGCAGAGATGGTCAGCTACCCCCACAACCTCGTCATACTAAACATGCTGACACAATTCAGACGCCTCTTATCTTCTTTCCCTCCCCTACTCAGCTTATGCTACGGATCGGACCCCCAGCACTCTTCATCATTCATCAGAGTTTCTGTCCCAATCTGCAAGCCAATACTCTCTGCCTGATGGCGCGCCTCCGCCCGACGACTCTCGCCAAACCTGGAGCATGGATACGCCTGATTCCTGGGCGCCGTTCGTCAGACACGTGTTCCTCTCGAGCGAGCGGTTCACACCGGTTAAGATCGATATCAACGGCCGCAAAGATAGGCGCGTCATATGCGTTTTGAGCAATGATCTCAAGCATTACAAGATATATGACTTGGACTACGACAGTGGGAAAGAAGGAGAGGGAGATACAACAGTGGATACGATCATGAGTGGCTAAGCACAATGTTCAGTAGGAAGAGGAGGTATGAGAATGACTAGGGTGGGTTGGGTGAGGTTGATTGCAAGATGCGAAGTGACGGGTCTTCGCTGGTGGTTCCCGCGAGTCTCAACAGAGTTATTGGCCAGGGAAGAAGGTTTCACAGTGCTTAGATTCATATTACGCTGGTGGTATGATGGCTATTTTAAATGGCTACAGGAAACAGACAGGGTATCACTATCACCGCCCACTCTTCTACGTCTTCAATGCTGCCTTTGCAGCCCTCCGCTCCTCTTCCCTTCTCTCGTCTACCCGGTTCAAGAAATCCATGCGACCAAGGTAACCCTCCTTAGCACGACCGTACTCGTCCAGTTCGTCCGCGATGCCCTCTTTGTCGACGTAGCCCGCCCAATCCAGCCTGCTCTTATCCACCGTATTGAGCTTCTGTGCCTTGTCCCTGCCCTTCTTTGCCGCGATTGCTGCCGCATTCGCAGCTTGAGCGTCTGCAGTGGTATTGAGTGCGGTAGAGGTAGAAAGAGGCGTGGCAGCGTTGGGATCAAGCAAGATGCGACGGCGCGCCCAGGTAAGCTGCTTTTCCGGCGAGAGTCCCTTCACTTCGGCGGTAGGATTCGGGTCGAAACGTGAGGGGCGGTGGAGCGGTCGACGTACACCCGGCCTGGCCGCCTCCTGCGCTTCTTCACCCCCTGCAGCATCCTTGTCCTTGCTGTCCACATCAGGCGTTGCGGAAGACTGCTGCTTATCCGGCTTTCCCTGCTGATGAGCAAGGTAGAGCTTCGCCTCGGCCGACGACTTCGGCACCTGGCGCTCCTCTGTTATGCGGTCCCCAGCAAAGTCGTACGTCCGCTTTATCGTGATCATCTCCTCTTCGGTCTCCTCCGCAGGAACGGCATCCTGCGTCCCCAACCCCTCCTTCTTCCCGTCCGCGATTCCATCCTCCCCCACCTCCTCATCTCCCCCCGCCCCCCCAGCGTCTTTCTTCCCCACCGGCGCCGTGCTCAACGCCGCCCAGATCGCATCCACATCCGCCGTCGCGCCGTCCACGCGCGCCAGCGGCCTCCGTTCCTTCTGCTCCGTCCGCCGCTGCGCGCGCGTCTTGACCAGGCCTCCTTCACCGCCGCCGTCGCTCAAAAGGTCCACATCGTCGTCGCCGCCTTCATCCTGCCGCTGCTTCTTGTTGCTGCCACGTTGCTGCTGCTGCTGCTGCCGCCGCCGTGCGGTTGCAATGGTGGCCTCGTCGCCTGAATCGAGCTCGGCATCGTCGTCGTCGGCACTGCGCTTGCGCTTGCGGCTCTTGTTGGCGGGCTTCGCGCTTTTCTTCGGGCCTCCTTCGTTGTCGGAGCTGGAGATGGAGGAGGCGTCGTCGTCGTCGGCGGCGATGTCTTCTCCTGCGGCGTTGGGGTCGAATTCTTCGTCCGATGCGGAATTGTAGTCGGGGTCTTGGAGCGCGAGGAGGGGATCGTCTGCCATGTTGGATTGATTGGTGAACGAGGCTGGTGGTTGCAACGGGCGGCGAATGTGGAGGTATGTAAGTAATAAGGTGAAAGTGCATGGGTGACGCGCTGCGAAAGCGGGCCGGCAGATCGGAGGCGTCGGACGCGCAGAAAATTACGGTAGGCGGCAGAGGCGCGTTACGCAGCGGAATCCGGTAGCGTTACGTCATCGCTGGAGACATAATCACTCCCGCACTGTCACTCTTTCGTCACCCAGTCCTCTCGTGAAATCTGATTTTGATATGTTCTGGAAACAGCCATGCCGACGCCATGTTATTGTACTAATACACGTATACCATTCACGTTGGAAGTATGACAATTCACTTCCTAATGCTGTTGGACTCGCCCTGGCCCAAGTGGTCCTGCACCGTACCGCCGATAGAGCCCTTGTCCGTGAACTGCTTTCCAATCGAACCCTGTGCGTCGAAGGGGCCTCCAAGCTTTTGCGCAGTGCCGCCAATAGCACCCTGGGCTGTTGTTGGTGATGAGTCAGTCTTTCACTCAAACACTGGCAGTAAAGCGATACTGCTGACTGCTCCACGCTGGAAATATAGCGCTTACTGGTGAACTGTTTGCCAACGGAACCCTGGGAGCTGAAAATCGAAGTGCCTGTTCCAGACGTCTTCATACCCGCGGGCTCCTGTGTCATCGCCAATGAGCCATAAACCTCAAAGCGGTTGTGAGCGAAGGCATACGTTTCTGGCCTGTGAGTCCTCGTGGATACCCTCGTTGAGATCGACATTCTTGTGAGCACTAGGCCATGCATCAATATCTGCATGCTATCAAGACGGCGGGAATGCCGTGGAACACATACGCAGAGGCACCGGCATCCATGATCCTGGCGCTTTGGTCGCCATCCAACTGCTTGGAGGAATAGCCCGACATAGGTACGGTTGATTGGTGTCAATGTAGCTTGTTGTGATAGAGGTTGATGATTGTGGAGTGGCGAAAAGCTTAGCAACAGGTACAACTTATATGCTTTAGAGCATGTCCCGAGTGCGTCATTGACTCGATTCAGCTTCGCGCCTTTGACGTTCGCTACACAGGATGTGATATCATCATTGCGAATCTGACAAGATCTAAGATCTAGAAGCTACACTACTTGCGGCATGATGGATAGTCTTGAATAGGCAAGTGTTGACCCGATCCACGCTACGCGGGAGGATCCGCAACTAACCAGGTTGACGTACGTCACGAAGCCATGCAACATGACCCCGCATTCGCGTCTCCACGTGGTCTCCGCTTTTCACATGTGTCTGCGTTCATGACGAACTGCGGCAGCAGTCATGGACGTCAAACAATGGCAAGGAGCACATGTAGCAAGCACGGAAGAGCACGAGATGAGTTTGTTTGAACCTCTTACCCTTCACACCTGTGATCCTACGACCTTGAATGCATCGAGGTGTTTGCTTCGGAGTCAGTTGACACTGGTCACCTACTCCTTGCTTTGTCATGCCACTCAGTCAAAGCATTTATCCGCATCATGGGGTTCATTAGTTTTGACAAAGACCTGTCGTAGAAATATTAGTATTAGGAAACTTGCACCTTCGAAAGCTTGTCAGCTCACAGACAGCCTGTTGAACGCCTGGAGCCTCCGTACACGACTCAGAACTAGTATTCATTGCCACGAAGATGCCGGAACTCAGCCACGTCGTAGGTGCCCTGAAGGACTCACCAAGGTCTAACTTCACCGGAGTACTACAACAAAGAGCCTCTCGGCCTGGACAGCGCTGGACCAAGCGCGAACTTCAACCCAGGCTGGAGAGCGCGACTGTAGAGGGGATGTCCTCCAAGGAATGCCGAGCCATCCAGTACAGGACCTTGCTTGCGGATCTTATGTGCTACAATCACACAGTTGCAGCTAAAGACCGGCCTGAACCCGGAGTTGTGGCCAAGAAAGACGACAAGGACTGGCTTCTAGCGGATTTGAGCGATGGATGGATACGGAGGCTCGAAACTCACGCCGGCCAAGAGTTGCAAAGGCAGAAGGAAGAGGATGCCAGGGAGCAGTATCGTAGAATCCTGGATGGTCAGCTCCTGAGTCAAGTCGAGTGGGGAAGAATACGGGCCAGAAACCAGAAGATGGAACGTGCTGCAAACAAGAAGATGTGGGAAGAGTGCAAGACGATGACTTTAGGGCGCTGGAAGGATGCCGCAGGCTTTGACTACACAGATAAGGTTCAGGAACTGCTCGATTTGCAGGCCTTCCATGACATCCAGAAGGCTGAGCTTAACACTCACACGGAAACGGCTCAGTCGTTGGTCGCGAAGGCAATTCTTACGACCGAGAGCCTTGCGACGGCTGCCGACAGCTGCCTTGACGTGCTTGAAAATCAGACAGAAACGACTGAATGTCTATTAGACCTATCCGAGCAGAGCATGCTGAGGGCCCATACACGAGTGCGCAGGCTCATGGCGACAGATGTCGAGGGCGAGGTGGCTCGTAAAGAAGAGATGCGACGACGACTCGAACATCCGAAAGCATTGGATTACATGTTCGAAGGCAAGACCGAACTAGAAGCGGCGAGAGCGGTGGCGAACTCAACCAGGAGGTTTTTGGAGAGTATCGAAGAAGACCTTGAGAAGACTGTTCTGGCAACCGTAGACACGATAAGCTCGCTGAAGGATGCGCGATTGGCGCTGGACTTTCAGTGAAGTGGCTCAGAGCCGAGAGCATGAAACGGCAGATGGCTGTGGTATTGCACCGACATGTAGGCAGTGGAATCCTTCATTGGGATGCATTTTTGCACCGACATGTAGGCAGTGGAATCCTTCATTGGGGTGCATTTTTGCACCGACATGTAGGCAGTGGAATCCTTCATTGGGGTGCATTTTTATAAAGTAGTTCACTATAGCGCGTAGACGAGACGGATCTGCGTCAGAACTCTTTCCATCTAATACCCTAGCTAGTTAGTGAAGTGAGCTAATGTTACAGTCCCGAGTCTTTTCTCGTACACTTTCGACCCAAGACATCTATTCTATAACATGACGAACCCCCTTCCAAGGCTAGTCAAGACGAGAGAACAATCCAGAAATGCTCATAAAACAACCAACGCAAACGACAAAAAAATATTCATGGATTGCCGTGGTCCGGTTTCACCCAGACGACGGACTCTATTTCTCCACTTTCCGCACCTCCTGCATCTAGTCCCTCTACTCTATTCTTGTTCGCTTATTTCGAAGGAGCAATCTCGACACCGCCGGTTGCGCCCAGGGCCTTCTTAATGTCGCCGTAGATTGCGAACTGACCAGCAGTAAGAGTACCACTAAGGGTTGATTAGCAAGTGCAGTCAATAAGATGAACGGGAATACATACACCATGAACAGACGAGCACCAATACCGGCGTACGAGCCACGGAGACCGAGCTCCTTGGCGATCTTGATCAGGCGGCTGGTGGTACCCTCACCGGGGGCGCCCTTGGTCTTGTTGATCTTGGAGAGCATAGTGTCGGCAGGCTGGGAGACGAGAGCGGCAGCGAAACCAGCGATCAGACCGGAGCCAAGGTTGACGGCGGTCTGGGCGGGGTTGGACAGAGAGCTCTTGTCAACGCGCTTGAAGATGGCCTCGGAGACCTTCTCGAAGACGACGAACTTGGCCATGGTGTAGGGAACCCTGGAGATGGGTTAGCGTGGGTGCGGGTGGAAGCATAAGGCTCGGAGATACATACTGCTTGAAGAGAATGGGACCGAAGCCAGAGTAGAAAGCGCCAAAGCCCTCGCTCTTGGCAATCTTGGAGAAACCGCTGATAAGACCGCTGGCGAAGGTAGGGTCAGAGACGAGACGGATACGGGTGGCCTCAAGGGGGCACAGGGCGATGTCGGCGAAGAACTCGGCGGCGGCGGACGAAGCGAGGTAGACGGCGGTACGGTTGTTGGCAGCGGCCTCGTAGCCAATGGTGTTGATGGACTGCTGCTTGAAGAACTCGTAACCACCGAACTTGAAGGCACCCTGGAGGAAGTAACCAGCGAAGGTAGGGCCGACACCGGTCCAGACAGCGCCGAAGCCCTTCTCGCCAATGATCTGCTTGAAGCCGCCGATGAGACCGCGGTTGTACTTGATGGGGTCAAGCTGGATCGAGGTCTTGACGCTGCAGAGATGGAGCGGTCAGCGTCGGGCGCGCGGAAGAGGGCGTCTGCGAAGGCGCTGGCCGGCAGCGAGACACGCAGCGGCAGGCGATTCGAGCAGAGCGGGTCGGGAAGCAACTTACACATCGACGGGGGTCAGGGCGCCGTGGGTGACGGAGCAGCAGACAGCGCCGGCAAAGGCGAAGCGGGAGTACAGCTGGAGGCCGCTGAGCTGGCCGGGCTTGGCAGCCTCGGCCTTAGCCTTGATCTCGTCAATCTTCGAGGCCATTGTGAGGGTCGCGACGGAGGAGGGAGGGACGACGCGGTGGAGTGGAGATGGAGAAGAGGACGGGGAGAGGGAATGGAGGACTTGTCGACGTTTCTTTAGGGATGTCGCTCAAAGCTTTCCGCTGCGCCAGGGTCATAGCGTCGGCCTGGCGGCAAAACTCGTCCCAAATCCCGGATGGACCCGACGCAGAAGTCGTGGCCGCCCCGCGCCGGCCTGGCGCGCACAGCGTCCGGCCACGCTGCGTGCCAAACTCGGGCTTAACCCCGTCGCGCCGACCGGCGTTGGGGCCTTCCCCTGCCACCCTGCCACGCGCAACACCCGCTCCACATCATCATCATCGGTCTGAGCGGGCGTTGCGAGCCGCTTGCGCCATTATTGCAGCGGCCACCGGCCGTCTCCTGTCACCCTGTGCCATTGCGGCTGACGGAGGTGCAGGGCGGCGGCAAGCAGCAGCGCAGCGCATTGCATGCTGCAAAACTTTTTCCGGGCTGACGTGCTCCCGCCCTGCCATCCCGGGGAGTCGACGCGCCTTTGCCGACGCGCCCCCAGCGATCCGCTGCCTTACGTCATTCCGGTCCGATCTCGTCCGCCTCGCAGACCGCCGGGCCTCCGTACCACGAGAAACCGCTCTTGCGACGGCCATTCTGACTAACGCCGCAGCCTCAATTGGCGGTCAAGTGCCCTCGACAGGTTTCGTTTGCTTTTATCTACATGCGCCGGTCCCTCTTATCATACTACACGCCCACACAAGTGCTTCCGACACTCCCGAATGAAATGCCCGCGTTTCAACACTGCGACAGTCCATCCAACGTGTAGGTATGGGCAGCCGAAGCAGATGTACGGACGTAGATGTAGGTTTAGACAACCTTGCACCGTCAATAGCTGAAGCAAATGCCCGGACGTAGATGTCGATTTAAACAGCCTTACTTCGTCAGTAGCCAAAGTAAACGTCTGGACGTAGATATGGTTTTAGATGGATTTCCAGATATCCGGACGGAAGTGCAGATTTCACTAGAGTTCTTCAATGGGCAGCCGAAGCAAATTTCTGAACGTAGAGATAAGTCTTAACAAAGCTTATCATGGGTGGTTGAAGTAGATATCTAGGCGTAAGGGTAGGTTTTATTAAACTTTGTTTATTGGTAGTCGAAGTGGATAGCCGGACGTAGATGGAGGTTTGTCCGATCTTACTAGATAAGTTGCTGAAACAGATAACCGGATGCAGATGCGAGCATTCTGACTGTACAGATGCATCCAGATATAGGACTCCTCTACCCATGGTTGTGGGCCAGTTTCTTCCGCAACCCACTGCGGAGCGGAGTCGCTCCCGGCGCTAGAGGCCGAGGCCATTCGCTAGACGGGTCCGCCACTACCCCCACGTCAACCGAGTTCGCATATTTCTCTTATCGGGGTCTTGGGGCCGCGGACCGTCAACAAACGGGTAGTCCCCAGACGTGAACATGCGGGCGTTTTTGGTGGGGCACTCGTCTGCTGCAGGTCGCTGCTGGGATCCTACAGGGTCCGAGCAAGCTTTCGACGCTTGCTAGACAACGGCCTACGCTACAGCTACGTAACCCTCTGCAGCTAGACGTGTTTCTAAAGCAGGTTCTAGCTAGCTGCATAACAGTACAAATGGCGTGTCTGTCGTCGTTGCCGGCGCGTCTTGCCGCGCTATTTCAATTCCCCTGACACTCCCTCCCTTCTCAAGACGACCAAAATGGGGGACCCCAAAGGTAGCACTCACCCTCACTTCCTCAAAAACCGTACCTTACCGACCTACAGACGAAGAGCGCAAGCCCACGCCTGAGAACGGCACGCTCTTTCAGGCATTCGAGTGGAACGTGCCCGCGGATGGGAAGCATTGGAAGAGGCTGATTGCCGCACTGCCTTCGCTCAAGTACATCGGCATATCGAACATCTGGATCCCTCCGGCCTGCAAAGGTAGCCCAAGCCCCATGCTCCTCAACATGGCGCCAGAACTGACTCGGTCCAGCCGCGTCCCCACAAGGCAACGGCTACGACGTCTACGACCTGTACGATCTCGGCGAGTTCGACCAAAAGGGCGGCACCCGCACCAAATGGGGCAGTTTCGACGAGCTGAAGCAGCTGTCGGCCAAGGCGTCTGAGGTCGGCATCGGCCTGTACTTCGACGCGGTGCTGAACCACAAAGCCGGGGCCGACCAGAAGGAGAAGTGCCAGGCCATCGAGGTCGACCCGAACGACCGCACCAAGGAGGTCAGCGAGCCCTACGAGATCGAGGGCTGGTTGGGCTTCGATTTCCCCGGCCGCGGGGACCAGTACTCCTCCCAGAAATACCACTGGTACCATTTCACCGGCACAGACTACAACGCCGCCAACGAGAAGAATGCCATCTACAAGATCCAGGGCGAGGGAAAGGGCTGGAGCAGCAGCGTGGACAAGGAGCAGGGAAACGCCGGTGGGTGTCTTCCATGTCTCGGGCTCATCATGGTCGAGCCGAAGATGCTAACAAATCCACCAGACTACATGATGTTCGCCGACGTCGATTACTCCCACGACGAAGTCATCGCCGACGTGAAAAAGTAACGCCATCCTGCCTCCCAAACGCACCTCGCACAACCGCTAACATGGCCTGCCGCAGCTGGGGCGTCTGGGTCACCAAGACGCTCGGCCTCAAGGGCTTCCGCCTCGACGCGGTCCAGCACTTCTCGGAGCGCTTCACCAACGAATGGGTCAAGGCGCTGCACGCCGAGTGCGGCACGGACGTCTTCCTGGTCGGCGAGTTCTGGGTGGGCGACGCGGCGACGCTGACGGCCTGGCTCGACAAGATGGAGCACAAGTTCGCCCTCTTCGACGCGCCGCTGCTGTACAACTTCCACAACGCCGGCGGCGCCGACTCGTCCGACCTGCGCAAGATCTTCGACGGCACGCTGCTCCAGCACGAGCCCGTCAACGCCGTCACCGTCGTCGCCAACCACGACACCCAGCCCGGCCAGACGGTCGAGACGCCCGTCGCCGACTTCTTCAAGCCGCTCGCCTACGCCCTCATCCTGCTGCGCCCGGACGGCTACCCCTGCCCCTTCTACGGCGACCTCTACGGCCTGCTGCCCGGCCCGGACACGCCCTTCGACGACCCCGCCCCGCCCGCCTGCTCCGGCAAGCTGCCCGACCTCATCAAGTCGCGCCAGCTGTACGCCTACGGCGCCTGCGAGGACTACTTTGACGGCGAGGCCGGCGCCGACGGCGACAAGCCCGTGACGTGCATCGGCTGGGTCCGCCGCGGCACGTGGGACCGCGGCGACGGCGGCTGCGCCGTCGTCATGTCCAACGCCGGGCCGGGCACGCGCCACATGTTCGTCGGCGACGGCACCGGCGGCCAGGTGTGGACCGACGTGCTCGGCTGGGCGCGCGACGGCGACAGCGACGCCGAGGTCACCGTCGGCGACGACGGCTTCGGCGACTTCACCTGCGGCGAGCTGAGCGTGAGCGTCTGGGTGCGCAAGGACGCCGGCGGCAGGGACCAGTTCCCCGTCAAGTTCGATACCGACATCTATAAGATGGCGTAGATGCGGAGTAATAGAGCGAGGGGTCATTGGGAAAGAGGGGATCTAGAGGCAAAGCGCATCACTTTACGAAGCTACATCAGGCCCTTATTTAGTATCTTTTTCGTTGATTTCTACTAATGCTCCCATGGCGGGAAGGGGCTTTCCCCGCGTATTCAATCAAATATACCCTTTTAGTCCTGTCCATCTTATATTCCGGTATCAGGTGTGTCTCTACGCATGCAGGATGTCCTCGTGGCCGTTGTTGGTATGCTGAAGCTACCGGACACCGAGGGGGAAAAATGAAAAACCAATGCTGCGCTCAAATCAAAGACCGAACCAAAATGCTGCCTGTTTCCCGGCCACCTTTGTCATAGTACACGAGTTCCCCTTTAGAGATCCACATCAAATCCCACCCATCTCCACCTCCACGTCTCCTCCCCACGATTCTGACGACGGAGGTCTCAAGAAGTCTGCCTCTCCAAAGTCCAACGGGTCCTCGTCGACCGCCTGTCGGCGGCCCCCGCCACGGGCCCCGGCAACATCGCCGTTCTTCCTCCTCGTCCTCGGCCTCGCGACCGGCCTCATCGGCGCGCCAAGGTTCGGCATGACCGTGTGGCTCACCGGATACACCGTCCGCGGCGAGATCTGCAGCTCGTCGACGTCGTCACCCCTGGCGGGCACGGCCAAGCCAGTGTTCAGCGAGGGAAAGAGAGGTCTGGCGCCGTCGCCGTTGTCGCCCCGCGCGTTGTCCGCAGCGAGGTCATGCTCGCCAATGCCGTCCTCATCGTCTTCGTAGCGGCGCTTGTTGGTGGGCAGCGAGTCGGTCGAGATGGTCGAGGCGTTGGACTCCTGGCTGGAGAGGCCGAAGTCGTCGGCCGGGGACGCGAACGCGTGGGCGTCGACGGCATGTGCCGAGCTTGCGTTGCCAGCGTCGTGGTGGAAGTAGGATGGCGACTGCTGCTGGACGTCGTAACCGCCCGTCTTGTGTATGCCGCAGAAGGGCAGGAGCTCGGTCGGACGGCTGGTCGGCATGGTAGGAGCAAAGGTCGCTTGCGGCTTGTACTGGACGTGTGATGGAATGCTTGGGTTCGCGGTAGGAGGGAGGGTTTTATGTGTCTTGTAGCCTTCCGGGACGGACTTGCGCACGCGCATGCCGACGTTCAGGAGCGAGGCTTGAACATTGGCGGGGACGGCGGCCAGACCCTGGGGCGGAGGTTGGTCGCAGATGGGCGAGGAAGCTGCATCGGGATCGGAGCGGTCGGCGCGGGCAAAGTATGAGGTAATTGACGGCTGGAAAGGACGCTTGGTGCGATGCGCTGAGGTTGTCGACATGGTGTGAGGTCGAGGTGCAGAGGAATTTGGTGGGGGAGGCGGCTGGTTTTGATGGCGCGGATGATAGCGCGAGCTGGGGGGAGATTGTGCGACAGCGAGGTATGGGGTCGTGTGCAGGCGGAATGTGGTGGGCAGCTTGCGGGGGAGGGGGTTTAGAGATTGGATGAGGGCGCGGGGGGAGGCTGGTTTTCGTCCGTGCGCAGCGCGCAAGAGTCAGTCGCGTCTCACGGCGCGGCGCGTCTGCCGCCTTCCCCAAACGAGTAAACTGATTGCCCTGGGCGTGATTGGCCCGTGACAGAGGCGTCGAATACCAGCGCAGCTGCGTCGAGGCTGCGTCGGATCCGAGCATCAGGTCTGGGAGTGTCACAATCACCCGGAGCACCAAGAAAGCCGCGGATCACTCGCAGCGAACGCGTGCTTCGGCCGCCCTTACCGTGCTGCTGCAAGGCTATCCGAACAGGTATCCATCCAGAGACAAAACACCATCCACCAATGGGTGGCATGAAACGATTCTTTGTGCCACTGTCTTACCGCATCCGCCGTATTGCACAGAGGCGCAAATGGCACACCTCCATACGACCATACCAGACGCCCCTCGAGATCCTCCTGGTGACGAATCCTTTGTCATCGCCCTGCCCATCCAATAGCGTAGTACCATCCCCGCCTATACCTGTCGACCGCCCAATGCATCCTACTCTACCAAGCAGGCCTATTCTTAGTCCGACTTCGAACGCCTTGGTGAAATCTGCAAATTAAAAGTCGACGCTGGTTGGGCCATTGCTGCGACCCGTGTCACATATGCATCGCGCTTGCGCCGCATCCCCGCTTTCCTACACTTTGCCTGCACATCATATCAAAGTGAGTTGGGTAGTGATCCCTCTTGAACTATCAATGAACTTCATTCGGTCTTCTGTTACTCGTCTCTATCTGTCCTCTCTTCTGTTTGCTTTCTTGATCTTACAATTTCTATCCCGTTCTTGTTTTCCTTTCACTTCCTTCGCCGCCCAATTCGTCCTTCCCTGGCGCCATGTTCTCCGCAATTTTGTTCCTGGCAGAATCTCCGAACAAGGGTCGACCCTTGACGTTCCGCTAGGAAAGGTGCTCGCTTCAAATGCATCCCGAGAAGGACTCTCCTACTTTCTTTCTTTTCCTACCGACGAAGACAAACAATTTCCAACAGACTTTAAAAGCGCTGGAAGGCTAAAAAGCAAAAAGCAATTGGTGGTATCAACACGGCGAGCGCTCTCTAACTGTACAAGAGGGGAGTCCAAAGACGCTGGTGGTGGATGATGGGAAGGGCGGCGTTTGAGATGGCCGGGAGAGCTTTAGAAAGGCATCCCCTGCACGTATGTGCCAATCAAACCGCTCTTCTCAGCATGTAAGAGCGCTTCCAAATGACCTTGTGCTTCAAGGTCGGATCTCATGAGGAGATTACTTAGTGCTTCATCATGTCGGCGTAGCTCTTTTCGGTCTTGTTGGGGTCAGTGGTGCTGAGACCGCCATTTTCGTGTTTGGCCGAGCCGTTCTGCTGAGGCTTTCCATTTGCAGAGCCGTTCGTGGAGCCGTTCACAGAGCCGTTCGTAGAGCCGTTCGTAGAGTGCATCTCGCGCTCGATGCCGTGGGTTGCGTCCTTGGCGGCTTTGGAGGTGGCATTGGCCTTGGAGGTCTGGCTAGTGCGCCTGATGTAGGAACGAACGAAGAAGCGGACGAAGAGGGCGCTATGTTCAGATTAATGATTTTGTCCACATTGAACGAGCAGTGCAACTTACGTCAAAGGCATGAGATAGATGACGTTCAGCCAGATCGCAAAGGACTGGCCAGTCGTGTCAATACAGGGAACCTGGACGTACTCGTCCCTCCACCTGATCTCCTCGCGGGTCTCGGCGGCTTTGACAGCTTCCGGGCCAAAAATGTTTCCAGAGTCATCGCGCACGTTCTCAGCCAAACCCTCCTCACCGACCGCGCGGAGGATCATCTTCTTGATCACAGCACCAAGGCCGGTAGTGCTAGCAGCGGCGGCGACGGAGGTGGCAGAGGATGACACTGCAGAAGCAGCCTCGGCGGCGGCGGAAGTCATAGTATGAACGAGAGTGTAGGGGGTCGAGACCGGAACGGTGTACGAAACGAACAAGTGGATAGCCGCGAAGTTTGCGCCAATGACGAATTGGGCAATTTGCATGGTCGTAAGCGTACGCTTGATAGGCTGGGGGACGCGAACACCGAGGGCAGAGATGGTGTAATATGTGTACTGGCCGTGATACTATCATCATTATCTGAATCCCACGAGCCAGTGGTGTGGAGAAAGACTTACCATAAGCGCATGAATACCCGAGTTAATAAAGACGAACATCCATATCGGAGGCGACATGAAGCGGATACCAGCCCACATGCAGAGCATGGCACCCGCGTGGTGATAGGTCTGCAGAGTGGAGCTGCGCTTGCCCTTGGCTAGAATGATGGCCGTGTCAAGCACTTCATAGAACTTGGACAAGTAGAACCACCAGCCCCAGAATGCAAGACCCTCGTTCCACATCCTGCCCACGTCGGTAGGGTCCGGCTCGCCGTTTGCGCCCAGCAAGATCTGAGTGTTCTTCACCTCCCAGGCGTCGTTGGTGTTGTTGAAGGTAGCAGCGTTTCCGAGACCGCGGGGACCGTGGATCTTGCAGTATGCGTCCACATTCTCGACCAGGCCAGCATCCAGGCCCGGAGTCAGACGGTACAGAGCCCTTGCCATGGCAACGTTGGTGATGGCCGAGTACACAGCCAGGAAGACATTGTGGAGAATGACGAAGGCGTAGAAGATGCGGGTCTTGCTGATGGCCCACGGCTTGTTGCCGCGGCTCTTGTTGTAGCGGTTGAGCAGGGTGACGGTGATGGCGTAGACAGTCGCAATGGTCGCGGGAACCTTGGGTGATAGCAGGGCATTGAACGTCTCGGCGCTGATGCTGAACGGAGCTCTGAGAGTGCCGGTAGCCTGCGGCGGCGCAAGCGCGGGCGGGGCCCAGTCCGGGGGAAACTTGAACAGGTCCCGCGAGGGGAGCTCGAGGTGAAAGGTAGAACCCGACATGGTTGCTCGGTTGCAGCGTAAAACCTAGACCGGGGTATATAAGGTATAGCAACGGTGGGAGTGACGGGGGCCCTGGTCGCTGTGTCTGATCTCAACAGACCTTCATGCAGGTGAGAGGGATGCAGCGAGAGCCGACGAGCTGATAGCCAATGCTGCAGGTTCGTCGGAGCAATTGGCGGGTGGGTGGGATACAAAAAGTACTCTTTCGGGTGCGCGCGTGGAAAAATCACAAGTGAGCAGGGCATGACGTTGCCGAGCCCCAACAATTCAGACCGGGTACCGGAGCCTGATCGGGCAGGCGCGCGCTCATGTGAGCAGGCCAAGACGCGACGTTGTTTCCACTACAAGAACAGCGCACCCGCCGTGACGTCTGGCTCTGCGCCCTCGCCTCCCTTCGCCGTTCCATCCGCCTCGCAGTGTTCGCAGCGCAGCGCCGGCGTTGAATGTTGCCATTGAGCTTGCGCGCACGACCAGACGCGCTCCGCCGCCAGGCGCCCCTCGCGCGCGCATCCTCGCACAAGCGAGCGGCCTACCCACGGTCAAGGGCATGATTCGCAATGCCTCCTGGAGAGCCTCGGCAGTTTTGCACTCCCTGATAGGTCCATTTTTTCGCTGCCCGCCACCCAACTCACGAGAACCAGTAGCGTCGCAAGCCGAGATGCCGTCGTGCTCCTCAACAATAATCTACGGCCGAACTTTCCCTATCACCCGAAATTCCCTTTGCCTGTGCCTGACCCTTCAGACCCTTCAGGCCTCTCAGACCCTTCCGACACGCGCACCATCGCTCCTCCATGCCGTCCGGGTGCCCTGAACACACCGCAAAAGCGCCATCAAAACCCCCGGTTGTCCGAACGAAGATTCACGTTGAGAATACTTAGCAATACGAGCATCAGCCTCATGTTCAAGTCGGCCTAGGCTTGCTGGCCAATGGAACAGGCGGCGGTGGAGATGCACTGTTTTCTGCTGGACCCTTCTTTTTCGGAGGAGGCGGAGGCGGAGGCTTCTTCCCCACGGGGCCTGGCGGCGGGTTCGCCGGTGATGCCGTTCCGCTGCCCGATGCCATGCCGTTGACTCTGTCCACTACACCGTATTTCTGGTTCAGTCCATTGGCCTTCTGCCATCCCGCCGCCACCTGCTCTCCATGTCTCTCGCGGAAGTTATTTGCTGTGGAGGCTGCAGTACGCATCTCGCTCACCGAGACAGACGAGGGATTTTTATGGAAATTTCTGGCGGTGCTGAATGCAGCCTGCTTCTGCGCGAACGTCGTTCCTCCTTCAGGGGTGGCTGGTTGAGAAGAGCCTGTGCCCATCTTTGAGAAACGTGACTGAAGCCCGCTGAGCGGGTTCTGCTGGGCAGGAGACGCAGTGCGCGGCGGCGGCGCTGGAGGAGTCGCAGGCGAGCCATTGCGCGGAGGCACAGGAGGAGAAGCAGTTCGCCCGATGCCAAACCCAGAAACGTTTACCCCCGCATTGCCTAACCTGTTGATGGCTCCTTGGTTGAGGATACCTTGACTTGGTTGTGCGGGAGGGCTCTGAACACTTTCTTGGTACGTCGGCGGTGGAAGCGGGGCATGAATATCTGGGTGTGAATTTTGGCGAGGGGGCAGTCGCGGCGGCAATTTCGGTTTCTGAGATGGCGCCGGAGGGGGCGCAGGCTTTGTCCTTACAAGCGACGTCGCCTCCGGTGTCTCTTGTCCCGGCCGCCTCACAGGAGGTTTGGGCAGATGTGCCGTCGATAAACCGGTCGTGTCAACGCGATAGGGACCTGGCGGCGGTCTGTTTTCCTCTTCCTCCTGAGCTTGAGCAGCTGCGAGCTGTCTTTGCTGTGAGGCCTGGATCTGCTCCTGTGTCAAGGGGGCTCCAAGGCCGCTGCTCGCAGGCGTGGGTGCGGTGATGTAGCCGGCCGCTCCGCTCGGCGGGTTCGCCTGCGGTCCGTAGTAGGCTTGATGCTTCGGGGGCGGTGCGAAGCTCGCGGGATCTCTCAGGGAAGACAGCGGCCGTGACTGGTGGTCACGCTGCGCCGCATAAGGGTCGTTGTTGCCCATGCCAACCAATCCTTTCTGTGATGCGCGACCGCGGTTAGCCAGTACGTCACGGACGACACCGTGGGGCAGTGCGGGGGGCGGAAACGTACGGCTCTGTCCCTGAGGCCTCCGCCCTGAGAAGAAGAGGACCCTCTGTTCTTCTCAGGATGCCAGCCGCCTTTGGCGATTTCTGTAAATTTGTTCATGTTGTAGTTGTTGTTGTCAGGCAGTTCGAGTTGGTTGGGCACGCGGGATGACGACGGCTCTGGCGGCAACGACAGGGATGGGGTGGCTGTGCTTCTTGGCGAGAAACCGCAAGGCTTCCGTAAGTCGTGGCCGTCTCAAGACAACGATCCCGCTCATGCATGACCAGGACAAAGAAGACTACGTCTACTGCCGGGCAACAAGTGATGATCATTTAAAGTCTTGGTTTGGTCAGCTAGTACTCGTCTCCCTTTTACTATGCTGCCTACCAAGCTCCTTTAAGCTGTGCTTTACTTCAATATCGTACAATTTCTCGCGGGCGCTGACGCTGCCCGAGCCGAGTCGGTACGACCTCTATCTCAACTCCACTATGCCGAAGTCCGGCTCCGGCATGTCCCTGATCCTTTTTCTTTTGCTCGCCGCAGCTCCGACTCTCGTTCCAGTGCCTGCAGGCACCCCGGTAGAGTTGGCTCGTCTTTCTTTGAACGCTTTATCTCTTGCAAATATTTGCAACCCACGCAGATGCGTATCTTTCCCGTTCTGGTGGTTCTCGAGAATCTTTACCTGGACAAGCATCGCTCGAAGTACTGGCAGCTTCTTCCTCCTGCGCCCTATCTCAAATTCATCCTCGTCATCACCGAGCTCATCGTCGGAGCCCGAGACATCATCATCAGACCCACCGACGGCTCCAACGCCTTCGAAGTCGACATTGACCCAGCCCCGGGGTTCGACAAAGGACATGACGCCCCATTCCTGCAGATCCATCTCGCCCATGCCAGCTAGGAAAGCGATCTTGGTGGGCGTGTAACTCTCATCTTGGTCGAAGTCGAGATAGATGCGCATGGCCACGATTTCTACGACCTTGAAAAAGTGAATGTTGAGGTAGTGCGGCTGGGGGCCATCGGATTGCCAGAATAGTGAGGTCGAGGGGGATCGCAGCTGGGGCACGCCACAGCCGGGCTTACTGCTTGAGACAGTCCATGACGCGAGTGATGATATCTCCTTCAGATTTGGTGGCAGTGGTGGCGTGCTCGGCTCAGTCGGAGACTCTGGGAGGAGAGTTAGTCAGGCCCATGCTGCCGGATGCATCACCGTGAAACACAGGGAAGGTGAAGTGCAGCAATGGCAGGGGTTGCTGCAAAGAGATCTTTGGATGACCTTTGACGCTACATGCATCGCGGTCCCGATCGCCTGGATGCCAATCTGCCGCGAGATGAAAACGCCACCGCCCAGGGTCAATATCGAGAGTGTCCCAAGAGTCGCAGAGTAGGGAAAGGTCCATTTGCTTTTGTGATGGCGTGGAATGCCCACTACAAAATCGGATGTTCCGAGAAAGACGGGTCTGGAATCACGGCCACCGTCCATGATAGGTTTCACAATACGAGCGAGAAAGAAACAGAATCGACAGAGACGGTTACGGAATCCACTCTAGAGGTGGACAGGCTGGCTGGAGGAAAAGTGGGTGGAGTCGACAAGTGGGAAGAGACATGTCGTCTGAAGGAGGGAAAAACGCGCAAAAAATGGTACCGACCTGGTGGGCCCTCGTCTTCGTCGTCCTCGGCCTCTGCGTATATGTCGGCCATAACGGACTCCATATAGCCGCCTGTAGGACCATCATGGCTTACATCATCGAGGTCGGAAGGCGGATCGAGGGTTTGCTCGGGCTCAGGCTGCGGCTGGTGGCGGCGACGTGTAGCGGGTGGCATTGGTGTCTTGTGACCAGATCAGCGCCAGCGGACCGTGGGGTTGGGTCGATTTGGAGATGGCATGTCCGTCGGTGTTGTTTTGTTTTGGCGGCGGACACTCGGGCAGGCGCTAGGCCCGGCAATCGCTCTTTCCCGGCCGTCGCCTGGCTCGTCTGTCCGCTCCGGCTGCACCTCCGCTTACTTACACCTCCGCTTACACCTCCGCTTGCACCTCCGCTTGCACCTCCGTCCGCGCCTGCACGCCCGTCTCAATGCAGCATCCCGCCCGGCTCGAGTCATTCCCGCGGCCCGGGTATCAAGGCCCGGCTCCGTCGTGGAGGCGATGAAACTGCCGGCCTGGCTTCCGTATGGCTCCTCGGCCCAGCACTCGTGGGGCCCGAAAAAGCAACAGCCCGCAACACACTCAAATCTTCAAGCCCACGGCACTCGGCCAGCGACTGACGTGAAGACGCGACCCCAGCACGATCCCGATGCCCATGCGGCCTTCCAATATTGCTCGCAGCACCCGGCTGCTGGTGCGACGCCGACGGCATCCACCAACGCTGTGCTCCTGCAACCTCCGCTCGGGATCCCCATCGCGTGAGACGACGTGGGATTCGCGCTTGGGTCCAACGGCCCGTCTGCCAGGACGCGTTGGAGATGAAGACAGCCACAGATCTCGCAGCTGCGCCGACATGCCTCCACCTTGCCGCCTCCACGCCTGCCGTCGAGCGTGCGAGGCCCAGCCCCCTGCAGCCGCGCTGCAACTTGGAACCGCTCTTCCCTGTCCTTTTCCGGCTTCCCACAGTGTTGGTGACACTGCCCGCGAAAAAGCACCCGGAAAGCCCGTGTGCCGCGCCCGCAACGTGAATCCCCAGCAAGGGGTGCCAAATCGAGACCGGGGCCCATGTCCACTCCGTCAGCATCATACAACTCGCTTTTGCTATTTCGCTGTAAATTTGACCTCTCATCCCGCTCCGCTTCCCTCGATCCGCTTTCTTCCCCGAGCGCTCCGTCTGCCCTTACTCTTGATCCATCCCATGTGTGCTTCAAGGCCAGGATCCTATGTCGTGTAAATTACGCGTCGACTTCACTCGTCTTCTCGCACCCTTTGCCTCACTACTTATTCAGCCGCCTACTCGATGCCAGAGGAGCGCTTGGCATCTCCTATCTGATCTGTCCGCGCACCCGCTTCCCATGAGCCGACTCATACCCTGTACTGGAATTACTTGCGATACCGCTCCATACCCTCCATGCCTGATCCGCTATAGCACTGGAGGACCTCTTGTGGAACAACCGTGAGAGTGGCGACTGCAACAGCTTTGAGCCTTCTCACAGCTGGAACCCTCGGTACAGATGGCGTACCGACCATTTTCAGAGACCGAATCCAAAGCCCCTGCTGAACTTGCTGTCTGCATCGTTTTCCTCATACTGACATACCTCACTGTTGGCGCCCGATGCTATGTACGGACGTCCATGCTTAAAAGCTTCGGATGGGACGATGCCCTAATGGTGGTTGCTTTGGTAGGATGGAACGCCTAGCTTTCTAGACGAAACGGACTGATACCCTATTAGGCTTTCTTTAATGTCTGGGCCATTTCGATCATCGTCATCGCGTACCAATATGGAGGAGGAACTCGCGTCGATGTCATCGGAAGCGCGATGCACGTAAGTCTTTTGCGTCTGCATGATAGCATCCTGTCTAATGCTTTCCAGTGGATAATCGTCTCTGAGACATTCTACGTAATTACAGCCATGATGGCCAAGTTGTCTTTGGGCATCTTCTTCCTGCGGATAGTCATCAAGCCTTGGCAAAGAGCCATGGTCTACGTCGTAATGATCCTCATCGCCCTTACAAGCATCTTCTTCTTCTTCTTCCTTATTTTCCTCTGCGGAAACCCAAAAGACTACCTGATACGCTACGTGTATGATCAATGCGCGCCACGGCACGTCCAGAGCGCGCTTGCATACCTCTCCGCCTCTATAGGCGCGGCGGCGGATTGGGTCTACGCACTCATCCCCATTCAGATTGTGGCGCAAGCCAATATGGACATGCGTTCCAAATTGTCCGTCTTCTTCATCCTCTCGGTTGGCACAGTCGGCTGCGTCTGCTCTACCATCCGCCTCAAGTACATCGGCGGCTTGGTCAGTCCAACCGATTTCTTCTGTACGCCTCGCCCTTGAACTTCTCCACCAAGGAGCAGACCCAGCTACTAACCTTTGACGTCTCAGGGAACGCCGCCATGATATCCATATGGTCGGGCATCGAGTGCGGCGCGGGCATCACGGCTGGTTCTCTTGCAACCCTCCGCCCACTGTTCAAACACTGGATTGCTACTGTCCGTAGCCTCTCCGACTCACTCGGCTCGTCTGCCGCGCGACGCCGAAAGCGCGCTGCAAACCCAAATTGCACGGGCACAAGCAGCGGCGCAGCCAGCGGTGGAATCAGACCGCATGGCGACGGTCCCGCTGACGCCCACCACCACCGTGGCCACCATCCTCCCCACAGGCCTCAGTCACGCTCCTTTCCCAGCTATGGATCGTCCATTGGAGACATCAGCGGTGCAAGCGGAACGGGGGGCAGCAGAGCATGGCCAAGCTCAGGCTGCTGGGAGAAGCTCGACAGCGATGCGATCATCCGCAGCAACAGCAGCATCACACGGCAGCGCGACGGTAGCAGCGACTACTCAGGCGACGACGTCGAGTTGAAGGACCTGTCTCGCGAGACGTCGCGAGAGCTTCTAGACCACCACCACCATCACCAGCGGCGTCCATCGTCGTCGTCTTTATCGTCGCCATCACCGCCTCCGTCTCGTCCCCTGCCAACACCGCCGGCGCCGCCCCCGCCCCCGCCCCCGCCTCCGACCCCGCCGCCACTGCCCCCACCACCACCACAGTCCCTATTGAGGAGTGCGGCAGTGGGATCGGCGAGCGCGAGACCCCTGTCCGTCATCCCCGAGCGCGATAGCGTAGTCAGCAGCAGTGGTGGCGGCGACGGACGTGGCAGCGGCCGGTGGGAGTCGTGGTCGTTGCCGCCCGCGCCGGACCAGTGGTCGGACGACGACGGGCAACGGCAGCAGCAACGGGGGCAAGAAAGCAGAACGCGAAGGACAAGAGGAGGTGGATTCAGCACGACGACGCCGCCGCCGCCATCGTCACTGTATGACACGGATCTAGAGCTGGGTCGACCGTTTACGATCGACGACGTGGAAATGGGGTTTTTGGATGCGGACGAGTTGAGGAGACATCGGCGGCGGCTTCGGGTGATGGAGGCTCGGGATGGTGGTGGGGGGTTTACGTGGGGCGGTGCGTGAAAGGAGGAGGGTTCATTTCCTCGAGTGGGATTATGAAGAGGGCAACCCCGGTCGGTTGGCTGGCCGTCTATGAATTAATGATCTATTGGTAAAGTGTACAAAACTACTTGTATGGAAAGGGGTTTCATTCGTCCGCTAAGGAAATGGTATTAGCAAAGTAAGAGCAAGCCAATATCCCCAATATCAGAGCGCTTTTCGAATCACAGACGTGGAAACTGAATAAGATAGAGAACGTGCCGGCTTTAAAAGGGTAAAGAAGCAATAACAGGGCGCTAGAAGCAGAGTTACCCTCAAATGAGAGGCTGCTGCTCAGGGCGGGATTCAGCCTGAAGCCTACGTCTCTGGTCGTCCTACACTTTAGCGAGATGGACTGTCTACCCAGGCCTAAAGCATTAATTCAGGATGCCATGTGAATTTTCATACTATATATTGTTTCTATTCATAGCTCGTTGCTAACACTTTCTCCAGCCCTGGCCACTACCCGTTTCTCCTGCTCCACTTACATCCATCCCTCCCTTAGGCAGCCCAGCAGCTAGAAGCATAGCTTGAAGACCAACTACCTTATGCCTGTTGCCGTACTCGCCTCGAGTGCAGTACCATAGTGTTTCTAAGCTCGCATCCCTTGCTAATACTCCACAATCTTGAGCCTCTTCCTCACCTCCTCAGGCAGTTCATCCTCCTTAATGATGCCCAGCTTCACCGCATCACCCCAGAAGAACATGGCGCGATCGTTTGCGTATCCTAGATAGTCGAATTCTTCCTCACCCTCGGCTGCACCCGACGAGCTGTTCGCATCGCCTACATCTGCAGCCTCCTCCGCCTCCGCGGAAGGCGGGTCCGTCATGCCCACACCTTGATCTCCCTGCGGGGTCATATAGGATTGCTCCCCTTCCTTGATATCAGAGGCGCTGGGCCCAGCGTTTCTGTTCGCAGCCGTATTCTTCTTCATTTCATCGTCGAAGTCGGGGAGGCCAGAGACCTTGGCTTGCACAATTCCCCACGCGACCCATTGTGCGGAGTTGGCAAGACGCCAGATTTGCGTTTCGGCCATGAGGCGTTTGATTTCCTTCTCGAGTTCGGCCTCTTCACGCTCCTCTTGTTCTTCGAGTTGCTGTGGTGGAGCACGGGAATCGAGCATGAAGGCTGAGATGGAGGAGCTGTGGGCCAGTGTCGGGGGGCGGACGTTGCTAGATGCGATGGAAGAGTCACTGCTCTGAGAAGGCTGGAAGGGACGGTGAGTGACGTAAGAGCGGATGAAGCGGTGTTGCTCTGCAGGTGTTGGGTATGCATTGGTGTTGACGGCGTGAGGAGCCTTCTCGTCGTGGTAGTTGTAGCACCACTCAGTCTGCTGCATGTCAGTGCAAATATTGAGAATGTATGTACAATCATGCCACTTACGAAATGATTGGCGAACTCCAACCCAGGTGTGTTTGCGTTCGCGTACTCAAAATCGATCACAATAAGCTGTTTGTGCTCGTTGGCAGGAAGGAGAAGAGGCGAGTCTCCTGGGGGCATGAGTCGAAGAATGTTTCCATATTGTGTCTGTCATCGTATAGTCAGCGTCCGTTCCCATAGAGTTCCGGTTCATGATTAGACACTTACATCGTTGTGGGCGAAAACCAGCCGCTCATTGAGATGCTTGCATCCTCCGTACTTTTCCTTCAACCATGTCCGGTACTTCTCCACCGTCTGGCGGAACATCTCCCACGGAACGCCGCATACAAATCCAAGCTCGGCCAATGAGCCAATATCTTGAGTTGTCTCTGAGCCCTTCAAAACTTCTGCATCGAGCCATTTTGAGATATACTCGCAGCGATCAACCCATTTGTCCCAGTTCTTCCAGATGAACGGACCATCGTCGCGCTCCTGCGGGAGGAGGTCAATACCCTCGTGTAGCTCACGCATGCGCTTGGCGATCTGAACTGAAGTCTCCGGGTTGCGGAGGTCCCTAGGAGTAAGCGTGCGAGCGTGGAAGAACTCCTCAAAGCGACCGTTAGAAAAGGTTCCGAGCAGACGAGGACCAATTTTCTTGCGAGCAAGCCTACGCAAGATCTGCAGTTCAGATTCACGGTCAATCAGATGTTCGACCTGAGGGCCGTAGATTCGGAGCAGCAGCTTCCTGTAGCGGCAGTCAGCGCACGTACATTTCCGGAGACAGGGCTAAACTTACGGAGGAGGATTGCGAGGACGGGGATGGATGTCTCCGTCTTCTCCTTCCCGAGGAGGAAGATCCTTTGGAGGCGAGACGACGTAGACAGCATTAGTAAGAGCGCCGCTAAGCCTCTCGACCTCGATGTCGCTGCTCCTGTCCATGGGGACTCGCCGCCATCCCTTCAAGCGCAGGGTGTGTGCAAGGCGAACAATCTCGTACTTGAACGTCGCCCAGGCCTGCTTCTCCTTGGCCTTCCTCGTTCCGGGAGTCAATTGATCATCAATGTCAACCTCGTCAACACCACCACCAGAATAGGCAAGAGTGCGGCTGTTGTCAAGGACAACGTCACAGCTGGGCACAAGTACATCGCCATCGTGGTACTCAGTATCAGACGAGCCGGCCGTCGACTGGCGTCTCAGCTTGCGGCTGATGCGGTGCGGCACCTTGCGTCCTTCGTGGCCGACGACAGACAAGCCCTTCTCAATAATCTGTTCAAGTGCGTCCAAGGCGGCCGAGCCTTCAGACGCGTCCGAAGGCCGGCGCACCTCATTTTCGGCTGTGTCGGCAGACTCGCTCGGCGCTTTCTCCTGGGCGCTAGGCATTGTAGGCTCCGGACGAGGCTCACGCTTGGCTGCCTTGCGAGCTGCTCTTCTTGCTTTTTCTTCCTTTAGCCACGCACTAACCTGGGCCACCAGAGGTTGGATATGGTGATTGTGGCCGCGGTGGCCTGGATTAGCGCTGTCCTCAGCAAGGATTTCTGACAGGGCACTTTCTGCAACGCTCTGGCTGGACGAGACGTTGCGATCGACCAGAGGGCGGCCCGAGAGGCGCTTGCCAATCTTGATGCGATGCTGCTGTTTTGAGGGAGTGCGCTCGAGCGTGCAGGCGCCATCGTCATCCATGTCCTTCGAGTGGGCTTCGATGGTCGGCGAGACTTGCGGAGCAGCAATGGTGACAACTGGTCGAATGTTAATACGGGCTATCCTGTCTCGCAGCTGCAGGAAAAAGGCCATGTTTGCGAGGGGCAGAAGTGCTGGCAAGAAGGCAAAGCTGCGCGAAGTGGGAAGCGACCGGTTGAGGGCAATTTCTCTGTTGAAATTGAGGAGTAGAGCTGTCATGTGTACTTTTCGAGACGCGCCGCCACACAGATAAACCAAGATAAGCGTGCCTTCCCCAATGGTGTCGCGCGGCCACCCGCGCTCCATCCTCTTTCAACAGCGTTCCCGGCATCAGAAACACCCTCTCAGAGAAGCCGCAGCGCACTGCTCTAAAGCGGCGCCCCGACGCAGCTGATCCATAAAAGACCCGCATGAAGCTTGTATGCTTCGGCTACCAGCCACGCGGGGGAAGGGGAAGCAAGCCACGGCCCGTCACCGCTCAACAATTTCACGGAGAAGGGTTGAACTTAAATTACAGAAGCAGCACAGCGGGGGGGGGGGGGAAGTGGGCCGGATTGAAGAAAGAAGTCGCGCAACTCACCTTTCGAAGCCGGGCTCCGCGTCGCCGTGCTGGGACCAACACCACCATTGCCAGCGCCGCCCTCTGGAGGCTTCAGTGCGCTGTCATTGGCCTGCTTTGCGGGCTCGGATGACATGGCTGCCTGCTTTTAGCACGGTAGATCGGGCAACGAAGGCGGCGAAGGGTGTGCTTGTCACGGCCGACGATCCTGGCTCTGGCAGGCGGCAACGCGTGGGAGGCGACAAGGGCCACACAGACGGACAGCTGGCGGACGGAGGCGACGAGACGGACGGGCTGGGGGAGGGGACAGCTCGCTCGAGTGGAAGATGGCGCGCCTAGACTGGGCTCGGGGTGACTGGTCGTCCGCACGTGAATGGCCGGCGGTGTGAGCGTGCGCAGGCTTCGCCGGGTGGGTTGAGAAATGGTCTGCGAGGCACAGCAAAGGACGAGGACAGCGGCGGTCTTCGGATAAAGGGGAGCAGCGCAGCTAGGTAGGGATCAAAGAGCTTGGTGTATGCTATGGAAACAGGCGTTATCTTTTCGCGGGCACTAGCGCTACACGCTGCCCGCCCGCGAGCGCGCCGCAGCCCAGCGCCGCCCGTGCCCGGCCTGCAGGGACGTCCTCCACTCACGCACCGCACCCATGCATGCATTATGACGCCGCCTCCCGCCCCAGGCCGGAATCTTGGTCTCGCTCGGTGATCATCCGGTTCCCAATCCGGCAATTCCCGGCCTCTGAGCAAGCATGCGAAAACCGACCAACGAGTTGCTGCTTGTTTTCCCCGCGGCGCGCGCACCCGCCACCTGTGGAGAGGACCGGCTTTGGCTCGACTTCATCTCGGCGCGCCTCGCCTACTGGCTTTCCCTACGGCTACGACCCACCACCAGCAATCTGCGAGCGCTGAACTAGACCCAAGACGGCTACCGCCCGTGGGCACCTTGCAAGAGGGTCTTTCTTGCCGCTGAGATCAGACAATCCAGACCACGTGTCGCAATCATGACCGCGATCCCAGCTGTTCCTGGGATGCGTGACATTGATGAACCAGCAATAGGAACAAAACTTGCTCCAGCTATGCGTCAGGCCACGTCTCGCAGGCGAAAAAGGGTTGCCTGCAGACTAGCGCGTAAATCCTTCCACTCTAAGCCCACCTTGCAATGGGACGCAAGTTAAGCCCTACCGCACCCAAAATCCTACCAGTGGACACTTTGATATTATTGCTGCACTATTCGCTACTACTCGTTTCGGTGGACCAAACCATCCGGAACAAGCCGTCATGGGATTTTGATGTCGCGTCCAAACATCGGCTCCAGGTGCTCTTATACACCTGCAGCAGTCTCTCTCCAAAGTGCATGCAAAGTCATCTTCGTCCATAATTCCAACCGGATGTCAATTCGTATGAGTCTTTGATTGCCTAAAAGGTATCAACGCCTCGTTCCCGTGTGGACCGTATATGAAGGTTTACCTGTAAGATCCTTCCGCTCATGTGGGTATCATTTGATGCCAAACGCCAAAAAAAAAAAAAAAGACCAAAGAAACACCCTACTCAATGCAAGCACGCGCTCCTCTACCGAATGAAGAGCGTCGAGTGAAATATGAAAAGCGTCGAGTGAAATCGAGCCCCTGAAAGCCATGCATCCTTCCTTTTCCGCGCTACTCTTCCATATGTTCGCCATTACCCCCCTCTCTCACCTTCTTCTCTCCAACCAACCCAGCCACCGCCTCCATACCCCTCACCTCCTCGGGCAGCATCCTCCTCCCCAGACCCTCGGAACCACCCTCACCGTTGCTAACATCCATACCCCTCCTCTCCATAATCCTCTTCGTCTGCTTCTCCACATACTCGCTCCGCTGGCGCGCGAGCTCCGATCCCGGGCCCGCCCCACCCGGCTCGCCCAGCGCCGCGATCCTCGGCCGCAGGTACTGCAGGACCAGCCGCAGCGCCGGGAGCTGGCTCAGCGCGAACGCCGTGTTCTGCCGCAGCGGCTCGTGCTTGGGCAGCGCCGCAGAGCCGTCGGTCGGGAGCGCCATGTCCAAGCTCCGCGCCGCCGGCGCCGAGGCCAGGAAGGCGAGCGAAGGGCTCTGGGGCGCTGGCGGCGCGGCCGCCGCCGCTGCGCCTGCGCCTGCGCCGTCGCCGGCGGTGGCGGTGGCGGGGGGCTGAGGCGACGAGGACACGGGCTCGGCTTTGGCGGCTCTTGGGTCGTTGTTGCCTCCTCCCAGCAGGCCGCGCAGCTGCGTCAGCAGCGCGTCGTTGCGTGCTCGTTCCGCGAGGAGGGCGGAGTGGAGTTTGTTGGTTTCTTGGACTTTGCGGCGCAAAGCCTGGACGGATTCGGGGGTCGGCAGCGGGGTCGGCAGCGGGGTCGGGGAGGAGGAGGTGGTCGAGGTATACGGGAGTTGAAGGCCCTGCCGTGGATATAGGTGTGAGCTGTATCATCCAAAGCGAGCAGCGACGATCAATGTACCTGATAATGCGCCAGCCTAACCCACGGCACCAGATCCTCCGGCACGGTGAGCACGTTCCTCAGCAAATAAATCTCCAGCTTGTCAAAGTTCTTGTCGACCGTGGCCTCCAACAGCGTCTCTAGTTGGTGTACGCCCTCCTCAATCTCTCTCCTCGCTTCCGGGTAGAGCGGGTTCCCTTCATCATCCGTGTCTGGGATTGTGTTCTCCGCCGCCGCTCTGGCAGCGAAGCCGAGACGCGACGGTGGTGTCTCGAGCAAGCCGGCCTCGACCGCGTCGACTGCGCGATTGACTAGCTCATTGATCATGTTTATTATCTGGTCAATGAGGGTCTTGCGCCGAAAGTCAGCATTGGGCTTGTTTTGACCGTGATTCTGTACGCAGCGGCGCATTCGGAGGTCTTACGAGAGGCGTGTAGCGAAAATGCTCGGTGAGAAGCGAGGTCTCGATCTGCTTCGCCTGCGCCATCTTGGACTTCGTGCTGCCGGGGCAGAGACGTGACGGGGTTGGGGGCACAAGGCGTGCTGGACTTGGTGTTGCACTCGAGTGTTTACCCGCCGCCCGCGCGCGACGCCCGCGCAGGTCTGCGCCCGTGTCTGCGCCAAGGCCGTTCACCGCCCGGGAACCCCCATCGCCCTCACTTTGCAGGGAATCTCCGCAGATCTCAGACCACCAGTCAATCATCCGCACCCGGTGACGCATGTCAGGTGCTGCAGTGCACATCGTGATGGAGGCGCACGAAACTCGATCGTGCACGAGATTATCTATGGATACAACAGACCTCCGCGGATCCGAATCAATCGCCTCCCCCGCAATGCCTGTCCGTGGATGCTTTAGCGCCTTCGCTTCCCGTCCCATCTAAGATCCCTTCAAAAACCGGTCCCTGAACCCAAGGCACGCCGGAGATTAGACGCGCTCTCGATATTTTCGAGGGCGTACTGTATGTGGATATAACCAGCTCCCTTTGTGTCTGAACGCAGAAAGTTATGCAAAGAAAAAATGAAACCCTGCCACGAAATCCATATGAAACTCCGGAGCCGACCATGTTAGCCCGCCCATGCTCCTTTCATGAAGAAAAAAGGTCGTCATTGTGGTATCGTCGAAGCCTTCAACCGAGTCTGAAGCCTTCGACTGAATCTGAAAGAGCTTGCACAAGAGAAAATTTTGTGTCGAGACGTCGTGTGATGCGACCATACGCAAGAGCTGGTCACCGGTACCCGTTCTCCGTCGCCTGCCTAGCCTTCTCGGCCTTCGCCCGCTCCTGCTTCTTTCGGATCTTGAGTGCCTCAGTGCCATCGTCCTCGATCCTCTGGGTGAACCAGGGGTGGTTGAGAGCCTCCTTGGCCGAGATGCGCTTCGATGGGTCATACACAAATATCCTCTTTAGCAGGTCGAGAAAGTGCATGTTGAACTCGGTGTGAGGCGGGATTGTCTCCTGCACGGCTGATGTTAGAGACGGTCGGAACTAAGAGAAAGGCGAGGACTAATTACCTGCAGCCGCTTCATGGCCTTGACATACTTCCGAGAAGCCTTGGGCGTATCCGTGTTGGGATAGTCGAGCTTCTGGCCCTTGAAGTACCTGTTGTCCGAGTCTTAGTAATTGTGCATCTCAAAACTGGCTAGCAGGTGAGGGACTTACTGTGAAGCGGGGTTGCGGGACTGTCCCCTGTCCTTAGCCAGGACCTGCCTGATCAAGTGCTTATCCAACTTGCCACCACAAACAGCCTCCATCATCGCGAGATGCTCCAGATTGTCATGAGTCTGGAAAAGAGCATCCCCGGTGAAAAACTCAACCAAAATACAGCCGATACTCCAAATGTCGCACGGGTAACTCCATCCAAGGTTGAGAATAATCTCAGGTGCGCGGTAGTGACGGGTTGAAACCACAGAAGAGTGATATTCGTCGTCGAAAGTGGCTGAGCCAAAATCGATCAGGCGAATCTCGGGATTCAACAAGACCTTCCTGTGGCGAGCCGAACGAGCAGTCGCGGTAGATGATGACGGTATTGTTCGGTTGTACGTGAAGGTCTGGTATGCATTGTTGACGAGCAGGATATTCTCCGGCTTCAAATCGGTGTGAATGAGGTGTAAGTCGTGAAGAACTATGTTGCATTAGCGCGAGAAGTATCACAAAAAGCAAAGGGGGGGGGATCAACTTACAAGCAACGCTGGTAAGAAGTTGATGCGCAAAAGTTTGGATGTGGGTACTGGGGAAAGGCACAAATTGGTTCGACTTGAGGAAGTCAAATACACTCTGGCCGTACAGGTCTGTGACAATGCAGATGTGGTTTCGGAAATCGAAGCAGTCGCGCAGGTGGATGCACTTATTGCGGTTGTGCGGGTCGTTCGAGGCAAGCGTCGACAGGACTCTAAGCTCGATGCGAGATGCATCGCGATATTTTTGAACCGATCGGATGACCTTGATGGCGACCTTGTTGCCCTTTTTCTTGTCGAAAGCCTCGACGACCTTGCCGAAAGTGCCCTGCCCGAGCAACTTCACTATTTGGTCTGCGACCATTAGTATTATTGATATAGTAACGGAATGAGAACAAAGCACTTACACTTCTCGGTGATGTCTGCGTCGGGATGGACGACATAGTGACCATCTTCGTCATCCACCTTCTCGTTGGGGCGGTACTTCTGTAATACGTCAGCGGGCGCTCGCGGGCAAAGAGGCCAAGAGCAACTCACATCAGGAACGACCTTGACGTAGACATCCTTGGCCTTGATGGGAGGCTGCTTGGGCGGGATGTAGCTGGTCCAGTGCTCCTGTTGCTGTTCGGTCTCTCGTCGCTTGGCTTCTTTGGCCTCATCCAGCGTCGTTCTGCGCGTTGTGCGCTTCCGCTTCTGGCCGACCGCAGCATCCTCCAGCTGAGCGGCATATGCTCCATTGCTAATCGTCGATCCGAGCGATGTCGACGCAGTAGTGTGTATGGCGGAGGCGGTGCGGTCGGTGGAGATGGTGTGGTTCGAAGGCGTGCCGGGGTACATGGGCGTCTCGGTGGTGGAGTATGACGTGTTTTGGTGGTAGACGGGATCGTAGGCGGTCGAGGTCGCAGTCTTGCGCTTCTTGTCTGCATGGCGATCGGCAGCGACTGCGGCGACAGCCCTGGAAGTGGGTGGCGCCTGGGGCTCCGGACTGTCGTCATCAATCACGATGACCTCTTTGGGAATGCCGTTCTTGTAGAACTCGCCCCAGTCGGGCTTGTTGGTCCGCCTGCGGGAGGGCATGCTGGGCAATTGCTGCTGGTCGGCGGCGTAGTGGGTGGGGTACGACTCCGGTTGTTGCGGCTGGCGGGCGTTGACCGTGGCCGTCCTTCGCAGATCCTGGCTGGGGTAGGCGTTGTTGTAGTGCGAGTTGGTCAGACGCGACGAGCCATTTACATGCTGCGACACCTGGGGCTGCCACGACTGATGATGTGGTGGATAGTACTGGTGGTGCTGGTGAGGAGGGAGAGCCGCGGTCGCTGTCGAAGGGGTCGACATGGCCAGGCGGGTGCGAGGACCGAAGTCGTGGAGCGTGACGAGGACGGGGACGGCAGCCGAAGCGGAACTGAGAAAAAGGCGTTCGCCGAGCTAGAGGGTGCACCAGTCAACGCAGCGGCGAGAGGGCGCGGCGGCGGACGGGAGTGTCGAGGCTGCAGCCAGCGCGCAGCGGGAGCGAAAATGCGCCTTTGCTACGCAGGCCGCCCGGTCGGAGGTGGAAGAGGCAGTGACGGGGAAACGGCGGGAAATGACGGACGAGGCGGGTGGGATCTGGCACTGAATGCTCTTCAGCGAGGGCCGAGGGCGTCAGAGCATGATCCAGAGGCCAGGCGGCGGTGTGCGGACGAGGCAGCGCGGTGGTGGGCTTGCTTTGGAGCGAGCGATATTGAGGTCAGAGCCGGCGACTGGGCACGATGGAGGCACAGAGTGAGGTGGACTCGGTGCGGGTTAGCGCGAATTGCACTCCTCTTTTGCAGGCATGCGCGCTGATTCGCAGCTGGCCAGAAATGCCTGGCCGGCGCAGGCGGACGTGCGTTGCTTTGGTAATTCGATCACTGGGCCATGGACCTGCGGTCCATCACTCCGTTCGCAAAAGCGCCGTCACCCACGCGCTGCGGTGGCGCAAGCGATCATGCACTGTTGAGGACGCGCCGCGGGCCGCACGCCTGCGCCCTCACAGCCCTGCACCACAAGAAGGGCCGTCGTCTTCGCCCGTCGTCGCCCACCGTCCCAGGGCGTGCGATGGAGCTCTCCGGCCAGCTGCGCCGCGCACGCATTGTGTGCTGGGGCCGGGCCCGCGCAGGCTGGGCCGGCGGATTGGGATGGAGGCCGCTGCGTGCTCAGACTGCCGCCCCAAGCGTCGCCGGAACGCCCACGGCTCCATCCAGCCTCGCTTGAAGCTTCTCCGCGCTCGCTCTCGCCCTGCACCCTCGCCGCTGGCAGCTGACGGCTGACCAGCTCCAGCGCACTGCAGCCGGGTGCCTGTCTCACTCGCTCCCGCGCCAGGCACCGCGCCGCCCACGGCAGCAGCCCACAGCAGCCCACAGCCGCCCACAGCAGCCGCGCTGCCGCCCGCCCTGCGCTCGACGTCGAGCACCGAAATGACGCGGGACGCTTTGGGCCTCAGCGGCACGCCGACGGTTTGGAGGCCGCGCAAAAGCCGCCCGCCCGCGTCACAGGAGATCTCCTGAAACGTGAGATTGAGTCTTCGCGCGCCCGTCGTCGGCGTCGCACAGCCCGCAGCCGCCAGCGCCTACGTCGTCGGCGCGCTCGGATCACGTGCAGGGCCGCCGCCAACGCCCTCCTAGCCGGTAGGGCTCTAAATAAGGAATTCGCCCCAGCCCTGATCGCCTGCAGCAATCCGTGGGCATTCCTCAATTTCAAGAAGATACGAAGCTGCGTGCTGCGTGCTGCGTGCTGGCCTTGTGTCGCGGCGGGCAATCCCCCACAGCCGGCCGGTTGCTGGTTGCGTCTGGCGCGGCATCAGCTGTGGCGAGGGTGGTGTCGCCGTGCGCCAGGGCTGGCCGGTGGCCGGGGGCGTCTCCTCTTTTCTTCAGCCACCGACGACAAAAGAAACGACCCGCGACCCGCGACCCTGACCACCTTTCTGCCCGTGTCGCTGAGTTGTACGCAGCCGCATCAATCGCCCAACACGCGCTCCGCTGGCTTCGTCTGCCAGGGGCTGCGCATTCCCATGCCCCGCCGCATCCGCCGTGCCGGGCCCGAGTCGAGTCCCCGAGTCGCTAGTGCGCCAGCCGCCGCCGAAGGCCGGCCTGAAGCTCCCGGAAATCAAGCCAATCTTTAAAAGGGCGCGGCCACACGGCGGGCGCGACGGGTGCGGGTGCCCCTAACTCTGGCCGACGCGGGCGAGCCTCCTACCCACCGCCAGCTTTGAAGCTTGGCTTTTTTAACGTGCACCAGGAAGCGAAACGCGCCGCCAAGCGAAGCAGATCGCTCTCACTCCTAATAATGTCGAACGAGACAAAGCAGCAACATCGGCCTGGGGATCCGCGCGCGCGTGCCTGTGCGGAAGCAGGGGCTGTCGGCGAGGAGGCCTCGAATGTTACTCGGAGAGAGACCTTGTACTTTAATTCAACACTGCTGACGTCGAACGCAAGGGGCCTGCCTGATGAGCCCGTGAGCCCCGTCGCCAGCCAATTCGGATCGCCCCATTGCTCTGCTCGTCCACGGCACTTCACATTGCAGCGCCCAACTACATTCCGTAGGAGAACGTTGCCTTCCTGACCTCTTGAGGGCCGTGAGGATCGCCAAGCCAACAGCGACGGTGGCGTGATGATCACAAGGACTTACCAAGACTGCAGTTGGCGTTCTAGCCTGCCTGCGAGCGCGAGCGTTGGTCTTGGTGTAGTCTAGCACTTCACGACGGCTGGCGTCTGAGACAGTCGACATTGTGAAGTAGCGGATCTGGCCCAAGTCCCCAATGCTATTTGCCTACTTGCTACGACAGTGGGCCTGTCGTGATACCCGTCGACGTTACTGTCCACCGGTATCTGTCCATCTCACATCCGTCGGATATTTGCACTTGCAGTTCGTGTGCGATGATCCTCGCGGTTGGATGGTGTAGCGCCACCTGCTCGCAACGGCCGTCTCCTTCCAACCAGGAAGGTCGTCATGCAGAGTCATCTGCTGCGCAATGCATTCCCCGCTCTATGCCGATCAGCATCCTCGTTGTACAGTGGGTGACAAATGAAACCGACCTACGGCGATCCTTCATGTGGGCAGTTGAAGCAAGTATCTAAGTTCAAACGACGTTTCTTCGTCAGCAGCTGAAGTAGATATCCGGACGTAGATGTAAGTATTAAAACAACACAAATGCATCCAGATATAGGATTCCACTGCCCATGTAGGTGAGTCAATTTCCTTCGTCACCACTGTCGTTGCTGTTTCGCATCAAAAAGCGCAGGCACTGCATTCTCACTTCTTCTTCTACGCTCCCTACACGATCAATCCAATGCGACCTTCCCGATTTTGAGAGCCTTAGAGCTCCGCAAAAAATTCAGTGATTACCCCAGTCGTTAGGTCCACGATTTTCTCCACGTCAGCCCTTGTGACGTTATACGCGGGGGCTATCAACACGTGGTCGCCAGATTTGCCGTCCGCCGTGCCGGTGCCTGGGTAAATTGAGATGCTGTATTTAGGTTCCATTCCTGGGAAGGCCGTTAGTTTCTGTCCGCAGAACCAGTGTATCATGCAACGAACCTTTTTCATGGACGCCCATTGCCACTCCGATCCTCGGGTCGAAAGGCTCCTTCGTGGCCTTATCCTTCACGAATTCGATCTGATCTTAGTGTTAGCTATTGGCCTGCATCGGGTAGTCAATCCGCACTTACGCCCCAAAAGAGCCCACGCCCTCTGATGTTACCGACGTTCGGGTGGTTCTCCAGCCTCTGCTTGAGCAGCACCTCCAGATATTTGCCCATGTTCCTGACATTCTCGCACAGCTTATCTTCCCGAATGATTCGCTGAACCTGCGCCGCAGCGGCACAAGCCATGGGGTGGCCCTGGTACGTCTGGCCGTGAGAGAAGCTTCCGGTACCCTTCTGCAGTACATCTACCACGCGGCGGTTGATGAGCACACCCGCGATGGGGGCGTAACCGCCACCTAGGCCTTTACCGATAGTCTGAATGTCAGGAACCACGTCCTCCTGCTGCCAGGCGTGCAGTGTGCCGGTACGGCCCATGCCGCTCATGATCTCATCCATGATGAGTAGCGCCCCATACTTGTCGCAGACGGCCTTGATGGCCTTGAAATAACCGGGCACGGCAGGCACGCAACCAAGCGCCTGTAGAAGTTTGCGTCAGTAATCTGCCCATGATGCAGTGATGCGTCTGTTGGTGGGGAAAGGCTTTTTTGGTTGTGGCGTTGGTGGCTGCGCTTGGATTTTTCCTTCGTGAGATGAATGGCCTGGGAATGCGGACGATAGTTGGTGTTACTCAATCAAGTGATTGATACCCGCTTAAAAAATAAGAAAATGAAAGAAAGAGGGAGAGAGACAAAGCTTTCAGAGAATGGGTAGCGCTTTGCTGGAGTTCTTGATCTTCCACACACGCGATGATCGCTGGTTTCCGAAAAAAGGAAAGAAAAGCCTGCATTTGTGGATTAAACTCACATGTGGTACAACCCTTTTAAAGGTCGCTGGCTCTTCTTTCAATGATATGAAAGGTGTATTTTTGAGAAAATATGCAGGGGAATCAGAGGAGGAGACGATGGAAGTTCAAAACTTACCGCACCAACAACAGGCTCCGCGACGAAAGCGCAGACAGCCTCAGGGCCAACGCGCTGGAACTCTTCATCCAACTCGTTTGATAATCTAGCAACGTACTCTTGGTCGCTCTCGCCGTCCATCTTGCCTCGGTACGCATTGCAAGCAGAGACCCGAGAAACGTTTTCTAGCAGCAGAGGCTCAAACATGGCTCTTCTGCCGACGTGCCCACCCAAGGACAAGGACCCAAGCGTTGTACCGTGGTACGACTCTTTCCTGGCAATGAACTTGGTACGTTGGGGCTGGGGAGGCGAGACCTCCAAATGGTACTGCCGGGCGAGCTTCATTGCTGCTTCAATGGACTCGGACCCTGTGTTGTTTGTCAGCGGTCTCTTTCAAAAGCATGTGATTCTCTTGAAGTTGCGGTGCGCAAGTGTGATGCATTTTCGCCTCTTGTATCTACACTAGTCTTTTTTTTTGGTTTTTTTTTTTGTTGTAAATCGGCAAGCCATTGATACAGAGAGAAACGCAAACAGTCAACATACCTGAACTGAGAATGAAGGCTTTCGCCATTGCTCCCTTTGTTCCCGCGACCAATTCCTGGCCCAGGTCTTCAGCAGCAGACGTGCTAAAGAATAGCGAATGGCAATAAGCAGCCTCGTCCATTTGCCGCATTATGGCATCTTGGACGCGCTTGTCTCCATGGCCCAAGCATGATACAGCGGCGCCGCCGGTAGCATCCAGAATTTTCTGGCCATTGGATAGCGTGAGATAGTTCCCCAACGCCCCAACGACCTTGAGAGGGAGGTAGTTCAGGCTGCGATGGAGGATGCCAGAGGCCTTCGCAGCCTCGGCATCTTTATGGGCGGACCGAGAAGCGGGCAACATGGTGAAACACGTATTGCAACCAAGATTGGGTTGACACAAGAGTTAAGATGGCGCCGGATGTTGCAAGCAAAATGAGACCAAGTGACGGTCTGGCGAGCTGATGATGGTGCAGTGTCGGCCGTGGTGGGGGTACGGAGGCTTCTTATACACCCCAGCTTATCTGAAGCACCTCGCTCTCCCCACTCTAACAAACGGCTATTGAGGGGATGTTTGCTCGAAACGGCAACTCGGGACGCTGGCGACCAGTGAGTCAGACGATTCGGCATGCCGAACACACATGGACCGGCCGTCGGACCGGCCGGCAACGGTAGGGCTTAGTGCGTTCAACGGCGCACCCAAGTCTTGAGAAAGCCCACCAACGATACTAAGACAAGTATCATGAGTAGTAGGCATTCCATGCCGTTGTTTCAAATTGAAAACATCATCCAGTACGACGATCAGCGACCTGGCTAGGCTTTTCCGCTGGCGAAGCTCGTGGCCAGCAAGCTCGAGGAATGGGCTACTCGCCAGCCCGTCTCTAGCACTCCCAACAGTACACTTAGCACTATCGCGTACGACCCCTTTGGACCAAGTTATCGAGCCCCAGTCCCCGCACCAGCACCCGCGTGTGATGTCATGTCCGGCGACTCAGAATGATGACGACTTCATGCACGCCCCGCTCAACGGCCTGAGACCCCATGGTTCGGCATGCCGAAGATCGGTAAAGCCGGCACTCCTGACGCCAGTGAGCTGCAGGCAGATCTGCCCGGCGACCCTATGTAACAGTACCGGGGCGTGTCCAGTGCTTTTCGAGCGCGCACGGGCAAATATTGGATTTGCAGGCTGCTTGTGCTCACGACGTCAGACCGCCTCGAGCCCTCTCGACCGCCGCTGCCAGGACCGGCCTGATATTCGAAGTCCCGAACGCATTGCGATCAACAAGCGGACGAGACGCGGAGACAGGAAGCGATATCGGTGCCCGTGCACGCACGTGGTTCACCCCGGCCGGAGACGGCGGGCAGCCGAGCGCCGGATCAACTCAGCCGCCGCCGCCCGAAGGCGGTCAGCAGCGTGGGGAAGGCCAGCTGTGGCCCAAGTGAACATCATCCGCCAAAACAATCTCCGTCCACGCCCGCCTACGGACTCCTGCAGCGACACCACCAGCCCAATTGCTCGTGTCGAGGCCCAAGAGCCCGTTGGCGCATCATGGCACACCACGCCCGCATCGAGGAGGTCTCCGACAGCGAGCCCGAGGACATGGACCCCTCCGATTTCGACCCGCAAGCCTTCGCCCGCAGCATGATGGGTCCCGCCGGCGTTGGTGGCCCCGCGGGGCCTTCCGGCTTCGATCCTCAGCTGCAGCCGCAATCGCCCTTCGCCGGCGCCAACAGCAACCCCAACGCCGCCGCCCAGCGTGCCGCCCAGGCCGAGATGCAGGAGAAGTCGAAGAGCTGGCAATGCATCTACCCCGTCTACTTCGACGCCTCGCGCACGCACGCCGAGGGCCGCCGCGTTAGTAAAGAGCTGGCCGTGCCGAACCCTCTGGCGCGCGAGCTGGTGGATGCTGTTGCCGCGCTGGGCCTGACCCAGGTTGTGTTCGAGCCGGGCAAGACGCACCCCAAGGATTGGAGTAACCCGGGTAGAGTGAGGGTGTTGATCAAGAAGGAGGGCGGCGTCCCGGTCCACCCCAATGTCAAGAACAGTAAGCTTTTCCCGCCTTTCTGTGTTTCCCCATCTTTGCTATGCCTGGAGACTGACCATCATGCCCAGAGCACCACCTGTATAACCTCGTCGCTGCCTACCTCAAGGAACACCCGACGACTGAAGACTCGCCCATGCGCCTACGCATCGCTGGTGTACCACCGCCCAAGGAGCTCAAGCCACCAGCCGTGCCCCGCGGATGGAAGATCAACCCCATCGTACCGCTGCACTCCCCTGCCCTCAGCGGCGGCGGAGTTAGCGAGAACATGTTTAAGGACATGATGGCCGAGATGCAAGGCGAGATGCCTGGTTCGGGAAATGCCAGCGACAGCGCTGCTGGTGGGAAAAAGAACAAGAAGGACAAGAAGAAGGGCAAGGCTTGAGCGGGAAAACCGTCTCGCGACGATCAAGACCTTCCTTCACCCACAATGCAGCTCTGTGGAAATTGCACGTGCCGGAGAGGGGAAAGGAAAGGGAGTGGGCTGTTTCCTTGAGTACCGTGGTGCTGTGGAGAATTACTTTCTCCACATTATCGGGCACCAAGGCGATCTCCCCCCCTTTTTTTTTATCCGCTGTCTGCATGGCAAGATGAGACAAGTGCTCTATGCGCTCGCTTTCGAAAGTGTTTGGTATCTTCTAAAGACGAAAGTGAGCCTTGGCTCTTGTTGCATCATGCCGCTTCGTGCATGTCTAGCTCGCAAGCATGGACTATATAGAATTTACGTCGGTGAGACATAATAGATGTCGGGAACGCATCAACCAAAAAAACGAAAAAACCACAGTGTACATCGCAATATCTCATCTCCTCGGTTCAGCACAGATAAGGCAGCACAGCATGCGCCTTACAGGTATCTACAGCCACTACAGGCGCCGGAATGACACCGGCACTAAATCTCATTACCAACTTGGCATGTTCAGGGCGATCATGAAATAAGACCAGATATGACAGCATCGTAGCCATTACGAATGACTCATGAACTGGGCGTACCTTTATCCAAGAAGCCTTTGGCAAGTATAAGAGCAGTATGTACAGAGAATCTGGTTGATGGGCCAGTTTAAGCAACCAACGCGCACGCCGAGAAGAATCTCACACAGGAAATGACACACGAGTCAGGATCCGCGGAGCCAAGCAGCCGGACGACGCTATAAGATAAACGAAATCTCAAAATCTTGCTCCGAGCGGACCAGGCCATAGCAGCTCCCAAGTACCTACTAGGGCATATCAAGGAATGCTTGAAATTTCAAGCGAGCTAACCAGGAACCAGGAACACCCCTGAGACTCTGAAGACGCGGCTCGGACACTTTAATCTACCGAGGGAAGGCGTGTGGCGTAGTGGCACGGTGGGATTGAATAGTGATTACTGTTCACGGTGGGAATCGCGAGTGCAGAGCAACGGTGACGTGTGTGCATTTCCTGTGAGCGGGATTGTTATTTTATTTTTTTCACCGGCTCAAATCGTACTACTTACTCGGCTCGTAGTAGGCGAGAGTAGCTGGGAATAGAAGATACTCCCTATCATCGATGCATTTGTCGCAGCGTAATATACTGCACGCTCCTTACTAATGTCGACGTCTTAGTCTGTATCTGGGCCTACTTGTCGGTATTGAAGACCGAAAATTGCGTACTTGAAACAATACATGGGGGGTGGATGTGGAATTGCAGAGCATACACATCGTCCTGACGTTGACTGCAGCTCTACAGACCTAGCACAAGCACAGTATTGGCTTACAAATGCTGATTGCGGACGATACTATTCAAGGTGTATCGATTTCATTACGTGTCCTCAAGTACGGCGAGGAACAAACAAGTCATCATTATCGTTCTCTTTCGATAGCTCTCCGGAGCCTCAGACCTTGCTCAAGTCATCTCATATTTTGGTTTCCCCCTCCCGCGATAACCTTCTGACTAAGAAAAAAACTCAAAATGGAAAAAGAAAATGGAGAAACTACTCTCTGCCCCGCCCCAACAGCGACGATACCATCAGAGGCTTAGAAGACGCCCGAGGAGGAGGAAGAGGTGGTGGTGGTGGTGTTCGACGAAGTCGAGGTCGTCGACTGCTGAGCCCAGCCCAGGCGAGGGGTGTCGGTGCTGGCGTCGAAGATGACGTACTGGCTCTTGAGGAAGATGTCGCCAATGATGGAGAAACCAATGCCGGTGTCGCTCTGGATGCCACCGAAGCAGGTGCTGCTGCCGGCGGGCGCGTAGTTGACGTAGTCGCCGGGGACGGTGCGCTTGGCGTCGCCGATGATGAGGGAGAAGGAAGGCAGGTCGGCAGAGCAAGGGAAGATGTAGCCACCGTAGCTGGAGCTGTACTGCGCGTCCTGCACCCCCTCGTAGTAGGCGCTGACGACGTCCTCGGGCAGGTAGAGAAGAGTGGTGCCGGTGTCGGCGATGGCGTCAATCGAGGCGCTGGTCTGAGTCTCGCCGTCACCGACAGCGAAGCCGGCGGGCTTGAACTCCCAGAAGCCGTTGGAGGTATCAACGTCAACATAGGCGATGTCGCCGGTGTAACGGCTCTCGACGATGGCGCCGAAGTCGTAGGCTGGAACTTGTCAGCAGAATTCGTGGAAAGACGGGTGTGAAAACATACCACCAGCCTCTCCCTTCTTCAGGGCGACGGCAAACAGCTTCTTGGCAAGGGAGTCGCCAACGGTGTCGAAGAAAGTGGTCTGGCTTTGCGGCTCGACGGTGTTGATGGAGGAGAAAGCAAGGCCGAGCAGGCCATCGTTGTCGACGTCCTGGGTGAAGGAGGTGGAGACGGAGGTGGCGGCCTCAACGGCCTGGGAGGTGGCAGTCACACCACCCACGACGACCTTGTCGGCGTAGACGGCACCAGCAGCGCCGGAGCCGTCGCCGTAGGAGATCTCCCACGAGTAGCCGTCCTTCTCGGTGCCCGAGGTGTCGGGGTCGTAGACGGCGTGGCCAGTCTGCTCGGTGGAGGCCATCAGGGTGGAGAAGACCCAGCTGCGACGGTATTAGCTTGCTGCATAACGAATGACGACGCGAGACACGACAGCAGGAGGGGTGTTTGCTGGAAGTCGGATGGGGAACGGCGTTTCAGCGGGCAGTCCGAAAATGGCGATGCCATGCCGCGTGCAAGGAGGTGACGAAGCACGTTTCCGCCAACCACGCGGCCCCACCGCCTTAGCCCCGCCGGGTGTTTGCAACGCACCCGGCCCTGAGGCAACGAGTGGACCAGGGGACGTTTCGACGGGAAGACGGAGCGGCGCTGTCGCCTTCGCGCGCTGCATGATTGATGCAGTCGTCATCCACGCCCCGCTGCTACACGCGCGCCCCGGTCGAGGCATGAGGCCGCGGCTGAATGCGGGCGTCTGCCGCGTCGGTGCTTGCGAGCAGCGTGTTTCATGGCGGCAGAGCGGGCGCCACTGCAGGGCTGTGGGGGTGGCAGGTTGAAACGTGGTGGGGAAGGGCGAGAAACCAGGCCAAAACAACTCGGCTAGAGCTGTCGAGCTGCTCCTTGCGCGTGCGCGGACAGTGCGCCATGGTGGTTGTGCAACGGGAGAGGAATAGGAGAGGGCGTGATTGGCGGATGGCCGCCGCGTTGCTTGGCGCAATCGCCGCATAGGGAAATTGTGGTACTCACAGATCAGCGGAACCCTGCCACCACATGTTAGCTCGCCATCTTCACCGCAAAGGCTGGGCAGACGTACAGTATCGAAGTCGAGCTGGAGCTCCGTGTCACCGACCGTGACCGGGCAGAGGTACAGCGAGTCGTACTCGTCCTCGGGCGTGGCAGCGACGGTGCCGGTGACGGCGGCGGCCGCGGCAGACTGCACGTCGGCCGGGGCGGTGCCCTTGTACTTGTTGTAGACGCGGGCGACCTGGACCGGGCCGTTCTTCTTGTAGGTGCCCTTCAGGACCTGGTTGAAGGAGAAGGCATCCCGCTTCTCGAGCGAGGCACGGGCAACCGGGCTGGCCAGAGTCGTGCTGCAGAGCGCCGCCAGGGCGGTCACAGACCAGAGGGAAGGCATCGTTTGTGAGAGGGAAGACCGGAGAGATGACAGGGAACTGAGAGGTACGGAGAGCAATGTAGGCCGGAGGGCGTGGCTGGCCAGCTGCTTTATACTGCACCGCACCAGCACCCCATGGACAATCGGCGCGCGACAGTGCTCGGTCGAACCCCGAGGATCGACGAGATCCACAATCACAACATACAGCCACTCACGGACGGACCCCAGGAAAAAGACGTCGGCGCACGCCCTTGTGTGGCGGAAGCCCGTTGCGGCCTTCTCGAGCCCTGCTGGATTGGGGCACAGGTCCGGTCTCGTGCGGCCCAGCGCGCGCTGTGTCTGCAGCATGCAGAAGACATGGGGTGGCACGGCGGAACTTGGAAGGACTGTCGCGCCTCTCCCACGCTCTCACCGCGGAGCGCGACTCAGGTCGCCATTATTCGCGCCGACGGACTACAGGGCCGCGGGGCAGGCGCGGCAGGCCAACTGCCTGTTTCAAACAGGCGGCTCCACGCGTGGGCTTCGGCCGCGGCCGGCGTCGGACATTAGGAGGCTGATCGCCCTGTCTCGTGAGGGCCCAGTGCGCGGTGACGATAGGGCCCTGACAGATGTTTCATCCGATTGGGGCGTCAAGGGACCTGTCCGCGCAGCGCAAGCGACTGTGTCAGAGGCAGAAACGGCGTGCGCGGCGTCGGATTGGAGCGCGGGAAAGGCGCAGCGTCGGCTCCCGGGCGGCAGTGCGATAGGGGATGCTGCTAAGCATTGCCAAAGACGGCGCCCTCTGCAGCGATCCGCCGCCCAGCCGCCAAGCGACGCCGCGGTGGGCCATGGGCGCCTTGGTGGTTGTGGGGTCTGGCAGCCGCAACACGGGCTAGCTCACGATGCCTAATCGATATGCGCCGCCGCTCGTTGCTGTTGACGTCGTGCCCAGAGAGCGGTGACCACGCACGCCGTCGCTGTGGACGCGAGCGGCCACACGGCGCAGCCCGGGGCCCTGGCCGCCAGCGCACCGCCCGAGGCGCACGCATGTCGCAACTCGCAACTCCCTCGCCCGTGCGGCTCTGTGTCACTCGCCCGCCGACGACGTCTGAGGCGCAGCGGCGACGGCAAAGAGGTGGCCGCCATGGCCGCTGTGGCCGCTGTGGCCGCTGTGGCCGCTGTGGCCGCTCCCCTTCATCTCGAGTGCGCGCCAATCCGGGCTGGCGCATCGCATTGATTGGGGCAAGCCCGCCGAGCTTGGCTTAGGCCGCCAGCGCTGCTGCGGAGGTGCCGTGTTGGCCGGTCGCATGGTGTTCTGATAAGGCCTGGCCGCAGAGGTCTCGAGGCTGCACGAATGGCGCCATGTGTGCGCCGACTTGTGAGTCGAGGTTTGTTGCCTTTGGCTCGTGTCGATCTTCCGCAGCCTTCGACGCCCGCATAGAGTTAATCTCGAGCTCGGCCAACCAGCGCCCGCCCGCTGCCGTGCCGTTCGCCGAACTACCCACGACCGCCCTTCTTTGCCCGTTGAGGCAGGTCGATAGCGCATCGTGGAGTCGCGAGAGCGGAGAACAGCACAAGCTCCGCCGCGCTGCTGAGCCGATGCCCAAGCTCCTCAAGCTTGCCGCGGCATCCTTGGGCTCCTTGGCCGCATGGTGCCCCTGGTGCCCCCGGCGCCCCTGGTGTCGACCTCTACGTAGTAGGTAGAATGTCGCAAGAAGCCACAAGGGCTCCCCGCACGGCCATGGTCCGACGCCTTGCCAAACAAAGTGCTGTTGAGGGGTGAGACAAGGCTCTAGGCCTTCATGCGCTCTTCATCGCAGCTGTCGAGCCGGCGCCGTGGAGATGTTGCTTGTACTGGAGCCGTGTTCCCGGTTGTGTTGAGCCTGTGTTGTGGCACCGCGAACCAGTGCTGCCAAGAGCTCCACTAGAGACTCCATGCTCCCCCGTCAAGTGGAACTGCCTTCCGCACACGGAACCTGGTACCCCCGGCTCTTCCTAGCGTCCTTTCATCTCGCCCTCGCCGAGACTGCTCTTAGCAAACACACGCCGTCCGCCAGTACATGTGCGCTCTGCCGCTCCAAACAGCTTTGTGTGCGCCCAGAAAACCAACCGCGCCGCCCCATTCGCTCCACTGACGAGTCCGTGCAAACACGAGGTGCGACCTTCGCTGGGTTCTGGCGCCTGGGAAGGTGATCCGTCTGTCGGTCATGTCCGTCCGTCGGCCCGCAAACCAGGATTAGCCACTGCCTCTTGTTTGCTACCATCCATCATCACAGCTGAGAGTAACCATCGCCCACCGTGGCAGCTCGCATTCGCCAATGGCGACCGTCTCGCCCGAGCTGGTGCCTGGCGATGCGATCACGCCAAGGCTAGTCCGCATGACTACATGACTCGAAACTGCGATTCCACCTTACGTCCTGCCTCACGTGGTATAGACTGCAGTCAGTAGACAGCCATCGGGAGTCCCTACCTCCTGCTTTTGTGGAGCTGATGCCCTTGTGACAAAACTTCTCCGATATCACACCTTCCGGTCACGTGTGTTGCTCACGCTTGTTGTCATCTCCGGGAACTGGATGAGGCAACTCGCACATGAAACGAAAGAGGTTGGACGATATTACGGGTTTCGGTATCTGCTATGAATAGGTAAATACAATTCCACTTTTGTTGCCGGTTGCCTTCGACTCCTGCTTTCGGCCGCTGCTGACCCGAGTCCACTTACCGCAAGGGAATGTGGCAAGACTTATCACCTACACCCTGAGCTCTGCGGACCACACCAAGCAAAGTCATGGTGTCGAGCTTGATCAGTTCGCATCTCCGCCACGCACCTCCCCTTTCAACGTCTCCAAAGCGCGCTCGTACATCTCCCTCGTCTCATGAGTCACTGCATCTTCAAGTTTCATCCTGTTCACCTTTTTCCCTCCTCTTCTGATGCCGTCTCCTCTGGCCACAACATTCCAGAACCAGCCAGCCTCCGACTTTGTCAAAAACGTCCAAGCCACGCCGTAGGCACCCGCTCTGGCTGTCCGGCCCGCCCTATGCACATAGCTTGTGACGCTGGTGGGAATGTCATAATTGACAATGTGTGCAAGGTTGGGCAGATCGAGACCTCGGGACGCACGGTCCGATGCAATTAGGATGCGTAGCTTGCTTGCGCGGAAAGCATGCAAAACCTTTCGGGAAGCGGCCGTTGTTGATGATTTGGTAAGTGTCCCGATGACACCCTTGTATGAGGGACACAGAAGGGAGAGAAGACGCGAAAGACGGTTCGCGTTTTCGTTGTTGTGCGTAAAGATCAAGACGTTGGAAACCGCTTCTGCTGTACTGTTGCTGACCTCTCTGGCGGGCGTTGCTACTTCTCCTTGACCGGCGATGCTCGATGTAGAAGCATCGGACTCCGAAGATTCCGACGACTCCGAGTCTGATGACGGATCTGCCTCCGACTCGGAACCGTCCGAGTCCAAATCTTCCGGTGTTGACGAGATAATAGACGAAGAATCATCTGAAGATCCGGATGATGAATCGGTATCCGAAGATGAATCAGAGCTCTCGGATTGCGCTCGGTCACCCATGTGCTCGCGGTTCTGTCCCTCGGACGCCTCAAAATCCCAAAGTATCCGATTTTGTAGCAGATGCAGAAGGAACAGGGGCTTTTGACTGCCGTCTCCGACTGGGATCGTGCATTCATCCAACGTCGGTGGCATATCATATACCTCTCCTTGAGCTACATATCCATCTGGGCCTTCGGATCCTTCAGCAACCACGAGAGTCGGTCTCCGTAGCTTTAGAACACTGAGTTTGCTCAAATCTCGTGTCATGGTAGCCGATAGGATCACCTTCTTGACATGTCTTTTCCGTGGAGCATACCACATGCTCGACAGGATTCTCTCCTGGGCACTCATCTCTTCAAGAGGCTTCTCTTTCTCAAGGGCCTTCATCACTGTCTCAGCCCATCCTTGGAAGCTTTGATCGAGCAATCGATCAGCCTCATCGATTACTAGCCAGTCCACGTCGTCCAAATAGAAGCCTTTCGTGTTTTGCACGTGCTCAACGAGCCGACCAGGAGTGCAAATTAGAATGTCGACTTTCGATTCGTATTGTGGGACATGGCCGGGCAGTAGGTCCAGGACGTCCTCGGCATGATCACTGTCTTTGCTCCAGCCATTCAGCAGCCAATCCTCAGCCTTCGCGTACAGCCTTCTCCATGCATCGGGATCATATTTCTTTCCTTTTTTGATAAGCATACTCTGTTCAGCAGAAAAGGCATGGTTGCCCATTGCCGTCCCGATTTTCAAACCACTGCCGGCAGCACAAAGCTCGGCGGCCTCGCGGACCTGAGTTACCAGTTCGCGCGTGGGCACGATGACGATTCCGCGTAACTTGGTGACTACTCTATGCCGGATACTTTCGATCATAGGCAACAGGTATGCCAAAGTTTTTCCGGAACCAGTAGCAGCCGATACGCATACATCTGCTATACTGGCTGGCGCACCTGGAAGTAGCAGAGGCAGTACCGAAGACTGGACTGCGAAGGCCTCATTGTAGCCCTTGCTCTTGAGGTGACGGACCAATCTTGGGTCTATGTTAAGCTCGTCGAAAGGCTTTGTCGCGTTTGCCGGGGCAGCGACGGGCTCAGTGAGCCAGGACGGTAGTGACGAGAACTTGGGTTCGTACGGTGCGTCGGGGATGGATTCAGGCTGGGGGAGAGGCACCAAATCTGCCAAAGGTCAGCATGACTATGAGAATAGCTTGCAGATTGTCCGACTTGCCATGCAGCTCTGGCTCCTCAGGAAGCTCGCTTTCCTCATCCGGCTGCTCTCTGGCCTTCAACCTTTCGGCGATCTTGGTAGACTTCGCAAATTTGGAGAGCACCGATCTATGCTTTTTGAGAGCAGCATCGTCCGGGTTGCCGGCAGCATTGGGGGCGTCGGCCCTCTTCCGCTTGTTCGAACGTTTTTCTCGCTTTTCCACGGCGGGTGCGGGTGCGGGATCCGATGACGATGGTGGGGGTGGGGATGCTTTTTGGGTCGCGACCGGCGAGGAGGCGGTCGACGCTTTCGGGGGCACGTAGCGGGCGTAGAACGGGCCCGGCATTGCTCTGGGATGGGTGTTGGTGGAGAGAGCAGGATTCGAGCCAAAATAATTGTCGGAGCGGACCCTCGTTCAGACCCGCGGCCGCAGAAAACTTGGCACGCGCGGCCGGAGCTCCAACTCGCGTGCGCCGACACAGCATCCCCAAGCTTCCTCCTCTGCCTCACGCCCGCGCCGTTGCCCCGACTTCAGGCTGTCTGCCCGTCCCAATCGGTTTTGCGATGCATGTGTGGTCCCTGCAGCTTTCTGTTACCGCTCGTAACGGAAGAAAGCCCTCAAGATGCCGTACAATATCGCGTACGTACTCCTGCCTCCCCGCGCGCGTCTGAGTTAACCTCCTCTAGGATGATCAGCGATTTCTTCTTCCCCCAACCTGGTATGTCGCTTCATCCACGCCGTGCGATATTTCTCTGACTGAGTTGTAGGCGGCGTTGAGAGTCACATCTACCAGCTATCGACCGTATGCAATCGACGCGCCGTACCTCGATCTCTCTCCGCTGACCATGCTCGGTAGAAGCTCATAGACCGGGGACACAAGGTTATAATCATCACACACGGGTACGAGGGTCGCCGAGGCGTGCGCTACCTTACCAACGGCCTGAAGGTCTACCACGTTCCCTTCTTTGTCATATACCGCGAGACCACCTTTCCGACTGTATTCTCCTTCTTTCCCATCTTCCGCAACATCGTCATCCGGGAAAAGATCGAGATAGTGCATGGCCATGCCAGTCTCAGCAGTTTGTGCCATGAGGCAATCCTGCATGCGAGGACAATGGGCTTGAGGACTGTTTTTACGGACCACTCCCTTTTCGGCTTCGCTGATGCTGCCAGCATCCTGACCAACAAGCTGCTGAAATTCACTCTGAGCGATGTTGACCACGTTGTGTGCGTCAGCCACACCTGGTATGTTATTTCAAGAGCTCAGCTTTTATATGTAGCTAACCGACGTGGATGTAGCAAGGAAAATACCGTCCTTCGAGCCTCATTGGATCCTCTCATGGTATCAGTCATCCCCAACGCCGTGGTGGCTGAGAACTTCCGGCCAAAGGGATACAAAGAGCTGGAAGATGGCTCCGCCCCTTCTCCAGATCGTCGCTCTTCAGTAGCAAACCAGACTCTTGGCCCCAACGATACCATAACCATCGTCGTTATATCGCGCCTGTTCTACAACAAAGGCACAGATTTGCTCATTGCAGCCATTCCAAGGATCCTGGCTGCCCACCCAAACGTCAAGTTCATCATTGCTGGTTCCGGACCGAAGGCCATAGATCTCGAGCAAATGCTCGAACGGAACGTGCTACAAGATCGGGTTGAACTTCTGGGACCGGTTCGCCACGAAGAAGTCCGAGATGTCATGGTTCGCGGCCACATTTACCTCCATCCTAGTCTGACCGAAGCATTCGGCACCGTGATTGTGGAAGCTGCTAGTTGTGGTCTTTATGTCGTCTGCACACGTGTTGGCGGTATACCCGAAGTGTTGCCCGCGCATATGACAACATTCGCCAAGCCCGAAGAGGATGATCTCGTGGATGCTACAGGAAGAGCCATCACGGCTCTCCGTGCCAACCGAATCCATACGACGCGCTTCCATGAACAAGTCAAGATGATGTATTCTTGGACCGACGTGGCGGAGCGCACCGAAAGGGTTTACAACGGTATCTCCGGAGTCCTTAGCGAGGAGGAATTTTACGGCTACTCTAGCAGCGGGTGGGGGGCCACGCGCGGACGCGCCGGTGTACAGAGCTTTGCGCTCATAGACCGGTTGAAACGATACTATGGCTGCGGTATCTGGGCTGGCAAGCTCTTCTGCCTATGCGTCATCATTGACTACCTGATCTTTGTGCTCTTGGAGTTCTTCTATCCGCGAGAACGCATCGACATCTGTCGGGACTGGCCGAGAAAACTTGCAGCGGCCCAAATCCAAGAAAAAGCCGAACGTGCATCCGAGGAGAGGGCCAGCGTACCTCGAACTAGGAGCGTCAGAAGCCGTGACAAGAGACGTGCGGCGTGAGGTAACCGATGCCGTCACGCTTGAGACACTGCACCGGTAGCCACAGGAGTCGGGCCTCTTACTGATGAATAAACTTCCCACATGGACGTCTTCAAGATCGAGTGCTTGCGCCGAAGCGTCTTTGCCACCAACCATGACTTCAGCGCGGATTCATGACATGAGCCGGACGTAAGTGCTGGCCATGACGAGGACGATCCTTCTCAACAATACTGCACTTTGACCGCTCAGCCGATGCTGCAACCAACTGCTGTTTGCTGTATCCATGCGGAAAGCACTCCGTCGAGTTGGACTACTGGAATGCTTGCTTAGTGAGGTGTTGCAGACAATACACCCAAGAAGGTCCAGCGCTTAGGCGCCGCAGCCCAGCTTACACGCAGCGGGGGTGTTCTCCTGGATGAAGGCATTGCAGATGGGGCGATGGCTGCAGCGTCAGCGTGGCGCCTGATCATTCAATCTGTTACTGCTCACATCTCAAGGATTGCTATCCTTGGGTATCAGTCGGCGCTTGCACTCGGCCCCACCCACGTGTTTTCAAACATGCTCGTGCTGCATCACGCGGAGATAGTCGACGATGGCCGGCCTGTCCAGACGGAAAGCCGAAGGCGCTTCGAAGAACGATTACGACTCGGTCGAAACATGATACGTTTCTTCCTTGCGCAAGGTACATGTACGCGCCCAGAGAGCAGGACTTGCGCGTCCTCCAAGCGTTTAGAGAAGCCGCGCCGTTTCACGTCGTGTCAGTGCGGCTTATGGAGTCACGAATGAAGAGAATGTTTGCGAATATTGTTTCCAAATTTTTTGGCCGCACCAAATTATCGTTTTCTACACCCAAATTCCCTTTCTTGTCATCTCCTCGCGTATCACGTTGCCCTTTCCGGGCACAGAGCGTTCGTCTAAGCTGTTTGCCCGAGCCCATGAACGTATCCGCCTCGCAAAGTCAAAAAAAAAGAATCAGAAAAGCCAAAACAGAAATCCCTTTCCCAAAGTTGTAGGTATCTAACGCCGAAGAAGAAGAAAAAAGAGTAAATAAGCCCAGAGGTATGCCTTGGGCCTGTAAGCCCACCAGTAAAAACGCCAGAGTAAGTGCTTTGAGAGGCTTGAACGACTGTCAAGAAGGTATTTCCAAGAAAAAAAAAGAAAAAAATTTCAATAAGAATCGAAGAGTCTTCGTTTCTCATGTCTCATCCTAGCGTGTCCCTCGTGTTATTTTTTTCTTTCTTTTCTTTCACATGCCGTCGGGCGTACCGGCAACGGCGCCGTTCAGGTAGCCGTCCTTGCCGGGCTCGGACCAGAACCAGTAAGTGGCGGCGTACTCGACGGTGAAGTCGCCGTCGATGCCCTCGCACGTCTTGGGGGACTGGCCGCCGGCGGTGTTGAGGCGGTAGACCTCCCTCCAGGTGTAGCCGGTGCTGTCCTGGACGGCCTCGAGCTTGAGCCAGGGGACGTCGCCGTTGTCGGTGCCCTCGGTGCCGGCGGCGTAGTTGGACTTGACGGTCGAGGTCGAGTCGGCGGTGGGGGCGTTGGAGGCGGCGTCCTTCTTGCAGGCGACGGTGCCGTAGCTGTGCTCGCTGGTGTCGAGGTCGAAGAAGGGGGTCGAGTCGTTGGTGAAGAAGTGGTGGCCGGACAGCAGGATGTCGTACGCGGCCAGGGCCGTCTGCGCCGACGGCACGTCGTAGGCCAGCGCGATGGACGGCGTGTCGTAGAGCAGGTCGGGCGTGCGCGCGGCCTGGCAGGTGGCGTTGAAGAGCGTGGCCACGGCGCCCTTGGCCGTCGGGCTCGACGACGGGTCGACGCCGGAGCAGGTGTAGTTCTGGGTGCCCCGGCCGACGGCGACGTGCGAGAGGACAAGGCCGGAAGACGGCGAGGGGAGGGGCGTCGGGCTGGGCGCTTGGTCTGTTGGGCACATGTGAGGTCAGCGTGGCTGTTGTCTAGCGCGGAGGGTTGGGACTGGGGCGGAGAGGAGGGCCAAGAGGCGGGGTGTACGTGAGATGTGGAGGTGGAGCTTACCGAGAGGCATGGTGACGGAGGTCATGTCGCAGCTGCTGGCTTGGCGCCAGACGTTGGATATTGTGCTGGTGATGTAGTTGGACGAGCCCTCATTCTCCGAGGCCGAGTCGTCTCGCCGTTGGATGGAGGCCTGCGTGGGCGCGGCGAGGATGCACGAAGGCGTCAGGGCGACGAGGAGCGCTACTGCGGGCGAGAAATGCATGGCTGCTGGATGCTTGGTGGAGACGAGAGCGGCGAAGGCGAGGAAGAAGTAGCAGAAGCAGAAAACAGCGAACCGGGTCCCGGGCGGTGGACAGAGGCGTGAGGTGGAGTTGTTTCTTCGGGTCGAGGCTGTCGTGCTTTCAATGGACCATGATGCTCGGGAGCGTGAAATTCTTATATGCAAAGTATGCGCCGGTACAACGTGGCCGGGGAGGCCTGTCAGACATCTGCGGGCAGCGCGTAGGCCGTACCTCGAAATAGGACGGCCGGGGTGGCGGCGCATGATTGGGCAGCGGCGGCCGTAGAGCCGCTCTGGGATGGCCCTTGCGCAATTGGCGGTTCTGGGGCAGCGCGGATCTGAGCCAAGCTTTCCTAGCTCCCGCCCTCTGCCCACGACGCGGGCTATTCTTGGGCTGCGCCGCCAGCCGCCGTCTTCTTCGCGTGAGCACCGGCTTCCTGCCGCCGTCGCTGAGAAGACCCTGTCGCTTCCGGAATGTCCTCGCGCCAGGCGCCATGCTGTCGCTCACGTCCGCCCGGCGCAGCTCCACGGCCAGGTGCCAGGTGCCAGGTGCCAGGTGCCAGGTGCAGAGCCGCCTGTACCACGTCCAGGCCGCCCGGTCGCGAATCCGGGAGAGCGTCCTTCCAGCCATCTTGGGATCTGCTGGCAGCCGGGCAGCCGGCGTCCAATCAACCGCCGCCCGTGGCCTCGTCTCCAAGCGCCTACGCGCCGCCGGCGACAGGGGCCCGTGGGACAGCGAAGCTAATTTCTCCACCGTAATTTACAGATAAATGCCGCATTCCGGAGGCTATTTGTAGCCCAAGCCCCATAACTACCTACTTCGGGGTTAATTATGGGTTAATTAGCTGCCACTCTTCGCGTGTGCGCCTGCTGCGCTGGACGAACGAGCGCCGCAGCGCCAATCAGATCCCTACAGCGGATCCTCAGGCCATGCTTGCGCGTTTCAGTGGAGAAGCCGTCGCGCCGAACGACTGGCTGGAAGACGGCCGTTGCTGCACCACCTGCCGTCTGCCCTCTGGCCGCTTGCTTGCATATCCGCCGCCCCTGCTAGCTCGTCGTCTGGTGTGGAGCAATCTGGCTGGCTAGCTTGCAACCCGAAAGTAGGTGGCTGCATCTACCTTTTTTCTCTTGCCGCCGCAGTGGACCTCGTGTATCTTTTGTCGGATCCGTCAACCGTGCGAACCCTCCGTCAGCACGACAGCCTTCTTCTATGTACTACGCACATGAAGGAATATTATTGTGCAGGAAGCGGAAGGGTTACGCAAAGAAAATCCCCGGGGCCTCGCTTCCGTCATCCGCCGTTGGAAACAACGAAAGGCTCACGGGGTCTGACCAATCTGCACCACCCACCTGTATCCACCCTCTCCCCCGCTTCCTGCCACGGTTTGTGGCTTACCTACCCGCCCTCGTCCTGGCGTCTCGGCGATTACGCCCCAGACTCGGCAGCGACGTTGGCCCTCTTCTGCCGGCCCCTGCCGGCCGGCCTGCCTGTCTGCCTGTCTGCCTGCCTGCCTTGGGCCCCCTCGTCGCGGCGATAGTGGCCAAGGGCGGCAAGCGGGTGAGTGTGGCTGCCACCGGGCGGTTGGCAGAGGCCGCGTGTTCACCTTCTCACCATTGGACGGGTCGTGTTCATGGCCTGTACATGGTCGCTGATGGAGGTTGCGTGATGTTGGAGGGTGCCCGTCAAATTTTCATCATAGGGTGGAAAGGCGGGGGACATGCTGTGGAGCCAAGACTGATGTTTAGGCCGGAAGGTGGGTGGCTTTTTGAATCATGTTCACCGTGCGGAGTAGGGGAAAAGCATGTCGAATGTATGATGGAATGCGAATTAGCAGGTGGCCTCAAAGCCACCAACCGAGTTTCTTTTCTAGTCGGGCTTATGCCTCGTGGGATCTGCGTGGTTCCAACTGCCAAAAGGCGGAGCCAAAGCATGCAGTAAGATGTGGCTGTAGGATTCGCTCTTAAGTCAGCGCCATCTCGAGCGGGGCGTTGTGAGCCTTCGACGTCCCCGTGACGATTTTGGGGATTCTCACGTGGATCCTCCCTAACAATGACCAGACACCGACACAGGCAGATTGCCGATGCCGAGCATGGAATAATCTGCCGCTTCCTCAAGCTTGGGTGCTGAGAAAACGCACCCGTTCTCCGGCTTCGCCAACATCTATTGGTCGATTCTCTAGCCGCCTGTCCCCCCACCATGCTTCCGGGAGGCATGTCGATGTACCCAAAAATGGCTTTCAAAGCAAATCGACCTTGAAGGAATCCCCAGACTTGCGCCGAACAGGGCACCGTGCCTGGCAGTCTTGCCGCCGAACCTTGCACTATTCGCCCTGACACAATGCTAATAATACAAGAATCAATATCTCGCCAGCGCTTCATCTTTCCTCTCGAGTGGCTTGGCCAACGCTCGGGGCACTCATCACCATTGCGCTATCGCTTCTCGGAGATTTGGGTTCCTGTCCGTTGATGAGGCATTTCACGTGTCGGAACAGGTCAGTGGGTATATTGCTTGCGCGGCTGCGTAAATTGACAGTGGTCTTCGACTTTCCCTCTCGGTACGACACCTCCCGTTTACGTGTCATGGAAACCCTCGGGTTGCCAATTACCTTTCTCATGTGCATCGCCACCCGCGAGCGGGCCTGCACCGCCAGCGCCAGCAGCCGCCGCCGAGCCGCTGTTGCTCAAGCTGATGGTCTCCTCGACAGGGCCCGACGTCCCTGACAAGAGCATCCAGAACACCAGGAGGTGCAGCGCTACGCAATATGCCGCGAACATGTTCCTACTGGTCCTCGTCGCAAGCACCGTCTTGGTGATTCGAAACACAAACCGCTCGGGAAGGCTCATGCGCTTGAAGGCGCGTGCCGATTCGCGACCGCGGAAAGCCGCGAACGGCGAGATGTTTTGCTCGTATGCCGAGCGATAACGGTCGAGATTGGATCCGTCCGGTGTCACCTGGACAGTCGACGGATTCGTGCTCGAGGAGTAGGCCGACGCGTGGCCGCGGTTGTATGTCGAAACATAGCGAGTCTTCTCGTACAGGCTTAGATTGTCCTTCTGTAACGAGGCAACCTCGGACCTCAGCGAAGACACGTTCTGGTAAGTCTTCTGGAGCTCCGCCTCGAGCTCAGCGTTCTTCTTCTTGAATCGATCTCTTTGGGCCGTGACCATGGGGAGGATGCCAGAACCACCTCCCACAGCCTCGCCTGACCTGATAGCCTCTAGCGTGTTCGGGCTACCGTCTCTCGGATTGAATCCCGAGATTATGGATGAAGTTGGAGACGCACGTCCTCCCTTCCTGCTGGCAAATGACGACTGGGGATATCTCGATGTATATGTCCCCGCAACAGACATTGCCGAGGAATCGAACGCATTCGAGGCCTCCTGCTGCACCTTCATGAGATCGTTCTCCAAAGTTTGCGCCAAGTTCTGCGACTTCTCAAACTCCATGTTGGTGTTTGAAAGCTCTTCCTGTAGCTGCTCCAACCTTGTCTGGAGGTCCTGATGGGATACGCGAAGTACAGTCAACTCATCACTGAGCTTCTTGTTTCGTGCAAGCAGGAGCTGCTCGAGCGTCTCTTCTTTGCCTTGAGAACCCGTTGCCCCTTCAGCCGCAGCGTCTACCCCAGCCTCTGCATCGTCGTCTTCTCCCATTGCGAATTCGATTGACTGGAGAGCTTCAGTACAACTTACTGACCGACGTTAGAACCTTGCTTACCTTCAGAACCTCGAGTTCGCGCTTCACGTTGTCGTAGTCTCCCCAGGTGTTCACCTTCTCCCGCAGAGCATCCCGATCTTGTTTCAAAGACGCCAGCTCCTTCTCCAGCTTTCGCGCCTCTGTCTCTTGATTCCTTCTCTCGGAGTCCTTCTCGTAACGAGCAGCATCGAGCTTCCTCAGGAGAGACTGATTTTCGGACTGCAGCCTCCTGAACATTGGGTCATCTTCGACTGGGCCGGATGCCTGGGTGTTTGCGCTTGATGCTGATTGAGCAAGTTCGAGCCGAAGCTGCTCGTTTCTCGCTTCAATCTCAGCAAGACGTGTGTTTGCCCGGTCTAGCTCCGAGCTCACAATCTCGAGCTCAGCTGCCGTAGCTCCACTGTGTCCCTGGTTGTCTTCCTCGTCCTCGCCCTTGCCCAAACGCTGGGAAACCTCGTAGCTAGCCTTGAGCTCCTTCAACAACCGGTCCTGGTTCTCGACCTTGTCCTCGAGAGATTTTTCCTTTGACTCCCAGTTGTCTTGCTTCTCGGTAAGCACGGCGGACCATGATGCCTCGACCTCTTTGATCTTGGCATCGCGCGTTTCTTCCAGATTCTTCCTTGCGCTGTATTCATCCTCAAGCTTCTTCTCTGTACCCTCCAGTTGAGTTGTCAGCTGTGAGACCGTCTTCTGAAGCCGTTCGTTTTCCTCGGTAAGCTTGGGCAGGGTTTCTTCGGCGGTTACAAGTGAATCGACGGAGGCCTCGAGGAGCGGATATGGGTCAGGCGCTTCGGAAAGCGGAGTGTAAGCCTTGAAAAAGGCAGCGTTTATCGACTTTCCCTGGTTCGTGAGAGCGTCGATGAAGTTCTGGTAGGCTGCTCGGGCTCAGTAGCTGGTGAACACGACGGAGCAATGAGACGTACATTTCAGCAGCCCCTTGATCTCCGAAAGCTTGCTCTGATCGTCAAGCTTTCTGAAGTCCTTGGTCTTCTGTGCGAGCTCCTTCCGCTGAGTGACAGAATCGCGCTGATGTTCGACAAGTTCCTCGGCGGCCGAATCCAAGGCAGGCATCAACTCGGCGAGATTCACGTCTGGACAAGAAGGTCAGACTCAATCCAGGATCTGCAGAGGGCCGGGGGGGGCGCACTTCGCCACGCAGCAATTGCCTGCTGGAATTTGTTCTCGTTCGCGGTGGCATCGGGCTTCTCGAGCTTGCTCTGCGGAGCAGGGCTCGGCGGGTCGGCAGGCGTCGCGGCAGCATCCATGGCTGTTGGAGAGAGGCGCAGGGTGCTGGGGCTCAGAGGCAGTGGCTTCGGAGACCCGCGCGACGAGGCATCAATCCGGGGGTGGAGCGTGGACTGGAGAGAGTGGAACGGGAGAGGTGTCATCGTGCGCGCGCGCCCACGAAGCTCGAGCACGCCGATCCGCCAGGCACCCGCACCGCTCCGCCAGCCCCAAGCACCACCGCGCCATCTGCACCATGGCCACGCGCGCGCTCTAGCGATGGCAATTGCAATGCACGCGCACCATGCAAGCTATCGCGAGCCCCACCAGCCCGCGCTCCGGCAGCCACATCCAGACCGGCTCCTACACCCTGCGCAAGCTGCTCTCCGACATACCGCTCTCCGCCGACGGCAATGACCAGGATGTCCGCATCACCTGCGTCGAGTTCTGGAGTGCGTTGCCCGCGCACCTTGCTTGTCCCGCAGCCAGCGCTGACACTGCGGCCCAGATGAAAACCTGTACATAGGCACGTCCGCCGCTGAGATTCTGCACTTCGTCCTCATCCCGCCCGGCCCAGACGACCCGCTCGGCCAGCCGAGCTTCATCATTGCGTCGCGCCTGCAGCCAGCCTTCACGCAACTGTCCGCCGCCGGCGTCCAACAGATCCTGCTCCTTCCGAACGTCAACAAAGCGTGCATCCTCTGCAACAATGCCCTTACTTTCTACACCCTGCCCGAGCTGAGTCCGGCTTTCGCCTCGCAGAAACCGATAAGCTGTGTGTGGGTCGGCGGCGTCGACCTCAACGGCGCCCCCCAGAATGACTCGGAGCAGGGCGCCGTGATAATGATGTGTTTGCGCAGCCGCATCCAGCTTGTCAGGATTGCAGAGGAGCCTCGCCGGATACGAAACATTGAGTTCGGTGGCTGCCTATCGACGTCGCGCCGGGACGATTTTGCCTGTGTCGCCGACACCCACTCCTATGCGCTGTTGGACGTGGTCCATCAGCAGAAGATCCCGCTGTTTCCCATCTCTTCTTTAGACGAGGACGCCGCGTCCACGGTCGGTGGTGCTTCCCAGGACATCTCCTCCCGTGAGCACAGCGTTTCCCGGAGCGTATCTTCAAGCAGCAACATACCCAGACCCTCGGGCGACGAACGCGGCCATGGCCGCAGTACAAGCTGGAATGCTTCTGGCACGGGTGAGAGGTTCGCAAGTCCAAGTCCTAGGCCGTTGAGCGGTATCGTTGGTGGGAGGTACGGCTTCGACGCCCCGGATTTTTTGGGGAGGTCCTTTTCTCCAAGCCCCGCCCGAACGCCTGAAGGTGGCATTCCGCGGGAAGGGAGCCCAGCACCACGGACTGCAACTCCTGACAAGGCGCTCCCGCCAACACCGTCCGAGGTTGAGGCTATGGAAGAGACTGCAGCGGCTACACGCCCGTCACCGTCGGTTCAGAAGAAGGCTTTTACATCTCTGAAGCCTCATATAGTATCCCCTACTCCCTCAGAGTTCCTTCTGACCACGGGGACCACGCCGGATGAGCCTGGCGTTGGCATGTTTGTCAATCTTGACGGTGACGTAGTCCGCGGGACCCTTGAGTTTGAAAGCTACCCCGAGGCGCTCGTAATCGACGGCTCGGGTGTAGATGTAGACTTGGCGACGTCTATAGCTGCCTCCATGCCATCGGCAGAACAACCCGAGGAGGGTTACATTCTAGCTGTCATCAAACGCAAGACCGAACACGGTATGGTCAGCGGTGTTGAGATTCAGCGTTGGGACCTTGATCCCGGCGAGGGCATTGCTTCGAAAGAGTGGTTAAATCTGAGCATGCTCTCCAGTAGCCTCGGGGAAGATGTCCACCATACACGTTACAGCAGTCAAACGCTTGGTATCAGGACCGTCACCACCGAAACCGAGGTCAATTTGTCCGAGATCAGTGACATTCTCTCCTTGAGGCGTGTTCATTTGCGCGCAAGGAAAAGAGGTGGATCGATATCTGTTTCCGCATCCGAGAAGATCGATCTCGACCAGAAGGTCGAGGCTGACAAGGAACGGGATGAAGTCGCCTTCACCAGCCGCCTCTGCAAGTTCAAATCGCACAATGTGCTGTGGAACAACAACGAGGTGTGGTGGGTTGTACGAAACCCACTCATCGTGCAGCTCGATGCCAAACTCAAGCTTGCTCAGTCGCCTACCCCCGGGAGCCGTCAGATCGAACCTAATTTCGAGGATGTCGTGTACCTCTTGAACAGCATCCGTGGTCTGGAGCCTCGCAATGAGGCCGAGTTTCTCGGTTTCACCTACATCCGTCAAAAGGCGTCTTTACTACTGTTCATGGATCTCATCATCCGTACCGAATCTGGCACCTTCGCCTACGAAATCAACAAGCGCGGCACCGAGGAGGCTCTGATTGAGGGAGAGATTGATCCTCGCGTCATTCTCGCTTTACTGCCAAACCTGAGCGGCGAAGTCATCCAAGGTGAAAAGGGAATTTGGGTTCAAGGCGGTCTCAAAGACACGGTTGAAAAGTTTTTGGCCCAACAGAACCCATCCAAGTTTCCAACAGACCCCGCTGGACCATTTGGAGATAACTTGCTACAACTCATAAAAAGATACCTTCTGGTGTGGAGGCGCAAGAAAGGATTCGGCAGCGTCGCAGATGAAGATGAAGTGTTCCAAACAGTCGATGCAGCACTTCTGAAAATTCTTTTGCTGTTGGACACTCAGAGTCCGCAAGGGCCGGCAACAGCTGGGTCCGTCCGTGCAGAACTCAACGCGCTTGTTGACAACGGCGTCGATTGCTGGGATCGGGCGATTGAGCTGCTTGAGGAGTATCAACGGCTCTATGTCTTGAGTCGCTTGTATCAGAGCCGAAAACAAGCAGCAAACGTGCTGGCTACGTGGAGACGCATCATTGATGGCGAGATCAACTTCGGGGGTGACTTCCTCGACGCGGAGCAGGAGTTTCGAAAGTACCTTAGCAGAATCCGAGACCAGCCCATGGTGGAAGAGTACGGAGCATGGCTTGCCAACCGCAATCCCAAGCTCGGTGTCCAGGTCTTCGCAGACGAGAGTAGCCGTGTCAAGTTCAAGCATGAGGAGGCTGTTGCGTTGCTCAAGGAAAAGGCGCCTGCTGCAGTCAAAGAGTACCTGGAATATCTTGTTTACGGAAAGAAGGTGAGCTTTGAGTCTTGCAAAGCAACATGCCAAACAACTGACAATAGCAGCAAACTCAATACGCCAACGATCTCATTGCCTACTACTTGGACATCGTAGTCGCCGAACTAGAACAATCCGAGGCGTCAAGGGCCACGCTGTTACAAACTTACGAGACCTACCGAGCCCTGCGACCCCCGAAACCAACTTACCGGCAGTTCATCATGGAGAATGCACTGGATGCGGAGTGGTGGGATAGTCGACTGCGTCTCCTTCAGCTTCTGGGAACCGGGCAGGACGCGTCGTCGTCGTACGCCGTTGGCGACATACTCACACGCCTCGGCCCTTATGAACAAGAGCTTGTTCCGGAGATGATCATTTTGAACGGTCGACAAGGACGTCATGAACGGGCAATTCGCCTTCTTACACACGGCCTTGGTGACTTTGACACGGCCATCAGTTACTGCCTGCTTGGTGGCTCGAGCATTTACCGGCCACCGGGCACCCGCGGAATTCCTGCCGACGAGCTTCCCACGCATGCCGAGCAGGCACGTCTGTTTGGGTACTTGCTGCAGGAGTTCCTGCGCATCGAGGATATCACCGACTGTGTGGAACGCACCGGAGAGTTACTAGAGAGGTTTGGCGGCTGGTTTGACGTGCAGCAGGTTTTGGGCATGATCCCGGATAGCTGGTCGATTGATATTTTCTCGGGCTTCTTGATTAGCGCTTTGAGGAGGCTTGTGAGAGAGAAGAATGAGACGAGCATCGCCCGGGCGCTGAGCGGGGCGAACAACCTGCGGACGAGCGCGGAAATCATTGAGAAAGTGGAAGCGATGGGAGTGAAGGTAGAAAAGGACGGCACCGGCGGAGGACACGGGGAAGAAATCGCAGGGTAGTAAGTGATGGCCATCAGAGTCGAGATACCCAGGAGGACATGATCAAATTCTATAGAGATGCATGGTGTTTGCTGGGCATTGGACCTGAGTCACAACAGCGCTGATCCTTCGCCTACGGGATACCTTGATGTCCTTCCACGTGCTGATTAATCCGTCAGACTAGTAGCTTATACAGACTTCATCTCCCTCCTCCTCTCGGACAAGTCTTCCCTCTCATTCAACCACTCATCGAGCCCTCGAACTTGTGCGCGCCCTCGACGTCGGGCAGCCACGAGAACTTGTTCCGGCAGTAGATCTCGACCTTGGGCTTGTACTTGGTCTCAACCAGCGACAGGTCGTCGAGGGTGCCGGCCTTGACGATCAGCACGCCCGGCATCGCCTCGCCCGTCACCCAGCACAGCACGCCGCATTCCGGGCAGAAGTTGGACGTCACCGGCTTGCCCGAGTCGCCCGCCCGCGACCAGCTCTTGGGCGTCCCGCCGAGCGACTTGAAGGCCGGCGCGGGTACGAGGAGGTTGTGCGAGTGCGTCGAGTTGGACGTGCGGCGGCACGGGATGCAGTGGCAGGTAGCCTGAGGAGGCAATGTCAGTGGTGGATTGCAAAGCAGTTTCGAGAAGGGCGGATGGAGCAAGTGTAGGTGAGTACGTGTGCAGGGCCAACTCACAACACCGACGGGCTCCCCGTCGAAGGAGTACTTCAGGTTTCCGCAGAGGCAGCCACCGGTCGTCATTTTTGGGAACAGAGGGAGGATTGAGAGAATTGTTGGTGATGCGGGGTCAGGAAGATGGCGTTGCTCTGACGGACATGTTACTTCATCGGCACATTTATAGGTTCCCTCAGGATTCCTAGACTTGACTGCTCGTACCGGTCTGGGAGCTAGGTATCCTCTTCGGTCCGTTCACTCGGTTGCCCCGCCCCCGTCGTACGACAGACAGCGCGCTGCCGGACCCAGCTGGCCTTGCGGCTACCGGCTACTGCCAAGGGACCAGTCGCGGGCCTTTCTCCGCGCATCTAGTAGCGGAAGATGTCTAGTCTCCGCATCCCTCCATCGCCAGGTTTCGCCGTAAGGCGTATGAAAGAACAAAACAACTACTTGGCGGCTGTGAAGATCATGTGGGATGTGGGACGGTCAAGTGGAGCTCACATTTAGATGAGAGCCCGGTGATGATTGGTGGCGCCTACAGGGTGACTCGTGTATACGGACTACTCATGTTATGGGACGTGCTATCTTTCCTCGCCTGCATGCGACCTCGCTAACGTCCTCTTCTCGTCGGAGCATTTGTCAGACAAGGTCGCATGAAGCGAGATCAGTAGGTCGAATCTGGAGAGGCGCAGTCCCCACATCGCAAGCGGTATGAAGGTGACTTTGTATACCACGATACGAGCCACCTATATATACGTGTCCGCACCCAAGGAAGCGTCGTTGCGCCAATATGGTGGTCGCAAACTCCAGCGGCTCCAAATACACAGGGAATCGTCTGAAAGAATAAGTTATATCTTGTGTGAGCACCGGATGTGGTCCTTTGGGCGGGTTGACGCTGTCGGCAAAGACCAAAGGTTCAGGAAGCGGTGCACCGCTCTCTTCTGCCAATATGGTTGTTATATGGGAGCTGCTTTAACATGGCCGCCTTTTTCTAGCGGAACGGGCGAGCCGCTGCGGCGGTTGACGTTGATGGAGGAGGTGGTGACAGGGACGTGGATCGCAGGCTCGGCAGGCGTCTCGGCTTTCAGGCGGCAACGACATCCATCAAGGTTCACGCCTGCTGCATGACGCGAGAGCCGCGACGGAACCAACACCTCCCCCCGACTCCCCCTCCCGACCCTCCTGCGCGTGCCATGAGGCCCGGAAGCCATGTCCGCGCCTAATGCGACCGCAACCAATGGCCATGCGCCACCTGGAGATCTGCCTTCTCTCGCCGCCCTCTTCCTGATCAAGTTCGACCTCAAAGTCGGGTGAGTGCCGCTCGACATCTCCCTACGCCAGGCAGCCCTCAATGCTGATCGCGTGTCGCAGCTACACCATCACCTGGAAGCGCTCCCGGCCCGACCGTACGTTTCCGCCCACCGCGCTCCAAGTGAAGCCACGCTGATCGCGCCGCAGTCGAACTCGATGGAGCCGTAGAATTCAAGTCGTTGCCTTCGGGCCTGCATAGCGTCAAAGAAGACCTGGTGTATGTACGGGACACAAATGGGGACCGAACCAGGCGCTGACTCCAGATGACAAGATACTTCGTTCACGAACAGTACGTAGGGCTCAGCGCATTCATCAATGATCCGGCATCTGAAGCGGAGCGCAACGCGCATCTTGTGGCTGTGGGCATCCTGGTACCTCTAAGCCAGGGTCGCCTTGGACGGAGCTGGCTGCACGCCCAAAGACTCCGAGAGCTGGCCAAGTACGTGCAACAGCTGCCTGCCATCCTTTTGCCCGCACTAGCAATGCTGACGCAACCACAGGCTGCTCGCGCATGACACAACAAAGACGGAGCCCCTGGAGCAATACTGGACCGCCAATTCTGCAGAGCGCAGCGCCGATACCCCAGAAAATGAGCTGTCCGAGACGTCATCCACCGTTTCGCGTCCTCCACCTTCGGTGCTTAGGAAGAAAAAGAGCTATGCGAGAGATCGCGGGCTGTCCAACGTGACTGCGTTCCATCCTACACATGAAACCTTGGATGTCGCCCATCCCGCCCTGTCCATAATCAAGTACATAGATACCTTCGGCCCTTTGGTCTTCCCTCTCCTTAGATTGGCGTTGCTTAGGAAGCGCGTCTTGTTCATCACGCCTCCGCCGGTTCGGTTGGCTTGCGAGTTTGGTATGCCGTTTTCCCTACGCCCCTTCGGCAAAGCCCAATGCTGACTTTCCCTGGTAGTTTATGACCTCTCGATACTTTCAACCATTCCTTCCTCGGTTACAGATGTTCTCCCTCCAGGGTCTGAACCGTTGCAACGATTGCGAAGCTTGTTCACAGTTGGGATCCACGACATTCCCAAGTTGCAGGAGGATGCGTCCAAACACGAATCTGCGAAGCTGTCGAATGAGCCTCTGGAGGAAGGTAATTGGTCTCCAGGCTGGGCAGCCTGTACCACTGATGAAGTCCTGGCCATCAAGACGAACCTCTACGATGTCACTGTCGAGCTGCCAGCGCAAGTGGAATCCTCGATAGAAGAAAAGCGATGGCCGAGGATCAAGACGGCGGCAGGCAGAGAGATCAAGGCGACTCAGCGAGACTTGAGACGATTCCGCATCCTGCACGCAGAGCTTCGCAAAACGCAACGGCACTCTGTCGAAATGCCACGGGCCGAGGAACAAGAGTCAGACGAGGAGTCAGACGATGACAATGCAGCATTGCTCGGGTCGTCACCACGGGCCGAGAGCAATTGCGGCGGCGACGAGGAAGTGTACGCGGACAACCTGATCGAAGCTTCGACGTGGGCAGCACTTGCCTACTCAGGGTTCATGTGGTGGGCGTCGGCGGGCGAGAAGGATGCCTCATTTTCTGAGGAAGCAGACCGCGACCGGGCGTTGGTTGGCGACCTGTCGGACTTCATGACCATGTCACACGCGTCGCACGCGTCACTCCGCAGCTCGGACGAGGCAATGGCGCAGACGTGGTACCAAGGGGCAACGGCCCCTCACACAGCCATCATTGCCTACTTCCACCGCGTTACGGCGGAGATATTCAGCACTCTCGGCGACATCGTTGATGCAGCGGACGACGAAGATCACGGCTCGGATGGGGACGATGGAGGAGATTCGGTGGTGGTGCACGGCGATGACGTCAGTAGGATGGGGTTGGATGTTTGGAGCGAGTCGGACAAGGATTTTGTGCAAGAGGTGCTGCAGATGTACTTTGGAAGGAGGGCAGATGTGCACGGCGGAAGCATCGAGTGCTGTGGCATCAAGATCTGCTGAGGGGCTTCCACTATGGGATTTTGCAGAAGGGGGGGAGAAATACCATTTCGGCGACGTGACCAGCGGGAGCCGTCGCATCTGCTAGCATTGGAAACGAAGACATGACGCAGTGGCATGGTGGGCTTCTACCTAGTATCTGCCCCTCTCCAACGCTCGGGCTGGGCGCTTGGCGCTTGGCGCTGGGCGCGGGCGCTGGGGCTCCGCCGTGGGCGCGCCCTCGGCCCAAAGCGGTTAGGCTTCCCGTCGCGCGCACGGCGACCATGGCAGCTCCCAGCTACAGCGCCCTCCATCACCCAAACACAACCCTTCCACGGCGACCTGCAGGTCGGCACGCCTCGATCTTGAGCTGCGCGCCCGTCCCGCAACACCGTGCCTCGCGATTCAAAATCATCGCCATCGTCAAGCAATTGCTCGCCCAAGCGCGCCAGCTTGTGAAGCCAATATGGCGGCCAACCACAGTAAGTCCCGCCTCTCACCTACAACCCACTGCCATCCATGTTCTCTAAGTCCACCCGCACAGCCGACGCTGCATCCGTCTCGTCCGCGCTTCGTGACATACTGAGTGCCCTCACTCTAGCCGACTCCGCGCATCCGTCTCCGGCTGCCTCTTCATCTTCGGCCTCCGGCGCTAGCTCGCAGCATGCGTCCTCGACCGAGTCTGACCGCCAGCTCGCCCTGTACCATTTGAACTTCGCTGGCATCAGCTTGTGTAGCGATGCCACCTCACTCTCACTCCACCACGCGTTTCCTCTGTTGCGCCCGCCCAACTCACAGGCTGTGACCGGCACCCTCCTAGTCTCACATGATGTCTTCAATGTAGCGCCGCGCACGCTCTTGGCATACGCCTTACCTGAAAGCACAACTGTTACTGACGTCTGGCCTGACCGCCTCGCCGATGACAACGCAGCCGCCAGGTATTCCATGTATCCCCTTCTAGAAGCTGTCCAGGGAGGAAACGCCAAGCGGGCCCCCCTGGCCGCTTTCAACGATTGGGCTGCCGGTCGTGGGCTTGCTCATGCCCATGCACCCCCCATGGCTGGCCCTCATCCTGGCCAGCTCTTGACCCAAATCCCTCAGGAGATGTTCGACTACATCGCAACATACTTGTCACGCGACGACTTCAAGGCCCTTCGTCTGACTTCTCGACTGATGTGCGCGCGCACGACTGGTGTGTTCTTCAAGACCATTGTCGTGCCTTTCCGTTCTGGCATGTTCGGCGAGGAGCTTCGAGCCGAGATGAATACCGACCCCGGCAATGGAGAAAGCAAGAGCACGGCGACCAATGTCTTCGAGAGATTCGGCCACCATATGCAGAAGTTTGGCGTCAGCTACGAAGTTGACGAAGGTTAGTCCTCTCATGTCCGTTTAAGCCATCCTTCATTAACTTTGTTAAGCACCATTAGCCATCTTGCCCAAGGTGGTGCAGCAACTCCTCACCAGGTCGTATTGGGGAAGCTACTACTGGCCAGCCGATCCCAACGAACATGAGGATACGCCAGCATCCGCAGTCGACGAAATTATAGGAATGAAGGGAGCCTTATCCAAGATGGAGAACCTGAAGGAGCTTGCTCTGTCGATCGATAGCGGTCTTGGCTGGCTTTCAGGCCCAGACAAGTCCATTCGTTCTCAGATGATACACGACCGTGTGGACCTGTTCCCGGGATCCTATGGCCTGCCCTCAAGGAGAACACAGGCACAGCGGGAGCTTTGGGACTACATCAAGTCGCAATATGCAGCTCGTGGCGAGCTTCGGCATCTTGCTCGATCTCGGCTTTATAGGTTCGAACGCGCTGAGTGCATCACCCTACAGGATCCCACCATCTACAGTGGAGTACCGATTGAGCTGCAGTACGTCGACGGCAGGACCCTCATGGAAGCAAACCCTCTGGACGGCGAAGTGCATGCCCCCGACGACGAAGTGGCTAAATTGCCTTCTGCAAACGGCCTACTTGTTACCGCTCTGGATCGAGATCCCACACAGTCGTCTTCATCCTATCCGGTGCTCCCGGGTAGTTTCACTATCTCCCAAGTCGGCGCGCTGATGAGAGTCAAATGGGGCCAAGAGTCTCTAAAGGACGCGTTCATCATGGGTGTTAAAGAATCGAGGACATGCAGGGCGGTCAGCAGTCTCAATCTGGCCTCTTTACCCGGTCGATACCTGGATGACTTTGGCCAGCCAGAGTTTTGGAAAGCTTTGCCCTCTCTGGAAACACTCAACGTGATGGTCATGGGAGAACATGGCGAGGTCGAGTACGATTCTGACTCCATCTTGCAATACCACACTGTTCCGATGTCGAGGGCCGTCGCGCCGTTCAAGAAGTTCCTTAGGGACCGAATCGCGACGTTGGAAAACATCAAAACCCTTGGAATCGGCTGGACAAGCGGCGGTGAGCATGCGACTGGACTTTGTGGCAGGAACAATAACCTGCTCCCGGCTCCCTTTCTACGTTCACAGCCGCTACCGACGACAATGATGATGGACGACGTCGTAGTGTTTCCCCATGTTCAACACCTGACCATCAAGAACAGCTGGATGACGGCGAGGGGGGTGGAATACCTCGTTGATGCCCATCGGGAGTGTAGGCTTCGAAAACTAACTCTCGATTCAGTTTCGTTGCAGGTTCTGCCTCTTAGGTCGGGCGGACAGATTCCAGAGCAAACTACCAAGGTTTACTTAGAGCAGCAAGGTTCCAACGATATCGCGCTCGACTGGCCATTTAGAGCATGGTCCTGGCCACAAGTCCTAGATGCAGTCTCACCAGATGCCAACTTCGAACTTTTGGGGGAGATCTCAGCAAACACCAAGGGTCGTGGAGCTCTTGAAGAGCTAGAACTCATCTCATGTGGACACAGCACCATCGATCATGCTCTTTGGACTTTTACGGGGTTGGACTTTCAGATGTTTCAGGAAGTCTACCAGTGGAAGCGTGAACCGTCGAACTCTTACTTCCAGGCACGCCGCTCCGAGCTCGAGCAGCTCATGCCCAGGGGCAATGACAGATGGACTGCTGCAATCATCCCGCTCATACCTCGAACAGAGGCCAACGCTCTCAAGGCTATTTGGGGAGCCACAATTGGCTGGCAGGATGAAGAATCCACCTTCGCTGCTACTTTGGACGGCTGTCGTCCGGGAGGTACGGGACGCTTCTCCGCAGTCATTCGCGCCCCTAGGCACTAAGAGTTCAGTTACCTCTACTTGCCACCTCCCGGTTTTCTTTTACTACTCTGCGATCCATTTCCACGGCGCAAGAGCAGTGTCGACTACACTTTTCAGATTTTTCCCCTTTCCAGTTTTCACAGTTGCTGCCACAGCGCTCATGGACTCTATGCACCTGTTCGCGAGCACCAGGGAAGGTAAATGGCGTTTCTACGGAATGATACCCTAACGGAAGGTTCTTTGATGGAAGGGTTTTTCTTTTCTTTTTCTTAATTCTTCACCTTCTCCCTCGTCGCGAGGCAAAAGAATGCCATAACGAACGGCGAAACGGAGGTGGATTGACAATGGTATTAGGTTGCAGGTGGTGGTAAGAAAATGGTTTAGAAATGAGACAGGAGAAAAAATAATCAAACGGGGAGATGGGTTCCGGTATCACATGAGAACAGGGGCTAGAGTAGTCCGATACAAGAATGGATAAAACTACACAAAGAGCTGAATGTGTGGCTGTGAATACGACTCCTTGTCCTTACGAAAAGTAGCATCACGGATAGTGGTTCTGGCCAAAACCAAAGGAGAGAAGGGTGAAGGGATGACGGCAATGGTTTTCTCGATTCGGATCTTCCTTGTCGTCTTTCTAACGATACTAAAGCTTCATCCTCATTACTGACCTCTGCCGTGTACGCACTGACAACAGATATCGTGCGTTCTAAATGGGGGTATTTTTTGATTGTAGCGAGAAGAGGAAGAAAAAGAAAAGCATAAGCAAGGGAAGGAAGGGGAATAGGGGAAAACAAGCTGGATGTCATCCCAACAAGAATGTGGGTAATGACATCCTTATCTTGAAAAAATGAGCAAAGGACCAGCCAGTTCACATACGACGAAGGGAAGAAGAGTAAAGGGGAAAAAAGGAGAGAGGTAAGGAAAGATGCAAAGAAAAGGGTATAGAAACAAGTCATGCGTGCCCATTTATATCCATTAAGAACTCCTCCGCCCATCGACACAATAACGTGTGATACAACCCCGGACCCAGTTCAAGTCATCATCCCTTTACAGAAGGAAAACGCGCTCCCAAGCTCGCACGATCCACGTGTGGTGTCCTCCTCCTCCCTGCAGCTACTCCCACCAACCACCACTCGCGACACACACGCACACACAATCATCTCACCATCTTACAACAGCGCCAAAACGGCCACGCCCAACGCCAAGGCCGCGCCGGCGGACGACGACGTCACGACGTCGCCGGCCACGCGGGGGCCGGCGTTGGTGGTCTGCTGCGCGGGGTTGCTGCTGTCGGTGCCGGACGCGCCGGCGGCGGTGTCGGCGCCGGCCGCGGCGCCGGCCTGGCCGCCGGAAGACGATGAACCGCTGCCGCTGCTACTGCCGCCTGCGGTGGCGTTTGACATGGCCGAGGGGATCTGGCCGGGCGACAGGTTCTCGGCGGCGGCGCCGGCGAGCTGCTTGTAGGCAGTGAGGGTCTTTTGGCCGGTGGAGGCACTGTGAAAAAAAAAAAAAGGAGTTGTATTAGCTTCTGCTGTTCGTGGTGTTGAGGTGAGGGGAGGGAGGTGGGTGTGTGTGTGTGTGTGACGAGGAGGAACTTACGCGTTGATGGCGCCGACCATGCCGGCTTGACAGTGCTTGCCCTGGGAGCAGTAGAACCAGATGGGCTTCGCGTCCGAGACCTTGATCGTGTACGTCAACTTGCCGCCGACTGTGCCTGACGAAGCGGCGGCCATCATGGTCCCGTTGCTCGCGGCGGCAGCGGAAGCGGTGTCGGCGAGCGCGGCGGGCATGAAGCCGGAGAAGAAGGCGTTGGAGCTGGCGTTGGGCATGCTGATGGACATGGGCATGCACGGTGCGTCGAACGTCGACTGCACGACCGAGTGGTTCATCGGGTTGAACTGGAACTGCACGAAGCTGCCCATGTCCGCCTTGATGTCGTCCGGCTGGAACGTCAGCGACCCGTTCGACCCGCCAACCTGCACCACCTGCACCTTGTCGCCTGGGCCCGGCGTCGCGCCACCCGTCTGCCCTGCGCCTGGCGTGGCTGCCGCCGCCGCCGCCGCTGCTGCTGCCGACCAGCCGGGGGTTTCTGCTGCAGCAGGGGTCTCTGCGGCGGCAGCGGCCGGGGTCCCCCAGGCTGCTGAGTCTTTCATGTGCTCGGTACGTTTGTTGAGGGCGACGCTTCGGCGACCGAAGCTGTTGTAATTCGAGCTGCCGTAGGGGAGGGCGGCGCGGGGTACTGCGAGTTGCATGTTTGTCCGGGGCTTGAAGTATGCCTGCGCGCCGTCGGCGGCGAGGAGAAGCGTGGTGGTGAAAAGCGTTGAGAAATGCATCCTTCCTGAAGAGCTGTGGTTTTGTATCCGACTAGCGGAGTTTGCGTTGTAAATGATTAAGAATGAGAAGAGGCTTGCGCTGTTTGTCGACTGGACTAGCCAGCGAGAAGGATATTAAAGAGAACGTAGTCGTGAGGATGCGAAAACTAAGGAAACAGAAGGGCTGTTGGAAGAAAACAGCTCTAGAGAGAGTGGGCGGCTGCGGAAGAAAAGGGCACGGCTTGACACGGTTCGAAGGAGAGAAAACGCTTGATAAGGAACTGAACGGCTGTTCGGAAGGACGTGTCCATTACTTGAATCGCATGAATTTGTGAAGAGGCGCAGACGTGAGCCACGGCGTCTCAGATATGGCCTTCGGCACACGTTCACGGTGGGCTGCGACGTCTTGCGGCGCAGCAGTGCTCCAGCGCCATAGTAAATGCCACGGGCGGGTGTTGATGCATGCGGGATGATCGGCACCGGCTATGCCGATCAAACTTTTAAAGTTATCTAAAAGCCAAGATAATAAGAGACGCTGTGCTGTCTGGCGATCCCGTCCCTTGGATATGCCAGACCTCGGGGATCGCCATAAGACTTGAGAGCGGCCGATGAGCTGTGCAACAACTTAGTAGTTGTGTAGCGGCAATCCGAGTGCTGCACAAAATAAATTCCCGGAATGGTGAGCTGCTGACCTTCCTTCTGTTTGTGGGCTCGTTGTGGAGAGGTCGTCTGAGAAGCCAGGCTTGGCTTTTGGGTGATTGCATGGCGTTGGGCGTGGTTGGGGTGAGGCTTGACAAGCGAGGTCTCAGTCTCGTCGCGGATCGCAGACGTGCGGCAGCCCCAGACGCTCACGCCTCCACTTCCGTCCGGAATGCGCAACAGCCGATCGGATCCCTGATAATTCCTCATTAACCAATAGTCTGGACCATTGCTAATGTCCCCTTTTTTTTTCTTGAACCGAAAGAGGCCCTAGCCGCCTTAACCCAAGCTTTTCTGTAGGGTTGCAGCCGCCACACTCCCCCCTCTCGTCTGTGGCTACCGACGCCTCGGAAGAAAAGCATCGATCCAAGACCAGAGGACCAAGTGACAAGCGCCAGTAGCCCCCGACCGTATTCCGAGTCTTTCTTGTGCCTCTCGTCAAAAAAAAGCACATCCCTGGTCCCACGGGCCACTCCCTCATGATTCGATCAGATGCATCAGTGTAGCTCATGAATAATGCGTCTTTGAGAGAATCTAGTCGAACGTCAGACCGCCCCATTTTACGCCAATCGCATCATCACGGCGCCAGTGGCGGGGTCAGAAGTCGAGCAGCAGCTGCGGCGCGAGCTTCTCGAGATCCTCGACCTAACAAGAGCGAGGCACGGCATAGTCAGCGATCGACCACCAATCAGTATTCCATAGCTATTGTGTCCTCATCCCTGAGGCAAATGCAACACTCACCTGCAGGAAGCCATCGCCCGAATCGTCCTTTTTCTTTCCGTCTGCCTCCTCCCGCTCGTACATGGCCCGAGCGAGCGCCTCGCGCACAAACGTCTCGACGTACTTGCTCGCCACCGCCATTGCTTCTTTCCCGATCCGCACCTCTTCGTCTTGGAAGCCCTCATGCAGGAGCCTGTTGAGGAGCTTCGGCGGGATGGGAGGCTGGTCGTCCGTTCCCATAGAGTCTTGCGACGCGGGCGGCACAGCAACAGCGTTCGAAGTGGACGCGTCATTGTCGGCACCGGCGTTGGTTGAACGGCGGCGATTAATCTCCTCATCGAGAGCGTGACTGTCATCGTCAATGTCATCAAGATCCGTGTCTGATGAGATGAGCGTGGTAGCAGGCCTGAAGGCTGCCACACGCGACGCGGAAGCTGCAGGTCTGCTTGTCGATCCAGCCGCAGCGGCCGTCGCACGAGGGGCTGGGGCTTTCGAAATGTCAGGGTCGCTGGTGTTCGACTTGCCGCTGACCCGCCGCGGCGGTTTGAAAGCCGTGTTCTTGCTGGTTGTTCTGACGGGTGGCATGATGTTCTTGGGTGGGTGTGGAGTCGCTGGCGGCGATGATGATGCTGGGGGTATGCAAGACGCGTCTGGCTGGCGTGGGGAAAGCGTGGTCCGTTCGTCTGACGCGTCCGACCGAACACGACAACACGTGGGCGCTAACTGACTGGCCCCAATCGGTTAAGTGCCTGCTGCCGCTGAGCCGCTGTGCCGCTTTTAGGGCAACCATTGTGGAGAAACGGCAGAGTGGATCGTGGATCGCAGATGTAGCTTAATTCCATTTGGCAGGGTTCACATTACATCATGCTCCACTTGTGTGGCTTTGCGGGGGGCGAGACGCCTGCTGCAAAGATGACAGGCTGTCACGCGGTCACAGCGACGTCTCCAAAGAATACAGTTGCTTGAAGGTCTATGAGACGGTGTTAGGAACAGTGGCCTGCGACGATGTGCCAGGGTTTGGTTTTGTGGGAAAAATGAAAACGGAAAAAGGAAAGGGTATATGCTGCGCTGCTATGCTCGTTGGAAAGCAATGCTAACAAGAGACTTCTGAGGGATCCCACACGAATGAAAACCTGGAACCCAAAACGCCACAGATGCTATGCAGCCACCTTGTGCCACCGTGCTCACTACCTTGCAAGACACGCCCTCTCATTGGCCTCTGGAGACCAAGGGACGCCCGGAGACCTGGACGTGCTTGTTCCAGAAACCTTCCGCAATTGGTCAGAATCAATGAATCCGGGACATGCTCAGCTCCGACATGCAAGTCATCTCCTGAAAATGGCGATGAAACTCTTCCTCTTGCCGATCCTGGGCATTGGCTTGTCGTCGGGAACCGGTGGGGCCAGAAGGTTGGGAGTTGACTTCATGAGGGATGGCTTGGACTTCCTGGCGGAGAAACCGTCCAGCTTGCCGTCAACAGGGAAGAAATCGGCCTTCTCGTCGTACTCGGCAATCGCAGTGACGGAATCGAATGGCCCCGGGCTAGGGATGGGCGGAGTGATCACGCGGCCCGACCTGGTCGAACCTTTGCGCGACAGGGTCAAGCTCTTCTTGGGCTTCAGGCTAGACCTTCTGGACGCCTTGGTCACGGCGCGCTTCAGGCCGCCACTTTCCTCTGCTTGCCTCCTTTCTTCGCGCTCGATGTCACCGAGAACAGTGCGACCGCCGGTAGCCAGGTTGGCCTCTTCAATGGCTTGGAACTTGACAATGCCCCGGTCTGCTGGAACGCCGAGAATGTCGCGGAGGAAGGATTGGAGCATGGCCGTGTTGCGTTTGTTCGTCACGGGTTGGAGCTGCGAGGGAAGTGCAGTAATGGTGAGAATGTAGGCCGGCTCGAATGAGCCACCAAGCAAGAGGCAGGCCGACTGGTAAAGGCTGACCATGACGCAGTGTTCGGGGCGCTGGAAGCGCTGTGACATCTGAGAGGAAAGGTCTGTGACCAGAGTGTACTCATCCTTGATCTGCATGCGGCATTAGAACTAGAACTCGGGTATGCACCGAGGATACATACAATCACGTTGGTCTTCAGTTCAGCAACAATGGGGCTGTCCTTGCTGATTCGGTCACGAGCGGGGCCCGTCGTGTCCCTCTCGTTGAACTGGCCCTCGAAATACTGAGCCCTCTTGGAAGGGTGGCTGCGAGGGAGGCCATTGGTGGGATCCGGGTCCTTCTTCTCGCCGGGAGCGCCCCATTCGAGGTTGCGGGTGATGCCTTTGCGGTCCACCAGAGAGTCGCCCTCAGCAAAGCCGCGCGGAGAAGTGGGAGGGATCTCCTCGAAGGAGAAGCTGGACTGGGCCGGGGAAAACTGATCGCGGTCCGCGGGCGGGGCGAGCAAGGTGGCGCCCACGGGCTTGGGGAACTGGTCGGCGGAGGATGACATGGTAGAGGTCGAGGTTCGTTCGCGAGACATGTTGGATGGAGTGCGTGTGTGTACTGAGTGAGGCATGCTTCCGGTCGTGGCGAATATGTGTACGTGTATGTGCGGAGATGTTTGGCGGCGCGCAGTGAAGATGACGATCAACGTGCGGAATTCTGTTGAGCACAGATATGCGGGATTCAGGCGGGCGGCGCAGGTACTTGTGACATTCCTGGGTAGTGTACTCGGTAGTGTATACGATCAGTGGCGGGAGGAGCTGGAGGGCTGACTGTGGCCAGACGCGCCAGGAGCGGCAGTTTGCGGACGCCCGGGGATTGTGGCGTGCCGGCGGCAGCTAGAATGGGACGACGGGGAGCTGGAGGGCAGGAGCTAAGTGGACATGGCTCGCCCTCGCGGGAGGAAGAGGAGGGCAAAATGTCAAGTCGCCGGCCGCCACAGAAAAGCAAGCTGGGACGGGGATGCACATGCAATGCGGCAGCAGCGATGGGCGCGGGCGGCGGGCGGCGGGCGGCACACGACCTGGGCGCACACACACATTCCACAGCACCCCGGCCCTGGCAGCCGCGCACATCGCTAAAACGCTCTCGGCTGGTCGCATCGCGAGCATCAGCGACCGTGGGCGGTGGGCTGTGGGCTGTGGGCCATGGCTGTGGGCAAGCCGCGGCCGGCGTGGAGGGGAGGGACCAGGCCGCCCCTGCCAGCGCCGCTGCCCTGCCCGAGCCGAAGCCAAGCCCGGCCAGATAAGGCCCCGGCGACTGGACCGGTGCCAATGACCGTCCGCACGAATATCTGCGAATCGATGCCGGCGTCTGCACCTCCCTGCGATTCGACGCGGCAGCCAGGGGGCGCGGCCAAGGGCGCAGCGTTGCCGGCGAAGACGCCGGCCGTGGGTGCTCCCGGGCTAGCACGCAGGTAGGTAGGCCGGCGCACTCAAAGGGGCGCTGCGTTGAAGGCTCGTTGACTCTTTGGGCCTGCCCTGCACGGCGCTTGCTGAAATTGCTCGGCGGCACCCTCCTCGCCTTCCCCAGCTTGACGCCGTTAGCCAATGCGCGCGCCCACCGTCCGCCCACCATCCGCCCACCATCCGCCTGAAGAGCCCGTCCTGCGCTCCAGCGACATGCTGCGGCGCCATGCCAGGGCCTCCCTCTCACGCTGCCTCTGTTCGTAATGCACACCCCCCGCCGGCCCTGCGATCCGTATTGCATTGTGACGTCCGGCCCCGTGCGTATTCAGAACAACCACCGGTCATCTCCCTGCCACAAGCAGGCCCTCGCCCGACCTCGGCCGGGGTCCGCTGCCCAAAAATAGTGCGCTGTCGTCAGGAGTCCACTGGCTGGCATGTTCCGCCCAGGGCGACGCAGCTCAAGAAGAGATAGATAATGGCCCGCGCCGTGGGGATGATGTGTCCGGCGCCGGGCGCCAGCCGCATGCTGCCAGCCGCGCCGATGCAATGCGATCGACGCGCTCCGCGATCGTTGGCTGTCGTGCAAAGGCTCCAGACCCGGTTGCGCGTAACATTGCACACGCGCTGCTTTGGGCAACCCTGCAATCGCAGGCGGCGGCGTTGATTCGCTGGCGTGGTGCAGAGCAGCGTTTCAACTTCCGCTGTCCACCTGCACGCCGGGGAGTACAAAACGCCTCACCGACCTTTGACTCCACATGCCGTTGGCAATTTGCTTGTTGCTGTCATCATCATACAGCTTTTATTGCGGCTCGAAAGCAGGTCCGTCGGCCCATATATTGCCGTTGTATAGCGTGCAGTGTTGGCTTCCACCTCCGGGCTTCCATCACAACACCTCTAATAAAACTCGATGCCAGGGACCGATCACGCGTTGCCGCCGCTTACCGGGCACGAGACCTGCTGTGCCACGTCCAAGGGGCATCCTCAGCGGGTGTCACTCTGCTAACGCGGGGACCACCAAGAAAAATTGTGTTGTGATGTGCGGATTGGATCTGAAAAGGCTTGGGGTGCAGCAGGACGAACTTGTGCAGCTCGGAAACCCAACGTCTCTCCTGCGAGGGAAATCTTTTCAACGTGGTGTCGCAGACTCCACAATCCGACATGCAGCTACCCACACAGGACGCCAGTTTGCCTCCTCTCTGCCGCTCGTCCTGTTCCACACCCACTCGCCCCGAGGCCCCTTCATACCGTCATCCCCCAGCTTCACCGGACCGTCTGAAGGATTGAATTGAGACATGGTGGTTCGATGTGGGGTACAATGTGTCAAGCATGAATCGCTCAGTTTCTTTCGGTCTTGCCCATTGGCGCGAAGGCCATCAAAACTTCCCTGGTACCTTATAGGACCGGCCCGGGACTCCGCTAGCACTGAAGTTACATGTGGATGGGAGCATCCACTTCTGATGAGAGGTCTCATTTGACGCCTCCCCCGCGGAAACGTCCGGATCTAGGGGCGGTACTAACAGTTAGGCATCCTTAGTCTCCCCTTCACTTTAGAAATCAAAAATATCCAGCACTAGTGCGCGCTAACGGTACGCTTTGAATATGTTGGTCTCCGCTCGAAAGATGAACAACCTCTTTTATCTAGAACATTTTGGCCGCCGTCTCAATCTCCGCAGGATGCAGGTTATGGTACAAGTACAAACACGAAAAAAAAGGAGCCCCAAATACGTGCCGCAAAAATACCTTCTCTTGTTGCTTTTTCATCTCCACCGCCAGAATCTGACCTAATCAGTCTGCACATATCCCATTGCCTGCCCGACCTTGAGCTTCTGACCCTGTTCAATGGTCCACTTCCAGCCTCCCGTCGTGCCAGTGAATCCTTCATCGAGACTTGATTTTCTCTGAGGCTTCGGCGCCTCGAATACGAGCACAATCGTACTTCCCAACTGGAAACCGCCCATCTCTTCTCCCTTCTTCAGAGCATGGCCACCAAGCACATGGCTAGCCCCATCATAGGTTGCCTCTGCATAGCCCGAGTACGCTTCCCCGCGCTCCTGCGCCTCTGCTGCCGCGCGGTCGGCAGCAGTGTCCGTGGTCAGGCTGTTGGTGCGCAGCTCGCGATCAAAGTTGATCACAATCGATCCAACGTTGGTGGCACCGACAGGGACGTAGGAGAAGAAGCCCCAGCGCCATCTCCCAAGAATGGCAACTCGTTCGTTTAGTGTGAAGAGACCGGGCAAAGTCCGCACCAGATAAGGGGAAACGCTATACAGCTCGCCGGCAAAGTGACGCCGAGACTCGGCAACCCAGCTTACGGGGGAGTGGAATCGGTGGTAGTCCCCTGGAGCAAGGTACACCACGCAGTAGTAGAGAGCAGTGGGCTCCTGCGTAGTCATAGGACTCCACCAAGGCCGTTTACCCAACTCGAGATCCGCGCGAACCTCAGCCTCGGCAGACGCGCTGTGAGGTGTTGACTGATCCGAGATCTTGCCTCTTTTGCCACTTGGCGGGCCCGAAAAGAGGTTTGGAAGCGTGTACGAAATACCATTAACATGGGCAAACTCCTCGTCGGCCTTGATGACTTCTTGGTCTCCGTCGGTTGTGCGCTGCTGGCTTGGTTTTGGTGATGACGCCGAAGAAGCAATGTTGGATCCGGCATCCGAATTACGTCTACTCGGAGGGTGGCTTCCCAGAAGAGCATCCAAGCTATACGTCACTCCTTTGACCTGCTCGACCTCACCATTGTCGATGGTTCCGAATTGCACGACCTTGCCGTCGGCGGGTGACACGATAGCATTCGGGTTGGGATCAATCGGCCTCACGCCAGGCTTAAGAGTGCGATAGAAAAACTTGGCCAGGTTTGGGTATTTGTGCAGGTCTTGTTCTTCCATCTCGTCGAGGTTTACGCCGAAAATGAACGAGTATAGCCTGAAGCCAGGGACTCGCAGGTAATACGGGATGTTGAGTTCGTTGAACCGTCCCCAAAGACGTGACAGGGCCTTGAGGGGCAAAGTAGACATGATCTGAACTTGCCTGTCCCGTGTCAGCACAGTGACAGTAGACAGCGAGCCGGAACGTACCATGGGCCGCTGGGCCGGATTCTCTTCCTCTTCGGCGGTCTTTCTCCATCGCCATTGTCACTACCCGCGTACGAGCTGTCGTCGTCACGTTCCTGGGTCTTCGCATCGCGCTGGATGCGATAGAACTGGAAAACGCCCAAGAAGCCGACGCCAAGCGCGATGGGGATGGGTTTCCACTCGATCTTTGTGTTCTTAAGAGCCGCGCCAAGTCTCGAGCGGAACGACTCTTTGCTCCGGTGCTGGCCAGAGTCAAAGCGGCGCGCAGACGCGGCAAAGGTCCTGCAGTGGGACTCAAAGCGGGAACGGGGCGGCGAGGAACAAGGAGGAGCAGCGGGGCGCGGACGCAGCGGGTGGGCGCGTAGGGCGAGGTGGAGACGATGGGACGGTCGGGCGAGCCCTATCCCCGAAGACGCCATCTTATCGTGGCATGTGGTGAGGAGCAATTGCGGCGGCGTGCGAGCAAGTGGCGGAGGTGAAGGCGCACAGATTGTAGACTAGCAGCGATGACGCTGTGGTGGCCCGGGGCGCCGGGCAGTCGGCTTGCGTGAGCTCGCTTGTGCGGCCCTGCAGGTGCAGCTCACTGCCCCAAGCCCCGATCTACGTTACCTGGCGTTTCTGGCACCTTCCCCAGAGCACCACTTCCACTCTGGCCTCACCTTCCGCTGCTGCATTCTGCCCAGATGCTGTCCGCCAGCGCGACCGGCCTCTGACCGACCTCGCGACCAGAGTCCGCGCGCCAGCGCCTGTGCTCCACCTCCCGCCGTCACTGCCGCCATTTATTCCGAGCTCTGCGCCAAAGCCGCTCCGAACGACAGTCCGCCCCGCCCCCAAGGCTCCCGCATCGTGAATTGTCGACATGGCGGACCAGACGGTTGACGTGCGCGTTCTGTCGCCCTCGCCTGAAGCTGACGGCGGCATCACCTTCTCTGCCTTGTCCACTTCCACGACGGTTGGCGAGCTCAAAGCCAGGATCAAGGATGCGCTGCCGTCCCACCCGGCCCCGGAACGCATGCGGATAATCTACCTAGGAAGAGTAGTGCTGAACGAGTCTGCCCTGGGAACAGTCTTTGGAGAGGTGATCTTCTTCGCACGACCCCTCATGTCCTTGTTGAGACTGACATCATCATCCAGGTTCAGCAGGGACGCGTCTATAATCTTCACATGGTCCTCAGCGAAGCTCCCACCTCACGATCCTCCACTGCTCCTCCGACCAACCCCTTTCGTCAAGCTCCCCCCGCGAACAGCGCTTCCAATGCTCGTATACCAGTCGCTAATCGTCCGCAATCACAACCTCCGCGTGTTGATCACGCTCCTCCACCAGGCTTTACCACCTTCGCCGCTCCAAATATACAACAAGGTGTACCGATCCAAGGCGCCGCCTTCATGGAGCATATGCACGTCGCACACCAAGCAGCCATGCGCCAAATGCAACAAATGCAGTTGAACATGAACCAGCGCAGACCACAGGATGGAGCTCCGCCTGTTGACACTAGCAATGGCCCGGCTCCTGGGGGTCACTTCCGATCGGCATCTCAACCAATCCATACCAATGCGCAGCATCCGCAGGCGCAGCCAGGTCGCGTCACGATAACGCAAGGTGGGGTCGGTCCCAACGGAGAGCGTTGGAGTTTCTCAGTGAACAACGGGCCTCTCATGCTTCCGCAGCAACAACCTCCTTTGGGGCTTCCTCAGCTCCCTGTGATGATCGACCATCGGCCGCCTCTCAGGTTGCCGGACCCACTGACTGTCGTGGATTCCCAAAGGATGCTGAATCAGGTGCACACAAACCTGGAATCTGCCCAACAGCAGGTTGCCGTTATCAACAACATCCTTGCACCGCCCAACGTTTCCAGGGAGGAAGCATGGAGCCAACCTCCAGCGCAGTTCCAACGTGCTGCTATTGAGATTGAGCGCTTGAACATCTACCTCAACACCATGGACCAATTGTTGCACGCTCTTGTCGCCAATCCAATTTACTCGCGCAACCGTGAGCTTGTCTCGTTGCAGATGGACAATGAGCATATGCGCAATGCTACTCGCCGTCTTATACGTACCCTCGGTGACCACATCTCAGCTAGACGGGGAGAGACTCAGGCAACGAGAGACGCACTAGGTTTGGCTATTGCCTCTCGGACAAACAACGCCACTGCAACCGCAAACAACAACCGGACAGGCCCGGGCTCTGAGACGGCGAACGCAAACGATGTGTTCTTGCTGTCTTCTCCAAATGGACCCCACGCGATCGTGTACTCACCTAACGGGACATTTACTTCGTCTGGCTCTTCCTTCGGCGACGCGCTGACACAAAACCTAGCCTATCAGCGTGCACTCAGCGATGTTGCTCGTCTCATGGGACCCACGCGCGCTAGCCTTGCAGATAGGCCGATGCAGCATATGGGACCGCAGCAGAACGCCGCTGCTCTCGGTGCGCCGGTAGGCCTGCGCCCGCCTGTCGGTGAAGCTGCTCGAGAGAATCCACCCCAGAACCCTGTTCAGAATCCACTTGTGGCCGGAGCCCAGCCTCAGCTACAACAACAGATTCTGCAACAACCGATGCTGCAAGATATGATTCAGCAAATACCGATTCAGCGACAACCGATTCAGCAACAACCAATTCAGCAACAACCGATCCTGCAACAGCAGCAGGAGGCCAACCAGTTGCCACTTGCCGCCTTTGCGACGCATTTTTGGCTTCTGTTACGGATATTCGGCATGCTGTGGTTCTTCAGTGGCGCTGGTTGGCAACGCACATTCATGCTTTCACTTTGCGGTCTCGCCATCTACGTTTTCCAGGCCGGCATCCTACGCGAGCACATACTTGGCAACCAATGGGATCGCTTGCGTCGCTACTTTGAGAACCTGGTTGGCATACCGCATCAGCCACCGCCTCAGGCGAATGAGGCGAATGAGGACCCCGCTGTGGATATTGCCCGGCGTAGAAGAAGTAGGGCACCATCTCCCCAGGAAGTGGCACACAGGCTGCTGCACGAACGTCAGCAGCAGCAGAGGACGTGGTTCTGGGAAACGATCCGTGGGATAGAGCGCTCTTTGGCGTTGTTCGTGGCAAGTCTGTGGCCCGGTCTCGGCGAAAGGATGGTTGCTGCGCGGGAGCAGGCTGAGGCGCAGGCGCGAAGGGACGCACAGGAGATGGAGGAGGCTGAGCGCCGCGATGCCGAAGCTGAGGCCGAAGTTGAAGCTCAGGCCGAAGTTGAAGCTCAACCCCAACCCCAAGTCCAAGAGCCTCGAGCAGACGAAGGCGACAGCACGGCAACCGATGAGGCTAGCAAGCAGGAGAGCTCTGGAAATGACACTCCTACGGCGGTCGATCCGGACAAGGTTGACAAGGGCAAAGGAAGGGCGGTCGATGTTGCGGAGGGTAGGTCGTCGTCCTCGGTCAGTCCTGCGGCGAACGGAGATAACGACGGCGTAGCGACCTCCAGGCAGCGGGATGGCTGGTCCTTTGAAGACCTGGACTGATTGGAGGTTTGCATTCACTTACTACCATTATTCGGCATCAACGAGATAAAGCGACGGCGTTCCATGGGAGATAAAATGGCTGCAGCACTTTCCTTACTTTATAGCAATTCCCAATTCTTATTCCAAACTCTCTTGTTTATTGCTAGTCTATGCAGTATTTTTCTATCCCGTTCAACGATGCACGTCAAGCTGTACGTGTTCCCCGGCCCTTTAAGCTTCATGAGTAGTCATGGGTTGAAGCAGGTATCTAGGACCCCCATCCCCCCTATCCTTTCTTTTCTTTTCTTTCTATTTGAAGATGCTCCACGGAGCAGTGAAAATTCAAGCTTCGTCTTCTCAAACCTGCTGCCATTGCACTCATGCCTGCATTCCAGACGACAACACCATATCACGCAGCTCTCCTGTTGTCTTTTACAGACAATGTTTTTTTTCTTTCTTTTTTTCTCTGACCACCAACCGCCAGCGGCCCCTTCACCCCTTCACCCCTTCACCCCTCTCTTCACACGTCCCCGAAGAAGACGACCTGCACGGTGGTGTCGTCCCTGACGTTGCGGCTGATGGGCGGATAGGCGGTGACGACGCCGCAGAAGAGGCTGCGGCGGGCGCCGCCGAAGGCGTTGCGGACGAGGTGCGTGGCGGCGTTGTCGTCCTCGGCGACGAAGAACTCGGGCGTGGCGCGCCACTCGACGTAGCGGCCCTCGTCGAGCCACCAGTGCTCGTCGTCGTCGGCGTCGTCGGCGTGCCGCGGGTTCATCTTCTTCATCTTCTTCAGCGCGTCGGCGGGCGTGCCGCGCAGGGCGTCGGCCCGCTTGGCGTCGAGCCAGCGCGCGACGCACTCGACGGCGTCCTCGTTGGAGATGTGGTCCCAGAAGCCGTCGCTGGCGAGGATGAGGAAGTCGCCGCGCCGGTGGTGGTCCTCCTGTTGTTGCGGTTCTCCGCCTTGCGGGTTGCTTGCCGGTGCTGCTGGTGTTGGTGCTGGCGACGTCGGTCTCTTGGTGCCGACCTGGATGCGCGTCTCCTCGACGACGGGCTCGGCGGTCAGGTAGGGGGGTGACTTTGAGTTGGGCCGTGGGGCGGACGACCAGTACTTCTGCTGGGCCTCGGTGATGTCGCCCTCGCGCCACTTCCAGCGGTGGTCGCCAAAGGCGCGCGTCACGGCCAGGCCGAGCAGGCGGCCGCTCTCGCGGTTGATCATGGTCTCGGCCTCGCCCGGGTGCGCCGCCACGAGGCGCGCGTACTCGTCGTCGTTCTTGCCCGTCTGGTCGCGCGAGAGGGCGACGGCCGCGTACTTGTCCCTCGGCTTGCAGGACGCGGAGCCGTCGTGGTTGATGGCGCGGCCCAGCACCGCGCGCGAGTCGCCGGTGCAGGCGACCCGGAGCGTCGTCGAGACTGGGTCGTAGGCCGCGAGCAGGGCGCACGAGCCGGCGATGGCGGGCGCGATGGCGGACACGACCTGCGCGGAGCCCGGGTGGGCTTCCGGGTCGTTCATGGCGGCGAGCGCCGAGCGGTTGATGGCATCGTCGACGGCGAGGAAGGCCTGGCTGATGCCGGTTGATATCTGCGGCGAGGTGGCGTGGGCGGGGAGGCGCTCTAGGTGGTCTGATACCATGGGGACGAGGGCCTCGCGCAAGAGAACGGAGGTGGCCCAGCCGCTATATAGTTGCGGGGTTAGCGGTTGCAATCCCATGAAATGGTGGGGGGAGGAGATTGTAGTAGAGCCAGCTTACGCATGGCCATCAAAGACGCCCCAGAAGGTCCAGGGGTTCCCCCCGGGTCCTGCTTGCGTGCCCGTGACGAATTCGTCCTCGACGGGGCTGTTGCTGGGCACGCGGACGAGATCGCAGCGCCCGACTTGGCCGTTGCCGGCGTCGAAGAGCTTGGAGCGCTCCTCTCGCCGCAGGACCTCATTTGCATCGGCGACGTCGAGCGCTTTGACCGGGCTTTGGAGCTGTACGATGTTGCTGTTGCTGTTGTCGGCGGCGGCGTCGCCATTCCTCTTTAGAGGTTTGATCTGTGGCACGAAAATCGTAGCATTTTTATGATCTTTGGAAGCGGTGGACGGTTGGAGGAGGTAAGCCGCGACGCCCGTCACAGCAGCAGCGCCGCCCACGACGGTAGCTACGGGACTGACACGGGCGTGTCGGAACCTCGAAGGCGGAGGACGGGAGAGGAGGCGGCGAGAAGCAGGCGAGGAGCGCGAACTTACCACTCCGAGAACCTTCTTGAGGAACGGTGTCGGCAGCGGCATTGTGGACGGGCAATCTTGAGTCAGCAATGCGTGGGGTTGGTGGACGTTGTGTAGCTCGTACTCGGGAGCAGTTGATATAAGCTAAGTAGGAGCTCCAAGTCATTGAATGCAGGGGCGAGCTTGGTGAATGACTCGCGCTTGCTCTTGCTCCTGTCATTCGTCGAGATGGTCGGCCGACCAAAAGGTGAAATGTGAGCTTGGGTACAAGTCACGGGGGATTTTCATCTTACAATGTCTGATGTCTCTTAGAAGATTTATGGAATCTGTGGATTCTCCGCAAATTATATAAGGAGGGTGAACATCACGGTGAGCTACCAACTAACACCCATTTCACTTTGGCGGTGGGATCTCGTGTTTGGATGGACTTGCGCATTTTTAATACTCGAATCTATAATTGAGAGTCTGCTTCTAGCACTGATAAGAAAACTACGTTCGGCCCTACATTTACGTGGGAATATCTGCTTTCGATGTAGGTCAATTTCTTCCACATCCCACTATGACACCACCTCCACGTCCAAGTCCACTTGGAAAACCTGTTCCCTCACGGCAGCTTTCTCAAAAGGGGTAAGAGGCTTGGAGTCCCTGGAGAGGGGCCAAACTAAGAACGACGGACAAGTCATGAAGCAAGAACTGAATTTATATCCCCACCGCTTTCAGAGAACATTTGAACACAGTCCGCGTTCCCTAGGGGCGAAGAGGCTCAGCAGCGCTCGGAAGTACATTGTGCCGAGTGGGGGATGGCTATCAGGGCATAGACCGGGGTCCGCGCCCGCACTGCCTTGGGGGTTGTGGCTGGTGTGGTTGCAGAAAGGTCGCAGGCCGACTGTGGGGGATCGACAGCGCACCCCGCAACAACCCTGCGCATGCTCGGCCTGGAAACCCTGCTCCACACCCGCAATTTTACGGAAGTGCGTTTAGTATGGGCATGATGTGTAAAGATGGTGATGGAGAATTTATTAGATTGGATTCCGAAGACGTCCTGAAAACGCCATCACCGGCTCCGGTCAACAGAGATCTTCACTTCGGCTCAATTTACCCTCTCCACATCTATCGGCCTTCGCAAGCGCAGCATAGCGCAAGGGGTGGCTACCACTACCCGTCGAAGAACCTGCTCGAGCATGACAGCTCCACGTGCGACGATTGGCGAGATTATTCCCACCGCGATGGCATGGCCATCACCAAGAACGTGGTCACTCCCGAGAAGGCCGAGCACTACCACCAAGAGCACCTGGATCTAGGACCATCTGCCCGTCAGCTTCAAGGGCAGCAAATATTCTCCGACCACTAGGGCACGGATAAGTCGGCCGAGACCGCTCCCTGAATAGAACCGCGAACATGCTGTACCGCATTGCCGTAGATATGAACGACGCATATTAGAAACAGCGGCGGAAAAAAGAATAGTATGATGGCATTTTATCCAACAAGCAAGCGTATGGTATCTCGTGTGACTCCCAAAGGACCACTCATAGGAAAAGGAAAAGCATGCAAAGGCTAAGTAGAAAAGAAAATCCCCAAACACATCCCTCCCTTCTTTCGTCCCCACCCCCCTCCCAAACCCTAGTTGCGTAGGAAATCTAACCCTCCCACATCACCCCCATGCACCGCTTTACCCACCTCTAGTACCTATACACGACCCTCCTCTCCTCCACAGGGCTCACATCCGGCACCTCTCCGTACCCACCAGCGCCACTCCTGCCCTCCGGCTCCGACGGCGACCCCGTCGCCGCTCCATGCATCGTCCTGTGCACATCCGCACTCTCCTGCCTGTGCAAGTAGCTCGGCGTGCTCTGGAACTCACCGCCACCAGGCCTGATCAGGTGCGCGTTGTCTCCGGCGGTGCCGTAGTGCAGCGGCTCCAGCGGGTGCACCTGGGGGGTTGCGCCGGTGGTGGAGGAGGAGGAGGCGTGCGAGTCCGCGAAGGGATCGTCTCCTTCTGCTGCCGCTTGATCGGGAGAGTAGTCGCGCGCGGCCAGCGACTGCTGCAAGCGGGGAGGCGGGTTGGGCGGAGGCGCGTACGCGTCTGCGGGATCCTCGGAGAAGGGAGGGCTTGCCGCGGCGGCGGCGGCGGCGGCGGGCGGGGGAGGGGCGAACGTACTGGCAGCGGGCGGGGGAGTCGGGGTCGGGGTGTTGGAAGAAGAAGTCACGTTGTTGGACGAGTTGGTGCGGCGGGCGGCCAGGTAGGCGCGTTGGTGCTTGGTCAGCGCGAGCGACAGCTGCTCGTTTGTCTCGATCAGGGTGAGCATCGTCTCGTCGTCCGCCTGCGCCGAGTCCTCGGTCGCCGTGTTGATGTAGGCCTGGATGCTGCGCTGCGCCTGCTGACACCGCTCGCCGAATTCCTTGATCAGGTCATTGTTCCCCAGCTCCTCTGGCGGCGTGCTCTGGATAAGCTGTATCAGGAGCTTCGCGCTCGTCCGTGCCTCCTCGATCCGTGCAGCCAGCTCCGAGGGGGAGGGAAGGCCACGCGAGCGGCGGGCGGTCTGGCCGTTGTCGTCACCCCAGCCCTGCCCCGACGGCCTTCCTTGACTGGCGTCAAACGGCGGGGCGTTGAGTGTGCGGGGAGCGTGACTGCTGCTACCATTGCTATGGACGTACTCCTTACGCCACATATGGAACAGGGGATTCAGGTTGGTGTCGTAGGCCTTGTCCCTCTCCAGCGCAAACAGCGTCTCCCGCAGGATCTGCTGGACGCTAGAGTCCCGGCCGTTGCGGAGCAGGTCCTTGATCGTGCTGACGAACTTGGTGTCGATATTGCGGGTGAAGGTGGGGCCGGGGTTATCGGTGAGGATGCGGATCAGCATGATCGAGTTGTACTGCACATGGGGCTTTCCATAGTTTTCCTTGGAAAGGAACTTGCGGATTTGGTATGCGCAGGCTTCGGCGGCCACGGGGGAGGATTCGGCGGCGGTCACGATGTCTGGGAGGTACTGGATTTCTTCCGTCTGTCACACGACGGTGGTCAGCTATGACATGAAGGGGGGCAATGACTGGGAGCACGGAGAGCTCGATCGACACTCACAGAATTGTTGGGGCCGCCAGACTCGCAAAAGAGCCGCTGTATATCCACATCAGTACCTCCCCAGGAGCTTCCGGTGGTTATACTGCACATACCACGCCCCTCGTGGCGTTCCCCTCGGGTGAATTTTGATCGTACGTCGGAGTATCTTCAGAGGAGCCTGTGGGCGGCTGTCAGCGGGCGCTCTCGACAGAAGAACAGCAGAGAAGCTCACTGGTTCCAGGACGCCTGCTGAGCAGGCCCTGCACCTTCTTCAGCACCATGGCGGTCCTACTCGCCCGGGGGCGTGTTGTTGTTGAAGGCAAGGTGATGGCGTGGGAGCTCCGGGACAGCGAGCTCGTGGGCAGCTGGCTTGTGGGAGCAGTGGGCGTCGAAGCGGAATGAATAAGGCGACAGGCGGTGCAGCGCGGGGCAGGGGACAGCTTCCAGCGGTGGATGGCGGTTTATGCGGAAAAGAGGGTCGCGGCTAAGGGTCCGGTCGCTGGCGTGCCGCGCCGGTAATTGCGTAGGAGCGCGTAGCGTCGCGCGCGGTCCTGCACTCAAGGCAACAACACTATGTACCTGGCCTTCCGGATGATGAGTCTTCGTAAGGCTGCTGCCGGGAATGAAATGCGCGAGCGTCGAGAGGCCTTTTCAACCCGACTCTCACAGACACACAGAGACTCCCCCACACCCACGGCCCAGCAGAGCACAGCCCCCCTCTGCGGCGCTGGGCTGGCGCTGTCGTTGACGCAACATGGCTGGACGCGTGGACCGGAACGTGCAACGAGGCTTGGCCCCAGCCTGGTCTCGCGCGCGCGTCAATGGCAGCGTGCAAGTCTGGGGCCCAATACGCAAGCTGATGATGAGACGCGTCCGGCACAACCACCACCGCTGCCTCTCCGCGCTTCTTGGCTTCCTCCGCCAAGCCGCGAGCCTGTGCTGGGTACGTCACCCTCTGCAGTGCGTGTGACGATGACAGATGCAATCACATGTTCCGTGTCTATTTTCCTATCCATGTCTGATGGGATAGCACAGCCCAGCTGTCGCAATCTGCCCCATTCATCGCTGCATATTTAGCTGCTGTGCCGTTCAAGTATCGCCCAGCCTTTCCCATATTTTTCCCGCCTGCCATGCGTTCCCTCTATTTTTACCGCTGTTCCCCATGTTCAGAGCTGCCTTGTGTACATTTCGCATAGCGGCGAACCTTGTCGCCCAACGCCATGCTGACCAAAAAAAATAAAGGAAAAAAAATACAAAAACGAAGAGGCGATATGTTTCGATGAGAGCTCCACAAAGTGCTGGAACAGACGCAAGGAAAGGGCAGATGAAGACGAGGGAAATCGTTTGCTGAGAAAAACAAAAACAAAAACAAAAGGACGCCTGCTCAAATGCAATTGAAGCGAGTAGGTGCTTCTGGAAGCTGTACAGAAGAAATGGTGTTTGGCAGCCATCATATGACTGCCTCCCCAAGGTAGCTGAAGTCGTTCAGGAGCTTGTTCATGTTCTCAAACTCCGGGTTCACGGCCAAGGTACTGTGCCTCCTAGCCGAGAGCGGTGGCGATTCCGACCTGACTATCGTGGCCTGCGTCGAGGTTTTGGTGAGAGTCGCCTGCGACGAGTACTCGTCCTCCGGCAGACTGTAACCCTGGAAGCCGCTGTTGCTGAACCAAGAGTTCGTCCGAGTATGAGCAATGGTAGGCAGCAACCCAGGGCTTGTTGCCGGCGATGAACAGTCGAGATGTGATTCTTCTATCTCATCATCCTCTCCGTCCTGCTCATACCAAAATTGGAACGTTTCAGACTGCGCCGATGAGGCGGTGCAGGGGCTGCTGCACGTGGGCGAGAGCACTGCCGAATCTTCCAGTTGCGGAAGGTCAACCGTAGTGTTGGTCACAGCCGAGTAGATTGACTGCGAAACATCATCTAGAAGTGAGCTGTTATCCCCACCGAACTGAGTATTGAGCGGAGGAAGCTTGAAGCTGTCCATGAGGCGGTCCGTGATCAACGAGCTGTCCGTCGGCCCTTCTGTCAGTGCTCCACAGTCCTCTTGCGCTTGGTGCGATGTGGCTAGTGTCTGAGCAATTTCCTCGACCCTCGGATCAAGAGTGAGCACTGGACTCGGTTCGAAATCCTCGAAAAATGCCCTCGTTTCGGAGACACGGCGATGGAGAGGCTCCCCCAGATCGAAGTAGGATGTCTCTTCAACCGGTTCTTCCGCCACGCAAGACAGCCTGCAGATCTTAGCGAAACTGGAAGAATCATCGCTTGAACGAGGCTCTTCGTCATCCGAAAACGCGGATGAAGCCCAGTAGCTTTCCTTTTCAAGCATCGTGCTGCAGCCCTCCCAAACGTCTGTAAACTCAGACCTTGTGGGGCTCAGCTCCAGCGTAGAGACGCTCTCGACCTCCCAGGGGAATTCTCCACCCAGCAGTGCGATCGTCGTGTGCTCGATCCAGGCAACCACCGTCTGGTATGTATCATGCATGACTCGTGCCTGCGCTTCGGTCCTTGCAGTCCCATCTCGTATCCGCAAAAGGCATTCCCTGTGTTGCCAGCACGCCAATGTGGCGCCCGAGTCCGATAGCACGTCCTCTCCGAAGTCGATTGCCCTGGCCTCCGTGTGTCTCTGCTGTTCTCTTTGCTGTTCCGCAGGTCCCACTTGCGCCGCCACGTCGCTTCTCGGCCCACCGTTGTCCCTGCATCTGCTCAGACCAGGTCCCACGACTCCGGAATCATTGCGCGAGCATCCTGGTTTCCTGCCCTGTCCAGTCACCGGGTCAGACTGCGCGACAGAGGCCGGCCTACTGCTGCGAAGCTTCTGGTGTCGCATTCTCTGTGCGTTCGTTCGAGCAATAATCGCGCTACCTGCCGACTTTGGACGAGCGTTGCCGTGCGAGCTGGAAGGCGGGTCGAAGGAACCGAGGTGACTGTAAGGGGTATCCACGGACGCGAAGCTGCGATAGCTTTGATCGGAGCTGGGGGCAAGAGACGACCGACAAGAATCCTCGCACGAGGGAGTGGCGGGAGAGGCAAAGAACGGCGACGGTGGAGGCGAAGTCGGTTTCCTGGACAGAGCTTCGAATTTGTTGGGTCGGGGTGTGCTGAAACGGGCATTCGGGTCCATGGTAAATGCTGGAGTAAGAACCGGTGCTGGTGCATACTCGAGGCTGAAGTCATCTGATTTTTCTTCATAAGGCACTTCGAGGATGTTGACACACTCGCCCAGCAAGAGAGAACAGGTTGTGGTTGAAGGCTTGGATTCGTCGTGGTATTCGTATACACCGTCCAGCATGTACTGCGCGGAGGTCAGTGACTCCGGGAGGAGGAATGCAAAGTGGCGGTTCAGGGCTCTGGACTCACGTAATACCAATAGGTGCCTCCCATCTTCAAGCCGCCTTCCCTCTTTTCGGAACGGCATTGGTTCTCACCATCGCAGACGACGTCTTTGAAGGTGAAGATGCCACACCACTGGCGAGAGCTTCTCCTCTGGTCCCGTTCCATGCGGTAGGAATGCGTGAAGTTGTCCCATGATCCCAGCAGCTCAACTGACCGGACACCGGACGGCACGTCACTGCAGCAGAATAAGCCTCGGCTCGAGCAAGGGGCAAGGGTGGACGTACATCCTGAAGGTGAAGAGCGTTGTATCCCCCATGGTTTTGCGCATCAGCCCCCTCTGGGGAGGGAAGACGGAGCGGAGGGGCAGCTCGTTCTAAAGCAAAACGGAGCCGGCGATTGCTGGGACCGGGGCGTGCGCCATTGGTGTCGAACAGCCAGTCAGCCAGTCAATCTGGATGGAACTCGAGTGAGGGGCCGACCAGGCCGATGCCTGCAGTGCGTCTCAGGCCAGAGGGGTCAGCCAACGGCTGACTAGGAGGCGGAGGTGCGGCAGGTGATTGGGCTAGCGACTAGAGACGGGCTAGCACGAAGGGGCCGGCCAGCAGGGGCGGAGCGGGCGTGTATAAATAAAATGGGCGGAAGAGCAGCAGTAGTGCCAGGTCACGCTTGGGCCATTTGCGAGGTTGGAATGAAATGACAGGCCAGCGTCTTGTGCGTGCTTGAGGACGGCGGCGGTGGAGCCGCTAGCACGTTCGACGGGGCGACGGCGAGCGCAGCAGCTTCTCTTGGCCGCGGGCGCCGCGATCGAGCAGCTGAGGGTGGCTGAGCAGCGGCAGCGGCAGCAGGTGGCGGGCTGATGGGGTTGCGGGCGAAGGCATGGGCAGCTGGGTGTGGCGGACTCGCCGCCGTGGTTAACGGCCAGCATCGTCGGCAGCGGCAGGAGCTGTGGCTGCTCATTTCCCCCCGCCCCACCGCAACCACGCGCCGGCGCCGAGTGCGAGCTCAGCTGCCGTCGGCCACGAGGGCTGCCGGGTTGGAGGCTGGATGTTCGACGTCGGCCCAACCCCAGCGCGTTTCATTTCCCATCCCAGCCTGGGAGCTCCCGGCCAGCCGGCCGCGCCGCAGCAGGCGGCCAATCGCCGCTCGACCAGGGCGCCGTCGATCAAACTTGGATCTTGTTCTTTTCGCGCCGGCGCGCTGCAGCATCTCCAGTTTGGGCCCTGTTCGAGCTCGACTCGCGCGGCCGACCCCGCTGCGTCGCCGACGACGACCAACCGGCGGACGACCGTCTCCTGCCGCCCTGCTTCTCGTCGCTGCAGCCACCTGCATCCCGGAATGTCCGCCTCTTGGGCCAGCCGGCTGCGGCGACGTCACACCGGTGGGTAACGGCTTCGGTTTGCCAGGCTTTCCAAGTCACGCCCCGCCCGTCGCCCCTGGCCGACATCCTGAAACCAGTGCGCCTAGCGGGCCCTGTGCGGAAGAGATTGATGGATGACGCCTGCGCACGGTCGGGATCGGAGAAGAAAAAAAAACTGGTCGCATGGCCGGCTGCCAACCACCAGCGCACGCATCGCGGCTTCCATCTGCTTTCTCTCGACTTCCGGAACGTCCGCCGCGCTAAGCCGCCTGCGCACGGCGCAATGCCGAGCGAGAATCTTTAGCGGATTCTTTCCGGTCGGCGCAAATCAGCTGCAGCCGCTCCCGGGCACGCTGCTTGGCCACGAACCACTCACTCCGCCCACCCACCCACCATCACACTCTGACCCAATGACGGCTGTTCCCGCTATCGCTCTGCTTGCTCGCGAGAAAGGGAGGCATCACAGCGCCCGCTTCGTCGTGTCGGCTGACTCAAGGCAAGGGCGCGTCAGCCAGCCAGCCAGCCAGCCAGCCAGCCAGACAGGCACTCAACCCACGGTGGCGTCTGCGTGTCGTGGCCGTGGCACGTTGCTACCTCGCTGGCTTCGTGCTGCTCCACGCGGGTGCGCCTGCATCATCGCCAATAATGCGCGGCGGACCGGTCCAGAGGCTCACGCCAGAAGAAGCACACCAGGCCGTCCGCAAGGGGAGTGGTCTGGGGTACCTGCATGCAGCCCGCGGCGCAGCGAAGCGAGGAGCCGTGAGCCCGCCTTCCGAGCTCTTTCTTACCGCAAAAGGGAATCGCTGGCCGGAGGCGATAACGCATTCGCCATAAGGCTAGCCCGAATCATGCACCCGGCCTGCGCCGTCCCACCGCCGCCTGCCGTGCTCCACAGACCCTTGCTCCAGGGTCCATCTCGAGCCGTCACTCCTTTGCCCTCTCCGTCGCGTCGACCGAGTGCTGAGTTTCCGTTCACACTTGACCTGCATCTGCTACCTAGCCACCGTAGAACTTCATTTCATATCAGTGCCTCGCCCCACCCCGTTGCCCGCGCAGCGTTCCAAGCCTTGGAAATTCAATGTCACGTTGTCAGTACAGTGCGACAGCGTCCACGTTCGCCCGTACAACCGGCTCACGGCATGTCAGCGCGTCAATTCGGAAGTGTCTGGCCGGTAGCACACCCTTTTAGTAAGCTAGACACGACCATGTTGCAACCGCATGGTTGTTTGTTCTCGTCACACTCCGCCAACTTGAATTGCCCGCTTTTTGTTGGAAGATTAAATTTTTTTTTTTCTTGAAGCTTGCCAACCCATTCCGCACTTACAACGTGTTCCAGAACAAGCTCTCTGAATTTCCATGAGGCTCGGCCCGCATGCTTCTGCTCATCCTTTTGAGAGAAGCAACACAGGGATTTGGGAGGACCACCACAGCATCCTCCGCTGCTGTTGCGGAACTGCCGTCCAGTGGAAAGGTAATGCGGACGCACGAAGCACGAATTGACCGTTATATGAGATTGCTCGTCCGACAGCGCAAGAAGAATTGGTTAGCGGTTCGTGGCGATATCTCCATCCTTCTTCCTATCACGTCGGCACCCCAGCATCTTCCAACGACGTAGATAATGAGAAGGCTCGTATCGCCGTAGGGCTGCAAGCCATGATCGACTGCGATCGAAAAGCGAGATTCCATCAATAAAGCTTCTTCGATAGAGTGATTCGGATCTACTCCCGCGTAGCGAATAGCGCGCGGTGATCACTGGTCCCCGCCGCCAAATTAGGCCCCAAAACCCCTTCAGCCCTGCCGCCTATCGCCATCCGACCAACCACCAACCCACGCATGACTGAGCGGAATTGCTGCAAATTCCCCTACGGACCTTCCGTCGAACGTAGCGATGAAATGAGCGAGCGGAGAGGAAAGGCAATCCCCTCCTCTCCCCCCGCCACCGTCGAACGTCGCGACGAGATTGCCCCTCCCGCCCCTCATCAAAGGTCGCGCGCCACGACAGCCAATCACCCGGCGAACCCATGAAACCCACCCCACCACGCATGCAGAATAAGATGGCATCAACCTCAATCACGGAACCTTCATTCCGCAAAAAGCAACAGGAAAAAGTAGGGATCAAATCAAAACTGCCGTTCTCGTCCACCGTCAAACGTCGCAGCAAGATGAAGCTTCATCAAACAGACGCAGCGGTTCTTTAGGCGCAACCAATTAAAGCAATGCATGGGCTCAAAAAGAATTTCATCACGGCTCTGCGTTCCTTTTTCACCGCGACGCAGATAGCTTGGCCGGAAACGACACAAGAGCCAGCAGGTGTCAGCCAGCAGCTTGCTTCATCGAACGTCGCGAACGAGATTAACGCCTTGATGAAATTTCGAACGTGCAGCCTCGCTGCCAACACCTCATTCCAACAGCTCCACCTCGAACAGCGTGCCAAAATTACCCACCCCCCGCTACCAGGCGACCACATCATTAGAAGTCAAAAGAAAAATGCACTACCACATCCTCGAAGTAGACAAGGCCAAAAGAACCCTTCTGGATGCTTAGCGAAAGAGAAGATGCAGGGAGTACACCGGGACATCGCATCCACACCAGAACATGACAGCACCAGATGAGAGGACAATTCATGTGCTATGATCAGAAAGCAAAAAGACAGATGGATATCTTGGGATAGAACAAAAAGCAAACAAACCCCACTCAAAAAAAAACAGACCACCCCCATTAAGCTGACGGAACGCCACCCCATTTTCCGCGTGCGGGTCCCTGTCCCTCATGTATGCCCCCCCCTCCGTGTCAAGGAACCCATCGCCATGCTCAAATCAATGCATAAAACACAAGTCGTGCGGCGACGACCATGACCAAAAAACAAAACAACCCCATACTCGCTGGAAAGACTCGCTGTGCAATGAAGAAATATCTATGTGCAAAAGGAAGCCAAGGTGACGAATGGTGCCATCCCCGTCGCTATGCAAAAGCAAAGAAACAACAGACATGCAAATCGGTCTTAAGCCGAGAGTGGAAGGGGGAAAAAAGAATCTTCGGTGGAAGCCAGCATGATACGCGACCAGCGTTGGGGGGAAAGCCCCGGTTAGCAACTCGAAGAATGATCTATAGCGCAAAGCAAAGGTTTGTGTCGTATACGCATGTTGCGTCATCGTTCCACAAGAGTTTGGGTTGTAGGCAGGCACCGCAGATATCCGGATGCCAAAGAGGTAAGTAGGATCGGGCTGAGTGCGGCGCTCCGTGAGGCAAGAAACAAGTCCATGCCACACAGGGTTCGGTCGTCGCCTCAGTACCGCAGCTTTCCGAGCAAGGAGAAGCAGTACGCGCACTCGCGCTCGGATTTCATCTGGAAGCTGTTAGCAATCACTGGCGTTCTGAGCCGCACGACACCAGCGGGATCGCCACTCACCTGGATCATATACACCCTCGCCTTCGTAGCCGCCACACCTCCAAGGGCTGGGATACCTCCCACTTCCCCGTTCATGCCCACTGTATCCTCCCAGACGCTGACCGCGATACCCGTGCGCGCGACTCTTTCGAAGCAACTCTCACTCAGGGTCACATCGAGCAGCGTTTCGCTCTTCGTTTTCCCAAGCACAACTATACGCTTCTCCGTCTCTGGGTTCCGATGGCCAGGGGATCCTTGGCCCTGTCTGACATATGGGTTCGCGTTCGGTGATGCTGGCGGCGAGGGGCGCATGATGGACAGTCTGGCTGCGCCCATATCGCGCCATTTCTGCTGAGACTCGCGCGCGTACAGTCTGATCTTGGTGTTCATGATGCCAAGCGGCATTCCCTGGGCATCAAGCATCGGATCATCTGGGTCCGGCGTGTGTGGCGAGGTGCCAGAGCTCGTCTCAACCTCGCCGGTCAGCGAGTCCGTGCTGCGGCTATGGCTGTCCTGGTTAGATGAGTACATGCTACCTTTGCCATTGAAGAGCTTGCCACCCGCACCGAAGCGCTTAAGTGCCGAGAAAGCGCTCCCGATAGTGTTGACGCTGCTGCCGGTGCCAGCGGACGTGCTGAGCGCACGAGTGGATTTGGCACGATAACTGTTCCTGCGACCAAGACTACCCCACCAGCTGCTGCCTCCAGCGGTGCTTCCTTCAGTGCGTTCAGCATTCCGGCGGTCCATAGCAGCGGCCCAAGTGTCCTCAGCATACGGTCCGCGAGCATTTTGAAGGGCTATGTAAGTCGGATTGTTGATACGGGCCTGGTTGATCATGTTGTATAGCGTCTCACACTCCTCGGAAGAGCGCGAACGGAACATGATATGAGCACTTGTACGGATCCTGGAATTGGGGGTCGGAGGAGAGCGGATGGAAATATCCAGGGCAGTTCCGCGCCTAAGAGGTACGAGAGGGGTGAGTTCAAGCGCGATGAGTGGCCGTCTGCCACTCTCCTCCTCGGTGACAGCATCCTGGGAATGCTCAGGCCCCATCTCGAAGGCTTCAATCAGGCCCGGGGTGATGACGATGCTACACTCATCGGGATGAAGAGTATCCCACATGCCATTGTCAGACCAAGCGAAAATGTCTGCCACAAGTTTGGCAGGCTTGGCAGAAGTGGGCGGGACAGTCCTGTATGGGCCCTGAGAGGCGGATTGAGAAGGGGTCAAAGTAGACGTCCCAGGGGCATATTCCGACTGTGGTGGCGAAGTTTCGGGGAACTGGTGGGTTTGGTTCATCGGAGGCAACTGCCCAAGCGGCGCGACATCGTCGGCCTCAAGGTCATCCTCGGAAGACTCGGAATAGGAGGAGCCGACATCATCAGAGAAGGACAATTCGCTGTCCCCAGAAGACTCGCTGCACGTGGAAGGCTGGTATTCATGCTTCAGCGGAGATGAAGTACGTCTGTGGTTCCGGAAGCCCGGAGCGGGTGGACTGAAGTTTGGCACTGGTGACACCTTCAATTGTGGCGTTGGACTGACAGAGCGGTGCGGTGGGGGAGGAGGCGGTACATCCTCTGTCTTTGGCAACGACTCCTCCTCGGCCATGGCCCTGGATTTCTTCTGCGTATGAATAGGAAGGGACTCCGCACGCATCTCGTCTCTCGTCAGGGCCTCCGGCTGGCTAGATCTGCGGACCTTTGGGATAGACGGGAGGTCGATCGAAGGAACAGACGATGTACGTCTCTGGGCCGCAGGCCGTTGTGAAGGTCTCCGCTGGGGTAACGGGGAATCGTCCTCGTCGGAATAATCGCTGTCACTGAGGTCTTCCGGTTCCGACCGAGGATACCACACCGTATAGTTGCTTTTTCCGCCTCTTTCCGTAGACTCACTGATGTATGAACTGCCGGTATACGAGCTCCCAGTCTGAGATGAGGCAGTGGTGGCGTACGAATGCTCAGAGTGCAACATTGGCCGTGACGTCTGCTCTTCTGGGCTCAACGGTGCTTGATCCGCGCTCGAATCCCTCGAGGCTCTCTGCGGCCGGGGATCACCCCGCGAATATCTCTTGGCCTTTGACCGCTTCAGCGTCGGAGTGGTCGGGCTCTCAGCCGCAGCCATCGCGTCGGTCCAGGTGCTCGATGAAATCTGCAGCGGCGGTAGACGCGTTTTGCGTGGTGTAAGGTCGCCGCCTTCCGCCCCAGGTGATACCGCGTCAGAGGCGCCGAGAGTGCCTTGTTCGCTGCTGAGCACGGAGCTGCCAGGTGTCTCCGGCGAAACAGGCCTTGACTTGTCCGGAGTTGCGTGGCTCCATCTCTTGGCTGACTCGCCTGCTCTTTCTCCCATTGGTATTTCAATCTCGCGGGGGCTGGGTGTCCTGCTCTTGATTGGTGGAGTAGACCCAGTGACAGCTGACAGCGAGGAAGATTCGTGGCTGCTTGTCGGACGTACAGCTGGCTTCTCGCGAAAGCTCAAGCCCCTTGAAACCTTGTGAGGGACGGGTATTAGTCCCAGCATCTGGACCCATTCAAAGCCTACATCTTCCTCATTGGTCCGTAGAGTAAGCAATTCACGCCATTCCTCGCCGCCAGAGCTGTTACCGCGAATCATGACGACGATCTCGCCCTTGAGATCGCCATTGCGGGCCGAAACGCGGGTGATTTGAATGGGTGGGAAGAAGAGCCAGCGGCCCGTGTTGTCAACTTCACAAAGGAGGAGATCTCCGCTGCTTCCGCGCCCAGGTGCGTCATCGCGGATAAGTAGCTCAACCCTGCAGTCAACCTCTTGTCCGCTTGAATGCAGCAGTGACATGTCGAAATAGTCTCTTGCGCGCACGCATCGAGTCGCATCGATGCTAACACCGGATAGGGGAGCCAGACTGCGCGGGTCCCTTGCTCTTGTAGGGTCTATGCTGCTAGCAGCCTCGTCCTCCAATCGGGCTCGTTCCTCGTTCGATCGCTTCCTGGCCTGGATAACCAGATCTTGATATCTGGCAGCAAGGTCATTCGCCCGGTCAGATGGTTTGAGGATGTTGATGCCCTTGAGAGTTTTGGCGAGGTACTTGAGGCGAACGAGTGGGCGTTTGAGAAGGAAAGCTACGTCGACTCTTTCACCATCGCCATCGACGACATATCCTTCGTCGTTGCACGGCATGCCCGCGTCGATGGTCGATTCTGCGTCATCGTCGTCTTTCTTCTCAGGCTTATCCTCATCGCTTGCAGGCGCAAGGTTCACGACTACGTCCTGGAAGCCCAACCTCCAAGACTTCACGTAATCGGTGTAAACTCTTGTTGCACTTTGTGCCCATGAGAGAAGAGCTTCCGGTTCCTCCTTCGGAATGCGTTTGTGCAGAGTCTTCAGCCTTTCCAATGCAACGCCCATCTCCACAATGGGTTTCGTGATCTTTGCGCTCTCCCCTCCAGTCCCGGTCTTGCTGAACAGCCCGGCTGTTACGGCAGACTCCGACTTTGACAGTACACAAGTCAAAAGGACTGGGATCACTCCATCGACGAGTGTGCGCAGCTCGCGCATGTACTTCAACTCGTCCGACTGCAACTCCCTCATCAAGTCGCTCATTGTTGCCGTGGCCAGCTTGCTCTTGTTGGTCCGAATGCTGCGTGCGGACACGATACTCCTGCTCTTCGAATTCTTACGCTCTGGCATCGAAAGGACAGACATAAGATCACCGTGAGTGGCAAGTCGCCGCTTTGTGCTATTCCTGCTTCGGGTGCTCATGCCAGTCATTCCAGTCATAATCGACATAGCGTCTGCAGGCTTTCCAGAATCGTCGGCCGGGTGGTCGTCCTTGATGGCATCATCGGGATGAATTGTATTGTCGGACCCTTGAGAAACCGTGCGTGAGGTCTTCCGCCTGGAATCGAGTGTATCCACCGAAGCAATTGTTGAAAGTTTCCTGCCGGTGGTTGGGAATCCGCGCTTCACAGAATTGCGGGGGCGGGGAGTCATGTCGGGGAATTCAGCACCCGATGGATCGACAGAGGATGTTGCAACGGATGAGACAGCTTCGTCCTCTGGAATGGTTGCCGGCAACTGGGAAGGACGGGCTTTCGATGACGACTCTGACTTGCGCCGCGCCGGCCTTCGCTTGAGGGATGACGTATTAGAAGCCGTCGTTGTAGATTCGTCATACTCGACCGTGACGACGTTCTGGTCGTCTTGCGAAGGAGGAAGCGACGGTTTCCTCTGCCTGTCGTCCGACAAGACCGACTCGTCTTGGCTGTCGTGGTTTCTACGCGACCTTCTCCTCCTGTTGCTTCCGTGACGTGAAGACGGCGACTCGTGAGGCCTTCCAGAGTCCTTTTCGTCATGTGTATTCTCAGTGACCACAGTCGAGGACAACACTGTCGAGCCTTCCGTGCTTGAAGACGAACGCCGCGAAGTCCTTCTCTTCTCTTTATTCTTCTCATCCTTGCCCTCAACGAAAGGATCCGGCGTGCCCGAGAGCCATGCTTCTACTCGGCTCCCGAACACCTTCTCGCTAGGCGTGTCTGGGTTGTCGGTCGGAGTCGGCGTGCCGGGTTGAGGCGTGACGGGTGCGGATTGAGTGGCGGTCGGCTTGTCAGCGGGCCCAGGGGAAAGAGTCCTGTGAGACTTCCGTCGGCTTGTCCTCCTCTCCACGGCTCGGTCCCCGTCGGGGGTCAAGCTTGAGACGTCGTCTCTGGATTCGGTGGGCCGCCTCCTCATCCTTCGCCTCCTCCGGAGCTCGTCTTCTGAACGAGCACCGGGTGCTGATGCTGCACCTGGGCTCCGGTCTCGCTTTCTCTCGTCGTCGCCGTAGACGCTTTTTGTCTTGCGGACAGACCTTCTCTTTGCAGGCACATCCTCCAAGACATCTCCGCGAGCCAACGCCTCGTGCCTTCTGATGGCTTCTTTCACGCGATTGCTGCTTGAAGGCGGCTCGTACGAGAGTACTCGGGGAATAAAGCTGTCCACCCGTCCGCGCTCTGCTCGAAGTGCTGGAGGTTGCTCCGGCGGCTCATCTTCGTCACTACTCTTCGACACAGTTGACTTGCGCCGCCTCCGCACGGCGGCAACTCTGGTTCCGTCCGGCGCAAAAACAGGTTTGGGAAGGATCGGGATCTTGGGTGGGCTCTTCTTTGGCTCCTCCTTCTTAGGTTCAGGCACCTCCTTCTTAGGTTCCACCGCCTTCTTCTTAGGTTCCTCCTCCTTCTTTTTAGGCTCCTCTTTCTTCTCCTCCGGCTTCGGCACCTGTATTTTCTTGACGGCAGGACGCACCCAGCCGGTAGGCCTGTTTTCCTTTGGCGGAGACCGACTTTTGCGCCAATGGCTGTCGCTGATGACCCGCTTCTTCGGCGTCACGGCAGCCTGCATCTCCTGATCAAGCTCATTGCCCTTCATGATCTTGATCGGCGAGGGTGTCTTGGATGGAGGCCTTGCTGGGGCCTTCATAACCGGTGGATCCTTCTCTTTCGCATCGACGTCAGCCGCGTCAGCAGCAGCAGCTGGAACCGGTTCGGCAGCCTCTTCCGCTTCTTTAAGTCCCTCGTCCTTATCCGCTTCACTGGGCGCTGCCGTTTCCTTGGGCGTTGCCGCTTCCTTTGGTGTTGCCGCTTCCTTTGGTGTTGCCGCTTCCTTTGGCGTTGCCGCTTCCTTTGGCGTTGCCGCTTCCTTTGGCGTTACCGCTTCCTTCGGCGTTGTCGCTCGCTTCGGCGTTGCCGCTTTTTTGGGTGTTGCCTTTTTTCTGGGCGCTGCCGCCGTTTCCTTGGGTGTAGCTGGAGAGGGTTTGGCAGGCTCGGGCACGTCAGGCTCGGCGATGGTGATGGAGCCGCCGCCCGCGGCTTGCCATTTCTCGATTTTTGCTTTTATCTTCGCATTGTCGATGGGACCGGGGCCCTTGCCTAAGACGAAGGGCGACTTGGCTGGCTTCTTGTCGGCGGGCGCGGGTTTGCTCTTCGGAGTCGCCGGCGTGGTCATGGGTGTCTGTCGGGCAGCGCGCACATCGAGGGGCTGGGCTTTAGCTTTCGAAAACCCACACAGAAATGAAAACGGCGTGGGAGGGAGGGCAGTTCGGAGGGAGGCGGGGCGGGTTTTGCGGCTTGTGACCGGCGGAGATGGTGTGCAGCTGCTGACAGGGAGGGCCAGAAAGGCTGGCTGGAGCTGGCGGTGGGCATTCCTTACCTTGCAGCAAGCCTCATGGGCCTGGACACCACGTCAGATGGATGTCTCGAGAACAGGGCAGGCCGCGCGCGGCAATACGCCCATAGACGAACGGGAGGCAAGCGGGAGGTGGCTGCAGTCGCAGCGCCCGTCGGCGTGCTAGCTCGAATGGCGGGCTGTTGGTTGCGCGGGCGTGCTGCAGGCAAGTTTGCGTGGGTGCAAAGTGTGGGACTGGGGATTGGAGGGTGCGCTGCAGGTCTGCGCGAATCGATGGGCGCGCCCGAGCTCCCTGGAGAGGTGCTGAAACGGGGCGTGCAGGCGTCGGTTCCCGGTCGGGGCTTGCTGGTGGCTGTGGGCAGGTTGTTGTCGACGCTGGGCCCGTTCCGCGTTATGTTTACTGCCTGGCTGCCGCGTTGTTTGCGCCCGATAGCTCTGGCCAGCGGCCCATGCATGCTTGTGAAGATCTGTCTCGCGCGACTTGCCTTGGCCGTGCGCCGCCTACCCAGCGCCCAACGCCTCACCGCCGCCTGCTTCGAACGCCTTCTCTGCTTCTGCGAGAAGGGGGGGTAAGCTGTCCACGCGCCAGCAGCCACGTGCAGCCTCCACGTTCCTCAGCCCGTCCATAGCCTCTGCTTTGGGCGCTGAGGACTCGGCGGCTGATCAGCAGCAGCTATCGACGGATCTGCTCGTACCGAGACCGTCATGCACGGGCGCAGGACTGCTCTATCCCTCCCGGCCCGGTGGTCAGAACGCTCGCAATGACATCCGCTACCTGTTTTTTAACGACAGGTTGCCGGCCTCATCCGCCAGACCCAGTCCGACCTGGGGCCTGGCGTCTTGGTATTTCTTGCATCCTCAGGGGTGGACCAATTGACTTCGTTGCCGTCATTCCACTGCTGCGTCATTGTGCTACAAAAAGCGGGTGCGACGCATCATTTGGAGGGGCTGCGCCATCTTCTCCAATGCCATTAAAGATATAAGTTCCTTTTCTAATGATAATAAAGAACGTATTGCTCTTAAACGTCCAACTATAGCTCCACCCCTACAGATCCTTCCTCTTCCTCGGACTGACAGGCGACGAGTTGAGGCATTTCTCTACCCGCGCGACCGCCTTGAAAGCTCTGCCGGAAGCCCTGAGGCTGTTCACGATCAAGACTGGTTGTATGTCAACACGCATGTTCAGAGCGTGTCCAAAGAGGTGCCGGGTACTCACTGGTCGGGATGACAATCCAAAACGCGTTCATGAACACAAAGTAGAACCAAAAGTAGTATGACTCTGGCCGGGAGTAGTTCAAGTCCGTCAAGTAATGGTCGAACATGGCAGTCGCGTAGTACAGGACATCGCCGTACAACTGGCCGAGGGACACAATCGCCTGGAGAGGGTATCGAAGCGGGTGGTCGGTGGTAATCATGTGCGCGACCACAAAAGAAAGCGGTCCCCAGCACACCTGCAATCCGAGCTTCAGTGAATTTGATCCTCCAGAGTGCGTCCAAGGCTGACTTACAGCAGTGATGGTCTCCATGCACAGCACGAACGGATCCATCGTCAGATAACGAGAGTCTGAAAGCGCATATTCCTTCCACAGCTGTCCGAACAGGTGTTGCGAGCCGCCCATTCTCCTGAAGTTATACACAAAGAAGCCTGGTTTGCATTCGTTAGGTTGTGCTCGACTCAAGGAATCACGGCGGGTGTCTTGCCTTCGAAGAAGAAGTGTATGCAGCCGCCTGTTACAAACATTAGCAGCGCCCGAGCACACGTTCGCGTGGAGGGACACCGACTCAGTACAAACCACAGTATCTGCAAGATCTCGGAGCCGCGCAGTGTCGGCCTGATCTTCTTCGCGACCAGGAATGTGACCATGAAGACAATCGCGCACCCGGCCGCAAAGGACGCGAGCAGCTGCACCATCGTGTACTCGTTGGCCAAGTATCCGGCAATCTCGACCTCGAGGGGATAGTAAGGGTGCAGCGGGTCGGGGGGTTTCGTCGCGTTGAGCTGGACAGGCACCTCGGCGGCGGGCTCGAACGCTGCCGCCGCTGCCGTTGCTGATTCGGCCATGGCCGAGGCGGCGGATGCGACGAGGCCAGCGGGCTCCATGGAGGGAGGGCGATTAGGAGGCGAGGCAGAGTAGCAGTCGGCGGCGAGCGGGAGGAGGCCGTTGCAGCCAAACAAGGCCGGGAGCTTGGCTGTGATGAGGTCGTTAATCGTAGCTCGGGCCATGATTCGTTACGGATAGTATCGTTAATTTCTGCTTCGTTGCTCGTTAGGCGCGTCGGTTCACTCCTCTTCGGATGTATTGTCTCGCTGGATGAAGTATAGTGTTGCCGTCATCGAGGCGAGGAGCACCGGAGGCCGATCGCTCGCTCGCCGAGGGAATCCGTGCGGGCGCGGCGCGCGCCTGCTCGCTCCAGCATCCATAGGTTGGAGGCGCCCATTGTTCCACGAGAAGAAACAGCGATTGTGATGTCGTCGGAAGCGCGACGACGCGCTACCTGATGCCTTGCAGCTGGGCGCCCATCCATGCCCGCTTCCCGGTCCTCAGCTGCGCCGTCATCGCCGGATGCGGCCATGCTCCGCCTTTGCCCGCTGTGGATCAGAGACGCGCCCGCCGTGGGGGGCACGTGGGTGGCTTGGTTCAGCCCTCTTTTCAGCCCGCAACGTACGATTCGACCGCCGCCGGCTACGCGTTCGATTCGTGCTCCTCATGCATACGTTGGTCGTCCCTGCACCGTTGCGGATGTTCTCGGATGGTGGACGGAAGGTTCAAGACTTCGACGTCGCCGTGCCAGGATCGCGCGCCGCTAGGTACTAGGTACTAGGTAGTCAGTCGGAGACGGAACCAAATTGCTCCTGAACAAGCGTGCGTCACCGGTAGTAGTGCTGTGGTCTTTCTAAATAGGGCTGCCCACCCTCCCGCGCCTTTCCGATGACCATGCACACTCATCCCGTGTGACTGAGCACAGGAAGGGCAAGGCTAATGCTTCTAGTGCTCGCCAGCACGCGTAACGGCGAATCTTGAGCACCATGAAAAGCAAACAACTGGCTGGAAAGGTGGCTTAGGTATTCTATTGTCTCTCTACGAAATCAAAAGACCCGCCGATGCAAAGATATTCAAGCGCATGAGCAAAACTATCTATCCCCATCTGAACTCCTCTGCCAAATCAAACCTGCCCAAGCTTTTACACGAGCAGGTGCTTCTGCAACATGCTTACTGATTTTCCGCGCCCTGTAGCACCATTGCCCTTGGCAGCTTCCTTCGGTCGAGGTGGAGGTCCTGATGACTGACGCCATTTGATCTGATTCTGGGGCTACTCCCATTACGAGAATGCCCGTTGACTTCCTTGTGGACGGGGCTCCTTGGGGGGGTCGGTATCTTCGTCTTTGCAGCCGACGCCGCACAGCCGTTCTCCCTGGCGAACTCGTTCTTCGCATCCAAGATCCTACCACCGGCGTAGGCACACGCGCCGAAAGCATGGCGAACTAACGAATCACCCGTCAGACTGCCGATGATGAAGACTGAGGGCGCAATCTCCAAATCCTCTTCGGCCTTTTCACGAAGAGTCCGGCCAGAAATCAGGCCCTGCAAGGGCCCGTCCTCCTCTTTGCATTGACCGGTGGCGGGACCAATGACCTCTGATTGGAGCGGCTCCTCAAGATACTGAAGAGACCCGCGCCTTCCCACCACGTACTCAAATCCACCAACGACACGTTCAACCAGGTCGCCAGACTCCAGACGTATCGAAACCTTGGCGAGGTCGTCAATCAAGGTGACATCCACGACTGTGGCGTTGGCCAGGCCTTCGTATACATCTGCCCAGTCGCGATTGGAGAAGAAAGGGTTGTTTTTCCTCCTCCTCAGCGGGGAGGCAGCTGATTTGGACTTCGAAGATGGGAGTGCGGCAAGTTTCATCTGTCGATAGATACCGGCATATTCAGGATAGGCTTGGTGATGGCAGCCCCGTAGGGGAGATGGCCTATCCTCCGGTGACCAGTTGAACATGTGAATGACCTTCCGGTGCGGCGGCGTCGAAATGATGACATCGGCAGCGGAGAATCCTGAGCCAACCACCAGAACAGGCTCCGTCGCATTGCGTAGGCTATGCAGAGGAGATAGAAGCGGCGGCGATGGTATATTGACTGAAAATAGCCCAGATCCGAGAACGAGGTGCTTGCATCGAATGCCATGAGAAGCGATGTAGAAGCCGTCGGTCGTCCTTGAGACACCGGACACTTGAGCATTGTTCAGAATCGACTTCGCGATGCCGACAGCATGCGGGTACGCCTTGTAGTACGCAGCTACCTGCGTCCGAGTAGGGCGCAGAAAATGCGGCAACGGTTCGCCATTCGCAGCCTTCCAATGGTCGGCAAAGGAGTAGCCGGGCAATGAGAGCATCTCAGCATAACTCAATGTGCCGATATCACTGGTCGCTGAGACTGGGTTGTCGGTCCACTGGCCTCCGGCATCGGGGGTGTTGCCCAAAGCGAGATGTGAAATGGCTTGGTCCGGCTCATAGCGCCAATCGACGCAGGATTCCGGATCGATCTCAGTATCGGCATTTGGGCGGATCAGAGTGTCGAGCAGGGTGTTGATGGGTAAGGCCTGGGTCGAGTAGCGCAGCGAGGACTGGAAATGGGCGTAGAGGTCTGGCGTCAGGTCGAGGAGGTTGCGACGGGATTCGAGCTTCGCGCGAAGCAAGGGATCGTGGTGCGGACGGGCATAGTACGGAATGTGGCCGTGGAGGATATAAGACAGGACCAACGCCGAGGGGCCATTGCCTGTCATTCGCAAGAAAGCAAGTCCATTGCGTCAGCCAACAGGCGTGGGTTGGAGGCCGCAGTACCACAAAGGCGACCCGGTGGGCGGGCGCGGGCCGGCACTTACCCACAATCACCGTGTCAACGTCCCGGAGCGCGGTGCTCGCCATGTCGCGCATTTCTGCAAAGCCTGGGGCGCCATGGAACGGGGAGTCGCGCGTGTTGGCCGGGCCATGGTGGTGGTCTTGTAGATTTGTCAGGCGGTTAGAATGCAAAGCGGCCGCCCGCGTGAAGGTGGCCAGCCTTTCCTCTACGAGTGGGGGCGCCGGCTTTACCGTCATGGCTTGCCCGCATCCCGGGCGGATTAGGTTGCCAATTGCAGCGCGCCCACGCCCGCATCTTCCGCCGTTTCTTTGAATGCTGAGAATTTTTCCTTTTTCCGCCCTTGGCTCCCATGCCTATTGGCTGGCCCCGCATGCTTGCCCGCTTGCTTCCGGAAGTGCACCAACGACGTCCTGAACAAAGGCACGCCGGCCTGAGTCTTTCCTCCCATGAATCGCCCGATTCGCTCCGGCGTAACTACGACGAGACCCGCCGACCGTGCTTTGTCATCGGTGACCGAGGTCCTATTGCTCGCGTGTTCCTCCTGGCAGGGAATGTCCGTCCTGATGATTACAGTAATCGTTGCTAGGGTCGGATGACCTCACGCTCATGCTCACTCCTACGATTCGGGTAGCTGTTCATCATGGCCCCTGACTCGATGGCTCACGGATAGTTTCCTGTCACAAGTCGTGTTCCTGGCGATGTTTCTCGTGATCATTTGTTCTGCAACCGCTAGACATGTCCTCTCTCTCGGGAACCATTGCTTTCTTGAGACTACGGGCGTCCTCCTGAATGAGGACAAGTTGTTCTTGGCCTGAAACATACACGCTGTGCATCTACCGATTGTTGCGGACGGGGCTTCGACGTGCGGTTTACAACCGCATCTGATTGATCATGGTATCTTGCTCAGAACTCCTTGATGACATCTCCTCTACGCTTGCCACGAAGCTCGTACTTGCCCTGCATCATAGCGTCAGCCTTGTGTCCACGTTGTAGCCCGACGACAGCCTGTTCTTCAATGCACTTGGAGTTCAAAGTCCTGCCCCACACATGCTCGTCGTCTTGTGCTCCGCCTGCACTCGTTGGAACCGACTCGTCTCCTCCGGCCGAATGCGTTCCTCCACAGGGAATAGCCATGGCATATGCACTCACATCGGTCTTGTAGGCAAGGAGTCCGACGACGCTCGGCACAGCGACTGCGACCCAGATGGAAATCCAAGCAGTCCGGGGAGTCCAACGGAAGTACTTGTAGCGGTTGGGGCCGACGTCTGTAGGATCGTCAATGCAAGCTGCAGCGAAGGACGGACGAGCGCGCGCTCAGGCGGCAGGGCCGCAGGAAGGTGTCGTACTGCCGTACTTGACCAGCGCCGGGTCTTCGTGGAGAACTGCGGAAACACGCAATGTCAGCTCAATGCGGTCGGGAGAGCCAGGACGGCGCAGCGCATGCGCCGAGTGAGAGCATACCGTGGTGGTCGCCTGCCATGGTGGGTGATGTTACCAGCAGCAAGCTCGGGGTGTTGCGGTCGTGCTCCTGCTGTAATGACGCCCCAGCGATTGGCCGTGTGGCTGCGATGCTTGGCACGGTCACGTGCAGCCCGATTCCGCACTTGCAATGGACGGATCCACGCATCGGTCCATCTCATGTTCTCCACACCACTCATCAGCTCCTCCGGCATCCGATCTTGCGGCCGGCATACCCAGTTCGTCTCCCTAGGCTCAAAAGGAAAGAGCTGCATGTGATGCTTCAAAGGAGTATCCTTATCTGCAATAGGGCCTCTGTGCCTAGGTACTTTACTGCTAGCGCCGGCAATCGTATATCCGCTGGTCTTCATCTTAAATTTCAATCGCATCCCGGTTTGAGCCCGGTTTCTCGTCGTGTGCTCTCCACTTCTGTGAGCAACCGTATTTCAACCTCCAACCACGTCAACATGGCCACCGATCAGCAGAACGCAAAGATTACACTCTACTGGTCAGTACAGCCATCCGCTTTGCAGTGTCCAGCATCTCCTTCAGCAGCGCCACGTCTGCGGCAGGGTTTCCTTGTCCTTCGATTAACACGTTGAAGGCTTGACAAGTCCCGCTCCCATCGTGTGCTCTGGCTGCTCGAAGAGCTGAAACTCGACTATGAACTCAAGGTCTTCAAGCGGACGAAGGACAAGCTCGCGCCGCCCGAGTTGAAGGAGGTGCATCCTCTCGGCAAGTCTCCAGTGGTGGGCATTCAGGCTCCTGGCGCCGACAAACCGATCATGCTTGCCGAGTCGGGCGCCATCACCGAGTACCTCACCGAGTACTTTGGCAAATGGCTGATCCCAACGCGCTATGTCGAAGGCAAAGAGGGCCAGATTGGCGGTGAAACCGAGGCCTGGATTCGGTACCGCTTCCTGATGCACTATGCCGAGGGCAGCATCATGCCACTGATGGTGTTTTCGCTGCTCATCTACAGTACGGCCCCTCTCTAGGCTGCGGATCACGCTGCTGACTATTCGTAGTGATCAAGACGGCGCCTGTTCCCTTTTTCATCAGGCCAATCTCTAATGCCATCGCGGGGAAGGTCGAAGGCGGCTTTCTGAAGCCAAACTTTAAGACGCACCTTACTTTCTTGGAGGAACAGCTTGCCACCTCCGGAGGGGATTACCTCTGTGGCAAAGAAATCACTGCTGCTGACATCCTCATGAGCTATCCATTGGAGGCGGCAACGCTTCGCGCGGGTCTGACCAAGGACAAGTATCCCAAGCTCGCGGCCTATCTGGACCTTCTGCATGAGAGGGAAGCGTTCAAGAAGGCGAATGCGAAGATCAAGGAAGTAACGGGGCAAGAGTACGACCCAAACATCTTCAATGCGTAAGGGTGGACGGAGGGTGTAAAGGAACACGGCTTGGGGAAAGCAACGGCTTGGTTGCAGGGAATAGCTTAGACGCAATGAATGTGGAATCAAAAGTAGTGTCCAGTTGCAGATCTGGGGTGAATTTGCGCATTCGTGCATCCGTGTCGAGAGGGATTAGTGAGCCATTTCGAGGCTTCTTTCGGAGCGGCTGGTGGCAACAGTCGTGGCAGCACGGCGTCACCGGCGGGCTGGTGTGTAATCGGGTGGGCGGCTCAGGCGGCGGTGCCTGGCAGAGGCTCATCGAAGATCTTGGATGGTGTTGCGATAAAGTTAGTGCAGCGCAACCCCGTTGCCGTCCGAACCGCCTATGAGCGGGAAGGCCGTCGCCCGACGGCGGAGGCGGCGGGTGCCCGAAACCGCGAAGGGCGGCGGCCGAGAGCAGCGCTCGGGGCGAGGATGACGGGCACTTGCAGCAACAGAGGCTCAGTCACGCCGTGCCTGGGCAGCGTCATGGACGACGGACAGCCAGCTCGCCCTTTCAGAGCGCGTGGAATCGACCAGAGCAATGCGGCAGGAAGCGAGTGACCTGGGCTTAACAACGAGGGCGTTGCTTACGTGCGTCATTCGAGGGCCGTCGCCCAACGAACCAGAGCCAGGCGTGCTGCGACGGCGTCGCTCCATGCCGCAGCGTCCGCCGGCCGAATTGCTGACATGGCGGCCGCAGAGTCAGCTGCGGCTCCTGTTCGAGACGGGTGCGGCACAGTCTACTACATGCTGGGCAGGTCTTCACCCCGAACTGGGGAGAATGCGCGCGGAGCTTAGACGCGCCGCCGTCGCCACTGGCACCGAGCGCATCGTGAGACGGTCGAGGATATATAGGACGGCGGGCGGGCTGCATGTGCGCAGCGCTACCTGTGTGCTGTTGTTTCGCGCCCTAATACTCAACAAGATCAGCCGAATTCCTGGACTACCAAGGGTACCGCCGGTGAGGGGCCCCAGACAGGACCCCCGTCAGCAGTGCCGCGCGCGCCTGGGCATAAACTCGAGTCCGTCTGGCGTGCGAGGACGAGGAGAGAGCGGTGGTGAACGGCGGTGCTCGGCAACGACATTGAAGCTTAAGCGACGCGGCGGGCGGCATGTCGGGCTTCCCTCACTGCGCCCTCAGCGCCGACCAAGACCCTGCAAACCCACCGCGACGCAATGCCCCGCGCCATGTCCAGTCGTCTAGCCAGATAGCAACACCCACGAGCTCTTCGGGCCTTGCCACCCCGCGCAGCAGCAGCCAGGCCCAGTTGCAGGCCCAGTTGCAGGCCCAGCTGCGCGCCCCCGTGCCCGCCCAGCCTGCGCGCCCCCAGCCCCCACGCTCGGCCACCACCTCTGAGTTCTGGGACTGGGAAAACGCAATCGACTTCACCGACGTCGCCGAGTTCTACGAGCCTCAGGGCGAGCTCACCACCGCCCGGTACCAGCCTCCCGCCCAGGATTTCAGCTTCCCCCACGCCGTTGCCGCCTCCGACCTCAGCGCCGGTGCAAGCAGCCCGAGGCTTACGTCCTCCGCCGGCTCTCCCTTCCTGGATGCCCAGCCTGCGAGCAATCCCTTCTCCGCCTTTCCTTCCGCCCTGCTTTCCCAGCCGGCCATGAAGAGAAAGGACCGTTCCGAGTCGGCCTCTGTTGGCTCCGCCGCCGCCGTGCCGTTCGGCATTGAAGCCCTCCAGGAGCCAGCCGCCAAGCGTACTGCAACGTCGCGCTCTTCCTCTGTGGCAGACGAAAGCCCTACGCTGACGCAGGGCGCCACCTTTACGAACGCCCCAGTGGGGTCCCCAGAAGGGCATGGTAATGCCGCCAGAGTGACTCCCATGACCGCCGCCGCTCATTCGGGAAGCCAATCCGCGCCGGCTGGCTCCGCAAGTACCCCCAGTGCAGCCCAGCCAGTAGCCACGCGGCCACGCAAGATTCCTGAGCTCTCGAGCAATTATTCGGCCATCTTACCTGCCGGCAAAGTCTTCCCCATCCAAATAGGAAATGAACTATTCCGGCTCTCCGGCGCCTCCATCTCTTCAGATGGTAAGTTAGACACCAATCCTCAACCTCAGGGTCGAACTGTTACTAAGGCTGCCAGAGCACCCTCGTATTTCTCGCATTTCTTTGCCGAGCAGCTGTACAACAACCCCAGCGGAAAGGCCGGTGACGTGAAAACGTTATACATCGACCGCGATCCAACCACTTTCAAGGACATCTCCCTTCATCTTCAGGGCTACTACGTCAGGCCCCGCGATGGAGAGCATTTCGTCCGCCTGTTTGCTGATGCCCAGTTTTACAGCTGTAAGTCGAGTGCTTTGGCATTCGGGGGAAGAAATGCTGATTTTGCACAGTGCCTCGTCTGACCCAACAGCTTTTCAAATCGGAAATTTTCATTCAGATCGGCGGTCGTGACTTTCAGATTCCCCGAGATCTCTTTTCTAGCCCTGGAGACTCACCGAATTTCTTTTCTCTGGGTTTCGCGCATTTCTTCACAACTCCTCAAGAAGTTTTCCCGGGACTGGATCGTCAGACCCTGCTTCGACCACCATCGATCCTACCGCCATCTGTACCGAACCGATCTGCACAAACATTCGAGGATCTCTTGCGCTTGCTTCAAGGCTATCCTCTACACATCCGGAACGAAGGCCATCGGGCTGATCTGATCCGGGACGCACGATACTTCCATTTCAAAGGCCTCGAACAACGTCTTCTCCCCTGCGAAATCATGTACAACCTCGCGCGCGAAAGGTCAGAAATAGTCATGCGCCTAGAGGACATCCGCCAGTCAGGCGTTTCGTTCTCGCCCGAAGTGGAATCGTTCTCGGGCGCAGACTCTACTTCAAGCGCTGCTGCAACTCCAGCCCCAGGACCACCGCCGAGCGTGGGCGGGAGTACTCGCGCTGGGTGGGTCACCTATGCACGACCATATGCAGATGAATCCGCGTACGAGCTTATATTGGAGCTCTCAGGCGAATCGGCGCGAATCGACGTGCAGTCAATGCGTGCCACGTTCTACGGCGACACAAAGGCTCGCATCTCCAGTCTTTTCCAAGTCATCGCCAGCAAAATGGGCCTACCGGCGACTCAACCACTGGGTCTTATGATGCTGCAAACAGGCGGCGGCGTGGCTGCTCAACCTGCGAGCCCAGCAAACTCCGGAGTAAGTGGTGATAGAGTCAAGATCGCCATCGGCTCCGACTGTTCGATCGACCTGGATGGAGTGCGAGTGCTGGCTGAGAAGCGAGACCGTGAGACTGGCCAGACTTTTGATCCGCAGTCGAGCTTGCTCCTGCGTCTGAGAACGCCCGAGGCCGACGACGAAATACCCCTGGACTGGGTGATCTCGAAAAGCCATTGGAGACTGCGAGTTCAGCCTCGGCGATTCGACGGTGAATCTCGGGTTGAAGTCATCATGCATGCCGTCAAGCTTGACGCATATGCAGGAGAGGCGGCAAGGAACGCACGGAGAGGGTTTCTCGTATAAAGGATGCCTGCTTACGAGTTTGTTAGAGTTTCAACGCGTATAGTACCATTCTGTGCTATATCATCATGTACATTACGTTTTCCCTTCGAATTTGTCCTTCTCTCACAACGGGTGCGGCAGCATTGACCGAAGTTGTGTACGATTTCTCAGGATGGAGGTTCAGGAATAGCGTCATTGGGAGGTCGTTGTCTTTTGTTCGAAGCATTCTTCTGGTTTGGTGTTGGCAAGATATCCTTCTCTTTCTGAAGAATGTCGATATTCCCTCTCATGCTTTCCCAAGTCTCGCTTGAGACGAATACCCGTTGTATCTACTGAATGTAGTTAGAACTGCACTGTCAGTGGTGTCCATATGGCCTTTCAGTCACACAGCAGCCCGAACTATGAGTGAACGTTACTTCATAAACTGTCGTAACTACAGGCCGACACAAACTTGCCCTACTTGTCGACACCGCTGAACTAAAGGCTGTTAAAAAAATATTTACATCTTTTTCTGAAGGTCAACAAGAATTACCCTTGGTTTTGCTGGAATCATACGCAACCACGCAATCCACTCCTTTCTATACAAGGTCAGGTTTAGTGGCCTGAACTTCGTCGCCAAAGTGGTCTTTACTCTCTCCCAACCCCGAGCGTGGAAAGCGGCGGATGTTTGTCTCCTCTCCTGCTAGGTGGGAATCGTGGACCAGCCACTGACCTTTCCTATTTATCTCCCTTCCCTCACCCCCTCTCCGAATTAATTAAATAGCTTACAGGTTTCGGATCATGCGACGTTTCTTCGTCAACGAGGAATGGACCAGGGGAATCTCTTTTCTTTTCTCGTAATCGGCCGTCGCTGCTCTGGCAGGCGGGTGTGCTTGTGGAGCGGATGGACGCTCAGACTGGATCATTTGATCCGAGAGTGGTGAGGCGGGCGTGAAGCAATCTCGAGAGCGCACACGCACTTCTTTCCTCAGACACCACGTCTCCTCTGACAAGGAGGAAAGGTGCTGGGGGCGGGGAGTACCAGGGAGTCGGTATGGTAAGCCCGAAGCGAACCTCTTCTTCAGGAGAGCGAAGGGGTTGTGTGAAAAGACATCTTCCTTTTTTTGCTCTTTTCTTACACTTCCATCTTGTGTCCCGGCGCCAACTCGAACTCGGATCCGCCGACGGTATTAGGTGTTTGGGGAACGGAGTCGGCCTGCGAGTGGGGAGGAGCGTTGGGGTCGATGTAGGTGTTTTGCGGGGCAGCGACGCCGCCCTCGGCGTTGCGGCTGCGGTGGGAATCGGTGGGTGTTTCGCCGCTCCAGTTGAAGTTGTACATGGCCGAGTTGCGCTTCATGCTGGCAAAGAAGGGGTTGGTCCAGCGACGGCGGGCGTAAAGCTTGCTGTTGCGGTTGGCCGAGCGCAGCGGCTTGATGAAGGAGGAGAAGAGGCGCGATAGGCTGCCTTTGAGGGCTGGGATCGAGGCACAAATCAGGCCCAGCGACGATTCGACGATGGTCAGAGCGAAGGGCCAGCGTGCGTTCCAGGTCGTGTCGTAGGTCTTGAAGAAGATGCGGTGAAGTTCGATGGTTCGCAGGATGCCGCAGACGCCAGTGCTGTTTATTGCCGCGGTTAAGACCATGTGTGTAGATGCAAGCGCGGCGAGAACTTACATCAATCCCAAGCTAAAGACGAAGCCGAGAGCCATTTTGGCGCGCTTGGAGATGCGGAGGTCCCAGAAGATGGCCATGGGCAGGATGCAGGCAATGAAGTCTTGGGCGGCGCTGATTGCACCGTTGGCGACATTGCCGGCGCCTTCGTTGACGCAAGTGTACTCGTGCTTCATTGCCCACATCGGATTGACCTTGTTCCAGTAGGCATTCACCGGGTGGCACTCCAAAGGAATTGTTATGATGAAGCAGACGGCGTAGGCAACGATGAAGGTCATGTTGGCCCAGATGGTCCATTTGAACCACTGGCGGATCTTTCCTAGCCGGCGGTAGAAGAGCAGGATGGAGAGCTTGGTCAAGGTGGTGCTGGTTATGTAAAGCAACGATATGCCAAGCGTGACCTTCCTGCTGATCGGACCCATCTGTGGCGTGATGTCCCAGGCATGGCGGTCGAAGCCGTAGAGCTGCTCGGCTACAGATGGATGGGTTAGCAGGGGGCATCGAGGCGACGCGGCGGTACTGGTTCTTACCAAGGCAGGTAGCGACACAAAGGGCAATTTGTGGAATCTTCAATGGCGAGTCAGCGATCGGGGTCGAGCAAGGGGGCTGCTGGACAGCATACCAAGGCCACGGCAATGAGAGCATCGTCCAAACCGGCATTACGCCTGATGATGAAGCGATCGTAGAATCGGGAGCCGACAATGCCCAGCGAGAGGACGGTGAAGACGACACTGATGATGGTCAGGGTGGGCGGGGCGCGGATGCCGTGGGGATAGGCGTCGGTCTGCCATTGGAGCACCAGCTCCAGTGGAGGCACCACGCCACCAGGCATGGCAACGGCCGAGGGATGGTGTCGTGGGAGCTTGAGTCGCGGGAGGCGTCGGGATATATTGGGCGGGGTAGGATCCGGGTAGGTGGCTCAGGACGGGCAGGCTCCGGGGTGGCTTTTAGTATTGCAGTCTGCAGGGCGTGCAATGCATGAAGAAGGGTCCCTGGCAGAGATAGGTGCAGGGAAGAGCAGGGCCTGGGCGACGGCGGGCACGTGTAGGATCTTCGGCTGATCCACTCCACGTGCAAGTGAAGCTGGTGGGCAGCCGTCCAAGCTTTATCGAAACTAGCCGGCTGGACATGTACGGTCGGAAATAAGGCGCAGGTGGTCCGGAGACGCTCTCATGATGGCGACTTCACGTCGATGGGCAGCCCCGCCGCGGACGCCGGCCCAAGGAGGAGAGCACAGCGACGCTGGCGGCGGGCGTCCTCGCCGCACCAGTGGCCGGATGGCATTGGGACACGGCGCGTGACGAGCGGACGAAGGGCGGCGGTGGGGCGTATAGTTTGCTTGGTGCTGCAGCTGTGTCTGAATGGCTCGCCATGGGCGACGTGATGGCCGCCGGTGTGTGAAGCCTGAAGGTCGAAACCAGGCTAGAGCAGCGCGTCCCTATTTCGCATTAGGCGGTGGCAGTGGCAGCAAGCTCGCACGCTCGCTAGAAATAAGCTCAGCTGGAGGCGACGCACGGCTTCTCCACAAGGGAAATGACGCCGCCGGGTTGGTGACGAGTGTGTCGCAGATCGGCCAGGCATAAGGAGGTCTGAAAAGGGCCGACGGGCTGCAGGACGAGCAACGCGTTTCGGCAATCGACTCCGGCCGCCAAAACAATTTCTTTCGCATTGACGCTGCGCTCGCTGCCTATTGGGATCGGCACCGCTGCCGGATATGAGTAAACATCATGCTGCTCACCTGCCGCTGGTCCCGGCGCTAAACCCTCCCACCCGTCGCATCGCAATCGCCTCCAACGCTAACCTCACCTCGCCCTTCTTCACCCCCAGGCTGCGAATCAGCGTCCAATAGGGGAGAGGGGCCCATTGTTCAGCGCCTGCCGTCTTCTCCGGACAAGACCATGCTCGCTCTCAGCCGGCCACCAAAGGACTCTTATACCCAACAGCGCTAGCCCGGCTCTACACGGCTGCAACGCTATGCCCAAGCCCACGCTCACGCTCACGCTCGAGTGAGCCAAAAGCCATCTCGTCCAATCCATCACCGCACCGCAACTTGAATCTCGCTACCGACGCTCCGGCCATGGCCTTGGTTCGCTCGCCGAGCCAGTGATCAGCGTAGTAGACGAAAGGCATTACCGCTTCCGGAAGGATCACTACGCTTGTCCACCAAACCTGCGCCGGTCGTTGCTCCGCAACCGCAATGGGAAATCATGAGACGTGCCATCAGACGTTGGACCACCACTCCAATGTGGGGAACGAATCCGTGCGGCTAGACGGCTCCGGACACCAGGACACCCGCAAACTTTATTTCACCCCATCGCCCTGTCGCGCCCTCTGCCTCACATGCACACCTCCAGTACGGACGCACGCTCGGTTCCGGTGTCGAGCCACTTCTGCCTTTGGTCGGTTTCGAGTGAGAGCAGCCCGTTGTTGAAAGAGGTATGACTCGTGCGTGGTTGGGAGATCATGTTGGGGTGCCGAGGAGCCGATCAATGGTGTTTGCATGTGTGAGACGCCATGTTTGGCCAGGATCCACCACTAATCCCAGCTGAGGCTATTGGAGGAAGGAGAGAGGGTCGCGTCGCAGAGATGCCTCGTAAAATTTGTCTGATCCGCACACCACGCAAGAGTGACAAGTCCTTCCGCGAACTGGTGTGATATTACTTGTGCCGCCTCAGTGTAGTGAGGCCCGGATCGCATATCCCTATTGTAAGCATCCTTCGAGCTTGCTGTTATTTCTTCCGCAATTGTCGGAGTCTTCCTTGAGACGGTTGTTACTTGTCGTCTGTTATGCTTGGTCTCTCTCGGCCTGTCTTCTCGGCCTCTTCCCGCGACCGCGATTCCTTTGGTCCTCCCCGGGTCTGAATCTTCCGGAATTCGATCGCCATCGGGGCGCCTCCGCTTGTCGGTGTGTCTCCGCTTGTTGGTTCTCGTTCCTAAGGCCGTTCCCTCCGGTTTGGTGGCGGGTTCCGCACTTCCTTCCAGAAGCTCGGCTTCAGGCAACCTTTGGCGATTTTCCCTACCATTGGCTTCCCATTTACCAACGATACTGCATCTTTGGCCATACCATCACTACACATTTGCAAGCAGTGGTATGGCTGTCAGATAGAGAGGCTGTTGTCTCAGTCAAGGCTCTACGCGTCCCCTTTCGAGTCTTGAAATATGTATCCTCTCTTCCGTTTGAGGCAAACAAAACGAAAGACCTTGGCAACTTCCGGGAGAGGGAGGGACAAAAAGCATGATACTTGGCAGTAACGGGACTGGTACGATGTCAGAAAGCCGGAGCATACTGAATTTGACCTCATGAACTTACCTCACCCGCAACCTTATTCCTGGCGGCACGAAGCCAACAAACTATTCTTTGGAGGAGGAAGGGTACGCTCAACCATTGCGTTGGTCGGTCCATTTGATCAGAGGAGCAGTAGTGACAGACCCAAGCATAGGCATACGCATAAGCTTACCAAGGGGTTGAGCAAGAAAACTTTGCGGATGCATGTGCCTCAGGTCTCTTCGCCGAAAGCAATAGAAACAAACTTCGATCCTATTTTTCTGTCAGCTCATGGTGCCAAAGACATGCACAGACGGTCGAAATTCGTGATTTGAAGAAGTCATGGCTCCACTTTGATGTTCCCAGCATGTCCGCGGATCCGGCACAGGCGCATACCATACCATCATCGGCATAGCACCAAAAACAGATGAATAAGTCGAGAGATGTTTCATTGATCTCGACAGCAGATTGAGTGCGGCTTGAGTATGAGAAGACTTGAGAGAACACGAGAGCAGTACGATCTTGTTAAACGAGTGTCACTGTACGAAAGAGTTGCAAGAGAGACTTGAACCAAAAGGACGCAAAATCATATCACCCGTCCAGTGGTCTTTTACCAATTTGCAATTTGCCGTTTCCAACAGTCATCGAATCCCAGTAATCAATTTTTCCAATAGAAAGAGACGATAGAGAAATAAGTCCAAGGTATCCCATCAAACCAAGAATGTTCAAAAAGCAGGTCGTTACTCATAAATGTGTCGAGCCGCTGTTATCAGTTGCGGCCGGCAAAATGGTAGGTTTGGACTACCGCATTTACACTCTCATGGCAAACTGCTTGAGGTATTCGTAGTCGGCGACGTTCTTGTCGACAGTGTCCTGGATGACCTTGGCACCCTCTTCACCGAACTTCTCGACCCATTCGGCGTACAGCACGTCGTCGGGCTTCGGAACCTTTTTCTTTTTGATCAGCGATGTTAATATGTCTGTTCAAGAAAAAGAATATTGGGATGTAACGAAGCAGGCTGTTCCTTCCAACCCAGAGCCGTAGTCACTAGAAGTCCAATCTCTTGTCGCCGACAATCCTCTCTCAATCACATCCTCGAGTCCATGTAAAGCGAGTGCTTACAACAATCGAACTGATAGACGGAAGAATGATGTACGGAAGACAAAGGAGAAAGGAGATTCAGGACCATGACGGTCTGACGGAAGAAACAGCCAGCCAACTCACCTGGGCGCGAGGCTTGAGATCCCTCGATTCGATGGCATCCTCGTGGAAGCCCTTCCACTTCTCGAACCTCTCCTTGGCGATACGGTGATCCTCGTCGTTGTCCCAGGTCAACATCTCCGGCTTGTACTCGATGCCAACGCTCTCGCAGTAGCGCTGGATGATGCCGGCAGGGTTGTCGAGAAGGTCGTCGGCGTCGATGACGCAGATCTCAACCGGTTCAGTGCCGAAAGGAGGGATGACGGTGCCGTTGGTCTCGCCGTTCGTCTCCGCACCCTCCTGGCCGGCGATCTTGGGACCGACAAGACCAATGTTCTTGAGATAGTCGAAGGTGCGGCGGAGCTCGTCGTAGCCGGCCTCGGAGGGCATGAAGTTGTAGAAGCCAGTGATGTCGTCGAGCGGCGGGACGGTGCAACGGTAATACGAGGGGATACTGTTGCGAGGGTGGCGGATCAAAAAGGTCCAGTGGAACTTGGCGAGCAGCTCCGTGGGGACAACCGTCGGGTTTCCGGGCTCAACGAACGTCGGGTAGGGGTACGGAGGTTTGGTAGCCTCGTGCCCCTCGATCCTCGCCTCATGGCTCACCCCATTCGGCGCTGCGTTGACATCGCCGTTGGTGGCAGCGTCGCTGCCGTGGGCGCTGTCAACGCGGGCGTGTGCGTCAGGCTGAGCGGCGTCAGTGCCGACGCCGCGCTTGTACTTCACGAGGGATGGCGCAATCGACGCCGGCTGTTGATCCGCCGGCACCAGATAGTGCGTAATGTCCTTGATGAAGATCCGCTTGCCCTGTTGACCCCGGTAAGTACATGTCGGCTTCACCATGACAGAGTGCGAGCTCGGGCGGGGCCCGCCAGGCTAGGTGCGTAAGGAAATGTGCGAGGGGATGCGTCATTCGGGCTCCGCTCAGCAAGCAGGTTGAACTGCCGCCTTTGTCGAATCTGCAGGAGGTAGTATCATGATCGCACACCGTTGAGGCATGGTCGAGCACAAAACGCGGTTGAGGTGACTTGAGAAAGTAGTATATTCTTTTTTTTTCTTTCCCCTCTCTTGACTTCTGAATAGGCGCGGAAAAGAAAGATGGCGTGGACAAAGGAAACGGGGAGCAAGGCCGAGGGTACGGCTGCTTGCATCTCGGGGGAAGGGATCCAACCTCAGTGTTTTCACGCTCGATTCTGTCAAAGATAGTCCTGTAGGTGCTGTCTTCGAAGCCGCTCTCTGCTCTCGCCTTCAGGTCGTTCTCGTAACGGTCGCTGAGTCTTTCGGGGCCGAAGTAGAAGGCGTCACCGAAGGGCTCGTGCACGCATTGGAGCGTGTCCCGGCACGTCATGAAGACCTAAGCAGGGCGAGGTGTCAACGAGAGCCGGCGGGAGTGCGGCGGGAGGGGAGAACGAACGCGCTCGAAGGCCGTGGAGCATGCCCGCGGGTGGGTTGCAGCGAAAATGGGTTTCTTCGACATGATGGCGTCTGAAGCTGGCTATTGGTGGCGGAATGGCAGCAGCCGGCGGGCGAATATATATGGTCGCGGGCCGGGATGCAGCTGGGCCAGCGGGCAAATCAGGGGAGCAGGCCAGTAACGACGCCCGAATCGGGAGATGGAAACCAAGCAATCGTAAGGGGCGCAAGCGGGCGCAGGTGAAATGTGTGGATATGCGGAATGCGCTAAGGCGCTAGTCCTCCGGTGGCAGGGCACAAGGCAGGGCACGGCAGGCGCCCGCCCATGTGCCCTGCCATACCCCGTCGGCGGGTCGCGATGCGCGCGTTGGCGTTGCAGCAGATGCGCCAGATAGGGCTGCATCGGGCACATGCCAGCGGCCTGTGGAGAGGTTGGCTATTCGCACGCCCGCGCATTGCGTGATTGCTTGATTGCGGGTGCGCGGGTGATCTCACAGGCCGCCGGCCGCTGGCCGCTGGCTGTTGCCCCAGGCCCCGTGGCTCCGTGGCTCCGTGGCTCCCGCTGCCGCTGCAGACGACGTCCGCCCGCCTAAGGCTCCAGGGGGGCCTTCCTGGCCTCCACACGTCACTGGCGCCGCCCGGGCCAAGGGCAGCCGCGGCCCCACGCGCAGCCCGGTTCATGCCACAGTGCCTCGCCCGAGATGCTGCAGCTCACCACCATGCGATTTTCAACGCCCATGATACGTCCGGCGCCGTCTCCTATCCCACTTATCTCGCGCACTCCTAGTCCCCTTCCGTTCGCCGCCTGCGCGCCACCTCAGCTGCAGAGCCCAGAAGCTCGTCCTGCCCACTTATGTCGGAGCTGACCTGCACCCAGGGAACCGCCCGCCAGGCCACCAGCCCACCGGCCATTCACAAGCTTCACAATCAGAAACTCGCCGACGACGAGCCTTCGAGGCCGTTTCCTGAACACTGCTTCGGACTTTCGCTGCCGTACCAGCACCGCCGCCGTTGGGAGCGGGGCACGCTCAACATTGTGCGACCATACATAGGTACAGCTAGCGGGGAAATTCTGAGGCCGGCCGGCGGGTAGGCTTGTGCAGAGGGATTAACTGCGGGCCCTGACACCTTCGCACGGGAAGCGATAACGTACCACCCTCGAAATCTTAACGTACCACCCCGCCCCACTTAGTGGTAATTAGCGCAGATCGCTCGGTAATAACGAATGCATGATACATACCTTTATTGTTTCGTTATAGACGAGTTCTTAGCAGCATTTGCACGTGTTGTTAGTATTATTACACTTATTCGTTGTTAACGAAGGGAGAGAATTTATTATATAATTTACTATCTACTCGCCAACCTAATCTCTTCGTTCACACCGAAGCCTAAACAGCAATTAATAAGGGTAAGTAGTAGGCGTACGGTACGCAACTAAGGCCGTTAGAATAGACCTAGTATTTAGAATAGCGTAAACGATATTCTTTATAAGATTACGCTACTTTTAACCTATCGCCTAGCGCTTCGTTAGCAACGAATAGATTTAGAGTTAATATTACGTATCTTAAACTTATTTAAAGCCGTCTACCGCTTAATCTAACTACTAATTAAGATTAGCTAAGCCTCTAAAAACGTATCTTCGTATACGTAGCTATAGGGTAAGGTGTCTTCGTCTAGGACGATCTAAGTATCGTAGATAATATTATTTTCGATAGATATAGAGGCATTTAACGCCTAGTAGGTATAGTACTTTAGCGAACCACCCGTAGAACGCTAGAAGGTTATACTATAATTTACTCGTTAGTAACGAATTATAATAAGAAGGGCTCGTTCTTACTAAATAAACTCCTCTATCCTACCTTAGGTATTTTAAGGCTTCGTATACGGGCTCTAGCGAGCCGTATACGCTTAAACCCGACTTTTTTTATAGTTAGTTCGTTTATAACGAAGGGGGGGTTAAACTTACGCCTTTCTTAGATTACTTAAGCTCTACTATAAACCGTCCATACGCCTAGCCTAATTAGCCGTATAGAATCTTAGAACTTAGCTAGCTTAGCTAAAGCCGCTACGGAAGCTAGCACCGGCTAGATAGCCGGAAAGAATAAAGAAAGACTAGAAAGGTATAGCTATCGTTAATAACGAAGTAAACTAGTATAGTATAAAGAAGGGAAATAAGACCGTAAGAGACGTTCGTTATATAGTAAACCTTCGGTAATAGCGAGTATAAGCAGCTATCCGGCTATACGGTCTAAGAGTACTAGCTACTCGGCCGTACTACTTACGCTCGCTATTAACGAATATTATACTACTTACGCTCGCTATTAACGAGCGTTAGCTATCCGGCCGTACGGCCTAGAAACGCTATTAACGAATACCAGCTACTCGCGCTCGCTATTAACGAGCGCCAGCTATCCGGCCGTACGATTTACGGGCGCTAGCTGCTAGGCCGCATAGCTTATACTCGCTATTAACGAGTGCTAGTAGTGTAGTTAAATAGCTAATTTTATAGCTAAATAGCCGAATAGCTAGCCCTCGCAACTAGCGAGTATAAGCTATACGGCCTAGCAGCTAGCGCTCGTAAACCGTACGGCCGGATAGCTAGCGCTCGTTAATAGCGAACGTAAGTAGCTAGCTAAGTAGCTAGTATTCGTTAATAGCGCTTCTAGGCTATATAGCCGGATAGCTAGCGCTCGTTAATAGCGAACGTAAGTAGTACGGCCGAGTAGCTAGCGCTCTTAGGCCGTATAGCCGGATAACTACTTATACTCGCTATTACCGAAGGCTAGCTAATAATAAATACTTATATAGTATTCGTACTAAACGAAGAGCGAGATAACTAGCTATACGCCCTTACTAGTATACGGCTATAGAAGAACTACTATTCGCCCGGGACGAACGTCTATTAATACTATTATAGTAGTGCGATTAGGTATATTAGTAGAGTAGGTTCGCCACGGGCGAATGCTACTAGTAGAGCGAAATAATACTATAGTTCGCTATAAGCGAATACTATTAGCGGAGCGAAATAATATTATAGTTCGCCGTAAGCGAATGCTATTAACGGGGCGAAATAATACTATAGTTCGCCGTAAGCGAATACTATCGGCGGGGCGAAATAATACTATAGTTCGCCGTTAGCGAAGTAGTAGTATTATATAGGCATCGTTAGTAGCGAAGAGGAGGGTACTCGAAAGGGTAGTAGAGCTCGTTACTAGGCTGGCTATACTAGAGTTTATACTCGTTTTAGACGAAGATACTAGACCTCCCGCTATATTATTATAGCAGCCGATAGCTACGGAGGCTATAAAGGCTACGAAGGCTATAAAGGCTACGAAGGAAGGATAATATAGACTCGTTTAGACCGAGTAGGGGTAGAAGATAGAATCGGTAGTAATACTACGTTATTTTAATCTACTCGTTCTAAACGAAGAGGGTCTCTTCTTATACTATTTACTCCGAATTTTATTAGACGTGCCGTTACTCTTAGTCCTACCCTTCGTCGACGCTAAATAATAGCGGGTTTATAGTAGACGGGCGTCTCTAGTTCTATCGTTAGTATCGAGTCTCTATTAATCTACTAGTATCGGTCGAATAACCGAGAATTAAGGAAGTGTCTTCGTTTATATAGAATCGTAAAGAGTATCTAGTAGTATAGTCGGCCATATATCGCCTTAAACGAACTAGTATATTATCTTCGTTAGAAACGAGGGTTAGACTAGCTCTTAATCTAATTTTACTTAGCCTTAGTAAGCTTAAGGAAGGTCTATATTAACGCGTAGCGGTAAATCTAACTCTAATAGTAGTTCTAGAACTCGCTACGAACGGCGGTTAGACGCTAGATATTATTCTTCGCTTCGTCGTAAACGATTATCGTAGTAGTAAGCGCCCACTACGTCTCTAGCCTATAGATAAGCGTAAAGACGTTACTACGAGAGTTAATAATCTACTTCTTAATTTAGGTATAAGCGCCTTTAATACGAGACGTAGTAATATTACCGAAATATAGATAGGCCTTCGTCTATATCGAAATAAATATCTTCTTTTACGGCTACTACTCCGCCTTTAGATAGTCGGAAATACGAGTATTAAGTCTCTCTATACTCGCTACGGCCGAAGTAAACTCCTCTTCGATCTAGGCGTTATAGTATATAGAGAAACGATCTATAATCTCTTTCGCCCTCGCCGAATCTACCTACTCCGTATCTTACCGGAATTAAGAATGCCTCTCTCGTATATAGGTAAGAACATCCTTATTAATATACTAGTAGTAAAGGATAATTAAAATGCCCGTAAAGCTACGCTTTACTGTATTAATACAACTAATATTACGATCTATTAGAATAACTCTTAGAAGTAGTACTTCGTTTTTAACGAGGATCTTATAGAGGCTTAAGAGCGCCTAGTAATATACCTCCTCCGTTTAAAACGAAAGAAGGCTAATACTAAGCGGGATTATTCGGTTATTTACTATTATACTAACTATATTTAATAATAGCCGGTTATATCTATTCGTCTTAAACGTAAGATTAATAAGTAGAATATCCGGATTAATACGTTAGAGCTTAATCGTCTCGGGAGAAAGCGTAAGTAGGGAATCTAGTTAATACTCGTTATTAACGATAAAGCGGAAGGTAAAGTTCTTTCGTTAAAAACGAGAGAGTAGTATATTTACTATATTCTCGTATATAAGCTCCTAAAGGCGATTAGCCTATCGAAGGTTATAGATATTCTATTACGTTACGAGCGTAGTAGGATATCCATTTATAATAGACGTAAGAGACTAGTTCGCTCGAATACTACTAAGCTACTACTCTTAAATAAGCTCGGTAAGCTATAGCATCTCGGCTCGTTACCGACGACGCTAAGAGGCGAAGATACGGCCATTAATACTAAGCGGATAATTATAATAGAAGCTTAGATTTTCTTATTAATAACGAATCTTCTATTCGCTATTAACGTTATTACGGTCGGTAGTAACGAAGAGAAAGCCTATCTTATAATCTATACGGATAGAACCTCTTCTAGGGCGGCGACTATTTAGCTAATTCGGCCTAGACGAATAGT